GCATATGCCTATCTCGGGGTCGGTGTTCAGAAAGCGAGGAAGGACGATCTTACTGTCGGAATATTTGGTGGTTGAAATCAGGTTGAATTCAGGTGGCTAGATATCTAGACTCCGTACCTGTGGCATATACGTACCACTTACTCCCTAGAGCTCTTACCTTCTAATTCAACCAATATGACACTCGTAGCCTGCTTCTATTACAATATTTGCCAGGCCTGAGGCTTCGGGGGTCGAAAATGTGACGCTACGTTGTGAGCGTAAACCAGATAGGCGTTTCCTTCTAGCCTTCCTCGTCAGAGTCTGCTAGGAGGCTGAATCAAAGAAGAGCGGCCGTAGTTGGAGAGTCGAAGAGTAAAGAACGGAGAGAACAGTGGCGCTGCTTGAGCCATCCCAGTCTATAGACCGAAAGTAGGACAATGATTCGAGGCGCGGTTCATGGATTCGGGAAACTATGCTCGCGACAAGTATCGAGGATCGGGGCTGTTCCGTTACGTGGTAAAAGTTACGGTTTAGACGACGCTCGCCTGGCGACGGATTGCAGAACATACTAAACCCCTTCGAACTTCGGCGGAGCAATGGCAGTAAGATTCTTCCTCGGCATTATTGAGGCAGCCGTTAGTCCTGATTTCGCTCTATTCACGTCCCAGTGGTATACCAAGTGGAACAGCACGAGAGTGGCTTGGTGGTTCGGCTTCAATGACTGGGGTCAGATCGTAGGGGGCTGTTTAGCTTACGGTATCGCCGCACCTGGGGAACCTCGTCTAGCTGCTCATTAGCTGCTCCTCGAACCACGTCGGGACGGCTTATCAAACGGACATCGGATAACATAACGAGCTCCAAACCAAATCGAGACTAGTCATGCGAACACCTACTCAAGAGAACACTTCCCCATGTAAACTCAAGTACCATTTAGGCATGTTGCCCTTAGGGTTATGCTTCTCATCGTGGACCTTGCCGTCCTCCCTTTTCACTCTATAAGAAAGTTCCCAGCGATGTTGCTAGTAGGCTTGGTATCATGATTTTCAAATGCAGTATCAGGTATTCCGAGAAATTCACTGGATTCGACGTCCTCGACGAAACGTGGTAGGTCATGGATGGTGCAAGCGACGGCGAGGTCGGTGACAATGTTGTAAAAGTCTCCCCGGAGGGCAACTGGTCCAAAAGTACTTAGAATTTCCTGGGTGTTGTACCATAAGGTCAATTGCCCACTAGGTTGATCCCGATATAGTTCAAGTCCGTCTGATTAGCCGTCCCGAATCATGCGCTTATCTGCAAGCAAACCTCCTCTGTCCAGGGGGTATATAATGTCAGGACTCGATCTTCAGCGTCGGTGGGCGCTCGTTAGGATGAATTGAGTTAGCGTCAGGTACCCTCTTGCCAGGCTCGCAACTGGGATGGATCGAAGTGGGGGTTTTGTCAATACGGCGGGCACCGAACAGAAAATAGTGTTGTTGGGAATAGCTTCATCAATTCGGCCATATCGGCGACGATCTTGTTGCGCTAGAATGTGCTTCGCCCCTGAATTCCTGCTGCCGGGCTTAGACAATCTTCGTGTCTTCATTTTTGGTGCTAACATCAGAACAAAAGGTATTTCGTGCTATTTCCCATACAAATCAATAGCCTAAGATCAGTCATCCCACGTCCGACCGCTGTTTACCTGGAACGGTCCCCTAAATGTTGCCAGCATATCTTTATAAGGGGAATTTTATCTGCTGGCGGGTTTGTATGGGAATTTGAAGTTTCTGCTGGCGGCAGCACATAACTTAAATCTCCATATAAATCCGGCAGCACATAAAGTCCCCTTATTTAAGATTTATGTGCTGGCAATATTGTATGGGGATCTAAGTTATCTGCTGCCGCCAGCACATAGGCTAAATTCCCATACAAATCCGCCAGCAGATAAATTCTCCCCACCCAAGATTTATGTGCTGCCTGTTTTGTATGGGGATTTAAGGTTTCTGCTGGCGGCAGCACATAACTCAAATCCCCATACAAATGAGGCAGCACATGGATTTTAACTTTTGGAATTTATGTGCTGGCAGTTTTGTATGGGGTTCTAGGTTTTCTGCTGCCGCCAGCATATGCCTTGGATTTCCATACAAATGAGACAGCACATAAATCCCAGGAATTAAAATTTATGTGCTGCCGGTTTTATATGGGAATTGGAGTTATGTGCTTGCGCCAGCAGAAAACTTAAATTCCCATACAAACTCGCCAGCACATAAATCTCACTAGTAAAATTACCTGCTGCGCCCTCGCCGTCGCTTCAAAGTCCGCTGGAGGGAATAACTATCAAGCCTGATCATATCCATAACCACGGGAAATCGTCATAATAGATCCGTGACTTGTAATGGTGCTTCTGCTGGCCGCATTTCATAAGTCATCAAGCAGAGGCCTGAGGGCATACCCTTTGGCATAAGACTACAGCCTCACAATAGATCAACTACAGGTCAATTAGACTTTATATTCAATCGCAGTTCAATCGCAGTTCAATTAGGATGTAGGTTCAGTTGCAATTCAATTGTAGTTCAATTAAACTACAGGATCTACTGTAGATCAAATGCAGCCCATTCAAATTGCAGCTTCAACTGTAGATCAACCGTAGATCAACTGCAGCTCAATTAGACTGCAACTGCAAATCCAAGAAACCTGGAGGGCTTGGAGGATTTGGTCAAGTTTTTAGGATACGGTCGTCTCAGTCGACTAATTCATTACAAGTGTGTCGTCGTATGTGTATACGCACCCTTTCCTAGAACGTAATAAGGCCGGTGAAGAAATCATTCTTCGCGCATGAGCTCGTCGCGGACAAAACATTGATATGTCGAAGTTCGCGAAGGTGGTCCTTGACGGAAGTGAAAGCGACCCAGGACAAACTGCTCGTCCAATCTGTCTTTCGTAACATGCTTCAAGCCATTGACCTTCCTTCCTTAACTTCAGTTGCATATTTCACATTCAAGACTAACGATCCGGTCATACTTTTATGAGCGATCCAGGTGGGATGTCCTGGGAAGTTGCCGCTTCGCTGATTGCGAGTGCTAGAGGGAATTACGGAACTTGACTCTTGTACAGGTCGTGCACGTACTGTGTCCAGCCCCGTGTGTGGGTTTTCGCCTCGTAGTCCGTGGAGGTTGCGAGATCTTGACAATTTCATCTTAGCTCGCGCCATGTATGCTACTTTCCCTCGCCGTAGGTCAATGGCATAGAACAACCCTAACTACAAAGGAAATAGATATATAGACCAGTCCAATGTAAAGCAAGTATGCACATGCCGTTGCCAATTGCCGTTGCTGCTGCCGCTTCAACTCGCCTTGCAGTCTTTACCAGGTGTAGCATCGTTCGATCAACCACCGTCTGCGCTTGAGAAATACGTCGGTAAAGAGGTTGAGAAATCCAACGCAGACACCCCCGATAGTGGCTAGTGCTGACTGGGACGAGTCAGTCGAAAAGTCCGTAGCTCCTAATCAAGACACTTGATAACATGTTCCTCGAATGGCTGCGTCGGCTGAAGGTTGGGCTTGTTGCAATGTATGGGTTTATGAGCAAAGTCTATACTAAGTAAAGGTCCCTCCCGAGGCGTACATCTCATCAGTAGAACTAGCTACGCTGGACCCTGCTATAGCCTATTGGAGTGGACTTTACAACGGCTTGGACTGCTCTTTCGATTCCTAACCTACGAATTACGTGAAGGACCCCGACGCATATAAAGTTGCCGTTGACGCCTTGAAACCAGGCGATGCGATCACAATCTTCGCTCCGGACTTGTGGACGATGACATGGGCGTCGTTTATTATTGTTCAGTCGAGTGGCCCGAGCCCTAGGAGGCGGCCCGGGAAATTTGGCGTGGTGCCATAACTTTGCTTGCTCGCATTGAAGTGCACTCTCAACAGATATGCGGCCTCGCGTGGTCCCTCGACTGCGTTACCGACGTGGAGCCTTGCCCAAGCCTAAGCTTCCCAAAGGTGTTGTGGTTAATCATAAGACGACTATTCGCTTCTGCTGATCTATCTAAGATGGATTCCGCAATTTGAGATTTTAATTTGGTGGTGTAAGGAGTTCATCTAAAGAGTCAGTTGCTTACTCGGCGTTGGTAACGAAAGATACTGGTCGTGGGAACATCGATGCCTATCAATATGTCGGAATTCAGTCTGAGAGCAGCGGTCCTAGTATCAGCCCTGTGTAGATTGGAGGTTCGAGCGAGAGCAATGGACTAGCGATAGCGGTAATGCCGATACCATGTCCCATTATTCGTATAATGATAGAGTAGAATGCTCGTTTGCGAAGAGGTAGTGATTTGAGGATTGACATGTACCCCTTAGGCAGGCAAATGCCTCTCCGCTTCAACCTGAGTAATAAATAGGTACCTACAGATTCTAGATGGAAAACAATAGAAAATTAGTACTGAGACCTCAATCTCTTCATTGGGTACCTACCTGCATAGACACGACCACGTAGCAGTTATCTGCGGCATTTTCATCCAAATCCCCCTTTCTGCGCTTTGCACCCTCTGCATAACATACAAAGCCTCGTAAGATTAAGACGATTAGCTCGAACCATTCGAAATTAATAGTCGATGGACACAAAATAAGAATGAATTTGGATTGAATTATATGGATGTTAGGGTTAGAGTTATATGAGGAAGGCTGCCTAGGTGGTGTACGAAAATAGCATTCGACACCACAGCCCCCGCCGCCCGCTTCCTCGTCTTCGTCATCGTCGCCGCACGCCTAGGATAACAAGACCGCGGGCGAGAAGGCGGCTGAGCACTTGATAGCCGGAAGTGGACAGATGATCCTATCAACACGGTCGTACCCGAAACGCCCAAACGATGAATAGTCTACATTTCAAAATATTGAAAAGTACGCCGCCCAAAAACTATAAAAGATATACATCTGAATAGAGTCCATAAACAGTCTCTGTGTCTATCACAAACACTATAGTCATAGTTCACACTGCTAGTCTTTGAGTATGATGCCGTGCATGTTGATGTACGTTCGTACGTTATGCCTGACGTGCCTGAATGTGGTGTGCTAGGAAATTGTGAATCGCCAGCGCCGTTCGCGTGGCCCTTCTCGCGCTTCTTGTTTAGCACATTGCTGCCGCTACTACCGTCATCTGAGCTCGCTGCGGAACTAGGCGCTTACTTGCGCCATACAGCTATCGTGAGGAGAGTCGATATGCTGTGTAATACAGGTATATTTTATGTACTCATAGACCGATGCTACCGAGGCGATCAACCAAATCGCTCGTTTCCTCAATATTAAGCCCGCCTTCTTCGGCACGGCTAGACCAAAAGACCGACGTGCTGTGACCTCGCAGAGGGTTAGCATACGAAGATTATACCATGATCTTGAAGCAGATGGTGCGGGAGATCGGACTGGGAACGTACAAGAACCTTGCCACAGCTAAGATGATCGATTCAGTCTCTATGATTAACCTCATGGTGGTACATTGGGGTACACAAGATTTTCGCCGTACCCGTCACTGATAGAAGCAATGCCGTGCTCAACGTATTTGAAGCCGTCGATGTTATACCACGTATCAAAGGAGGTTTCTGGGACGAATTAAAGTCGACGGTAGATACCACCTTGAGGCTCGTAGTCTTGAGACTCTCACGATGCACAACATGACGCGCAAGCTGAACAAGATTCGTCAGCTTCCCCGAATCGGAACACTTAGGATGTAAGGTCCGAGGCCATGGTGTTGACATTGTCATTTGGAACCGGAGTCCAATTCTTGCCGCCTCTCTCCGGGAGATCCGTTGAGTGAGAAGTCGTCCTCGACGAGTATGCCCGTCATAGAGTGAGTGAGAGTAGCATGTAGGTGACGATCTCCCCTGCCGCATTCCTCGCAGACAACCCAGACAACTCTTTCGGATGGACTGCGCCCTCTTCGAATCCTTGTCTTTGCCGTGCCAGTGTTTTCCAATCTCTTGTGGAAAGAACTACTCTGGGAGCAACCATTTCTCCAGATAGAGGAGCGCTTCATCTATGCGAACGCTAAACCCGACGACTTCAGCAACAAAGAGTCTCTGGCAGCAACCTAATCAATGAGGGTGGGCAGCCTGGAACGAAACATATCCGCATGATGAAGAAGGAGCACGCGCAGTCGGAGAAGGCGTCAAATATGAACATGGTAATCTGATCTAAAGCTGGATCTTACGGCGCGGCGGGTAGATACAACAAATACGTTCTGTAACCTGGAAGATAGAGCTGTTGCAGACGTCTCAGGTCTGTTCGACATGCCGTTGTCTCGGGAATTCGTATTTGGAAAGGTGAATCTGCGAAATGCTCAATCACGTCTTGCGCAAACACGTACTTCGCGCCGGCCAGCCCCAGCTCCACGGATAGCGATAAAATTGGTACCTCGTCGTCGTCGAATGGTAAGGGCCTCAACAAGAATTTTGGGAAATATACATGGAACATCGTCTTGGCTGAGTGTCCGTTACGTTCTCTTCACATCAACTTCGCTGTTAAGTAGATCGTGGACACCAATCTGAGTTACAGGCAGTTGCTAGCCTACTGCGTGATTTGCTGCGCTGACTTCTAGATACTTGAAATCATACTCGAGGAGAGTAAGGGTTAGGGATAGGGTTAACTGCTACAATACCAGTTCCGACGACAAGCTTATCGAAGAGGTCATCGAGCCATGACAAATAGAACGTAGAATGTGATTAAGCTCCAGAAATACGACTACCATTTCAGCCAGACATGTGGCCTAAATTCTAGAACCGTCGAGGAGTTCTAGTTCATCGCATTGCATTATACCCCTTTTTTTAGCTAGCAGATTTCGAGAAAACGATCGTCTTTAATGATTCGCGTCTTCGAGCACCGCCGCCCTGACCTCAGGTGTCCTCTTGAACCGCTACGGAACTTAGCTACGAGTCATCCCTAAGGCCTACGTTCTATAGCCGCTCCCTCTCGTTATTTACAGAGTACTCTATTCGTTCTGTCTTCTTCCCTTTCCCCAGCCACCATTAGAGCTTCTCTTGAGAACCCCCTGGCTGATCGCTTAGCTCTGAGGTATCGTATAATCCGATGCCACAAATACCCTCTAAATATCTCATTGGCTATCCTACCTGCTACTCTTGCTTGCTCTGTGACGCGCCCAACCGCGCCTTGCGACGCGGATGAATTAGTTATGGTCTACACCATTAAAAGTGGGAGCTCCGTCGGTCAAGGCGAGGCCTATCGCGCCAGGGGACGCCTTCCGCTTTTCCCCAGGAATAAAATCTCCTTCATACTACATACAACTCCTTCATACCTACTACAACTCGGTATGTCGGAATCGACCGGTCCAGGACGCTGCCTCCCCTGGTGACAGGCCTTAGCATGGTTTGTATCAGTTACGAGAGAAGAAAGGAAAAAAGGTTAAGCTTGGTTTACTTTTCTTCTTTAAGCTTTCGAAGTTGAGTTCTAGTCTTTTTTGATTTCTTTCTTTTTTTCTCTGTTCGTTGAATACAAGGCTTGTATTACTAGTATGTATACTTGAAGTCATTATCTTTAGAATGAAGGTACTCGAATTAGACAGCATGGCATAGTTCTGGAAGACCATTCATCAGACACAAGGCGCGCTGCCATGCGCATAACTTCGCATTGGCGTTGAAGCGAATCAACAAGGAACTCTCAGACCTGGGCCGGTATGCCGATTTTTTCTCTTATCGTAACGGCCGGTTGTTTGGCGATGCATCTGTCTGTCTTGGCCGATAGTTCTCCTTGTATGTAATATTAGCAATTCTACCCATCCACCTAGTCTGTTGAGGTCTTTAGAGCCTTTCCTGTGAGCGGGCTGGCGGACAAGATGCGCAGGCGCACATCGGTGGCAATAGATCCGCAGCTCATCTTCGCCGGCTCCAAAACCGTGGTCGATGAAGGCTATAAAGAAGATTAAGATCCAGACCGAATAAGGTACGGAGGGAATGGAGTCCGACGCCCACTTCGACAATGACGAAGATGGCGCGTTGGGGATATTCGGTCTCTCATGACCTACACCACTTTAAGGATGCGCGTGATGACATAATGTGCATTAGACCAAAGAAGAGGAGGTTCAGCGTATCATGGAGACCAACATCTTCGGCCCTTAAAGCCTGATACGAGGCCCTGTCGATTCTGGAACGATCCCCTCGCTTCGCATTAGACCCTGATGGCGTAGCACGATCAATCTGCTCCAGCGTCGAGCACCACGAGTTGTCGGCCGATCAGCGACTCGTTGTTGGCGCCGTAGTGCAGGGTCGACGCGTTGGGTTCGAAACCCGCGATTAAGGGGTACGCCTGGGGCTTCGCGTTGGCGACAGTGCAGGCCGCGATGAAGACGGCCTCGAGCTCGCACTCGTTCTTGGAGGCGACTATCTTCTTAGCGACGATGCAGTGGGTGTTCGACGAGATGCCATTGGCCCTCTTGACCATGGCAATCTCGTACTCACCGGAGCTGACGAGCCTCCGCGGATCATCGGATAATTCAAATACGGCAGTGGGTTGGTGTGATTTTGCGTTTCTGAAGATTACTAGGAAAGGGACCACATAGAATTTATAAATAGTAAAGAAATTAAATGATGGAGTATTTGATAAATCAAAGTATAAACGCCTTCGCGTCCCTCTCGCCCGCGCCGCCGTTCGGCAATGGCTTATCCGGGCTTCCCGTATAGCGCGGGCGACACTGGGCTGTTGACGTTGACCCTGAGAACTAAGCTGCATTCCTTGTCGTTATTGACTCTGCGGGATGGACACCGAAACTCTAAACCTTGATATTAACACGATGTTTTCGCGCATAGAGCTCACAAGCACGTTCTTGACGGCCTAGACGTCTGATCCGTCGCTGCTGTAATGGGAGGTTTGATGGTAACGTGACGATGCTTGAGTGGCCGCTCTGCACGGCTCGCGGGTATGTCAGGAGTATCATGCCGATCACGACCGCGGCCGACCACAGCGCGTGGGGTATCTCTTTGGTTGGCATAAGACTACAGCTCCACCACGATCAGTAACTGTACTTCCAGCAACCCCTGAGTTCCACAAAATCTTACTTCTAATTAGTTAAACACTTCCGAAGATCACTATGAAAGCCTCAACACTCACAGGCTTTAAGGGCCTGCGCTATCGCTGATGTACAGTTACCGGTTTTGTGGAGACTGTAGTCTTATGCCAACCAAAGAGATATCATGGTCAGGGGGACGAAAACGGGCCTATCCGTCCAGTCGGCCATAGCATCGCTACTCACTGGGATACGGAAGACAGGTTTCTTCTGTACGGCAGAATCTGCAACGTGCCATGATTAGACAAGCCTAGTGTCCGTATCCATCCGCTCATCTCACCAACTCCTTTTCGGCTGGTCCGGTTACCTCGAGTATACTCGGCGCGTGTCTGCATTAAGAGGCTTTTATATGCAGGCCAGCAGTCTTGATGATTGAAAAATGGAAAATAAGTTTTGACCTTATTTCATTTTTCCGATCGGGGGCGCGGTTTTCGCGATCCCGACTTAGACCGCTGCGTATAGAGGCAGTGGTGTCGGGGCTGCGATCGGGACGATTTTGATCACACTTTTTCTATTCTTCTTACCCCGACTGCCCTTTCGTCTACCCCCTTTTACTTCAAATTAGTTAAATCTTCCATAAAAGTAGGAAGAAGGGTAGAGAAGTGAAAGGAGATGTATCGTCTTGTTCTGAGTCGGTTGAATCAAATCCGCATCGAAAGATGAAGATGGTGTTTACTTTGAGGGATTACTTATGGAGTGCCTAAGTACCTAAATAGAGGCTCATCGACGCAATCTCGTCATCAGGGGAAGCCGGTCACTTCGGCAGGCTCCTCTGGTATGCGTGGGGGGTTGCCAAAGCTTGGGTTGCCATTCTTCCGCGCAACGAAGACTTCTTTTGAACACGTCCCCTGAGGTGTCGGTGACGTGCGAATTGGCTGGTTGACGAGTGACAGACAGTATAGCGGGGTCCACGATCAGGATCCGTTCCAGGTATGATGGTGGCTGTACGTTAAGACTTCAAATACCAGCTGTGTGGATACAATGTCTTCTTCCTCAGCTGTCTGTTGACGTCGAGACTAGGCTCGTCGTTCGTCAATGCTGAAACTAGATTCGGGGGCTCTAAGTAGTGCGTTTCTTTGTGGATGCCAGTAATTTTATGGATTATACTCTCTAGCGATCCTCTCTTGTTCCCTAAGCGTATGCCGTTTAATGAGAAGTTACATTCTCCGGCGCAAGAAGCTCCCGCAGCGTTTAAGCCCTAGTAAACCATCTACTATTTCGAAAAGCATACTCCCAGTCCCTAGACTGCCTACCACACGAGTCTCTACCGCAACGTCCTCCAAATACACGTAGCATTGGGCTGCTTGATAATATACCATTCATACATGGAATTGATTTGGTGAGTCCGGAATTGTTCGACTTGTCAATACAGCAATTGTCTACCCAGAAGCACCGCAATTCGTCATTGATAGCTTGTGCGCCACGAAACTCGAGTTTGCGGTACCCAGCTTTACTTCTGCCACGGGCCCTTAGAGATGTCCCGATAATCAACTTCCTCACTGTTAGATCCCAAATATGAGAGAGGATGACGTAATTAGGAACGTTAGAGGGATGATAATTTCTTGTCATCACAAGTTCATGAGGCTGTTTGATAATATTAGGGAGATATCTCGATAGGTATGTGACACCCCCTTATATACGCGGTTTAGGATTACTTAGCACAATCTCTCATACGGAAATCCGTTGCAATCGCTTTATATGCCTCCAAAAGCTGATGGACCGATTCAATCTCAGCCTGGCCTTTCTTCGAACGCATGTAATCCGAATGTGATTCGAACCCCTTTGGACCCAAGACAACCCCCAACGACCCCGCTTCTCACAGTAAAGCCATGTTTATCCAATGTCTGGTTAGCTAGGCGCCATGCTCATAGATCTAGTCGCATGATCAACCACTAGTAGCTTCACGAAGTCATAGTTACGATCAATGAAACTAGGGGCCCAGGAAAACGTCGACCGAGGCTCCAACTTGAAATCCGACACTCGCTGTCAGCCTCTCCAAGGTTCTTTGAAGTCTGTCGTGAATAGGTGCAGGGATTTTCCCTGCGGTAGTCCTGTATTCAATAGTATAGTAAAACAAGCAGAGCATTATGATATCAAAAAAAGTGACCCATTTGCCAATGCTACTGTAAGGCACTATGACCTAAACTATCCTCTACTTTACCCTTGTAAGTACCTTATACAGTTATAGCGTCCAATGAGTAATGATCATGCAACTCAGGGAATAAATTGAGACACAGTATAAGTAATATAGTAAGGTTAGCACATGGGCCACTTTTCTGACTCCATTCTTGCCCCCTTTCTCTTCCCATCGACTGGCACCGTCTCATACGCGGAATAGACTAGACTCACAACTGACACGACCACCAGCTTGTATTATATGGAGGCGGTTGATTTCATCGAAATTAGCATCGGGGGGTTTTAGTGGTGGCGGTGGTAGTCTTGTGGACGCTCGCTGGGTTGCCCTTGGAGTTATACAAAAGCCCGGTGACTGTCTATGTCATCATGCCGACCCTGAAAAAGTCCCACAGGCTGCTGTAATCGGTGCAGATGCTCTTGATCATGCTCCATACCTCGACCAGGTTGCTCCTGGTGATCGGGTTTATCAGGTCCATCACCTATGGCCCCGACCGACTTGTGCTCCGGCCTCGACCCGTCCGCGATCTTTATGAAAGTTGCGTCCTAGGTGACGGGTCGTCGAACAGGTCCTACTGGATCGTGGTGATCACCTCATCCGGCTGGGTCTCGACCAGGCCCTTGGACATATCGATGGCAGCGCCCTTGAATATGCTGACGTCCGTCACCGCGCTAGTAATTGCCGACCCGGCGAATATGCCCGTGGTACCGCTCATGGGCGTCCTTGTGTGGTCCGCGGGTACCTCGCCCTGGCCACGCCCGAGCTCCTGCCCGTCATTATCTGCTCGTCGATATGTCCTTCATGGCCATCCGTAGTGCCTAGGTACATATCAACGGCGCCGAAGGCTGGATCGTGCCCTTGATCATCCCCGTATTCCCTTCTATCAGCGCGGGCTTCGCCGTGACGACCGCCGTGGCTTCCTCAAACTGGACGAACTCCTCCGGGAACCTGATCTTGACAGCCTTGTTCAATTCGATCATCTCTCCGTCGGTGACCGGCTCCTTCTCGACCATGGTCTCGAGCATTATGCACATCTTGACGATGGCCTTCTCCCTACTCTTGAACGATTCGACGATGTTCTCCAGCCTGTTTATTATGTTCTCCAAAACGATGACCTGCCGCAACCTAGATTTGCCGGTGGGTCGTCCATCTGCGTGAGGATGGAGTTCTTGCTGACGTAGAAGCTCTTATCGTTGATTTTGCCGGTGGCGGGTGTCCCGTTGTCGTCGTTGGTCACGACCGACCTCGAGTCGTTGCCCCTCGGGCATAGGCCTGGGCGTGTAGCCGGCAGGGATGGACCCCCTGTTGCTGAATAGGCTGTTGACCATTGGGGTGAACGTCTTTGTGAGATCTTCGAGTGTGTGATCCACGGGTGCTCTCGTCATCGACCCGATACTGGTCTCCTTTATGTACGAGTACAAGGTGTCCTTCGGGTAGACCTTCCACTCGTACCTCGTGCACGCGTCGACGTCCGTGGGCAGGCCCAGGACCGTGTGGATGTCCAGCTCCACCACTGTGATCATCGGTGGGATCGGGTGGACCGCCGGGTACTTGTTGATACTCGGGTATAAGATGGCAGCCAGGTTCTGCGCGCTGACGTAGCTCACCTTCGTGCTGGTCCCCTTGTACGAGCCAGAGGTGCTGCGCACCGAGTCAGAGACGAACGAGCCCATCGCCACGATCGACATCCTGAACCAGAACGAGTGGTGGCCGGATATTTATCCAGATAGAGGCTATTGTCGAAGTAGTCTGCATTTTATTAGGCATTGCCCTAGGTCAGAAATCTGGATTCATCATTAAGATAGGCTCAGGCGGCTTTTACATCAGGGACACACACGTCGAAGTTATTATCGTTGTTTTCGGTACAAAAGGGGCGGGGTGGTGACGAAAAGGGATAAGATGGCGGCAGACAGGATATAGGTACTTCCGATATGCAATTTACTGACTTTTTCAACGATAGCTTCAATTGCAGTTCAATCGAAATGCAGGTTGATTGCAGGTATCACCCCACGCATACACAAAGACGTCCAGACAATGAAATGACATCCGACCCTTTGCTTGCCCTTTTCTCATTCACATCCTTCTTGGTCAGAATTAATCTTCGTTGGTACTCTGTGTAAACAACAAACAGTCCATCCCCCTCGGCCGAGTGGCCCACGGTTGATACAGCTACACAAGCGCTTGCAACGAAGATACTACTTGGAAGCAAAAGTGTCGCATTCGTAAGGATCTTTAGAGGACGACAGATCAGTTACTTGGTAGGATTCGCCGCTCTTGGAATCTATCAGTTCCCAGGGCTTGCCTGCTTCGAGTATTTTCTTTGGGAATATGAGAGCATAATAAGTAGCCTTGAGACCGCGAGGAGTCACGAGGGCGTCGGAGGCGCCGGTGGATAACATAGATCCGCCGGAACTTCCGCTATGGGCAGTCATGAAAGAGATTGGCAGCCACCGAAATCCGGGGATCTGTATTTTATCACCTGTCAAAAACAGAACATTGCTTGGTATTTTCCCCAGCTCCTTGATAAGACGCGTCATTCGATGCTCCGGATTCAGATCGACGAGGATAGAAGGCTGGACGCCCAACAAACTTGCTATTGCCAAGGTTTCGTCCGCCGGGCGATTCGTAGTTCTCCATCGAAGCGACCGGGCAACGTCACCGATGGTGTATATCCTATGATCTGCCATCTTGGTTAAACGAAATAGTTCGCCCGCCAAATCGGTCAAGTATGGGTATAGTAGTATGTCGCTGATTGATGGAATTAGACTGCGCAACGGGATTCGTGCATCAGAAAAGACCAGAAGGAGGACCTTGGACAGCACAGCTTCCTGTAATGTCCAGAGTCGTTGCATCCAACCTGAAGTGAGAACGCGAAGAATCTTTTTACCCTTATATTGTGTTGAATCGCACAGCTGTATAGTTCTATCCAGTACCAGCACGGCCTTAGCTTGGCTATATGTCTGAGCCATCATGCTGATAGCCTTTTTGCGGATGGTATCGTCACCGGGAACGCATAGCGAGTCGATCCAGAACGGAGTTCCGGGCTCGATTAGCTTGGAGAGTCGTCTAATCTGGCAGATTGGCAGCCCGTCTTCTGTTGTGCTGCCGAGCCCGTCCGCCTAAATATGCGAGATGGCGATATATTGTGTGTCGCTGCCCTTGCTCACGCTCAACCTGTAGCGGCTTCCACCTTCCACTGGGTTTAGATTAACAACTGGCACGTGGCCCGCGACTAGTAGGCTTTTGACCTCGGCTAGGTTGATGGAGACATTATGACACGTATTTTGGAGTCGGCCTAGTAAGGATAGGCAAGCGGGTGAGGTGTGGTGAGGGGTGTATGTTTTAACATCCACGATATACCTGGCACATGATTGCGACGAGCACCCGCGATGGTCACTATCATCTCTCGTTGGCCCGCACGATACGGCGTGCTCCAATGATGAGACCGATACGGTGCCGATGAGATAGTTGACCACGGAGGGGCACCACCCCTGAGCGATCATGTCCTCCTGTAGCAAGGTTCTGTAGGGAGGAATCCAAATCATTGTCCATGAGAAGCCCTCTCGAGGCACCTCCTTCGGAAATGCCATCTTCGCATTTACCAACGCTTCGCCAATGATGGCGATAAGGCAGACTGTGGAAGGCGCATTCTCTCCGAGAGGCTCGAAAATTACGAACTTTTGTTTCACCAGCTCGGTTAAGAGAAGATTGGCTTGTTTAAGTGTGCGATGAACCCTTTCGAACCAGGCTTTGCGGTCGCCTTTACATTCCCGGATCCGTTGAATCCAGTCCTTAATTATTTCACCCAAGCCATCCGTACTGATGATACGGCCGCCAGACGCGATGTTTCTCGTCAACGTACCCTCGGGGATTTGTTTCTCAACTGCGGCTTCCAAAAAGCCGAAGGTGAGTAGGCTTTGCAATCCGGCAGCATCACGAACACACGTATCAAGCTGACTGTTATCTAGATTTCGAATGTCGAGATATTGATTGAAAGGGACAACATCGTAGCCATCATGAGGGAACCCTAGCCAGACCGAAGGTTTGAACAGACGAGAATGCATCATGGTAAAAAATATTCGCCTTGCATCGCTTACGCCCAAGATTGACCATTCGTTAAGTCAGTGAGTTAATTTTAAAGATTCTAGCATGATACTGTTAACAGATGTGATACGTTAAAAAATTAAAATCTCCGATACGCCAGAGCTTTGAGGATGGTTGCGCGACCATATTTCTGCCTAGCACTCAGGTCTTAACGAGATGAGTTTTGAATTGACACAGGTTTGAAGGTATCCGACTCCTTAAGAAGGTAACTTTTCATATAGAAAGCAATCTTACGGAAGGGTTTAATATTTATATACCTACGAAAGGATTTTATCTCAAAAAAGGGAATGGAAAAGGGGGTGTGCTTGTACTGGTAGGTTAGGCTGAGGCGGAGTTAAAGGGGCTTAGCGCGGGATCTGTTTTTTTACGGGAAAGGATTTAACGTCGTTATTACTTCTAGGGAAAAGGAGTTTGAAGTGGACGAAGCGATCAAGATTCAATATCTCAAAAGTATACGCGTTTATTTTTAAGACAAAAAAAGATTCGTTTGATGTGTATCGCCTCAAGCTAGTCCTACTGAACTAGAAAAGAGAAGCCGGATCAACACGTATAGGTATCGATTTGAAGATACTCACCCAAATTCATCCCTTTCAAAGTGGGCTTGGGTCGACGTCCGACTTCTCTGGGTTTTCAAATCATCCGGGTCGCAATGGGCGGGTCGTTCACCGCGACAATCACCGCTGCCCTGGGGACCTAAAGGCAAGACTAGCATGATTACTGTCGTAACAAACAATTATTGGAGGATGGGTGGTGTCAGTGAGGCACACCGTCTCTTGCAAAGTTTCGATATCTTCGCCGCTGTTTATTATGTAGACCGTCCGTACACATACAAGCATCATAACTAACCTATTGATTCGAGATGTATGGCCTACCAGGTGGACGAGCAGTCTTATAGGACCCTTCATGTGGAAGACAACTGCACCGATGAGTTATATCTGTCCAGCCGAATATTGATAGGTGCTTTTTCGAAAAAGAAATGGCCCTAAGCATAAACATACCTATGAAATGGCCTGCAGCTTTCGGTTGGTGGTGGGAGAGGATTCAACTATACTATTAGCCACGTCTGTAAGTTCTGAACCTCGGCATCACGTAGATTTCGGAGCTTCTTGATAAAGGTCTCAGGGGCCGATGGTCTAGGTAACCCTTCTGACAAACCACTCCTAGACTACCAAATTTGTCGTCTATATAACCTAACAGGTACTTTCGTGGTGCCTTCATCCTCAATGAGAGCAACCCTGAGGCAACCATGGATGGATATTCTCTGTATACCAGTAATTCCGAAGTTGAACCAGTGTCGAGAGGCAACGAAACTAGTACTAGCACGGACTTACACCGAAGCGATGGCTGTGCTTGTGGTTGATAGAGAACTATGTCGTTTCGAGTCTAGAAAGGCACCCTTCCTTGAGCTTTGCATCAGAATGTTATGCAACGGGTAGCTTAAGCGACTCCGGGAGTTCCAAGCTTCACTCGCGATTGATATTCGAGGATCCAGTGTACTGCACTTCCTGATGGCAAATGGGCTGGCATATTGGAATCGCCTATCCCGATACTTTCAGGATGAGCCTTATCTTGAAGTGTCTTCACCCCCGAAACTATCTCCAACTTTAGGCTCGACTAAGATACAAAGCTGACCTGTTGTACGAGATACATCTGCGACGTTTATAGAAGGCCGGATACCTTCGGTGCATGCAGTTAGCAATCCCTCTCTCGAAGAAATTCCAGAAAGTCATACGGGCCGTACAGAACCGGTGGACGACCAAACAGGAAGACGAACCTGTCTGCTTAGCATCGCTCTTAGGGCCTGACCTCAAGTAATCTTTGAATGCGAAAGGTATCGATAATCGCATGGTAGAGTTCTATAAAATGTTACGCGAGTTCCCAACGGCAATTTACTTCTCAGGATTATAGATCCAGATTTCTTAGCCTAGAACCTCATAATTCCACCCTATCGATGGGCTCTCCTTGCTGCTGTTGGGGCTGCCCATGGAGACCACGAATGCGCTTTCGACAATGCGGTTTAAGGGTTCATCGTTACCACCACTCAGACTTTATAAATACGATGGGCTTCATATTACCCATTCAACGTCCTGGGGTCTTGTTCGATGACCCGGAGCCCACTTCTATTGTCCACCAATCCACGTTCTTCGATACAACTAAAGATAACTCGTACTCACTTTCTCTCGCTTTATCGAATTATCCCCCAGGTTAATCGGCTCTCTACGACGTTGCGCGTCGATTTCCAAACTCATATATGTTCTGACGTTGTGATCGCGAGTGTCGTGTAGTAGACCGCCATTGAACACGGAGTACTTTTACGTGACAATTATTGGACACACACAACTCAGTCAATACCCATTAGCCGAGTTTCTGACATTAGCTAAGGTGCGGCAGCCGGATGTCTGCATAGAGCATCCACCGGAAAGGAGAAACTGTAGTGTATCATTTAGGCTATGATTTAGAACGGTGTTATGCCTCTGGAAAATAGATGGCAATCCCTAAGACCAACATGGTTGAACTGGTTCATCTAACAGCAAAATTGGATATTTTGCAGCAGGGTTAGAATATTCACTGTGAGGACAAGATAAGTACCTAATTATACTGGGTTGTTATTAACCAGTCCCAATAATAACCGATATTACCCCTAAATGTTTATCCGCGATATATAACCAGTTCGTATAGACCGAGAATATTAATAATGAACAATGAAAGAGTTTCACTGAAAGTCTTCTACTGACTTACTTCCCCGAGCTCTACCGACGACAAAGGCATTGGCTTACACTCCTTCCAACATGGTGCTGCTTGATAAATTACTCTTTATTATTTCCAATGTCTGATCTTATATATCACGTCTCTCAACATCCTCAGGGGTCAAGCTCACGATTAGAATGGCCACGAATATTGATATCTCGCCGGAGAAAGGGGCGAGCTGATTCCATTCTTGCTACCGACAACCTTTTGTCATACTCCAGCCCGCATTCCGCACCGACATATACGTAGGCGTTTAAACAGCCATTGTCCATGGTACAATGGTGTCATGGTGTTAGAAATCGCACGTCAGTCTCTAGACCTGTGATTACGTTATTTGACTGTCCACGATGAGGGGCAGAGGCGAAATAGCCCGCCAGGAACTATCCAGCGGTGGCGATCTTCCACCTGAAGCCATTCAGATTATGACATTGGACATGTCATCCAACGACTCCGTCACTAGGTACCTTTGAGGATCTGGCAAGGGCTTTGAGAACCTCGATGCAGCTGTCCTTAACGCTAATGTGTATATGGCATCGTGGTCTTTCGGCTCGGCTCGCTACGAAGAATGCGTACAAATAAATTACGTATCTAACGTTCTCGCGATTTTATTATTACCCATTATCAATGAGAAGAGGACCGGTGTCAAAGGCGGGATTAAGAAAAGGGAAACAACGACGCTGTATGGGAGGAGCTCTAAACTCTCGCCTAAGCCTTACCGTATAGACATGAGAAAAGCCCTATATCTATTCTGCTCGAGGTTGCTACTAACAGGTTGCCCCGGGACCTTCCGCGATCTTCCACGGTCTCTCGAGGGCCGAACTCCGTCCTACTGTACCCATAGCTACTAGTCCCACCAATAGACTCAATGTCTGGCAACCGGAACCGGCCCTAGCGTAATCTTCCTTAAATCATTTGACATGACCTCCTAGTCTCTCTAGAATACCGGAGATCTTTGTCACGCAGAGCTCTAGCTACCCTCCTCTAAAAGGATACTCCGGACGCCTTATGGATCAGCTAGTACGCGCTAATGTGCATGACCTTCATAGTATGCACGTCACTTAGACTTAGACGCTCATCATAGGATACCGGAACTGCTATGCGACAACGAAACTTCTCGGGCGATTGTTCCTGGCGGAGCTAGCGAAGCGTGTCTTCGTTGGTAGCGTGTCGGATCTTGCTCGTGAGACTTACAACATTGCCCGTTCCGTCGTCGCTAGCCAACTATTCTTGCTCGGCAGGGCATACCCTGCTAGGGTCGAAGCAAGGGTGCACGTCGTTGGTGCTCTGGGTGAGCAGAAGCAAGGGCTGTCGAGGACGTGTTGGTCTGGCCGCAAGTAGGGCCCGCTAAGCTTCGATTCTAGGCCCGAGACTGGTGTAAATGCCTCAGTGTGGTGCCAGTCGTATACAAACTTGAAGGCTTTTATTGCAAAGCGACGCTACGACACTGGATAAGCTTTCTTCCGCTGATGCTAGGGATATCATAAACGAGATGTGAAGAACCTAGCACCTAGGTACGTAGAATATTCCTGAAGGCGTTTAGTTTACTAGTCAGAATTGGTATCATATTGCATTTCTGCTAAGGTCGTGACCACGCCACCGAACTTTGGAGTTACACTTAATCTCCGGAGATTGTGGTGGCTGCTAGGAGCTATACGGACGGAAGGATTACGCGGCACAGCGGAAGAAATACTGACTTCTCCGACGTGCAATACCTACATCAACAACGCATCATGCACATAGGTAATATATTCATCCACGTCTCTGAGACTGTAGATGGCATATTCTTGTCGGAAAGGTAGACGATCGCGCGCCGGGTCATCCCGTACTATGGGGCCGCTTCCCTCGAGGCATGGTCTCGCCTAGGTTGCAATGCATTAATAGCGTAAGCTGGTGAGGAATCATTACGGCACGAGACGAGATCGTCCTTCGGAGGCGTTGTTAGTATGATGGCGGTCGTTCGGTCATTCACGAAAACGAAATGTACCTTGTCGTATGGTAGAGGAATCCCTTTCATTAATATATTGCGTGGCTGGCAGCTGTGGCTTTCTTCACACCCGCTGCGAGCCACGGATTCTCCGCCCGAGTCTTGTACGCTTTCGCCAAGCGATGCGGCACTCTGCGAGCGCCTGTACGACGATAACGATAATTTCGTCGCGAGAGAAACCTGCTACGCCGATAATAAGCCTATCCGGGCTGCACTCTCTGGTGCGCCACTGGTCCGCCACTGTTCCGCTGCTATAAGGTGCTGTAAGGCACACCTATCATCTTAGATCGTCATGTCTCGGTACCTTCCGCCACCGCCTAGTCGCAGCTCGAATAGGCACATTCGCTGATGACAATTTGAATGTCTACTTTGAAATCAAGCAGGACACGTTCACCGTTGTCTAAATGATATGAACTCCGCTTACGAAAGACGACGCGATTCTCAGAATATCTCCCGGCACCCGACGAGATCTCAATGTCAAAATTGGGCCCGGCCATGATGTCAGGCATGGCGTCGCGAGAATGACTTGCGCAGCGCGGTGGGGTATCTCCGGGATTGCCAATAGTAGAATATCGAACCCTCCATCAGCGAACTAGTGACGCGATCTTCATAACACCCTCGTTTTGAGTGCCCGTGTGGGTTCTGGGGACGATCTAATACGTTGTCGGGTCCTCTAGCTGGAGAACTATTGTTGGGGTAAGGCACACAACACGAACCCGCGCGAGGCGATTACCACGGCAAGGGGGAGCCGGCGCGAAGTTTGCCGGAATGGTGGCGTTAGGAGCTTGCTCAGCTCGGCTGTATCCTGTAGGTATTCTGTGTAACGAGACTGCCACCCGATCCTTCGTCGTCTTATTCATAGGTACCAAAACGAAGAATGCCGTAAAAAGTCCATGACGATAATGTGTTCCAGTCGCAGATATGGACGTGGTTATCGGAATAATCTTCGTGTAAACAATCGTTCCTATATGAAAGTCTTAGCGAATTCTTGTTTATGGAACTTTTATGTACGACGAAGAAACAATAACGCATATATATTTACGAGAGCGAAAATCCTTAACCTTAAACTCTCGTAAGACTAGAATTCTCCATAAGATCTGTAACTATACTGGCGATAACTTGGTGGAGTTGTCCCGTTCGATCGGTAAGCGCTGAGGCTCTCAAGGCGCTGCGCGGTGATCCTCGCAGGGGTCGTGCGAAGTCTGGTACCCGGCTAACTAGAATTAGACAGGTGCTAGTGGTCCTTAGGGGCCGTAGTCTGCGCCGGTTTAAGGGATACGGTTAATTATATCCTTTAATATATAGTAGCTCCTTCGTCAGCTTACATCTCTCTTACCCGGCCGTATGGTACGCCGCGCTCGACATAGTATCGCTTCTATGCTCCTTATTGTCGCGTGATGGTTGGGATCACGGTCGTTTAAAACGACTCGTTTTTCCTTCAGCTGGAGGAGCTTTGCAGATTCGTAAGAAACCCCCCTTTGTGACATAGCAAGTTCTATCTATAAATTATCGACACAACGAAAGCGATTCAAGTCACGTACATAGCTCAGGACTACGGAGAAGTCCAGCTGGGGCTGCGCTGATCTATCGACCGTAGTCTTGCATTCGGCATCGTTCCTCAGCGGTGGCTTGGGGTGTTGCGAGTTCTAAGTGCCTACCCAGATATATAATAGCTTGCAACCGCTTGTCTGGATCGTCTATTCTTCTTTAGAAGTATCATAGACCAAATTCTGCGATAGTCGTTCAAGCTTCCTAAGCTGCATACCCATTCGACATGCTTTGCAACATGCGCTTGAGCGGGAATCTTCCTGCCTTAACTCCTGCCGCGTGGGTTACGCTGCTCTGGCTTTCTTTCTGGTCTTGCGTAACGGATGCTTCCCGCATATATCCTCGAGTCGATATTAGGCCTATCTTGACTAGCCAGAATTGGTCGTCTAAAACGATCATATCGTATCCCGGCTCTTCGCAGTTCTTCAACGCTACGGAGCGTTGGACTACGTTTAGTGCCCCGACTTATAGCGCGGCCATTAGTCCGGGCACGGAAGATGACCTCGTAAAAGTTGTACGTCGATGAGGATTTGGGTTGACTTCGAAGAACTACCGATAACTAACAGAATATCAGGTGAAACTGGCGACATCGCGCAAGATCCCGTTTCTCGCCACTGGAGGACGTCACGGATATTCCACTACTTTCGGAGAACTTCACGATGGTCTAGCTATCGACCTGAGCCACTTCGATTCGATCAAGCTGGACAAATCTGCTGAAACGATCACCGTTGGGCCCGGGGTTACTGTAGGCCAGATCTTCGACCCCTTATATAACGCCGGCTTTGACCTTCGTGAGTTTGACCCTTCAACTCGGGCATGTCGATACTCTTTAAAGATTCTAACTAGAAACAGAAACCGGCAGTGCTCCTTGTCCAAGCTTAATCGGCGTTTCGCTTGGCGGTGGTATCGGTCAATACCAGGGAGTCTACGGTCTAATCGCAGATGCGCTGGTTTCCGCGCGCATGGTCACCGCCAGCGGGGATATCATTGATGTGTCGGCTAATTCGCACCCTGATCTCTTCTGGGCTATTCGCGGAGCGGGAACGAATTTCGGCATCGTTACGTCGGCTACTTATAAAGTTCACCCGCTGACCGACAGTGGAGATGTTTTCGTCGCCGAGTTCCTCATTTCGGCGCAACAAATCTCTAAATACTTCGAGACAATGGAGTCGATGAATCCTCTACCCGCAAAACTATCATCGATGATGCTTATCGATTTTAACAGTACCACGAACAAGGTATGTTTACCGGAAGATCTGTATTCGAAGTTGTCGCGATGCTGATGCTAGCTCTAGACGCAAGGTCAGGTGCATTGGGCGTACAAGGGCCACGAAGACGAAGGTCGTAAAGCCCTAGCACCGATCTTTAACCTCAATCTCGAACCCACTCAGATCAAAGTCTTCAAGTGGAATAAACTTATAGGTGGTCTGTTCGGAGGCGTCAACGATCTCGCCTGCCAAGGCAACGTAACTCGTAACTTATACAACTGGAACATGAAGAACTACTCGACGTCCACGTACTACGCCTCGTTTGGAAAGATGGACAAGTTCTTCGCAAAATACCCTGGCGCGCGCGGAAGCATCCTCCAGTTTGAGTTTTTCCCGAACGAAGCCATGGCGGCTGTGCCTGCGAGCGAGACTGCGTTCCCCTGGAGAGATACGACTACATACATGTTAGAATCCCCTCCCCCAGAAGTTTGGTTTTCAATTTCATTGTTACGATAAGTATTCATTCATTAGATCAAAGAAGGCTAACTCGATCGCGGTCTGACAGAAACTTCAACATGTTGTGGGATGACGGAGACAGTGTCACGGAAAACGCCGCAATTGCGCTTGGGCTTGAGCTCCGCAGCGAGTTCGTCGCCGTGTCAGGATATCCAGAACTCACGGTATTTGTCAACTATGCCCACGGCGATGAGAAGGTGGAGCAGATTTATGGAAAGGACAAATTGCCCCGCCTGGCAAGTTTAAAGAAAACCTGGGATCCGAACCAGGTCTTCAGTTATAACCATGGATTGCCCACTCAGTATCCATGAAGGAAAAAAGGTTACCGGGATTTTTTTCACTTCAATTAGACGGCTGCAGCGGAATGTAGAATATGGTTGCTTTTGGTGTTAGACTGTATAACTACCTACTTAGACATATTTCTTTCGTACCTATAACAAAAGTTTCGGATCAATTTTCAAATACTTGCTTATCTCTTTGGTTGGCATAAGGCTACAATTTCCACCAAACCAATAAGTTTGCATTGGCGATAGCGCAGGTCTGTTGAACCTGCGAGCGTTGAGGCTCTTACTACGTACAGTGATCGTCAGAGGGGTCTAACCAATCACGAAGTAGAAGTAAGCTTTTGTGCATGTCAGTGGTGCTGTGGCAGCGTGGAGCTCAGGGGCTACTGGCACTAGTGTAATTATAGTGGAGTGTGGCCTCATGCCAACCAAAGGGATGGATTCAAGTAAGATTCTGGGCATTGGCATCCGTCATCTGGCCAAATTTCAGTTAAAACACCGAGCAATATAGCACTGCATTAATAGTGAATAGCTTAAGTATCACAGAGTCTGTGGGTGTCAGATCTCTAGCATAGCGAACGATATGATTTATCAAGACAAAAGGGGCGTTGTTGCCACGGAACGCCTCAAGATATGCCCACACTCAACTAAGCTAATCGCTTCTAGGATAGATTACCTAATTGCCCTGTGATATTGATTGTAGACATAGGCATCAATTATTGCCTCTTAGTGGAGACAATGCAGGAGGCTGTTTCTTATTTGATGCAAGGGTTGAAAGACATGGGCTTCGACGTGAGATGCCGGAAGTGTCAAGACACAGGACTAAGCCCGTATTTGGTATCTATCACATGCTAATTGAGAATCTGTCGAAAGATTGACTTGTTGTACGTCAGCGGATATGTTCCCGGTTTCCGGGTTAGATCCACTTCCCGACGGCTAGGGCCGCAGGATGAGAAGCAGATGTGGCTGTCCATTAGTCGAATCGGAGTGATGGACATATTATTTTTCCAGTGGCTGTTGGAACTAGAGGGGAAGGTCGGAATGCATTTGGAAGAGCTCGTGGATATTGAGGTCGAAGTAGTGTGTCTCAACCCTAAAGAAATGTAAGCCATGAGCAGGTACGTCGACACGCACGAGACGACAGCCTTTCACTTTTCTAGAGCAATGATAGCCATCAGTTGTGATGTTAAGTGTGTCAAAGTCGATGACAGCGCTTTTACTCCTGCGTCCCGCCGTTTCAAAACGGCGGCGAGTGCAGTCTGGATGCGTGCTCGAGATACTGGACAGAGAATTTCACTGCGGCGGCACCGCGCCGTGCGCACCTGGCTAGGGGGATCTATTTCAATCCGTGACGGTCCTGACGGCTTAGACATGGCCACAACCACCTTGGTCCAGAATATGGGCTACATGATCTACATCACCGTCGCTGGTGGATCAAGCGTGACTACTTGAACAATGAATCAGGTATCCCGCCGTCGCACATCTTCAACTCCCGCGACTCGCTTTTCGTCTAGAAGGTGATGCGGGTCACGTGGGGTCGCGGCGTCAATGTTATCGTCGATTCACTCGTCGGTGACTTGATATATGAAGGCTAGCGCTGTATAACAGATCTGAGGTACTTCGTCGAAATTGCGAGCGTGAGCTGACCGGCGCTGGTAAACCGGACGTGAATATATTTCTTCGATCTGTCCGAGCTTTTCTGCGCCCCCGGGTCAGTATCCCGGTAAGACTTAGCCCAATACATGGAAGCTTACCTACCTACGTAAAGCGTTTCTACAACGGGAACGATGAATATTGGCATTTATCGCCACAGGCCGCACCGGCTACATATATTGGCACGTTCTGTGCTAACGAAACCTATCTCCTTCGTGGAAGTTTGGAGGGTCTAAGACAAAATGTCAGTCGATAAGGTGACATGGGAAGCCCACCACTTCGTCTTCCTGGGTCGTTCTAGGGCCGACAATCCTAACGCGCAACAACTTGCCTCTCAGGTCGAGGCTACCGTCACGGCACCCAATATGTGGTGGTCTTTTCTCCATGGGAGCCGACGTAACAGACGCAATTGACTTGCGTGGCTGCGAGACAACGCACCGGTCCTGCCATCCAGGCAGCCACGGGACCCTGCGAAGCCCAATTCACCCGTATGCTTAAACGGAGTTTGGGATCCGGATATTGATCATGACAGAACGAGCCCGACTATTTTCTTCTCGCATAGTCAGTCCCGGAAATTGTACATACAACAACGGGAAGCAACTACAGCGCATCGAATTGCTTCCTCAGTGCCTGTTCACGCCGGTGTCGGTTGCGCGGTCAACTTTGCGTCTCAGTTGGCCTGGGCATAATATTGGGAATAGACTGGAGGTAGAAACACTATCAGGTACTTCGAAAGGGGATTCAACTGTTCAATGAGGAAGAGCTCCTTCAGATGGTCGACTTGGCATTAGTCCTCGAAGCAGCTTGCAGCCCTAAGAATCAAATTACGATGCACTCTTTTATTTCTTATATCCTTTTTATTCCCCAAAACGATTAGCTGGAATGGCTTCCTACTTCGGGCGTCTCCACTTTAAAGGTAGCCAATTTTTCCCGACTTGGCCCGCCTAGCGGACGCGATGAAGATACAACAGAATGGTATGAGTTAATAAGCAGACCAACGTACAACCCCGAAGAAGGACATGGATGCTCTTCTACCCGCCGACACTCGCTCTAATTTTGAATCGCTCAAAAGACGGCGATAACATCTGTCGCATCCAAAGCTACTTACCTGCGAATTAAAGCCGACTCGATGCATCGCCTCCAACAGAGCATACATGTCTCTTTCATCTAAAAGGATAGAAAACGCGCCAGTTAAGTTCTATCCATTGATGAGCTAATCGGCTCGCGGGAAGGTTGATCCTCCTCGATGGATGAGTATAAACTTGGACCGTCATCTAACAAGAACCGCATCTCGGCCGACCTGCTGACCCGGAATCGGTCCGGTGAGACTTCAAGCTATAAGGTGGGCCGGAGCGGGAACTAATTCTTAAGTCAACCGCCTACCTCATTACAACAGGCCATAGTGGGTTCGTTGCAACTTTTCTCCATGGTGTGGATACTTTACATACGCGAGATGCAGATTTCAAGGCTCCAACCCGCGTCCAAGTCTACTATACCTCGGCTATTCTTAAGACATCAGTAATCCATGGGCCACGGCATGCGGTCATAGCTCATTTCATGATCATAGGTACCTACGTTGCCTACGTAAGTAAGCACCCCACCAAGGTACCAGCACTAGATCTTGAATCAATACTTAACATGGGATATAATACCGCCTATCCTTTAGTGGGTATGCTTCTAAAGTCTTCCTCGGAATTCGGAAATGCACGAGTCTGACTATAGTGCTAGAGGGAGATAGTTAAGCCGCGGAGGGTTCGAAATGGAAATAACGAAATATATGACATTATACATAAGTCTTTTCAAATAGCACCAAAGGCACCAGTTACGCCGTGTCAGTTGTCGAAGCTGTCGGGGGTTGCAGGGTGGCAGGGTGGCAGGGTGGCCGGGATCAAATTCATGAGTCAATATTCCCAAAAAGGGGCAATGGTCCTGAGCTGCCTGCGGTAGCTGACAAATTCCTGCATCATTAGGTAATGTTTAGTTCACAACTCACCCGGCCATAGCATACGAACGTACGAGAACCTCACCCAAGATCCTCCAGTAGCGTAACGTATCTCGCAATGTGTGTATACCTATTTAACTCGAGGGCTTCTCCATCCAAAGTGTCCTCATACTTCCTCAGACGCTCAACCACAACCATTCATTCGTAGCTTTGAACTCGAAGGAAATCCATCACCATGTCGCCGAAACGTTTCCACAGCGAAGGTGTCGACCCTGAGCCTCTAGGGCGCCCTTTGACATTTGAGTTTAGCGGTAGGACTGCTATGAATCGGTTCATGAAGGCTGCGATGACGGAACGCCTCTCGACGTGGGATCCCAAAGATTTTCTAAAGCGTGGGATACCCACCAAGGAGCTGATCAACGTGTACAAGAGATGGGGAGAGGGCGGCTATGGCGTTATCCTGACGGGGAACACGATGCTGGAGTATGATCAGCTCGAGGCCGCGGGCAACCCTATCATTCCCAGAGATGCGCCATTCTCTGGCGAAAGATTCCAACGCTTTGCTGACCTGGCATCTCAAGCCAAGGCGCACGGAAGCCTCATCATTAGCCAATTATCTCATCCAGGTCGCCAGGTTTCCGCGGAGATCCAAGAACACCCTATATCGGCAAGTGATGTTCAGTTGGAAGGGCGTATCCTAGGTATGACGTTTGCAAAACCGAGAGCCATGGATAAGAAGGATATTCAGCAAGTGATCGATGGGTTTGCTCATGCTGCGGAATATCTTTATAAAGCTGGATTTGACGGGATCGAGTTGCACGGAGCACAGTAAGTGAATCCGTATACGGTGTCGAGGCCAAAGACTCACTCGGACTATAGCGGATATTTGATAGCGCAGTATTTATCACCGACTACCAACAAGCGAACGGACGAGTACGGAGGCTCGCTCTTAAATCGCGCGCGCATCATCTTCGAAATTGCCGATGAGATTCGCAAGCGAGTCAACGACAAGAAGTTCATCGTGGGCATCAAGGTCAACAGCGTAGAGTTCCAAGAAAGCGGGTTTACCACCGAGGATTGCAGAGAGCTATGCGCCGCCCTAGAGCAGCGCAGTTTTGACTTCGTCGAGGTATGACCATGAAATACTTGAAATTTGATGTACGGTTGAAACTGACAAGGGATTATAGCTATCGGGCGGAACGTACCAACAGCTCGCCTTCCATCACAAGCGAGAGACTACCAAGAAGCGAGAAGCCTTTTTCTTGGATTTCGCCGAAAAGATCGTGCCCCAGTTGACGAAGACTAAAGTTTACGTTACAGGGGGTTTGCGAACCGTAGACGCCATGGTGAACGCGCTCAAGACCGTAGACGGGATCGGATTAGGAAGGCCCATCGGTAACGAATTCGATCTACCGAAGAAGATGTTGGACGGGCGCGTAAAGAGCGCCATTGAGTACTTTGACGAGCAAGATTTCGAGCTCACAAATATGGCAACGGGCACACAGTACGTCTTACAAAGCCCCCTCAGCATCCCCCTCCCCCTTTCTATCCCTTCCCCGCGACTTAGATTTACGATTTCTGGAAAATTGCTGACAAGAATTGTTAGGATACGACTAGTAGGAAAAGATAAGGAACCGCTGGACCTGAGCCGAGACGACCACAAGGACGTGTTCCTTAAGTCTATGCAGAAGTGGGCGCAGGAGATGAGTGAGGATAAAGATCACACCAAGTACGGGTACGTCGACATCGAAGGTCTGAAGTTGGAACCGTATGGGACCCCGTACGCATCAGCTTGAATTTCTATTGCCATAGAAGACTGTTTATTGGCTCAGATTTCTGTAATAAGAAGCAATGTCAGATAGACCATACATAAGTAGATACTATTGTTATCACATACAGCAGTTTTATTTTCTATCCAGTTAACCTGGCACCCAGGTACCATCGTAGCTAGACCACGTCTTGCGCAAGGTGAGACTTCTGACTTCGTATCTAATGGAATATCGACCATAGATGGGCAGTAACGATTTCTTAGCCGGCTACTCCGGGCTTTCTCCATCTAGAGCCCTGAGCAGTAGGTACGTCCTCTCCAAATTCCCTTGGTAAGTTCAAACACCTTAAGCTAACCGCCAAGGTACATAAGCAGTTGGTAGTTATTTAGAATACATGGATTGGAAATCTTTCTATAACAACCCGGAATTGCCTCCGTCAAACGCTGTCATCTAATCATAGTACGCCCTGTCTCGCAGAATACGCAACTGATGAAAAACGCAAGGCTTTCAAACCGACCACGTTTCCTTCCTCAACCTCCCCGTAAATATTCGCGATACATGTGACATCCAACTATTTCTCGCGCCGCTTCCTGCCAGCTCTGCCGGATTATCCTTTGTGCCCAGCGGATCCCCCGGTCCAAGTTCCGGTATCGGCCCATCAGTACCTAACTCAGCATCCGGCACCTTGGCCGGAAGGTCCCCCGGGCTTCGATGCGGAGGGTTTGACCTGCTGGACCATTTACCCATGACTTGTTTGGCCCAGAGTGTAGGTTGGAAGGGAAAGAATGCCTCTATCTTTCCGGCGCGGTACCGACGATATCGACGAAAAGTTACCGTTGCCAAGAATCCGAGTATGATCACGATGAGAATCCCGGACAAAGCCATTGCCGCCGTATTTGTACTCGACGCAACGTTTGTAGAACTGCCTTCGTTTGCACTAGGGATCGGATTATTCTCGCTACTGGTGGTAGATGCGGTTCCAGTTTGGATCGGCACCGCTGTATCCAGTTGACTAGGGGACGAGAGTAGGGATGTGCTTGTGGGTAGCTCTATTGCAGTAGGTGTAATAGGGGAATTAGTAGACGATGCAGTCGTTCCAGTTGAGATTGCTGGGGGGGCGAATAGTACTGAAGTTATTTCGGGTGGTGAAGAAGTTGGGAGGGTGGTCTCCGTTATACTAAAAACAGATGATTCTATAGTCACGTCGAATGGCCGGCTAGAATCTAATGGGTCCAAGGGGTCTGTTTGGAGGCTGCTCAAGTCTTCTTCCCTCCAACGGATCTGTATGGCTGGTCCTACGGTGACAGAAGGACCACTCCCCGAAAATCCCCAGATGCCACCTCGAAAGTCGGTTGTGTCCGACGTGCAAGCGAACCCGCTAGATGGAATAAGTCAGGCTATCATGGAAGCGGGGTTAGAGGCTTTCATCCTACCTCGGAACGCAGTACATAGCAGTTTCCCCCGACGACGTGGGCGGAAATCCTTCGCCGATGCGGTCATCATTTGCGGTGCAGCCTACGTCGAAGCCGCTGGGACATATCGCTGGCGAGTAATAGGCAAAGCCCTTTTGGGAGATGTTATCGACCCAAGAGGGGGGATCGCATGAGGAGGGTCCTGTGGTAGGAAACGCCGGAAACTGAGATGGCGTTTTCGTCGTCGTTAGCAGCCACGTAATTGGGCACGGCGGAGTGAAGACTGTTGTAAGTTCGGAAAGGCGCTCGCCAAAGGTCGTCTGCTGCTTAGCAGTCGTCGTCGCCGGCGACATTGGCAAAGTATGTTAGACGGTGGAGATATAAGAGGCTTCCGAGGTTCATATGCTTAGGGTATGAGACCGAAGACAGACTCCCCGCGCCCGTCAGCATCACCGTAAGGACATGCGAATAGTTGATGGGCGAGCAAACTTGCGCGCGAGCAGACACATCTTGAATCTCGTAGATCATCCATCTGGCCCCGCGGGTCGGTAGTCTGCGGCTTGCCTTAATATTGTGCGGCTGACACCTCTTGCTTCCCCAGTCGCACATTGATGAACCCCGGAGCAGACCTGGAGCTCTCCGAGATGAAGGGTCCGTATTTGATCTATCGCGATCCTTATTGGCTAATTCTAGGCGACAACGGCTTGCCGAGGGTTTGAATACCTATATAGGCGTCGCTTTAAAACGCCGTCAAAACGTGTTGGTGCCCCGCTCACACGTCTGGAACTCCCCCTGCATTACCCCCCATTCAGGGTTCGGTTTGCCTTGAAAGAGGACTATTGCCTTTTCAAGAAACCGTATACCTACTCAGGTATCTCCCGGCATCTCCCTAACATAACATTTATCTAGGTAGCTTTCGAGGTGTCAGAGAATCTTCCGACCTCCGATGCTTGTAGTAAGCATACCTAGTAGGTAGTCTGTACCATATACCGAGATGTAAGGAGATGCGCAGTCCGCCTTGCTTTGCGGCTGAATACTACCCGCCCAAGCAGCTTTTTCGCCCATATTATTCCCATGTGGCAACAGGTTCTTTCCTATAGGACTGTAGAGGTGCCCGGAAAATGCGAGGCAAAACAACCTGGGTAGGTACATGGGTCTATTCAATTGGATGTGTCATAACTTGAAGACATCTTCAAACGTACCTACAGCCGGTCACATCCGTAGTTGCGATATAGAGACAGGTATGTTTCACTTAGTGTGATACTTGAATAATCACGGTTGGGCACCAACCAAGTCTTTAAGTAAAGGAATCCTTTGAACCAACAAATCAGCCTAGTCTTCCTTCAAGGCAGATATATCACACAATCATTATAATTCCCTGTACTGACCGCCGACTATGTTTCAAGGTTTATAAATCATATATCCCCTTCTTAGGAACTAGCGCCGTGTACATGATATCTTAGAGAATTACATAAGGAGGTAATTATGCAATTGGAAAGCGGCAGCGTTGCCCGCAATACTGTTGCAGCCCTAAATATTTTGATCGTTAATTGATAGGTATCTTCATAGGCCCCTTTTAGTTATTAATAAATCCACGACCAAGCGCCGAGTAGGTATGCAATGGAAAAGTAGAAGCAAGATTAACATTTTCTAAGCTATTATACATAGAATTCTCCATAGTTCTTAAGAATTCCGTTACCTACATCATGAGATCTACGCCCATAGAAGATATGTAGGCAAACAATCAGCAGCAGATATCGTATAACATTATAGCAGTGAAGCACAGCGGTCCAGCAAACTTTCCTAGGTATTTTCGTTAATTAGGGCCATCAAGTATCCCATATCATCGCCATGTTGTGCCGGAAAGGGGTTGGTATCGTCCGCAACATTATTTCCATTGTTCTCGCCAGCGAGCTGTTCGACTTGGTCTCCGGCATGATGCTCGGGATATCGACCAGCATTGCTCGGGTCATTTCCACTTAGTCGATGTGCGACCCTAGCGGCCGCCAATTGTTACTAGGCACAGCCATGAGGATTTGCATCTGGTTGACGCGACGCTCAAGCTCGGCAACGGTTGCTCAAGTCATGATCAACTCGTTACTCAACGTTCTGACCTGGTTCTGCAGATCTCGAATCTGAGCTTGATCAGGATTTAATTCCACTTCGAGTGCGGCATTAGCCGAGTTGATGGAAATGGAATGATTTCCAAACTGGAAACCGTTAGGTGAAAAAGCCTGTCCGTAGTCTATGTGGGCCTGTTGGCTTTGAGACCTCATTTGGTCTTGACCTATCACGCTATCTTGTCCTAAGATGTCGGCGAGAGGTAGAGAAAGGGAGGTGGAGGTAATGCGAGGGCTACCAAGCCCGAAGCTATCAGAGCCGCCACCAGGCGGGTCGTTTCCCTCATTTGGGGCCTTCTGTCACGACAGGACAAAGAGCCTGTGGGTAGGTGGAAGCTATCACCTGCCAATTGAGCCAAACAACCACCAAAAGACGAGAATCGCAAGTCGAACAGCCTCGCGATATTACAGGTGATAAGGCTGATCCGTCACACCTTCTGTGATTAAGAAATTAACAATCTTTACGCTTGAGCTGTGACCGAGGCGGATCTAGAATGAACACTTACATGGTGGTCCGGGACTCCTGTGAGTCCGGGGGAATGTGATAGCGGTAGTAGACTCGGATCCGTCAAAGAGTCCGTGCCGACTCTGGCATCGGTAGAAGGTGTAAGGGGATTCGAGACAGCCACATTGCCACTGTTGGCGGCGAGGTTTTAGCGTTCAAGGAACCTCGCCATCTTGCTTTCTACATCCTGTCCCTTTGACCGACGACGTTCCATTACCATATTCTCGTCCGCTGCTAGCAGTTTCTTCTTTTCTTCCTCGGAAGCCATCTTGTACTCCTGAGTACTAGATGTTATCCCCCAAACACGAGTTATCGCCTTGGTATCGAAGAGTTTGCCGTCCTCTGCTACAAGTTGCTCTTCAGGTAAATTATCTCTGCGTCTGCGTGCGCGGATGGTGTTTCTGTTAGTGGAATATTCCCAGGGCTGTTTGCGCTTCTTAGAAGGCATGCTTCTAACCATTATCTGCCTTCGTAGCGAAATAAATATAGTAAGATAATGTAGTATCTAATGTTTGAACGATAGTGTGGAATATGTAAAACAAATACAGAAGATGTCGGGTAGAATAAATATCGTAACGAATTTGAGCGAATTGCATTCTGTAAGGGCAACTTGGATGGATACTCATTAAAGAATCTACCACTAAGGACGGCTATTTAGGAAGCGGCGGTCTGACTGCTGGTGTTCGAGATAGGTGAAGCCATCTGGTTATATGGAAGGGACGCAAAGACGACCCTATCAAACTACCTAAATATTCAAAGTTTTAACTGGGTTTGTTGCTTCACTTATGATATATGCGCAAAGGAACGTACGGGGTGTACACCTCTCTTGCCCATGGTCGCCGTGTCCTCGACAGCCTACTCAAGATTAAATAATGGAAAGAACACATATATACAAGGTCCTTGGAGCTCTTAGAGGAGTATAGAGCTCTAGGGCTCTTCCCAAGCCTAATGGATATCTAGATGCAAGGTCTAATTGTAAACCAGTAGTCGTGGGTACGTCACACAGTCATATTGTGTAGCATTTACGTTAGTTACATATCTAATGAAGATTTATCGGTGGATTAAGGTCCGATACGACATGTAGGGACATATCAGTCTTATTTCCTGCTCATACTCGTCTATCCTAAAGGTCATGAGAAAGAAATCGGCTCGCTTGTGCATCGTATCCAGCGTTCACAGATTATGAAGGCTTTCACTCTATCAAAGTACATTTGTCTTTGTATAGGTATACTTTTAAGAACTTTATGGACATCCAGTAATGTTAATCGGAGTGATTTGTTTCAACCTATAAAGAAGCAGCCCAGATGGGATATACTGTAGGGTAATGAGGACCTGGTAAACGGATACTTCTTGTTATAGGTAATCACGACCAAATGTCGCCCAAGGTTTGCCAATAGAAAAACTACAACCTCCCTTGGCAGTAGTGTAAACCTGGAACGGTAAGACCCAAACCCCTTGTTCCCACTGACATGTCCGTCCGCTCCACAACTAAATATTCATATACGCATCAAACATCACACTCATCACGAATTTTGAATTATTGAAAGACCAAACAGCCTCATTGTACCACTACGGGGTTGCCTTTGCAGGCTCCTCTGACTTTATTATCGCATCTATGTCTCACTTCCAAGCAATATGGTGCAATAGTACAGTGATCCTCCACCTCGGTGCTAGTTTGACACATCTAGCAACTATAAGACGATGAATACCTACGTCAGTATCATCTCGGACTATTCATTCCGTCCATGACCCAAGACGGCTAAACATGCTGTCCAATCGAATCGTGCTCGGTTAGAGAGGACTCGAAGAACATCGAAACTCGGTTAGGCGACAGCATTTTGCTTTTACGGAGACAGAATTTTGCAGTGGTTACTTGGAGGGATCGCTCGACATGTCTTCGCTGTTCTTGGTCGAATCAGTCAAAGCCTGTCGTCGAAGCGCGTTACCCTATTCGGCGCTTCGTTCGGTCGCCATGTTCGCACCTCCACGCCAGAGGCCGTAGAACCCTTCGCAATTCTTCCACATCTTGATAGTTCCGTCTTCCGATCCGGTAGCGTACAACTTGCCGTCCGGTGAGAATGCCACTGACCAAACAGGTCCATGGTGGCCCTTGTGGATGTCTGCTCAAAGCCGTCAGTGGTGGAAAGAATTAGTAGGTATACGAGTAGCACGAACCTATCTCTTCATCGTCATCCCATCTGTAAACCCTTGCCCAAGTCGCTGGGATGTCTTCGCCGACCACGATCTTCCTGCCCTTGGGGTCCAAGGCGACGCTTGCTACCTTGTAGCTCATCTTGGTGCGCTTCAGTTCGTTCATGGCACGAACACCGCCCCAGAAGTAGATAGACTTGCCAGCAGCTACGGCCAGAACCGGCAATCCCTCGCCGATGTCTGTCTTGGACGTATGCTCTGGAGCCAGGGCGCAAAACTCGCATGATCCGATCTCGCCGTCCAGCACCTCCTGCTTCACAACGCTTCGGCTAGGCAAGTCGAACCAGCGCAGAGTGTTGTCGGACGCGGTAATCAGGATGTTAGGATCCCTTGTCCAGACGATGAACTTGATAGAGGCGGTATGAATTCCAGCCCCTATCTCGAAGGCCGAGGAAGCCAAGATGGTGGACGGTACGACGGCGGCCTCGGCGTTGTTGCCATTTGTTGCGGCCTCGGAGTTGGAAGGAGGTTTCATCTCGGTGAGATCAAAGATGCGTAGCTTCTTCTCCATACCGCCGGTGGCGACGAGATCGGAATTGTCCGGCGGGTAGGCGACGGCGCGAACAATATGATCGTGCTGCAGAGTGAACAGGAGCTCACCGGTGTGGGTGTCCCATATTTTTCTGTCGGTTTAGATTAGCCAATGCCTACACGTTTCCAAGGTTAATGGGGGAAGCACTCACGCGGTGAAATCTGCAGAGGCCGTAGCAGCGGTAGCCGCATCGGGGCTAAGTCTAGCTTGCCAAACAGCACCTTTATGTCCGATAAAGGTGCCGATCCAGTCTCCAGTCTGGCCGTCGCGAAGCATCGGGTTGCCGTCTAGACGAGTCAGCTATTAATATATACTCTAAATGGATACTGAAGAGATGGGCAGAGGTACGCACCTTTGCATGCTGAGATCAGGTAATACACGTCATCCTTCTCGAGCGGCGAGAAACTGATGTGAGGAACAGGACGGGAATGGCCGTGGCAGGTGAGAGGCACATATTGTCGGGAAGCTTCGGGGGTGGCCATCGCGAGAGTCGGGCAATGATATTATGTTTGAAAACGAAACTTCGCAAAACGTCGCGTGGAGTTGAAACCAAGAGACTCAAACCTGAACTTTGGGACGAGGGACGGTTGAATTGCCCGTATGCACCGTTGTAGATGTATTGTGCACTGGTTTGCGTGCACTTCGATCGATCAATGAAAACAGAAGTCGAGGGCGTAAAATAGTAGGTGTGTACCACGTAGGTGGACGAGAACAATTGTCGGCGATGAATTAGATGCGCCGCAAGATCAACCGAGCAGCCGAAAAAAACGAATGCGACAAACAAGTGAGAGTAACGTTGGAAAGACTAGTGAAGAGAAGAAAGACGGATGTTCGTGACTATTCGTAATGGGTCGTGATGTTCAAATCGCAAAGGGGTGGCCGGAATAGAATCGCATTCGTTCATTAAAGGATTCGGAGAATGGAGAATGGTATTTGGATCGGCGCGAATCGTATTTGGATACCTTTTGTATTTTAAGTATGTCCAGATTGAACTGAAGTGGATGGATAGAGTTGTCCAAAGAACAGAGTGATCGAAGTGTAAGGTCCCAATATTGAGAAAGAGAGACGAGGGGGAGAGGGAGGGGGTGGTTGAAGTTATGAGAGGCTTAGAGAGAAAGGAAAAAGGTGTCGAATGTGATGTTGAAGGGGTTTGGAATGGAGAACGGATTGGATTGAAGATTCAATTAACGAGCCTCAACGACGCGACGGCTAGTTAAGTGGGCCCAAACCTAGATCCATTGTAAGGTGCAAGGTGTGAGGTGGGGGTATATGTACTTAGATACCTTAGCAGCTTAGGTAACTCTCAACGGTCACTGGTGCTGTTATGTACATCTTACCTACCATAACTATGTATGTACAGAGAACATTGTACGTACCTAGGTACTGATTGATGTCATCCATGAATGCTCAGCTAGCCCTGAAGATTTCGAAATTAGAAGTCTCAGCCCGAAATCCCCCACCTACCCACTTGCGTTAGTTTTGCACATCTCATGGTTATTAACGTATAGCGGGCAGGTACCTCTGATAGCTAATGTTTGACAGCCACTTGACATACATCAACGATCCGTACCTAACTACATATTTTCGTCTTTCTTATTTCATGGTTGCCAACTAGGTTTCTACCAACCCATTGGATGTAGATCATAAAACATCTACTTCTAAATCGATTCCTGAAACTAGGAAACTCGTAATCGGAATTCGTGAGACTAGTCTCTCAACCTGAGGAGTAACCATCGCGAAACTACAGAGAAAGTGCCGGTGGCTGCAGTAGTTGTCCGATCATAAAATGGTGGACTTCAAGCTATCCGCGCAGCTTGTCGGACACAGTGCTGATGTACGAGTTCGCCGCTTTCTCGTCATCTTTGGCCTGCTAGCTAACCTTTTCCCCTACAGGTTCGGCACGTTTGCTTCCCCGCTCCAGATCTCATACTCTCCGCGGCCAGAGACTGTACCGTTCGCGCCTGGAAGCGAACTTCCACCTCCCCGCCAACTTATGAGTCGACTGTCGCCACCGAAGGAACCGAGTTCTATAACAGTTTAACCTATTTAACCCCCTCTACAGACTATCCCGACGGCCTAGTCGTATCCGCCGGCTCCGATACCATCATCGACGTCAGGAGGCCTACCTCGGGTTCCAAGGATAATGCGGAGCGTCTGCTGATCGGTCATGCCCGGAATATTTGCGCCTTAGCCGTTATCCCTGGCGGTCATTATCTAGTGTCGGGTAGTTGGGACAAGACGGCGAGGATATGGGACCTTCGCAAGTGGGATTTGGAGGCCATCTTAAGCGGGCATGAGGAAGCGGTATGGGATGTCTTGCCTTTGGATGAGAACACGATCGTGACCGCCTCTGCCGACAAAAACATCCGCATATATGACCTACGTACTGCTGTAGCTGGCGAAATTCAACCCAAGAGCACCATCTACGCATCCGACGTCGTTCGCGCCCTGTGCCAAGTGCCGCCCGGTCACCCTAGCAGCGCCGACTTTGCCAGCGCTAGCAACGACGGAGTTATCCGGTTGTGGAAGCTGAGCGGCCAGCAAGTTGGGGAGCTGCGTGGCCATGAGAGCTTCATATATTCCCTCGCTAGTCTGCCTTCTGGCGAATTAGTCAGCTCGGGAGAAGATCGGACGGTTCGCATATGGCGAGGCTCCGAATGCCTCCAGACCATTACTCATCCCGCCATTTCGGTCTGGTCCGTCTCGGTGTGCCCGGAAAGTGGAGACATCGTGACGGGCACCAGCGACGGCGTTGCCCGCGTCTTTACGCGCAGCCCCGAACGCCTGGCCAGTCCTGATACACTAGCGCATTTCGACGAGTCTGTGAAATCATCCTCGATACCGCAACAGCAAGTTGGTAGCGTCAACAAGGAAAAGCTACCGGGGCCCGACTTCCTGAAGAATAAGTCGGGCACTAAAGAGGGCCAGGTGCAGATGATCAGGGAAGAGAACGGCTCTGTGACGGCGCACCAATGGTCGATGGGCCAACAGCAGTGGATTAACGTCGGCACCGTTGTCGATGCGGTTGGCAGCAGCGGGCGCAAGGTCGACTATAATGGTCAGTCCTACGATTATGTCTTCGATGTCGCTATCGAAGAGGGCCAGCCCTCCCTAAAGCTACCATACAACTTATCCGAAAATCCTTATACCAGAGCACAAAAGTTCATCGACGATAACGAGCTCTCGCAAAACTTCTTGGATCAGGTCGCCCAGTTCATCATTACCAACACGCAAGGTGCCACGATTGGCCAGGATTCCGGAGGAGGGCCCGATCCGTACGGCACCGAGTCGCAAGATCGACCAGGTAATAACTCTAGCTCGTCTAGCAATAAGGTTCTACCGCAGCGCGATTACCTGGTTATCACGGCTGCCAAATATGAGCGTAAGTATCACTACGAACTCCATGGCAACCTATGGCTACAATGGTTCTAATTCATTGCGTAGCTATATTCAAGAAGATACTTAGCATCAACTCCGGCCTCGAGGCTGCGGGGCGCAAGGACCACTCGCTTAACCCTCCGGCACAAGAGGTGTTAGCTACGGTAAAACAGAGATTAGAAGCAGATCAACCGGTGGTGGACGAGGCCTCTATCAACCTCGTCGTCATGATGTGTGCGCGATGGGACTACCCTGACAGGCTCGCGCCTCTCGATCTATTACGGTGCATCGCGACTTCTACCGGTGCTGCCAAATTCAAGTCGCCCGACTTCGGCAGTTTGGTGCAGATAGCCATCTCGGCCGCGCTTGAAGGCGTCCTATCCGGTGCACAGCCCAACGAGCACCACGCTATGATGGCGTCCCGCACGATTGCCAACCTCTTCAAATCTGCCGAGGGCCGGAAACTTCTCGGACAGCCTTCGGAAGGGCTTGCGGCCGTCTCTTTCATCGATCGCGTGCTGGGCATCGGTGGTCAGCCCGCGATCGGCCCCTTCAACCGTAATTTGCAAGTTGCCTTGACAACAGTCGCGCTGAACTTCGCCGTTCTAGCGTCTAGGGAACCGGGGAAGGTACCAACGAACGTGCAGGTTCGCTTGTTGACGGCGCTCGCCTGGATTCTCCAGAAACAGACCGAAGGGGAGGTGGTGTTCCGAGCGCTGGTAGCCGCCGGCACTCTTATCACCGTGATCGGCAAGTACGCACCTGAGGCAAGAAGCATGTCGTCGTCTATAGCTTCAAGCAAAGATCGTGCCTCCGAGCCGCGGGTGAAGCAGATGGCCGACGAATGTCTAGCGCTATTGAGATGATTGTTCCCGGAATTATTGCCCGCGAAGCCCATCCTTAGCCTATCGGGTAAAGCGCTGCTGCTTACGATACACGTTGATACATTTTAGTCCTAACATTCTTCATGCCGCGAGGAGTCGGGGCTAAGCATTCCTATGGCGACAACCGACGCAGACCTAGTAGTAAAATCTACTATTATAGAGCTGTGACGCTGAAAAGTAATTGAGATCCCTTCCTATAACATTAGACAAGACCACCTATCCGTGACTTGATACTGTGACGAAATGCGTTACTTCAGCTTTGCCGATAACAGGTACTTAACCTAGTTATGAGTACCCGGGTAGCCTTCCTTTCTTTAGCGAAGATGCCAGATCAAAGGCGACTCTCATATGAGAGTAGGATATAGCTCAGATCCAAGTACGTTACTCCAACGCAGCCTGGTTGAGCAGCGTATCCCCTTTCTACATGCCTCCGTCAACGTTAGGCGTTGTCTCCGTACGCTCTAGAGATATTGCAAAGCCGGTCACAGAATCATCCGAGCCTAGCTTCACGTTCAAAATATTCTAGTTTCATAGGGGTTTGTCCCAGTGGCGGCGCTTACTCTGACACGTCACGCCATTGACGTGTGCAAGGTCATGTTGGTATCCGCCGTGCTTATACGTATGCTACACAGCTCTCCGGAAGATCAAGTCTGACACGCTTTTAGCAGCGTATCTGCTCAGGTCATTTCCGTAATGGTCACGGTATGAGGCACTTTAAGAATCGTGTAAATTTTTTCATTCATGATGTCCGAGGAAAGGTATCTGTTGATCCTCAAGACAATGTGGAGATGACGGAATCTCCGTCCGAGAGCGAATCATGGTATAGCTAGATATCAAATCCGCACGTCCCGTTCACCCTTCAATTATAAAGTCTGGCCGGCATGGGGAGACCAACCCCGGCCATCCAAGCAATAGCATCCGTCCCTTCGCCCCGTGCGCCGATTTAAGATGCCAAATGGTATATAGATACAAAAAGTTAAAAATGAAGAAAAATCGCTCGCTCTGCTTCTCAATCCGTCTCTAGGTATCTAGGTATCTAGTCCTTCACCTATCCGCTGAGCTTCATAATAAGAACCAGAGAGAACATATAGCTACGGGCAGGTAACCTAGCCAGCTCCAAGCGGAAGAGCCCTGGTACCAGAACCTAGCCGCGCCGCTGGTGGTCATATTGGCAGCAGCACCTATCTCTTGCGTCGTGACCGTGTAGATATCGGCAAAGCCGAGGTCAGTGCTGTTGTAGCAATTAGACCCGTTTACCTGGGCGATCTTTGGGTCGCCTGGTGCGGCAAACGTGATATCGGCACACTAGGAGAGACAGATCAGTCATCAAGTTTCTATTTGCCGCTCGAAAGGGACAAAACCTACCGAAAATAGAGCAGCTCCGTGTTGCGCTATCTCGACGACCTGTATCGTCGCGTTGTCGCCGGGGTTGAAAGACATGTTCGCGGGCAGCGGTACCTGTGGCAAGCAGACGGTGCCGGGATACGGACCTTTCGAAGGGCCGAGAAGTTGAAAGGGTGCGATCATGGGGAATGACATGTTTTCCGGTCCTCCGTCCGGCCCACCGGTGCCGAAGCCTAAGTTGATATACAAGAATGCCGTCTGGTGCCCCTGGAACCAACCCGGCTGGAACGCGACAGCGCCGCCGGTGGTGGGCCAGTACGATCTGTTCGTCGTCAACTGTATGCCGCCGCCTACGATCGCCGTGTCAGTTTTTATGGTCATCATGATCATCATGATGCTCGTCCCGATTAAGAACGGCACGAATAAGAGATGCTATATAGATCGAAGGGGTTCACTCACATGGGTAGGTCCACTGCATGCCGTATGGCCACGAAGAGTTCGTGATGAGATTGTCTCCTCGCCATCCTGGGTAGGTGATGACTGTATGGGCCGCTGCCAAGGTCGAGGCAACCACGGCTAATAATACCGAGGAAAGCATTGTGTTGGATTTTGTACACCTTCGACGAAGACGACGATCCGAGATATTACGCGCACAGTTCTTCTCGTCGCACAGCGACCGACAATCAAAAATACGACCCCGAAATTTTCTAATAGTACCGGCCTCTTGCCCACACAGGTGAAATCCAAACTCGCCACGGAAGTTGGCAAGTGTATTAGTCGAAGTGATGAGCGCCGCTCTTTTCTACGCGGCTGTCGGGATCCACCTTCGTAGGGAAAAACACAACGTTCGTCTCTAACTTGAGTATATTCCTAGCCACGTTGGTGGCGGCGGCGGCAACAGCTCGATATCGGCCTTGTGATATGTATCTGTCCCGTTTGGAGGAATATGAATCTGGCGTCGGTGATGGAGAAGAATTAAAAAAAAGATCGGGAAGAAGTTGTAGGGCAGAGGGAGCCCGTTATTACTGACGGGTGGAAGCAATAACTGCAAGGCTTTTCCGGTTCTTGTTCAAGCACCTGCATTGCATGGCCAATACCATCGATGGCTCACCACGGCTCCCCGCTCCAGAAGCCCAGGGTCAGGAGAGACGGGCGGCATTTTGGGTCGGGCGGTCCAGTGAGAAGGGCTGGAGGATGTGCACGACGTGCAGCACAAGAGCCCGCCCCCTGTCAACCGACCGAGTAGAGCCAATGAGAGGCTTCTAAAGAGATAGAGCGAGTCGCTCGTTCAATGTAGGAACGAAAGTGATTTGTTTAAAGCAACCAATTGAACCGATCGACGGCAAGGGGGGAGCCGGGATCACATTAGCAAGGGCTGCAGGCTCTAAGATGGCTTGTGGTTGGTGACAGAGAAATACACCGGCACTGCGTTAGACAGGGATACGGGAGGCTATCAAGAGCAAACAACCAATCATGATGATCAGTGTAAGCGCCGATGAACGGCCCACTCGGGAAGCCCCAACCTCTACGACCTACAATCTACATACACTACCTGTTCCCCTGTCTTGGTTAGTATATGCTGCTATACAGCGTACGTATGTCGGGGGCTATTTTTGGGCGACTGTGAGCGACCAACGTCGATGAATTGAGATATATGCAATCTTACCATCCCACCTCGGGGCCGTTTGTGCTCCCCCAAGTCGCACCAGGGCGGCGTCTAGGCAGGTAGGTGTCTGAGAGTACGGGTGTATTACGTTTGCTGTCTACATCTCAGCTGTGCTAGTCGATGTCACCTAAGGTATGATCGAGCGCCTTGAATAAGTCCCAGACGGAGAAATTGACCGACGGCGAGAGGGCGCAGCCTTGGCGTTCTTTGAATTTTCTCATAAGTAGGACATTCTCAATGGCCGAAATAAATTCTAAATTGATTTGGGGTTACCTGTCGGATATTTTTTGCATTTTCTATGATTGGAAAAACATCTGCCTGAGGACAGGATGTCATCTTCTACGGTGGAAGGCAGAAGCAAGGCTCTGACTTCATAGAATCAGAAAATAAACGACTGAAAATCCAAATAATCAACGTATAAGTGGTAGGTTGAATGTCTACACAGAATACTTAAGACAGCATGAGCAATTAGAGGGTAGCGAAAACAAGAGACTGAAGATGGTGGTGGTCACGTGCGCTACAGGTCAATGTACTTAGGTACTTGGGCTATAGTTCGCCCATAACATTGTTCTTACTAACCTAGCTGGCTTGAGGCACAGTGCGAGATCCTATATCGATCTCTTAGATCCAAAGTAGTATCAAAGTTCTCATATTCTCATATTCAACATTCAACAAACTCGTTCTACGCCATACCGACCACACGTAAGTAACATACTACAAAATACATGCCTGGGAATATAGGTAGCCATACGTTTCTCCTAACCAGCGCTTCGTAACAGCTGCCACTGTGGAGATCTGTTACGGCTTACAGCTTGACACTCTAGGAACCTGGGTATCATTACTGACCTTGATAAAACTGTCTATCTATTATCAAGTTCTTCCTTACTTTAATCATGGGCCCGGCGGCTGGAGAACAAGGAGCTGAGACTGGTGATGAGTGGACCAAAGTTCGTCGCAAAGGACGCCGCATGAGATCTCATCACCCCGCCGTCTGTCCGTCATCTAGTAGAAATGCCAAAGGTTCAGAGCCACGCCCGTCATTCTTGTCGGTTTCTGATATCGAGAGGGAACATCGACGTATTAGGGATCAGTGGAGGGCCTCAACTGGCTGTCACCAACTACGGGATGTTGTTGCATCCCGTAATTGCGGTTCTGCTATTACCGACGCCATCTGCTTCGGCTTAGGATCCTTTGATCCCGAGGATGGCTCCTGGGAGAACAAGCGGCGAGCACATGTACAACTAGCCGCTTTTGTATACATGGTCGAACAACTGCAACGCGACAACCGGGTACCGATCCGCTGTCTATTCCAGGAACCCATTTTCAACTCCGTGGACGAGGCATTCATTCGTAGTCTAGGCCACGAGGTTGTACATTCACCGGGAGGCTTCGAGCAAGTTGGCACGTCAACGCTAGTGTTCGGCATCCATCTGTACAGAGACGTCTATGCGCAAGCTCTCGCTGGGCATTTACCTGCCGTGTTTGTCGGGACTCCTCGGGAGGTTTGGGAAGAGTAAGTGCAATCATACCGTCTCCTCGTCCGCTGCTCTCGCGGGATTATATATTCTAGCTGACATCGAGTAGATGCCACGGCTCTGATGTTCTTGATTGGGTACAATTAAAGGATCTGGATGAACGAAGCGATAAAGTCAACTTTCCCGAAGATTCAGGTTATACAACATTTTCTAACACCACAATCCATTGGAGGCGACAAGATGATACCTAATACGCGAGTCCTAAGGATGTCGTTGATATATCTCCGCGCCCTATCACCTACTCCACAGGCCTATGAGTTCCAGCTGGGTACTAGCCGCAAATCGAGAATACAGCATCCAAGGCATCTGCACTACGCCAAAATAACATTGTCGACAGCCATAGGTACAATTATTATCGTACGGATGATCAATAATGTGACTGGCCACGGTCAAACCCAATTATACCTGAGTTGCTAAGCCTTGCAGCGTCTGGAGGTCGAAGTCATGGCGTCTCCTCCAATAGGTTCGGTTTTGCAAGTCCCTTAGGTTCCCTTAGGTTGGAAATACCCGAAAGAAGTCGTGCGGCTGGCTTCGATAGCCTCAACAGATACTGAGCCAAGAGGAATACCTATATATGATATAGGTAGGTAGGTAATTGAATGGGTCTAAGGGAATCATTATCGCCAACTGCTCAGTGGACATGTAATTAGGCGCCTACCTATGTACGTATGCGACATTTCACCTTCCTAATTGTGGTGTAGCTAAAGCAAGTGTCATTCTCTCACGCAGGTGCGCTATGCTAGGTAGGATAGGCTTAATAGACCATTTCATCTTGAATAGTCGGCCACTACTCTTTTTATCTTCGGCTCGCAGCAGTATGTTTGTGGGCAAACTCTAGAATACGTGCACTGGAACGTCAACTCTAGGCGACGTTCGCCCTTCCTCGATTGACTGCGAGCAAGGAGCCGCCATTACATACCGATCAACGGTGGGGATTTTCACTGATCGTTATTTCTTGTAGATCCGTTGCATAAATCCCCACCTAATTTCTCTCCTGATCGTCTGGCCGTCCCGCTGTTCTGTGCAGCAACCGAAGGTCATCCTTATGTCAGCCTATTGTAGATTCGGTATATGTAGCTGCGAGCGCAACGTCTTCTGTTTGCTAGACTAGTGCGAGCCAAGCGGAGGCCACATTGCTAAGTTGCGCTCCGATCTGGGCCAAACCAGACAGACGGATTATTTGCGTATGTTTATTATTTTGAGCCCTTTCTCGCCTGTTTCATGTTCTCCACAATCATCGCCCGGTGCTCCTTTGCAAGCTCGATCGGGTCGTTCATCTCGAAAGAATAATCGAACGGCATGTCGTCCGTGAGCGAACCCGACTCCTGGTCGCCCGCACCGTGGGAACTCTTGCCGCCTACGTGTTGTATAAGGACCGGGGTGACGGCCCACCGCAAACCGTCGTGGTTGTTGGCCCAGTCTTCGAGAAACGTGTCGACGGCGGCATGGTTATCCTGGGTATCGCGGTATAGTGGAAGTAAGTGATCGAGGACCTGACGTTGCGGAAACACGAGTCCCTGAGCGCAGCAGCCATACTGGTGCATCAGATGGACACCGGGCGCTTTTGGCATCATGCAGTTGCGCCCGGCCGCGAAAAACAGACCGATCAGCATGGGAGTGCACACTCCGCAGAGGACGAAGATGGCCGAAAATGTAAGGGCTTTCCGTGCCACGGCGACGCGCCAACGAAGAGCCATCAATATAGAAATTTCGATAATTAAGACTGCTATACTCGATTCGACATATAGTGGCCATTCTTCGCTGTTCCAGCCAAGGAGTCGTCCGTCGTAAAAGACACGTAGGTAGAGGACTACGCGGAAGAAAGCGAGGTTAGCAAAACTGACTAGGCGAAGGCGGGAATGGGTTTTAGGAACAGGGATGGGGAAGGGTAGCTCTTGAATGATGTGGGTGGCATACAACTATCTCGTCCCAGCTCTCGGGTCTTCCTCGAGGCAATCTCTAAAGCGCTAAGAGCACGGTGATACCACCCGTCCAAAGCGATCACGTCATCTTCCAAGGTCATGGTATAGCTAGCATTGACCTTGGCGCACTCGTTCAGCAGGACGGAATAGTCGATCTTTTGTTTTCGAGCGTGAGCCTCGTAGTTTCCGTCGATCTCAAGTTGGCGCACGAGATCGGTGGTGTTAGGGTCGTCGGGGTAGGTCGGGAGGCTGTCGGCCATATTGAGGAGCCACGGTTGGTGAAAGTCTTCGTGCTCGGACTGGTTAGTATGGGCAAGGAAAACGACGACGTAGATGCGCTGGCGCTCGAGGTCATCTAAACCTTCGAGTATGGACCCGAGAGTCTCTTTAAGGTAAGAGAAACCATGCCGGCTTACGGACGCGACGCCAACGCACAGCTCAGGATCCGTCGAGTTAGCCCACTTCGTCACTGCGTGCAAAGCCGCCAGATTACCAAATTTCCGGGCTTGCGCCTTGCGGAAAGCGGAATACGTCAAAACGCGGGCGGACTCAGGTCTGAAAAAGACGGAAGATGGGTCGCGATAACATCTAGATCTCAAGTAGACGGCGGCTATAGCGTAACAGAGGAGGAAGCCTAGGAAGAACGACACGATGCCGCGATTCCGAACGGTGGCGAGCATCTGGAAGTTCCCAGGTCACCCTCGGAAATCGGCAACACCCTCTTGGCGCGTCGGTGGTAGAAATAATAAATGAGAGTGTGGTGAGCGAGGGATGGAGGTATAGAGGTATATTAGTAGTTGGCACTTGAGGAGCCAACCGTGCCTAACTGGTCATCCTCCATGGATCGCAGGTATGTATATTGGTGGTCGTGGTGAGGAATCTCGGTAGAGCATGGCCTGTCGTAAGCTCTCATATACGCGACATCCACAAGACGGACAAGTCGGCTGAGGCGGGATCGGATTTGGATTAGGTCCTACACAGATAAGCAGTGTGAATGTTACCGTTGGTCCACTTAGAAGTTTTAAGAGGTCTTGGAAAAGCCTTGGATTTCAGTCTAGTCTATAATCGGTCTATCTTCCCAACTGGTAAACCAATAGCAAGTGGTTTTGAACTTTGTTGGTAGTTCGATACATATATGTGCTGCGTACGTACGGCACGTAATGTCAATCTCAGGGTCTTCAAACATGTAACCCGCGCTGCCCGGGGAACTTGTAAATATTAGGAAATATTGGGTTAACCGTCAAGCCTCTAGATTTAAGGCCCTACCACGGCTGTGTGGCTGTGCGGATTTATCCCAGCCCTGAGGTTCCAGTCTCGCGGTATCTAGGTACCCACTAGCTAATGGGTCTACGGCACAGAGAAGTGGAACCCAGAAGACATCGAGCTCTGATAGAACTTCAACCTAAGTTTCTATTTCTTCCACCTTCCCGTACCTAGCACCGTTGAATCAGTTATTCTATTCTTCAATCCCCGATATATAAGAATATGATATGACCCAGAAATCATCAAATCCTCATTCTAAAAAAGGCCATTGGTGGATATGAATGTTTCGAGCTAGGTCCCCCATGGTATGCAAGAAGCTCTACCATAACTACCTACTAAGCTGCTCTATCTCGGCCAGAACAACAAACGAATATATGGGCAATCTGCAAAGTTATAATCTCTGTCAGAGGGGTATAGACGTGACTACCATGCACCGCTTCCTCCATCATTTGATCGTCACTGATGCCTACCTACATGTGGTTTTATTGCAGATTTTAAACACGAGAAGTTCAAGGCCCCGCTATTGCTTCGAGGACATTTTCTGCTCTCGTAGGTAACTATAAGGCAAAATGACCCTGTACTCGGCTCTGTCGTTTGTTGCTTTCGTAGACTCGCCGACGAATAAAGGATATGTATTGCGAACGGGAACCGGAATAAAGCTTTCGTCTTGGCCTTTGACCCTTGTGTGTATAACCCATCGGATTCAGCCAAGTACAAAGAGGCCTGTTCCAACAACTTGTATTCTTCATCTTCACAAAAATCTTTGTCCGCTAACGCGGATATCAGTGGTGTTCTATGTAATTGTGATTGTCATTGAGCATTTATAATTCTCGATTCTCAAACAGAGGCATCACCGCTAGTGGCGTTGCTGATAACGTAAACTAAACTTACCAAACAAACCGTAGCTTTATTTTCTAATCTGATCATTTCCCGAGCAAAAGGAAAAGGAGATACCCGAGCATGCGTCATTCTATTGCAACGGTCCTATGCGGGACTCGCGGAGGAGGCTTGGGCGAATGCCGCGTCCGTCATATAGGCCCCAATCAGGCAAACGACATACCCGAACCATCGTCCGAGCCGCCGGACATCAGGGGTCTCAATCAACTCCAGGCCAACCGCGAGACATGGCTGAACGGTGACGCCATTGAGAAGTCCATCAGCTCATACCACGAGGCTCTCCCGAGGCAGACGCGGAAGATCATTCACATCGCAGACACGAGCATCCGGGGCATCTTCCACCGAAACGATAGGGATTTCAGAAGACTTTTGGAGGGGCGTAATAATAGGTTCTACAGAGGTTTCATGGCAACCGAATACACCCTGTGGCCGTGTAATTATGAGGATGTCCATTGGGAGTTAGTGGTGATACACAAAGGTCGATCCGATGCGAACAGCGAAAAGTGGGATCAGATTCTTCAAGTAGCCGTCATCGATCACTGGAAAGACGACGGTGCCAGAGCAAGAAATCAAATGATCACGACGAGGTTACGGCAGCTTTTTGACGCTATGGGATTCTTGATCGCAGATGGCTGCGAACGTGCCGTGTGGACGCCCTGGCAAAAGGATTCTTGGAGCTGTGGGCCCCGCGTATTCTGGTCGGCGAAACATATGATGGACCGCATCCAGGAGAGTGTGGCGGCAAGTAGAGGATACGATGAACAGCTCTGGGCTCCCCTGCCCGGGTGGTTTAACGCGGACCAGGTGCGGTGGGAGATGATTGGCCTTAACGCGTATGAAGCTGTTAAAGCCATGGACTATAGAGCAAGAATCGGCATCGAACTGGTTGCCCGTGTGCTAGACAAGACGGGGAACTTGCGGGATGCTGGAGATGTGATGCGACCACCTGACCGTGGTGCCGGCGGCCCCGGCGGCCCGAGTGGTTCGAGCGGGAAGCAATCGAAGAAGCCACCCAACTTGCCAAAAAAGTCAGGCCAGGAAAGTGACGATGACGATCTCATCATGCTTTCACCCAAAACGCCCAAAAAATCAAGACAGGAAAATGACGATGACGATGTCATCGAAATTTCACCCGAAGTACCAGCTAGACGAGAGGTTCCTATACCCATTCCTAATGAGCGGAGAGTGGCGCCGTCGTTCCCGGTCCAGCAAGGTGACCCGAGTACCGAGCGAAGAGAGACGCCGAACGATACTAATGTCTGGCCAAGGAACACCGAAGGCCAGCCGCCGCAATTGAGTGCTCCAAAGCGGCGACGACGGACATCTGCTCCTGAAGAAAGCACGAAATTCTTAAAAAGCAACGATGGGTCCAAAGGAGCGGGTCCGGGTCCCAAAAAGTCTTGATAAATCAGGCACTTTATAAATGACGGCAGGCGATTCGTTTCTAAGTAGTTATGTTATGGTAACCAACGTATATTATACTGTTAATTGACAGGTTGAGTTATGCACGTACCTTCTCCGATATGCGTGATGTGATCTTGACTTTGCTGTTAGTATTATGGCGTCCAGGATTTAAATGGTTAGCTAGAAAGTGGGGTGAGAATTTAGCTTTACTCTAGTATCTTCCTATGCAATAAGGACTTCCAGACTCAACTCTATTACATTAAACCGTAGTATTACTTACAAGCTACCTACCTGCATATTCTTTAATTTCGAATATCGGCGCGTAACAGAATTCTAACAATTCATTCCAGTTTGACCTCGAACCCTCTTTTTAAATTCCCTATTTTGCACAGTCCCTTGGCCGCCTTTTCTTCCCGGCAACATCGTATTCCTCTGCCACCACTAGAATATAAATACTTCTCCTCGACACGGTCGCAAACCACCCGGACAAGGGCGTAGGATGACAAAGCAAAGACGGCAATTCTTCGCCCTTCGTCCTAATCAATAATAACGTTCGACAGCGCTTATGATGGACGATTTCGACCGAGACTCGAATGCGAGCTCGGACAATGAACATGAGGACGAGCTTATGAAATATGACGCTGATGGCGATGGCGATGTCGACGTCGATGGCGAGGATGAGAATGAGAACGCTGATCATGACGATGACGAGAACGATAACGATAACGACGACGACGAAGACGATGATCCCGACCAACATGAACACGATGATGAAGAGGATACTCAAGACCTCCGACAGCCAAATGGCCTGACGAACCCGTCCGTCACTCGAACGTCAGCCACCCCAGGCCCTCTCGCAACCCCGAGGTGGACGCCGAGAGTTCGCCCGGAAATGCTTACGGCGGCAACCTACGATATCGTCCCAACCATGGCAGCCCCTATGGCTACCAGCATTAACGCGATAGCTATTACTCCGGATCTCCGGTACTGGATGACCGGCGGAAGCGACGGATACATCAGGAAGTACGATGGACCGGCTACGATCAACGGCAAGACCCTCCTGACCGTCGCCCAGAGGCATCCTTTCGTCGACTCGGTCACTAAAGCTGGAGTTTTAATGTCGTATTGGGAAAACGCGGAGCCCCCATCTGCCTCCGTGAGACAAGAAGACCAAGTGCTTAGCCCTGTCTACAGTCTCGCGGTCCATTCTCAGGCCTTGTGGCTCCTATCTGGTCTCGAGAGCGGCGGAATCAACCTCCAAAGTGTGCGCCACGACGAGGGAAAGCGAATTACTTGCCTTAAGAAGCATACAAACGCGGTTAGCGTGCTGACACTCTCCCCCGACGAGAAGAGTGTGCTTAGTGGCAGTTGGGACAAGAATATCTTTGACTGGGATTTGAATACGGGACAGGTGAAGCGCCAGTTCGACGGAAGCGGAGGGCAGATTTCCGCTATCGAGATCCGACCGATGGGAGGGGCGCCAATCCCCCCCGAAGCTAGCGAAGAGGAGATCCCAAGCGATACGCTATTCGCAAACAACTCTCACCCCGGCGCGGATGGCGACTTGAAGTTGGAGTTGGATGGAGGGTTCGGCGCCGATCTAAATAGCGGTATGAACGGTAGCGGGATTAATGGAGCCGCCGGCCAGATGTCCAACGGGAGGGATGGCGTAACTGATGCCCAGGGAAGTCCCGCGCATGATAGCCTTTTCGGTGGTAGTCCTACGGGCGGCTCTGATCTTTTTGGCGATAACGATGGGATGGGTGCCTTCGGAGGCGATGATGACAACGAATTCTCCCGAGCGATGATGCAAGACTCGGCCCAGGACGCCGATGTTGCGATGGGCGACTACGACATGTCCGCCCCGACTTTTGAACCCGACTCAGGTCAAGCGCCAACCGCCCAGCCTCTTCCGGATACGAATCAGCCAGACACTACTCTGTTTGGCGACAACGCGCTCAACTCTTTCGGGACCGACGCCAACCATGACCCCTCGTCTTTACCCGCTCTTCCTGACTTCTCGCTTCCGTCAGCAGGCGACCATCCGTTCCCATCACACTCGGCGGGTGTGCCGCAGCCGACAGACCCCGGGCTCGAAGGGATGGGACCCCAGTCGCCCTCGATTGCCTTCGCCGCACCGGCGCCGGCACATTACGATATGACTCAGACATCAGACAGTACCTTTCTTTCGGCATCCATGGACGGGACCTTACGAGTATGGGATCGACGGGTGCCGAATCCGGTAGCACGTATTGGCAACAGGCCTGGCATTCCTCCTTGGTGCATGGGCGCATGCTGGAGTCCGGATGGCAATTGGATCTACGCCGGCCGGAGGAATGGCACGGTGGAAGAATTCAGTGTGCAGAAAGCAAGGGGAGGGCGTGTGGGCTGGCAGCCAGAGCGGGTTTTCAAATTCCCTGGCGGAAGCGGCCCGGTTAGCTGCGTTCGATCCATGGTCAACGGACGACACCTAGTCTGTGCGTCCCACGACATCCTTCGACTCTACGATCTTCGTTCGGGACATGCTTCGAAGCACTCGCCGCCCCCTTTTCTAATTATTCCAGGTCCACCGCGTGCCGGCGTCATATCTAGCCTTTATATTGACCCTTCCAGCCGCTTCATGCTCTCGGCGGCGGGAAATCGCGGTTGGGAAGGGACAACGACTGAAGTGCTTATTGGATACGAAATAAATGTGCCCGCGTAACCGCCACTGTATTAACGGCGATTCAGCGCTTTTAGTATTGCGCACCTTACCTTCCAAAATTTCGACATTCGTGGATGATTGGTAGTGGATTTGAACCTAGGGGTTGACGGGACACGTTCAATAGGAGGAGTGTTCCGATATCAACCGGATCACAGGCTCTTTTCATTTTGTTCAAGGCTCGTTGGGAAAGGAAAAAGATACCCATAGATGATTTGGAAACGGCGTAACGGTGCTAATTAATCCAAGTTGGTTTATCGCACGTGTATCACGAAGCCGCTCTAGCAGACCGATCAGACACATACTTTTTAACATGAAAGTGTCTGGATTACATATATACAAATGACGATATTTCTTCCTCCAATAACGTGATCGCCAGCCTCGACGCCATATATCATTACACAGATTGCGAGCATTGCTGATACGTGATTTGAGGTTCTAAGACCCGTGGTGACACTATCTTCCCCGAACGCAGAATACGTACTCTAGTCGCTACGGAGGTAGAGATACGATAGAACCGGCCACGCAACATTTTCCGCCTATAGCCCCTACAAATTTAATGTCAGTCATTCATCCTACGCCACTCCCAAATCCACGTCGGATAGATTTCATCGTACCTGGGGGTGGCCTGGCATTCAGCCGGCCTGGTATATAGCTAGCGCATTGACGTGTGGATTCATCAATGAAATGTTAAACGGCGTCACGTAGAGATCTAGGTCCGTAATGGCTAAGAAGACGGTGCCGTTGACGGCGGGATCGCCTTCGAACGTGGTAGTGTTTGGCTGAAATGTGTACGCCGTGTTATCTCCAGTGCAATGTAGCGGGGTATAAGTTACGTTGAGCTGGGAGACCCAGGCGGCGAACTTGGCACTCCCGGCATTCGTGCTGGTGGTATAACTGTTATTAGGACCGGTACGATATCCTGTCGAAAATGTCAAAAATTTTCCAGTGCGATCATCTAGGACGTGGGAAAAACTGACCTGGAGGATCCCAACTGAGGAAGACTTGGCGGCCTGGATACGACAATGGAACGCTTCTATTGTGAGTGACAGCCGGGCTGCAATTCTCACCGAGCGTGGCGTTCAGGCAGCTCTCCGATGTGGCTATATCCTCAGTACTAAGTGAGTTTGCATACGCGCTCGTCGTTTCGTTCCAGACATCAGATCCGTTAATACGAGCCGGGTTAGGCTGATTGAATATGCGCAGTGGAGGGAAGTTCTGCCAGATCAGGCGAGTTTGGTTATACGGGCACGACGAGATGTAAGGGGCCAAGAGACTCCAGGCCCAGGATTGGGGGATTCCAACCTCGAACCAAACTGGCATCGGAAAGAGGCCCTCGAACTGGCGAAAGATCATCTGCTGCCGCGATTCCGTGGTGATAGATTGCAAGAGTATCTGCGCCGTTTCGCGGGAATCTAGGTGGTTGATGAATCCTAGGACCCCAGATTCTCCCCATCTCGTCAGTTTCTGGTTAAAATCGATGAATTCTCGGACGTCCGAAACTGGGTAGTTGTAAGAACACTGTACTGGCGCTTCTGGGCCAAGCATGTTCGTCAAAGCAGTAGCATGGCCAACCTCTTGGTCGGCCATGAACTCGATGAGATATCGATCCTCAGCGCCGAGTCCGGCAGCTTCGAAGTCGTCGACGGAAAATTGAGCCAACCCCCAATGAAAGAGATCCAGCTCAATATATTCTTGGTATAACGCCAAAGCGACGGACTCGTAGTCGAAGTCGCTTATTACTCGGTACACTATGCACAGCATCAGGGGTCATTATTTTCTCTTTTTAGCATATTTGGCGAATAGTTGCGAGCCCGGGCTCATTTCATAGAAGAGCCCCCCGAAATATGCTAAAGAGGGGAACAATGACTCTAGATGCTACTCACCTGGTTCGGATCCGTTGGTCCCAAGACCACCTTTGGGGGTATAAGGCGCAGGCTGTTCATTGTGGAGCTTTCCATCCGCTGGATATTCCAACTTGTACGCCTCTGGTGGGCTTGCCCCGATGGTCGCGGCAGCAACATTCGTAGAGAGAGCGCCTGTAGTGGAAGCCGACGGGCCCGTGTACCGACCGTGAGAAGTCACATCTGTAACGGGGACGTCCGAGACTGTAGTAGATGCGTCGGAGGAGTAAGTAGTAGTTGCATCGGACACGAAGGGGGCAGCAAGAGAAGGTCGTATGGCGAGTGCCAGAATGTGAACACACGCCAGGATTGTTGAATGCGCCATGATTGTTGCTTATTTACTAATATGAGAGACTAAAGGCCCACGAATTCAAATACCTACCTAGACACTCATGGGGAAGAGCAATCAGGAGTGTTTCTTGTGTGCGGTTAGGTCAACCCTCTGTCCTCCATTTCCCTATAAACAAATTATTTGTGCCGTGCGGTATATGATCTCGCTATCTTAGTTTAAGCCTGTTTCGTCACGAATCGTTGCTTTTGGTCAACAATGGGCGTAATTTTACATGCCACATTCATCATCACTGACGTTCTTCATATGTTAGATCAAGACGTGTACTACCCATACTATGTACGAATGGTGACGTCGTTGAAGCGGAGCATGCTCCGATATTCCTGTATATTACTCGATCACAATCTAATGCTTCCGGAGCTTGTGGCTTCAATTTTAGTTTCTACTCCGTACAAAGAATAGTCGCGCAATTCGTTACCTACACCTATCTATAAAAGAAATATCTGTATGGCGGTACAGCTTTCTCGGTATACCTGACAAGATATTGGAGGATCAACGCCGTTCCTTTGTTTCCGTTTACCTAACTCTCCAACACAAGCTCATGAGTGGTAAGTAGGTATATGTTTTACTGAAGCCGACTTTGGGGAATTCTAGTAAATCCGCATAAATTCAGTGAGATTGTGCGATAGAGCTGCATCTGGTCTATCATCCTCATCAGCGCCAGCATCAGCAGCAGTGCGAATGTGGGGCTGCGTTCACGGAAAAAAAGCCAACTACATTGAATTAATGCACGTTGAAATGAACAACGCGAAGCTTGGATCGCGCGCACGTATGTCTTACAGGTACAGCGAGCTAGGAACTGCCCTTGCTCCCAGTGTTCCTGTATCTATTGAATCGAGCTTCTCGCAAGCGAAAGAATAAAAAGATCGACAAAGAATCTTTTGGGTGTCCCTGCCACCGAAGCCAGGATGTCGACCCATTCGGGAAGGTCGGAGTAGGCTTGTATGCTGCAAAGTGTATGCTGGGAAGATGTGAGATACGGTACAAATGTTACGTTGATTCACAATTCTTGAATTTCTTTCTACCTCTCCCTTCCGATGCCTTTTGCTGAAAGGTTCGTCGGGCTGTGACCACCCTCCAGGAATTCTCGTCGCTCAAACTCTCAACCTTGGAAGATGGTGCTCCAACAGTTCCTCTACGGAACCCCGCATCCAATTCTCCTCATCATTGTCCCCATTATATTTCCCCTGGTAATATGCGCCGACGTGCTCCAATTCGTAGACCCCCTTATTGGCAGCACTAACGGAGGAAATGTTTTCGCGGGTAGTACGCGACCGTACGCTCTCGCAAAACCCGTCGCGGATGTAAACGGCCAGAATACGGGGGGTTTCGCGACTGACGGCTCAAATATTACCGGGTTCTCCCAAGTCCACGATAGTGGAACGGGCGGCAATCCTAGCCTGGGCAATTTCCCTCTGTTCCCGCAGGTCTGCGAGGGGGATGAGGTGAACAATTGCAAGTTTCTCATAGGCGAGAGGGCTACGCCCTATGTCGAGGAATCGGTGGTGGCCAGGCCGGGATATTTTGAGGTGGAATTGGTGTCCGGGATCAAAGCGACGATGACCTCGAGCGAGCACGCTGCTCTGTACAAGTTCGAATTTCCGGCTTCGGATGACCAACATCCGCTAGTATTGCTGGACCTGACAGACCTTTGGCAAAGCCGCCAGAATGCCACAGTTATCGTAGATTCCGAAAGCGGGAGACTGAAGGGCAACGGCACGTTCCTCCCAAGTTTTGGCGCGGGGTCGTACGTGATGCACTTCTGTGTCGACTTTTTCGGCGCGGAGGTTCTCGACAACGGTGTATGGGTCAATAATCGAGGAGGCGTCGAACCGAAGGAGCTCTTCGTTACTCGCGGCTTCAACCTCTTCTATCTGGAAGCGGGAGGATGGGTTCGATTTAGCAATTTAGTTAACAATACCCTGACGGCGAGAACAGGGATCAGCTTTATCAGTGCGGACCAGGCCTGTCAGCGGGCACAGGAAGAAATCTCCGAACCTCTCAGCGACTTCGACAGGCTCGTATCCGAGACCGAGGATGCATGGCGGGAGAAGCTGAGTCCGGTTTCCATCGATGCCGGCGGTGTCAACGAGGATTTCCAAACTAGCTTCTGGAGCGGATTATATAGGAGCATGATTTCACCGCAGAATTATACCGACGAAAACCCATACTGGAACAGCGGAATCCCTTACTTCGATTCATTCTACTGTCTCTGGGACGCGTTCCGCGTTCAACACCCGCTCCTCACTATTCTGGACCCGAATGCCCAAGTCCAGATGGTCAACGCCCTCCTCGATATCTACAAGCACGAGGGCTGGCTACCTGATTGTCACATGTAAGGCACCAAGACTCCTTTCGGTTAGGAAGTAGACATAACTAAATTTCTCAGGTCGTTGAGTAAAGGATGGACGCAGGGTGGCTCCAATGCCGATGTCGTACTCGTAGACGCCTATGTCAAGAATTTAACTGGCATCGACTGGGAACTTGCACTCGAAGCGATCATCCAAGACGCTGAAGTAGAACCGCTGGAGTGGTCTTACCATGGTAGAGGTGGCTTACAAAGCTGGAAAAATCTTTCTTATATTCCTTACCTTGATTTTGACCCAGTTGGATTTGGCACGAACTCTCGTAGCATTTCAAGAACCCTGGAGTATGCATACAATGATTATTGCCTCGCCACGCTGGCACAGGGGCTTGCGCGAGATGACCTATACGACAAATATGTTTCAAGAAGTGCCAATTGGCAGCGCTTATGGTATGTTTAAAAGATCATCACATGTCCAAATTGTAACATTTTCCTACCTAACTTTTCGAACGATCTTCACTCTTTGATGCATTGGCTAACATCACGGCAGTGAGTGGGGAAGCCTCCTTTCTTTCTCATAACTTTTGTCAACAAGTTTAAGCGGATAATATCTATCTAGCGCATTCTAAAAATCAAACCTGAAAACACCTAGACGCTGACAACATCTTCCGATGTACTAGGGAAATCAGAACAGAACTCCATCATCAATGGTAATGATACAGGATTTGTGGGATTCTTCCAGCCGAAATATCAAAATGGAACGTGGGGTTACCAAGATCCGATTGCTTGTTCGGCGCTCGCGAGTTTCTGCTCTCTTACTACCAATCCTAGCGAAACCTTCGAGGCCAGGTCAGTATCTTAGTTCTTTTATTCCTTTCCCCAGAGCATCCGAGGTTTGGTTCCCTAGAGTCCTTCTAGTCATATGAACCTGTTTCAGTCCCATCGCTTGCGTGACAAGGGAGTCGCTAACTATTGGGTGGTTTAAGTGTGTGGCAGTATCAATTGTAAGTGTTGGTCCGTTTCCAAGAATCTGTCACACGGCTAACCAAGTTCTAGCCTTGTCCCGCAATCTATGTCGACCCTGATCAGTTTGATGGGCGCCGAGGTGTCGTTTATTCAACGTCTCGACTTCTTCCATACGTCGGGACTTGCTGATATCTCCAATGAACCCGTGTTCTCAACAGTGTACCTCTATCACTACGCGGGACGCCCTGCATTATCTACTAAGCGGTTACACACCTACATTCCATCGTCATTCAATGCCTCCCACGATGGCTTGCCAGGGAACGATGACTCGGGCTCGATGGGTGCCTTCGTGGTATTCGGCATGATCGGTCTGTTTCCTATAGCCGGGCAAGACGTATATCTAATCTCAGCACCGTTCTTTAAACAAGTCAACATAACAAGCCCCTTAACCGGAAATACGGCCCAAGTAAACACGGTGGGGTTTGACGCTAGTTATGAGAACATTTACATTCAAAACGTGACGGTTAATGGGCAGCCGTGGACGAAGTCCTGGATTAACCATGCGTTCTTCCACGAGGGATGGACGATGGAACTCGTTCTCGGACAGCAAGAGTCTGAATGGGGCACAAAGTTGGAGGATCGACCTCCGAGTTGGGGAGCGGCGATGGTATAAATCTTGGGAACGGGAAGCGGATGACCTATACAGAAATAGTAGACCCATCTACGGATGTGGTCGACTTTCTACCTAATTACCTACCTAATAAATATAAATATGGCTTGGCCATGAAAAAAGTGAATCCCCAGATTTTGCTCCCTACCTATATACTAGGTTAAGATCGAATAGAGGGACCACTGCAGTGACCGTTCAGAGCAAACTTGATTATGGCGGTGTGATTACGAGTCTTTGTTTGCAAACGGTGAGTCCTTTACAAACGCGGCAAGTCAGCCACGTATGTAGAGTTTGTACTGTTTCTCCTATCCAGATCCTATCATCTAAGACAGTGGCAAAAGCTCAGCATGGGGAAAAGGGGGGACGTTTTGTATCGCTATAGTGGGGTTTAAATCTGCACACGACAGAGATCCGTCCAGGCTTCTTGGTCTCGATCCAACCATCGCTCTGATCTGATGACCCATCGTCTTTTTGATACTTGGGCACTTAATAAGAAAATCTCTGATGTGAATGTAGGCGTCTAAGGTGTTAATAGGTACATCTACATACTACCTACTAGGTATAGTGCTCCGATATCGATGTAGGTAGTCAAATATTGGATGCAACTGCCTCACCACATATATATATATGCAATAATAGGATAGCTACATCTGCACCAATGAAAATTAACTATATTGTTGATGTACCTCCCACTTGGTAACGTTAGTACTTCCTTCTAAAGAAGAACAATATCAATATGTACAACTTGAACTACCTGTGTCACTACCGAGCACTTAAGGTTATGTAGGTTTCTTTCCTACGACATCCACTAGTACATACCTGCACACACACATACCTAAGTAGTTGGAGTACCTACTGTTATGTAGGTAGGTAGATAATACAACTTGGAACTGTCTAATTGTCTGATACTAGGTAGGTACTAGGTAAATAAACCCTTAGAATCCTAAACTATAGAATCTTAGATCATACCTACATATGTCCACCTGCATTCTTCCCAGCAACTATTTTCATCCTTCCTTCTTACATGACAGACTGCGATACTATCCCATTTCCTCTAACTACCTACACCCACCACTACCATATTCATCACCACTGATCACCATTATACTCACTTCTCGCCTGCGGATCCTCATGCTTAATTTAAAGTAGCCTGAGGCAGACTCTTAGATTCTCTAAACGCGACAGCACATACCTTCACAACCATCACCATAAATCATGGCTGACTCCGACAACCCTGACAGCTCTGATATCGCTGATTCTCAGGTATGTTTCGCGTTCTCGTAGGGTATTTATACCTTCTCCGGTTATATGTCATTAACACATCATCCCAGCACGAATTTGACACCATCAAGCATCATGTCAACTTCGAGCCTCCGCCCTCGAAGCCCGGACAAGAATGGCGAAGCTATCCGGAGCTACCCAGCGGTCGAGATCTCAACCCCGACTGGGACGATCCTCAGCAGATAGAAGAAATTCGCCGTCTTTTGCCCAACACTTGGCAAAAGCCCTGGAAGGACAAGGATACCTATCTCGAGACTCACTACCGCCTCCAGAGAGAGGAGGGTATTACGATGCTGCGATATTCTATCAAGAAGTTCAAGGATAACCCTAACATGATGGATGATCCGGAGACCTGCATCTATACCAAAGTAAGCAAACCCTAGAATGTCCCTTCAGAACAAGTAATAAATTTTCGGTCCACTCACCCATATCCCTCTCCAGGTTTTTGTGAAAGGTTATCTGATGACCCGTCTTGGTCCCATGTGTCAGGTCCAATTTTCTACGGAGAGGTCCGGCAAGAAGATCCGTTGGACTCAGACGCGTCGTCTTACCGTGGGAACTCTCGTCGCCGTCTCTACTGCTAGCGACGGCTTCAAGACTATCTGCATGCCCGCCGTTATCTCTGACCATCGTATTCGCGATGGTCTCGACCAAAACCCACCGACGATCCATTTTCAATGGACCAACCTTGACGATGCCGTCATGGATCCTAACCAGGAACTTGTCATGATCGAGACTCGATTTGGCTATTTTGAAGCCGTCCGCCACAGCATGGTCGGCCTCCAACACGTCGCAGTCACAGAGACGCCACTCGACAAGTATTTAGTTGGAGCAGACAAGAGCGATCTTCCCGCGAAGTACGTTCAGGAGAACCCCCAAATGGATATCAGGTCTTTGGTACACCACATTCCCGATTCGTCCTCGATGCCAGCAAGCGAGGTGAACAAGAAGATGGCTGAGGTCAGCGAGCCCCTTCGAAGCTACCCCGTGATAGACGGTTTCGACAGCCAGCTATCTAAGTATACCAACCTGGATAATTCCCAGCTCAGTGCCGTGCACCGCATTCTTACCAAAGAATTGGCTATTGTGCAGGGACCCCCGGGAACGGGCAAGACATTCACATCGGTGCAAGCTCTGCAGATTCTCCTGGAGAGCCAGGATCGGGGTAGCCACGTTATCATTGTCGCGGCTCAGACGAACCACGCCGTTGACCAAATCCTGATGCAGCTGATCAATGTTGGCTTTAAGGTGGTCCGACTTGGCGGTCGTACTCAGAATGAACTTATCAAACAGTACAGCATGTACAATCTCCGTCGTCGCGCAGCGCCTTCGCGCACTCATCGTGCAGACCGCGACTTCAAGACCTTCGAGTCTGCGCGCAAGAAGAATATTGCGGTACTAGAGAAGATCATTGAAGACGTATTTCCTAACGAACTCATTAACCCCGAGGTTCTTCGATCCGCGGGTATCATAACGGAAAGCCAGCTCCAGTCTCTCGAGACAGAGCTGGCTTGGACTAGTGCGCCTTCGTTGCCAGACCAACCCGTTGGGCCGCTTGCGGACTGGCTGGGAGGTCAGCTAGTGAAAGTGAAGATGCCGGATGAAAAGGAACCGGATTTTGAGGGCGTCGAAGATATTGATAGCTTGGATCTGGACGCAGAGGACTATGATCTAGAACTTGACGATTGCATCGTCGACGAAGATGAAAACTGCGGTCGAATCGACGGCAAGTTTTTGCCAATCAGACATTTGTGGACCGGCGCGAACCCCCAGGCACTTGCTGGGGACGATCTCGTCATTCGTCGAGAGCTTCAGAAACAGGATCTCTGGGACATCGATGAGAAATATCGCGGCGCCGTGTACCAGCACTGGCAGAAGAAACTGTTGACATTGCACCGCCAACATTTCCGCCACGTCCTCGTCGACAATGCCAGGATCTCGAAGAACCTAAAGATTAACCGCTGGTATAAGGACACTAAGTGCATCAAGTCGCAGCAGATTGAGATTATCGGGTGTACCACTACTGGATTGTGCAAGTATCGTGGCTTGCTCGCAGCGCTGCGGCCGCGAACCATGTTGATCGAAGAGGCCGCTGAGACTCGCGAGGCAAACATTCTTTCGGCTCTCTATGGTTCACTCCAACAGCTCATTCTTGTTGGCGATCATCAGCAGTTAGCTCCGCACTGCGACACGCCCAGCCTAGGAGACGAACCGTACTTTATGCGGGTGTCCATGTTTGAGCGTCTCGTCAGTCTCCATATGCCATTCACCGTGCTGAACATGCAACGAAGAATGATATCTTCCCTGCGAGAGGTCCTTAATCCTTTCTACCCGTCCCTACAGGATCATCCCGTCGTGACCAAAGGCGAGGTTCGACCTCCCATCCCTGGCATGGCGCTTCCGTCCTTCTTCTTTCATCATACATGGACTGAAGGCTTAGATGAGAATTTGAGCAGATACAACATTCTTGAAGCGGAAATGATAGTTCGCTTCATAGATTACCTGCTGATGAACGGCGTCCCGCCGGCCCAGATCACAGTTTTGACGTTCTACCGGGGCCAAAAGAAGAAAATACTCACACAGTTCAAGACTAAGATGAAGCATTGGGCTCCATTCACCAATGTTTTCACAGTGGATTCCTACCAAGGAGAAGAAAACGATATTGTCATTCTGTCGTTAGTGCGAAGCAATGGTCCTCACGGGCCACACCAAGCCGGCTTTCTCCAAGACGAGAATCGTGGCGTCGTCTCCATCAGCCGTGCTCGCCGAGGTTTTTATATCTTCGGAAACATGATCAATCTGGCATTTGCCAGTAGTGCCTCGTGGAACATGTGGGGAAAAGTGCAGCAGGTCTTCGAGAGACAGGGTCGTTTTGGAGGCAATAGCCGTCTACCGATCACGTGTCAGAATCATGGCAAGACAACCTGGATAGCGCACCCCGAAGACTGGGTGAACTGCCATGGTGGCTGCGATCAGAAGTGCCCCGATAAGCTCAGCTGTGGTCATGCGTGCGGGCGTCAATGTCATTGGTAAGTTTCTCCATTTTCTTCTTCTATTTTAGTAACCCGTTTCTCCCAAGATCCAGCCAGCAAATCATATACTAACCGTGTTGTATCAGGGTAACTCATGACAAGCTTATCTGTCGCGAGCCATGTGAGCGGGCTCTCCCGTGTGGCCATCGGTGTCAACAGGTCTGCGGCGAGAGCTGTCTATGTAGTTGCGCCGACTTCACAGGTGCGTATGCCCATGACGAATTCCTGAACGATGATGCGATGCTTCGGGGAGAGGAATTAGATGTAGAGTACGATAAATCTCGAGTGGCGCCATTCATAACCCATGATCAACGTCGTATGGGCGCCGCAGCAGGCAGCAGGGCTAATCGGAAAGGACTCGGCCGGGGGATCCGAGGTTCTAGACCTGGACTCGGATATAACGGTGGAGATCCCCGTGTTTCCAACCAGAGTCACGGTGGAACCAACTTTGCACGTCCTAGCGATGGCCACAATGCAAGCTGGACAACTTTCGATGCACGCTTGGACGACGAGCAGAGGCTGAACGCCAGAAAACAGGGAGACCATAGAGATGTTTCTAAACCGGCGTCAAGAGGAGCTGGACCGGCAATTCAGGAAACTTTCCGTCCTGTTACTCTAAACGATCACGGTTTGCGTAGCGTTGGGCAAGGTGTCACTGCTAAACCTAAGACTTCAGTTGAGGAGGGCAATGATCTTCTCGATTTTGATGACGACGTTCAGACACTCGCTCTAACGACGCGCTCGCTTAGCTTGGGTTATGATCCCAGGGATGCGGATGTCTTTGCAGACACAACCAATGAGGCTAGAGATCGAAGCACCACCCACATCGCAACTGAACGTGGTCGACATGCACATGGCAACTCAGGGAGCTTGGAGTCAAACGATATTGACCGTACTACTTCATTCTCGCAGGTCGGATCGACAGGGTTTACTTCTCCTCAGCACTCTCGAGCACGCCGTCAATTCTCTGTATCCGGACCTTCTCCAGCAGGACGCGAAGCTGACAAGCCGGAGTGGGAATTGGCTAGTCTTGCTGATACGAGCTCCGTCGTGGATGAGGACGACGAACGCGGCTTGGAGCGCGGTGGTGGCGAGGAACAGGATGACTTGATCTTATTCTAGTTCTCGACCAGACGATAGCTAGAGGACACGCATCAATGTTGCTGTGATATTCGGATGGCCTAGGGACTTATATGGTTGTTTCCTGGCTAAGATATTGCTGTATAGTAGCTTCGATCACCACAAGATGGTATGAATGGAGAGGTACTAGGACAAAATTACGGTAGCTGAATAGGCCGAAAGATGTGTCCTTCTGATAGTGCACGTGATGCTTAGGAAGTTATTCATCTTCAGTCACTCGAATTAATGTAGTTGTAGGCTCTTAATAAGCGGGAGCGGGCCGTTCCACTAGCAAGATGCATGAAAGAGACAGTTGAGGGCGTTGAGATATCCGTGGACCTTAGTCCATGTCTTGAAGTTAAGCATCAGGTAACTTAACCTAGATTCAAGGTGTACGTGTAGGTATATAAAGGGTGCTTCCATATTAGAACTAGCAAGTTTAGGTCCATCTAAACTAAGACAACCACTTGCCTAGGTAGGTAGGTCTCAGTTTTGATCGCGAAGATATCATGACGTCAAAGGTAAGTTAGGAAACATCATAACGTTGAAGTCATCAAGGCTCCACAAAGGAAAAATCGATGACGGGGATGGCGTAGATAGTAAGAGTTCTATGACCATGTCTCTAAAACGTTGGATTCATAGCTGTAGGTACTTAACTGCTCAAACCCCTAATGGAATAACTAAATGATTAGAAGTTTTCGCGCGATATAACACTTACCTTACTCCTTATGACTCCTACTCAATTACTTAGGTCGTCGTGTGCAGCTCGCTCGTCCCGACAGGTAGTTGAGGCTACCAAGAAATCTTTAATTAAAACGAGAATCGCGTGTGATACACGGTCTAGAACCATGTCGAGCACGGCCGAAACCCTTACCAAATCAGCTTCGTTTGAATCGATCGGGGTCAGGAACACGCGAGTTAACGAGGCGCCAGGGGTCAAGCTCTCATCGGACCAGAAGCTTCTTGTGGGAAGCGTATTAGATGTGCGTTTGCCTTCCTGAATAATGCATGCGGTCGCACCCGCTGCTATATGAATATGGGAAAATGTTCATCATTGACGATTAAAATCAGCTGTTCGAAGGCAATCCGACTCTCAAGCATTTATCGCTGTGGTCTCCAGATGCTACCTTCACCGACCCGATCACAGTCGCTTCGGGATATAAAAAGTTTGCGGCGCAATGGTACGGGTTACCCGCCCTGTTTAACCCAATCCAGATACAGAGCCACAGCGTGAAGTCGGCCGGGAACCCTATCGAGGTAGAGTTGACGAACAAGTATACCCTTAAAGGTATTGGGACGGCGCAGACCATCAACTCCGTCGTTCGTATCGATGTTGGACAGAGTGGTAAGATCGAAAGGGTCGAAGACCGATGGAACGACAAACTGCCTGACGGTGTGATCAGTGATGTGAGTTCTCCCTCGCCCGATACACAACTTCAGTTTTACGACACCTGGTGGTGTCAATCACACTGAACTGGTGGTTATTCTATCGCATGTGGTGTTATCGCTCGCGCGTGAGGATACGCCAGTCCCAGTGTTTGCAAATACACCATACTAGGCCGCTAACTCGTAGCCTTCTACCAGGCCTTCCGAAAGTTGAATGCGCAGACCGTTCCAATATTCGTATCGGTTCCGAAGAATGAAGAGGAAGATCTTAAACTAAAGAGGTCACGGAATGGTTCCTCATAGAGTACCGTGGGTTATTTGTACGAATCACGAGGGATGACGGTGGATACAGATTGGGAATATGTTGCATCCTACATGCCATTGTCAGCCACGGAATCTAATTTTCTATTCAAAATCTTATTTAAATTCTTCGCAGAAGCATGATATGTCATAAGAAATGCTAAGTGATCATAAGTTCAAGAGCTGTAGCAAGGAGTTCGTGTAATAAGAACCACACAAGCCATGCTTTCAACTGTGTTCTTGCCCATAATCACAAAACCATAAACACACTGGTCAGCCTTCAAGCAAGCGTCGAGTTCGAGAGGCAACCAGTGTCTCGATACGGACGGATCCAATGCTGACATCTTTTTCGATCTCATTACTTATCATGTCGTGAAGCCATCGTTATTTACCACATACGCTAGCTGCAATCAAACTGGGTGTTAAGCGATTGGGTGATGAAACAAGCATCTCATCACCACCAATCTCCATAGCGCACACCTCGGCGTGGCCCATGGTAATACGAGCTGTAGTCTATAATCACATGACCATTAGCCAGCACGTCTTTATGAAACTATGCCGATAGGGAATCTCACCTCTCTCGTCGCTAATGCCAAGCTGGTCGGCAATATTCACATAGCCATCGCGGCCGACGATACCCGTATTCTTGATCTTCTTGACTACATCATCGTCACCTTGCCAAGCAGAACGGCACATAGGACAAGTAACCTGATCCCTGGCACTCTTGCGTTTAGTGGCGGCCCACATCTCGAAACATTCTTTGTGGATATTGTTGCCACATGTGGCTTTGCAATAGACGGTATCCTCATCAGCTTCGAAAGGGCTAAAGCAAATTGGACAGTCGCCTTCCAGGGGCTTGCGATTCTTGTCATGTACTTTCCCATCGGACTGGTCGTCAGTTTCTATGGGAGGAGCATTCTCGAAGATCTCCTGCAGCTCAGTGGTGAGCAGAGCGAGCTGATAGACGAGATCGAAACGCGCACGGAGAACTCTCGATAGGACCTGTTCGACTACCGTTAGAGCTCCTAAGAGGATTGCAAGTGACGAGATGAGACTAACGTATATTACATGCTTGCACTGGTGGCCCTTCTGGGAGTGGGGGCATGTACAAGTAGGCAGGTGCGCAATGTGAACGACGTATATGTTGCCGGTAGAGCCGGTCAGCTCGACGGACTCCTCCGGACAATGAGCTATGCCCTCACGAGTTCTCCCAAGTACGTAGAACCTTGAACGGGGATAGCTAGTCAGCTCATGTACTTGTCTATGCATTATGGGTATATGTATGAGAGTATGTGAAACACACCCACACACACACCCACACACACACACACAGAGAGAGAGAGAGAGAGAGAGAGAGATGATATTAACCTTTGCGATGTCGCTCGATAGTATATTTTGAAGAAATCCTGGGGTGGTTTGGAACGAAATCTAGGGGCGAATGAAGGTCAGCTCTTCTCAATCTCGTGTCTTAAAAACAAGTACAGACGAGAAGTCCAACCTTCTCAGGCGTTTTTCTGCCACTTCAACATCCTTCCTCGACTTCTTCGGTTTCTGCTCTTCTTGGCTGAAATCATCGGCTTGTTCACCTTCTTCATCGTATTGCAGAGAAACGGGGACCCTGCGTTTACGTGATAGAGGACGCGCGCTAGTCGAGGCGTAGGCTTCGTCTTGCGCACCCATTTTTATTGGGCTATGATAACGAATAAGTGTATGTTCGCGATACCGATAAGATGTAGACTAGCATTTGAAGCTGAATGGTTTTGAAGTTCCGTTTGCTGTTTGTCGTTTGCCGTTTGCCGTTTGCCGTTTGCCGTTTGCCGGTAACCTCTATGGGAAAGCGTGTACTACGTAATTGCCCCCACTTAATCAAGCCACGCCAGACTTACGCCCATCCACGTGATACCTTCATTTGGTACAATTACTCGACTTAGCATTCTAAATTATCTTATGCGAACTAATTGGTACGAAGTCATCCTCATCATCGACAAAAACAAAACGCATTGTTTGAAATAATTCTTCATTGTTTCGAAGGGCTCTTTCAGGCCAAAATCAATGGTTGAAACAAACACTATCCCATACTAGTATAGATACATTTAGATACACACACTGGATATTCACCATATATCTCTACTTATCAATAGAGACAGATCTTCAGGTGAGAGGGTAAGACATTCAAATATGGAATGTGACTATTTTCAATTACGGACTTCATGAATTCACATGAAGAAACACAAGAAGCTTGAGAGCGCATTTCGAACATGTGTACAGTAGTAACGTAACGTATACCAAAGCGTCGGCTAAATGGGGAGCAGCTTAGCCCCTAGATTCAATTTCAACTAGGGAAAGGTCTAGACTGGCAGGGTATGACGCGTCACGTATATGGAATTTCTTTTATAAATCGTGAAGAGGCTCGCAATTAGCAAGTTTGATGTCGTTTATATGTATTAACCGTCTACCTAGGTATCTCGAGCACACAAGGGTATCCGACTTGACTTTGTAGCGCCAGCCAAATACTCGACCGCTCGAAGCTCTAATACATCTAGACACAATGTATACCGAACCAAGCGCCTCGGACGCCGAAAATTACAAAGCCATACCCGGGGAAATGCAAAGTGCACATCCATCATCTCACCTACCGGCCTCATAGTCATACCTTCCATTGATACACTAATGCTGCATTCGCTTAGTCCTAGCGCCGGAACCGACGAAAGAATAAACCCTCAAACCCAAATACCAAACTCCATCCGGGCCTTGTTCGTGCCATATCCCTTTTTCTCGATCGACGGGCGTAGCTAGTGAGCCCCGAGAATATCAACGTCGCCCAGCGTGTTTAACATGACCTTCCATCATAGCCCGAGCCTGGGAAACCTCATTAAAATATGTTGCGCCCTAACCAGATGGCCGCTCAAAACGCTTTCTCCTCCTTTTGCTGCGTCACCGCGACGCTTCTTTGTGTCCGCTAGGAACAATGCCTAGGTAAAATGGCCTCGATTGTTTAGACAGTTTTGCCGCCGCAGTCGGGAATCTTGACGCCCGCCTTCAGGTTCCTATTGACATCCATCAGGCCCCATTGATCTTCCCATTCTTTACCCGGCGTATCAAAACTGATTTTCCATGGCTCGTCGAACATCTCAAACCAGAAATAATTTGTTCCGTTCGCCAGCGCCTGGCAGACCCAACCCTCCATGAGTGTGTTTAACTCGTCGATGCCAGCCACCGAGCCGTCGGGACAGCTTGTGACGCTATCGTCACCGCAGTCGGTACCACCTTTCGTCGGCCAACCAATCTCGGATATGACGTTCTTCTCATTGTCAGTTTTGAAGAACGACTCGGCCTTATTATGCCAGAATGACCAGGTCCACGAAGCGGCTTCCTTGGCATTGACGCCGGCGAAGAAAGGATGGATATTGCCCATGATGTAGTCGCTGATCTGTGCCAATTGGGAATCCCAATTATCGCCTAGATCGCTCGTGGCGACGGGGAGTTTCCAGTTGTGGCTAGTCAAGTTCGATCTTACCGAATCCAGGAGGTCACTAAGCTGCGTAGCTGTCATCTGTTTTCGGAACAAGATCTCGTTGCCTATAATCAACCCCTTGAACGGCTCGGCTCCGTACTCATCTAGGATGTTCCACATCCTACTAAGCTGGCGCTTGTTGGTTGTGTCGTTGTTGTCCTGCCATACGCCGAGCCAGATCTTGATCTCGGTGTCGAGCTTCAATTGTTTCAGCGCGTGTATCGTCATCTCCGTCTGATTGCAATCGGTACCGTAGAGTCGAATTGTGTTGGTTAATTGCGAGAGGACAGCCACATCCCTGGTAACGTTGTTCTGGGAAGGCGGGTTCTTAAGGCAATCCGGGTACTGTACGTTAATAGGCGTGTAGTCGACGCCCGGGAAGACCTTGTGTAAGTTAGGATTGTTCATCAATGCTTGAATCTCATCCGAATTGATGTCCAGATCGCCGTTGTTTGCGTAATCCGAATCAGCCGACTGGACCCCATCAGCGCCGCCACCGCTCCCCTTTTTGTTCTTCGCTAAGAGTCCTCCGACGATACCGCCCGCTATCCCACCTGCTATGATGAGACCGACGAGAATCAAGATAAACCATTTCCACTTCTTCTTGCTGCTATTCTGGCCCGATAACCATTCCGACTGCTTCTCCGACTTTGCGCCCATCTCGTAACCGCCTGCGCCCGCTAAATTGCTTGGCGCATTAGCGTTCTGTACCGGGTCATAAGCGACGCCGCTATTTCGGCTCCTTCCCATTAGCCCGCCCATTACGCCGCCAGCAGCCGCGGCACCGGCAACGCCAGCTGCGGCGCTACTTCCTCGATTATGAGATCCACCTAGACTCAGGATACTATTCCGAGCAGAGCGTCGATACTCGAGACCATCATCGCCGTCGTCGTCGATATCATTGGGATTGAAAACGCCGAGATAGGGATCCATTCTTTGACCGTACGCCATGTGGGGATCCCTGAACGGATCGCTCGAATAGCTATGCACGCTGCGCGTGGGCGTCCCTCGACCTGACTGGGTCAGGGCTGCGGCTCCCATGGGAGCCAGACTGGGCGAGGAGTTATATCCCTGGGCGGGGCTATAGGGGTTGGGACCATAGCTTGGCGGCATGTCGTAGCTCCTATCGTTTCCGTAGCTTCCCCTAGGGTCGTCGTAGGTATGGTGTTGGGACGGAACGTCTTGATAGGCTTCTGGTGGGTAAATAGGTTGTTGATGCTGAGGTTGCCTCATGGCTTCTAATCCGCTTTCTCGTGCGTTTCTTTCGGCGACACTCATGGCAAGTCCTGACACGCCACCAACGGCAGCGTTACTAAAATTGTCTGCCCCGGGGGTAACGTTAGTCTGGGGTACTCGGGGTCCCCAGGTAGATACACTGTTCTCGCGATGAGGTGGTGGGATTGGTCTGGATGAAGACGATCCGGCCACGTCATGAACTTCTCTACCAGCTAAAGCACCGACAGCGGCTCCGGCTCCAATTTCAGTTCCAGCAGCGGCTCTCCCGGCACCTCCACTATATCTTCTATTCTGGCGTAGCCTATTAAATGCCGAATCGGGATGAGCACTGGGATGGCTCGGTGGCCTTGCTCTTGTGGGTGAAGGATGCGAGTCGTGGTCGCGGTTATAACCGTGGTGGTGGTGGTACGGCTCTGAAGAAAGGGTGACTGAATTGCTGTCTCGGTATGAGGGAGGTTGAGAGGATGGGGAGGAAGGACGAGAGCGGGAAGGAGACTGTTGTTGACGATTGAGATAATGATTGGAATGCGCTTGCCGTTGGAAATATGGATCATTTGGATCGTCGAGAGGGGCGTGCTCGCCAGGGTCAGAGTCAAAGGAGTAGCGACGGCCCATGGTTTCAGAAAGAGAAAGCAAGAACCTCGTCCCAAACCCCCAAAACAAGAAGGGCCGTTCTGCACGGGTGGGTCAATTACCAAAGACTAAAGCAAGCCCGTGTAACAAAGAAAGAAATGGCATGGGAGTGTCCAAGTAACAAACTGTACCAATACGAGCTGATACAAATGTACTTAGATTTAGATATATGTAAGCAAATGGTCAAAAATATCCAACATACAGTACTAGGGAATATGGAATAGCGAAATGACGGTCCAAGTGGGAAGTGGGTTCGAATTGAACCCGTTTCCTGGTTCCAAGTCCGTGTTTTACATGCACTAGTTGTTCAAGTTGCCCAAGCTGTCCGGTACATACGGACTGTAATCGTACGAATCTCTTCGAGGGAAGACAAACTACATGCAAATAGATAGCAGAAAGGGTGATGGATCCTTACATACCTAGTAGTAAGTGTCTCGAGGGAGAACGACCCGTTTGTTTGTTGCGGACGTTGTTGCGGTTGTGGTCAGAGTGTGCAGTAGCCAATAACAATAGCATTTGCCAAGTAGAAATGCTGAGCATGTGTCGATCAAGCTTTCCCCAGGGCTACTCCAAGATTGGGTACTTTGGGTTACCCGGGCTACTGGCCTACTGGGCAAGTACCTAGATCGACAGATCTGCTAAACAAGTCCCCCTTGCTTTGCTTATTTCGCCCTATCCTTGGCTAGCATATACCCGCCCGCCGGGATGTTGAGGCTGTGCTTAACGCCTCGTCTATGAGATGCGCCGGGCTGAAATACCACTAGCATAGTAGAATTGAGTTTCTCATTCTTGATTTTTCTTGGATTGATTGAATGGCCGCGTGGACAAACTTTAGAATGGTATCGTTGAAGGGAGAGAGTATGTACAATAATAGAGGGCGGGACAGAGTCAGGAAATAGACCAGACACTTGTAACGTTTCCAGGTTTATGGAATAGCCCGATGTTCCTCGTATTTATTAGACCCCGACCTATTGTTCGTATCCATTAGCACGCATAACAGGCGCTGACCTTCTATTTTTTAATCTTCTCTGGCAGACAATTGAATGCTCAGCTGACGCGAAGTAACCGTAGAGCCAATCTAACCCCCAATTCAATCTTTGAACGCTGAAAATCCCTGTTTTGTTCCTGCGTCTCGCTACAAAATCACAATGCAACCACCAATTTGAACGAAGAAAGTCCTGCCATTTTAAGTTAGGTAGTCCATTGGCTTTACTGTCCTATTGGTGTATATCACGTAGCATCCTTTAAAATTCGGCCTAGCAACCACCGACCAACCGGCCAGCCCTAGGTAACGTACCTGTGGTTCCTAATCAATAAGAAACCGGTTGGTGTTTAATGCACCGGTTAGACTGGTGGTTTTTTATAGACAAGTATGCACTTAGGTATATAAGGATATAATATTCACTTTACCACGCATTCGATCGGAAATCCGCAGCCTTGAAGTTGCCTTACACTTCATCTCGATGTTTGCAACGGTCTGAACTACCGGTGGAACCGAATAAACAGACCGTGCTTAGGCGAAGTTTAAAATATCGTGCATTGTCGGGTTTGGACACCGTTGGAACGATCCCGCACTAAATGGATAATTGCAGATCGGCGGTTGGCTGATCAACAATCTGCCTACCTGCCGCTGCAGCCGGTACGTATCAGCACAGATCATACTATCAACCCACCCTATGACATCAAATTCGCCAAGATTTTCTGGGGGAACTACCATTTCTGCCTTTCTGCTTTCCGAATCATCGTTAAAAGGATTACAACACATTAGCTATGGCGTTTTCTTTTCATGAAGTAGACAACTCTACATGAAATGCATTACATTCACTTCGATTGTTTAGCGAAGTCCATACTTAGCGCATGTGCGACCGCACACAGTATTGAGGGACAGTATAGCTGTCATATTTTAACTAGGTAGGTACACTGTGTTAGATTACATACCTGCGACCCGGCAACTTTGGAAGTGAATCGGAGTCCGCTATGTCAGCCACGTTAGATCTAGATCTCACCCGTCTTTACAGCCACATATGACGTAGCGCCTACAGAATTTTGCCCATGTTTGTACATATGTGCATACATAGGTAGTATGAAGGAAATACCGACCTATGTCAACTTCCAATCTTTAATAATTGACTGCAACTTTTGAAGTTAAGGTTTGCTTCCAGCAAATTAAGGATTATTCGAGATGACGTAAATAATAGGTAACACCGCATGCCATTTCCTAACAATGAATGAAGTCAATCAGTCAATCAGTCAATCAGTCGCAGATGGCAAATGCAGCTCGCAGCAAAAGCTCCGACGGTGTTGTCATTATGTCAAAGCGAGCTTCTAAGATCTAAATTGACATCATAGAACTGAGGTTTCACCAAATACCTGGGTAATTGATTTATGAAGCTGTATGATCAAATTGCTTTTAGCTTCGTCTTCTCGTCTTCTCATCTCACAACAAACCACTACAGCAGCTTCGCATATCGCACGACCACATCACAATCTATCCAATTCATACAAGCTAGAATCAAATAACTACAATGTCGGCAACGCGCAACACCGAGTCCTTGGCCAACCAGGGCGAATTCCACAGCCGTGTTCCGCCCTCGGAACCCCTCACAACTACTGGTCATAAACCCGGTGTCAAGGTCGGCAACGATGCTGCCCCCGAGTTCCACATGGAGAAGCATGCCCCTGGCACCGCGCCACGTGAAAACACATTCCAACCACGACCTGAGGGCGAGACCCCGGTTGATGCCTCATTCGACGAAAGCCAGCATCTAACTAACCCCACGGATACACTTGGCGGCACTACGTCCCAGGCAGTCCACACTGGTCTAGGCAAGCCCGTCCAGGGCCAAACGGGAACCGAGCTACACGGTGACCTTCACGGAGACCATACTAGTCGACGGAAGAAGGAGCACGCTGGTTTAGAAGGCGTCGGGGCAAGCGTCGGAGACACGGTGCGTCAGAAGGGAGCAGACTTACCTGAAGGCGTAGAAAAGGGCACGAGAGGCAAGGCCAGCGCCGATTATCCTTCTGCGTCGGAGCGTATCCCGACCAGTGCAGAAGAGGTGGCGGCTGAGAGGAAGGTGCCGCAGCGCGCCTATGACTACACGCAATCTGGGGCCAAATAAGAGACGTTGAGACGGGATAGCTTATGGGCTCATGTCAAAAGGCGAAATTTCGTACTGGGTATAATTTTTTCGGTGTATACTCCGCCGACGGAATGCATGACATAGACCTCGAGCTGTTTGCTCAACCACCACTGGTCTATAATAAGTAGAGATTGGGCGGGAGGTAGCTGTCGGGTCATCGAGGCGATGATACCTATCGGTGCCGAGAGTTCATTTAATTTAACACGTTACTAAATTTAATTGCATGAGCTAAAGGTGCCACTTGGATGAAGTTTCCAACCGCCTCATCTAATTTTACTTTTTAGACTCGCTCTAGGTAATGTATCGCTTTGGGTTGATTTTCCATATTTGTCCCCGTCCATCCATGCGCACATGAGAATAATTGTGTAATCTGCTGTGTAATAGACGTTCCAAAATCTAGGTATCAATCTCTACCGAGCCTGATACTTTCTATCGGTCGTGAACTTGTCTGTCGACTCTTACCTCTAAAATTGCGACGGGAAGACCAAGAGGCGATGCTGCCACAAGTGCAACTGGATCATCTGGCGTAACGGTGACCATTATATTTTCGATCCAGGTCGCAGAAAAGACAGACTATCTATAGGCACCTAGGTTGGAACTGGTGTTGGTGTAGGCTTGCTCGGTCTCCTCGTAATCGGGTTGGTGATCATTTTTAACATACGACATCGACGAAAGCCTGCGGATAGTCAAGATGCCAATCGATTTTCGTCTATACGGCATCCTTCCCAAGGCCAGTATGGAGTCACCGGCTGAAGGATGTCCTAGATATACGCCATACGTTGACCGGAAAACCGGTGCGGTGTCATATTATTCTCCTACCCCGATATGGAGTTCAACAGGCATAGCCCCTTCCCCTAGCCAGGGCGCACCATCCGTGTCGGTGTCGTAGCCCACCTACGGAGTCCCACTATTTCGGGCAACCAACCGATACCGTCCCGGATAGCCTCGGCGCCGGAATTCCTGGTATTTTGCCTGTCGGTCACGGCCCGACAGACGGGCCCCTAGTAACCCATATGCCGGGTTACGACGGAATCCCAGAAACAGCTAGCGATGGCGAGAATTTACAAGGGCAAAAGTAAATGGTGCACTCGGTGACCAAACAGAAGAACTAGACGATGAAAAGCAACAGATACGATTAAGGATGCATCAGGAGTCAAAATGAGCATATCAACATAAGTAGATAGGTATATGTAATGTACTTACTTCGATATATAAGAATGGCTAATTGTCTTTGCATTCTTGTTCTAGTATGTGTGAATTATATGGACGTGCTCGGAGGACAATGCTAGTTTATTATTTATGGGGATTCTTGTTTACTGGGGTAATTGATGGGGTTTGATTCGTCGTTGTCCGTTGTCGTCCATAGTAACAAGCCACCGACGTGTTGTTGTTCCCCAATTCATCATTCACCACCATCACATCGTCGTCGACCCCATGACAAGATAAAAAAGCATTTCTGATCACATCCACTAACTGCACGTTCTTCTATACCTGCTATCTGCCTAGGCAGCTAGGTAGGCACCTAGCTCTAATCACATCACAACTGCAGGTGCCCGGAATAAAACATCCCACTATTAGCACTTTCCTAGGAATCTCTTCTCTCATCCCCCCTCACTGCCGCGTTTCTAACCTTACTGGCGGGTCATATGATTACGCCGTGACTCTTCAAACCCACATCACAACAATCATATCCCGCCATTTTCATTCTTACTTTCTACATCTACCATCACCTTCTACACACGTAAGTACTATTGACTACAAATGAATTTCTTCATCTATTCTTCAAACTTACATTCATAACCCTTTTTCTAACATACGATAGGTAGTATCCACGATCCGCATACAATCTTATCATCTTACTTCTTTCGCGCATCAACACCGCCACGATGGCCTCTTCGGACAAAAATGAGATCACCGAGAAGGAATCCAAGGTGCTAGCCCTAGCCTGGCACTGTTTCAAGACGCAACCCGAGGTACGTTATGTCTAGCCGATTGTCTATGCAGCATGTTGAACGCATTCTGACTTTAGTTCATCTGTAGATCGACTACAACAAGCTAGCCAAGCTTGCTGGCTACACCAATCCCCGGAGCGTCACCAATATCATCTGTGGTAAGTCTTCGTGCATTATGATTATTCATCCTAACATACCATGCAAATACTTCAACAAATAAGTGTCTATTGAGGTATCTGCCGACTGTCATGCAGGTATTTATGAAGTATTCGTCATAATATGCAAACTCCCTCCCTTTCCCTTTCCCTTTCCCTTTCCCCATCCCTTCCTCAAATTGAACAGAATCCTTATCTAATTCGGTCGAACACAGCTGTCAAGAAGAAGGTCGCTATGCCTCACAACGATGAGAACAGCGGTGGCGAGGGTCCTTCCACTCCAGTCAAGCGCACCCCGAAGGGCAAAGGCAAGGTCGCCCGCACCCCTGCCTCACGCAAGCGCAAGACCGCGAGCGATGATGAGGACGTTAGCAACGATCCCGCCACACCTAGCCGCGGCAAGCGCGCTCGCGCCAAGAAGACCGCGCCTTCTAAGGCCGCCGTCGAGCTCGATGACTCGGAGGACGACAAGAAAGGCGTGAAGATGGACTCTCACGCCGACGAGCAGGGAATTCCCGAGGACGTGGTTGACTAAGGTCGTAACTTTCAACGAAACCAGAAACCAAGACGGACTAGTAGATGTCATTTGCAGGATAATCTTAGCTCATCTTGCTTTACAATACGCCAGATACGCTGTCTGATGGCGTAACGTACAGTCCCTCGATACCCGAGCAAGTTCGCAATAAATCACATCCGGCTGCTTTTCCCAATTACCTACTCATACCTTCGCATATGTGACTTCGAATTGTGTCTAGATTCTACTCTTCGACGACACCGATACTGTCGTTTTCTCTGACGTCCGCTAACCTGATATTCATCCATATACATCTCCACTTATTGCTCTAAAGATTTACAGTGCCACAGTCTAGCAACCATAGATTTCGAGACGACATTGAAAGATAAAGTCTTTCTATTATATTATCGCGGTTGCGGAATTAGAAGGCTAAGGTACAGTAGCTACCTAGGTAATATCCATGGACTGGTCGCGACGCCAGCAACATTTCGAAGGTTAATGCAGCCCCATGTACGGGGCCCAGGGTGAAGTCGTAATTACAAAAGCATAGATTCCGTCATCCAACTCATTACGCCGTGTAGAGGCATCCATTCGGGTTGGCGGCGTTGACGGCACGAGCGGAAATACCGACGCATCCCGAGTTGCCGGCGGGCTGTTCGACACCGGCAGAAACCCACACACTCCAGGCGCCGTCGATGCTGTTGGGGCAGGCAATGAAGCTAGCACCACCCAGAGTCAGGTCGTTGTTCGCGTCGAGCTGGAAACCAGTTCTCTCCGCGTTTTGGGGAGCGGGCTCCGCGCCAGTAGTGTAGCCGAGCTTGCCCTGGCCTACAAAGGAAAATGTTAGAAATAGCTACCATCACTCGAGAAAGGGGTGGAACATACCCATGCCGGAACGGTCGGCGAATAGCTGCTGAGGCGTGGCGGATTCGGCGTATAGGTAGAGGCCGCCGTCTTGGAGGAAGAACGTGGCGGCTTCGGCCGGACCAGCGTCGCAAGACGCGTTCTGGCTGGGCAGCTTCAGGAAGATGCTGCTCTTGGCGGCTTCGAAGCTGGCATAGTGAATCTCGCTGCCGGATCGGAGGGACATCAGTGTGAACTTGGCATCAGGCGCAAGAGGTCCTTCCGTTGCCTGCGGCAAGGCGGTTGACACTCCAAGGAGGAGCGAGGCTGCGGCGGCGAAGGTGTTGAAGAACATGTTGAACGGGCTGGCTATGTGCGATGATGGTGACTGATGGGAGTTGGATGATGAACGGAAATGAGCTGAAACCTGCGAGAGATAACGTCGAATATATAACCACCGGCTTGGATACAGAACTCATATGATGTTGTCAGGTTCAGGCCGTCGTCGGTGGCAATTTTACATAATCGGGCTCAATTCACGTAGTCTACCAGGTCAATACGAGGCGGAGAACACGAGAAGGGATATTTGGCTCTTGGCGGCACCCCGTCGTAGGGCAGCCTGGGCAGTTCACGATATAGCCGATTGGTCCTCTCCGCGGGATACCTGGGATGTGGAACCGATGCGCTGGGGATGATCGACATCACAGCCGGCGCATTAAAAACCCACAGTCACTTTAATCTCTCTACGTCCACAGCCCAATTTAGTCTCGCGATCGACGGGAAAATGTGGAGGCGAGCGACGGACAACGTTACTATTTTCCGACCACTTCCTAGAACTTTCATTCAACTTCTCTTGAAACACGTCTATAAATAATAAAAGAATCCATTTTTTATGAGAGGTTAATTATCGACATAGCTGGGGAAAGTACGTAGAATTCTAGAATCCCGCGTGCTATGATCAGCTGGAGTCCCGTTCCTCTTCGTATTCCCTTCTCGGAATGACTCGGTTGATGCCAATTAATCTCGTCTACATGTTACTTGTAAAATATCGGCTCTTATATTTCCTTTACCCTAGGAATATTAACATAGCGTACTTCATAGGCCTCCTTTTGCGAAGAAACAGGAAGTTTGCATGAAACGTTGAATTGAAGTAATATATGCCTATACACATAGATGAACAGAACCAAATCAAGTTGAAAACTCTGAAAAGCCCATACTGAAAGACTTAGACGGCCGTGAATATACTAATAAGTTAGGTAGGTAGCCAACAGAAAGGTTGTCCATCTCCATATGAACTCGTACTAGAGAGATCTCGGAGCAGACCTCGTAAAGACATTTGCTATTCATATCGTTGGCGTACATATGCCGGGCTGCATCTACCTAGCTTCAGTTAATAATGCTTGAGGCGACTGGGGTTTGGTTCCTATCACTGCAACTTCTCGATGAACATACTTGAGAAGAAGGCTATAGCGGGAGAAGGGGAAAGGAAAAAGGGGTTACGAATAGAAAAATCCCAATTGATGCATACCTCAATTCATGTATTAATTATGTAATACGTATATAGATGCAGATAACGTGGAACTTTTATGTACCTGGGACTGGTAGCACAGCTATCTAAGATGTGCGAAAAACTCTATGACGATAGAGATATATGAAAGAATGACGTAACCATACGTCATTAGCAGTCACGCTTGGGACTAGCAGGACTACATATTGTAGTAAGGGCGGCTGGACTGGATACTCACGGATTCTACCGAAGCTAGATCCATAGCTCCTAATTCCTAATTGCTGAAGAGCACTAAAACAAATATAACGCGCATTATAATAAGATCCACTATATTCAATTAATACCTTCCGAGCCGCAATTATGTCTAAGATAGTTGAAGACGTCAAAACTGGCCTTAAGGGCGTTCGCGGAGCTGGCGATGCGATCCGGGGCGAATTTCTAGACGCTACCGACCAAGCATTCGACAACAATAAAAACCACCCCCAGACTCAAGCTTCTCAGACAAAGAATCGCACACTTGCGGAGAAGGGAAAGCAAGATCTTCGAAACGTGGACGAGATGTTTGCGCGACGAGAATGGGAGCGCAAGGGTGTGTCGGGTACTGGACCTGCTGGACAAACGGAAGCTGTTCCGATGCAACAATCCACCACTACCGCTGGCTCGAACGTGCCGGCCTCTACTGAGAGTGGGAACGGGTTACGAGACGAGGCTAGGCAAGAACCGGTAAAGCAGATTTGAGAATTGCGGATCATGATCATTGTTCGGGTACCATGATCCTTTTCTACACTAGGTAGGAAAACCTAGTCGGCTTCGTCCCTTTCCATATTCCTATCATCTCGAGGCACTCGTTACCTAGGAATAACAAGCAACTTATTCACCTCTGACTGTCTCTTCGATGTACTCTACCGTGCTTTTCGCGTCAACATCTAGTCCGCTATTCCTTGCTAGGGCGCTTTCGATGCCGAAGAGAGCAGACATCTCCTCGAGCGTCTTGCCCTTGGTTTCCACTGTGGCTGTCAGATTTCTTACGAGTAGGACAGACTAATCATAAACTTACCCATCGCGTATCTCACGAATATGAATGCTATCACGCAGATGCACGAGTAGATTATGTAAAGACCCCAGCCTATGGCTGTCGCTATGGGAGGGCTTGCTTGCGCAACCACGTAGCAGCTCAACCATAGGCTCGCCGTTGACAGGGCGTTACCCTTTGCCCTATACATAGCCGGGAAGATTTCGGTGGCATAGGTCCAGCTTCCTACGCCCCAACTTATGTTAAAGAACACGTAGAATAAGTACGGAAAAGCGACGATAGCGTAGTTCCCGTTGTCGTTTGGATTCCTCTCGGCGTGCCACTGCAAGACGGTGATTCCTATCATCGCGCAGCACATCCCGACAAGTCCTATCTGGAGCCATGTTTTACGCCCGAGACGGTCAAAAACGAAGATTGGCACCCAAGCGAAGACGAATAGTACAATTCCGACTCCTCCTGTAGCCAGGTTTGCCGTTCTTGGGTTAGTAATCCCGCCTCGTTCGAAGAGCGACGGCTGATTAGGTTTTAGCATCATAGGATTAACGGAGACAAAAAGAACTGAGAACTGACAGTATAGTAGAGAATGGAATTAGTTCCCGTAATCTGCTGAAAGGATTGTACGCCCATTGCAAGCATGGTAACCCGTAGAATAGGCGATTTGAACATTTCACCCCACGTCGCCGTAGTCACAGCTTTCTCAAAAGCAACCTCTTTAGCAATCTCGGCCATTTGGATGTCAGCCTCCTCGTCTCCGTGAAGCCGAGCAAGCACTTCGCGAGCGCACTGGTGTCTATCCTGCTGGACTAGCCAGCGTGGACTAGGTGGCACCCAGAACCAACACCCGACTGCCAGGACGATCGCCGGCGCGATTTGAATAGCAAGGGGGATACGCCACCATTCGGGTGTCTCTAGAAAGTTGAATCCATAGTTCATCCAGAAGGCCACAAGCTCACCAAAGCAGAGAATCATTTGCTCTATCCCTATGATACGACCTCTCAACTTCGCGGGGGCGATTTCCGAGACGTACAGCGGAACTCCACCAGCACAGCAGCCAACTCCGTATCCCAATATCACCCTCCCTAACGTGATGGAAACGATGTTGTACGATGCCGATTGTAGAACGGCACCAACGGTAAAGATTGCGCAAGCGATGGATAAAGTCCGTTCACGGCCGCAGTGGTCAGCGAGAAACCCTATAGACAAGGCGCCGAACAAGCACCCAATGTCGTAAAGAGAAACCACCGCCCCAGTCACCCAGCTATTGGCTGGGCGAAATCGACTTATCCACCTAGCATCCGCTACGATGACTCCCATTACACCCTGATCTATGCCGCGCCGCCATTAGCTTTCTCACGGCTGAGGTCATGCGTCTACATTCAATTGGACTTACCATATCCGAAAAGCAACGCGCCAATCGAAACGAATGCGGTAAGGAGGTACACATAACGAAGGTTGGCTGGGCGCGTTCCAGTTTCAGCAGTTGTCCGACGAACAGGTCTGGTTTGCTTTATGGTAAACATCTTTCTCTTTAGATCTGAAGGGATGGTATGAGGTTTAACGCAAGATTTCCGCGAATGACAATAGGTAGATCGGAGATAACCCTATAACCTGATTAAAGATTAATAGGGGGTAGAAGACCATCAGCTGCTTTAATCTTTACCTTAGTATCTACTAGTATATACCTACCCCTCAGCAGATATCTTTATAATGGTTGTGGTGATAGGAGAGCAGGAGTTTTCCTATCAAAGGGCATATTGATCAGATGAAATTTACTCTTTGTACTGCGATGAGGGGTGACTGAGACCCCAGACCGGCGATGACACCCCAGTCCATGTGAATGGAATCTCTATTGGAGTTAGTATTTTCGCTATATTGAAGTACCGAAACTCGAGTTGTGATCCTATAGTTTAAACTGGGGACCAATTATAAGCTTTTAGTACTACCGATCATGGAGGATTAGAATTGAGATGACTGGCTGAAATATTCCGACTTGCTGAGGGGAAGCATGAAGCCTGTGGGTAGCAATGTGCGGAGTCTCTGTATGATCTCGTAAGTCAACCCTACTTTCTACCCATTGTCAAATTCTCTTCTTCTTCTTGAAGGTAACGTTATGTTGTGATCCCCCAGATAATTTTGATTGTGTTGAGTACCTTTACCAGGAACCATGCCGCATTTTGAAGCACCATCCCCCTCAGTTCCTCTATATGTCAATGACGGGTTGCTTAATCCGGATCAAGTTGGCTACCTACATGCATCATCTCCAAACGAACCTCTAGAGGAGCTTCGTCAGCGTCTCGAACGGGATGGCTATCTTTTCCTGAAGGGTCTCCTCCCGCGTGACGATGTCCTCAAAGCGAGAGAAGATTATTTCACCTACCTGGCACCCAGTGGCGTTCTTGCCCCAGGCACCCTCCCTGTCGATGGTATATTCGACGAGAAAAAGGATAGGTTAGACTATCCTGGCATGGTAAGTTTATTCGTCAGTATTCCTTTTCCGGGATCAGTATCTTATCGCTAACGAGCATATATCAGTATGTGAATGAACCGCTTGCTGGTTTCTTTCTTTCTTCATAGCAGTGCAGTCCATAGAACCTTGTCTTGGGCTTAATGATTCATTCATGGTATGTTTTGTAGAACGCTAACAGATGACAGAGGCGCGGGTTCCACTGACGCTAACGGGCGACCTCGTGGTGGCCTCTTCGTGGACCTTGCACTGAAAGCCCATTCTGAACCTTGGTACAAGGATGGGTTCTGTAAGCACCCGGCGCTTCACTCATTCATTGCCAAGATCACGGGATGGGGCGATGATAACACCCTCGGACTCACTAGATCGCTTCTAAGGAACAATACACCACATAATAAGGCGATTGGTGTGCACTATGACCAGATATTCCTCCGACATGGTGAAGATAACAGCATGACTGCGTGGGTCCCCATGGGCGATATCGCTTTGGACGGTGGCGGGCTTATATATTTGGAGAATGGACACAGGCTCGGCCAGCAGATAGAAAAGGATTTCTATGACAAGGCTAGGCAGACCGGGTTGACAGAAGAGGAGGCCAAGAACGCGTTCAACAAGAACATGATGGATGGCGGGCTGATTTCGGACGGCGCAAAAGAATTTGCTACAGAACACGCTCGAAGGTGGCTTGTCACGGACTATCAAGCCGTAAGTAAATCGAGAGTTATTTCCCCCTTCTTTTCTGCCCATCTCTCATGAGAAATAGCCACTCGAACGGCCCTCACAACACCTGGACACTTAAACATCTTGCTGATAGAAAAAATGGCTAACTTCCATCGAAAGGGGGATGTCGTGTTGCACACGCCTTATATGGTAAGTGCAGGAAGCCGTACTCGGGAAGATCTTAGCTAATTGGCATGAAAGATCCACGCGTCGACAATCAATAAGGACCCGAAGAATGTTATCCGCCTCGGCACAGATCTGAGATTTGTAGACTCATCGAGATCGTATGATAAGGTTAGGATTAGAATACCTCCAAGCTAAGCGTTGTGCTAACTTATTTCTTAGCGATGGACAAATGTCTACGCGTTCGGAGACGGAGTATAATGTTGGTGAAAATGAAGGATGATGGACGGCGGACGATGGTTTAGGTATTATTGATTTATATTGGCGACGCGGGGAATAGTGTCACGTGATCCCAGACATCCTTGATAGCAAAAAAAGGGGGCGGGGTAGCTGTTGACGGCGGACATTTGTAGTACATAATTAGTAACATCCGATACCGAAATGATTTTACAACAAGTAAAGCGAGATGCTGGTTTACAGGTAGAGTTGATTTAGAGGCGCCGTCTATAGATCCTACCGGATAACACCGCGGAAGTTAAGGTCGCGCTTCCGCCGAATATGCGGCGTTGAGAGTACAGCGTCACTCCTGCGAAGCAAGCTAAGTCCCCCTGTTTTATGTACTATCGACTCACCGTCAAGTCATTCTAAAGAGAGTAGGGTGAGTATTATACCACCTCTTTGCTTACTTGGAAGCCTTGCGGTAAATCACTTGATGATATAATCATACAGGAGCACCAGGTCATCATATTTAACGGAACAATACTTAAGTATCAAAGTCTATGTATAAATGCTATAAATATAAGTAAAATGAAAGGCGATCGAAAAGAAATAAGAAATTTGAATACCACTCTCTTTCTCTGCGGCTATGCATTCTTCACTCCAAATGGCCCCTGAGCCATCTACTCGAGTTGAAATACAAAGTCCTAAGTTTGTCTAGTACGTGCAAACATCAATCTTGACAGGCGAAGATGCTTGACCCCAGACCCAGCTAGGGTCGATAACAGTAACGTGACGTAAGTTGTCGACGGCCTTGAACTGATAGTCTGCATTACGGAAGTCGTTTTCAGAGTTAGGGGGGCAAGTGTTCTTGAAAGTGGTAGTGTGCCAGTCGATGTGGGCAGAGTGATGCCACTTGCCGAAGTACACCTTGGGATGGTCCCGGCTCTTCTGGCCCCAGTTTGTAAAGTCGTCGTTGCTAAGTGATAAAACCGTTAGAATAATCGAAACCTTCTGGGCTATACATGGATACTCACCCGTCGAATGTGTCGTTGATCTTGTCCCAATCAACCCATGGATGGCTTCCGTCTGTCGCAACGCGTTAGAAAACCTTGAGGCAAAAAGATGAAAGAGAAATGAAGGGAGAAAGCTTTCAGTAGATACACACCTTGTTCCATAGCCATGTTGGTTCGAGTCCACTTGCCTCCGCCCTGGTCATTGAAGGCAATCACGACACCTTCCCAGTCACTCTTGTGGCCAGTATCCTTCTTGAAATACACATAGTAGAGGATCTTCCACTGGTTGCCGCATTTGACAACGTTGTAGTACGTCGGAATGTTGCTGAACGGTTCTCCGGCGATATTGCCGTAGAATGTGTTTGCGCCCTGCCATGACGGCTGCTGGGGACAACCATTCGCTAATTTGCCAAGGTTGCAGTTGTCGGGATCAACACCGTTCGTCTGGTGACCTTGGCCGTCTTCGGCAGCCGAAGGCACTTGAACAATGAATGTTAGTCGTTAATTGATCATGCCAAAGACATAGGAACTCTCTTCGTGTCCCCGTGTGACCGCTTCCACAGTTGAAGTGAACATCTTCAACACTTTAGAAGCTTCGAGAGGAAAGGGATAATTGGAAAGGACTTTACGTACTGCAGGTCCCAGAGGCCATAAACCAAGCAGGAGCGGCTGCCTGGGCAGCAGCGATACCATTATTCTGCGAGAAAGCACTGTCGGGGATGGCATTGTTCGCAAGAACACTCTTCGCAGCGAAGAGCAGCGCTGAGCTGAAAAGAGTCTGAGTCTTCATGATGAAAGTGATAATGGTGGGTATCTTGTTCGTAGACGAAGTTGTATATGCTTTTGGGGACGGCTGGTGGAATTCGATTTCTGGTTGTGATTAAGAGCTTCGCGGTCCTTTATATATAGAGAAAATCCCATAAAAATATCCAACCAACACTCTGTCCGCGATGATCATGGTCTGGAATTGGCTTGGCATTGCTTCTCCATTGATGGGTACTGAATATGCTATTTTCTTACTTGTCACTGACTGGTAGTACCAGTATCATCGTTGAGAATCATCATAGCTACTTGCTGACTCTATGCCTTGAAGGTGCAAGTGGTAGTTTCATAGAGAGTAACCAATTGACTTACAAGCTCCATGTTAGCTGTAAGCTTACGGTAGAATCCCAGAGGAGAAAAATACCTAAGTATGCAATTGTACATAGTATGAACATCGTTATTTTAGATTTTCTGTTCACTAGGCAGCCGAATAACTGATTCTGACCTAGGTATATCACAGCTATGGATCAGAGTGGCTATCATAACCAAAACGCCTTCATCTGACGACAGCTTCAGGCGTCATTAGCTAATGGCTGTATGGAATGATTGGAGGTATTATAGTAATTCTCCACTAAATTAAATCCACTGGCCCATATGGAAAACGACGAGGCGTATTTATAGGTGGCGTCATCATCTTTTTAGGCGCATATTTCCAGCTCAGCATTTCCAAGGTTGAGTAGCTGTTCAATATGAAAGATGGCAACATCAATGGATCCTATGGAACCTGGGAAAATCTGTGAATACGTTAAAATACCTATTATGTGGCCAAGTATGATAAGCTATGCCGCAATAGCTGAACCTCAATCCATGTCCTACTTGATGAGCTGGAGCAACATCACAGTTGCCATGATTTAATTCGAAAATAACCCGGAAAACACCAAGTTTTTTCCTGTTGTTAATTCGTATTTCATCGTTAAAATATTTCGAAAAGGAACTGTCACGAGATGGAACTAAAAGGCTAAGGAATAACGGCATTATTGCGCAAAGAGCTCTAACTACTCCCTTCCAGAGGATCGGGTATGCATACATAAATCTTCTTTTATCTACAGCTAAAGGGCTAACTGCTAACAGGATATCCTCGTACAAGCCGACTCCCGATCCTTCTGGACTACTAGCTAACCCTGGCGAGACCTCTGGCTACCAGCTCTCGCAGAGGGGGCTTCTGATAGGAACTAAAGAGTGAGAGATAGTGGAAATAGGTTTCACAGTCTTTCCAGAGGTATAAGTGCATGAGACCAAGACCTCAGCACCCCTAAGATTTCTCAAGGCCGGAGGTCTCTTTTATATAGGTGGACATCTGGCGGCGCTCTTGTGTGATACTCCTAGTATATTCTATCTTAATGTTGACCTTGGGAAGGTATTCATTATTTCTTTAACAGGTAGGTAGATAGCTTAGATTTTTAGGATTACTTAAACACAACTTCTTTAACCTTCTAGCCACCCAGCAAATCGCAGCTGAATTCATGCGAGTGTCGATAAGTATCTAGACACCTAGGCAAGTGTATCTCTCGACTGGCAAATGTTTCTAAATGGGGGTTGGTAGATATAATGTGCTGAATTTGAACCCTAGTGTTCCAAAAAGTGTTGGTCAGAATAAGGTGAGATATTCTCAACTAAGTTCTTAGGCTTGACCTAGACACCCCGGTCCGGGTAAAGATGAAACCGGATTATGAATTCCTCGGCACTTATAATCAACTAACTACTTCATGGGTAACCTATTCTACCCTAGCCCTTGATTAGCTCAGCTGAACGTGGATATACCTATCTCTCCTCTCCCACTTCTTACAAGCAACACTACCCTTTTCTTGATAGATCATACCTTTCACTATGTTAGAGATCCGATACCCACCAGCTGTGAGACAGGTATGAAGCGTCGATTTATATAAAACTATTATAACCAAGTTTCATTTTGAAATATACTATCATCGCATCTTGAAATGAGATGTGTTGTTACCTTTAACATGGCTCTCTTACCTACGCCTTCCCGTTTGCGGATTATGAAGTACAACATCTTTCTTAGAACCTTATCTCATATCAAACACAGCGCATGACTTGACGATTGATGTCGCTGGCTGATTCTTACCTACCTGAGACGCGACGTCTGATAAGTACCCGAGTAGTCACGATTGGACGAATAAGTAGAACAACGTCTGACATGTGAAGTGTTACTTAGGAATTATATGTATACCTGGTATTCAGCTTCATATCTAAAATAGCGTGTCTAGATAATTGAGTAGCGTGTGCCCTATCTATGTTCTCGGATCTCCTAAAATGATATTAGATCCTTGAACCCCTGAAGCGAGCACTAGTGTTACCACACCAAGTGCTCTAGTAGTCCAGCTGAGTGGATTCTCTAACTGCACTACGCCTACGTCCAAGCAAATGACGCGTATAATAAAAGCGCCCCTGGCCACGATACATCTCATTGGCTTCAAAATACTGGGTCAGGGTCATAGCATGGACGAGATGCATGGATGAGCACTCGCATTGCAGAAATGAAAAAGGGGGGTAAAACCCGGAGAAAGAGCCTCATGAAGTCTTGTTCTGATTTACCAAAAGGCGGACTTTGCGCCACTCTTCAATTCGACTGCCTGTTGCTGAACAGACCAAAATTCAGTGGCACCGACCACCCTTAGAAAAGCGAATATTCGGTGTCCAGCGATCATCATGCAAACTGGTTCGGGCGGCATGTCGAACTAACGAATAAGTTTAATATACTCTAGACGATCGCTAGAGTCAGCCAGGAAAAATCATGGCTGAGGAGACGTTGGTGAGCCGAATCGGCATTCATGACAACCTCGATGAACCGGTGCCGTCATGGAATCGGCCAGGAGTCATCGTGACGGTTGGGGCGGCTATGACAGTGAGTAGGGCAAAACTGGAATGAAAAGGGCAGCTCTGACCCTTACGCGCCAGTGCCTTTCGTCCATTTGCGTGGTTTATCGACTCTACATCCGACTCTACGTCGTACGAGCTAAGGGCTGGGATGACTTTTTCGTCCTGTTATACCTCGTAAGATAGTACCGCTTTTCACAACATGGTCAGAACATTGTACTGATGGCGCGCCGAGAAAGATTACCGGGTTATTTAGTGGCATAGGAGTATGCACTGGTGAGTAGAATCATTTCTAAACCGGGGGCTTCGAAAAGCGTTGACATCTTCCAGCTCCTCACTTTGGGTTGGGTCAGCACTTTATCTACCTGAAACCAAGCGATATAGAAGGTTATCTTAGGGTATGAAAATAGTCATCAGGCCACGAAAGGGTCAACTTAGGATCTAATACTTACCTATGATCTGTTCTAGACATTTTACACAACAAACGCTGCCTATAATATGTCGACCACCTTCATCAAGATATCTCTCCTATTTCAATACTTGCGCGTTTTCCATACTGGCTATTTGCGAACCATATGCATCATCATGCTGGTGATTGTCGGCTTATGGGGCACGGTGTATTCTGCGATAGCTTGGGTCCCTTGCGTTCCCGTCAGCGGGTATTGGAAGCTAGGAATGGAGGCAAAGTGCTACGGATTCGGTTCCAGGAATGCCAACGAATTTTATAAGAGCTACCTGTCCCACACCGCAGTGAATATGGTGTTGGACATGATCGTCTTCACCATTCCGATTCCGCTCTATTTCCAACGCGACACGATCCGACGGACGAAGCTAGGATTGGTTGGTGTAGTTTCCACAGGCGCAGTGTTTGTGACTTACCGCCCTGTTATGGAATTGGTAGGCTAATGATCGACAGTGTAAATGGCCTTTCTATATGGCGGCTGGTCACGATAGTCGAGCATAGAGCTACGACGAGCCCGACATTCGATCCAACATGGTATGGAGCTATAAGTATTATGCTCGGAACATTGGAGGCTACGATAGCGAGGTTGGAACCACCCCCATATTCTCCAACGCATAACAGTTACTTACTTCTGAATTTACAGCATATGCGCATCTTTCCCTATCTTCTGGCCTTCGTTGAAAGTTCGACTCGATGAGATATTCGTCACTAGAGAGGTGACTATCACGTTGAACCGTCGATCGAACGGATTCTCAGTCGACGCCGGCGACGCGATCGAGCTCCAGCGTACGGCTAGCGAAGACCGCGACAACAAATGGAAGAGATGTCCCAGCATGGAAGGTAGCGAAACGAGCCAGAGTAGGCTGGCTGAACTAGCCCCCGTGGAAAAGAGAGCGCAGCATTATAAAGATGACTTCATCTTGGACCAGATAGATCCTCTCAGGAAGAACAGTGCCTTTGCTGTGGAGTCGGAGATCATATCGGAGGGTCTTAGCAGGCAGAAATCAAGACGCCCGTCTCGGGGCAAGAAATGATGAACGATTATTTAGATACCCTTTTTGATTTTTAGTTGAATTTTGAGGACCAGCAAGTCGACGAGCTGTTTCTGTTGTAGGGCGATTGTGTTATCTAGTCTCTACTAGATAGTAGATACTCAAGAAATACATGTCGGGATGACATCGGGAATTTCTATACTAAAGTCGTGGGTGAATGGTGCTATGCGAGGGGAGGTCACCCCTTTTTTCTATTCTATGATGGTATCGTATTGGAAGTATCGAGGGTCAATTGAAGGAGAGAAAAGTCCGATGTTGCATAATTGCATACCCAGGTTCCGGGGATAGCCGATACCCCAATTGGGCCAAGCAGCCAAGGCGACACTATCAGACTGCATCAGCTGACCGGGATGGACGGGTCGGCTATGTCCCTTCAGTGTATCTCCATCTGATAAGAGAGGTACTATGTAGTTGTTACACTGCGTAAGGTGAGATTCCAGGATACACAACAGCAGCCACGACATTAGTCTTGTGACATGGTACCGGGTAGGACGACTTATCCGTTGAATTGGATCGTTTAACCTTCGTCTCCCCTTCTTGTCAACCTTGCATCCTGCATCCTGCGTCCTAATTCTCCTCTCTGCCTACCTAATCATGCCTTCGAGCACCCATCACAGCTCATCAGAATGAAGCAACCCCATGGACTCCACACTGAGGGCCGTATCCCATCTTTATCGGCCGAAGAACGGAGGATATCGCGATGGCGATCGGTAGCAACTATCGTTATTGGGATTTTCTCTATACTGTCTCTACTTTACCAGCTGAATAGAGCGAGGGTGATAATCAATCCCAAGGGGGAAGAGCTAGGTTTCACAGATTGGAAGTGGAGTGATATAAAACCCAGTAGGTCACTCCACTGGCACCGCTGCTACAATGACACCTACGACTGCGCAAGACTGGATGTCCCGATGGACTGGCTCGACCCGTCCGATGACCCATCGGGAAGAGTTGTGCTAGCAATTACACGACTTAGAGCTACTGAGCTTGACAACTACCAAGGAAGCATAATCTTCAACCCAGGAGGTCCTGGTGGATCTGGCGTCTATGCGCTGAGAGACCGCGGCGCACTTCTGCAGACCATCGCCGGCAGGAACCACGATATCATATCATTTGATCCTCGGGGTATTGGCGCATCTATTCCGCGAATAGACTGCTGGGGCTCCGAGGAGAAGAGCCGGCTCTGGGCATTGCAGGACGTCGGCGTAGTTGACGCCCATCCCGGAGTCATCTACGACGCTTTCGCCCGAGCAACCGCTTTCTCACAGGCTTGCGAAAGGAATATGAACGACTCGGGACTGCTGTCGCATATTAGCACCGTTTCACACGCGCGCGACTTGCTCGAGATCCTGCACCAAACTGGGCAGGACAAGCTCAAATACTGGGGGTTCAGCTACGGAACAATCCTTGGCGGTGTAAGACCTTTTCATACTTGAGCCATTGACGAAAGCCAGGCTCAAATCTCAGACTATGGTATTATCAATATGAAGTTGCTAATCTTATGCAATATAGGTATTCGCAGCTATGTATCCCGATAAGGTCGAAAGACTTGTAAGCGATGGTAAGGAGCATGAGATTAACCAGGATATTGAGTGACGCTGAAAGGGGTATTCGCAGGCAACGTAGACTATCAAGAGTGGCATTGGCACTCTTACGTAAACTTCTTGCACGATACCGACAAGGTCATGGAGGCTTTCTACGACTTTTGTCATAAAGCCGGCCCTTCCACCTGCGATTTCTATGCCTCGTCTCCGGCAGCCATAGAAAAACGGCTCGCTAGCCTTCTAGCACGAGTCCGAAAACACCCGATCATTGTGCCGGCGTCTGAGAAAGGCCCAGACATGCCTCAGTTGATTACATGGTCGAACCTCAAGCGGCTGGTCTCCGCCGCATTATACCGGCCAATTTTCATGTTCAAGGATTTTGCCAAAGTCCTCAAGTCCTTAGAAGACGGGGATGGTGAGCCTTTCTACCGACTAGTGAAATCTGAGGACTCCACGCCTATCTGTTCTATCGAAGCTATCCCGCCAAACGTACCACGGTTAGAAGAGGGAAACGCTGATGCCTTTCCTGCGATTCTTTGCGCCGATGCACCTCCGGTCGAAGACACGGTAGAAGAGTTTGCTGACTTCGTTGAGGAGCTCATGCATATCAGGTAGGTCTACTCTGATGAGTTGACACGCATAAAACTGGATGAGCTTATCATAGGTATACATAGTTCTGCGGCTGGCGATGTCAATGCTCTCTTCAGGATGGCCTGCGTAGGCAGAACCGTCAGACCTAAATGGAGGTACACAGGCCCTTTCGAAGGGAACACAAGCCATCCAATTCTCTACGTAGCTAACGTGGCCGACAATGTATCGCCGCTTGTCAGCGCGAGGAACAACTCTCGGGGATTTCCAGGGTCTGTCGTCTTAGTGCAAAACTCCTACGGGGTAAGAGATCTCGTCGCCTCAGGTCGCATATGTGTCCAGACTAACATCAAAACCCCACTCACAGCACACCAGTCTGTCAGCAGCCTCAACTTGCACAGCCGGATATATTCGCGCCTACTTTCAGAACGGCACACTCCCAAAACCAGGGACGATGTGCGAGCCGGATTATACACCTTTCGAGGACGTGTATCCAAAAGCTGGAAACGAACTGACTATGGCATCTTACGAATTGATGAACCTGAACAGGGGTTTCATACCAGGGCTAGAACTTCAGTTACCGTGAAGCATGGCGTTGTGGTGTCGCTTCTATCCTGATTCGTTGTAGCCGCTAAAGTATTCCTCCAATCGCTTTTTGTATATGCATGCAGATATTTTGATCAAACAATAAGACATTACATTATGAGTGACGCTGTTTGAAGCTAACCTAGAAAAGAAACGATGTATCAAATGATTGATTCAATCTATCTATTTGTTACTCTACGAGGTTATTCTTATCACTAGCAACTAGTTAGCAAATGCCGTTGAGGACACAAAAAGGGCATACTCACGGTAACTCGAAGTTTGGTATGAAGAGTGATCCGATGAAGGCGACTGCCGAGGACCCTACAGCTGCGTATGTCATATATTTCATGACTTCCGTGAACTGCTTTGGAATGAGTATGTGCCAATATATCGCTTTTGAGCCCAGTTACTCACCGCTAAGTTGACGGCTGTCCGCGCAGGCGTACCCCATTCAGGCGCAACGCCCGTAATCGAGTTCACCAATGCCGATACAGCTTCTGCGGTCGCTCCGTTGCCCAAATAGTGCCACAGTTCGGGCTCAAGCGTACCAGTATAAATTCCACCGGCGATGCAGGCCCCTACGCTACTCCCAACGAAGGCAAAGCAGATGACTAATGCAGTTATTTGTGGCATTTCTGCGTGGGGAACGACAATCTGGGCGGGGATGAGCAGGGTGGAACCGACCATACCGCTACCGATACCCTGGATTAGCTGGACGACGAAGATCTCCGCGATGCTATTCTGAGAGCCTCTTAGACGCAGCATTACACCGTAGCCAATTAAGCGGATAGTCGCGCCCAATACACACACCCACTTGTAACGTCGTGTTTTAGCCATGAACACGCCTATAATGATCCCAAATAGACATTGAGTGACTCCGTTCGTATCTTGCGCTTGTTAGTACTGAGATCAAATCTAGGCCTCCAGCATCGGAGATTCAATTTAAGCTCAACTTAAGCTCAACTTACAAGTGAAAAAGGTTGCGTCGCGAGCGTTTAAACCTCGAGCGACGGTGACCCATGTATAGATGTATGTATCTAAATCCCCAAGTATTTAGCGCTTTGCTGCATATTAAGCGAATAAGATACTCGTAAGGGAAAGGAAAATGTAGGTCTGATCTCGGAGACGACAATAGGTATGGATCTTACGTGTTGCAGAGAAGCCAACGCTGTCCAGAGCTATAAGCAAGCAACAGAGGACAATCGTGGGGTCCATGAAATAATGAGGAGGTACCACTGGGTGTTTCGCAAAATAGTGTTCGTAAAAAGGGAGCACGATGAGCAGTGCTCCGCCAAGTACAATCAAGGCGATAATCCATGGCGTTTTCCAGGCCGATGGCGTAGTGGCTGCGAGCGTCATTGGTATGAGCAAGAGAGCCAGGCCACCGCTAAATAAGGCCACACCGCCAAGGTCAATCTGCGAGCAGAACTCGTATAGGGAAATTTTTGGTTTAGGTGCGAGTCCCTCCTTTTCCGCTTTCACTTGATAGTACAATAACGTAGTAACAATGAAACTCGCACAGAAAGGCATGATAATGGCAAAGAGACCGATCCCCCAACGCCATCCGATGCCGCCGGGTGCCGTCACGCTATCGACTATAAACGCAGCCGTCCATGGCGTTATTAGAAAGGGCCAGAACGAGAGGGCAATGCCGAAAGCTCGATAGCGGGCGGTTGTCAAGTCAGCGATGACGATATCATTCATCAAGTTGGTTGAGGATTGTCCTATGGAGTAGAAGACGGAGCCGGCGGCGTAGGCATTGAATGTCCTAGCCGAGGCCATGATGATGTAAGACAATATGTAAAATAACATGGCGATGCAATAGGTGCCGCCGCGGCCGATAACGTTCGACAGCTTAGCCATAGGCGGTTTTATAACGGCGAAGATGATCGTTCCGGCGGTGCTCAGGGTTGCGAGTTTAGACAACTCCTGAAATTCGGACGAAGCATAATTGCGATAGATGTAGAGGGTGCTGTTGTCTATTTCGTACACTATCATGATCAGACATAAGCTAAGGGGAGATGTCAGCAGTCTCTATCTTAGACACCAGGCAGCTTCTTAACCAATCTTACCCAGCAATGACTAGCCATCTACCTTTCTTGCCCCAGATGACCTGAACGGCCTTAATGGCCGTTGTGCCTGTCTCGACGGGGACATTGGACGTTGCCTGCTTCTCGGAATCCGTCTTAGTCGGCTCCGCATTCACATCCTCGGCTACGTCCCGACTACTCGGGGATGTGGTGACAACCGGTTGACGCGTCGGGGGTTCGTCAAGGGGCCCGGCGCCGATTGCCACCCGGAGAAGGTGGAAAACGCGCGACATAGCTCATTAAAATGCAATATCCGATATCCAATATCTTGGAGATATGTCGCGAATAAGGATAACGGTAAGCTTCATCTAGTTTATATACCACCAACTGGTGAGTGTCTATCAGATAGAAGCTAGTTGTTGTAACGTTCCAAGTTTGTTTAAGCTGGGTTGTATCTGGGATCCAGTACCCAGTAGGCACGAAGGGTAGGCGCGAACCTCCCGATCGTAACTACCTACTCATCCCAATTAAGTTCCAAGTTTCTGTCGAAGCTTATCTTTTGGAAGCGTCAGGGTGCGAGCACGGATGTTGGATATCTTTACCTATCGTGACTCCCGGATTGGAAGACTTGGTGGGATAATGTGGGGGTGGCTGGGGTGTGATGGTATGATCCGGGGTCCCAAGAATTATGCATATAATGGATATCTTTAATCACAACCCTTTTATTAAATTTCACCAATCCGCTTACCAAACCCCGCCCCCTTTTTTTACGCTTCAATCAGCATTTTCTAGACTTGTTTTGCTCCTCATAGTGCACGACCGCCTTCTCGACGGCCTGAAAAGCTCTTCTAGAGTTCTATCATATATCTCGGGGAAGATAAAGTAGACGAATGCGATTTAAAGCGATAGAAAGCGGTAGTATGAGATGAGGTACCTCTAGCTCACATTCGCTGGCCCGATGGGGTTGACGAACATAGAAGAAACCGGTCAAGCGTCCGAAGAGCTGAAAGAATGCGATACTCCGAGAACGCTCATCATATGGCCGCAACTCGACCAGATACGCTACATTGCGAGCCAACAATCTTGACACTCAATGTAAATGTAAATCTGCGAAAGCAATCTCACTCACTATAGGTCAAGGCATTGTATCCATTGTTATAATGATTTGGATCTGATTTTGCGTCTGGCAAGCCGTTTGATAACAGGCGAACGATGCTCCCGCATACATATCTAGGTTACATATATAGGTACAGATGTCTGGAAAGATGTTGCTAATTGTCACTAACCAGATGGCCGGTAATGTGTCGGCTAGTACCTGTATTACACGTTGCATCCTACAAAACCTCAATTCCCATATCTTGGTTATTTTCAGGCTAAATTGAACCAGCCCAGGCTGCTGGTATTGTATACCACACGACGCTATCGACCCGTGGCTGGTGACGGCTGAATGAAGTGGCCATATTCTGAGCTAATGGTTTAGGAACTCCTTTGTGTATATACGCTCTTATACTATATGTATTTAAGTATGCAGCCTTGGTTGGTTTACGCCCCTTAACGTCCGACTTCGCCATTCTCTTTTAATTATAGAGGCCTTCTCGTGAGTCGGAGTCTTCCCTGGAATTATTTATACCGGTAAGTTAGGTACATATTATAACAATACTGTCGGCTTATATGGACTGTCAGATTAGGTGTCTGGGACGCAAACTACCTGCTGTACGCAGTTGAGGTCCATACCAGGTTGTCTAGGACATTAACTGAAGAGAAGGTTACCTAAGCACGTTAGAAAATGCATTAGGAACAGTAACACGGATAATCCCTTCAGAGTATGCCTGCGCCTATGCGCAGGCCCAAAAGATACATGTAGATTACATAGCCAATTCCTACAGCTTTTATACAATGGACTCCGTGCTATGCAGCATCTATGATACACACTGATTACTATTATCCCTGTCGTATAGTCTCCTATCTGCCTGGCCTCGACAGATGCTGAACGGCGGCCATCCATTTTTGTTCGTCGTTGCTGTAATCCTGTTAGTGAGGATAACTAGTAGCATGAAGTAAGTTTCTTACCGATCAAACCGCAATAGCTTTCCCAACACAGGTACCAACTGTGCTCGGGTTTTCTCATCCTTCATCTCGAGGAATTGCAGTAAGATAGCTTTCAAGTACATCGTGTCTGGGCTAGGAGATCCGGCAGATGCGCCGTTCGCACCGCTCCGTGTCGAATCGGTGCTAGATCTTCCACTGCTCGCAACGTTTGGTGTGCTGCCGCCACCAACGCCAAATCTGGCTTGGATATTTTTGAGCTCCTTGTTCGCCTTTTCGTAACGTCCTCTGGCCTCATCCAAAAGCTTCCGTAGATCCGAGCGTTGCTTTTCGGCATCACGCACTTGTTGCTCGGACGCGTCCAAAGCGGATCGTAAGTTAGTGATCGCCGTGCGCATATCCTCAACTTCGGCTGCGGATTTCTCTTCCACTTGCTCGAGCTCTTCACGGCGGCGGCGCCACTCTCTCTCGTGGGCTTCCAGCTCGTCCTTCTCGCTAGAGAGGGTTCGGACCTCACGCTCGAGCTCGCGAACTTTGTTTTTGAGTTCTTCAGATTCGCGGACGCGACGTCGAGCAAGGGTAGACAACTCATCTTCGATACGGTCACGCTCTTCGACAGCTGCATCCATTCGAGCACGCATTTCCCGCACTTTCGCATCTGCTCGTCCATCCACATCCGCAAGCATGCGCCGCATCGTTTCACCCTCACGCGTTCTTTCAGAGAGGTGCTTTTGCACTTCTGCTAATTCCTCCTCCAAGCTTTCTGTTTGGCTTTGCGCTTCCTTGAGTTGGATCGATAGCTCGGCCGTTTGGTCACGCATGGAACCGAGAAGACCTTGAGCGTTGTTGTATTGCTGCGTTTTCAGCTCTACTTCCTCTCTAATAGCATTCTTCTCCTTCTTGGACTTGGCAACCTCGTCCTCGAGCTGCTTAACCTTAGGACGAAGTGTAGTGAGTTCGGATTGTAGTGATTCTAACTCGCGAGTAGCCTTTTCTGCTTTGGCGGATAGCTCGATCTTCTCGGCTTCAGCACGGCGATAGTCTCTACCGGCGATACGTTTCTCATCCTCGAGTCTAACTCGGGATGTCTTTTCAGTAGTCAGTCTGTCATTGAGTAGTTTAATCTCGGATTCACGGTCAGAGGCTAAGCGTTGAGCTCTGGCGAGGTCGTTCTTAAGGTCCTTCTCACGCTTCTCAAGATTACGGAGCTCGTTCTGCTTAGAGGCCAACTCTTCCTTGGTAGTTTTTAGTGTCGCAGATTCTTGGCGCAAGCTTCTAAGCTCAGGTTGGGCCTTGGTCAGAACTTCGCGCAAATCTGTGAGGTCCTTATAGCGACTCTGAGCTAGTTGTTGAGCGGCACCTAGATCCGACTGCAGCGTTTGGGATTTGATCTTTAGCTCGTCAAACTCAGCCTTCATGGAATCGTACTCTGCTTGTAGTTTTGAGCTGGCCTCTGTGTTAGAGGCAAGGGAGCCTATCTCCTTCTCCAACTCCGCGATTCGAGATTTCAACGCTGTCTTTTCAGACTCAAGGCTCTTGATTCTCTCCTTAGCCTCAACGTGGTCATGACCAATACTAACTAGACTTTCATGCATGTTCTCAATCTCATCCCTGAGATCCTCTTCGGTCTTTCTCTGCTTGGACAACCGCTCAATTTGAGTATCTTTCTGAGTGATTTCATCCTTGAGTTTAGATACTTCGGCTTTAAGCGCCTCCGTGTCTGGACTTTCGAGAGGAGACGGTTGAGGGGTCTCGGACGTCTCGCTTGCGGCAGTCTCTATGGTATTGGTAGCAGTAGCAGATGTGCCGGCGCCACCCTTCTTCTTCTTCTTGTTCTTCTTCTTAGACCCGGTGGGCGTAGGCGTAGAAGCAGGCGTGGGAACTTCCAGTGACTCTGATTTCGGTGCTTGTGTAGGTTTTGCGGTAGACTGGATTTGCTTATTCAGTTGCTCGATCTTCACTTCACTCTCGGATTTTGACTTCTTCAGTGAGTCAATCTCAGTAGTTAGATCGCGCACTTTTGTTTCAAGCTTAGATTTAGCTTCACCGAGCTTCTTGAGTTCCGTGTCGAGTTCCGCATTCTTAGTACTCGAGATCTCGAGTTTAGATTCCTGTTCCTTTGCGACTGATGAGACCCTCGACTTTTCCGTCTCGAGATTTGCTTCCAAGCTTCGCAGCTGTGATTGAGCTTGCGCCAATTTTTCGGTAAGCGACTGGATCTCGACATTCCTGGCATTAAGCTGTGTTTGCATCGAATCCTGAACAGCAATGTTGTCTCGAGTTTCACTCAATTCTCTTGTTGCCTTCTCAAGACTCTCCACCAAGCCGGAACTGTTTTCCTTGGCTACTGTTAACTCTTCCTTTAAGATGGTGATTTCAGAAGTTAGCTTGGCAATCTCTTCTGACTTAGACGCCAGCTCAGCTTGAAGCTGAGGAATCTCGTCGTCGTATGAAAACATATCTTCGCTCATGCCGTTAGGTTCGTCGACAACTACGGGCTTTTGTCTAGGAGAAAAGACACCGAGAATAGACGAGACTGGGGATTTGCTCGCAGAAGGCGAAGCGGCCTGTTTTGCTTCCTCCTCGGACTTTTTCTCTCCTGACAGATCCTCTTTCTGGCCATCGCTCGATGTTGGCGTTTCCTCGACCTTGGCACTTTTTAGAGCGGAAATCTCTTCTCTTAAAGCGATGAGTTCCTTGTCAGCCTCTTCAAACTTCTTTTTGAAGCTATCCTTCTCAGTCGAGACGCGTTTAAACTCGTCCATAACCATGTCGCCCTTCAAGTTCAGCTGATTCAAATATTCGACGAGGGCGGATGGGTCCTTGATCGTAGTCAGGGGTGTGTTCTCGCGCAGCGCTCTCTCGAAAGGCTCGATCGACGTAGCTCTACCATGTGCGATTCGATATGAACGTAAGAGTTCTACCGGATTGGTTATATAATTAGCGCTCATGGTATAGTGAAGTACTTAGTAAGAGTAACTAACCTGGATATGTAGCCTCTAATTTCTCGAGTTTTCTCAGCTTCATCTTTACCTGAGGCGGGAGCTCTGTCGGGGCGGTAGACGGGACGTCCTTGGGTTTCTCTTCTGTCCCGGCGCTAGTTCGATCTTTGGCGTCTCCGTTCTGCTCGGTCGACGCATCATTCTTCTCATTATCCGCTACAACCTCCTTTGCATCTTTCTCGGGCGGCGCAGGTGGTATTTGAACGGAGGCGGGATCTGCATCCTCGTCATCGAGCACGAAAGCGGCTTCGAAGACAGCGGGATCGGGGTTCGGAGCACCATCGCCATTAGAGTTATCCTGACTAGGCTTCTTAGTCTTCCTCCTGGCGGACGAGTTGGTACTATTTGTTCTAGAGACCGAGCGTGGGCGTTGGCCTATGGCTGAAGGAGAGCCGGCATTGGACCTTTGCTCTGCGAGAGCTTTCTGGCGAGCTTGCTCTTCGGCGATGCTCCGATCGATCGCACCCTTTATTCTCTGCGCAAATAATATGGTAAGAGGAATTCTTTGAATTTGTATTGCGCTAGCTAGCTAAACGTGTAGTAGACATGATAAAACATACGGATAACATGCTGACTTGACGACTGGACGACTGGACGACTTAACGAACGACCTTATTTTAAGGCGTCGACAAAAAGTGCGGCAATTGTATGAGACCAAATGTTGTAGCCATGCGCGTAGAGATCACCAAAGAATTCTACGAATCTTGTAAGTCAAGAGTAAAGGGGACGGCCAAGGACATGTGATGGGTTACTAGGGAAGTGGTAGTAGTAGACTAGTAGATCAAGGTTGAAGTAATAAGGTGAAATGCTAAAGTCTACAATTGCGCAGTGCCGTCTGAGGTAATCTTTGGCTTTAGGTTGATCTGTCGTTCTGGTCGCACTTGGTCGCAAATATTTAAAGTTGGTCCAATCACATCTAGCACCTGGATAGCCCTATCAGGTTGATGTACCTGAAACGTACACTTTCATGACAGAGTGATGCATGGGGTACGCACATCTACATAGACATCCCGGCACAATTAGTGTACATAAATTGTGGACTTAGCCACACGCAATACAATAATTGTCGACAGCCAATGGTTTTATTTTATTGTTGTCCTTAATTGCTTCACCTGTAATGTCGTCACAACTGTCATCAGGTCTTAATTCTTCTGCTTGCCTAACACAACGTTAGGCAGTTCCGTCTATCCTTAGCCTATTTCCTATGTACTTGTAGGTATTAGGTATACTTCCTATTTATTGTTGTTCTTCTTCCCACTTCCATTTCTTTGCCCCCTTACCACTCAAACGACTCGCCATGCTCTTTCGACGGTAGACGTCATTCTAATATCGAGATCATGGTGTCTTTCTGGCCTTGGAAGGTAAGTGGAGAAGATACTGAGCTTACAGGTGGTGGAAATAGCTTCCAGAACTCATATTTATATATATATATATCTACTTGGGCAGGCAACATGGCTGACTAGATGTTCGATCTTCAACAGGGCCATGACTCTTCCCCATCTTCATTTGAGAAAACGCTATCAACCCTCTCAGACAAGATCACGAAAACCACGACCAAACTCGACAAGGCGCGATCCAACTCTCGCCGAATCAAGATTCTGTGGACCCTATATCTCACATTTGCCTACCTCGTCTACGCCATCGTCCTGACCCTGGTGGTTGGATGGCAGAATTTGGGACCATGGGAATTTACCGGGATGGCCGGTGGCCCTATATTGTATGTTTCTACCCTACTCGGCTTTGTATAATATTGGAAATCCTGTTATGCTGACGTGCTGAATTACTCAGGATTTACCTTGTCCGCACATTTACAAATGCCTATTTCAGTTATCGCATCGATAGCCTAGAGGCTCGCCTAAAGGACCACCAAGCTGAGCGCGCGAAGACGATTCAAAAACTTAAGGATGCTACCAAATATGACTCCACCCTGGAATTACTTGAGAAGTATGGAGGGACTGGAGAGAAGCGAAATCAGCCTAAGAAGCAAGAGGAAGTAGAGGAGCGAGAGGACCACGGCAAAGGCCAGCAGAGAAAGGTGTCAAACACAGGCTCTGTCCCTCCTAGCGCAAGGATCAACATACCTCCTCCACCAACAGCCAACATTCAGAGACCACCCTCTCGTGCTCCGGTCCTAGGCCCCATGCAACCCCGCCAGGATCCCTCTCTCATGCCACGTCCGCATACGCCTCTGGATCAACAACCAACGGAAGAGTTCGCGCCCAACGCTGGGCCACTTCCGATCTCCTATGCTCAGTACGATATGAGCCCGGGTCCGCCCCGCTGGTACGACCGAATCATGGATCTTATGCTGGGCGAGGACGAGACGGCATCGAAGAACCGCATCGTGCTGATCTGTAAAAAGTGCCGATTAGTGAACGGACAGGCACCCCCGGGAACCAAATCTTTGACCGAGTTGGGAACGTGGAAATGCATATCCTGTCGATCATTAAACGGAGAGATAGACGAGGGCAAAAAGATTATCCGAGAGGTCCTCGAATCGAAGAAGTCAAACGCCGGTCTTAGGAGCGAAGATAGGGATAGTGACATATCGAGCGACTTAGTCAGAGTTGAGCACGACAATGAAAGTACAGGAAACACTGATGGAGAGGCATCTGGTACAGAGCAACGGAACCTGAGGCATCGAAACAAGAAATCTCAGATGGTCCCATAACGCATTCATGATCTCAATCTCTTTAATATATCATTTATGTTTCATTTGTGCTTCAAACTACCTAACTCATATCATATACTTTTAATGTGAGGAATAGGAAGGTTGCGGAAGTGCCTATTTGAAGACTATCGCCCTTCTATCACATCCCTCGAGTTTTAAATACCCGGCCTAAGTTACTTAGGCCTCGCCTCATCTGGTCTTTGTTTTTCACCCGTTTCAAGCTTACCACTCTATACTTCGAATGATCACGAGCATCTCCCATTTACCATACCATAAGACATTCTTCATATACCTCAGATAATGGCCAATAGCTTCGACCATGATTCTTGACTGTATATCATTCTAACAGTTCATTCGATTCTAACGGCCCTCACACGATACGTCTGGCCAATATGAAGAGGCCCTGTCGTCTTATATACCCCTTTCCAACCTCCAATCAGCTTACCTAAAATACACTATCAGAGACACCCGGTTTCATATCTCCATGATATGCATGGCATGCATGAAGTTCTTGCAACCTTCATCTATCTTACACTGCTAGATCAAGATAATTTTATATGACGGTCACTCTGCAGCTTCGGTCGACGCCGTACCCGTGGACCATTCACGAGCTATTGATGATCATCTGGATGCGGGGTTAAGGTGCTAGATGCTCCAAGAACTCCGCCCCCGCGTAGTATCCCGACGTATCTACCGAGATGCATCGTAGCCCATAGCCCTATAACTCGCTAGCCATCGAGTACGACTCCGCATGCGGCTATGGCGCCTGGTTTAACGGGCTTAGCACCCATGTACGCGTAAGTTGGCGCCCAATAGACGGGTAGATCTCTACTCCAGCGGGTAGGCCGGTGCAGAAACCGAGCTCGATGTCTTTTACCTCACTGGATCTCGTTGGATCTTGCTGCTACCTTCTAACTTAAGAAAGATTGTTTTCCGTTACCAAGACACCGTATTATCGTCTTTATGATGCACGTGTTCGTCGTATGCCTCGTGAGGACAGACTGAGATGTGCGCCACTCGGCGAACATCTCCTTCTAGGAAGGTAATGGATGCATCTCGACGCAAAATGTCGTCGGTATAAAATGAATAGTAAGGCCTTTCAAGGCCCAATGAAGTCTGCAGAAAGTTAGGTCCGCGCCAGCTGAAATGGCTTCGCGAGACATATAAAAGGCCGCCGTCAGGTGCGCCTCTCCAGGGAAGATATCCCCATCCGCCAAGCCCCTACAAGTCGAGTCCTCCGAAAATCAGGTCCTCTGAACCCGTGCGGTCTTGAGTAGTCGAAAGGATGAGGCTGTCCCTTACGCTTCTGTCCGCTGCTTTGGCGGCCTCCGCGGCCGCCATTCCTTTGACGCTAGACTACTCGGAGAGTACCATTGCAAAGCTCAAGGCGCGGCAGACCGCTAGCGCAGCGGGAAGTATACAAAGGCGTCAGTCGACGGGAGACACGGCGAACGAGTTCCTCGACGGGGGCTGTCGAGATGTTATCTTCATTTTTGCGCGCGGCAGCACCCAAGACGGTAACATCGTACGCCTACCCCCCTTTCTCATTACTCGTTCCCTGCCTGGGCTTCTGAGTCTCACCGTCCATGTACACTAACACTTCCGTAGGGCGACGACCCAGGTCCGCAAACCATCGACCAGCTCAAGGCCGCACTGGGCACAGACACCGTGGCGGCTCAAGGCGTCGACTACCCGGCCCTGCTGATCGACAACCTCAGAGCCGGTGGTTGCGACCCCGCCGACGCGGACAACATGCGCGCGCTCATCACGCAAGCCGCGACGCAGTGTCCGACGGCGAAGCTCGTCGTCTCGGGCTACAGCCAGGGGGCGGCGCTGGTGCATCGGTCGGTCGAGGCCGCGGAGGCCGGCGTCAAGGAGCGCATCTACGCGGCGGTGACGTACGGCGATACCCAGAAGGCGCAGGATGATGACCATATTCCGGATTTTGATCCTGGCAAGACTTTGATTCTGTGCCATGATGGGGACGAGGTGTGCGAGGGCACGCTGATTGTTACGGATGCGCATTCGGGGTATAGTGACCTTGCGCCTGAGGCGGTGAGCTTCATTGTGAGTAAGGTTTAGAGGGCCGCTGGTTTTGGGATGGGGTTGTTGAGCGTTTGATACGAGCCTGGGTGCCTTCAGGAGTTAGGTAATTGCGGAAAGGATAGGATATTATGATAGGTATCATCCTGAGTAGGTACGAATAAAGTTAATGATTGTAAAGAAATGAGACATATTCTCTGAAGTAGTAAATGGCAAGTACTAAGAATGGACCTGGATCGAACATGATGTGCGGCAACTCGCCTGTTTCCAGCATCGACGCAAGATAAAACTCGTAAATAGCAATGTAGTAGTATATCAGTCTGGAGTAAGAATGATGGATTGGTCGCCCTCATTGCTGCTAAATCCAACGCAGAGTGTTATACTTGTTTGGCTCATGATCGGCCAGTTCGAGAAATCCCTATTCAAGTTTGGATCTGTAAATCCCACAAAGCCTACCTAGGTGCGCAGACTACAAATTTTAACGTTGGAATTGCTAAGATTAATACTTAGAACGCAGCCAATAGGCTAGTTAGACTGGTATCTAGGCTGATATGGTCGCTTCGAAGTACGAAGTCTCTCAACCCCGAGAGGCAAAACACGAATGCGGCGCGAATATAAGATGGACGATAGGGGCATATAATTCAGATCTACGTATATCATCTTTATAATTCAGCACTTCGCCCTGAGAGCGTAGATATAACGGAGATTAGGAGGCATATCTGCATAGGTACCTGTTATCTACATTCTTACGTACCTGCATATGATCGAATTTTTCTTATTCTATATGTACCGGACTTTGTTAAGCGTTCCAGATTTCATGCCGGATCCTTAGCTAGGTATATTACAGGAAAGTTGAGATGGGACTAACTACATCTGCATCGCAACGACGATCACGAATCCGCTACCAAGCAACCGAAGTGAGTTGTACACGGTCTATGCGCCATATCCGCTCGACAAACAGCCATCCATGGTTAGAATGCGCTGGTCAAAGCCTTCTGTCCAACAACTGGTGTCATCTTACAATATCGTCAAGTGTATCCCATATCGTAGGTTACTTCTTTCCCCGGCGAGGGCGCTGGTGGTGCTTAGGCCTGTCAAACATCACACAACACCGACGGCCATAGATCTTCTTAACCAGGCGTGATATTGAGTTTTATCCAAATAGACTGATGAAATATCATAGCTACGTCTTGATGGTTCTTACCTGCTTGTGATTCAAAGTGTATGGTGACTTAAGCTTGATATTCCCCAAGACATGCCCACTCAAGTATTAGATATAGGTCGAGTGGAGGATGAGAAGAATAAGCAGATATTGACGCCATTTATTGAATATATGCACACTCAGCTCGATATAGGGAAACACATCCGATGTATGTCAGCCGTTCTTACTAGAGTGGTTGAGATATTGAGAATGATATTGTCACTCAATTGTCAGCATCAGCGGAACTTGCCTTTGATCTTCTGGTGCGGAATCGACATTGACGAATGCGCATCAAATCGCCAATATAGCTTCAACATGAGCGAATTAGATAAAAGTTCTTTGCACTCGTTCAGCCGTCCGTCGGTTGTCATGCAAGCCACGTAGGTACATAACAGGCATGTAACCTTTCAACTAATAAGCTTTTAGTCACCGTGATTCCACGTGTGGGAGGCGAGTGCATAGGTATGTCGTGTTAGGTAGTGCAATAGTAAGCGAGTCTGGGGTCTGACGCACGTGGGTGTGCCTGAGCGTGGGCTGACGACTGGTTGCATATTCCGAGTCTCTCGTCGACAGCGCGAACCGGTAGTTGTGGGCTTAAGCGAGCCGTTAATTTAAGTTGTCACACTTCTGAGGCAGCGGCTTGGTTCGAAGATCTCGGCTTTGGGGCCGAGCTGCCGGCAGTTATCTCTGTATGTTCAATAACAACACGGGTTGAACTGTGCCGTTTTTACTTTGAATTATTCAAGGCACCGATGCTTAATAGGTAATCTGTGAACTTCGAGTTATGCTGGATAGAAATCATCGAGTCTGTTATTCTTGACCCCTGCACCTCGTACATAATCACTCCTCATTCAGAAAATCCTTCCTCCGCATCCATAGTCAATGATCGACGATCTTTACTAACAAAATACCTTACACGATGTTTGGAAGATACTGTAACATGGTCGAATGGCCTCGGATTTTAACTTGGCCCTTGCTCGATGCAAGTGTGCATCTCACAAAGGAGATCATTCTCTCCTGGTTTAGGAAAAAGCATCGAGGACTACCTGATCTGGTAAAGCTTAGCAAATCCCAGGGCTGATGGCAGAATAGAGCTTAGCTTGAAAACGCCGTGGGCATGGCGCCATCTAGTATCAGATAATCACATAAGGTAAGGCGGAATATTCCATAATCCTTGCCATATTCTGACCAGACAAATCTTTATGAATAATCTCGGTCGTCCGAGCGTGTCATCGGATGAAGCGGGTTTAACAAATCTTCCCTGTTCCTGTCCCCCCACCGCGGCATCTGGGCGCTTGTGTCGAACCAGATATGGTTAATACGACCTCCATAAGGCTTGTCACGATGGGGGCATCATAGTTATTCCGAGCCTTTGACTATCTACACAGGGGTGTACGCGTCTTATGCACGACAAATCCTAGGTTAACATCAATGGAGCCTTGGGACAGGGATTATCTCTCATTTTTATACATGTCATTTTCTCTCTCTCGCATTGTTTTACGCTTTGTCTACAGGATGATGTTTCTTAGTCAGACCTACTTAACCAATACCCAAATAGTGCGCGAACTCGTTCGAGTATGCTATCCTCCTCAGCGTCAGAAAGAGACTAGAGCAGAAGAGATATGCTGCTGATCGTTGTGGCGGATCAGCTGCCCTGCTTTACCCGTCAGCCCCGACCCTGGAATCGGACAGGCCATGTTCGAGAATGCAGACCGATGTAACTCTGGATTACCGATATGCAGTTATCATTGCCAATTGCAGCCAACAACACCGCCTTAGCAAGCTTTCGAAGTTTCACGACTACTTAGCACATCGATGGGATTCTTGATACGCACAGAAATCGACGTAATAAAGGAGAGAAGTAGGTAGATACGACAGATACGACTAAGTATAGTACTGTTATCCTCGACATTAGTTGCCCTGTTATTCCCTCCCCCTCGGCATAACTTTATTGATGAGGTCGTATTCTTCGTTAATTCCTGCATTTTGACGTGATGAAGGTTAGGGTCTTCAATCCGGGGCAACGGTTTTTTTTTCGCTTGTTTTCGAAGGATTCCATAGACGTTAGTGGATCTCACGCATGTATCAAATCCTATCACTGACATGACATATCAGCGGCGTGTAAGCTGTAATCCATAAAAATATTGCCAAGCATTCGCATCCCTTGCCGTCACCTGTTTTAATTTCTACGCCCCTGATTTGCTGTGCCTGTTGGTAGACCTCGATCCCATATCTTTTGCGGTGAGGTGCACCTAGTATTACATCTAGATTATTATCCATCTTTGATAATCTGAGAAAAAAAACCCAAAAAAAACCTCGAACTTTCACTGACTCGATGCCTTCTTTTTCTCCGCGTTGTTTTCGACACCACGTGTGAGGTCTGGTAAATCGAGACTCTGCGGCCATTCGTTTGTTCCGTGGGTCGTTGTAGAGGAGATTATGTCGCAGTTCCGCTACTCGACCGATAACTTCAATGAACCGGAACCCATATCCAACAGACCAGCGACGATATGGGGTGTTGTTATATCGTGCCTGGTATGTTACTCACCACTAGAATTTTGGCTTGATATAATGAAGTACGTTTCTCACACTTAAATTACAGATAGTCTCGTGGATATGTGTTAGCCTTCGACTATACGTTCGACTACTGGTAGTCCGGGCTCCGGGATGGGATGATTTATGTGTCTTGCTCTATTTGGTAAGTAACGCTTTCGTACGAGGACCAGCGGATCTCAGGTTAACACAACTCACGCGGCAAGCTCATGGTCACTGCCGGATCGATAGCAGTATGTGTCGGCGTCACAACCGGCCTTGGCAAGCACTTTTTGCTTCTTGAACCCTGGCAAACTAAAGGTTTCTTGAAGACATTTTATATCGGAAACGCCACCTACGTGACTGCGACGGCACTGATAAAAGAAGCACTTTTGCTCCAGTATCTTCGCATCTTTGAACGGGGCATCTTCATGCGCCGGCTTCTAATTTTCTTAATCATATTCACGGCCTTGTGGGGAGTGGCGTTTTCTTTCCTTGCCTGGGTACCCTGCGTACCTGTATACACGTTTTGGGATACCGGAGGAGGACCGAATTGTTTCGGCTACGGCTCATCGTATGCAGCTCCTTTTATCGCCACTTTCGAGAGTCATGCCGCCATTAATATGGTACTTGACACTCTGGTCCTCATCATCCCGCTCCCATTATTCTTCAAAGATGGCGCCACAACATGCACCCGCATACGGCTCGTTGGCCTGCTCTCCATGGGCATCTTGTAAGTTTACCCTGGTCCTGTGCAATCTGCCGAAGGGCCGCATCACTCACCAAAGACATCTAGCGTTCTCGTTTTTGCGACCTGGCGGCTAGTGACAATTATTGAGCACCAAGTCGCGACTTGGCCCACTAGGGATCCGACATGGTACGGGCCCATCAGTATCGTTTTGGCTGTTCTTGAAGTAGATGCAGCATCTATATGTGCCAGCGTTCCGATATTCTGGCCGGTGCTGCGAAATATGGAATGGGGCAAGATATTTGTGACGCAGGAGGTTAACATCACGAGGGAGACGCGGTATATGGACGACGACGAAGATCGGTTGACACGAGACACGAGCCACAGCAGGACTGGCAGCGAGGCAGACTTAGGGGGCGACAGCGGAAGGAAAGTCATGAGGAATAAGGGGATGTATTACCAGGATTCGTACGTCTTGAGCCAGGTCGATCCCTTACACACATCGGTCGAGCGCGTACACGCGACTGTGCGCAGTGATGGGGTGAAGGGTAGTTCAAAAATGTGGATGAAAATATAAGAGAAGGCATAAAATTGAATTCAAAACCGTTAACTCCCGTGTTTCTCATATCCCAGCAACCTAGCTCCATCATTTCCGTTCGTATCCTGTGGATCTAACTCACGATTCATCATGATCCGCCGTATTCTCGGAGTCGACTGGCCGATCACTGGATGGTGGCCGAGCTGTATTGCTACAGGTATGAATGATCCTGTTACTCGACATGATTGGTTTGCTGTGTGTTCCGCGCCATCCAGATAGCCTTCATTTCTAACTCCTTTTCCGTGCCTTGCCACGTGCGCCCCTGAAGATGTCGCAGGCACAGTCTCTCTCCGTTATCAGGGTAGTATAGCCAGGTTGCCCACTTTACCCAGTTTCCCAGCTTCATCTGGTTCCTTGATCGTTGTCCGATAGTATCTTCGATAAAAGCTCCCCTCGACATCGAAAGACGTGTTGGGAAGACGCGGGATAGATAGTGCTGGGTGGACGCTAGATGAGGCTTGTCATGCCAGAAAAACATTGGTGTAAGAGGAACACTGACTCCGGATTCCATAACGAAATCGCGTTTTAAAGACGCAGTCAGCCCTTTCAGCATAGGGAAATGTGTAACATGAGCGGAATCGGCATATGACAGTAAACGTATGGACGGAAAACAGATATATTTCACTGGAGTGTTCTCGTCGGATTCAGACCGTCGCATGATATCTAATAACGGTTCCAATGTGATATCGGAGACCAGAGGCCAATCATGCTGCTGTACCCAGACGAAAGGCGTAGTTGTTAATCTCAGGGCTGAGCGTACAGCCAATCCAAACCCCAACCGTTTCGCTGGTTCTATGAACGTAACTTGCTCGTCCACCGTCTGTGATGTTAAGAAAGAAACGAAGTTTGCTTCGACGGCACTATGGCCAAATTCGGCTTCACCATGGCCCTCAACCAGATTCTCTTCGCTATCATCCTGTCTAAACTCCTTTAAAATGAGTTTTCTAACATTTCGTTTATAATCGTCGAAGGTCCTGGCTCCGTCGGGAGTAACTTGGCCTTTCTTCAACCTTGCGTGGGTTGCAATGCGATCGTACGTGTCGAACACGACGATCACCCGACAAGACAGTAACAGGCTGCAATGACTGCGAAACGATGATAATATTGCTGATATGAGTTCTGTTGAGGGGGCAGAAGGCGTCGGGGATGTTGTGATGATCACCGTTAATTGACTGGATACTGGCTGAGCCGACGCGCCCGCATGGGACATCGCGTTGGGACAAGTGAGTATGGCGTTACAAGCTCACTCTGAGAGCCGCATGGAATCTAACGATTCATGATATATCGCCGGATTCTAGCAGTTGATATTGATCAAATGCAAACAGTGGAAGAAAAAAGTGATCGTTTGGAGCGTGGGGATTTAACAGACGTCCCCACATAATCTTACAGTTGCTGCACAGCTGCCACCAGCTGCTTTTACCCCTTTTTCCATCAACTCTCTGAATTATTGTTTTATAGGGGCTTCCATGCATCTTACAGAGTATGCACCGTTATTCGTCCACTACCGCTAATGTAAGTGGTAAATAAATGGATAAAGTCTAAGGGAAGTCCATAAATATGGCCTAGAATGACTTAAGAGAACTTATCATATCACAATTCTTCTACTAAAGAGCAAGGAACCCATATGTCAGTAGTGATCAATTCGTTGTCAAAACCCGTAATCCTTCCAGTAACTCCGCATTAATAAAGCAACCCAGTTTTTCAATACAGCCATTGGGAACCTCAGGTTTGAATCAAGCAGTTTCCTAAGTCGCCGCAGTTGGATGAGGTGACCCCCAAGGCCATTTACTTCAAAACTTTGGCGGCAAGTAAGCAACCACCAAGACGAGGAAAAAATCAACCCAAATTAATGCCCATTCATCAGTGTTGGTTGGCTCCGTGCTAGATTATGTTAGCTTAGGTGAAATGAAGGATAGTGCCCTTTTTTTCGTACCTGCTCGTTAAACATAATGTGGTTATGCATGAACATACAACGAACGGCATTTCCTTTTCGTGAACAAGCCTTCTTGGTGCATCCGAGCCATGGGCACCTCCACTTGCCCTCGTCGGTTCGCAAGACTCGAGCACTATGCTCTGCCTTGATGTGAATACGTAATTGCTTGTCGTCTGCCTCGCGGTGGCCACAGTGTTCGAACATGCAGATATTACCACAATGGGTATGATGGACATGATTGGCAAGGAATCCTCGAGCACGTTTCGAAGCCCTTGTTTTGTAGGTACAGCTAGGTTCGGTGCATTCTAAGCTCTCATATCCGGCATTACCGTTGGCTGCTCCTTGAATCGGACCGGCGTTGGCGTTGTTGGCGTTGGCGTTGGCGTTGCCGTTGCCGTTGGCGACGGGTACATTGGCACCGTTAGCTTGGGAGCCGGCAGGAGGGTGGATAAGAACGGAACCTCCCACACGTGGACCAACGGGAGCGCCATATGCCTGATGACGACGATTAGCGATGGGGTTTCCCGTAACGAGGGTTGCCGAGTTAGATTGATCAGCGTGAGCGGTGCCATGGCCCATCGTACTATGATAGTTCGCATTCGGGTGCGCCGGCTGTTGATACGCGTAATCGTAGTTGGTCATGCCGGGGTGAATCGCCTGACGGTTATTCATACGATAGTCTACACCCATGGTGTGGCGACGCTGGTTGACATCGCCGTAGTTGGTGGTATAATGGTTAGTAGCCATACGACCGTTCATGGGGCCATTCGCACCGAGGTTTTCGGGAGCTCGATTAACGTTAGGATTACCAAGATACGCCGGAAGTTGGTTGGCACCAGGATAACCGCCAAAGCCAGTGGTTCCCGTCATACGTTGGCCGGCAAAGCGGTCGCGGGAATAATGCGATTCAGAAGACTGGTCAGTAAACGAATAGGCAGTTGAACCACAGTCTGAACTGATTGCAGATGCTGCGCGGTCGGCTTCATGGAATGATGTTAGCCTTAGTACCATCATCGAATTCGTGATATGAGGAATGTCTCAAGAACTTTTCAGGTTTCATACCCAAGAGGCATGAATAGAAGGAGGGAAGTAGGAAAATAAGAGGTGATTTTCTAACACTGTGTTTACTATGTTAAGAAAAAAGTAAAGACTTACAAGGAGGATGATAAGCGCCGTCGGCGAGCGTAGAGTGTCCTCGGTCATTCCAATGAGAAGCCTGCATATGCTGGTCTCGAGGAGACGGAGGAGGGTACATGGCTATAAAGTTTATATTTATCAGCAGTAGCTCTCTCGCCCGAGAAAACGGACCAAATGGAGGCATCAAGAAGGAATGTGAGAAATGTATGGCTGATCAACCAATGTATCTAGCCGAGTATACATTTCCTTGCTGTGTCTAGTAGCAAGATATAGAACCATGCCGTCGAATGAATACCTAGGGAACTGTTCTGGCTGCTCGAAGAATAGGAAACAACTTGGTGAAATGGTTGGATTTATGGTGAAGTAGAGGGGACGATAACATAAAATCGGAGGAATATCATATCATGAGACAAATGTAAACAACTGTTATTAGAAAAAGAACTTACGGGCGTCAGGAACCCACTCGAGGTGATCGTTGTTGGCCTCCATCTTTTAGACCATGGAGAGGTGAGTAAAAGCGTTGCGTTGAGCTATAATTGAGGTTGGGTTGGCAATGTAGAAGAAAGTTGTGTCCATGGAAATGTCAGGATGAGTTGTGTTGGTATTCGGAAAAGGAAAAAAGAGAGTGTTATTTTGGATGGTGTCGCACGACTATACCCTAAAGCTTTTTGAAAAACACATTGGCATGTTTAGAGGCCTTCACTGCACTATGTAGAAGTTGCAGTGGATGGATGCCCTAGATCTTTCTATTTTTGACATTATCCTAGGTCTGTATACAACCTAGAGGTTCCCTAGGCATGTAGATGTATGAATAGCTTCAGTGTATTGTGTAGGTAGGAAGGTAGTCGTCAAAGACGCAAGCATCCAATATACAGCAATATCTATAGGAAGTTTAAATCAACGATCAAATCAACCCCAGTACACTATAAACGTAGAGAAACAACGTTTCAAATGATCCAAATATCAATATTTCGTCCATTGAACATATTTGTCTCTTATATTACACAAAATCTTTGTAGATATCATTTTATACTACTTGGCAGTACCCCTGATTATTCTTTTCCCCAAGTTAGCTACCTAGATACCTACTCATCTAGAAATTTCTCTATTATCGTTCTAATGATGTTAATAAAGGCATTATATACAGCTAGCTAGGTAGCTAGTGGAATTTATGATTTGTATGGGGACTTAAGATGCTTGTCGTATGGCTAGTAATTAGTAAATGTTATTATTTGTGATGGTGTGGTCTAAATCACGAACATTAAGGTAGTACTTCTCTTGTTTTAGAGACCGTCAAAATTAAGAAGAATATCTAAACATTTGAAAGTATCTCGTTGTTTACATTTATTAAAATATTTACGGAATATGCAGATACCTCAATTTCGTCAAGCGTTAAGGGATTATTCACGGTGAGGGTGCTGAAGCGTATTAATTGTCGTATAGACGAAACAGCTGTAAAATCGTAAAATGGAAGTCTTTTACAATTGGAATATGTGCTGGTTGCTTTAATATATTACGTACCTAAAGTTGAAATGATAGTCGTCCAAAAATGAGTCTCCATTAAGCAGACGAATAGACAGAGCCTTACCTACTCAAATAGGTAAGTGTCTCCGGTGGCCGGTGGCCGGCGCCGGGATGTCTATGAAAATGGGGCCGTAAAAGGACCGCCCGAGACACGACCCTCTAATAACTACTTAAACCAGTTAAAAATCGTGAAGGTTTATATTTTTCAATTGCTTAATCGTTATACATGGATACACTGTCTCTTAACAAAAAGTAGGGCTGCTGGGTACTTCGTTCATACAAGTGCTGGTGCCAACTCCTGTTCAGTCTATTAAACGACAAAGAGTACCAAAGAGATGGAATAACAAGACGACTAATAATACGATGGCGAATTCATATCTGCGTAACAGAACTCACAATAAATTCAACGTTCCATTGGAGAAAACTTTACTGTTGAAGAAAGACAATATAAAGCCACTATGTCTACTGATTCGTCTACATCTTATGATTTATGAAGTACCTAAGGTACCTGGGTCCCAAGGTGAGAAAACTACTACAAGAAATGTAGCCACTGGCAGCATTACTCGCAGCAATAAATTTATCACGCGGATAAGTTGAGGAGAATATTCCGGGACAAAATTAGCTAACCACAACAGCCTGAATGTATCGACGTGTTAGGTTACCCCCATCGACATTGTGGGGAATGTTGGAGAGCATCTACAGAATCCCTAAATCTGGGGTAATGGAGCAACGGGCCTACTTTGAACATGGCTATTACTTGGCATTGTTGGATGTGTCCTAGACTCCTCGGCAATTGCGAGGTTTCCCTCGTCTCACGTGTACGTAAATACAGCATTTTGCCGATTGCATACACCGTTACAACATCCTAACCTGGCAACCTATCCTTTAGCAGATTCGAGTTCGTCGGGTATCTTGCGCAACAAAGAGACAAGATGGCGATCAAGGATGACGAAACTATGCGCGCCCATTGGCGATGCTTCGTGGCTTGCGGTTTGATGGTCCTATCGCCATTCCAGTATGGAATCGACTTTGGACTAATAGGAGGTCTTCAGGCTATGCCAGGGTTCCTCAAGGTACGTCGATACCATAGCAACATGCTGTAAAATGTACACAGATAGATGATCTATGCTAACCACCGCTGCGCAGATCTATGGCCATCCAGCACCGGATACTACGATCGGTTGGAACATTTCGACAGTGAGACAACAGCTTATCACATCATTAATGACACTCGGCGCTTTCGTTAGCTCTGCTACTGCCGGTTTGATCGCTGCTAAGCTAGGTCGGAAAGCATGTCTAAGGATGGCTTGCTTGGGTTGCGTTGTTTCCAACGTTATCATGATGGCCACGACCAACATCAACGCGCTTTATGTCGGACGCCTGCTAAACGGACTGGCTAATGGCTACTTCATGACATTTTCTCAACTCTATATCCAGGAAAGCAGCCCAGCCAAGTACCGTGGTCTCTTTTTGACCGCGTTCCAGTTCTGCACGTCTCTTGTAAGTCGTTAACCCAGTCTGCAGCTTGTAATTCGTTCTAACGTTTCTCAACACTTAGGGAACCCTTATTGGTACAATTGTAGACTGGGCGACTGCGTCAAAGTCCGACCGATCGGCTTATCTGATCCCGTTAGGACTCATCTATATCGTGCCCCTTATCCTAACCGTTGGCTTGCCCTTCATACCAGAGTCACCTCGCTGGCTCATCTTACAAGATCGAATCGAAGATGGACAGAAATCATTGAAGTGGCTTAGACCGACTAAAGCGCCAGTCGAAATTGAGGTTGCAGAGATAAAAGCAGCGATTGATAAAGAGCGAGAGATGGGTAGTCAAGTTAGCATTCTGGATATGTTCAAGAACCCCATAGACAGAAGACGCACAATACTCGCTGTTTGCGGAGTTACTTTACAAGCTTCTACCGGCTCTATGTTCATCATATGTAAGAACCCACCATCCGTCTAATGGCTTTCAGAGACACTAACATTGTTTATAGCGTATAAGGCGTATTTCTTCACAATGGCAAAGGTTTCCAATCCCTTCGCGATGGGATGTGTGCTTAGCGCTATTGGTTTACTCGCCATCGTCCTTAACCTGTTGATTGTGGTACGCTATGGTCGTCGCCGTGTGCTCCTTATGACGGGTCTCGGAACCTGTGGCATTCTCCAATTGATTGTCGCAGTCGTATACGACAAAAATCCTGGCGCGAGAGCTACGGGAATAGTTCTTGTGGCATTATCATGTCTTTACATGATGAGCTACAACGTGAGTATTCCGTGATGGTCTCCAGAGCGTTAACTAGGTAATAATGATAACAATTTCCAGGGAATGGTAGCAACTTATTCGTGGTTATGCGGTGGAGAACTCCCATCGCAACGGCTGCGAAGCTACACCTTCGGGTTAGGGGCGGCCGCCGGATTCCTTGCCGCATGGATCACCACTTTTACGGCTCCGTGTAAGCGAGTTCCTAGCCATTTTCGGACCTCGGGAACTGATTTGAACTATTACAGACTTCATTAACCCTGATTCTTTGAATTGGGGACCGAGATATGGATATATCTGGTTTCCGAGCTCTATTGTAGCAGCAGTATGGGTTTATCTCTTCTTACCTGAAGTTCAAGGTAAATTCCCACATCCATAATCCATGAGGCTCATGGCCAACATGGAGACTTTTTATAACACTAACACGTTCTCTCACAGGCCGTACGCTAGAAGAAATTGACGAAATGGCAAGTCATATCTCCCAAAACCAAGGCCTTCGATAAATTTTACTAACGAGGCATTGCTATAGTTCGAAGCGAAACTTCCCGCGCGAAAGTTTAGCGGATATAAATGCGTTCGCAGACTTGCCATGGATGAGAAACCAAGTAATCAACATGAAGAGTAAAAAAGGATCTTGGGCGAAAGAAATATCTGGCAAGATAAACCCTAGCTTATAATAAATGTCGATACACTGGACTATCACTGATCCAAATATGGAAAAGTTGTATCACTATAATACGGTAGGATATAGTGGCTTAAACGCGAAAATGCAGCCCTGGAGTGCTCATAGAAAAGGACGGTGCGATGTACGGGCTGGTTGTGATATCTCAGATACTACCACTAACCTCCCAAAAAATTCATTCTTATTCTTTGGTATTTTACCGTCGGTGATATCTGACGCACCCCCTTAGATTCTAACATCTTGCCAGTAGAGGCTGGATTTCCAAGCTTTTCTCTACCTTGTTTGCAAAGACTTCGAATCGAACCATGTGCCACTGAAGGCTTTTTGGCATGGCAGGTTTTCAGGTGATACCGACCTTCGGGTAGTGGCATCTGATTCTGTATTACTCAAACGGGGATCAAGCGAATGAGACTGAACTGTCAGATTTACCACTACACCAAAGGCCATTCTTATTCTTTGGTACTTTATTGCCATTTATATTCTACATGATCCATTAGATTCTACTACCTAGGTACCTGAGTACATAGGGAGTGTGTAGCGACTGCTAGTGGGTTGCCATATTTTCACCGCATATGATAATGCTGGAGCTAAAACGCCATCAGGTATACAAATGCTGACCCTTAATACTATTTGACGAGACCCCACGAAGGTGTCCATCCCCACGAATATCCCGTTATTAGGTAATATGCAACAACAGTGCCGCTTTTCATCCTAGACCACGATTAGATGATTCCCTGATATGTACTTATTAAACGCGTCGCCGCATGTGCAACCCAGATGCGATATGTTCATATCCCTCATTAAAATTACGAATAGTATGTTCCATATTTCGATTTCTTATTCACGACGTTTACAAACTCCGTAGCTATATAATCATCTACGAATAGAGTCAGCAACCTGGAGAGAGAGCATATGTAGAGCCCAGGAAGACTTACGGACTTTCGGCGACATATGTAGCTCATCGTACCTGCATCATGTCAGCATATTCTCCCTCATCCCTACACCAACGTTGCTCTACGCACCATAGAAAGCTCGATAGAGGATTAGAGGAGACCACGCAGCCTGCCGTCCCGAGCTGCAACGTATCAGGGCACTCCGCGTAGTACCCCGTGGCGTTTGCCGGCTCATCTAGGTACTTGGAAGGCGAGTTATAAATATCCGAGATGAGCTGGTTCACGTTGAAGATGCTGAAGGACGCATTGGGCCACCTCTTTTTCACCAGGAGCTGGAACGGGGAGCCGTAATCAAAGATGGTGTTGACTAGAGTCACGTATTCGAGCATTTTCTGTTCATACTCGGTCGTATTATATGACTCCTTGTCGGGCCAGCGTGGTACATTCCCGGCTCCGCCATCCGCAAGCGACCTATACAGCGGCGCGTAATTGAGCGGCGCCTCGTTAAAAAGAACGAACTTGCGTCCTCCGGCGTTGTAGATGTTGTCGAAAGTCGGCCATATACAATCGATGAACGCGTCAAGGGTCTCGCCTGCTGGTTGGGAATCTGTAAGGAACGCATTGACGCCGAGATCGTTAGCGCCTATCCAGAGGGAATACACGGTATTGCTAGGCGTTCGGTTGGTGTAGAGCGTGTTGGTGCCTGTGGTGGGGTTGACGTAGGCTACGTCGGCCAAGAAAGCCGGGACTTCATAGTCGTCGACAGTCGGGAGGATGCCCGGGAAGATGTTGGTACACACCGCGCCACGCACTAGATTTTTGATATCAGCTTATAATAAGATTTGGGATGAATCTATCAGTAATAGATATCATAAGAGTATGGTCCTCATCTGTGCTGTGGGTACCATGATCTGCTTACCCGCATAGTTGTACGTCTTCGCGCCAAGCTTTTTTGAGGCAAGCAGAGGCCAGCTTGGTCCGCCGCTCGATGTCAAGTTTGACTCTGGTATGTAGAGACCTGCTGGCGGCGGGTTGTAATCATGGGTGAGAAAGTACGTCAATCGGCCCTCGTCTGTGTAGCTATCGCCGAAAACGATTAAATTGTCGATATTTGACGTGCCGGGGCCGCAGCACCAGGTTGGCACGCAGCTCATAAATATCGCAATCAACGCTAAGGGCCTCATTGAAAGGTTAAAACCCGATATTTGTCTGACAATGGGCAGCGAAGCATTGGAACATCGACCGATGGACGGGTAGATGCGCTGAGCGACATCCTGGCGCGACACGGGCGGATCACTAGTGATATATGTGTGCGGCGTAGGATTCCTTCATGCAGAAATTGGCCGTAGATATTTCCGATCTGGTAATCTCGACTGCAAGGTGATTCCGTCTACCCGTGTAGAGCCAGCAGCTCGGATTACGATGCAAGGAGCCCCAGAGGCATGAATGTTACACTTTGAAATAAAAATGATAGTGTCAACCCTCTGCTATTACCGTTGGCTTCTCGTCTACGCGACAAGATAACCAATCGAGGTTTTCACCACGTGGTAGGCATGCAAGGTCGCCCGTAGTGCTTATGACTTGCTGAAAGATCAGCGAATGAAGGAAGACTCTCGCAGCGAAATTCCGCATCCTATTGCTCTACTGTATGACCGTGTGCCAGATTTTGCAGCATGCCATGTGGACATCGCATAGAATGCCCACTAGTATGCGCAACATGTGCTTCAGGCGCAAAGGATTTGTTGGGTTTCAAGAACAAATCGGTTTCCGGACCAATGCGCTGCGCCGGGCAACTGCATAAGTATCTTCAAAAGTTCTTCGATTCTGGAAACAGACCAAATCCTTCCGCGTCAGCAACCACCCCTTTTTATTGACGCACATCGAAGAGTCGGAGAGTAGAAGAGTAGAAGAAAGTTGGAGACCGACGTGGGTGATGTAGAGTTGCCTCTTTAGGGAACTGTCCGTAACATCGCGTGATGCAAAGCAACCCACCATGCTACCCCTGTCAGCCATCTGGCCAAGACTTTCTAGATTCACATCTACATACAAGGATAGATCTCTTGTCAGATGAGCGCAGAGCTGCAGGTAGATGCATTGAGAAACTATGCTCTACTTCAGCTGAATGCTCAGCTCTCGTCAGTTCGAAACTAAACTGACTGCGATCTCTTTGACTGGCATAATGCGTCAGAAGGTGGAATACACCTAAGAACCCACAGAGGCTCGGTTACAATCAACCACTTGCAGACCATAGCATTGTTGGTACAACTTAAGGCAACCCAGGTACAAATTAATGTACTGTCCATGTCTTTATATTCTGGGTTTTGTCCACCAGGTCAAATGAACAGTAACTATCTCTCTAATACCTGACTGGATCAGTATGCCAGTCAAAAGGATAATACTACCACAACTACCTAGGTTCCTAAGGTTCTCTTGATACTTCACTTTCAGCCATTGTTTCACTTGGTTATGATGGAAAGGAAGCGAATACTTTCCATTCATTAACAATCGAAAGGGTAAGTAGAGTAATCCAGGCGGAACTGGGAAAAGGGGTAAATAGGATCCGATTACGTACCTAGGCAACAAGGAGTTGACAAGTGCTCGGACCTAATCATAGGGATACGGAGGAAGACATTCGTGCAGTAAATTTCCTTCGCTATGAAGTCATACTCTAAGCGAGCTCGTCGCATCAGGACTATTGTAATAACATTGTCGTGTTCTCTATATCGCTCCTACTACACCTCTGAGAAGGAATGGGGCTTGCGACATACCCATATCTGAGAAACTATTGTTGAGAAACCGGTCCGGATGCGACGAATCGTAGCGAACGACGAACCGGGATTGGACTTCATGATGGAAAAATAGCGGTACGTCATCCCACATTTCGTGGGCGAGGGCTCGTAGACGCGGAGTAACTCGAATCATAGTGGGTGGCGGTACGAGGTTCGTTAAAATAGACAATTCTTCATATTGTAGAAATTGCAAAAATTGCCGACATTGCTTTTCAAAGTTTTTCACGAAAAGCAATCGCGGGTTTACATAATCATGAAACGGGCTGCGATGATTGAATCGATCGTAACCTGCAAACGAAACGTCCAGCGTGAAGGGCAGACCACGAGCCTCGGCCTGAGCCAATAAATCGGCTACCAGCAATCCCGTGAAAGTTTCACTGAGGTAATTGCTCCTGAATATAGACCAATCGTATACTCCAAGCCGTAGATATTGTAAGGCGCGTGGAACCGGCGGCTTCAGGACGTACCGGCAGCAATATCCTGAGAATCCTGGTCCTATCATCATCGGTGCCAAGTTAAGTTGAAGGTGTGAGAGTACGGGAAAATGGGAAAGCGAGAGGGTTATAGCATTGGTAATTACAAAACAAGGGTTGCGTAGACAGATAGTAAGATGTTCTAGACTCTCGGAGTGTTGTGAAATGGCACAGTTGAGTTGACTGAAATCCTTGATAGTTGAACTGTCGCCTGGTAGAAGAATTTCGTCAAGCACGAGAGTTTGTAGCGCTTTCGGAAGCGACAGGACAGCATGTAGATCCTCGACGGAAATAGTACACTTATCGAAGAATAGTGATTTTAGCTTTGTCTGACGATGGAATGGTTGTAGCCTTTCCGCTCCCCATTCATTGGGCTTCTCGTGGCAGATTCTGAAGCAGCCAATACGCAGAGAGTGTAGTTGGGAAAGTAAAAATATCGGACACGTAGGCGTTATCCTCTCCATCGTCTTGCCGTCTCCGGGCCAGCGAAGGACAACTATATGGATTAACCTTGATCAAATCTAGGTACACTTATATTTCCTTATGACATGAGACAATGTGACTTACGTGATCTTAGGTTCTGAAGCGGCTGCGGGGCATGAACAGAGGAGTTTAGAAGCGATGCCTGCCTGAATAGTTGCATGAAGTAGCTAAGTATTTCTCTCCAATTAGTCATCCGAAGGAGCCAACGGTGGAAGCCTACTGGACTTTTGAAAACCAAAGATGTTAAATTGGGGAATGTGGTAAGGTCGAATGTTGGTATGACATTGGGCATCAGAATATCCTCAAATAGCATTCGAAGATCTCGTACATGGGCTTTTCGCTCAGGTCGAAGATGAATGGCCTCTAAGAATTGGTCTGATGATATTGAATTGGTGAACCAGGCGGTATTATACAGACAAATCTGGGCTACCTCGTGCAGTGTTCGGCATGTACGTGTAACGGATTTCAGGGCCGAAACGTCTGGGGCATCTCGAAGACAAGCCATTACATTTAAGAGTAACTCCTTCGGAAGACGCACGAGAGCCATGGCGAGTGACGGCAATGTATGTAATCGATTTATGAGTGTCATCAGTTAGTATCTATGTAGGCACACTAGACGCCAAGGTGGGATTTAAATAATGGTTGATTTGGAGTTTTTAGTTTGGGAGGTTAGAGAGGTAGGCAGTCTAGTGATGATTTCCTAAGGCAGTCAGGGCAGTCACGGTTCATTATAAGCATCCATGTTGCTTGGGGAGGTGCCCCAGGTATGGATACCAGGCAAACGAAATGCACCTAGCTACCCCGCCCGACCCTAGTTTGCACCCATCCCTAACGTTTAACAAAACTTCAGATTATGAAATATGAACTTACCTGTCACCAAAACAAGACATCTCACATTGCCTAATATATTTAGAGACGAACCGAGCCTTACACGGAAAGAAGGGCCCCAATCAGACCACTACTGACATGTTGAATTGGCCATCGTGGGTACCTTCCAACCCCGCACCCTTGACTTGGACGACGCTCTTGGTCCCAGCAGCCACGCTTTACTTTGCCTGGCGTTATGTTCGGCCCATTTCACCCAGCCGGCAAAAAGGCGTACGGCCGACCGACGAGCGCGTCGTCATAGTAGGCGCCTCGAGCGGACTAGGTCGTGTCGTAGCGAAGCGCTACGCGGCTCGCGGCGCAAACGTATGCGTCGTCGCGCGCCGCGCGGAACAGCTGGCGGCGTTGGCTGGGGAGTGCGGGGAGAAGTGCTTCTGGGTAGCGGCTGACTTCAGTGACGTCGGGGATATGGTGCGGGTGAGAGAGGAGCTCATCGCGAAATGGGGTGGCTTGGATACCCTCTACGTGTGCGCTGGTGTCTCGGCCGTGCAGCCGGTCATGAGTTTGGCTGGTGTAGGGCCGGGAGAAATCGATGACGCAGGTGATGCTGGCATACGGCATGCTGTCGATATCGCCGCTCGCGCGACCCAGGGCAATGTCTACGGGCCCCTTGTTGCGGCGTTGACGTTTATTCCTATGTTATTACGAACCTCGGTTTCACCATCTATCCTTCTGATATCTTCTATCGCTGCTCTAGTCCCGGCACCGACGCGTGCGCTGTACGCGGCAACCAAGGCATCGTCTCTGCTCCTGTTCCAGTCACTCGCGATCGAGCATCCGAAGATCGCCTTCACATTCGTCCTGCCGGCGACTATCCAGGGCAACTTCCGCGCGTCGGCTGTTGATGCTGATGCGACGGCACGGGAGGCGGGTCCGAATCAGCGAGGGCTCAAACTAGACTACGTCGCGGATAGGTGCGTTGACGCGGTGGATCAGCAAGTGAGAGGCAACGTCGTGATCCCTAAGTTTCCCTACGCCATTGCCCATCACTTATATTATATATGGCCATCTTTCATCGAGAAGCAGGCGAGGAAGAAGTATAACTTTGAATCATAGACTCCTTTCAATATTACTATTCCTGAATATTCCTGACTATTCATAAGCGGGCGTATCATTAGGTACAACACGACTAATAGGTTTAAGTTTGATATGTGTGTATTAATTTCTCTAGAATAATCAGGAAATATGAGGCATAATCGAGGCGTATCGTCACTAGTAGCAAATATTATAGGAGAATTGAAAAATATTTCAAGAGTGAATTCTCATGTACCTAAGTACCTACGTAAATGAGCAATAGTGGAGACATCAATTATCCAGATATCTTTTTTTGATTGGTCCCGACAAAATTTAAGGTTACACAGCTAGAAAAATCGTGATTGGCCCATATGGCCCCACACGGCAGAATTTTTGGCTGATTAGGCAGACCCACATGACCGCTTTGGAGTCTACTTAAGAAAATCTCTCCCGCCCAAAACTTTTGAAACTTTCCTTTCCTTTTCTTCCTCATCTTAGTGCACGGGCTTTACGCGTCACAGTGAGGAGCAATCCGAGTGCGTGTTTTTGCTAGTTGAAAACTATTTACTGACCGCTCCATCTCGGTTTAGGCCGGGATGGGAATTTTTGGAACCCCATCTCAATTGAGAATTCAACGTCGTTTTCATCACCGTCGGTCCCTAGCGGAGCGAGGCGAGGAAGATCTTCTGCAGTCAACTGGAATTATGGAATTGAGCTGTTGGTATTGCGTGAACGGTAAACACTAGCATCTCCGCGAGAGTTCTACAATGTCTCGGTGCCATGTGTTGTAATATTCATTCTGTAGCTACTATTTTATGAGATGATGGATATCCTGTGCTTCTAATTGATCACCTCCAAACCCTGATCACGGCTTCATGAGCATGCCTAGGACTCAACTTATTTCTCAAGGTCTACGAAGCATTAGGTACCTACTCGGCGGAGCTGCCTATGTAGCTATTGTGACGCGTGTCGGTCGTGAAGTATCGTACACTCGGTTCTTCGACGCGACTTGTAGCTACAGATCCCGATTTCCCCCAATTTGAGATCTCGGGATGTATGGATCCCAACAGCCCTACCGGATGTATCGTCAGATGTATCTATGTGAATACATACCATAGGCTACGAATACTTCAATCTGTTGGGAAGCGTGGATTATAGACTTCATATCCCTCATCATCGGTGTCGCTCTCAGCATTTAGATCCCTCGGTATAACCTTCTCTTCTTTGCTGTTAACGTTGCTCGTGTCGGCTTCCTTCGGTTTGTTGTTCTCTTCATCGTCGGCCGATCCGCCTATCGGTGTGAATGCGCTCTTGAAGCCGGACTTCTTGAACCCTCCCTTCTTGAATCCACCACCCCCAGTACTACCTGTATTAGAATCGCCTAGTTTAATACTGATGAGCCCGTCTGCTTTTGCCTCGGCCTTCCTAGCGCGTGCGCCTGCGGTGGGATCCTTGACCATCTGCTTCATGTCCTTCATGCGCTGGCGATGGCTATGATCGTAGCTGCCCAAGTGGGCCTCGTAGTCGTTCATGCGCGAATAGCCTTTCGAACAGAGCTCGCAGTAAAAGGATTGGAGGGCGGCGCGCGCGGAGGAGGTCTGGGCCGGTGGAAGGGTCTGGTGTCTCTATTCATTCGGAAATGTTAGCGAGCTGCCTGGTGCCGTTAGGGCAATGATGGAATTACTAACTGGAGGCATCTTGATTTCTATGGGTATCTATTGCACTATGTATGGAAAATAAAAGATAAAAGCGTAGAAGATGATAGAATTCGGGTTGCTCGGTTTTGATCCAGAATGTTAAACATTGTTGTAAAGTTGAAAATGGGAAGTTCCAATCCATCGCGGGGCAAGTGCACATGTAGTGGCATTTCGTAAATTTGTAGAATTGCAGGTGAAGCATTGACGTCAAACCTTGACAGTTGTACTTTCCCTGTCATTCGACGACTTCAAAAATCGTGTGACGTCGCCAAACTTTTAGAATTCTTCTATTTTTAACCTCGACTTCGACTTCCGCTTCATCTTCAGATCTCAACATTCTTCAAATACGCCGGATCATATGGCGGTCGATCCCCGTGCCATAAATCCGTGGGCTTCGCAAGAGACGTTAATATCCTTGCTCCATTTAGATCCTGCGCCGATAGACAATGCATCTGTCTACGACAAGGAACTTCCACCTCTGCCCGAAGAAGCGTCGCAATCCTCGGATCCAAGTTTAAAATCTTCACCTCCAGGTTCAACTTCTAGTTTGGGACTAAGCGGGAGTGGACGAGGCCCGATATATTACTGTATATTCTCAACCTTTTCTTCGATCCTTGGCTACAACCAATCAGATTGCATCATTTACTAACCACAATTCTCAGTATTACGAGTCCAGCGCTATTCATCCTATACCTTCTCCTTGTTCGCCGGTCTCCATGTCGCCAATACGTCGATATTCCCTCTCATATATCAATCCGTCCCGTACTCCGAGCCATTCCTTCTTATGGCGCGCGAGCTTTACCAGACGCCCGTTACCGAATCTCTACTCGTTGGCCTCCCCGTCGTTGCCCACATCACTTCGGGTATCGCAATACGACTACTTCGTCGGCGACAGAACCTGAAACGTTATGGTGGAGCAACACCTGGTGTTTGGCCAGTTCATCACTCAGATCCATCGTTAAATCGCAAACCTACTATAAGGATATGGCCTCCTGTAACCTACATCTCTATATCCGGTTACGCCTTCGTCGGGCTGCTCGCCTCACATGTGGTTATGAACCGCGTGTTGCCCCTAGTTATAGACGGCGATAGCTCTAATATTGGACTCCAGTTTGTATCGCACGGCTTTGCTCGGCAACCGATACCGCCGTGGATCGCTTACACCCTACTCCTGTCTGTTGGCGTGGGTCATATGGTTTGGGGATGGGCTAAGTGGCTTGATCTTGCACCTCCTGCTAACTGGAAGAAGATAACCGTAGACAGGCAGATGCGGAAGAGGAGGCGGCGCGCCTGGTGGAGCGTCCAAGGTGTCGCCGTTGGGCTCGCAGCGTTATGGGCTGCTGGCGGGTTGGGAGTCGTGGCGATGGCTGGGCCTGCCGAAGGCTGGCTTGCTACTGTCTACGATAATATCTATAGCGCCGTGGGGCACTAGATAGACGTCTTACGGTTTGTAAGTGTGTATATACTCTTGCATAGGTATGTGACAGCATGCTGGATTGGCATTAGCCAGTATCTACTATGTAGGTAGGATTCGAATTCTCCAGCCTTGAATAAGAAAAAATCCAACTCAACTAGTAAATTATCACTCCTTATTTTTCGCAAGGAAACCTCAATGCTTGCGAAAATTGGTGCTTTTTGTAGCTAACCATCCACCGGTTGGTCATGATGTTGGCCGCAATTGCCCTGCGATTACTGGGTTATCGTCAGTGTTGCTGTTGCAACACCATGAAGGTTCACTAGGTAACACGACACGATCTCTGGTTGACATGTTTGCTTCTTAAATTTTATTTCAAAGTTCATTTTCGAGTCCCACGCACAGTCGGCCAATTGAAGCCTACTCATACCTACCCATCCTGCCATTCTAAATAACCCCTCCAAGTTTCTCATGGCCACATGTGAATATCCTCAATTTCATTTCAACCACGACCGAATGCCCTCACACAAGGGCCCACAACGCAACTTTATCGAGATCGCCTCGCACAAAGCCCACACCGAACCACATCGTCGCCTTCCGATCAACGTATGAAGTAGAGTATCGCCCGCGCATAGCAAGGTTAGACCCCCTCGATACGTCGACACCAAACCCCATCGCATCCCCCTTAACCGCCCTCATTCTTTCTGTCAGCCTTATATTACCCTTCTACCCACAGCGAGCGCTAACCCGCCTACTCAGGTCGCTCACCCCCAAGCACGCCGCCGGCAAAAACAAAAAAAAAATATCATAAAAGAACAAAATAATAAAACAATGTGCACCGACCTCCTCATCCTAACAATCTGCCCCCTCTGCCAGGCCCCCCAGCACACGCAGCTCGTGTACCAGCGCGGCTGCGACGAGGCCTTGGAGGCCGGTCGCCTCGCGGGCGGCGACTTCGCCGGCAAGCACGGGTCCTGCGCGGAGGGGCTCGCGCGCGAGCGCCGCACGAGGGCTGCTAACGAGGCGTGCGGCGTGTGTCGCTGGAAGGCGTGGGTTAGGGCGCGGCAGCGGCTTAGGGGCGTGGATTTCTGGGCCGTGGCGCGAGGGGATGGGAGGAGGGCCGGGAGGGGTGGGGGGTTGAGGAATGGGCCGGTGATGATGATGACGGGGGGTGGATGGAGGGTTATTGGATGATGGAGGTGAGGAGGGGCGGTTAGGGGAGTTGGTGATGGGGTGGAGGGGGAGTGCCTGGGTAGGTACTTACTTATTACTATTATCAAAGGAGTTAATGGGACGGAGGAAAAGGGGATGGGGTAGGTCTGAGGCGAAGGGGTCTATCAACGCATAGAGACTGAGTCAACGTGGATGAATGAGATGAGTAAGTCTTCGGTATCGTGATGTCCTAGCGATATGGACTAGCTAAGGACATGATGAAGATGATAGATCCACGGCTTAGAAACCCCTGAATCTAGATTATTACACCACTTCTATCTCGGTCTGAAGCTCTATCTTAAGCATATACCGCCAAGTTACCACGACCTGGTATCATACGTACCGCCCGTCTAATGATATTAACATTAGTAGCTCCATTGCCTTGGAACAGTGTTGCTCTTCGACCTAGTCTCACCATCGAATAGAAGGATTTCACGATTTGCCTCTTCCGAAGGACTCAATGAAACTCGCTTTGGTTTGGTGAGGCTATCTGAGGGGAACACGCATTCCTAGGCAGGGTGACCAGAATCTTGAGAAACCACTTACTCACTAGGTACGGATCTATAGTTCTTCTATCAAACGCTTAACATAGCTAATGATACTAACTGGCACCACTCCACCATCTCCGGGGTCACTTTTGTTAATGATAGGATAAAGGTATCCAGGTGCCGTCCAGGCCATCCATAGGCCCACCCATATAAAACCTAGACAACGTTGAACTATTCGATATTCCGAAGTTAAGGGAGACAGGTAAGGGCCAACTACGTCCTCGACAATGATTCCCAATGGTTGGATGAGGAAAAAGCGCAGCGCCCCTGAGTCTTGGACTGGTATTCCTATGTGACGATTTTTAAGATATTAATACCTAGTAAGTAAAGGCTGGGATGTGATATACCTGCAGAGGAATCGATGGCTACGTGTATTACACCAGATATGAAGAATACTACCCAGACACGTAGAAATCGCGCCAACTTGGTATTTTTTCGTATACGGAGTACGTCGTGTATAAAAAAGCTGGAGAAAGTATGAAGTCGGTGGGTATTAGTTTGATGCCAGAAAGTGCTAGATAAAGTCGTTAAACCGGAGGAACTCCCATTTCTTAAGATAGTAAACGTACCTCCAGAAATACCTCAGGCTGGAAATTTTCAAGACCGATCCGTTATATGGCGGCCAATCCGCAGGTGAACTCAGACCTATCGCCACGCAGAAGAAGGCCGCGATGCTGTAAACGCCACGTTGAAATGACACTAGACCTACACCGAGCCCAACGGCGGCGAAGAACCTCATGATGAGCTCTTCAAGTGAGACATCCTGAATTCTGGCAAGCATGCTGATCTTGTCGATCGAGTAAAACTCGGGTACCGTATCTGATGAGGCATCCATAGCATCGAGTAGCAGGTAGCAAACTATTATTATTGCCGCCGTGTTACCGAGGAATCGCGCTTTGGATGAACGTAGCTCTTCTTTCAACGGTGGGATGTTTCTGACTTGATCTGGGGTATTAATGAAACGCCATGAGAATAAAGTAGAGAAGCCAAACTTCATTCGATATGCTACTTCGGAAAATGCACCTGGAGTTGTAGATTTTCCCCTATTTTCGGAACTCCAGCGGCTGAGAACCGCAACATCTAAGTAATGAAAGAATAAAGACAGTGTGTATCCCCCAACAGCTGAGGCCCAAGAACTTCTCGCAATGTAGTCGGGGCATGTCAGAAGACAATGCCAGGTCAACGAACCTAATATGGGGAGGCAAGCTATTCGCAGCAGAGAAGATGTAGGAGTAAACCCAAGGATAGATACAGTGAGCAAGGCTACACCTAGCGAATCGAATAAAGGGTGGTAGCTCATGGTGATCAATCATGGGCGCATTGTAAGCTCAGAGAGGTTATAGATCGAGGATCTAAAATCTGGAGCAACTCAATGGGTTTTAACTATTAAAACCTGACCTCTTATGAAGTTCCCTGATATACTATTGCCTTTTCCAATTTTTAATTAGCTTGTAACTAAGGATGGTATTTTAAAGTAAAGACCCGTGCATAGCAGTTACTATGTCACAGGGCGACTAGGTGATCCATCCCAAAAGGGATTAGTCCTTGATTACGTAGCTCAGCTGAAGGAGGATATCCTAGCTCGCCAGCAACGGTCTCCTTTTATTAATAGATCATACCTTTCACTACTGTGTGCTCAAGATCCGGCACCCCACCGACGGTGCGCCACTACAAAAGCACCAAGAGTACAGCTGCTAGTACATAGAATTATTCCGCACAGAATCCAAGAACAGAAAGTCATTCACAATCTGTTATAGATCTACGGCCTCTCGATAGCTTTCTATGAGAATCGTTTAAGCTCAACCCGACGACCGTAACTTATTGTCTTGAAAGCGGAGCCTAACTATCCTCTCCCGGTTGTAACCAAGTTCAACGCACCGTCGGACGGCGGTGCGTATGGCGTGGAACGTGTAGGTTACATAATTGCCAATTTGGGTTTGCTTGATAAGGAAGACTGAAAATCAGAAAAGGATGCGGATTTGGTATATCAAAGAAGGGACATTATACAAGAGTAATCTAACTCAAGTTGGTTACCTGATTTTGACATCAGATTTTGTTTTCCGATTATGTCTGTAAGGCTCTTCACCAAACAGATTTTATTCAGATTTTGTCATTTCCAAATTGAGTGGAGATCTACAATGAGGCGTGCATGCCTAGTAATTACGTGCATGCACACTAATCCCCGCCCCCTTTTCCTATTGGAGAGCCCATCGTAAAAATAAGCCAGGCAACAACCAACCACTCAACACTAGATTCTATATTCACCTGTCCTGTCGCTTCTGAGACTACCATGGTGCCAAAATCTGAACTCGAGTCGACAGAGCATCAGATTTCATTCTCATCCAAGTTACCATATGAGCAGCCATGGATTAACTATGTAATAACACTCATTTCCGAAAAGCATAACAAATGTATATATCAAGGAGGCCCGGCGACAGTGGATTCAATTGAATTCTGGATGACTGCTAAGTAGACTACCATAGAAACAACAAAACACGAATACTAGTCTCGCCGATACCGATCTTACGAAGTTTTTAATTTTACGTTGAGCTTTCACTCTCGCATTAGTACCATCACTAAATACACCATGCCTCCTTCTAACGAGACGCGATCTCCAAGCTCTAGTGAGAACCGGTATATAACCCTCGGCTCAACTGATATATACCTTGATAGCTAAATTTTCGTGTAGTCATTTGCCCTCCGAGAAGTTTAACATTCTCGAAGAATACCTTCGTTCTGATCCAACTGTATCCGAGCGATGTTCTGGCCTAGTAAACTCCGCTCAAGCAACTAGAGGAATGAGTAGCCATCTCGATGACGTGAAAGATCTCATTAAGGGCTTCGACAACGTGTTCGCGAAAAATAACAGAGGTGGAAACCAGGGGTCCAGTATCCGGGTTTACAACTCCAAGGAAGGTCAATAGGGGCGAATCAGAGGAATATCTTGGACGAAGGAACCACGTCGGTCATGATGAGCCTGGCTTGACGATATTAGTTTGATATTTCTAGTTGATTTCCATTGAATGTCGTACCGAGAACGATGATACGGATTGGCGTTGGAGACACGGAATACGAATGACGCAGGGAGGGATTTCTTTAGACTTAACAGTCCTATCGTTTCACGAATTTGACAATAGGCGTATGGTTCTATGACTGTTGAACTAGGTAGATGCTATAACTCCAACAAGACGACATCGAGAATAGTAAATTTGAATGTTTCCGTCTTTAGTAAACCCTCTCTTGATGCAGTCGTCCTTACCTAGACCCTTAACCTTGAGTCTTCTCTCTTTCGGCCCTCTCTGTCTCCCTCCTCCACTTTGGACCAAACTTCCATTGGACAGCCACGCCTAACAACGCAACAGCTTGAACGATCACACAGACCGTAAACGCTAGCCCAACACCGATGCTATTTACCATGGGCATTATGAAACTCGTGCCACCGGCGGCGAATAGGCATCGGGCGAGGTTCAAACTTGCGCTAGCAGCCGCGCTCCGGTCGGAGAAGATGTCGACGAGGTAGGTCATGACGACAGACTGCGTGGAAACGGCAGTCCAGCCCGTGATAAATGTGGACACGATCGGCACCACAATATGGATATGTTCAGGATATTGAATCGTCCAGCCGAAAAGAATGATAGACAGGCACTGAACGAAAGAGAAGACCGGGACCAACCGAAGGCGCGCCTTTTCCAGCGGAAAGGAATCCTCGGAGTTAGTGGCGGGACGGACTAGGCCGTTCGACAGTCCGACGTTTGTCTGGGTGGAGCGGGCTTCATGTTGCGCTTTGACGCGGCGGTAGTCGATGTCGAGGATCTTGCCGGTGATGAGCGTGCCGATCATGGATCCCGCGCCGTTGGCGATAAACGTCAGGCCGATTTGGGTTTCGGTGAGGCCATATCGCTCTTCGAAAAGGGACGACATGGCTGTGATGCTCATTTGCCAGACAGCGTAGTAGATAGCGAGGAAGATGATAATGGGAGCAGCGTGTTTGCTGACAAGGATGCGAAGAGGGCCGGTCACATCAATGCGTTTCCTCGCGGCGGGCTGTGAGTTAGGCGCTTCTGGATTCCATTGGATCGTGGTGAGTTTCTGGTAAACACGTAAAGGATAACTGGCGATTGGGCTGGATGGCGTTCGACTTCCATTCGCAACAATCGATCTCAGAGTTTCCGGGAGGAGGATAATCAAGAAAATTAAGAAGACGCCGCTATATATGGTCAGGAACCAGAAGATTGCCCTCCACCCTAAAGATCCCGCCAGAGCGCCTCCAATCACCGGACCAACAGCTACAGGCACAAGCAGTCCAGCCTGAAATATGCCCATGAAACCTCCACGTTCGGCGCGAGTGGTGATATCGCCGATCACGCCTGACCCAATCGCGATCGTACTCGCGCTGCCGGTGCTCTGTAAACATCTTAGTATGATCAGAGTGGCATAATTCTTCGCCTCTGCTAAACCGACGCATGCGGCGAGAAACACCAGAAAGGTGCAGCAGTAGGCAACCCGACGACCTCTAACGTCGGAAATAGGGCCCCAGAGGCTAGGCGCTAAACCTTGGAAGATAAGGTACGAGGTCACCGTGAGGTTGACGAGCTCCACTGATATGTCCAGGTCATGAGCAATCGTAGGGAGCGCGGGGAAATAAATGTTCGACGCAAAACCAGAGACTATTTCCATTTATCCGTGAGCTGATTCGGGGAGTACTGTAACTTTGGGGATGTGCACTTACATGTTGCTGCTGTTGATACGACGAGGATTATCAAGGCTTTCTGTCGTTTGTCGAATATGCTGTAAGGTTCTTCCGGAGCTGTTGGTAGTGGTAACAACGCTGGTGGTGTGCTTTGATTTTCTTCAGGCTTGCCTGTCATGGTTAATGTCTGTTATGGTTATTTTACAACTCGAAAAGCTTCGACAGACGAACTGAATCAATCAAATATATAAAGGTTCGAAGGTTCGAATCCCACGTTCTCCGGACGGAGTTGACGGGGCGGAGTTGAGCTGACGGAGCTGAAGTAGTAGCCAATCATCGTGGTCCTAGGAAGTTTAAACTTATTACCTAAGTCACTCTAAGTTGTGTCATCTGATATTGTTATTCATTATGGAACCTTCTCTCTTTTGAATAAAAAGTTATGTGATATGATCACCTTGAATTGGATGCTATTATCGAGGTAGGTATGGCGTTGCAAATTGCCCCTCATATTTGGACAATGGCATAATGGTATGTGTACAAGTATAAACGCTGTATAACAGTCAGCAATACATGATTTCGAAGCTATGATGACTTACACTCGATCGGGCTTGAACGATAGCAGAATCAACCTCCATGCGTGCAACTGGTTACTGCGTATATCATTGTTCCGAATTCATCGACGTTCTCCAGCCAGGTATCCACTCGGTTGCGTCTTTCAAGCCGACCAGACTCATCCAGATCCGCAGGCATTGGCCAAAGTTCGTCAATACGAAGGGCCTCCTCTAACCAATCTGCTAGATAAATGTTGTATGATGTTTCCCATTCTTGCCGTGTCTGGGCCCTCCATAGATGCTTGCTTGTTGGCGCGGGTAAGCCCTGGAGCTCTGTGCCCAGGAATGTCTGGAGACCGTCTTGAGTCGAAAGCACGCTGTCGAAGAGATACATTGCGTAAAGGGTCCGTCGCTTCGCCTCTGCGACAATCCAGGCTTCCCATTTTGGTCGAGCATGTTGCTGTTCCGCTATGCACATAAGCCCTCCTCGACTGCTTGAGCATGCAAGTTGTTGGAGGTTCATCATCGCTTGTCGAAGATATGGACCAGATATCTGAGCGAGCCTAAAGAATAATACCATGGAGTAAATCATATACGCTTGAAAGGCTGCAAGTTGAGTAACATTATCGTATGCTGCGTATTGCTCGTAGAGGTTGCTCATCTCTCGTCCTAATACGTCCGCAGCCACCCCCTCACTGCCAGGCAAGGGGTTTTCGCAGATGCGAATCAGACTCAGACAAGTTGAAAGCGGCGGGCTTGTTGATGTGCTCATCACCTGCGAGGCATGTATAAACGGCGGAACTCCGCGACCACGAACCGCGACGGCAACATACGACTTGAGAAGCCTATAGATAAGAGACGTGATGGTAGGTGGATATTGCTTAACCTTCTGACCGATGACGGGGATGTACGGATGTAGCCAGCGATTGCTAATATCGTCCACATTGATGGGGCTAAAGAGTTCCAAGCGCGAGAAATCAAGCGTCTCCGACTTCTTAGGCGCGCGGACTGGAACTTCTAGCCTCGACTCCCGTGGTGTATAGTTCCCCGTGAATGCCTCGGAGGAAGGATTGGTCGGACTAGTATCACCTACGACTAGCGTCGACTCGGTTGTCGAGCTCTGAGTATCAGCAGCATTGGAGATCTCACACTCAGGACCTGGAAGTAAACTCCCGGATGCGGAGAGAGTGTTCGGTGACGAGACGGTGTTATATAACCCTCCTTCGACATTTATAGTCGTGCTATCTGTAGAGCCTCCGGAAAGCGGGAGGTGAGGATAAGAACAAGATAGGCCTCGCAAGGCGCACCGAGTACAACGCCCTGCTTTGCGATCGCATTTCGCCTTCGCGGCTGAACAACTATTACAAGCCTTTTGACGCGAAGTAGAATACCTTGCAGCCTTCATGATGGCATCGGGGAGTAAAATATAGAGTGCATTGGTCGGCCGTTGCCCAGCGCGTACACGGGGTTACAACATGATGAGTGTAAGTCTAAGTTTGATTTCCAATGTGCAACATTCAATGAAATGGCCTGTGATTTCTAGGTACCTAGGTACATGAGTACATATAAGGTACGTGGGCAAAAAAGATCTGGATCACGTAAACATATCCGAACCGTTCCGAAATCTAAAAGCCCCATTTGCTTTCTAATAAGAGCCCTTTTATCTTGATCGCATTTTGATAACCTCAATTTTTAAATCCTCCAAAAGCTGGACATTGGATTTACAGTCGCAATCTGCATTATCGGAACCCCGCAAATAACTCGTGGCTTCTAAGGATCCAAATGGGGGCGCGCCCTTCGGTGAACTACGTCACCCGCGTGAAACCCCGCGATGGAAGCAATTCACGGTTGCGGCAATAATACGTAAGGCGTATCCGTATATATGACCAAGGTATCATAGACATACCGTTGCCGAAATTCCATAGCCCCCATCCCAAACCAGCCAAACATCCATATCAAGTTTGACGCGATGGCAAATCTCAAGGATTTCCGCCTTCTCTCCTTCGATGTCTATGGCACATTGATAGACTATGAGACCGGCATACTATCAGCCCTAGAACCCCTCCTCCGCGCCAACAATCGCACAGACATCTCCCGTCTGCGAATACTAGAGACTTACCATGAACTTGAAGTCGAGCAGCAACGGGAGACACCTGGCATGCCTTATTCTGAGCTCTTGGCTACTATTCACAAGGGACTAGCGGACAAGCTAGGATTGGCGCCACCTACGGCTGAGGAGTCACGAGCCTTCGGCAGTTCTACCGCCAGTTGGCCGGCTTTCCCAGATACTGTCGCCGCACTGCGCCGACTAGCAACGCGGTATAAGCTAGTAGTATTGTCGAATGTTGACCGCGTCTCCTTCGGTCTAACCAATGCTGGGCCGCTGCAAGGATTCCCCTTCGACCTTGTGATCACGGCCCAGGATATCGGCTCATACAAGCCGGATCCCCGAAACTTCGAACACATGCTCAAGGAAGTAAAAGAGAAGTTCGACGTCGACAAGGAACAGGTATTGCAGACAGCCCAGAGCCAGTTTCATGATCACCACCCGGCGCGCGCGATGGGAATCAAGTCAGTTTGGATCGTGAGGCCTGGAGCAATCATGGGCAATAGGGAGCAGGAGATATATGATTGGAAGTTCAACACGTTGGGAGACATGGCTGACGCACTTGACGCAGAATTGAGTGCTCCGTAACGAAACATTGATAATCAGATATTGGTTTATAAGAAACAGCGACGGCTCTAATAGTATATGGTACATCTCAGATGTTTTATATTTTCCCGACCAACATACAACCAGGCGTATTTCCAACTTGGTGATCGTTCAGGGATCAAACTCCTATGCCTGCATGATCTTCTCAAACACTTTCACTCGGCTTGTCCAACTCCTGCATCTCTTTCCGAAGATATACATCGGGATTGCACAGATGCAGATGAAGACATGAACACCTCCGATGATGCAAAACACCTCCTTCGGGCCTTGACTGCTGATCCAATCTGATATAAAGTAGTTCATGCCGAAGGAGTAGATGTTCCTCAGATTAATCGCCGCAAATGCCTCTGGAGCTTTGTCGCGATGGCAGTCCGTCAGATAGCCATACACAGCGATAGACATGAACCCCACGCTGAAATATTGTAATCCATAGAATATTGCAGGGGCAATCCAGGGATCTTGCTCCTGAAGCGACCATCCGAAGCCGAAGAATGACATGCCTCCTAGGGTCAAGGTGATCACGATAAGGACCAGTCGAAATTCGGGCTCGTATATACCTCCATTTCTTCTCGACATCGCTTTGATGATCCAATCCGCGATTGGCCCGGATATGAAAGCTCCCACGATCGCGCCTATAAGCGAAGCAATTGAGACTAGCCCAACTCCGGAAACACTGAAGTTGTAAGGGGGCGCTGTGAATAGTTGAGCTAGCACGGAGCCCACCACCACTAGCCAAGAGCTCGTAAGCCCATATGCGAAGAAGGAGAATAAGACTTGCGGAAATAAAAGCATCATCAATGGTCTCGTGAGAACCTTCCAGAGTGGATCATCGGACATCCTCCCATGGAATATTTTCAAGTCGTGCCAGTAGCTATGCTTCTTTTCCGACCAGGTAACATCAACCACAGCACGTTCAATAACCTCAACTTCAACCTCAACGTTCTCAGCACCGGATGATCCGCTACCTGTTTTTCCTTTCGGGTTGTCGTGCTTAGGTATCTCTTCCTCCTTTTGTCCTGTTCCAAGATCTGTATTCAAAGATTCATCCCGTCTATATGCAGTCTCGGGACAGAAAAAAAAGAGGACGATTATCCATACTCCGAAAATAATTGCACATATGCCGTAGGTCCAGTTCCAGCCCAGGTTTTGGATGATGTAACCGGAGATAATCGTGCCACCCCCAACTCCGATGGAAAGGCACAGACCCCAAGCTGCGAGCCGGACTCCGCGTTGATGTACGAAATAGATATCCGCGATTGTTGCGGTAACCAAACTTCAGCAAGTCAGCTTAAATCTGTGGTCAATTCCCAGGGGGTGGAGCCGGGATACTCACACTTCGAACGGGGACATTCCTATGCATCCGACAAGCCGGAAGCCAAGCAGACTATTGAAATTATGTGAATAGTATCCTCCAATGCTGCCGATAAACAGTAGCAGGTTGCCGAGGAGAAATACGGGTCTACGACCCCAGATGACGGCCATGGAATTGGTGAAGAAGCATGACAACCCAATCATGAGTATACCATATCCGAGATCGCCGTTAAGCTTGTTATACGAAATACCGAATTCAGAGGTCATCTCGACAAAACCAGGTGTAATCATCGGTCCCTACGAATAGGAATATGCAATTAGTCTCATAGTCCCGCGTTAACATATGTAGGACAAGTACCTATCCAAGTGAAAAGGGGATACTCACCCAAGCGCCCACGACGGCCGTGTCAATACATATGAAGAATAACATAATATCTTTCTTCCATAGGGGCCAATTCAATGGGTCGTTCGGACTGTTGCTAGGTTGCGGCACCAACACAACATCTGAGTCCTTGCCTTTCCCGTGGCGCAAGGCCGTTGCAAGCTCACCATGACGGCGATAGTCGTCGGAACCAACGACATCTGTCAGAAGGGCCGTACCAGGCACATGGGAAAGGTGTTTATCTTCAAGCACTCCGAGTCCCATGATGAAAATGTCCTTCGAATCCGTAAAAATTTGATGTTGCAGGGGGATACCAAACGAGTTCTTCCCAAGGGCGGTTAATAGGACTTATAACCACGACTCAGCAAGGGTATCTCCAACTCTTGACAATAGCCCCCCCTGAATTATTGGAGCACGCCTAAATTGATCAACACGGGAGATTGGTGGAGTCTGAAATTTCATCTTGCAGTCGATTCACACCGATTGCGGGGAACCTTGTCCGAAAGTGCTTGAAGTTATCACGGCACTGGAGTATTTTCAGCTAATAAGGCGTAAGTGCTAGCTAATCCGGTATTCTAAGAGGGGAAACGTGGTCTATTAGCTGAATCCGGGGTTTCTAGGATTTCTGGACTTGCCTATCACCCTTTAGCGAGACTTGCTGACTGTGACCGCGTTATTTCAACTCGGCAGAGATCCCGCCCACGCGGTGCTGCTGTGTAGCACCAAGTTTAACGGCTTCCTTCACCATAGGCTACTTTAGGACACATCGAGGTTACTCTACGCATAATATATGTTGACTAAACCAAGGGGCCTTAATCCGACACCATCATGTAGTTACTTAGGGAAGCACAACATAGAACGCCCAATTGAAACATGAGAGAATGGTAAGTAGTGGCTATTTGATGCCTAATATCAGGTTGACGAAGCATAATGATTAATCGTCGATCGGGGAACCCCAAAGGTAGGTCCGAAAGCTGGATCGGAAACATCAGGGGTCTTATTATCGGACGACAATATTCGTTCCGGAAAATGGCGAGGACTACACAAGTATGTCAACAGAAAATTCAAATAGAGCATGAAGTTTTGTTCCGCTATAGACGCTCGGGAAAATGGTGGGAAGAATGCCTAGCCGCTGACGGGCTAAGGTTTTTCTAGATTAAGGAATTATCGATTCTCAGCGTTGAGGTCCTGCTCAAAAGCGCCCTGGATAAAATCCAACGAATGTACGAGGTAGACATCATGCGACCAACGTCCTTGATTATACCGTTATTTCCCCATTGAAAGTAATACGGCTCTAATTGCCAGGTTGGCGATTATTCGAGTTCCCAGCTAACCAGACGCCACTTGGAAGAAGTATGATGGCGAATCTGAGGGCCCCAGACCAGCAGGGGCACCACGAGAGCCATCAAACCGCCGAAAATTCCGCCCAATGTTCCAAACGCCTAAATATCATTAAATGTCTGGACCTTAAAAGCATATTTGACTGCTAGCTTACCTTAGCGTACCCCATGTTATCAACCCAAGGTACTACCCCGTGAACTAATCCGAATGCGACGATGTTCTTGATACCATTGATCATCTCTAAGCATTCGGCCGAGACAGGAAAATAGCAATCGCAGACGTATGTCATAGTTATGCTGGCAGACCCCGTCAAGCCGACGCTCATGAGCCCGTACGCAGTAAAAATAACCGGCCAACTCATCTGTTGCTCCACGGAAAAGCCGAAAAGTACGATCCCTGTGAATACTACAATCGTAGGAATTAAAAAGAGAAAGAGGCGTGTTTCGGGGACGAAGACGCCGTTGTTGCGCCTGGCGCAGTATGCCGCCCCTTTATCTATGCAAAGACCACCGATGAATGCTCCAATTCCTTGCCCAACTAGAAGTGAATGTTAACATCTGACTCCTCATAATAGAGGTAGAGTAGGTGAATAGCGATTGGGAAGGAAATATTGGTAAGATGGCAGAGATAAGGGGCAAGGACTTAACATACTCATGCCGGGAATATTTATCAAACCCACCGCGCCGATAGAGAAGTTGTAAGGCGGAGGAATCAAAATGGTCGAGCTGACAGTGTTAACCATGACAGTCGGAGCAAGTGCCAGCGAGTCTGCGCCGGAGTTAGCGTTACCTCTAGATGTAGAGAGGTAAAGGAGTAAGTACACGTAAGAGTTGCAAAGAAACATGCCGGGTAAGCCAATAAAGGTATGGGACGAAGTATTAGACTTAAGTACGACGTATCCCTAGCGATCCCTGACCAAGGGTTAAGAGATTGTAAGTAAGTCTTGCGATGGAACGTGCTGCTTGGTTGGCTCGATGGCAAGCTTCTGCCTCCAACTTCTAGATGCTCATATTTGTCGCCTTCAACCTTTTCGCTGGTGCTCTCGGAGATGGCACTTGAATCTGATCGTTCGACGAGATTAGGAGACCTTCTAAATCGCGTCTCAGGGGCAAAAAGGATTATCAGCAGTAAGTTGACGCCAAGTAGAATAGCGCTCAACCATTTTCCCCATGCCCAGCCCTTGTCTGTTGAAGGAGTTAGCTCATAATATACCTATACGAATATACTCCTGTGAAGGATCGACACGCACACTCAATGAGATAGCCGCCACATAATGGTCCCAAGCTACTACCGAATGCGATGAAAACGATGTACCATGACATCTTGGTTCCTCTTTCGTGCAGAAAGTAGATGTCCTAAGCAAGGAAGTATCAGTAGTCTATAACTTGAAAGCGTAATCAGTTATGCCTGAGGGCGTAATCACATTAACAATTGCAGCGCCCAGCGCTTCAGACGCTCCGCCGCCAAAGGCACCGAAGATACACCCCCCTAAGAGACTCCCATAGTTAGGGGAAGCGGCAGCCCAAATTGCTCCAATGAAGCAAATCGCACAAGAGACGATGAACACCGGGCGTTTTCCAAGATATATTGCTGTAGGGACCCAAAATAAATTCTAGTCGGGGATATGGTTAATGAAACAATCAACATCGAGAGATAGGGGGAGGCTCACAGATATGCCCTGGGTGAGGATTACCCAAGAAATAAGACCTGAAGCATCATCTATGGAGACATGAAGATCCTCAGCGATGGGTAAGAAGCTATCGGAGAGTACAGTTCCGCTAAAGTTATTCAAGCATGAAAAGAGACAGATGGAGAGGAAAACGACATGTTTCCGCCATTTCGGCCACCGTAGTGGGTCGTTAGGATCCGAGGACGGCTGTGGGAATAGAACAGTATCGCCGCCCTCCAGGTGCTGCTGAGAAAGATTTCCTGGGCCATTTATTAAATTCAGTGCTACCGCGTTCATGAAAAGGCATACCATTATACAGTTGAACCGTGCCCTCACTTGTATCCAACTCCCTTAGAGACTTGAATGGCATCCTATCGACTTTGAGGTGTTTGAACGATATTAAGATCATTCTCTACAAAGATATGATCAATGGGTTTTCAGCAGAACGAGGAAGAAGCTGGCTCATGAAAAGATAATAAGGCTAGATGGTTGTCGTGTGCTCTTAATCGGAACATACACAATCGTTCGCGTAGTTCTGATTCCAGACCGTGAACTCTTTCACTGGATCTAGGTACAGTGAGGATATTGAGTAATTTCAGAGACATGACAAGTAGATACCACCCAATATCGTCTACCCTCTCTACGTTTGTCCGAATCAAGAGACATTTGCATTCCGGACCCCCATCGGTCTCCACCGGCCCGAGGTGGATCCGCAGTAGCACAGGGTTGGAACAAGGCGTTTGACAGGGAAGGGATGAACATTGAAGGGAACTACAGATATCTATTTGGATCAATGTCTTGGAGATAGTGCTACGGTTACCTACATCTCAGGTAGCACTGGGGGTTACTCCCGCGATCTAATGCTGGTACGTACCTACCATATGAATTCCGCTCAATGCCTGCCATGCCTGCCTCAAAAAAGACCAAACTAACTTTTAACCATTTTAACCATTCCCCGCAATACGCTAAATTAGTATTTCGATCGTTCTAACTATATGCAGATAGCTAGTAGGCATAGCCCTTGTCATCCCTTTGTTTTAAGCTCCTTCTACGTAGTACACTATCTTTATGTACCCAGCTGGCATTGTGATTGGCCACTATGTCTACTGGGAAGGTACGCGTACTTCAATGCACTCGTGGGGCAAACACCCAGGTTCTTTTCCAAGGGTCTTTTAGGCAAACTCCTTTTACCTCTTACAACTAACGTTCAAAGACCCATGACTATTTTCTGTCTATTATCCAATCAACACCATGAGATTACATAGTACTTCTCTTTGTGTGCGACTGCCCGAGTGTTCCGACTCAGTCTTGTAGACAAATGCTTGGTGTGACGGTGTAACAGTGAGACAACTTCGAGAGTCGCGCAGACTTCAATTCTGACCATTGAACCGTTGTACCTTTCTCTTGCTTACATCAGACTATATCTTGTATCTTACCAACCAATGTCAACTAGATCGCTATTCGCTAGTCGGTGAGGTTGATATGGCGTTCTGCACCTATTGCGGCAAAAGTTTCCAACGCAACGAGCATCTGGAACGTCATTTGGCGACTCGTGAGTGAGCCTCTCGGAAACAATGACATATCGCATTCGACATCTAACATTCTCGCAGACACTAATATCAAACGCTTTAAGTGTTCAATATGCCATATATCATTCTCAAGAGGGTTCGCTCCCCCGATGCCTATTTTCGAATAATCAAAACATACTAGGATCGATAGGTTGCTGATTCTTCTAGGGATGTGCTCCAAAAGCACCTAGCAATCCACGGAGATGTTGATGCCGACTCACCTCCAGGTGTTGTGAGAGTGAGGGCCAGGACCCAGACAGCATGTCGCAATTGCGCCAAGATGAAAGCTAAATGTGATTCAAACTCACCATGCAACAGATGCCGATCAAAGAAATTGACCTGTGATCGCCAATCGAAAAGGGCACGAGCAGCAGCTGTCTCGGATCAGTCGCAGCACATACGCGTTGACGGTGATGGCGAATCCCCGGAACTCGCAAGCAATCGCGAAAACGATGATCTCAATGAGCCGGGAACTCGTAATCAAGACGGTCATAGCGTGGGCCATCCTGAACCGCGATACGAGGCTGAGCCGCAGCCACAGCCGCAGCCGCAGAAGGAATTGGGAATATTCATAAACAATCGTTCTCTCATGGATTGCGCGACCGAATCGGTATCTGGTCAAAACAACCTGGTAGCATCTGGAACTGACCTGGCTCAGAATGTTCCACCTCTAGTAGAGTGGCCAGCCGCGGATGGTTGCCAGCAAATTGATGCCTCTAGTCTTAGTCACTTTGTTCCTGAAAACCCCACGAGTGACGTGACGACCGGTGTACAAGATTTTATTGGAGGCCAAAGCGACCCAGCTAGCATTAACTTGCAAGTCTCACCTCAAAATAGTCACGACGGTGGCTGGGACTCGTCTATCCAGCCAATGGCCTCAGCCTTAGAGCATCCAGCTGTTCTCGAAGGTCGAGATTACTGGTCATGCTTTCGATGCAATCCTACGAAGGACCCCATTACCTGCCCTAGGACAGCTGGGATTTTCCTCGAAAGTCTCAGCCAAATGCCAAAGTATGATCGGCTCTGGAGTTGGTTCGATCTCGATTTCTCCGGCCCAGCTTTTACAGAAAAGATAGTCAGTATGCCAGTGTTAGAAAACACGCGGGACACGTTATCGGCTATCTCACAATCGTTCCTCCAAAAAGCACTCGAAGTTCACAAGTTAGATCCCGCGGCGGCCTCTGTTGACGCAGCTTCTCCAAGTAGTGACGTCTCCCGTGGTTTTCTCGTTCTACCTCCCTCAGCGACTCTCGATTATTTCCTCGGGGAATACATGCGTCTATTCGAACCTTTCTACAAACTTATACCTGCTGGGGTCTTGGATGCTAATTTTCTGTTGGGAGGAAGTAATAACCGTGCGGGCACGTTATTAATATTGCTTATGATCGCCCAAGCGGCTAGTTCAGACCCCACCACTGAGGGCCGTCGCCTTTCAGCGGGCCTGACAGAAGTTTGCAGGATATCGCTCTTTGATTTGATAGAGAAGGATGTCTCTACATGCCACCACTCGCTTCCTGTGCATTCAGCCTTGTTATTCATAACTCAAGCTGTTTGGAGCGGCGACAAATGGTTGATGGATATTGGCTCTGGTCAACGAGGCATCTACATCGCGGTATGATTTCGTTCGAGTGTGCTTTTGGCATATGAAATGACTTCTTCTAATTATTCATGAGTACAGATGGTTCGAAGTGGCGGCCTTTTCGATATTCGGGACAATTATCCGGATTCTGGTGGCGATTGGGAACTGACTAGGTCTCGATGGTTAGAGCGTGAGAGGATTATTAGGTGCGCCTCAGTCCCTTTTATGATTTGTTTGCGTTTTCTCTTTCTCTTGCTTACTTATGGGTAACAGGTTAGCCTACGCGTGGGTTTTACTAGATCTGGAAATGAGCTTATACCAAGACACAAATCTTCATATTCCGGTATTAGCTATGAACTCGTCACTCCCCAGTAGCGAGGAGCTATGGTTAGCTCCTGATGTCGCCACGTGGCAGCAGCTCCTTACCCGCGACGACGACTCGGGTGTTGGGTCTTATTCTACCCAACCCCTGCCGCAACCGTCGCTACGTGCACTATTCACGTGGTTCCTAAACGATGACCTCACACTGCGGAAACAGCAATACCTAAACCCCTTGACCCTAAGGCTGCTTCTACATCCATTACACGGTCTCGTATATAGTTGTCGACAGCTACTTGACTGCCTTGGGGAAATGGCCTGCTCACGATCCTTCTCCCCTATTACCAAGGCTTCTACGCATGTCCGAATGCACGAAATAAGATCACTGCTGAATCGTTGGCTTAACTTATACAAGTTAAGCCTTTCAGGCTCCTGGGGATCAACGACAGCAGGTGGGAATGAGACGAGTAATGAATTAGTTACAGCAACTCTAATCACCTATCATATTATAAATTTAAACACGGTCGCTAGCATCCCGGATATCGAGGAATTAGCACGGCGCGAATTATCTGACCAGGAACTCCGTCTATTTTCCCAAGAGGCAAGTTCCTTCGTGCATAGTCCTAAGGAGGCCGTGTTTCATGCTGGTCGGATCTTACATCTTCTCCGCACCCTCGACCGGAAAACACGGCCGCCATGGTGGCCAGCAGCTTTGTATCGTTCAACTCTCTGCTTGTGGGTATGTAGTATATTCTACGGGCCTCTTTGGACTTCGTCGTCATCGTCGTCATATCTCTTGGTCGATGCCCAAGAAGGAGACAGCCTTGACCCCTATAGTTGGAATCTAGTCAGAGGAACTAGCAAGGATGATTTCGTCGGTGCACCCTGGGATTCCCGCTCACCGTCCCTCGTTCCGGCCTTAAAGAATCCAATTGGCACAGGAGAACCAGTCACATTGGAACATCCAAGTCTTGTCTTGGAAACATGTTTATTAGTGTTTGATACAGGGGTGGCTACAAGGGTCTGCGAAGGAATTCGGGGCAAGTTAAATCAACTGTTACGCCGTAGGAATGCACTGAACAGTAAATAAAGCCAACTGTCCCAGTCTCCAACTCTTCAGGTACTGCCCCAAGCAATTTCGAGCCAGAAAAACCCGTTCTCTAGATGAACCTCCTTTCTCATCATGCAATACTATTTATACAAACTACACACTCACACTCACTTTCATTTTAAGCGTCCTTAAGAGATGTACCGACAAGGCTCCACATATCTGTCCGCCAGCCGTTATATAGCGGCGCATTGATGCTCTCCAACTCTTTCGGATCACCTCTTCTCAGGGCCTGGAAGTACCAATCTTCCCTGGCTATGTCTTCGGGGTCTGCACTGTGAAGTCGTGTCTTATTTGCGCTGCTATAAGGATGAATGATGTTTTGGAAGACGCGTCGGCGCTCTGACGAGTACCGCAAGAACAGATTCTGTAAGTTGATGGTTCGACGGCAGCCGTGACCTGAGCTCAGTATTCCGTTCGCTCCGTTGGTGGTAGGGATATGCCGTTGATCGTGGTCGCCCTGTCCTAGAGAGAACGCAATCTCAAGCGTTTGATGCAACGCGTCTGCGTCGAGAAGGCCCGTACACAGACCTAGTCCTCCGATAGGGTTGTTGATATGCGCGGCGTCGCCCGCGAGGAAGCATCGGCCGCGATACATGGTACTCGCGAGCAGCTGATGCATCTTATACAAGCTCTTCCGCACGACGACGTGATCGCTAGGACGTGGACCGTCTAATTGTCGCAGGAGGAGCGAGTTGACGTATTTAGGCTCGAGGACTTGCTCGTCTGTGAGGAATACACGGCTACCGTCTTCTGCTTCCTCGTAGGCCGGCACGGCCATGCTGTACCGCCATAATCCCTTTACGCCCGCTTTGACGTGCTCTAGCGGCGTCACGACGCCCCAGTATTTCGGGTCGACGGTGAAGTGCACTGGCGGGTCTTCGACGACAGGGGCGGTGCGAAGTACGTCGGTAGCAATGAATCGCTCAGGCCAGCTGTGCCCGGCGAGCCGTATTCCGAGCAGTTTCCTGATAATGGACTTGCCGCCATCGCAGCCCGCGAGATACAAGCCTCGGAAGCTCTTTGGTTCTCCTTGTCCTGAGATGGCGGTAATGGTAACTCCATTCTCGTCTTGAGAGAGATCCGTCACGCGGTGGTCCCAAAGCACCTCACTTAACCCCGTCTTCGTCACCTCCTCGAGCATGATCTCCGCGAGACGACATTGAGCCAGCTGTATGGAATACGTGCAGATCTTATACTGGCCGTCCGAGTCAGGGCAGCTCATCACGTTCCGGCATAGCACCGACCCGAGCGTCTTCGTCCCCTTCTCGTCTTCGCTAGGGAGCGTTCGCCAGACGTATCCTCCCGAGGGCATGCCTTCCCTGGATACCTGGTCGTAGATTCCGGCCTCGTTGAAGACGTGGTGGACTGGGCCGTAGTAGCCGATTGCACGTGGTGCGGCGCCGAGCGTCGCTTCTTGTTCGAGGACGATGGAGCGGATGTTACTCTGTGCGAGCCGGAGGGCGAGGAGAAGGCCTACTGGTCCTGCGCCAACGATTATGACGGGGATAATGTCACAATGCGGTGGCGTGCGCGCTTCGGAGTCGACCTTGCTTTCTCCATTGGTTTTGAGTTTAGAAGATCCATTTACAATATGGTGTAAAGAAGTCATCGTTTATGTTTGGACTTTATCTTCACTTCTAGATGGAAAGTGGTGACGGGTTTGACCTAGCAGCGTCGATGTGTTTCAATGCTTGGTAATTATGCTATTCCTGGGGATAAGCTCTTCTTTCTTTAAGCCTAGAACTCGAACGACACCTAGAAGTCACACGAGGATGAACCCATTCATTTCCCTCCAGTGCCGAAACCCTCCTCCATCCCGCTACTATACCCGGCCGGGTTGCCGGTGGAGTACCGGATGCCGGAGACGATTATTGAAAAGGCATTACGGCCGAAAGCTATTAAGCGAATCCCATTACAAGCGCTGAATATCTAGGGTGTTTTTAATAGTATATACATAGTCCACCGTCGACGAAGGGCCTTTCCGAGAGACCGGCTTGTGAATAATCCCACTCATCCAAGTAACACCAACGATGGACGCCACCAACATACCTACGGGTTTGCACCACCGAATGCCCATTGTTTTTGGTCCCTTTCCGGGCCCCAGACAATCATTCGATGGGCATCGTCGGGATGGATCTTCGACAACGAGCAAGGAAGCATTTGTAACTTTCAAAACACCGAAAAGCGCTGTTTCTAGCTTGCTTCCACCGGGCTTCTCCTTTCAGGACACGTCCTCGCCAGACGAGTGCGCGTACGTAACTGTCGCGCCAAAGCGTCTAGACAACCTCGAATGGTTGGGATATAGGGGATATAATCTCTTCAGTTTCTTCATCCACGGCATTCAATACACTACGCCACAAGGTATAACACGCAAAGGCACATACCTCCCTGTCCTCTGGGAAGATCTAGCGGACCCGATCATTAGCGGGCGAGAGGAACTGGGATTCCCGAAATTGTTCGCCGATATCTCGATTAGCGAGACCCAGGGCATCTACCGCATGTCAGCGTCGTGGATGGGGTCCCGCTTCGTTGATCTCAGTTTGGATAATCTCCACGAGGTGGAGGGTATCGCAACGCCGCTTGCGCCTCCGGAAGCAGGCATAGACGACGGGACTCTTCTATACCGCCACATGCCAACCCCAGGCAACCCCGGTGTTAGTGAGGTTGACTACCCAGTCTTTGTTTCATATGCCGAGGAGAGGAAAATGCAGCCAGTGTCAACGGTCCGACGTTTCGTCGGGTCAACAGGCGAAGTTATATGGCATCCGCTAGACTGGCAGAGTCTCCCTACTCTGCATCATATAGTGAAACGACTAGCAGATATTCCCGTTACCTCTATTGTAAAGTGTGGTTTAACTGAGAAAGTTGGTAATTCAGATCTCTCATCGGCAAGGAATGCCAACATCTAAACCATACATGGAAAGTCTATTGCATGATTATAGTTACTCTAGTTAGTTATATGAAACAAATGTATCTTTTCCGTTATAATTAATTTTATTTGTTCCTCCGCAGATGAAGGTAGCTCCGAGATCCATATGAGCGGCCCCGTAGATGACCCCAAACATCCGGATCACGGTTTGGGGCCCCCTATTCCGAAGGTGGGGTGAGTCTTCAATCCATGATCTAGGTAGATATGAATAACCATTGATGCACGAGCAAACCATCGCTAGAGGCTCTAATGCTCCCGAGAATTGACGTCATGATGCCGTTATGGTACCGGTGGAGGCTTCTGAATGGTGTGGCAGGGATAAAGACGATGCCGGTGGGGATCCCGCAGATGGCTAGCTGTATGGTTCACCCGAATTGAATATTCAAACATGCTGACAATTCATATTGTCAAGACATATGTGTAATGCTAGTTCGATATAAATCAAGGTCTTTATTAGACATTTTCGTTCAAATGCACCCTACAAGATCTCATAGCATCTATGGTCAACGCTTGACTGGAACACATCACACTTTACGAACTCACACATAATACCAATCATGGCTGTCAATGGCTCCGCTTCTGTGAATCAGACACCCAAGTCCATATCCCCAGTCGCCCTGTGCCATGTAGTTCTCCGAACTACCCCTGAGGGCTACGAGAAGTTGGTGGACTTCTACCTGACCCTCCTCGGTGCCAAAATCACCCACAAGTCCCACCGCTTGGCGTTCCTAAGCTACGACTACGAACACCACCGGCTCGCCGTCGTCGCCGATCCCAATTCGCATAGACGTGGGCCCGAAGGACCTCAAGTCGGCCTTCACCACGTAGCGTTCGGGTTCGACACATTGGGTGACCTCGCGACGGCGTATGAGCAGAGAAAGGCTGTCGGGATTCTGCCGGTGTGGTGCGTGAACCATGGTATGAGCACGAGCATGTACTACGAAGACCCCGATGGGAATGAGATAGAGTTCCAGGTGGACAACTTCGATACGGTTCAGGAAGCGGTGGACTTCATGCAATCCAAGGATTTTGAGGAGAATCCGGTCGGTGTAGACTTCAATGCTGATGATTTCGTCCAGAGGGTAAGGAGTGGTGAGGATGAGAAGGTTATTAAAGCTAGACCGAATATTGGGAAGAGGGACAGGAAGTGAGAGATGAATGAAACTAGGGGAGTCGGCAGTGGTGCGCTGTTAAGACCTTTAGAACAGAGATAGTTATGTCGACTTATTTGTAATGAGCAGTATAACTAGGTAAATCTACCTACATCTTTCACATACTGAGAATAAGGCAGCTTTGAAGTAATATCTTGTAATAGAAAGATAGAAATTACAGCGACATGTACATCGTCAAGCATTCATAATCTAGTAGTTACATAGATTGGCTTACCGGGTTCGAAAAGGGGTAAAGCTGACATGGAATGCCAAGCCAAACTCCAAACGAAATCATTTCATAAGACATAAATCCGATACTTTAATGTCCCAAATGACGGATAACTTTCTCTACAGAAACGGATATAGTGTAGGTAAAGTATCGTCTATATGTCCCATTTACCTACGTAGGTGAATGCATCCTAGATCTAACTGCAACGCCCAACCCCTATCATGACCAATACCGGTCATCTTAACTTGCGCCCCAAGCATGCCCCCTAACCACATGAATGATGCATAGAGTACCACTAAGAAGAGGAACCACCAGAGCATAGAATCGTCTGGCCCGTAATCCAACCCGCGTCATCACTTCCCAACCAAGCCACAATCTTCCCTATATCCTCAGGCAGACACACGCGCCCAAGCGGACACGCAGAAGCCAGCGCAGCCTCGATCCTCTCGGGACTCCACGTCGCCCTATCCGCGCCGGGGATATAATTAACAGCCGCCTCAGCGAACATATCCGTCTTCACGCCCCCCGGCGCAATCGCATTAACAGTAATGCCGCTCGGTCCAAAATCAGTCGCCAGCGAGCGCGTGATGCCTTCGACGGCGCACTTCGACCCGGCGTACAGCGCGTGGTCCCTGACGCCCATGATCCTAGCGGCGATACTCGAGGTAAGGATAATGCGGCCCCCCGTCTGCTCGGTCGACCGCGTCATGTACCTGTACGCAGTAACAGCGACGAAGAACTGCGCGCGCGCGTTGACGTGGAAGACGTGGTCGAAGCGCTCGGGCGTCACATCCACAGCGCGCTCGAACGACTCGATGCCGCTGTTGCTCGCGACGATATCCACACGCCCGAACGCCTGGATCGTCGCGTCGAAGAGGGCGTCCAGGTCCGATTGCTTGCACACGTCGGCCTTGACGGCGATGGCTTTGGCGCCGAGCGCCTCGAGCTCTTCGACTGTGCTTTCGGCGGCTGATGCGGAGGACATGTAGTTTACGGTGACGCTGGCGCCGCGGCGGGCGAGCTCGAGCGCGATGCCCTTGCCGATGCCGCGGCTGGAGCCGGTCACGATGGCGACTTTGCCGTGGAGGGTTTGCGGGGTGGATGACATGGTGGGAATTAGTCCTGGGTTATGTCTATTATCAGAAATGAAGATATGAGTTTGGTATTGTAGCGAGGGTAGTATTTGACGTTGCAGAAAGAAGGTAACACGAGCGCTTTTCTATGACATGTTCTGTTCACGGGTCCACAAGCTGTGGTGCTGGTGTTCATCAAAGCGCGAAAGCGCGAGGTAACCTTGATTTCTCATACCCTAGGATCCCGCATCCCGCCGCTCTGGAAAGCGCGAGGCGGCGGGGCCATTCGTAAAGATATTCGTAAAAATGACGTTCCGGGATGGAGGCTAACGTCGGCCGGAACTCCAATCAACAACCCGAAAATATTCCATCCGTAGATCCCGGAGAATAGCGATAAGAGCGAGAATTGCGGATTATGTTCGGCTCCCGCTGGGGTTCCGGTCCAAGGGAGATTCCTAGGTATCTTTCGCACCTAGGTACCAGGGTTATCAGAAGTTCATTCTAACTCGATGCAACCTGACTACAATACCTTTGTTCGATTCAATCCGAGCCTAGAATTCGGAAGGATCTTTGTTCGAACATGTGACACAGTGTACGTGGTTAAATGTTCCCTTGCATTCATTGCTGTGCCTCCTTAGGTAGATAGGTTCAAAATGACAAATTCGCTTGGAATAGGGGTAAAGATGCAAGGATCATACGAACCGAGGGTCTACGGACAGATGCCTTCGAATACGACATATATTGAAGAACGATGCAAGATGAACCAACTAATACTATCTATGTAACTTTTCTTGCCATCTCCATACTGAATTTTAAAATATCATCTCCGTTGAACAGATCCAATCCCACTTATGCACTACGATTGCGAATCAACCTTCGGGATATCTGAAGCCGTCGATTCCATCCACCTCAACCCGTCATTAAACGCTTCTGCAAACATGGCCTTTTCCAATTCGTTTCCAAGGTCCGACCGACTCGCGAACCCGTGTTTGGTCCCTCCGTAGACTAGCAATTTGTACCTTGTACCAGAACTCGGCAATTGAGACAACATAACGCTACTCAACTCCGGCGTGAAGACATCTGTCTCGGCCAGGCCCATGAAAACAGGCCTCTTCAGATTCTTCGTATCTGACGATTCAAGGAATGACTACGACATTGAAGAGTCGTTTAGTATAGTGAACGATATGTAATCAAGGGGCAAGTCCACTTACGGGATGAAATACTATGACTGATGTCACATCTGACTCCTTTTGACCAAGGTTGAGGGCATGTTTACCCCCAAAACAATGACCGACGATGTAAAGAGTCTTGGCGCTGAGGCCGTGGCTATCTTTTTCATCTTGCCTTGGAACTGTCTCGAGAAAATCCGGTAGGAAGCGGTCAAGGAGTGACGCGATATGATTCGGAGTATGACGTTCCAACCAAGTTGGCATGTCTATCTTGCGAATAATATCTTTTTCCTATTGTAAGTCTACATTAGCAATATTGCGAGCGATAGACGCGGATTGAAAGAACTTTACCTCCTTGGTAAGATTATCGTATGAATCGAGGTCTGTTCCGGGGAGATACTTCATGAAGATATCAGGTAAGGCGTCACCCTCGAAATAGTCTACGATTGTGGTCTCGTATCCTTTGATATAAATTAGTCCTGCTCCTAGCATTGAGATAAAACCGTAGCAAGTTTTGTATCTCCATTTATCCCGTCCTATTTTGCAGTTTAAACGCTTCTGTTCCGGATAGGTACAATTCATCCCTTTTCATGATATGTGCTTACCGTGCCCAGAATACATATCAGCAAGACGTTGATTATGCCTTGCAAGACCGAAGCCATCAGGGAAGAAGAGGATGCTTCCCTTGGAATTTGGCCCGGGACTGAGAGGTGTTGACTTGTACACCTTCAAGCCAGCAATGGTCGAAAATGACCCCGATGGTTTAAAATCAGCTAGACAATTTTCTTGTGTTAGTCCCAGGATTTTCTTATGAAGGGGAATTAGGTATCTAATGTCGCTTACCATCAGCTGGCACTCCACTGAAGCAATGACAGGTTGACATGATGTGTATAGGTTTGGGTTTCTATGGCGAAAGGCGAAAGGCAACTAGGCGCACAATAATAGGATAATGTGGCAGTAATCGAAAGAACTGAATATTAAATCTATCACCATGTTCTCCAGATATCATTATAATCTGAACCGTATGGTAGTCCGGGACTCCACCGGGTCTTAGTCAGGGATGCAGATTCTGAGCGTCAGACGCCCCGTGAGAGAATTCACGACGCGATTATTCAACAGCAGGGAAAGACTCTCATTTCTAATCTAGGAGAACAATCCCAGAACGATTCATTGTTCCGTCTCAAAAACGAGCTTGTTTTTGAGACATCCAATTTGACTGATCTCAACCTCCACCATGTCGCCGTGCTTCAGCCAAGGCTGTCCCGGCATCTTGCCCGCAATGCCCGCAGGAGTCCCGGTCATAATAACGGTGCCTTTCCGTAGCGTCGTGCCCCTACTTACATGCGCTATGATTTGCTTCACGGTGAAGATCATCTCTGTGGTGCTCGCATTCTGTCGCACTTCCCCGTTGACTCGCGTCTGAATCTGCAACTCCACAGTTGCGAGGCTCGGGTGCAGGATTGTCGGTCCTAGAGGCGCAAAGCCATCAAAGGACTTCGCGAAGCAATATTGACCACCTGATCGTGGAGCTCGCTGCCAGTACCGCGATGACAAATCGTTGCCTGCAGTGAAGCCTAGGACGTAGGAAAGCGCATCATCCTCAGGGATATTCTTCCCTGTCTTTGAAATAACGACGCATAGCTCGGCCTTGAAGAATTGTTAATTATATGAGATCATAGACTGGTATCAGGGCTTGATTGCGTACCTCGTAGTCCATCATTTTCGCCTCAGGGGGCACAATGATTTCTGAGGTCGGCCCCGCTAACGCATCTGGAGGTTTGGTGAAGACAACTGGATTAGGGGGAATTTCCAGCTAAAGAGTAAATGTCAGAACAGATTCTACCAAGCGATGATTGGATTTACCCACTCCGGCTTCTTTCGCATGATCCTTATAATTCAGCCCGATGCAGATGAAAAGGGGCGTCGAGGCAATAGGCGGCAACAGCTATCAAAATCATCAGCGCAATCTACTCCGTGATAATCCAAGTCTCCGATATCCATTACTGATATTACGAACCTTGTGTACTACCGCCTTATTTCCCGTTCGGGTCAGATCGTTGGCATCATGGAGAAGCTCTACTTGTGAGCCAATGATATTGTCTAAAGGAGCCTCTCCGACGTCTCCATAATGCTCGACGAGTGATTCGTCAAGAAATCGAATTAGATTATGAAATTGTGGACTAGACGACATAGTGGCTTAACGCAGAATTGGAGAGATATTGCCAAGTGCTTTTTCTCAAGTGCTCACTCGCTCCCTCTTATTCCAGACCCGGGAGATGATAGGCCCCCCTTTCTTCGGCTCCCCACCGGAAGTGGAGGTTTCCATAGGCAACTCGGATTCTAAGCGGCTCGTCTGGAGTAAAGCTCAGGAACAAGTATACAAGGAACTCCACCGAAAAATCGCCCGTTTTTAGCAATCCGATATTCGCAGCTTCATATCCGTTTGCATTGGGAGTGCGCTCGCTTATTTACAAGCTGTGAGCCCGCACCAATAGACCGATAGACCGCATGGTAGTATCCACAGCATATGCGTTGGATCAACACTCTCCTCCAGGACGCCGCAATTCTCCTTCCGTGCATTCCTTCTTCCGACATCATCCTTGTCAATTCTATTACACCTTGAAATCTTCCGAAGATGTCGGCCCAACTACCCTCAACCACGGAAAGCTTCCCGACATCACATGAGAAGATCACCAAGGTAGTCGACACACTACAATTCTTGGATAACAAGTTCGTGGCGTCGGAAACTTCAGAGTTTATTGAACTTCACGATCCGGCTACGAACAACCTCGTGACGCGAGTTCCCTGCAGCACTGATGCAGAGCTACAAGCCAGCGTGCAGTCTGCACTACGAGCTTTCCCGAAATGGCGGGCTACCAGCGTCATGGCGAAGCAGCAAATCATGTTCAAATTCGTCGCCTTAATCCGCCAGAACATGGATAGGCTTGCTGCAGTCATCACTTTAGAAGGCGGCAAAACCCTTGCGGATGCCAAAGGTGATGTACTACGTGGTCTCCAGGTTGCTGAGGCTACATGCGCTGCCCCGGAACTCCTCAAAGGCGAGGTTCTCGAGGTCGCTAAGGATATGGAGACAAGGACGTATCGAGAACCTCTGGGTGTGGTTGCTGCGATTTGTCCTTTCAGTAAGTATAGCCTTAATCAGGATATCTATACACCAGCTTCAGATTACTAACGATCTCATCCGCGAACCAGACTTCCCGTCCATGATCCCGCTATGGACTCTTCCAGTTGCCACCATTACTGGGAATACTCTGATCATCAAGCCTTCCGAAAGGGTTCCTGGCGCGGCGATGGTTCTTGCGGAGCTATCGCGCGCAGCGGGCTTCCCAGACGGGGTTATCAACGTAATACACGGCTCACGAAGAGCAGTCAACTTCATCCTGCACGAGCCAGCAATCAAGGCCATCAGCTTCGTCGGCAGCAACCAAGCTGGCGAATACGTCTACACGACCGGGTCTGCCAACGGCAAGCGTGTCATGGCAAACTTAGGTGCAAAGAATCACGCCGTTGTGCTTCCGGACAGTGGCAAAGACCACTTCCTAAAGAGCGTAATAGGGGCCGCCTTCGGTGCTTCGGGGCAGCGATGCATGGCGCTTAGTGCATTGATCTTGGTTGGAAAGGCCAAAGAGTGGTTACCTGAGCTCGTCGAGCGTGCTAAGGAACTCCAGACCAACGGCGGCTTCGAACCAGGCGCGGATCTGGGGCCCGTGATCTCACCACAAAGCAAGGAGCGGATTGAATCTCTCATAGAGTCGGCGAAGCAAGAAGGTGCCAACATTCTCCTCGACGGCCGCGGATATGCACCCGATAAATATCCAAACGGCAACTGGGTCGCGCCGACCATTATTGACAACGTGACCCGCAGCATGCGCTGTTATCGCGAGGAGATATTTGGGCCTGTGCTCGTATGCATGAGTGCAGAAACGCTCGACGAGGCAATTGATGTCATCAACGCGAACGACTACGGAAACGGCGCCGTCATATTCACCCAATCCGGCTCCGCTGCGGAAAGCTTCCGTCGGCGGATCGAAGCTGGCCAGGTTGGGATCAACGTCCCACTGCCTGTGCCGCTTCCCATGTTCTCCTTTACCGGGAATAAGAAGAGCATCGCCGGCGGCGGTGCTAATACCTTCTACGGTCGCCCGGGGATTAATTTCTTTTCCCAGTTGCAGACGGTCACGGCGAGGTGGTCGCGGGATGATGTTCCCACGCAGCAGGAAATGTCCATGCCAATTCTGAACTAAGATCTCTATGGCAGGTATGTGTGTATTTGTCAGATTTATGGATAGCATTTAGACTACGTAAGTCATGGCAGTTTGCATGGGTATCGTCACAGTCAGATTTTAGCTTCATGTCGCCCCTTGGAAATGGAGTCAAGAACCACATGGCCATTGAATCCTTCGTTTCAAAACTACAACGTCTATCCAGCATGAGAACCTTGTTAAACCAACTTAGAAACCAAATGCCACACCCTGATCTAGACGGTCTTACTTAAGCGTTCCTCGTGTTCAAGCTCCACTTCCATCGCCAGGGAGCTGGTCAAGCCCTACATGATCGTTAGATTCCAGTCCCATCAGATTAGATACCGCTTGTTTAGGTATAACTTACATCCTTCGGTAACTTCATCAACAGTGTTGGGTACAGAACACTTGTTCGCTTCGGTGAATTCTTGTGTCTCGACACCCGTGCAGGTATTGCCGAAGCAGGCGTTATCCATCAGCCTCTGGAGAGCATCGCCTTTCCACCCGAAAACGTAATCGGCGTGCTGCCCGTATCCGGTACTATTTTGACGTTAGAATTGTGTTTCGATAGAGACGGTTTTGTGTGTCCAATTACTTGTCTCCTGTACTTAGAACGAATGGCTGAGATCCGTCTTCCGGCCAATCGTCTGGGTTGTTAAACGCGGTTGTATCCCAAACAATCTACCAAGATTACACATTAGTCCACAATAGATCTTCAAGGGATGATACGATCCAAATTTTGGGCCTCCAGTTGATCCAAGCTTCCGCCTGACTTTGAGGCTGAGATCCGCCATAGGCAGACCCCTGGTGTGGCAGAAAAAAAGGGGCCAGGACTACAGACTGCGTACCTCAAGCATCAGTTGTGGGATCTTGATGGGGTGAGTCGATGGGCAATTGCCGGTAGTAGCGAATGACGAAGGGCCTCCGACTGGATAAGCTACGTGATCCTGGTGGTTCGGCGTATCCAAGCGTTCTCCATCCCAGCAGCTAGATACGCCATCAGCACGTGGTTCTCAGGACTTAAAATATAATGCTTGTGCTCTCACGTCGGGAAGTGGATGTTCGAACGGATCCCGCCTAGACAGGGTCCGGAAGGAAACTCCTCGGTGTCTAGAACAGGATCGGCGCAAGGGGAATAATCGTCCCCCTTGAAATCTGGACCAGTGAAGCAGCGGAAGCAGCTCTGGGACTTCAGCCCTGACCCCAGTTTCTCGCGCCGCATAGAGTCGCCGAACAGCATACGGAATCCCTTGAAAATGACGTCAATAAGTTCCGAGAATAAAATCAGATAGTCGTGGACCCTACAGGCTTGAAAGCGGTAACCGTATTCTTGCCAGGTGACAGGTAGTATACGGTAACACCTCCTTGTTCACCTTCGAAAAACCTATTCGGGACTTGAGGCACCCGTTTGTAAGTGCCATTTCGAGCCTTAAAGTATAGGTTCGCCGTCCAGTAGTTGGAAAAGTCATCGCTGAACGTGCATGTTGTACACGAAGCAAGGCTAGAAACATCCGTAGACGGTATCGAAGCGTCGAAGGCGTTCTATATGAATTAGTAATATGAATCTTATATCAAAGCTGAATCACATACTCCTCCGACAATTTGGTGTAAGTGTGGAGATGGGTTTACTCCCGGATTGACGAGCCTACAGTAACATGAATTAGGTACGGTTCATAGAACCAATATTCGGAACCTCTGAGCTTACGGATCAAGTCGTTCGATGACAACCTGGCTACATCCAAATCGAATGAGGCTGTTACTTCCTGGGCCCTTGATCGGAGTTGTCTGCGGCGCTGCATCAACAGACGCCGCAAGGGGTAGAAGAATAGACCAAAGCATCGTGTCTGCGGTCAGGAGAAAATGACAAAACGCGTGCTATGAGGCCTCACACCCAGGTCGAATCTAGGACCATATCATGGAATGTCATGACCCATAATATGTGAAATCCTTTCCAGTGCCTTTCGATCGAAATGCCGTCTATTCCTTATAGTTCTATTTATGTGATAGCAATTTAGATTTTATTGTTAATTACACTCCAGCCACTCAGGACCTAGCAAGAGGCCTCAAGTCCTATTTTATCAGATGTATAGACGATGGTCATTGGCTGGCGAGCTATTTTTCCATAACTGCCGGATACGCGGGTGCATGATCACGGATCGAACATGGGGACCTCGTCGAGGGATCTGACTCGGGCAACACACAGACATGATAGTCGATGTCGGTAACATACCCATCAAGATGATCATCGTAATTCCAAATATTCATCTTTGAGTCAATCGTATGTAGTGACCAGACTACCTACCTAAACAGTGATGAGATTACCGAGTTATTTCCACCTACCCAGGTAAGTCCTAAGAGTTTTAACGGCCACAGTACAAGGGATCGCGAATATTTTTCCAAGAAGTAGGACTATTGATAAAAGAGTATCTCAAAATAGCTACCAATACCTAAATTCAACGAATGGAGATCTCTTTTCCACGTATATACGCCCCAGCCAATGACAACCGACCCAATCGCTATGCACGATAGTTGAAGCAAAGAAAGTATTCTTCTAGGTATCCAAGTACGCAGAGAACCCGCATACAGCAAAACGCAGTCCTTGGGGTTGAAGTCCAAGGTCCATACGTAATCCGTCTTATCCACAACCCCGGTCTAAAGTCCTACTCCGCCGACTCCCCAGCCGCAAGCAAATGATCCATAATCAAGCTCGCCGTAGCGCGATGCGTATCGCTATCGCCCTCGAGCAGAAAATCAAACTTACTCCTCATCTGAATCTGCAGCACATCCGCGTTCAACCCAACGCCCGCCGCACGTCCCGTGACCAGGGTCCCCGTCTCGGCGCTCGAACGCGCGGCGCGCTCGGCGCGCGGGCGGCAGACTTGGTCGTACGCTTGCAGGGCGGCGGGGATACCCGCGCGCGAGGGCAGGCGCGCGAGAAGCGTGGTCAGGATCAGCGCCTCTTCGATGGCGATGCCGATGCTGGCGCTTTGGAAGGGCGGCATGCTGTATGCTGTGTCGCCGATCAGGCAGGTGTTTTTGGTTACGTAGGTTGGTGCTGGCCGGTGCTCTAGCTGGCATATCGCTGCTACTTGGACGGTGTAGACGCTTTGGATGAGCTGGGTGAGAGGTGTAAGTTAGTGGTTTTATGATGGTTTGTGTGGAAAGGGGTGACAAGGGGGGGGGGAAAGGGCGTGGGGGCGGAAAAAGGGGGGAACTTACGTCGACCATGCCCTGGACTACGGGGATCTGGTTACTGGCAAACAACTCCTGGAATTCGTCGGGGGTGAATAATGTTGCCCATTGGGCTCCGCTCTGCCCATCTTCCTCCCCTCCTCTTTCTTCCGTCTTGCCGCACACGACGATCTCGACTTCGCTGCCGTTATCCAGAAGGTTGTATATCATGCTCCATCCGTCTCCGATGAAGCCCCCTTGTATTGGGTTCATCGGATCCAAGTGCTGCGCGCCCATGGCGTGCTGTGCCCTCAGCAGGGGCACCTTGACCGGCAAGCTCCAGAATCCGGTGGGGCGCGGTTTTATCAGGGATTCGTCGGCGCCGAAAATCAGGCGCCGCGTAAAGCCGTGGATGCCATCGGCGCCGATGACGATGTCGTACGTGAGATGCGTCCCGTCCGCGAAGGTCATGAGCAGCCCATGTCCGCAGGCAGAATCCGTGACGGACGTTATCCGCGCGCCGAGGTGTATCATCTGAGGCGGCACACCGTTGAGCATCTCTGTCAAGAAGGCTTGGCGGCTGACGTTCTTCTTGCACCTTGGTCCGTGACCGTTGACCTCTATCTGCCTCCCCGAGTGGGGGCCTGCAGCCATTCGTATCACAGGCGTGGTAAGGACGGCGCCGGCGCGGTCGAGACACCGCTCTAACTCTGGGTCGATAGCAGCCAACATCGCCTGCATCTTGGTATTAAGTGTGAGCCCCGGTCCTTCATCTCTGAATGCAGGGCGCGATTCGTACAAGTCCACGGCAATGTGAGGATACCGCAGAAGGCCACGCAGAACGGCGGCGCCAACCAAGCCGCCTCCTATGATGGCGACTCTTATTGTGGGCGAACTAGACATTCTTCTCAAGACAAGTCGATAGTGTCAAAGAGTTACTGAGCCGAGATAGTGACGCCGGTGAAATTGTTGCAGTATGCAGTCTATGCAGTCTGATGTCGGATTGTTCAATAGAGCTCGTCGAGACGAGACGTTCTTTATGTAAGTCCAGCATCATCGGAGGGAACCCTCGAGATACCAGCATGATCCACGATAGCCACGGGTTATCCCGTTCATCGCATCACCTTTTAGTCCACCTATATTAGACCGTGTACTCCATAGCGTTCTGACTCTCAGCATGCTGCCGAACCCGAGTCGGGCTTCATCCTTGCTATGATATTGCTTAAGATAAATCCGAGATTGTCTTTTTGACACAGACCATAAGGACGTGGATATCATTCTGTGCCGCATGTAGGGCTGAAGGCCCATCGATCCAGGATGTAGGATCGACGAAGGGCTGATCCGCAAAACCACATTGCGTATTCATACATACCCAGATACGCATTGCAGAATAGCTTTTAGCCCCCAAAGCAGGGATCTCGAGTGACGAAATAAGGAGGGCCCTCTCCTGATTTATCTGAACATCGCGGAATTCGAGAACCGGAATTCTGGACGCTACCCGGTAGCTGCCCGGTAAGGCGGATCATCCTTAGCCTCATGTTGATCTTTTGATCTGACAGCGGTTGCAAAACAAGGAGGCCGTCGTAATCTATACCCGTTTTAGAAAATGCTGCGAACTTCATGGTGTGAACGCCCGTTGGCGCACTGGTGTAGTTTTAGCCAATCATAGAGCTTCATAGATTCAGCTCTCACCCCTGCGAGGCCGGTGGGCTAGGGTGCTTTTGTTGTCATTGGCGGGCGCACCAAGCCAAACAGCCACTAAAGAGTGGGCAGTGAAGATCCCTTCCAGGCATCGAAATAAACGGGTTACGTGACTCGTCATGACTCTTACATAACGACACGGCAACGGGTGAGAGGTGAAGTCGGAAGAACGATCGCGATGCTAAGAAGTTCGGTGTTCCCGTGGGAATCGCTAAGAACCAGTGTTATCGCACCCTCTTCTTGGAATCCTTCACGTCCGAGCGCATACCAGCATAGACCAGTGAATATGCAAACCCGACTCGGACGCGGCCCGATGTTTCCTGAACAGTTACTTAATCGAGAAGATGGGGAAAAGGGACACCGTACAGGTGTTCATCCGACCTCATCCTCAGCGGGGGTCAAACTCCCTTAGCCACCCCTTGTTCTCCTCTTATGCTCCCACTTCACCCCATCTCGCGGCTCCCCGGAAATTTAATTCTATTCCTGGTCATTTTTAGCTTCTTGTTCGTTCTAACCGGGTTAGCTTCTCGATCCTACCAGCCTCCCAATGACCTATGAATAAAGAATTGCGGTCGTGGGATTTCATAACCGTCAGGCATCAGAATTATGTCACTGAGAATAGCTTCAAATTAAGGAAGTTCCCAGTCCACCGTCCCGATAATAATTGTTGTTTCCAAATCAGACCCAGTTCAACCGGTGTGGTTGTATGTCTGGAATTGGTTCATCATCCTGGTTGGCAGATCTATTACCAGATCTACAGTTGGATGCTTTACTCGGTCAACGGCATGATATCTCGATTGGATTTTGATGCTTTATGCGCAAGTAATGAGGACATATTTTGTAGGAATAATCGACGCACTGATTCGAGCGCGGTTCTGTGCGGACATAACGAGGTTATTCATTGCAGAGGAGGGGTTCAAATTAACAGCTAAGCTCAAGACAAACGCATTCAAATGCTGGGGTATCATTTAACTGCGTCTCAACAAATCTTACCCGTCGTGAGTTTTATCAACATCACCACACTACCGCCCCGTTTTTCCATTCCGTGAACTATTTTCACATTTCCCTTCAGCTCTTGTGCTCATGGTTTTCCGTACTACTGCCTCTCTTTAGTAAGTCGAAAACCATAATTAGCAAATGAGTTACTGAGAACGGCAACTCCCGGTGCTAAATTCGATGGCAGAAGATTTTTCTTCCATCAATTGGCAATGGCCACTCTAGGTGTAGCTGTATCTGCTAGGACCCAATTTCTGAAACTCTGGAAATCGGAGTTTGTTGTCATCTCAAACCCGCCGGTTTTGACAAACTTACAAGGGACAAAATCCGGCTTCCTCAAGCTGCTTACCCTCCGGCAACATGGGACGGCCCTGCATAGGAAATGGCCAAAACAGTGGATTTTCCAGGTTTTGTGTGGGCGTCCTCGGTCCTGTGCTAGTCCTAGGTCGAAAGCTGGGCGATGGATCTTGTTCTGCTCTTTCCTTTGATCGACCTCCTTCGATGATGCCCTCCATTTTCTCCCCACGGTTGATATGAGTCTGCGAAGTGGAAGTAGAATACTTCCTTGCTCCGCTTCCGGCGCCGCCGATGTCTCGCGTGCCCCACGCACAAAGAAAGTCCTCCTCGTTGACATTTGGTGAGAAGAAATTGAGGCTGCTAGTAGTTGGCCGGACCGAATTGTCTACTTCATCCGATACGCCGCTGCTAGGTGGGATATCTACCTCGATATTCCATTTCTTGGCGAGATACTGGAGGATATTTAGTGCTTGGTGCGCGAAGTGATGGCAGGGCGCCATTTCCGTCAGATGCGCGATTCCCTGGTTCAAAGCTTCAGCTACTCTCGGACTTAGCTTTGCGGTGATTGTACTCGACGGCGATGTCGGTTCAGGCTCATCTCTCATGCTTGATGATAGTCGTCCATGGCTGTGATCGTTCTCGGCGTCTTCCGGTTTTGCCGTTGAAGGATTTGATATTTCGGCCGGAGAGGTATACTGTCCCTTGGAAGCCTCTGCACCCACCGCAAGGTGCATTATAGAAGATGTAAGTACAAAATACGGCACGAACGACGGTGTACGTCGAAGGGTATATAGTTGAGAATACGAACGCAGGAGGCCTTGGATAGCATCTGCCGCTTGAGCACAGACATCGCGAGGAAGTATACCCGAGCCAATGATTCTCAGTTTTATGAGTGGACGAAAAAGGAGTAAGATGGCGAAGTGATAGTACATGCTATTAGGTAAAAGAATAAGCTGGGGTGGCCATAGGGAACGGCCCAATGGCGATACTCACTGAGCAAAGAGGACGGCCGGCGTAAAATTATGTCCTAATCGTAGAACCTCGGGAATTCTATCGTACCAATTCAGGTACTGCGTATAGATGGCTAGTAAATCTCGGCTTGTCACCGGCTTTCCGGGCGAGTGGAGGACGTATAGTGACTGATGGACAAGCTCGCTAAGTTCGCAGAAGCATTTGTAAACGGATCGAACGTTAGAAGGCTGCTCACATGATCGTTGAAGGGGAGCCCCTTTTTGACCGATTAGATTTGTCAGATATCTCCATGCCGATGTTTTCAAGTTCAACTAAGGCAGGTAAAAATTCAGTAGACTCACCATCATCAGTATAAGGTACCCATAGAGATGCTTCTATATCGTCGATAATTGCGGGCTTAGGTGGCAAGTGCGGGAAGCAAGAACATTGGGGCAAGGAGCCCGTGGCAAGGGACCACGCGCTTTAATACGTCAGCCAAAGTACCTCATGATAGCCGGTGGCACGCTTACTGATCTAAGGCAAAGGCACCCCAGAATGTCGCGGCCTGCACGGCAATTTCATCTTCGTCACCATCGTTTTGCAGGCGGTGTAGGCCCATCTCGATAGCTAACCGTATACTCTGCCCTGCATAATACCAAGATTCCGAATCTCTCCCACAACTCGCTTCCCGAATGGACATTATCCCTAAGGCTTGAATAGTGGTTAAATTATGATGGTTATTTTCTCGGTAAAACAGCCTCAACGACTCCTTGAAAAAATGGTCACCTGCTGTACGAGAATCGTTCGGGTTCGCTCGCGTGTTTGGCTGGGTTGAGAATCGACACCCGAGAGCTAGCAACGCGTTCACTAGAATCGGTGAGCAGTACCGGTGCCTTCCGCTGAGAAAGTCTTTCAAGAAATGTTCTTTACTGAGGGAGGCAAAGGTCGGATATTCCCAACAGAAATATAGGGCCAGGAGATGCGAGACTAAACCACTGTCCACAGTAACCGTCGTCCACGTTCCAGCTGGGACCTTCATCTCGGGCGAATCGAACGGCGCAAGGATTTGATCTACCCCACGATATCGAGGGCCTTCTCTTACCGACGACTGATCTTGGAGCCATAATCCAACGCGTGAGCGCGGCGGGGCCTCGGCCGTCCATTGCATAATATCAGGATGCGAATCGCTCCGGGTCGACACGGTCTGACTGTGCGATGAAAAGTTCCACGGGCTATTCGGATCAAAGTCTTGGTTCATTCCATGACCCTGTGCCGTCACAGGACTCATTCCCAAAGCATTATAGCCCCCAGGGCCAGCTAACGTGCCTCCATAGGTTGAAAGAGGAGGTAGCGTGACCCCACCTCGAGCTTCGCTCGGTCGAGGAAACCCCGACAACACGCTCCCCGGTGCAGGTAAAGGAGGAGGACCGCCGCCGCCGCCGCCACCGAGCCATTCCGAGATACCTTCGACGGACTGTCCTTGTCGCAGCCTTTGCAAGACCTCCTCTACTAGATCGGGACGGACGAGGGCGGAGAAAACGGAATCGCTTTGCCGTTGCTGGCGTCGCAGAGCTTCGATTTCGTGGCGCAAGTTTTCTTTCGACTGTCGCACGGGAATTTCATATACACACTCAATATCTTTCTGCGACTTGCAACGACCGCATGGTTTCTGGCCATCACACTTGGCACGCTTCTTCCGACATTCGGTACACGCGTTCGGCGTGACAACGCCGAGGCCTCGTCTTCGCTTAGAAAGTTGGGGGTTTGGAGTGCCACTGGCTCCAGACGCGCCGGAGGTGGCAGATGCTTCATGTTTCGGGGTTGGTTTTGACGAGGATGACGCCTGGCTGGTGGAGGGCCCGCTACCTGGATCCCCCTCCATCGTAGCGTTTTAGGGCGCCCAGATCATACTCAAAGTGAAAGGATAGGCGCGCCGGCATAGACACGCCTTCTACCAACACCAGCTGATGACGATGGATGGCGGAAAAGGCGCATCGGCAGTGCGACTTGATTCGGAGTAAGGCGAGTCTTGATCAGCTCTAGGTCAGTTCACTGACGTGAGAGATTGACGGATGGTCTGAAAATCAGAGCTCTCGCCCAGACTCTAGGTAATCAGGAAAATGCGCGGGGCTATTTAACTATGTCTTTTTCTCTTTCTTTTCCGGAAGGTTAGGAATGTACTGCAGCTCTGTATTATGCGGATATATCGTATTCTACTTGAAAGAATGGCGCATTAACAACCGTTGGACGAACATATCGAGGGATTGTGTATGTACAAGGTGAAAGAGACGGGCAATTTCCAAAATTCGAGCTTTCGAGGTCAGGTTTCAAGGATGGAAGCTTTTGCGCTAGTTGGTTTGCCATCCATAGCACTTACCCAGGCTGTCAAGGCTCCCCCAGGCTTGCTCTTTACGCACATATATGCAGTACTAGGTTGACCTAGGTATGTAGATATGTACCAGGAAAGTACATCCCATGTCCCGACGTTTATTGTGTAACGGCCGCGGGAGGCTAAAATTCTTTTTTTCTGGTAGAACTTGATTTGATAGCTCTAAGTGCAGTTAAGGCAGCGCCTCATTTTTATAGTGCACCTTCAGTGTTCACAGCTAAGTATCAATGGTTATGACGTTTCCGGCTAACGAATAAGTAAACGAATATGTGGAAGATGATAGGGCAATGAAAAAGAATAAAAATTTGCAAGGAATTCCAGTACGCTCATTCAACCCCGAGCGCAGTTCTATTCCGATATTGGATCCATCCATGCATATGTATGTGGTGTACAATACTCATCTACCTACCTAAGCATGTACCCTGCGAGGAGGCAAAAGGAAAGCGGAGGGGTTGGAGGGGTTTCCCACGAGCAAATGCTACACAGTTTGTTCCACTTCGTACTGGCAAGTACCTCGACGGTTCTCAAAGGCGCAATCAATACCCAACTAAAGCATGGACGGTATACTTTGGATAAGGCGCCAAGTGGGGCTCGAGGCCGACCTACCGACTCCGCTCTGGCAGTAGCATTCTAGGTCCCGTTAACTTAGGAAGCCAGATTAGGTTTAGTGAATTTGGAATATGGATCTTCAGGTATTAAGGAAGAAATGCTCCTTTTAAAATCCCATCCGAGCAATGCGAATTTGATAGCTTCGGCTATGTGATTCCAACTTTGGAATGTTTCATGTTTCGGTTTGCTACTACCGAGGTAGCTAAGTACCTAGGTAGGTGGTAGCTTCCAAATTCTGAGCGTTCAACGTTAAAAATTACGAAAAGTCACAGTTAGCTAGACACGGACTAACGAAGAATAGGTAGTAATTGACGAGCCGGCTTTCATGTGCAGGTACCTACCTAAGATACGAATAAGAACGATAAGCAAAGAAAAGTCGCGAACCTCTATACGGTAGTTGAGCTCGAATCATGAATGCGTCATAATTCTATAGTAAATCGTCTGTGGCTCATGTTTTAGAGGGATCTCTAGCGGTCAATCAGAAAATATATGGATTTTCAACCAATCACATGCGCATTGTCTAATCCCAAGGAAATGACTTACAGGGGAGAAATCGTGATTGGACCAATCAGAATTACCTAGCTCTTCCATATTGTACTACGCATCGCCCCTTTACAGATAACAAGATATACTCTCTAATACTTAATTGTACTTCAAGATTACACATGGCAAGACGGATTGCTACTGACCAATCACCATATAAGAAACAACTCCGGGTTTATACTCCGAATATATAAAACCGTGCTTCGTTAACGGTCTAGATCTCGTCACTTTCTTGACACCTGTACGACTAGTATGACTATAGTAGCTAGCAGGTGGCGAAGGACCTACATAGACACCTGTTCCATGTGCAGCTTCAGGGATTAGAAAGAAACTGTTGATTTCTTTTCCAGATAGCTACACGTAAGCACCGAGTACCTGGTGGCGTTGAATTATAAAGGCCAGATATATCAAATCGTCGTAGAGTGTTCGGCTATTCAAGGTACTAGGAGAAAACCCCTAGGTGACTAATTGTTATGGCAGATAGAGTTAAGGGTTCATCAGGTCCTACTTGAAAAGAGATATGTACGTATAAGTAAACCCACTAAACGAAGTCGCTGGGAGGATTAGTCTTCAGATAACTGGTCATACGAAATCGAAGATGTAGTAGTTTGTTCAATGTTTTGAATTTAAGCGGAGGTCATACGTAGGTATATTATATTTATACATTATGCCATCTTTTTAACTGGCAGTATGTAATCCCCAGCCAGGGATTAAGAGGCAAAATACAGCTTCCCAGGATATAGTGGATCAGACCTAGAATATAAAGCACGAACGGTACATGATTTTACTGCTATTTTTCTTCGTATTATTTGTACCGGAAGGACCTTGAATCGAATTATTTTGGGTGCTTAGGTGTATCTTGCATTCTAATCCCTGGCTGGGATCTACTGCCAGTCAAAGAGATACAGCACTTTACATACATATTGCTTTAATAACATGCTAATTAGGTACCTAATTCGCAAGATAGATGTGCGCGTAGTGTCATGCCGTATGCAAGCACGGTCTATCCCTGTTCTAACGCCGTTCTACTCAGGCACTCAGGTTACATAAGAATCGCCTCGTAATAGAGAACCTTTCCATAGTCAAGGGGATGTAGGGGCCGTAGCTCTTACGAGTATAAGGAAACCCAGAAGAGCATCCAAGTTCAAAGTATACTTTGCGGTACAAGATATGACCACGAATAATTGGTAACTAGCGGGATTTGATTATTCGCTATACCTAACGCCTACGTTCTCATTAATATGCAAGCCACCCTCCTGTCAATTCGTTTGACCTAAACCTGCCTGCCAATGCGAGATCGTCAATGAGAAAAGGAATAGTATTCATCCTTCCCAACAATATCGTACAGTACAACCCCTGCCTAGACTTAGTACTTCTTGGTAGGGCTCCTGCTCTTAGTAGGACTTCGACCTCTCTCTCCCTTGGACGGGCTTCTCCTCCGCGACATCGGCGTTTCTGGAGGTGGGAGAGCCTGGAACCTGGGCATCTCATCCGTGTCAGGAGTGTCGTCGTTGACTAGCAAATGTCGACTGTTCGAGCGATGCGGAGTTCGAGGTATGGCTTGCCAATACACTTGTGATGAAGGTCTTGCGTGGTGCTGGTCTCCTGGGTGATGAGAGGGGAAAGGTGCTGACGGATGTGGCTGAATATCCGTAAAAGCATTCGTACTCTTGTATAACGATCTTCCACTGAATATGAAGATGGTAAATAAAAGGATAAGCAGAGCCTAGTCCAAGGTTAGCCAGCTGTATCCCTAGGTAGATATATCGGATTAAAATTACTTACGATAGTCTTGTAGGACATGGTTTCGACGATATCATTCAGAATTTTGGCCATCTCCTTCGCGCTGTTCGAGACTTGTTTGACGTAATCTGGGTTCTGGTTCATGCAAGCCTGCCAGTCCTCGCATATCTGGTGCAATCCCGGCAATCGCTTCTCTAACGGATGGCACTTGTTTGCTATGTAGTCGGCTCTGCATTTGTCGATGTTGGCTAGTATATCAGCCCTTGCTGATTGTCTCTCGGTAGAGAAATCTTCGCGCAGACCGCTGATGATGGCCCAACCAATCCAACACGCGCCAGACACACAAAAGAGGTTGAATGCAAATGTCACCCAATAACCCAAAATACTAGGGGCGTACGGATGCCGTTGGACAGTGGCTAGGAAAGATCCAAACCACCCATCTTTGCTGCGATTCTTCTCGTCTTTACGGGGCTTCCCCGGCTGAAAGGTGCTCTCGTCAGACTCGTAATCCGACTCGTCGCATTCATCCTCCTGGAGATATGGTACGCGATAACCGCTGACGTCTCGATCGGCGTTATAGCGCTTCCTTTTACGCACCTTGTCCCGCAACGGGAATATCGTCCTCGCTAGTTCTCCTTTCCCAGATACCTTCTTGGATCTGTACTTGTTCATGGTGGATGGCGTCATGTTCATGTGCGCGACGTCATATGAATTGTCATTCTCAGGTGTGTCTTGAAGTTCTGAGGCATCAGTGCCGGCTGGACTGGATTCGGCGGCCGAGACCTCGGATAGCGCATCTACGTCGAAGGGTTTTCTCGGTGTCGTAAAGGCGGGATTGCGGAATGGCGGCGCTGTATTCGTTCTCTGAAATGACGAGGTAGAGAAGATAGAAGATGGATTCGGCGTAGGAGGTAGAGGTTTAGAGGGAGAGGGTGTGCTGCTCTGAGTGCGCTGAAATGGATTGCGAGAGAAGGAATTGTTGTTATTGATATTCGAACCGAAGACGCCTAGATTACTTGCGATATTAGCATTTGTCGGGATATCCATAATGTTCCGGCGATCATGTAACTATAGAGGCAGAAGAAAAGAAAGAAAAGGAGATGTACTGTTCGCTTGCATCTGCTTCGTGGACTGCGCAAATGGGCTTGATGGATCCACGGGACCTTGATTCTGGTACTCCCATTCCATGGGAGACTCGAACGTTCGCCTCTCCATCCGGCCTCAATTGCACATCTGTCCGCTTGAAAATATATGGCGTTGTAGTCTTCCAGTTGAGAATGGTTGATTAAAGATTGACAGAATGAAAAGGGTAAAGGATGAGAAGTATGTAGGTAGGTGTGGAGCTTTTCAATGTACTTGTTGATTTCCAATTAATTTTCGGTTGAGGCTGATAAGAATTAAGGTGATTGCAAGGTTCCTGTTGGCAACCGTCCGTGACAAAGTAAACAAAAACCATGGGTGGGCTTTGACGAACAGGTGTTAGTTACATAATCACCAACTTTATTTTGCCCTTACGCCACACGTGGTTGAGGTACGTACCTAAGTACTGGTGTACCTTCCATGCACGAGCCACGCTCGACGTAGGAAGGAGGCAGGGAACGATTATATGGGTGTATTATCTGCTGCTTCCAACGACTTAGAATTATTTCACTGATTTGTATCTTTTCAACCTTCCTCGATTTCATCAGATAAATTTCTCGCCTGCCCATGCGAACCGAGGATTGGCAAGATCCTTATATTGCTGCTCGTACCTTATCTATAATTCCATCGGTCGCCACCGGAAATCTCTTCCAATTCACACCTATTTTTCTTGTTCCTTCTGCAGGTAATCCGACTGCAGGAGGCCAGGAAAAATCATCACAGCCTTCTCGTCCCTTCGACCCTTCCAGCATCTTCGCATTCTCTAACGCGAAATGTCGGACGTAGAATCGGCTCCTCGGAGCCACCATGAGGAGGAAGAGAACGACTATAATGATGCCCGTGCCGGCGATTCAGACAAAGATTCCGATGCCTTATCCGACATCGACGAGGATCAGTTCGATGACTACGATCCCAACACCGCCCGTATTGATGAGAAGCGCCCGGAACCTCAGATCATCGACGACGTTGCGGCACGCACGCTGAAGGCTGGAAAAAGAAAGGGCACGGCCGCGAAGAAACCCAAGGAAGGACGACGCGCCAAGAAGCGATCGCGCGATAACGACAACGATGGAGCAGATGGTGAGATTCTCAATACCAAACGAGCACGCAAGGCTACTGGAGCGGACGCGCCCGAACATGAATCGGAGCCCGAGGAAGAGAATTTGACACCCGAGGAGCGGCGGCGACGGGCTATTGAGCGCGCGGCCAGAAACCAACCAAAGCCGAAAGGTGTCAGAAGAAAGAAGAAGGATGAAGTGGTATGTTTTAAGTAGATAACTGCCGATCAAGATCATTCAAGTACTGACACGTTGGCTCAGGATTTGGAGGACGAGTTGGATGAGCGAATCGCGGACCTTAAAGTGCGCATGGAAAACGCCTGCCAAGCTGACAACCAAGCGCGTGAGGCAGGCCAGCCAGCTCTACACAAGTTGAAGCTTCTTCCCGAGGTTATGGCGATTCTCAACCTTAACAACAACCAAGCAGCGGTCCTCGACCCGGACACCAACTTCCTCCAGCATCTTAAGTTCTTCCTCGAACCTCTCAACGACGGCTCGCTGCCGGCCTACAACATCCAGCGCGATATCTTCCAGGCCTTGACCCATCTCCCGATTGAGAAGGAAACTCTGCGATCGAGCGGCATTGGCAAGGTCGTCTTGTTCTACACCAAGAGCAAGAAACCTGAGGTTGGTATCAAGCGTATGGCTGAACGCCTGCTAGGCGAGTGGAGTAGACCCATCCTGAACCGCAGCGACAACTACAAGAAGCGTCGCATCGAGACCCGAGACCTGGATTACCAGTACGTTTGATTTTCTATCGTATCCCTTTGTTCTGAACACAGCCTTACTAACTCTCCCGAACCAGAGCAATGAAGATGAGCCAGCTCAATACCAGCAGCAGCCAGCTGACGCTGAACCAACGCCACACCATGCAAAGTCTTGCCGACGAGGAGCGAGCGCGTATCCTCGCCCCCGCGAGGGAGGTCAGTCGTGCGCGTGTTACCGGCTTACCCTCAACCTACACCATCGCGCCGCGCAGCACCTTCGATCCCAACCGCGCCCAGGATTACAAGCCCATCGGTGCCAGTGGGATGGAGGCGTTCCGCAAGATGACCCAGAAGGGCAGGAAGAAGAACTAGATTCATTTCCCCGTCTTGGTGTACGTGGTACGTCGGGTCGTAATCATGCTTGGCCGATAGTTCCATGCTATAAACGCATATGCGGAGTCCAGGTTTAGGAGGTCTATTAAAGGACAACAACAAAATGGTAGTTAGAGTACTCACTCTCTAGTTGCAAAGTAGCTTGTTCAGCAGGCTATTAGAAAGGGTGGGCATATTGGGCCAAGAGCCGTCAGATAGTAAAGACCTCAAGTCATCAACCCGTGGCGGTAGAACTTCTTGAGGTCTATGAATACACTGTTGTTTTTTCTACGACGTGCCTAATTATCTGGTCTCAGGATTGTTGTTGCGGTAGCTGTGATTCCTAGTCCTCCACATCCTGATTCGATCTCCTCCTTTTAAGACAGGTTGGCAGTTCACGAAGCTAAACCGACCTCCCGCGCTGTCTTTTCTTGTCCTATATTGCCTACCGAAATAGCACCTACGACCTAGTTATTATATACTTCTAAATCCTTGCCTATGAATGTGCCCCCTAATCTCTAGCTAATTATCTATGTACTGCTAGACTATTACGTCCCTACATACGCAAGGAATAACAACAACAGAGTAGATAGATAAGGAAACCTATAAATTAGGCCAGGTTTCTATACGAGACATAAATCAATTAATATCATCAACGCAAGCCCGCCAAGTAAAAAAGGGAATAGGAGGCATAAAGTAAAGAACTACGTTGCCTCTCCTTTATGTCATTCCTACCAGATAAATCTACTCGTAACCTTCAAGCCGACAACTGTGTTAGAAATCTTCGACATACTGTACTAGCTATAATATAAAAGTCCAGTTCTACCTTACAGTAGTCTGTAGCTTACGTACGAACCAATTCACCCCATCTCTCTTCTATCTCTACGACGACAGATAATAAGACTACCTAGAATAGCAAAGTTGACGTATATACGATGAAATAGGTACGTAGGCAAGTATCCTCGTTTTATCATAGAAAACTCAGTATACCTACGCGTCATAACAAGTCACTCATCAACCAATACACGAAAGGGGAGAGAAACGCAAGAAAACAGAAGAGACGGGGCAGAGGCCCCATATTTGGTTCTACTACAATAAAACACACCGTATTCATCACTCCTAGAACAAAAATTTCGTCAAAGTTGTTCTTATCATCGATTTTCTTTCACGTGAATCTCTCTCCTTGCTCTGTTCGGCCTCCGCGATCGGACTCGTAAATCATTGATCGAAAGCCCGTTCTATGCTAGATTCTTCTTCTGTTTCTTTCTTTCTTTCTTTCTCATTCCTCGGCAAAAAGGAAGGACCGGTCTTTGCTCATTGTCTTCTCCAATAGCTCAAATAAACTATCTTCATAGCTCTAACCTCGCGTATTCTTATTATCGCCGTCATCGAGAGCTAGTGATCGACGCGAACGCCCCTATCGTTTCTTCACCTCGCCGGCCCAACCTTCGATTCCCTCGCCCCGGCTTCCAGGCACGAGCCCCTCCAGCTTGATATCTTCCATACCCGGGGTATTGTCCAACCAGGGGTGATTCGACATGCCACCGGCATTCGCTCGTTTTTCCGGCAACAGTTCGAGCATCGGTAGCAGGAACTCAGAGACTTCGGTGGGCTGATACTCCAGAGTCGCTTCGTCGTCAGGGAATAAATCTTCAACAGCATCCTCATCCTCGCCGTTTTTCCTTGCTTCCATCTTAGCCTTGGCCTTGGCCTCGGCTCGTTCCCTCTGAGCCTTCTCCCTTTCTTCCCGCTGTGCCTGAGGTATGTCTTTCAAATCCTTAAAGTGGTACTTCTCACGGAGGACGTCGGGAAGTGCCCAATGTCGGAGGCGGTGGATATTGCGAAGTTCCCCTCTCTTGTTAAAGATTTCCTGGGACCAGCGACCAGTCTTCCAAAGTTCTTTAGGGAACGGGCCAAGAAGCTCGATGATCTGTGCGATGTGGTCGTCGTCCTTCCCATACTTAGTCCCGGATTGGGGGTCGAAAAGATAGTCGCCGGTAATTAACTCGAAAACCTATTTGGCCATCGTTAGCTTCCGCTTTATGCTATTACATAATAAGGGAAATTGTATAAAAGCTGGTGTAATCAAGGGGGAATAGCAACATACCATCGCCGCCATACTCCACACATCGGTGCTTGCTCCCCATTTCGCGCCTAGAATAACCTCGGGCGATCGATATTGCCGCGTCTGAATATCGTTTGTAAAGTGATGGGACACCCAGCAGGCGTTGCCCAAATCCGCAATCTTGACGTTGATGATGGGACCTCTACGTTTTCTTTTCCTCTTCTCGCCACTTGATGACGTGCCACCTGTAGAAGATTTATCTAGGGAGATCCCGGACACCTCCTTCGTAAGGAGATCACTGTCGAGAAACCTATGTCAGCAACTTTATTAAGCCATCGCCATCGACGAACTATGAATGGGACTCACGCTGTCTTCTCTCGTTGCCCTTGCTTGTCACTTGTAGAGGAGCTCGGCGTGGCTGCTGCTATAATATGACAACTTATTAGCATCATGTACCGAGATAGGATCGACGAGAAGGGGGCATAAGAGGTGAACATGTGAATGCGGGGGCGGGGATTTTAGCATGGTGGGGGGTGTGAATATTGGCCCTGCCGAGATGAGGCGCCAGATGGTAAGATGGTAGCGTGGCACTAGTCGACATAAATGATGCAGAGGATCGAGTCTTATGTAGGTACATACCATCGTGTAACATTGCGTTAAGGCTGCTGTGTGATTTGGGCGACGGGAATAGGTTATCTCGATTGAAGTTGGCGTTTAGGGGAGATGGTAACGGTTGACTACCAGTGATGAGAGTCCGTCTTCGTCGTCGCCCGTTTCTGTTGTTCTCCTTGTCCGAACTCTCATTCTTGACCACCTTCTTGACCACTTGTTCAACATCGCCAATCTCTATCAATACGTTTTCCGGCTTCAGATCTGTGTGGATGATACCGCATTCTCTGTGCAGGTAATCTAAGCCCATTAATACCTGCTTCGTGATCTGCATGACGAGATCCCGAGGGATACCCCGATGTTGCCATTTCTTTATTAATCCAAGTAGATTCTCTCCGAGAACCTCAAACACCATGCATACGTGCACTCCATTCGGTCCCTTGTGTTCGAACGAGTCGAGAAGACTGACGACGTATTTTCGGCCGGGGTGGTTGGGGTTAGCTTGGACGATTCGCTGGAGAAGCTTGATCTCGTCGATGGCGGTCTCGGTGTAGTGACTGGCGGATCGCACGACCTTCAACGCGACGTGCTTACCGTTCGTGTTGTCTCGCGATAACCAGACTGTCGAGAAATGACCCCATCCTAACTTTCGCACAACCGTATATTTCCCGTCCTTAAACTTCTCGCCGATCTGAACGGGATGGTATCCTCCTTTGCAGTAATCCTCGGAATCCTCCTCATCAGCAGTGTTGTCGGCGGCATCTTCAGGTCCGGAAGACGATGTGGGGGAGTGTTGGTTCATGGTGCTTGATAGATGCGGTGGCCTGTGTCGAAGAAAGCAATGTCAGTAAGCATACCCAACGAAAATAGGTATGAAATATATAAAAGTAGTAACGGCGCGACTTTAGACACGAGGCGTGCATCAGAGGTTAAGTATCAATTGCATCCAGCGCAAGCAAGCAAGCGAAGCTGAAGTGAGGGTGAGTAAGTTATTGTGGCTGGCTGCAGGTCCGTGGCCCTGACTGGCTGTGCGACACCCTGACGGTCCGAAATCAGGATCACCAATAAAAGGCGGACTTGGGGAAAAACCCATCAAGATGCCTTGGCCACACTGCCCAGGCAAAGTACTTAGATACCTAGACTAGTTGCCGTGCTTCTTTTTTTCTCTCTTTTTTTTTTAGGCCGTGGCGGTGGGGGTGAAAATAGAAGAAAATCGGTGGGGTATTTCCCAAGTCCAAAATCCCAAGTCAGAGTTATTAGTAGAGGATGAGTAGTAACCTTTTCTTCATGGTAGCCATCGTGTTCAACGTTGTCGCGCACTCTTTTCGGCCAAAGGAGGAATTTCGGCAATCAGGTGAGAGGAGGGAAAACAACAGCAAAAGCGAGAGGAAAGTCGTGGCGCGGACGTAACCGTGGTCTCCAAATGTGCCCAAGGATGCGTCTAAGAAATGCCAAGGAATGGATGGATAGAGTGCTGGATAAACGAATGGGTTGAAATGAGGGACAAGCGACGGGAAGCGAGGTAACCACCAGAATCGCGACCGAATGGGATTTTGTTTTGTTTAGGTGGCCGGGCGAGTAAGGGAATGGGGAGTTAGGAGAGTGAGAGAGGGAAGTGGAAGATAGCGAGATAGAGTGGGCAAAGATGAAGCTAGTGAGCGATAAATCGCAACACACAACAACATGCAACACAACACGATACAACCCGACCTAACTCAACTCAACTAGAACTCAACCCTAAGGTGAAGGTTTAAAAAAACCAAAAGCCAAAAACAAATAAAGATGGGATAGAATGATAATATGATAATGTGGAAAAAGGGGGGTAGGACAAATGCTATCAAGACTGGTGCGCTTGCTTGCTTGATTCCTGCTGTGAGAGGCGGCAATAATAATTAGGTATTCAACCCCCTCTCCCCTTTCGTGGTCCCAGTCGATCCCCCCAGTCAAGTCTAGCTCAACTTGCTGTAGGCCTATGTATGCGATCGTGGACGGAATGCCGTGTATACTACTAGGTAGGTAGTGTGTGTATGTAATGTCAGATGGATGGTAGACGGGTGCACGGTGAGAGATGAGAAGCTGTGGGCGCTAAAGGTCCATAGCACCAGGGACGCCAGAGCACGTTGCGTTGAGAGGGGAGGGAGAACAGTCCCGAGCTTTTTCTTTTCGGTCGAGTCCCCGATCCTGACAGGGCAGAAAAGGTCTAAACAAGGGCCACTGCAAGCGCCAATACAGCGATCGTACAGGGAAGTCCAGCCCAAAATAGTCCAGGGGGCTTTGTGTACCTAGGTACGAAATGGTACGAAATGGACGAAATAGTTATTCGTCGTGTCCCCTTCTCTTCTCCCCCTTCTCCAACCCCTCAGCGCTCTATCAACAATCAACAACGCTCCGCAGTTGGTCGCAGCGCCTGACCGTTTTCAGGGGGCCGGGGGGTTAGAGGGGTCAAAGGTGAGTGGACGATGAGTGGACGAACGAGAGTGGCAGAGTGGATTGTAGAACGGTCGGCTCGGCTCAGCCCCGCCACTCCACGAGCAGATGATACCGGAACTTGGACCTCTAGGTTTATCATATAAGCCCGCTAATACAACACAAACCACATCGTTGTATCGTCGCAGATTGGCTAATAGATGCCAGTGTGTACCGGATACGGAATAGCAGATGGCATATGACCGGCGAGGGAGGGAAAGGGAAAGGAGGCGCAACGTCAAATATGTGCCAAAATATATGCCAAATCTGCATCACCGCCTCAACGATGAAAAACCCGACGATAAAGAGCCTCCTTACTCCCCGTTCCTATCCGATGCTGGCTCTATTTGGCCTGATCCGGTCTGGCCTGGTCCGGTTGGGTCTGGTCCGGCTGTGTCTCCTGGCCTTATCGCAAAGCCCGCGGTTTTGTATGGTTTCATTTTGCGAACACATGTTTTTCCTCTTCCGTTGGACAACCCCGAATATACATATCCTGGTTATTGCTTGCTTGATTTTGCTCTGCTCTGCTCTGTTTTGCTTTGCTTTGCTTGCGCTGGTCGAAACATGTCAAGAACCTACGTTTCTTCGCACCCAACACTTTCATGCAATCCAGCAACGGATTGCGCGCTGCAAGGTGGTGTGCATGTGCAGTAGGTAAGGGGCAATAGGTAAAGACAGACTCGAGGAATCAGGACAAAGCGAATAATAACAGTAACTGCTAAAACCCGAGAAACTTGAGATAAACTTACCCTGGTATCGGTCCCTCCGTAGTGATGATAGGTTTCAAACCGTCCTTCTTTCTCTTCTTATTTAATAATGTCGAGCTTGCGAGGTTTCCTGCTGTCGAGTTCGTGCCGTTGCCGTTCGCACCCGTCATTAAAGGGATTGTAGTAGAAGGTGATGCACGACCTTCTGATGTAACAGACGGGTCAGTCGCGTCCTTCGCGCCGTTCATCGTTTCGGTTTGCGGATGTGGGAGAGCACGAGTAGCGCACCGTCGCAACCTAAGGTACTCTTGGTAGGCTTGGTACTCGGTATATAAAGTTTTCGGGGTTGGAACTTGGTTGCGGCTAGTTGCGCTTTCGGATGGTGATTAAGTTGATTGAGGGAGGGAATAGTAAATCTTGATGTGTTGCGAAAATAAAATATCGGTGGGCGGATGTCGGGTTAGGTTGAGTTGGTTGGTGGTCAATATTGTGGTTCTGGTTGAGATTGAGGTTGAGGTTGAGGTGGCGGTGGTGGTGGTCGCATTCGAAGAGGAAGGGAGGGAAGAATTAAAAGAATGCGAAACAATGCGATGATGCGATGCGGTTTGATGTCTGATGCGAATGCGATCGATGCGATACGACACAATATATAGATAATATATGAATGTGGTGGTCCTTGCTCTTAATTCTTAATGCCCCTCTAATTCTTTTTTCTCTTTCCGCCTTGCTGCGTAGAAATTATCAATATTCGGAATCAATGGGAACGGAAGTTTGTTGTTGTTGGTGGTGTGATTCTCGAGAGATCGAGAGGGAAAAGAATAAAACAAAGCTCCAGGGCTATGAGTGGACGGGAAATTGCATTACATATGAGGGCATAACAATTCCTCAGGTGCAATCGGCCAGAGGAAAGAGAGAGGGAATTGAGTTTTCTTTTGTCACACTGGGTTAGGATATCGATTTATTATTAGGTTTGCATTTGTCGATGCTAGACTAAACTAGTCTCTTAGGGATTTAGTTTGGAAAACTAGAATAGGGAAAAAGTAGAGCTGTTTTTATCTTTTTTTTGTTTCGTCGCAAAATCTTGGATTCGCAACGTCATATGGGAATGGGTTCAAGGGTTGCTACCGGAAGTCGCGCCTCTCAGTCGTCAACGTGCATCTGCACGCATGGGAATAAAGGGATAAGGGGGCGACTAACTTAAAAAAATCGGGGACTGGCTATACCTATTTATAATGAGGCCCTTTCGATACCTGAATACGAGAGGAACAGGAAGCAAATCGCAACTTGTCAATTACAATATTGGTGGGATGAGAAATGAATAGGACGACAGGACGACGACAATACGAAATGTCTTCCACCTCTCGAGGCACTTATGTGGAAATGCCTTATATCGAATAGAGGGTGAAAGGGTAATTCGATGGGCCGATGTCGATAGGTCTGATATCATATGCAAATGCGAATGCAGACGCAAACAGGAGTACAGGTTGATTGGACAACTAGAAGGACGGGAAGATACATAATCTAAAGCTTAAAAAAGATAAGGTACAAAGTCCATCGTATAGTAAAATGCCAATTGACATGTACTGTTTCATCTTTCGAGTGAAACGATGTACCTCTTATCAATCTTCAAGTCTAATGCCACTACCTAGTACATACTAGGGGTAGGTATGCAGCAACCCATACTTTCCTGTCTATAGGTATGTATATATCCAATACTGACTTATACTCGACTTAAACTTTCAGTTTCGATCTCGACCAACTTCATTCAATCTTTCTTGGACATCTTTCTTGGACTCCCTCCTCGATTCGCGCTCATCGCTTTTTCTACCCGAGATCGGTGTATGATGATTGCGTAACAGCATGAAATCATGCGTTAGGGGTTAATTACAGGCGCTCCCTCGTAGGACAAGAATTATATCATCCTCCTCCCAAATCAGTAACCAAAGCTGTATGACTTCGGTTGGCAGCACAAGTGGCTACACCACCGCCGGCTTGGTATTGTTAAGAGAGATGAGCGTTTCGAAGATTCGACGATTCGAATGATACGCCTAATGGTCAATCAATGTCAAGCCATTACTTATTCGTCCTTGAAACAGCGTGATCATGTCTATATCTCCGCTAATTCTCTCATCTGATATCATTCTATCTTTACGGCTCAACATATAGGCGTATGTACCAGGTACTCACTTCTTTCATCTCCTCAAATACAAATAGTAAACGACACATCGTTCGCATATGCGGCAATCCTATTTGTCGATCGTGCCCCGCGTTGGGTATCTACAAGCGCTCGGCATCATCTAATTGGGCAACCCGATAGGATAACGGGAAGCAAGACCTGATCTGGGCTTCATCAGGGGCTCAAACGGATCTCCCGAGTTTTCCTCCTGTCCGATGCCTCTCTCCCCTCTATAAACGAGATATTTATTCGTCGTCCCTCATCCGCGCATCTACCTTAAGACTGCTACCTGTCTTGGTCATGAGAGAAGCGACGATTTCGTCATCGTGGATCATACTTCCCTCCCAAACCAGACGATGTGAGAGGTCCCGTCATCATAGCGATGAAATATACAATTCCATGTTTTCCGTGTTTTTCATATGACCACAGGCCGTAAGTATCCAACCACCTGAATTGACATCGCAAAACTAGGAATGCATTATCGTACTACATTGGTGGAGAGGTTCGTCAATAGCTTCACGCCAGTCTTACATGCAAGCGGATCGCATTGGTAGTTTCAGGCTGGGACCGAGTCTCGGAAGCTCGTGTTTTCTCTCTTCTTCTATCTGACCTGCAGCGAAGCGGGAATCCTGCACTTCCACTTTCGTCCAACGAAAGCGCGATTGCATCATCAACCGCCATCCACAATATTCATTCGGCCACTCTAGAAGCCACCTGCTTTCTTTATTGGGTGAGGACCTGGCGCTTGAGAAGAGCCAAGCTTTCGCCATCCCTTAGTCACGTAAGTGGCTTTTCACCTGAGCCGTTCACCGGCGCGGCTACAACAAAAGCGGATATAAGAACTGCCGGAGTCGCCGATCCAGGATTTCCGTATTGCTTCGGAGAATTCGGCGTCCATCATAAATAAGTATGCTCACCGGACCTATATGAATACCGTATTATGTAATGCACGGTACCCTTTTGTAGAACATGTAAATACCAAAGTTTGTCTAGTTAAGAATAGGGTGATGTATATGCAAGAGTCTTGGTTACTTCAAAGCTCTGTCAACGTATCTTCAGCAGGTGTCCTGATTAGCAAGAGTTGCTCTTGTCGTCCGTAGACCCATTCCCAACTGTTCTTTGCGTCATCCCAGTACACGTCTTCTTCTTGGGGGAAGACTATGGTCCTATTCCTCTCAGGGACGAAATGTTCTGCAAAAAGCTCAATGCTGTAAAATGTATTCTTCAGCAGCGGGAGATCTCCAAGCACCGGAACCTTGTCCTGAAGGTTGGTCATGCCTATGCAAAAGTCAGCGAACGATAGCGCAACGCGATAGGAGATGCGAAGCATACCAATTACAGTTCCTGCCGAATGTCCCCATTCTCCAGTGGCATGGCAGTAGATCTTACCCTCGATACCTTCACTGTGCGCCTGCTCTAGAGCCGCCTTCAAGATTTCGTTACCTGTCATCCCGATCTTCATATTATCCTTCACGATATCCTGCAACCTATTGACCTTCTTGAGGCCATCGACGAAGCCCTTCGGCACATCGGCCTCCGTCTCTCCTGGGTAAAGCACGTATCCTATATGCTGCGTATCTGTGTTCAAGCTGAGAGCCGATACGCCAAAATCCGTGTGAATCAAGTCCCCGTACGCGATCGGTCGGTCCGGCGCGCGAGGGTCATCCATAGCAGAGGGGTCATCCATAGTAGAAGCGTCATCAGCGGCTGGGAATCCCGACCCAGTCAGGATAAATACGCTGGGTTGGAACCAGGTGGTGTAATTTAGAGACTGAATCCTTTCTCGCATCCACCATTCGATATCCTTTGAAAACGGACTTGTCAGTTTACGGCCTTGCCACGCTCGCTAGGTAGGACTTCGAGATACTCCAACTTACCCAACTCGTGGATTTCCCAGGCACGATGACCTTCTCGCTAAAACCCTCCTCGATAATAGCCCACGCCGTCTCCATCATCTTGCGGTACCACGGCAGCCTCCCCTTCACCATCGTCGCGATAACCTCAACGCCTAGCATAGGCTCCAGCACGAACTTATCCTTCCACTCCTCCCCGATCCCCTTCACCACGGCGTCCAACTCGCCCGCGTGCAAGCCCCCGGCGAACGCGATCTCCGGGTGCGTGTTGAGCGCGATGGATCGCGGCTGCTGCGCCGCCAGGATCTTCCGCAGGTCCGTCCACACGGCGTCCGTGTTCTCGATCCACGAGTAGCTTGTCGGCGCGCCGCCGACCGGGTCCGCGAGGAATAGGTGCGTGGTGCGCCGTCGCGCGGAGAACTGCGTGGCTTCTTTGAGCGCCCAGAAGACGGTGTCTTCGGCGTACTCTCGCTGGCTCATCTGTCTATTGTTAGAAATTGCTTATGGTAATACATGGAGATAGGATGAGGTACAGACCAGCCAGGCGTCGATGCCATATTTACGCAGCAGTCCTGGGATAAGCGCTTTGCGTTCCTCTGTCCATCCGTCTACTAGTTCTGCTTGCTCCCGTAAGGAAGGGAGGGTTTGGAATTGTGGAATTTTCCCCGGCGCTGTTCCGACATATGCGCATACCGTGGAGAGCACGGCCGCGCTGTTGACGAGGTAAGTGAGAAGTAACACGGGACCCCGCATAGTCAAGGTGAATTCTACTCTTCCTTGAGATGCTCAGCCCTGAAATCTACCTGTGGGTGATTGCGCGCCGGCTGGTGGTTGATCACCTTGTATAGATAGTGTAGGTAGGCTCAATTAAATGCTGAGTATATGGGAGTTAATCGTTGGAATATATCTCAATCTACGCCGATGTCTCATATCTCGGTACCCCGGTGTTATCGTCCAGTCTCCCCTGGTCGGTTGGAGATTCCGATCTAGATTGAGCCGTTGCTTGGCGAACCCACTCATCCGATTTACCTACCCTTTTAGGCAAGTATGTAAACAACACTGTGGCACCCGAGTTAATTCATGGATAGGGAGAGAAAGGCTAGTGCGGGGAACGGAGTGACATTGACAGAAAACAGAGGGGAGATTACTAGTCGTTGATGAATATAATGGTAACAGAATAAATATTAAGACAATAATGATCAGACTACCTTTCCTAATGACGGGCTGTCTTAGAAGTTATAGGGGTATTCAGGGGGTTCATGGGTAAACAATCTTGCCCAATCGCCGGATAAAGTGGCAGCATCAAGCGTCAACGCGACGGATAACATTCAATGAAATATTCAGCATGAGCAGGCTACTAGTAGTTAATGACATAGCCGCAAATGCTCTACAACTAGTTGTGTAGGTACGTAGATATGTAGAGGAATTTACTGGGTCAGGTCAGTGGTTATACAGCAGTAAGGCCTCAAAATAACCAAGCACAATGGAACTGACGTCATTTCCCGTAGCTACGGTGATGTTGTGTTTCTTCTTCGCAACGCTGGTCAAGCCAGGGATTGAGATGAAAAAAAAAAAAGAATCAGCAGAGCTGAGGTGGTTCCAAAAATTGGGCAAGTAAAAGCTAAAAAGCGCTAATACTGCTAGAGAGTGTCACAAGTGACAAGTGTACCTAGATCGATTAGGAGTAATCCAAAGGGGGGCGATACGTACCTTATCCCCGTCTCAGAAAATACCCAGGAGCCGCTTGACCCAGACACCAGAGATCCCATGGCGAGGACAACCGGTTGGGCAGCCCCCCGTTACCTGACCTTTATTTCCATTAAGGATCAACATCTTTCGTGGCTAAGCAGTCGCCCCGTAGGGAAACCGCCGTAAGGGGCTTATCTCCCCTACCACAGTGCTTTGTCGATTCTCCGACCAGGTCCCCTCCCCGCATCACCAGTTCTTCGGGAAACCTGGAAGGCACACCGTGGATGCCACTGCGCGGGGGTGGGTGCGTAGCGTAGGTCGGTACTCCCTCCAACCTCCTCGGGAGTACCGCCGGAACCCCCTTGCCCTCCGAGGGACGCCACCTCCAAGGGCCGACCCCCAAGGCAGGTGGACACGAGAGGCGACCCGAAGGCAACCTCCCGATAAGGCCAGCGTTAACGCTTCCACTGGAAAACTACCAGTGGATGGATTGGCCTCGTCCCACTACAGACTAGCTAGACGACACGAGGCAGGGCCTACAGGTTCGCTTCCTGATCAGGCTTCCCTGCTCCTATCACTCCGTCTTCCCAACGGAGGTCCAGGGACCGAGACGGTGCCAAATTGCACCGCAAGGTATGACTAGAGCGAGGGGGGTCTATGCTTTTTCTAATCTCCGAGACGGGGCACCTCTTCCCTTCCAGAAAACCTTCGGGGTCAAGGTTCTGGGAGAAGCCCCGACACATCGCCAGGTCCCGCACAGGAGATGCGTGAAGAAAGACCCAAGTGCTCTGCGTCGGGAGGAAGAGGTGATGTTAGTATAGTGGCCCAGGCGATGGCGGCAGCGTAGATTCTTCGGAACAAAATGTCTCAAAGTCAAGGCCGCCATAACCTGGAGCTGATGGTTAATAGCCCCCGGTACTTAAAGACCGGAGACCATGAAAAAAAAAAGGTCGAAAGTAGAAGTCCAGGACGGCGGCACGTAGGTTCTCCAGTGTAAATCATGGAGCCAAGGCCGCCGTACCATGGTTCTTGGTTCTCGGTACCTTGTGAGGACCTTGTTAATTGGGGGATGGAATGTGATACAATGATTGTACTTACTTGATGCGTGAATGAATGATGGCCCACGCAATCTTGGTTCTTGATATAATCTCGATCTATGATGTGTTAGGATATAGTGCAAGATAAATAGAAAGAAGTAGTTGAGGAAGAAAGAAAGTGATGAAGCATGTAGGAAGGTAGGTTGAAGAAAGTTGGAATAGTGTGAGAGTAGGAAGAAGATTAAGTGATAAGAAAGGTGGATAAGAAAGAGAGGATACATTGATAGGTTGAGTGATAATTAATTTGGATGGTGGGTGACGAGTTCGATAGTTGGGCGACAAGGTGGGGACTGATGGCAATGTGAAGATGTTGAAGAAATTAAGAATAAGGAAATGTAGAAGAAGGTTATGGAAAGGAAGTAGGGTAGAAAATATATGGTACTGTAGGGACGGAATGAATAGGTTGTAAGGTAGTAGGGTAGGTGACGAGGCGATAAGATAGTAGGGTAGGTAACGAGATGATAAAGTAGTAGGGTGGGTGACGAGGTAGTGTAGACGAAAAAAAGAAGGTTGCTAAGGATACTTGGTTGCTAGGGATACTTACACTGGGTGTTGGGTTGGGATGGATTAGAATGGGAGGATGAGAAAGATAGATCAGAAAGATGGAAGGGTGATGGACGAGATAGAATGGGAAGAAGTTGTTGAAGAAAAGTTGAAGTACCTTGGTAAGAAACTGGAGAAGAGGTGAAGTAGGAAAAGTAGGAAAGAAATGAAAGGTGGTGGGTAAGTGGGAATAATGTGAATAAAGGTGGTATGGTGATTGAGTGGTTGGGATGTAGTAGAAGTAGAGAAGAAAGGAAATAAGAGGAATGGAATTTTACTTACTTCGGTTGGCTTGCATTGTTAGCATTGGTTTGGGTGTGGAAGTTTGAGAGAAGAAGAAGAGTGGTTACTTGGTTGTGTGATGTTGAGAGGAAGAGAAAAAAAAAAGGGAAAGGAAGTGGGAAGATCCCTGGGTATTTATACCTTTCCCAGAGGGAGGTCGGGAGGGCTGATTCGAATTACTGATTAGGAAGATCAGTAAAGCTCGAAAAATAAAAAAAGCTAACGCGTTTTAATTATTTTACGCGTTGAATTAGGTTCATACGTGCCTACGACCAGCTGCTGGATCAGTCCGTACCTGGGCAACGACGGAGTGTCAGCCAACCTGATTGGCCATAAACGAGTGTAGACAGCTTTGACTCACTGTCGATATATATTTAAAGTTTGCACCTGATCCCAATATACAGCATTTTCTAGCCAATAGAAAAAATCACTGAGGTTGCCATGAGGCTCAACTTGATTATGTAAGCCGTGATCCCCTATTTACAGCTGCCGACAGGGTACACCGTACAGTGTCACTAGGTCGATTTGAACCTCACCGGCTGGCATAACCGGGGAAGGTTCAAAATACCTTAGGCATCAGTATTTCTTTAATTTTTAATTGGTCAACAAATAATTAGCTTTACAATGTCTATCGTCACCTGTCCCGATTCGAAGTCAGTAGGAGCATTAATTATTTCAAGTGATCAGCCAACCAGAATTCGCCCTCGTAAATCAGCATGTACGTATCTTTGTCTATTTTTTGATTGGCCAGATTTAATTCACAGCTGTATAGCAGGTGAAATACCAAAGCACCTGTGTACCTTTGTATCTATTCTGATCTTGCCTGCCGTCCACCCCTTTCGTACCAAGCTGATCCACTCCGAAAGGTGGGCCCCGTCTGCTTAGTGATTAGGATTACTAGTAGCATAGCATCATGAGAGAGTTCTAAAGCTTACTGGAAGTCATGTGACGGTCTGATATTCACTCTAGTTTTCCAGGACGGAGATTTACCACATAACCATCTGGCCTACGGGCGTGATGCTCCAATATACCATGTACGTATCAGGATAACTATTCATAGTAGAAATGCCAGTTTTCATAGAAATCTCATTCTTAGGGAGCTTTCTAATACAATGAACTTGAGAAACCGACCAACAGCCGAACAAGGGAATCTAGAGAGCAAATCACTTTTTCTCGTGCTACCTGTGGATGTCTCCGGTTGTTAGATCTCGAGCATCCTTGTTTCTCCGTACCAATCCCCATATATATATCTCACATAGACATACGGTTACTAACATTTAGACGTAGGATCTTATCACACATAATCCGCCAGCCGCCAGAGGCTCCCCCCCTCCCAGAGGTAGAATGCACGAACGAAGGTCCCACAAGCTGTTAGACGAGGAGCTCTTGAATAAGTACTCTTCACTCTTGTCTAGGTGTCACGGTGCGTATACAAAAAAAATTGCCTTGTCAACTATGGCCTTGTGCTAGCCACGGACGGGTCTCGCGGGCTTCCTGCGGCCTACTATGGGCCGACGGCACGAGGTATCATTATCAATCAGCTCCTGACTACTGCGCCCTACTATCAAGTATTACTTTGTTGTTATTTTCCAAGAGCCGAAGGTGTCAAATCTTCAGGAATGTTGGTTATTTTACGTTGGAACGTTAGGTAGTTGGAAGCCTTCGCTCTGTATCTCAGAGGTATGTACTATCTACGGACCTCTACCAACTCCTAGTACCTTACCCTTCTAATACGACAAGTATGTCTACCATAACCTGCGTCTATCTTAACATGATCATTGTTATCAAGCTGAAAGTTGAGGATAATTATAGTAAGTGCCTGGTGCTACTCCCGATCAAATCAGCAGCGCCTCTACTAAGTTAAGGCAAATCCCGGAAAAGTCTCATTAGTATATGAAATAGAATTGTAGGTGGTAGGAGATAAAACGGGAGTAATTTGAGAATGAGATGAGATATGCTCTTAGAATACATGAAATTCCTCCAAATAGACGAGTATGAGCTTGAAACAAATGAGCGCCAAAATAACAACCCTCACGCAACTGAATATAACCTAGTAACGTAAATAAGGTCATACATTGTGAGTAATATATCAAGTTCTCGATGAGCTCGACTGCTACCATTCCTTCATGTTGATAGGATGGAATTGTCCCGAACAATTTTGATCTGGGTGTTGCTAATCATGGTTATTGGTTGGAAATTGATACCCATTCGTATACCAGAGATCGTCTGCCATTTCAATGTTCTCGTTGTTCTGAGGATTCCCATTTTCCTGTAATAACATGGTCTCTCCAAACGGTGGAAGGATCCGGGCATGATTATGATCCTCGTTTATCCATGACGTCGGTTCGGCTGCTGCGACTGGAATATTTCCGCTGTAAGTATTGTTCCCTCTGGAAAAATATGAGTTGTCAAATTGCGATTCGATCTGGGGTGGGCGGCTCCTTCCTAGTAAGATGGGGTTGAAAGTATCCATTGCAGCCTGTGAAGTTGAGGAACTGGGCAAGAAGTTTACATTTGGAGGACGATCGAAGAATTGCTGCGACTCTTCTAGGGTTTGTCCTTGGTTATCAGTTGGAGACAGGTATTGCGGTGTGATGTTAATGCTCTCGAGACTTTCTGTACCAATATGGATAAATTCACTCTCTGGAGAGTGGAACGTCCGTGTTTCATGGTGAGAGTAGTTTTCGTGGTTGTTTGGATTTTTGACAATACCCATCGGTCGCTCGAGAATGTTGTTGATGTTTTTCTCGAACAAATCTATTATGTGTCCACCAAGGTCATAGTTTAGAAGTGATCCTAGGTGATGCTGAGAGATAAGTTCACCTATATATCGAACTAATGTTGGCTTAGTGCGCTTGTAGTTCTCAGCCACATCATAGTTTTCAACAACCGGTTCAAAATCTGCTATTGAGTTAGTCTCGACTGCCGGACGTACCAACTGCGAAGACCTAAACATACCGGGCTTAGGTATCTCCTCATCAGCTGGAAATAGAGCCCTGTACAATGTTGTCCACTCTATGATCCTATCAGGGCCCCTGCTGGCCAACCGAGATTCAATAATTCTATCGAATCCGTCCTCGGGGTTTGTGTCCAGGCTGCTCGATATTGATTTTAGCTGCGTCCGCGGTGGATAATCGCATGTTTCGATATGGTCCTTAATCTCTTCTCTGGGGAAAGTTTTGCGGCATCTACCACATCGCGAATTTTTGGCATCGGTTCGTATAAAGGCATGAGTAGATGTCAGGTGCTTTCTGTTAGAGGTTAGTTTTCATTAATGTGGTTTCGTGGTGGTTTGTGACCAATTATGCCCTGTCGAAAATAAAACGTATATCGTTATCAACTACCCACTACGCCGGGACGTAGAGCTTGTATCCTTACGAACTCGGAATGTATGAAGAAGGGAAAGGTATGCTTACTTCAATTGGGACATGTTTGGGTACGAGGTGTTCGCACATTTCGGATACTCACGGACATTAAATCGAATAGCATTACGCTTCCTATAGGGACATGCAAGTTGTTCATCGACTTGGTTCTTCTTGTTTTTCCCCTTAACTTTAGTAGAACTCTCTGGGGATGATCCTTGTTGAATAAGGTTGTGACTTGATGGTTTCTTGTTATTGAACGGAGAAGTGCTGGTTTTGTCGGCGAGGCTTCCACCAAGATGGCTTGACCCACTGCTCTCCCCAGCGTCATATGGATCCATTTGAACGTCTTGGCTATCCTCATTATCTTGTTCGTCTGGGGTACCCTGTAAGCAATATCCTTCATCTTGCAATATATCGGCGCACTGCCTTTTCACTTCTTCAAAGGCACAGTAAACACGAACAGGCCGTGATAGGCGGCGAATATCTATGCCGAACCATCCTGACAACGCTTCACCTGCGTACTTCTCTAGATCTAAATCCTCGTCATCTGAAAGCGCATCTGAGTTACTGGACTCTTCGTATATACTGAACGAATCAGGGCTCGCTGGGTCTACCAACACTCCGTCAGCCGTGCTGGTATTCGGGCTAGAACGAGAGGGTCGTAGTCCATTCGGAGTAGCCACACCATAATGGTAAGCCATCTGAGTTCCGTTTTTATCGGGGTTCCAATTCTCTGCCGAAGGGGGAACAAATGGAACACTTTCAACAATATGGAAATTGGCGTCCCTGTCAGACTGAAAGTGCTGGCGATGCTCGACAGAGTCTGACATTCCGACTTTGAAGTGAGTTGAGTTGGACGAATGTTCCAAGTCTCCAATACCACGAAGCTCTGCATCAGTTATATTTTTTTGATATTGGCTTGGGGTTGAGGGTCGTGAGTGTGACGGAGTGGTATGGCATGGCGAATGATAAGGAAAGCGAGTCTGTGAGAAAGTCGTATCATACGACTTGCTGTCCGAGGTTGATGTAGTCTCCATTGAATAGAGATCTTCGGAGATAATAGCCTCTCCTTTGGTGCTATCAACTGAACGAGACATATTTCTCATTGCAGTTTCCATACTTATATTGTTGGCAGGAAGTATTGAAATTCGGTGTGTAATTTGTGCGCCAGCCTTTCGGGTGCCGGAGTCAATCAAAAGTATGTTCGTAATGATATAGTACCGCTAAGCAATTACCAAAAAGTGCAAGACTCGTAAGTTGATGGGGTGGTTTTATTGTTGCCGAAGGACATGAAAGGACGAAGAAGGATGGGATGTGGGCATATCTGTTGTTGCCCCAAAATGGTACATATGATAAAAGGATGATCGCCCATTTTCATTTGTTTAATGAAATCAACTTCAGTCAGTTTTTCTCTAAGCCAATCGTCAAACACCAAACTTAACATGTGATGGCACCTCATGCACTCCTTCTGTAGCTGAAATTAATGATATGTACCTAGCGTCTTTGCAACCCAGAGTAAAATATTTTTAGTGGTTGAATTGTTACTTTTTACATCCAGGGACGTATTACAGCATATGCATTGCAACTCGGCATCTGCCCTTCTTTGATTGGTTCAGGCAAATTGAGTTGTAGTCAGATATGCTTGAGCTCCTTTTCTCTCAGGAGTCAGAAAAACTTGACTATGCTTCCGTTGACCTAAGAACAGTTTGCCTGGCCCGGAAGTACTGCTGGATTGTCCTTGCACACTCGAAGTATGGACATAACGGACATATAACAATTTCCTATGTCCACGATGAGATGGATATACTGAGGCTCTGCGTGCATTATCGATAGTGCTATTCTCAATTTATACACTTCAAAATGGCGAATTCGCCTCTCTCGGGACGAGCCGACAAATGCCACATGGCAAATTTTGCGATTGATAGTCAGGTAAAATTACCTTCAATTGAATTTGTCTGGCTTTACAGAAATTCCGGCCATGGCACATTTCTGCTTCTAGTTGAGTTAGAAAATTAGATGTGAAGCTACAATCTTTTCGGCCTCGATCTATCAAATGATCCTTCAAAGAATCTCATTCATTCCTTGACATAAATATGCCAGTCTTTTGTATGAAGCCTTCAATTATAGACACGATAATTAGAGTTATTGAAGACAAGTATTCTCTCTATAAAGCCACTATCGATGGTATGAATCGCCAGCAAGTCTCGTCATTTTATGTGGTGTAAATTTCAAATATACGAGAAGCGAATCCAACTATTATACCATCAATCATAATCAATTCCCATACTCCTACATGGTCCTTTGTCAGCTTCCCAATGTCCTCTGCATCACCTAAAGAGGAGCGTAAGACTGGGAAGGAGGAAGAGTAAGTAAGAATCTGCACAGCCACCCATTTTAGTTATGGATTGTTTCAGATGACTAATTCAGTAGCTAGCGCTAAAACTCGGGACAACAACACTCTTTTTCATACCCCATTGATCGATACAGATCCTATACAACATCGTCTAATTCAGGGGAGCATGGGCACTCAGGATCCTACAGATCATAGAGCTCGTTGGTCAAAAATCCTCAACCAGATTGAGACGTACGAACAAAAGTACGAATCAGGGAAAGACACAAGCAACAAGTAGATCAGACGATGCTTGATTAAATTCTGTCGTGGGGTAGATTTAGCAGATGGGAAAGCAATGATGTTGCTGGATGAGGACATTCGATTCTTGGCTTTGACCACGGTATATTATATCCCTACAATATGAATGATCTTTGCCTGCGCTATCACTTGGGTTGGTCAACGGCAGGTTTCCCCCTCCCCTTAGTTTATAAAGCCTTATATAGGCCGCATTCGGAGGAAATAGATACCAGCTTACATACTAGATAATCTCACGGAGAAAGGGTCGTTAGGAGTTGATTGAAGGTTTCTTACAGCGCTTAAAGACAATGTGAACATTTTGAGATCCAAGTTGGCTGAAATATCGGATAAAAGGTCCGCATTTGAGAGTGAGAGTTGTAGAACCCAGCTTGCATGGATTGCATTATAATGTGACAAGATAGTGCCTAGAAAAAGACAAGCCAACCACTCGAAGTTGAACCTAAGATTGCCTATAGGCAATTAGCTGCGAATCAGCTAACCTGTAATCCTGAATCTCCTCTTATCGATCAGTGCAGTGTTATTAGGAGACCTAATCTGGTCCGACCAAAACCTAACCTCAATCCCAAATTCGGTGGTGTCAGGTACTATGAACGCGTGCGTTTTGTTTGTCCAATCTTCTAGAATTATATTCTCTTCACCACCATACCAGAGGATCTCATACTCCTCTGCATGTGTAGTGTTTATTGTTCTGTATTTCCCAAGCGGGAGGAGGTCAATCTTGACCAGTGTCGAGCCGTCCGGATTGGGTTCAACAATTTCCGTAAAGTTTTCGATCAATTTGACCGAGTCTAGGAGGGAGAGCCACAAGCCTTCAATGCAAGCTTCGCAGAAATCTACAGAGTAGACACTGCGCATCAGGCAGAGATCGTTGGTAGGGCGGTAGGTAGTCACATTCAAATCAGAAAATCTGTGGTGAATGCGTGTCAACGAAGTTCTAGAGATAAGATGACGGGGAGATATTTAGAGATGTGATTCTTGAACACTTACGTTGGGTATAATCCATAATATCCCGTATCGAAATCGAACCTATACGCAGGGGTTAGCAATTGACAGCCGTCGAATTGGATACGGGATAGCTCACTCTTCTCCGTATTCAATAACCTCGAGGTTGCAAAGTTGCGCACTTCCCTCGATCTCTCCATTTAGGAGCGTGACCTTGATCTCATGTTCCCCTGGAGCTAGTGCCTCGTCGACTTTCATGTTATAGATGTACCGATCTACGCCGACTTCAGGGTTTATTTCCCAGCCGACGTCGTTGCCATCGATCTCCACAAGCAAGTCACTGCTAGCCGTCATGCCGCTCAAGCTAACCTGGACCAGATGTGTGTTGTACGTGCCGGCGGAAGTGAAATTCTGGCTCCAGCCCTGTGTTGTGTTCAACAGTGTCCAAGGATACGCCTGTATGGGCATATTGGACCGCTGGATCTTGGGCTCCAGGGATGAGTTAGTATACCACGCTTCCCAAGGTACAGCGCTTGTGTTTGGAGCCGAGTTGACGCCCTCATATATCTCTCCGCCATCATATTCTTCACCGACACCGATAATCGAGTGACCTAGCTCGTGGCGGAGAATAGCGGGCCCATTGGTGGGTGAGGATGTTATCACACTGCGAGTTTTAGTTATGTTCCCAGAGGCGGAAGATGATGTGTCTTACGTGAATTCACCACCCAGTCCCCCGTAGAGCGGGTCATTCCCAAGGAGGATAGGGTAATCGCAAGTGTCTGTTGAGTCACAGGCGGCGTGTGCTATCTCCGGCTTGTCATAGTATACACCCCGCAACTCGGTGCCATCACGGTAAAGACCGTAGACTGTACTGTAACATCGTAAATATTCAGGTCGAAATGAAAATTTGGAGGAACTGGAAGACTTACTTCTTGGGCACGCCGCCGGTGCCGATTCCGCTCTAACAAGAAGTCGGGGTTAGCGAACATCATATTACGCGTGCTGTGGTGTATGTTACGCACATCAGTACTAGGTGTAAATCCAGCCCAGAAATTCAACAAGGGTAATACGTCGTAGAACGTGTGCCCATTTGTGATGTTCTCTGCGAGGAACTGAGCGTCGGCAAAGAACTTGTCTTTCTCATCTGAGGTATCTGTCCGCATCCAACATCAAGTCAGCTCCCCTACGGACTGTCAACTATTTCGAGATAAAGCGTAGGTACGTACATCCGTCGCCGAGGAAAATGAAGTCGACGCGGTTTCTTGAAGGTCCATTTACGATGAGAGGCCTAATCTCTAGATCGGGTGGATCAATAGAGTCCCTCGCCTGGACGGCGTTCACCTCGCGCTTTGCCCACTTCCCCTGCCATTGGTGCTCACAGAATTGGCCATATGCCGCAGGTATAGCCACAGCGGTGACGAGTAAGGCCTTGAGTAAATCCATGGTCCGGATACCAGAAAATGAGGAATATCAGGTCTTACCACAGTTCTGTCGGAAGACAGCTTAATAGTTAAATATTCCAAGTTTGGTGACTATGGCATCCGGTCGGCACTTGCGGATGGGAATATATAGGCAGACTGACCTTCTAGAAACAGGATACGCCTAATGAATATAACTTTCTCCAACCTTTAGTGTAGGTTATCTATATAAACGTTCCAATCCTCCCCATGTTGCCAAGTCTCGTATCTGTTTGCCAAGAAGATAAGGGACCTGTTGATCGGTGCCATTTTGTATCTAGGCAAACACATATCACAAAGAAAATAGTTACCGACAGAGAGTTTTTGAATTCATACGTGATGTTTGCTTAAATCCAAGATGGGGTGTGTGTGGTGGCCAAGTGATAAATAAAGGGATGGCGTAAAGCTTGTTTTAACATTAAACTTGTAAGACCTATAATTCTTACTAATACACAGACTTCCGTACTATTGGTTCTTGTGAACCTTGGAAGTTAAATGCTGACAGATCAATCGATGCTGTAAACTATCCCCTGTGTCGCACGGCTAGCGCTCATCACCTATCAAAGCGTGTGTAAGTTGCCTATATGGGAGGATAGGGGATAATTAACGCAAAGTTCAACATCGTCGCAGCAATAACAGACGAAGCGTTTTCCTGATGCGTTCAGCCTGGAAACATGTCCGTACTAATTTCAGACTTTTTAAAAGATGTCTAATACATTTTATGTGCTGCTGATAAGAACGTGACAAATTGAAGCATCGCCGGCATTTTCCACACAATGATACTCCAACGGAATAAAGCTGCATGTAAATTATGGATAAAAACATCAACTTGAACATACTAACAACCACAACAAGAAACAACTTAAACTGTCATTGAACTGCCTATCTATTAGCTAAGCAAATTAGAGATCTAGGCCTTTCTTTTTTTCTTTCGTTTACTATCCGAACAAACCGAGCATATTATGAGCTTTTTCAAACCTGCACATATGCCTATTTCGTCTCGTATCTAACAGTTAGCGCTTTTGGGACCTGGCTGATCATCCGGTTCTTCGGGTAGGTGATCTTCTAGCTAATTTCCTAAATACTTACCTACCTAATTTAGCCGTTTACCTAATCAAACTTCTCTGTAAGGCATGGACGAACCGTGCTAGAAGTTTTCTGGCTCACCACCCCTGTCGATGGTATAATACGTACGCATGGGTATCGTTGAAAGATCGAAGGGGTCCTGAGCTCCAACAAGTGGGTAAAGATCTGACTTATCAAACTTCAACGAGTTCAAACATTCGAAAACCTTGCAACGCTATTAATGGGCAAGAAAAGCGAAACATTTATCATAAGGATTATATGACTTACCTGAAATTAATTGAAGCGAGATGTTTAGCTATTTATCCCAGCCGATTGGCCTAAATGCATTATTGATGCCATGTCTCTCGCTAGGTGCGCAACGGCTTTCCCAAAAGCGGAAGGATGGCTAAGACTCCTGCTATTGGCTATCTCCGTGCGGATCATCGGCAGAAAAGGGAAGGTCACTACGATATCGAGCACGCGATGATATGCGCGTGTCCGGGGATTAGCTGCAGTGGGTAGGTGATGTTATCTATCAAGCCGGGGGCGCGCGCAATATATAATCGAGCGTATCTCTACAGTCGAAATGACAGACTTCGTCTGTTACATTGTCCGGGCTTGTAGGTGCTTGGAATTGTTGCCGAGATGAAGTCAATCACAGCGGTCGTCCAGCTCCTGCTGGCAGCCGGCGCCTCTGCCAGTTTCAGGAAGCATACTGCTGGCATGCAGCTCGGTCCAATTGACGAAGATACTATCCTCGCAGCTGGTAATGGCACCGCCGGTTGGGGTACTTTCGAGCAGTTACTCGACCACTCCAATCCTGACCTCGGCACGTTTTCGCAGAGATACTGGTACGGCGCGCAATATTGGAAGGGTCCTGGTTCGCCCGTCATTCTTGTCAATCCCGGCGAGCAAGCCGCAGATGGGTTCAACGTGAGTTACACCACGAACCAGCGTCTGACCGGACTTTTCGCAGAGAAGCTCGGCGCTGCAGTCGTCGTCTTAGAGCACCGATATTGGGGCGAATCCTCGCCCTTCGACACCTTAACCGTCGCGAACCTCAAGTACCTTACTCTCGAGAACTCCATCAAGGACAACACCTATTTTGCCAACAATTTCGATACCCCGTTCGACACGACCGGGAAAAGCAGTGCGAAAGATGCCCCATGGATCTTCACGGGTGGATCTTACCCGGGCGCCTTGGCTGGCTGGATTGCCGCTAAAGACCCCGGTACGTTCTGGGCGTATTACGGCACTAGTGGTGTGGTCGAGGCCATCGGAGATTTCTGGCAGTATTTCGTCCCGGTCCAGGAGGCGACGCCCCAGAACTGCAGCACGGACTTGTCCGCAGTCATCGAATACGTCGATTCCGTTCTCCTGCACGGTAGTCCCAAGGAGAAGACTCAGTTGAAGGCCAAGTTCCAGCTAACCAACTTGGAGGATGCCGACTTCGCGGCAGCTTTGGAGAATGGACCTTGGACCTGGCAGTCTGGTCAATTCTACTCCAGCACTTCGCTGGGATACAATCCCTACTACCAGTTCTGCGATTACATCGAGAACCAGTTCCCGAATACTACCAACCCCGTGCCCGGCCCCAAGGGAGTTGGCTTGGCCAAGGCATTAGACGGCTACGCCAAATGGTTCACCACGCTCGAGCTTCCCGGATACTGCGAGGGCTACGGTTATTTCAACGGCACGTACAACACCGACTGCTTCCAATCGCTAAACGCCTCTAACCCCATCTACCACGACCTTACGCCCAGCAACGCGGGTAACCGACAGTGGAATTGGATGCTGTGCAACGAGCCCTTCGAGTTCTGGCAAGACGGCGCGCCGAAGAACCGCCCCACCATCGTCTCGCGCCTCGTCAACAAGGCGTACTGGCGTTCTCAGTGCCCGCTCTGGTTCCCGGAACCCGAGTACGGGATCGCGCAGGGCAAGTCCGCCGAGGACGTGAACAAGTACACGGGCGGCTGGTTCGAGACCAACACGACCCGTCTGATGATGGCGAACGGGCAATGGGATCCGTGGAGAGACGCGACGCTTAGCTCCAAGTTCCGCCCCGACGGCCCGAAGAAGAGCACGGCTGAGTTCCCCATCCGCGTTATAGAACACGGCACACATTGCTCTGATCTGTACGGACAGAACTGGGCTGTTAACCCCGGCGTCAAGGCCGTTGCCGACGCCCAGGTTGCCAATATGGCGACGTGGGTGCAGGAATTTTATGATGAAAAGAATAAAACTAATACGCATGTGTACCTTTAATAGCCATATTTAGCCATGTAAATTCGTATATATATGGCGCTATTTGGAATATAATAATTTTATCTCGTAATTACACTTGAAAGTGTTGCTTCTCGTAGCCGTGATAAGGATGTATTGGCAGATGAGCTACCACCTTGATGTTGATTATATCCCCACTAAAGTTCCTCCAACGTTCATAGTAACCCCCTTTTTTATGCATCAATTGACAGTTGAGCCGCCAATGTCAGGCAATCCTGAACATGCACTCTTACTCCATACACCGCATGGGTTAAGCATTTTGCTCATTCTTTTCAGTATGGCCATCGCCTCCTCTTGAGTAGTTGTCAGGGGTATTGCAGATACGATATGTGCTTGTCAATGGACATAAAGCAGAAGCAGAATCGACAATCTTGAAAACACTCCTTTTCATATACAGGTTCAGGATATAGACATAACCTTTCAAGAAAGTTATCAATTCATGGACTTGTTACCATAAGTATAAATGGAGTTTACGTACCTTTGATATACCAAATGTTCACTGCAAGATTGAGAAAGGTCACCATCAGTATACCGCTTGGTACTCCTTTAGCGGCGTCTCCTTTTCCAATTGACAACTTTAAAGATTTAAGGGGTTAAGTAAACTTCCATTGCACTTTCCACTTACCCATAAGTGAAATATATACGGGGCTCTCTACACGACGGCGACATGGCGGGTGAGAGCATTGATTAGTCGTCACATCGTCGACTTTGTATTAGAGGGTAGGTGCTCGAGATCGAAAGATTCAATTACGCATATGTTGTTTCTTCATAGGTATTGTAAACAGAAACTACTTCTTCCTGTCCTTACTTCAATCTTTCCTTATCCACACACTCTACACACATTACCTACGCACACCACACACTCATCATTCTCCATCTTATTTGTGTGCGTAACACCATCAATAATTCGAGTACTCTGCTCTTAATAATTCAAGAGTCACTATTATTATTGATTTTCTTAAGATTGAAAAAAGGTATGTGCTCCTGTTTTTTCCACCAAATGAATCAAACATCTTTCCTGGACACATCACACATCCCCCATGATATTTATTCCCTACCTACACTAGAGCACAACTGTATTCATTCATTTTTACCTAATCATCATTAAAGTATTACATATTTCATCTTTTATCGAAGGCCTCTCATTTCACAACTACGTAGCTAACTTTTTGGGGTGAAGTCATCACCTAGTAGCCGGCACATTCCTCAACCCCAACCATCTACCAACAGCATGGCGTCGATGAATACCTGCCCCGAGGAGCTTCGCCTTATGTTCGTGGAACACGTACACGATGTATCTCCAAAATCCCTGGATTCCCTCGCCTTGGTGAATAAGTCATTCCACAAGCACGTTCAGAATTTCAGATTCCAAGCGTGGAATTTTCGCCATGGGAATCTGACTAAGGATTTGGACTACATCAAACGCAAGAAGCTTCAGGACAAGATCCGACGTGTGCACCTAACGGACTATATGGCCGTAAGGTATGACTTCTGCATGTTGTTGCCCAAGATGGCGATGCTGCGAGATATCGAGATGGTCTGCGGCTTTGGACACAAGTATCTTCAGGATACTATACTCAAGTATCTTCGATGCCGACAGGAGATTCGTCTACACGTGGCGTTATCCGGCGAACCCATTCGACATGAAGGCGTGTTAGCCGAACCAATACATCTCGAAGGTTTCGTGGGATGCCAAAACCTCTATTCCCTGAGCGTGAAGCATCACTACGACATGATGACTTCCTGCCGCGACGTAACGAAGCCTCTGAAGGACGTGCTTCTCACGTGTCCCAATCTTCGCCATCTAAAGCTTGACATCAGACAACTCCCAAACCCCGGTAACCGTTTGATGCATTACTGCGGCTTCGGATTCGTCAACAACGAGCGAATCCCGGCAGCCCTCGAGACACTGGAGGTCATCGCGTATCCGTTTGGGAAGAAGGATACGCACCCTCATCTATTCCAACCCAACATCCCCGACTACCCATTGCTAGGGTATGAGCAGCGCTACTGGACGAACCGATTCGACTGGTCCAACTTAACCCGACTTAACGTTCGCGACACGTGGGCCTGGATCCCTCACTTGGAGAAGCTGACGTCCCTCAAGGAGGTGGATTTTACCAGCGACCCTTGCACAGAGTTTGCACCGGCATTCCTTCGAGGGGTCCCCACCAAGCTAGAAAGCATCAAGGTGAACCAACTAGAAGTCCCTGGTTGGGATACCATCGTCTTACACGGAAGCGCGCTCCGCGTCCTTCACATCGTCGGGGACGGTCGACAAAATCCAGCCGCCAACATGACCATCGAACACGAGCTCCGCAACATTCTCAAACCCATCCGAGAAGGCTGTCCGTATATCGAGGACTTGGGCATCAGCTTTGCCCGAGACGACTTATGGCCGGACGAGATCCTGCGCGAGGTCGCCCAGTTCAAGAGAGTGCGCAAAGTGACGCTGTACTTCGACTACACGAACCGCAACTTCAACAACCACAAGCTCAAGCCGGCCATCACTTTCAAAGGCGCGTCCGACGTCTTCAAGTACCTCGCCGTGTGGTCGGAAGGCAAAGAATACTACCCCTTCCGCGAGGTGCGCCTCGTCTCCGGGATCTTCCGTCCACTTAAGAACCTGTACATCGTCCCCCAGACCGCAGAAGATGCCTGGACAAACGACAGCGCCGTCACCATTGTCTGCCAAACCTCAGAGCGGGACGACACTCGAAACACGGAGTGGTACGAGGCTTCGTGCCCGGACCTGACGGCGGAGGAGAACGACATTCTCGACGAGGGCGTGACGGTAGGGCGTAAAGAGATGTTGAAGCTGGTCAAACGATCCCTGACCGCGCCTAGACTGAAGACGGTGTCGCCGAAGTTCAAGCTCGCGTGGGAGGGTCCGGTGTCGTATTGGCAGTGGCAGGACTACAGGAACTGGTTTTACAGACCCGGGAAGGAGAGATTCTTCAAGGGCGATGGCGTGGATTACATCGTTGAGGACGAGGACGATTGGCATGAACTGCGACGCGGTCATCCGCATCCCCCGTTTCAGCACTAAGGGCCGTGGTCTGCCTTTTAAAGTATCTGGTCGATCGTTATCAACTATGACTCGGGTGAAGTACGACGCCTTACGATTGAACGATATTCTTCTTACCTAAGCATGGATCAAATCGTCCATTCGGAGATTTCACTAACAAAATTTGATGCTTCTGTGAGTCGGTCATCCGGCTACGTACATTTCCTCTCTTTCTCGTTTATTTCCTATGTTTTCCTAAGCATCACTGAAGGTTAGTGTCCATTTGCCTATAGTAAGGACCGAACTTAGCTAACCGTTGGTTTTAGATGCTCTCTCGCAACTCAACTCGAGGCATGGCTCGATCTATTTTGAGTTGCACATCGTTATTTCGATTCCCTTTTCGATTCTTCTGACTTCTGTTCTCCTCCCTAGGAGTTGCCATTTCTCGTCCTCCCGTCGCAACCTACCGAGTCTCACCGGAGACAGAAAGGCATCGACTCAATATTCGGCAAGGACTAAGGTCCTGTCAACGAAATCTGCCTACTCACAAAACCTGTAAAAAGTGGGGTAGGCCTGGAATAGGGGGCGGGGATGGGGTTGCGGATCGTAGGGTCGGACAGAACTTTTCATTTAACAGGACTTTGCTTTTTCTTCTTTCTTTTCTTCTTTCCTTTTACCCTTTAATATCATGGTTTGAGGAATGGCATCGCTATCTACCTCGATGGGTAACTGACAAAATTCGCGGACGGAACTGGAAGATAGTGAGAGGGAGTCAGGGGATGGTGCATCAATGATGGTGTACAACTGGTGGCTCTCAAAAGATAGCTAATCAATCGCATTTGCTTTACATACAAAAACGAGGAATAATTGATTGATACCGGTGAATTAAATGAAGCACAGCAATTGGGCTCTTTCGTAGCACTGAAAATCACATTGGCCAGACCATTGAAATAGGGGCATAAGCGTACTGCGGTTTATTGGTATTCCATTATGTCTACCAGCATGCAAACCTCCTATCACATTCCATCTTCCATATTCAGGAGAAGAACTTGGTTTCCCCGTCCTTCAGCTTGCCAGCCGCGACAAGGCGCTTGACCTCATCACTCCACACACCCTTAATCTCGTCCGCGACCTTGAGGCCGTTCAGCTTGCCCGCCAGAGCAGCGACCTCATCGGGATCGATTTTGCCTTGAATCAACTCCACGTCGCCTAAAACGGAGTCGATCTGAGCCGGGCTAGCGTCGCCGGCGGCGAAGTAGTTGGCGTCCTTGACGGAGCCACGGAGCACACGCTTGTTCTTCTTGACCGCGTTCTTGGCAGCCTCCTTAGCCTTCTTGTTGGCGTCGCGCTCTGCCTTCGCCTTCTCTTCCGCTTCCTTGGCCGCCTTTTCTTCGGCTTCCTTCTTTAGACGGGCGTCCTCCTTCGCCTTTTTCTCGGCGGCTTCCTTGTCGAGACGCTTCTTGTTCTTGGCCGCGTTGGCCTCCTGGCGGAACTTCTTGATTCGCTCGTCGCTAGCGGAGCAGTCATCTAGTAACTTGCGCAGGCGAGCGTTGTCCTCAGCCTTCTTCTTCTTGCGGGCGTTCGCGTTCTTGCGTTCCATGTGGCGCTTCTGATCGCGGTTTTCGTTGTCGTCCGGCACATCCTCGTCCAAGTACTCGAAGGATCTCCAAGAGTCGAAGTTGTACCAGAAGTTGTAGAAGTTCTCAACCTCTTCTTTCGTGGAGTTCTCGTCGCCGAAGCTGGGCACGGGCTGCTGCTTGGAGAAGCGAGCTTCGGACTTGAAAACGCGACCCCAGAGCTTATAGGGGTTGCCCTTAGAGAGCTCCTTCTTGGTTGGCTGATCGACATCGGCTTTCTCATCGACTGAATCGAATTGTCTGCGCTTGACGGGGTCGAGCAGGACCTCGGTGGCCTTCTGGATACACTTGAAGAAGTTGTCGTCCTCGGTGCTGCCCTGAGCTGCTTTCTTGTCGGGGTGGTGCTTTAGGACCTTCTTGCGGTGGGCGCGCTTGATCTGCTCTTCAGTAGCCTTGTAACGATACTTGGATAGACCAAGAACTTGGTAGTGATCTTGCGACTAAACACAATGTTAGTAATTGGCATAAGATAGTTGGGATTAGTACTGATGACTAACCTTCCAGTCCTTGGCCTCCCGCTGGAGCATCATAGGATCCTCGGGTTCGCTGACATCGCTCTCATCATCCTTCTCGATTTTCTTCGCACTCTCCTGAGCCTGGATGCGGTCATCTTCGGAGAATGTGCGCTTGTGGCGTGCACGGCGGGCATGGGCTAGGAAATGAGGTCCGACGGGCTCAATAGTGCGTTGAGTAGACGCTGTAATAGAACCGATGGGCTTAAAGTCCTTCTCAGCTGACCAGCCTTCCGGCAGGGCAGGAAGTGGCCGTGTTACTGTCGTCGCGGCAGCCATTTTCACTAACGATGTATGGCCTCGTTTTTGGTTGAAGAGAGGAAAAGTATAAATGTGGGGGTTCAAGTGGGAAACTTTTTTTCACAACAATTCAAACATAAAAATGTTGCAGGGGTTCGATGCATTAACCCTGCCTGTGCAAGTATGATGTACGTACCTATGTAACACAAGCACTAGCGGAGCAAAAAGGCTAGATCAGCCTCATAAATGTCACTAGCCACAATGAATAATACTTGTAACCTATCAAACCACTAAACTTTTTGCGATTTACAAGCTCAAGAACTTCAATATTACGCTTAGGAAATCCAATTTTCATACTATTCTCCCAATAGCAGTATAGTTTCTTACTAAGAAGCCGTCTTGTCTAAGACGGAGTATGAGAATGGCCTTGCCTGCTTATAGAGGCTTGCTCCGAGCGGCGAAGGTAGCTTTCGAAGGCACGATATACTTAATTTGGCGCAACCCTTGTTAAATGATGGCTGACTGTATGAAATAGGTGATCAAGTGCGATTAGTTGCTGCGCGAAACTCGATACGTGAAAGCTTCAGGGAAAAGGCCTCAATAGAACCTGCGGACGTACCAGACGCTATAAAAGTCGCCAACGATGTCGCTACTATATTACGCCAAAACCTAGTTCAGGGCAGGAAAAAGGGTGACAGATATGGTACGTCGCATAATGAAAGGATTGGTTGTTGATTCTCCGTCTAATATCATGTGTAGAGCTACGGATACACAAAGACACCGAACGCGGGGACAATGACACGGTGAAATTCCCCGGCGGCAAGACGGTCAAGATCGACGGAAAGAAGTGTACCGATAGATGACAGGGACTGGAATGATCGAGCCCGTCAAGCATTGTATTATACTATGATACCCTCCGCGTACGAAGAAACATCATCGCCGCTCGTTAGGTGGCTATGCGTAATGACCATCAATATCTCCCCGAAACCCTTTTGTAATCATAATGCCCAAACGCCCTCCATGCAATGAATCGCCTCCTCTGCTTTAGTCTCCAGCCAGACTAGCATAATTGACGTCTTCTGCTCCTGGCGGCGCTGCGAGAAGGGACATATTATCGAGATCCTGCTGCGCACCTCCAGCCTGTTCCGACCCGCCTTGGCCTGGGGCAGCTCCGATCGCCTTAGGACCGTTCTGTCGCCGCTGGTCTGGAAACGCCGAACGTCCATCTCTGGCCATCGTTGCTCTCTCTTCTTTGTTCATTGTCCCGATAGCCTTAGGTAAACTCCACCGTACTCGTAGCGGACATCCCGCGATGACCGCCCGGCCTTGGCAAGCCGCCGCAGCTTTCTCGGCGGCCTCTCTCGTCTCGTAGTTGATAAATGCGCAGTGCGACATGTGACTGCAGATCAACGACTTGATCTTTCCATGCTCCTTGAAGAAGTCACGGATCTTGAATTCGGGAAGGTCATCCTCGACACCTGTTACGAACAGACTCATGATAGACTTATCAGAGGGTGGCATCCAGTCCTTAGGACCGGGCGGTAATTGCGACGCGCTCGGGAATGGTCTGCCTCCTCTTCCTTGTCTTGCGCCGGGCCTAGCGCCTGCCGCCACCGCTGCCCTAGAGTCGCGAGTTCGTATGGGCCCAGGTCCACCAACACCAGCTCCAACCGCTGGGTCACCTCCTGTCGAGCTGCCGCTGGGTTTTGCTTCGGTCGCACTCCCATCCTCAATGGCCCTGCCTTTTCGAAAGTAAGGTTTGCTGTTTGCTAGCTTTCGTAGGAGTTCTCGCGCCTTCTCGTCGGTCTTCTCGTACTCCTCAGTGCCTCGTCCCTCCTCTAGGGCCTTCTCGTTGTTCTGAGCGAAGTACTCGCGGTTGACTTCGCTTTGGGGACCGGGCGCAACCATCTTGAGGGCGGCGTCACGTAGTTGTATGGGCAAGCCGAATTGCAAGTCGAGCATGCAACATTGGCAACAGTTCTTCATACGGGCGCATGTGAGACAGACGTTTGTGCGCTTCTTGCGGCCGTGGGCTCGGTCGGCGGACCACGAAAACACGGTGTAGGGTCGCGTGCAGATCTTGCATTCGGCGCCGTAGTCTTCTTTAAGCATCTTGACGTATGGGTTCGGCGGTAGGCAGTTTTCGCATACCGACGGGAAGTCCGTCGACTCCCAGCCGGAGCGGTTGAGATCTTGTTTTATTTGGGGCGGCATGATGCTGCTCTGAAGTTGTTGATAGATGGAAGACGATGCCAAAGTTTGGTCGGTACGAACCTAATCTACAGATTAGAAATTTGGTAATCGCGGCCACAGTGTGGGTCAATATTTTATCTGATGTGGCTGGTGCCGTGGCAAGACAGTGGCGTTATCTCCGGCTTATTCGGACCCTAAGACACGGGTGCTTATGTAATATGGCCCGTTGAATTTCCCCACGGGGTCCTTCCGAGCTCACTGCATTCAATCCTCTTCACTCATCCCCATACCAATCGTTAATAAGAATCCATGAATGTCGATATAAATCTAATTACTCATCCTTGTACCTAGTAAACTTTGGGTTCAAGCCTAAAGTTTCAACTTGTACGCTAATGGTTACGATAGTTTAAGTAGTGCACACCTCAACAACTCCAAATTGTCGTGGCTTGAGTCCACGTGCTTTTCGACATTCCTATGCACATCACCACATCACTTTGCTATATCGTGGACTAGACGCGAGTGGATTCAAATGATCTATAAGCTATTTACTAGTGTAGTGAATAATATGGCTCTCACGTCACTGCATCGATACCTGTCATTGGTTAGGTACTAGCACCACTTCGGTACTACTCCAATTTCTCACGAGAGCTTCGTTCTACATGTCTTAGACTATGATTCCGCATTTACCTTTTACTACGGCCCGGTCAGCTCGTCTACTCCTGTCTAATGTAAAACTCATTTAGTCAAGACACCGAGTGCTCCCCCGCAACTGAGGTCCGAGTTGGGAAGAATTGTGGAATTAGGCCCTTGTACCATGTTATCCTCGTATCATGTCACAAGCACTGCGAACTTTCCACATGGTACATCTTGAATATCCGCATAGAGTTCTGCCGTACTGTAAGCCGTTCTTCAAGGACGAGATGGCGTGCGTGTAGGTTTGGAGTAGCTCACGAGACCAGATTCGGCCAACAGTGCCCGCGGACCGGAGCCTCAAGTGGCGCTTTTCTTCTTATATGCTAATAAAATGGCTTATTAAATCTTAAATGGGGTGAATCTATTCTCCGTGCCCTTGAATCCGGAGCAGTCAGAGGGTGGTTATATACGCTCATTCCCCATCTTTTCTCTTTCATGGAAGCACCTGGATTTACTCTGCACCTCCTATCTTTTAAGACTCGATTATTCGTTTATGGATTTATTCCTCAGACAACAATGACTATCACACAGATTCAACCCGACGGGTCTTCTGAGAAGGCCGATCCACCCTCCTCCACTGCCAATGACTTGATAAATGAGATAACCGTGTCGTCGCTTGCTTCGGTCTCACAACAAAGCGTACCCAAACATACTATATCTCACGATGAAGCAACACTGGTACAAGAGAGTGTAGAAAGTGTAGAGACCGACGAACCTCGCGTTGTCCTTACAGAACGTGACTGTCCGGAGGTCCTCGCAACCTCATGGCCTAGGTATCAGAAATGGATAATCCTGCTCTGTACCTTTCTGGTCCAAATTTCTAGTACGTGACCTCCAGAATTTGTTGATAATCATATCCGTTTACTCCTAGTCTCTTCTTCCCAGTACTAGACGCCAGAGGAGTCTTCCTCAACCTAGTCTTCCGAGTGGTTTCTTATAACCAACCCTCCGTCTTATTCCCTACGTTGCAAATTCTAACCATTTTCACTAGTGAACTTGAATGCCTCCCTCTACGCAAACGCGCAGAGTGGTATTCAGAAGGAATTCGGCGTAAGCCAGATGGCTGCTGTCAGTGGTTCTGCACTGTTTCTGGTCATGTACGCGTTTGGATGCGAGCTGTATGACTATCCTTTCCTCCTCACAGTAATATCAGCATGCTAACATCTTCCATAGTTGGGCGCCTTGGTCGGAAGAGCTTGGAAGGAAACCCATTCTTCAAGTTTCGCTTCTTTGTGTCAATCTTATGTGCCTTCCTGTCGCCTACGCTCACCGCAATGGAAGATTTCATGCTATTCTTGTCGGGCGTGCCTTCGGTGGCCTTTTTTCCGCCGGCGGTAGCGTAACTCTTGGCGTTGTTGCCGATATGTATACTTTACGTCGTCAGGAATACCCTCTTGCATTTATCGTGCTTTCCTCCGTGGGCGGTTCCATCATCGGCCCCATAATTGGCGGGTTCATTGAAACACGTATGTATTGGACGTGGTGTATCTGGGTTCAACTCATTGTTGGAGTGTTTGTTCAGGTGTTGCACTTTGTTCTTGTCCCAGAGACTCGATCTAGCATTCGCATTGGCTTTTATGCAAAGGGAATACGCAAAGAGAGTAAGAAACGAACTGGCAAGAAGCTTAACATCTATGGCCCTAGCGAAGGGATGACTTGGAGGGATTTTCTGCTTCCAAGGGGTCTTTGGGATCTGTGGACACGCCCTTTCCATATGTTCATCACCGAAAGAATAGTACTGGTACTATCCACACTCTCCGGGTTTAGCGATGCCTTGATATTTATGCAAATCCAGTCTCTTGGTCTCGTCTTCCGAATTTGGAATTTTAACACCATCCAAGTTGGACTTGTAAGTCACCACCTTATCACTACGAAGCACCCGAATGATTCATGGCTAATGCGCACTATAGGCTTTTATCCCCATCGGTGTCGGTTACTTGATCGGCTACTTACTCTTTATCCCTGTCATCAGTCGTAATCGAGCGCTCAGGGCAAATAATCCTCAAAGTGAGCATGCCCAATACGAATCAAGGCTGTGGTGGCTATTGTATACTGCGCCATTACTTCCTATCGGACTCTTGATCTTCGCTTGGACAAGCGACCCCAGAGCGCACTGGATTGGCCCGATGATTGCCTGCGTACTCATCGGTATCGCCAATTACACGATTTACATGACCAGCATCGACTACATGGTGGCCGCCTACGGCCCCTTCTCGGCATCTGCTACCGGCGGCAACGGTTTCGCTCGTGATTTCCTGGCCGGTATCTTGACCTGGGGTGCTGCGCCTTACTATAATGCGTTTTCGGGTGCTTACAGTCTTCAATTGGCGAATACCGTTCTTGCTTGCGTCAGCTTGATTCTCGTGGCGGCGACCTTTTTCGTCTACTATAAAGGGCCCTCCATGCGCAAGAAGTCGCCCTTCGCCCAGTCTCTCGCCCAGGGCATAACCGACGCCGATGCGGAGCCTGCTACAAGTATCTAAAAAGATATCCATGGCAGAAGTCTACAATGCAATTATACCTACGTTATGATATACACTATTATTCAATTAGGCGTATATAGGTAAAAGTTTGGCTTATGACTGAAAATGTACATTTTGGTACTCATTCTTGCCACCGGAACCGGTGGAAGCAAATGTACGATATTCTCCTCGGTCTATTCCGATGGCTCCCATATATACTTCCTGACACATTGTTATGAAAAGGTTTAAGCCACGTGGAAGCTCTCAGAAACTGGTCGCAACTAGGTAGCATTTTAGTAGCATACGTGGGTAGTTAGATACATTTTTATTAATTGAATATTGCATCGCGAGCGTACTCCTTGGCAGTTTTCGAAAATTCCTTTGCAAGCCTGCTAATTAGGTACCTAGTTAGTGGTAGTACGTGAGCTCACATTCATACCTGCTAGACTGCCTAGGTACTAGGTACTAGGTAGTTAAGGATACATATATAGTGTTCGTATTTAGTCCCTATGGGGAAGTCATTCGATATAGAATATCCTATTCTAGAGGCTTCTTTATCAGATAACTGTCATTTATATCCACTGTGCCACGTTGTGCTCTCTAAGGGAGCTGGTCATATTCCCCATCGTCCTCCATCGTCAATAGAGACTTTTCGCGTTCCGTTGGCGATAGAGATGAAGATTTTAGGCGGGTTTTGATGCGATTCGTGTACAGACTCCTCTGCTTCCTAACGCCTCTTGTATTAGAGTCGGAGATGATATGCTTCAATCCCTTAACCCATCCATAGCGTGATCCCATAATCCACTTCGTAATACACGCAGAAAAATTGTCATCATTTGTCCATCGGAGTGCTCGCCGCGGCCATACGAACCTGTGCGCCTCATCATCAGGAGCGTTCGGATCGGACTGCGTAAACTTGAGTTGCCTTAGGTTTTTGAGCGGGGGCCCACGGAACACTTCGACACATTCAAGTCGCGTGAGAAAGATTGCGTCGAGCTCTAGTTCGCTTAGGAATGGCAGACTTCGCAGCTGTCGCCACAATTTGGCTAAGCCATTCTTACCGCGAGTGGGGATTCTGATGTCTTTGAATTCATCCAAAGGCCCCTGCTGTTCGCAACCTCCAAGAAAATTCAGCAGGCAAATCTTGGTTAAGAAGGGCTTCCATCTTGGATTCAAATTATCAAAGAAGTTAATGCCCTGGGAGCGGTTAGTTATAACCACCGTGGTAGCGGTGCCTACATATTGTAGTAGTACTAGAAGACTACATAGGTGTATAGCGTGCCACTTAGTATGAATTACTTACTTCGGGGACGTTGGTAAACGAGAAAGTATTCCGCGAATAAAAGACCCGACCAGCCTCCTCATACCATCTTCGGCATACAAGCAGAGTCTGTAAGTGTTCTCGGCGAGCACATAAGCATGGTAACGAGTACGTTATAGGAAATGGCCGAGGACGGTATCGCCAATCCCAGCAGTATGTGCAAAGATAGGGGTTCGTCTGTGGAGGCGCCCATACGCTTCGAAAAGGATCCACAGTGGTAGGAAGTATGCGATGCCGCCAAGTCGCAAGAGTCTGATAAGCGTTCGCGCATGTCCCGTCATCTTCAGGACACAAGTACGGTTGAAGCGGGTATTCTGGATTCTTTTTCCGTAGCTCGCAGGATTGTCTGTGTTCTACGTCCCACCTAGGCGGACGAACCAAAAGGCAGGCAAAGATATCGTCGCGTATCTCTTGTGGGAAAGAATAGAAATAAGAACCTAATGTACCGGGAGCAGTATTAATGTCAATTGGTTGCGGGTTGCGAGGCTTGTCATAACCACGCTTGAAGTCCTTGCGCTCGTTGGGTAGCGCCTGAAATCGTGTAGTGAGCTTTCGTTTTCTAGCTTTCTTAGCCATAGGCTATAAGTATAGAAACCTATGAGATAAAATGAGATACCGGGAGACGAAAAGTTGAATAGGGATCGCCGTTAGGGGATTTTTATGTATGTTTTGGGGACACGGATCCAAGTATTTCTCACTGTTGGTTCCGCTCCTGGCACTGGAAGATTGCGTATAGACAATGTGTCACTTTTCCACGCATCTAATGTGTCATATAATATTAGGAATTTAGTCATAGAGCATACTTTCATCAAGCAGCGTCGATATGCTCCTATTCAAAATGAATCAGAAACTAGCTGAGCGTGGGTAATTAGAAAGCTATTCAAGGTAAAGTCGGCTAATAGGGGGGATTTTAAGTAGAAAGGATATTAAATATGTTGCAAATGAATTACTTAACTTTGTTATAAAACCTTTTTGACATTCTTCGCACTTCAACGATTGTCTCTTAGGTACACAGGTTCAGGTTTAAAGTTATTCGAGAATTGATTTTTCTGGCTAAACACTGGGTAAGAAATGTGGCTAATGTGCGAAACTTTTGATCTAAATCTTAGTACCTAACAAGTCATCTCCGATACTATCTCTTTCCCCAAACAGCACCAATGCTCTTGCTATCCGACTATTGTTGTCTAGATACCGGAGTTGCTTCCAACACGTTGCCGACACACCCGACATCCCCGTCCTCCGGGAAGATCCACTTTCGGCCCCACCGCGTTTCGATACTTCCCCCTATTAAAATGTGGATACCAATTCGATCAAATAAGGCGGCCGGGACGGGACACATCGGGAGTGGTACCGAATAGGCAGGTATAGTGGGGGACCGCGCATCACGGGAATGAGTTAGCGGATAGTGACACCTGTGCGTGCCGCATGTTCGATATTGCCAATGTACCTACCTACTAACGCAATCAAAACTATCTCTTTCACTACATAGGCAATTGGCATTCATCACTGCTAGGACACGTATAAGCTACCTATAAAAGCATCCCAAGGGATATCACAGGCTGCAGTGTAATAGGGGAGCATTAGCACATGATGAGTTTCTTCCGACTTCACTGTGGTAAGTACCTTTCCTATTACAATGGTATAATTTAATTAACGATAATAAGCGCAAGCATGGATGGCCCTTCATCTCACTACTTCACTCAGGATGTGTAAGTTGCAAGAATTTCACCTTTAACGCTGCAATTTCTTCTTGTATGATGGAGTTGAGAAATATGTATCTAGCTACTAGATGTCCGGCTTCCTTATGGCTTGGTCCTCGGTATCTAGTGGTGGCAGCCAGTCGCTATAATGAATCAAAGGATTGAATAATTGACGTATCCCGGAAGAAAATTGCGGCTGTGACTTGTTAGTTTATATGGCTCGTTGCGACATGTTTCCAGATCTCCTACCTCTAGCTTTGTGAGTATTGCGTCAAACCCGGACCAATCTGTACCTTGCGTCTCGACGAGCTGATCAACATCGACCGAGCTGTTTTTGCTTATTCCACAGAGTACTTTGAGAAGTGCCCGGAACTCATCCCTAGGAATCGAGCCGGTCAGGTCACGGGATCTTGATGAAGGGAGTTCCGATACTTCAATCACTGGCGGTAATTGAACCCTGAGCTTAAGGCTCTTTCTGTTGCGTGTATAATTATTTTCTTCGAGGACCTGGCGAGTCTGGATAAGATGTTCGTCATCTGCGGGATCCCTGACCAAAATCTTGTCCTGCTCCTGTACGTTATGCTGTGAATTTGAATATGGCTTGTCAGACATAACCTGGAAAAGAAGACGATGGAACCACCTATCCCGGAGTCGCTGTACTTCGTCGGGGTCATCCTCTTCATCCTCAAACGAAAATACCGTGGCATCCTCATGCCAACGTAGCAAGAAGGTGATGGCAAGCAAGGCCTCGTCTATAGCATTTCGATGAATTAGTTGTTGACTCGAAAAGATACGGTCGTTTGGGGCGGAAGGGGAAGGATTTGCAACAACACAGTTTTCTATAGAGCAATTCACAAGAGAAATGGATTCGAAGAGTTTCCCTGCCACTCACCTGCGCCGAGTGTAGAAGAGGTTTGCCTATTATGGAATGGAAAGGATCCGAGACGTATCATGGTTTTTAATAAAAGAGGACTCGCAAAATTGAGGTCTGTTTTCAATTCGACCGGAACGGCAGCATTGAGAGAGTCGACAAGCGCATGCTTGTCCCAACACAATTGCCCTTCGTAACAATCCGAATCCATCTCAAAGCTGATACCCAGGGCCTCTCTTAGCTCGTATCTCTCAATAAGTGGTTGGTAGTCTTCTCGAAACTCGTGGCTAAAATAGTGTTGGAATTTCTCTATCCCGTCCATAAGTACCTAGTTATCTAATTCCATAAAACATGTGCACACATACCGGCTGTGTCAATCTTACGGGGCGTACCGGGTGGGCTCTCCAGCTGGTTTTCAAGGTCAGGTTGAGGTTGACTAGAGGAAGCTGTCTGCCCCATTTTGATATATGTGACGCAGTACACTATTCAGTTCTAGTGATTCAAAATGAACATTTGCAGGATACCTATGGATGAAATGGCATGTCAGTGAGTTGCAGTAGTTGGGTTATATACACTCCTGCACAGCCCACTGGATCGGCATCCCTCCTTCCACCCCTGAAAAAGTCCCGAGTAGCTGGTACCGAGATAGAACAACCTTGCCACCAACAATACCTTATGAATGCATGCGCTGCACTACTTTGTTAATATAATAGGTAAAGATCGTACTATATCCAAAGAATGATTCCCCCGAATGCCTTGAAACGAGCGTGTTTACCCTCCTCAATAGAATGGGCCTTACTGATACTTCTGCGAAACCAGCGTACCTACAGTTTGTCTTGTCCGTGCCCCCCCTAGCCTCAATAGAGCGTGTGTAAGAACTATGCGCTAACACTTCGCAGTGCTATTTTGAATAGCGACGTCAAGCCTACAGTGCAGCTCTGCCAATCCGCTATGGATTATCTCTTAAATTCGGCATGCATGCAGAATGACAACAGTCAGGGTGGTTTGATGGCTATTGCAGATAGCTTTCTAGTTGGGTTTAATCCTCAGGACATCAAAGAGCAGGGTCTCTAAGCAACTATCCAGGCCTCTTAAACCGACTAGACTAAATCTGTTTTTCTAAGTTTATGCCTAGCTAGAACTTCCTCTATATGTTAACTAAACTATCTAACTACTTTCTACCATATTACTTGCGTGCTAACACACCTAGTAAGAGGAAGGTTTGACGATAGTTCTTGTCGTAGGAGATGAGAATTGAAATGCCCAAGCTATGGCTTGTAGAAGAAATTCGTGCCTAGTAGATTAAGTACCTACTTAAAGCACATATTAAATTTAATTATGCCAAGTGATAGCTTCCTAGGTAATCTTCCTAGCACCTAGCATGTAGGCGGCTGGGATAGTTAGAAACGAGAACACGTATTATCTCTTTTAAGTTCAATTTCTAGTATCATTATTGGTATCTAAGTGTCCAACTACTTATTTAGAGAACATATAATATGTGCTATGTTTCTCCAAGCAGAGTCTAGACAATTCGACAACCCACTATCTCCGTAAAACCACGGGCTAGTTTGCATAGAACCTAACCTATGTGAGGTGACCGTATAGTGAACTAACAATTTTTGCGCTTAAGTAGGTATAATTCCTACCAATGCTGTAGGGATCTTGGTGGTAAATGGTAGAACATAGTATCTCTTCTTGAAGCTAGAAAGATGGCCTAGATATTTAGTCCCGTTGGTAGGGCTGGTAGGTAGGTACCACCTATCTTGGTGAATGACTCGGGGAAGCTTAGTAGTGGGAGCCAAGAGAAATTTTGAAGTAAGGCTATGATCAGAGTGATGAGAGATGCAATTATGAATATAATTATTGTAATCATGAAGTACAACAGTACTAGATTGAATTTGCTGAGACTACCTAAGTATGTATTTATATATTACATGATAATGTGACGTTGCCGCGAAAGGTTCTCTTGGACATATCGCTCGTCAAAGCACAAAGTTCGTATTAATTCATTGTACTCTCTCCTGTGAAACTAGGTATTCTCTATCTAGGGCTCTCAGAAAATATAATCAATAAATTCTTTCCTCTGGCAGTATGAAGTTGTCTACTACAGTCGTCCATGCCTTTATAGTCGTAATCACGGCTTCGCCTGTGATTCAACCACGTCAAGGCATTGATACTTCGCTTGTTGATTCTGCTCCAACGCCCACTAACGCTTCTATACCTATTGGACCTACCGCAGATTCAACTACATACGATCTGAGTAAAGCTACGGCATCTGCTACAGCAAGCCCCTTGCCCGTGGGAACGGCGCCGGTCAAACGTCGATATGTAACAGCACGTCAGACGGCTTGTCAGCCTCTTCCCAGCGGAGCTGGACCAGTGCCGAACCGTGACACTGATGGTAGTTTCCTTAACTATAGGACCTTTTCAACCAATGCTACCCAAGCTTTGACGCCCTCTGGTTACAATCAAACGTATGTGAACTTACACTCGAGGAGCGAGTCTTACGGATACCTTGGCTTCAATGCCATTGATTCATACGACACCCAAAGCTGTGCTACCCTGTGTAGCACAGTCTGGCGTGGATGCCAAGGTTTCAATATCTTCTTCGAGAGGGATCCCTCGGTTGAACCAGGACCAAATTGCACAAACCCACCTTCGACTACCACAATTAAATGTGTTTTTTGGGGCGGCCTGATCTCAGCAGAGACTGCCAGTAATACGGGGCAGTACATAGCTGGTTTTCATGTCGTCATCGCGGGATCAAACGGATATATGAAAAATGCCATTCCCCCAGTACCGGGATATGATGGTGAAGCAACTGGCAATAATACGATTGACGTTCCGGGATCTGATACGGGCGAACCATCTATAACTACAACCGCCACCACATCTTCTAACAGTGCAACCTCTACTTCATCTATAGGCAGCACCACTTCGTCTACGGGAAGTGCAACTACAACAGTTTCCACGAGCAGCACTACCTCTTCTTCTCCTACCACTAGCAGCACAGCTCCTCCCGGTGCCGGTCCCGGGACAGGTACTTACATTGGATCGAAGATATTCACGAACACTTATTTCGACCCAGCCCTCTGTGCCGCGTCCTGTGATTCCCAAAATCAGAATAACCTATCCCATCCTCCTAGTCGAGGTCAACCTCAGATTTGTCGTTTCTTCACGACGTACTTGCTATACAAGAATGGTCAACCCATTGGCCAATACTGCGCTCTTTATACGCAATATTACTCGACCTCGTACGCTACCAACAGTGTAAGTACCTAAAGAACCCTGTCGCGTTCTGGTACTAATCTACCATGATAGGGTACACAGAGTGGAGGAGACACTTTAGATGTTCGTCACGCCTATTCATACAGAAACACGAAGGTGTAGGTGCCTAATCGAGCTCTTTACGGCGTTTACTGGAATTTAGTTGAGTTATTTTTGTCGGATACGGTGTAACAAAAGTTATTTTTTAATGGAACTGCTTCGAATTCTTAACAAGGAGCTGCGTAGTATTACCCCTTTTTTATGTGGAGCTCACATCGAGTGGCTTAGTAATCATACGCGTTTAAATTTGAAAAGGGGGTTCATATCATGTATATAGTAGGTTAAGCAAAAGAACGGTAGATACTTTGAGCCATAGTCTTGTTCGTAATTGATATATTTTAATCCACGTATTGATTGAAACAAGCGACGAACTATCATTTAGTTGCATCTTAACGTGGCTGGTGCTGATGCATCGGTGAAGCTATTTGACGGTTGAGCTTTATCGAACATTAAATATTGGCGCAGATCGGATATAGCGCGTTCATGGTTGCTATAAATGTTGAAGGATTTTGCACTAGTGATGGACATAAGGAGTGATGTTGGGGCGAGACAAAACTGGGGTTAGATTGATTTCACATGTTAATTGATTTTTCCCCTATGGGGTGCCGAGCTATAAAACGTGGCTTCGTCGGATCTTATTCGTCCATGGCCTTTATAAAATAGCAGCCTAGAGGACAGAGAGGCAGTGTAAGAAGAGCCAAGAGTTACGCGTCATAGAATAGGATGATAAGGCTGATTTATACGGGGACTATAACCGGGGATTTTGGCTTGCAGGCTTGTTGACGCTTAGGCCCTATGGATACACTTAAGCAGCATCCCCTGACTGAAGGCCGCTGGGGTGATACTCCGCCACTGGCGTCGTATCTTGAGCCTATGTTCTCTTGCGGGGGTTAGCCTATCGTGGCCTATGCCGGAATATGAGAAATTAAGAGTCGGGCTTTTTTGCTCCCTCTTCTAAAAGCCGACCGACATTATACCAGTACCGTTACCATATTGCTCAATTCGTCAATTACCTAACATGAGCACCCTTGATAGGACGAGACGGGGGCCGTACGCAGCGAATCATAACTCAGTATAGTTACCTAATCCTTGGCACATAAACTGTAGGTGTGTGCATTTCTAATTGATGTCTTATTAATATTTCACACCATCCCGTCATTCGCCCAACTGCCATCAATCAACTACCGAAGACCGTGCGTCCGTGTATGATCTATATGACTTTTGTGGAAGCCAAATTAGATTTCGAAAATAATTATTTGCGGAGGAGAAAACACAAGTATATTCATACGCGAGGGTTAGACGTCTATTTCCGATGGCATCAAGCGCACCGAGTTGGCCCGGCGTACGTCCCGTCAAGACGTGCACGGAATGCAAACAGTCGAAGGTAAAGATATCCGGTTCTCGCATATTGGATCTTTACTAACGCTTCGCTAGCTTCGATGCGATTCCAAGGACATGTTCCCAAATCCCTGTTCCAGGTGTCAGGCAAGAAAGTTAACTTGCACGGTTGACCCGTCCTTTCGAAGAACACCAGCTCGAAAGTGCGTTTCTAAACTTCCACTACGTAAACCCTTGACCTAGTAACTGATTTATAAAAACAGACGTCTTGAAGCTATGTCAAGGGAATTACGAGAACTTCGTGATCAGAAGATGTCAACTTCTCGTGCGGGCTCCACTACGAGTCCGGACCCGGACTCTACTCGTTCGCAGGACTCATCCTGCAACACATCGCACCCATCTGCTGCTATTCTACTAGAAGATTTCGAGCTACTAGGCCTGGAAACTTTCGAGCTTGGCGGTGTCGCAATAGACAAGCAATCGGTAATCGAGATATTCAAGCTGTGAGTACCTACATAATTTAAAAAGAAGATCCCCTTTAGCTGATTGGTTCGCCATACGAAAGATTCACCGAACTCTTTCACCCACATATTCCTATAATAGGACCCATATCACTCAAAAATATTTACCATTCTCATCGTTTTCTATTCTGGACAATTATCATCATCGTTGCTTTCCGTGCGCCTTTACCATCAGATGAAAATCTGTTCAACCGACTCCATGAACCGTATATGGCATTGTTAAGGGCTGAGGCTCTGATCGCACCGATGCCACTGAGCAAGATTCAGGCGTTTTTGTTCCTCTGCGTATGGCCAATGCCCGTGTCGCACCAACAAGATGATCCAAGTTGGCTATATTGTGGGGTCGCTGTAAATGCTGCTCTGTATATGAGTCTTCATCGATCAAATCCAAAGTCCGGGATTACTCCTTCACTATATAGTGTCGGCAATATATCCGGTAGCTCTCGTGAGAGGTCGAATACATGGCTCGGCTGCTTCTACGTCAGTACATCGTGAGCCATTCCGTGTACCCCTTATGGCACCTCATTTGCTAAGAGCCTTGCGCAGTCTCAGTATGCACCTCGGTCTTCCGCCGTTGATCAACTCCCCTTCCGATCTCGCGTCCGTTCGCGCAATTCTCAGCGAACACAGCATCCCAAGGGAATTCGCTCTTCAGATCAGGGTGCTTCTTATCATGGCAGGGTTTAGCAATGTTCTTGCGCATAACTCAAACGATGGGGTGGTCGACTCTTCTGTCACCCAGCTCCTTGATGGCGAGCTCGACACGCTTAAACTTACATATCCTGACGGGTGGACAAGCATGACTGATTACACGGTTATGGTCGTCAAAATGCACGTTTACACCATGGTTATAACAAGGTCCCGACCCGGTGCTAGTTCTAGGGACATACTCCTGAAATTAGGCCTAGCGACTTCTCTTCGCATTATTCACTTGGCCAATTTGCGGTTTCAGGAGACGCCGGATAAGTCCCAAACTATGACTACGATAGAACGCGAAAGGACTTTACCCAAGAACTACTTTAGGGCCCTTGCTTTCGCGACGATATTCCTTCTCAGATACTTCGGTCTGAACAATGGAAATAGTAGCGCCGAGGAACAACAACTGGCTGCGAACCATGTGATCATGTCACATACGATTTTTAAATCCGCAACGACTAAGCACCGAGATGAATATGACAGAGTTGCAAGTCTCTTCGAAACGCTTTGCAAGCAAGCACCTGCTCCTCCGGATACGAGCAAAACAAATGTTACCGGCAGAATGGGGATATCTATCTTACTGGATGGAATCGGTGCCGCTCGTGAAATGCGAGGCTTTCCTATTGAAATTCCGGAACCTGAGGCCTCAAGTACAACCGACAGCTTACCGGGACCTAGTAGTATCCCGCAAGCGGACATCTTTGACGCAAGTTCTCAGTTAGTGGAGCCATGGCAGTCAGATCTTGCCTTTGCGAACATGTTTTGGGGCGATCCTACGTGGGATGTTTATAACATGTCTGCGGATACTCCACAATATCATCCAAGTCAAGGGTTATAATGATGTGTCATTGTATATAGAGAATATAGAGAACATAAATCATGAGTACGTACATAGACAAGACAAGGCAATTATCAGTGGTCTCCACCAATTTTATGGCTTCCCCTTTTCTTAGCGCCCCACTAAATACCACCTTGAGACAATTTGCAATACTTCCGTCTGCACAACGTCCAGGACATGTGAGGTAATAGAAATTCGAAAGACAAAGCACGAAGTTCATAATGGTTAACTAAATTACAGATATAGACGTACAAAATACAAGATCCCCAATGCCCTCTACAACCCTAGACAAGGGTCGCGACTAATTCTTCTGGTAGCTTCAAATTTACCAGCGCAAGATGCTGCTGGGAACCGTGGACATCATTCTCCATGAAACTTCCCCCTGGTGTACGCTTACCGGCCCTGATGCGCGGGATCGTGGCCTTAAACGCTTGCGCCGGATCAAAGAATCCGCACCAGACGATGTCGCTCTCGGCCAAGTTATAAGCACTTGCTATTGTCTTTGTGGATAGCAGTCCTGACTCCTTTACTCTCATATACGTATCCCTGGATTCGAATATCAAGTCGAAGGTGATTTCGTACGGCCCTGCGTTCTTCGACCGAACTACTTTGGCAAGATCGCCGAGAGAGACGGGCTTCGTGCGCCCATTCGCCTTTGCACCGTTGCTTATGGAAGTGGTAACGGTCGCGTTATGTACACCATTCGACGTCGAGCCATTGGTATGTCCATTGGCAGTGGGTATGAGAAGCGTTTTCAAAGATCTATCTCCCTTGCCTATCATGGAGACAGATTGTGTGAACAATCGCTTTCGTTGCTTAGGGACGCCATTTCCGTTTACTTCTTTGTAGGTAGGAACTTCAAGGGCATCATCTAGTGACAAGCCCTCCTCGCCGTCTTCAAGGTCCATGAGATGGTACATGGAGAACTTTGAGCATGGTCCTAATTCGATAATATGCTTCCCGCCGATACCGAATGCAAAGTTTCCTGAAGTAGCCTTCTGTCCTGGATAGCTTCCGTGCTTCTAATAGTTAGCATCTGTGCCATGGCGGGTTATATATATCCCTGAAACTTACAATTACTGCAATTCTGGCGGTGGCCGCTATACTGGTTGCTAGTTCCTGAGATGGAGCTAACGCTTCGCCAATGATAAATATCTCTGGCGATGGCGTTGCAGACTCTTGCTTTCCATATACATGGAAGTCGAGCTCCCATTTCTCCGAAACCTGACTATGCTGATCAGCAGCATAGCCTTTCACGACATCGATTAGCGAGTCTAGCTCCTTGATCAGGATTGCTGCTTCAACATTAGCATTTACATTCATCGAGGTTAACAGAACTTATCAGGAAGCTTACGGTCTCGGAAGCTACCCATGAACATTGATCGGTAACCGATTATACTACCGGCCTCGAGCTTTACTTGATAAGGAAGACCACTCTCTTTCGAGAAATGGAAAACGCTCCCCTTTACTCTAATCGATCTCTGATCCGGAAGCTGTTCATAGGTGGCGGCGTTTAAGTCGAAGTACCCGCCCGGTCCATGAAGGATATCGGGTCGTGATTTCTCGTACATAGTGTGCGCGGCTACCGATACTGGCGTGCAACGGGCCGTTGGCGTCAAGGGTGATATGGTGAACCCTCCGTCTCTGAAGACCGTCGAGATAGCACCATGGGATTTCGGTTCGGCGCAAGTTCCTCCGCACTCTAGGATCTTTCCCATGTGCGTGAATCCGCCGAATTGACGTTTGACTTCGGGCGAACTCCAGTCGTTCAAGTTTATTCCGGATAAATACGAGCAGTAAGCAACGTAAGGCGCCGGGTCGTACGCTCGACCGCCGACGATAACGTCGAAATCAGGGTTCGCTTTCATCGCATCAATAAAGGGCTCTGGTCCCATTTGCGCGACAACGCGCGACGATGCTTCGATATCCTCTTCGGTCAACGGCGGGACGCAAGCGCCGCATCCGCTTACTGCACCTGCGTTCAAGCGCTCCCTGACGACCGCCTTGTCGATGTTGGAGAAGATGGCCACAGTTTTGAAAGAATACCCGTCATTTCCCTTCTCGGCTGCGATTTCTTCAACGACTTCCACTATCTCTCGGACGTGCTCATCAATCCCGTCTCCACCCGCAGAGCTGAAAATCAAGGGAACGTGAAACTGGTGGACGAGCTTGAGCAGCTTTCTCAGATCCCGGACATACGATGTCCGCGGGGAGCCCATCTTTCCCTGAGCAAGTCTGTCAGGTCCGCTGTCTGTCGAGCCAGAGTCTAGAATCATGGCTGTCGGTATGCCAGTTGCGACGTAGAATCTCAGTGCGGCAGTAGTCTCGTCCTCCTTGAGCCCATAGCCGAGCATGCCTACAGGGGTGATGATGTGACATAAAGGAGTTGACGAAGCGTCAGCGTCGCTGGTCGTACTGCTGATTGCAATAGGCATGTTGAAAATTTTATAGGATAGATCTGAAAGAATTATTTCTAATTATTTGTTGAGGTAAGATGGTAACCTTGGAAGTTGATTTGAAATGTTAAGAAAAGATCGGTGGGTCTCACTACTTATTGTTGTCATAAGGGGCGCGGCGTTGTTCGAGATGTCCGAGTTTCTGACCAATTTCCGCAGCGACGTCACCAATGGTAACCAACTGATAGATTAAAACATCCGAACCTCGCATTGCACACAGCCTCTCTGTACCATTCGCTTGGCTCGGCGACCGGACAGAGCCATGCTCTCCGTGCTATCCAGTTGAAAATATGCTGTGGCTGACCCAACCGAGATTCGCGTTTCGGCCGAAATTCGCTTTGAGGACCGCATTTCGCTCCATGACCTAATAACTCCAATAGTTAAACATCAGAACATGCAAGGGATACCTCATACTATATTTCTATTCCTATTCATTTAAGGGGACAGAGTCGCAGTTTAAATCCGAGGATAAGTACTTAACTTCATGCTTATTATACGTCGATATTTACCTCGTTCACCTTCAAAAGGCAATTATGGACCATACTACGTACCGTAGCAACTTAGAATCTTGCCTGTTAGTGCCATTTTTGATGTAAGGGGATGGTTAGTTATTTTTGTAGGCACCTACATAATTCAGCAGCGGGGCTGAGGGTTAGGGTTTGACCCTAACCCTACCCCCAACTTAGCCTCAAAAGAATTTGACATTGTGGAATGAACGGTGTCACAACAGGGACAAAGACTTGCGGGTGGAAGCTATCACCTGCCAATTGAGCCAGACAACCACCAAAAGACGAGAATCGCAAGTCGGACAGCCTCGCGATATTACAGATGATAAGGCTGATCCGTAACAAACGGTGAAATATCAATTAACAATAGAAATTAAATTACGTGAAATTGGAATGTTTTTATGAGGAGCAAGGCTAGAAGTATTGGATATGGATGTAAAAAAGGTGGTAGCTTAGTCATATACATCACCGGATCGGTAAAATAGTGTTTTTGCAAGTGTTTAGTAGGTGGTGGTATACCGTAGGATATAGCTAGGTATGTGATTTTCACAGGGTGAAAAATAAAGTAACGGAGTTCGCTGTTAGGATAGGTACGTATATGAAATTATAATCAAGGTTATTACCTAGGTACCTGGTATCACCTCGTTCATCTTCTTAGGGGGGAACTAGTAGAAAAGGCTTTATATACCTATACCTACATATTTATAATTAGCCTTCACTCTTTATAACCAACTACCTATTTCTGAATACAACTACCCGCAAGCCTCTTGTAACTATCTCTCACTCAAGACCAAGCTAATAACTAAGGGCCCCACTCCATCACAACCCCCCTAGCTAGTAGTCAAGCAGGCACTAAAGAGTAGAGCCTTACTAACATATCTAGCACAAGGCAAGATCGGTATCGAACCATGTACGTTCCATACCATTGGCTTCTTGATGTACACAAAGTCTAGCTTACTATCAGGGGTCACAGCACGTGGCGACCTAAGCGCGCTCAACAAGGGTGCTTCTTGGCCAATATATAAAGGGTGCCTTCTGACCTCTAAGTGTAGAATGGTATCTCATTCTGTGCCACGACTACATAAATATCGATGATGTCGTGGTGGATCAGAACTTAAGACCGTATGTTAGAAGCCTATGATGTTTGATTTCGGGAAATGGTTCCCGCGTTGCCCCATTGCTACTTGCGAATACAATTACGACGTATGAATTGGGATTGCCGGATGGCCTGATGGATGGAACATGCAATCGAACATAAATGGTGCCACTGTAAGCAGCTTTGGAATTTGAGAAGTGGTGACCTCAACAGACCGACCGTCACGACATAGATAAGCCGCCCGAGTCGCAGGTCCAGCGCAATAGAAACTACAGCCAGAGGATATTAATTCCACGGTCCTCACCCTTCGTAACCTATTTTTCGGCCCATGTAACCAACATGATGGTATTCAAGATGGTTCTCCAGTCGTCATGGGTACCTATGATAGGGGTAACCACATGGAAGTACGTCATGCACTACAACCCAGAAGACCCCGAATAATTTGACGAAACCCGATTTTTAAGATCTAATGGTATATTCTTCTAGTATCGATCGGTCCCCTTTTATCATGTGGATTACTCCATAGCAGCCCCTGCTGTCATGCTCTTTATAGGCCATAAACTGCCTTATAGCATATGCCACTGCAATTCCGAAGCAGAATGGCTACAAGACTAGGTATCCCGTATGGACCATCCCGAAGTTGAAGTACCAGGTGACAAGGTTACTTCTAGTCCATTAGACCAAGGCACAGAAAAGACCGTTGAACAAGCAATTTCCTTCAAAATCTCGCCGCAAAATTCAAAAAGCCGAATATTATGTTAAGCAACTCTGGCATCTGGAGTATAAAGCGACAGCTTCTTGATGTAGAGCGATGTGCTTGAAGGTAGGATTGCCAGCCTTCGTTCCTTTGGACAGTTGGTTGACGAGTTTCGATAACGACCATCATAAGGTATCTCCGTCTAGATAACCTTGTGCTCGTTTACCTATAATCCATGACAAAGCTGCCGCTTGTGACGGCCTTTTGACTCTATCAGCTCGGTATTGTTATGTCATTGGCGAGAACATAGAAGACCTATCATAGAGCTGTTTATAGAGAGAGCATGGCCAAGCCAAAACCCTTGCTGGGACTGGGCCCTGACCCTAACTCTACTCACGTCGTCTTACAAGTTTCTCGGGGTAGATCTCTTCCGATAAAAGAGGCGACGTGTCGAGAGTCTTCAACAGTAGTGGAACGGAATGGTAAAGAAAACACCCCATGATTCTCAGAAATTTAAGGCGTGGCTTACTGGTTCTGCAGATGACGCACTGTCTTCTCGTCAAGATATGGACAACGTGACTCTATCTGAAAAAGCATTGAGAGACGGCAACTGTCTCATCATGGAGGAATTATGGAAGACCTTCATTCTTTGGCGGTATGGCTGATTTAGGGGACTCGAACAGGATTTCTTACAGAAATTCGATGTTTTCTCGCCACCTATGGTGAGTAAAGGCCGATACATTTGCCATGGCATCAAAGCGCAGGCCTAATATCTATCGCAGTTGGCGTTGCAGCCGACCATCCACGTCTTTTTGTTCTTTCTTTACCCCAAGCATTGCCCTCGATTTTACCCTCTTTCCTTAGGTAATTAATGGCATGCTTACTAAGAAATTAAGAACTTGAACATATTCTGGCATTTCCCGTAGAAAAGGGGCAGGACGGAGCGTCGTACCGATCCGTGCAGGTCGATTTCCCAATCCGCGTCATACCAGACCTTGATTATATTCGTCCTCGTGATGGCGAAAAACTGATCGGCGCTTGGATGCATGCGCTCCAGAACCTATTATCCTTCAATGCTGTTCTTCGCCCGAGACCTAGTCAATCCGGTGACCAACGCGGACAGGGAGAAGGCTTTTCAACACGTTTTATCGGTGTACCCAGCTTAGACATCTTCGAAAAGCAGGACCAAAAATACGAGGACGAGGTCATACTTAGGAATAGCAGACCGGTGGTTAGTGCGAGGTGCGTCTCGGACGGTATTTCCAATAGGTGACCCACAATCCAGGGGCTCAGGGGGGATGACTGAGGTCGAGTTCGGGACGCAATTTCCGAACGAAAGGAATTCTCGGCGTCCTTCCCCACCTTCCGTGGTAGGTAACAAATGCTGAATGCGTCCCCAAGTTCTCCGCATTACGTCGATTTGGGGAACAAGCTGGGCACTAATCAGAACGGACCCCAGCAATTATTGCGATCTCGGACTCGGCAAAAACCGGTCGGAAATGTGGGGTAATGTACTAAGCTGGCTGACTGGGCCGTGGGGAAAAGTACCCCGCGGTGCGCGGAAGGTGAAGATCGAATTACGTAAGGAAGGGTTTGGGGAAAGTCTTCCTGTTTTGTGGAACTTGGAAAAAACCACCACATTTTCCCCATAAATTGATTTCGCTTTAAAGCTTTCCAATGCAGCCTTTTTGTTAGGTTGGGTGTTAGTTAATTAGTCGAGTTGCCTGGTGTTCAATGTCTATTGAGTATAACATGCCCTAAAAAGGTGGAGTCTAGCCTGCGCCGTATCCAATATCTATATCCTCAGCCGCGCTCCGTAACATGTACGACACACATCTGGCGGCATCGTTGACGTTCAAATCTACGAAAGCCATTGCTGCACCGGTGTGCGTCATCATCTAGATTGTTAGCAAGTTTAACAGTGTTTCGGTCTGTCCTCCTGTTTGAAGATGGGAGCCGCCTCCGTATCTGGTCGTCGACACGTCACGACCGCGTGCAACCCTTGCCGCGATGACAAGATCAAAGTACGGTGCACCTACTTTCCCCCATCGAGTTTGTTAGGCTGACTTCAACATCAAGTGCGACGGGAAAAGCCCATCGTGCAGCCAGTGCACCGACAAGAAACGCCAGTGTGCGTATAACACCAGGACGGACAGGCGAAAGTGAGTGAATCTATGCTCTAGCGCCGTCTTCACGCGTTTATACGTCCCACCAAACAGGGCTCATTTTACACGTTAGGATTTCACTACGGAAGTCAATCGAGACCTTCTCTCGTCGGCTGAGACAACTCGAGGCCGTTCTAGTCTCGCATGGGATCGGGCTTCCGCAGATTCCCAACGAAGATGACGCTTCTATGATAGACTCACTCATGGACATGTATGCGCCTACTCCAGAGCCTCTAACTCCTCCGTCGCCAATCGCAGTTGTGAGCTCTGAATCGCCGGACCAAGCCATGCCCATGCCACCCCCGGATCCTGAACCGTGTATCGTGGCGAATCCGTGTATGGATGCTACGGAACAGCCAAGTATCCCTGGCAGTACTCTGTTCCAATTCAACTCCGCCATTGACGAAGACTGGGTCTGGAACGTGGGTGCCTATTCATCATATCCCGCCTTGGACCTCGGCGGCTTCACTCCCATTACTCCCATGGGAAGCGACACGGTTATTGAACGCGCCGCGGCACATCCTACAATCTCCCACGGCACACTCTCGCCGACCTTGATTAACGATGAAGACTCGTCGGATGATGACGACTGCCCCGAAGTGACGAGTCAGTTTTCCTCCCGGCTTGGAACTCTCTTAAGTACAGATACCGGCGAGCGCCGATTCTACGGCGCAACCTCTAACATGCATTTCATGCAGGGAAGGCGCGCTATGAAGCATTCACTAGCATCTCAGGCGCGGGAGCCACAGATTCAGGCCAAACTGGAGAACGCCGGTGTCGGTCAGAAGGTGCCAGTTGAGCTCACTCGACATCTGACCGATCTCTACTTTACCTGGCAGAATCCCAGCCTGTATGTCGTGGATAGGCGGGAGTTTGAAAAAGCGCGAGATGCTTATGTCCTTTACAAGCGGGAGAATACATTCTACTCGGAAGTCTTAGTCAACGCCTTGTAAGCTGCTTGCTATCAGCGCCAGCAGTATATTTTAAGCTGACTTGGAGCAGGTGCGCCGTAGGGGCAGCATTCAACAATAACCGGTATCCCGGATTGCCGTTTTCTTTGAGTGAGTTCTTCGCCAAGCGGACAAGGGCACTTATAGATATGGAGTTGGACACGCCGCGGATAGCTACGATCCAGGGCCTCGCAGTACTAAGCATCCACGAAGCTTCCGCTACGAGAGATACCCGCGGCTGGCTCCTTAGCGGTACGATATTCTATCCTAGCCCTTGTTCGTAGATAAAGTGCTAAACTCATCTCCTTAGGAATGGCAATAAGGCTTGCTTTTGACCTAGGACTTCACCTAAACACGAAACAATATGTCCAGGATGGGACTATGACAGCAGAAGAAGCGCGGGCACGAAGCGTCACTTTCTGGGGTCTCATTGCCACTGACAGGTACGTATTTGGTCATTTTGTTCCGGATACCTCCATCTCAACATAATACTAATAATCAAACATAATAGAATGTGGGGAATATATCTCGGCCGGCCGTTTCACAATACCCTCGAGACTGTCAGCGTTGAAATGCCTACGTACCCGCAATTAGGACATAAGGCGACTCTGTGGACGGCATATGGTGCATATAGCGACCATTCAAAAGGCCTTATTCTTCCCGATCCAAGTCATGTTCTATCGGAGAAGTGGCAGGCATTGTATGAGATTATGTCTCCTTTGGAACTAAGCCTGTAAGCCCTCCCCAATCCAATCGAGATAGTAGAAATTAATGAAATATCCAGGTATTTTAAAGCAGATATTACTAACAAAGTAGAACTGGTGACATTCTCTCAGCATACCTATGAACGGCTTTTAGCATGGAAAGCCGAGCTGCCAAGAGAACTAGCCATTGACATGGACAATTTAGAGACGACAAGTTATCTCCCCCATGTCCTCATGTTGCAGTAGGTAACTCCCTTGGTATTTATGTGCGCTCTAGTTCAGACCTTTGACTTCTCAGCAGTATGCAATACGCCTTATTCATAATCACCCTTCACCGGCCATGGGTAGCCAAAAATTATATCCAGCCGACTCCTCTCTTCGGCTCGGGACCTCGCCATGCGCGTGAGATGTGTCTTCGCTCTGCCGTCGACATAGCGAATCTTATCCGCGCCTTTGACCGGCAATATTCCCTCCAAAGAGCAAACATGCTTCTTGTACATATAGCATTCACCGCCGCCTTAATACTCCTCTACGCAACCGTGTCTGAAAAGGATTTCGACTGTCAACGCGAGCTGTCTACCCAATTAGATATGTGCTGTCAAGCGCTAGCAGAACTTGGGAATTCGTTTGAAAACGCAGCAAGAACACTTGATATCCTTCTATCCGTCAAGAGAATGTGGCAGGCAAGCCTAGTCTCGGGAATGCAAACCAAGCGCCCACAACCTCGAGAATGGTTCCCGATCAATCCTTCTAGCAAAAGATTGAGGATATCCGAGCATTGTGTGTGATTCAAAAGGGTCAGCTCTGTTAAGCGGACGCCTTGTGATATACACGATACTACGACTACTACATATCGCGTCGTATAGCCTATCAAAATATTCCATTACAGTTGAATTTCGATAACTACCTCGATGACAAGGGCTTCAGCATCATCATCTGGCCTGGTAACCATGCCAAGGTCCTGGGTGGCTGGTTGAGGGCTTGTTATATGCGTGATTAATATACAAACGTCTAGCAGAGTGGCTTCTAGCTTGAGCGCGTTTATGGTCTGTAACCTACGCGGGTAGCGATTGGCACATCGCCAATGCCAATTAGAGAAACTTCACCGCAGAGCGGCGATTTACAGAGGCAACGTTTAAATGGGCACACCCATGCCGACGAGTAGGGCCTTGCCTCCGGCGCATGTGGTCTCCGATATGCGAGAGATGTAGACCCACTAGGGCGAATCCGAATCTTGAAAACATTTATCGACGCGCATACACACGACTCTGCGTTGTGAGCTCGGATATTATGTGGAACATGCTACCATGACTTTGTCCAGCCAACGCGGTTGTATCTTCCTTTTCGAGTACCAAGCCAGCCTATCGACGTCTCCTTGCGAATCTCCAATGGGTCGTGTCAGCAAACTTGTTCTCCATTGCAAGGTCCAGATAGCCCTACGCTACGTCGGCCATACCGATTTCCTCATAATCGGCAGCTTAGCTAAAGACTCACAGAGCAGCCCAGCGGCGCCTCTGCCAAGGCGATTATTTCCTAGCTTAGCCTCGGCTTTGTTCACGTCAATCCTTACAATCCTCACATAGCATGCCCACCACGAGTCCTCTTACGCCCGGACTAACGACAATGATAATCCCAGCTACCTCTTGACCCGGTGAAAGCGCGGCTCCCGTACTTGGAGGTCTCCGTTATGGTAAAATGTGTAGCAGTGCACATCAAACCCGCATACTGTGGTGTCCCCGACCCCAGTCTACCCCTCCAGTGCTTGGTGGTTCCAGTTCCCGGGAGATCTAATATTTGGGACTTTGTTGGCTGGTACAAGGGTCGCGGTCGAGGCTAGACTTCATTGATCGCAGATCTCTGGGCCGTAGAGCACCTGAGCCTGAGCCTCACATGAACCAGCGGGTTTCGATTCCACATGCGACCGTGTGGCCCAAGCGGACCACTGAACAAGGCAAATATCGCCGACACGCACCCCAACATGAACTGCAGTGACAATTTTGAGTAACATTTTCCTATATTTGCATTTTTGAATAATGTTACGTCGATATTGTCGAACCGATTCTCACGATCGAAACCAGTCAACGGATGATGAGCCCTGCAACTCAAGACTCGACCAACCATAATTTCGCACCGGGTTCTGGTTCCCGACTCCGCATCCCAACCACACAGATTCAGTTGGAGCTGCAAATGGGATTCTAGCTGCTCAGAATGGATGTATTTCTAAAGCCCGCTGAAGGTTCAAAGACAGCAGACGTGCATTGAAGTCGCAAATTTGTGTTCCTACATAGGCTTATATATCTTGGTCTTATGTTCACTCGCAGGAGGTGAGCTCACATCTTTACTGAGACTACAAAGTATACCGTGAGGAGCAGATTATTCCCCCGCAAAAACGCCTATATCATATGCGAAGATGGACCCTGTCGCAATCATCATCGGGGCGGGACCCTCGGGCATCGCCATGGCTCATAAGCTTAAGCACACATTAGGGTATGAGAACTTCACAATCTACGAGAAGCTCGATGGTGTGGGTGGAACGTGGAGGTTGAATAATTACCCAGGCTGGTCAGTTACTTAGAAACATCCCCCACGATCCCCACTTTCACAGGGGTACTCACAGCGTGCAGCGGATGCGATGTTCCCTCGCACCTATATTCCTTCAGTTTCAACCTAAACCCCAATTGGTCCCGAGAGCTTTGCGAACAAGCGGAGATTCTACAGTACATCGAAGATACGGTCGATAAATTCGACCTACGACAATTCATCCAAACCTCAATCGAGTGTGTCGGTGCTAGATGGAACAAGGACCGCGATGAGTGGGAAGTACGGCTCAAGGACCTGAAAACGGGCATAGAGTTCGTCCGACGTGCTAATATTTTCGTATCCGCTGTCGGTGGAATCTCGTTTCCCAGAGATGTTAGTTGTCCTTTCGTCTATATGAAACGCTTAGAGACTAACAACGTATAGGTCCATTTCGAAGGCATGGAGGACTTCAAGGGACCTATGTTTCATACGGCCCGATGGGATCATTCGGTGAAGTACGAAGGAAAGAGAATGGTAAACTCCCCCTTATAAATACCTGAAGTTGAAGCTCGTTGTTCTAAATATCTCAGGCTGTTATCGGAAATGGGTGTAGCGCTGCACAAGTCGTTCCCTCTGTGGCGGATCACGTATCACTCGTCAAGCAGTATGCTCGAAGCCCCCAGTGGTATCATGACAGACCAAATCACATTTTCACTGAGGGGGAGAAGATGGCTTTCCGCTACATACCCTTTATTATTCAACTTCGTCGTCTTTTGACATTCCTCGAGATCGATTTTGAATCGTACATATACCGGCCGACACCAAAGGGAATCAAAGCTCGACTCCAGAAGGAGGAGGAAGCTCGGCAGTATATCTACAAGACAGCGCCCAAGAAATACCACGAGATACTCCCGCCCAAGTTTGAATTAGGATGTAAGCGCCGAATTGCGGATCCACAATACCTGGAGTGTTTGCACAAGCCCACAGTCGAACTTGTCCCCGAAGGTATTGAAAGGATCACCGAAGACGGCATAGTCAGCTTGAGCGGCAAGTTTGACAAGTTCGACATCATCGTCCTAGCCACCGGATTCAAGGTGTCACAGTTCCTGACTCCGATGGAGATCATCGGCGTCGATGGTAAAACCCTCGATCAGCAATGGAAGGAGTCTCGAGGCGCACAGGCGTATCTTGGAACATTCGTCCATAATTTTCCGAACATGGCTATCATGTGGGTTATCCCATTTATGTTATTTCTCTCCTGTCTTCCGAAGAGAATCAGCAGCTAATGAGCGTCACTCGGCAGTTTTGGCCCCAACACCTTTCCTGCGAACAACTCCGCTCTTTTCGCCTGCGAGGTACAGGTCGATTACGCAGCCAAGGCGCTCTTCGCACCCCTGATCGACAAGCGGGCCAGAGTCATCGAGGTCCAAGAAAACGTCGAAAACCGCACCTCTAACGTGATCCAAGCACGGCTCCGGAACAGCGTGTTCCAGGGCAACTGCTCTAACTGGTATCTAAGCGAATTCGGGCGTAACGCCGCCTCCTGGCCTGATACCGCCGCATCGTTTTGGGCAGCTACCTACTTCCCTAAATGGAAGAATTTCAATATGTCGGGCGGTAGCCATTTCTGGTTCATCAATTCGTTGCTGCGCAGAGTGCACACCTCGTCTCTCTTCACGAAGACTCTGGTCCTTGCCTTGCTGGCTGTCGGATTAAGACCCCTATTTTCGCGGACCCTAAACACTGGAAACTTTCCGGGAACGACTGATGTGGTGAAGAACTTCACTAGAAACTTGACTTCATGGAAGCATGTCTGAGATATGAGCGGAGCGAATTGAAAGGGGGCAATTTCCTGTGCATAATAAAATTGGCCATCAAGCATGTGAGAAATAAAACACCTATATAGGAACTGATATCACTTCTCTGTCATTCGCTACCGCGTTTCTATTTCAATCAACCATATCAGTCATGCATCATTATTAGATCCTTGCCGAGGGTAAAAAAAGGGGGGAATGTAGGTACGTAATTCATACTGTATTATCCTCCAACTAAAGTCCAGGTCCTTCACTAAATCTTGGTGGACAAGCGCCATACTCCAAGCTAACCAGCCGCTAAGACAATCGTCCCTGCACAGTACATAAGATCTCCAGCTATTATCGGCTTACACCTTCATAACCCCTACGTAAGTAAATGTACTGAGAAAGCGTCCCTATGTCTGCTAAAGATAGTCGATGCTCTATAGGAATGTCACAATACGCAAGTTAAGAGAATAACCGTTAATACAACGATGGTATTGTTTATGTCTACCTAGGCACATAGGAACTTGTGGTGACATTCGAACCTGCGTGTCACAACGGAACAACGCCCTCCCTCAACCAGAAATATGGTTAAGTAGGTAGATAGTTACCTACTACCTAGGCAGGTATCTATCCAGCCGATAGTCCAACTCGGTGCTACTACACGTTGCATACACTAACGTGCTCGGCGGCCGCTTCCTTACTACTAGATTTTTCGATATCATGGTGATCGTCGTCGACAACTTTCGAGAACTTCTGTTCGAATCTGGTATCGATCTCTTCCAGACTCAAATTTGCGGTTTCCAGATAAAACATCAATACCACAGGTACAAAAACAGCGTTCAAAACGGCGAAGATGATATAGTACCTCCACCCCAGATTCGCCGTTCCGACAGGCGTGATGAGAACAACGACGTAGTTATTAATCCAGTTCGCCGCCGTGGCAACGCCAGAGCCGGCGATACGCATACGCTGTGTGTTAACTTCGGCTGGATACATCCAAGGGACAGCAATCCACGACAAGCCGAACACCGTAATGTAGCCGAAGATAAACGAAATCGCCACAATATCCCACTGATTTCCACCCATGGCAAGGCCAACGGTAACGAAAACAAAGCACAATGACTGTCCAGCAGCGCCCAAAGCCATGAGCCGCTTCCTTCCGAAAGTGTCAATGTACAAGGCACCAACACAAGCGGAAAACATGAGGTTCATGGCGTTGCATGCCGCGAGAATAAGAGAAAGATTGCGGCTTAGGCCGATAGAGGCAAATACTACCGGAAAGTAGTATAAGACGGCGTTGATGCCAGACCATTGCTGCATTAATTGCGTGCCGGCTCCAAGAATCAGACGACGGGTGGTTTGTATGCTGTCATTGGTGAAAAGGCTCCTGACGGTGATCTTGCCTAGCGACATCTCATGGCGGACGCTTTGTTGAATCTCTTGGAATGACTCCCGAGTCTCTTGTTCTGATTGGGGCCCAGCCAGTCTTCGCATGATCTCGTAAGCTTCTTCATTTCGATCCTTGATTACAAGCCAACGTGGCGAATCCGGGAGCCATGGGATGGGGATTATGACTAAGATTGCGAAAAAGCATTGGAAGGCAAGAGGGAATCGCCAGGAGGCTTCACTTCCAGCAATGAAGGTCATTCCGTAGTTGATCCACTGGGACATAACATTCCCAACTTGATTCACTACCAACTGAAGGACCATGATCCGCCCACGATACCCAGCAGGTGTCGTTTCCGATTGCCAGACCGGGATTGATGCTGTAATCATGCCATTACCGAAGCCAGCAATTAATCGCCCGAGGATCAACTGAGCCACGCTGTACGCTGCTGACTGCAGGATCGCGCCCACGATGAGGATGATACAGCCAAATAAGATGTTTCGTCGACTGCCAATTTTGTTCCCCCACCACATAGTGAGCATGGCGGTTATAAAACACCCAAGGTCGAAGGTAGCTGTGATGTGGCCTTGAAGGATAGCATCAGGGTTGTCGAATACACGAATGAATGATTCGTTGCCGAGCAGACCGCCGAATACTCCCTGATCGTACCCGAACAGCGCAAAGCCACACCCCGAGCAAAAGGTGATCCACCTTATTAAGGCGTTGCCTTCAGTTTTCTCGAGCCACATGATGTTAAATCACAAAACACATATGTAGGTATATTATCAGATAAAGGTGTCGATCTGTGGATTATCAAATAAATACATTGATATTTATACCTAACAATGACACGATCAAATTACTGGTGAGATATTCCCTAATCACTACAACGGAGACCTGGCATCGACACCAGGAAAATGGATTCCGCAGCTTCAAGGACTCAGATATCAAACATGTGTATGCTAGCTACCTAATGCGGTCAAACTGGGGTTAAGGTCTGGGGTAAATCTGGAGCCAGAATCTGGGGTCTGGGGTCAGAATATGGGGTGAAAGCAAGGTCCCACAGAATGTATGTGCATAACATGATAACATCTACCCTTAGAGGCCCACTGATAACATGGACTCTTTTACATGCCTCTAAGGGTTCTCAAAGTTCTACCTACATAAATCATTATAGACAATTTATAAAAACCCCCCTTTCGTGAAAAGGGGTTGCAAGTTTTGTCACCTTGGATGCGAAGGATGGCTATAAGAGCAGTATTAGTCAATACATCTGATTTAATTTCTGATAGACCTGAGAACCAGGTCAATTCTACTGAGGGCTTTTGAGATCTTATTTCTATCTGCCTATCCAGATATTGTAGGTCTCCTAATAGTGACATCGCCGTAGTGACATCGACGAAACAAGAGTTCTTCGCATAACCATGATATGATTGGCGTTGGGGAAACTGCTGGATTCGGCATCTGGTTTCCGACACAACATTGAATAAACGTCGACACGATGTCCAGTAGATCTTCCCCACAAGAATTACTGTTCTTAGGCATGAAATACGAAAGAGACGTTGCCGATTTTCTCCTTGTGGTAACTTTCTCCTTGTGGTAAACCTGAGCTCGTGATCCGTCATCAATCATAGATCTATTTTCTGATTACCAATCTTCCACATGGCCCGCCTTCTCGATGGGAAAGTCGTTATGTAAGAAAACGTCCCTCAGCTTTCTCCTATCAAGCCTCCTCCAGTACTTATGCTAATTCGATTAGCATTACAGGCTGTAGTACCGGGATAGGGCGAGCTACCGCGATCGAATGTGCCCGTCATGGTGCAAAACTCGTCCTGCACCACATCGGAGACGCACAAGCGAAATTAGACATATTCGATCTCAAAAAAGACATTGAAGCATTCGAAAAGGGATCTAAAGAGGTGAGAGCGATCGATATTGCTACAAATATCACAGACGATGGAGCCGGGAAACGGTAGGCATCTTACCCCTAACTGCCATGCATTGTAGGCGAAATCCTGACCTTGCTAGCCTTGTTGATGCGGCCGTGTCGGCATTTGGGGAAGTCAATGGTCTTGTCAACAACGCCGGTATCTGTCAGTTTACAGATTTCGACGCGGTGACCAAAGACCAAGCCGAGAAGCATATGGCCGTCAATTATCATGGCACCTTCGGGATAACCCAAGCTGTCGTCCGACAGATGATCCGCCAAGGTAAAGGAGGCTCTATCGTCTCCATTGCCTCGGTTTGCGCAACCGTAGGCTCTGCACAACTAGCCCATTACTCGGCCACTAAGGCCGCAGTTTTGGGTATGACCGTCAGCTGCGCAGTCGCGATGGGTCGTCATGGCATACGGTTCAATGCCGTAAGCCCTGGCACCGTCGAGACAGGCATGAATAAAGGAGATCTCGTGGGGTCGAAGAGGGAATGGATGGAATCTAGGGTACCACTTGGAAGGCTAGGGGTACCGCAGGATATTGCAAAGCCGGTCGTCTTCTTCATCAGCGATATGGCGGAGTATGTTTCGGGGCAGAACCTTATTGTGGATGGTGCTTCAACTGTTTATTACCAATGAATACGAATACCCATTAATCATTGGTGATAGTAGGTATCTACCTGAGAGTAACCCCTTTAGTGATCTTATGATAGGTGCTACGAGAGGTAGGTAGCTAGAGAAAAGTAGAACTATACCTGATGTTTCCACGACCACGGTGTGTTTCATGTCTTATCCAATCATATAAAGTACTCGTGTCATTTTACCGAAAATTTTTTTTTTTTTTCATCCTTTGACAACTCCTACCCAGCGACAGCCCGTTGATGCTTTAATGGAAAAAGGGGGAGGGTGCCAAGACCAGTTTGCAGGACGAGACTTTCGTCCTGAACGGATGATAATTCACCTACTACCGCATATGGCTTACTTAATTTCTCCTTGTTTGCTTAGTAGGCTGAATGGTCTCGCAATTTTTAATCGAATGCTAGTAGGTATTTAGAGAACCAGGTTATCGGGCGGCTCCTTCATATTGATTAGATCAGCGAAGTCACTGTCATCCGATCTGCGACAGAGGCCGTACAGTCAAGGCAACATCATAGAATCCAACTAATAAAGGGAGTATTTCAAGACTGAAAACGATCAGTATTAGAAGAGAATTGAGCACATAAAGAAACTAAGGGAGTTGATCGGTCTGTAACAGAGGATTCGGAGTGGATGAGGTCATCGCGGGCTCTTGTAAGGGAATCCTAATTTTGAGGTAGAGCCAATCAAAGACGCCGAGTCTAGACCTAAGCCACACTGCCTGTCACATCCTCTTAAGACTGTGGCTTATTTATTGCCTCACACCAGAGATAAGGATAATTATACAAGGATCCACGCAGTCAACTGCTTTTACAGCAGCTCAATAGATCGTTTTATTATACTGGCGGCTCTGGAGTAGAATCTATGTAAACCTTCACTCCGAGCCCCCAATGCAGTTAACGGCGACGGATCTCTTATTTGCCTCTCTACCATGGATACTCGACCTTACATGGAATATTACTAGAGTCATGGTCAGACTTCCAAGAATTAAGACGGTCATAATTATCCTAAGTAATCCTTGAAGACCGAACCTGCGGTGGTCGCTATAACCATGACAATCATATTGCAATATAACTTGTTATGTCATGTATAGATGACTTCTAGCTCGAGTGCAGATTATCTACCTAGGTATATTGGAAGCCTATCGATTAAGTGTGAATAATGTAAACGATTATTGCTCAATGGCAAGAATTTAGATACGACAGAGGATCATAAATAATACTCATCCCCTTTTCCCAGATTGACTTCATGATAATGAGATAATTAGATATTTAAGTACTGCGTAGATGAGTATTACGGGAAAATTGAGGGGAAGAGGATACAAATTGTTGATTGATGTCTACTGAGTGCTCAGAAACACAAGAATATTTAATGCCGATCTAGATGTAGCACACAGAGACTCATGTGGTCTTCTCTCTAAATTCTCTCTAAATTCAAACTTGAGAGCCGACGGATAGATGTGTACCGGATCAATTCTAGATAGACTGACTTTAGCGTTTGGGCTGGGACGTGATTAAGACCCTCGAAGTAAGGGATAGGAATAAACTTATAGACTTCGCGCGAAGAGTCGTAGGTTTCACATCAATAAACGCGAGTGAAAATGTTCCAAACTTATATAGTAGATCAGTTCCTGTGACTGCACATGCTCATGCTTCTAGTGGTTACTATTAATCCACATATCTATATCTAGCGATGCCACCCGTTGAACTATGCCCCTATTAGCTACCTGGCCTGAGTGGTCAAGATCTGACTTGAGCTTAGTAGGGAGGAATAAGTGGCAAGTCATTGGCGCGGAAGCTAGAGGTAGTCAAATCTTTCAAACTTAGATACGATGGCTTTGACATTCTGGCGTGCCCTAGCGTTGAGTAGTTCAGACCATAGTCGGTACCATCCTGATTGCACATGTAATCAGGATCCGGGTCTTCACTGTCCGAGCTCATCTTCCTCAGGTACTTCCTCTCCTGCCTCAATAGCCTTCTGCCGCTTTTTCGCTTGGCGGTCTTTCTTCTTCTCCAACAACTTGCTCAATGTCTTCGCAGTATTAAACACGCCTCCCGTACCCGCGCCGCAGTTGGCGCAACTGGGATCCTTCCTATACCTCTGCAGCGCGCACGGCAGGCAGAAGTAGTGCTGGCACCTCGTCACGATGGGTTCCTTGTACGGGCCCTTGCATATAATACACGCGAACGGGATCTTCTCCAGCAAAGCCTCCTCGGTCGCGTCGAAGCCGTCGTCGTCGGCGTTGGCGCCGCGGCCGGCTACCGCCTTCCCGCCTATGTTCTTCTTCCCTTTGGTCACGTTCTCCCACTCCCTGTCCAGCTGCCAGCCTTGCTTGTAGTCCTCGCGGGCGTGCAGGAACTTGCAGTTGTCTCCGAAACCGCAGAAGCCGGTCTGCTTGTAGTCTTTGCACACGTCGGGCGCGAAGTCGGTGACTGTGATGGTTCGGATGTTGGTGGCTGCTTTTATGGGACCTACTGTCCGGTTGGGCGCGTCCGGATTTCTCTGTATGAACTTGGTCTGGTTGGCCAGACCTTTGTAGGTCCCGTCTGGTTGTGCCGGAGCTCCTCCCGCGTCTTTGGACTTGGGGAGGGGTCGCGTCTTGCCTAAGAGGTTCGCGTCTTCGTCGAACCAATTCGTCTGCTTTGTAGCATCATTTGTGCTTGTGATAGGAACGCTGCGGTCGGCTTCGAATACAGTGGCGCCGAGATTTTGGTCGGCGTGTGTTATGTTGTTCTTAGATGAAGCCGTCACCACTGCCGTGTTCTTCTTGCGCCGCTTTACTCGTTGGCCTGCTTCGTCTTCGGATGAAGTGTAGTCATCGTCGCTGTCGCTATTAGCTGGCGGCGGCGTTGCTGGTCGTTTTCTGATATTCGCCTTCCCCTTTGCGCCTCGTTTCTTGAAGATGGCGACTGGGGCGATGGGAGCATCGGATGCTGCTGGGCCGTTGGAACTATTTTCATCTGCCATCGTGTGGGAACAGATGGGATGTTTAATTAATTCCTTTCCGGGTTGGATGCCCTTTGTTAAGTCAAGGGTGAATAATATCGGCGAAATAAGTTTGCGTCATGAAGCTTGGAACATCGAAATGTTGCCAATGGAAAAGTTCTAGAAATTATATTGCATAAGTGATATATTACTAAGGAACCTAGATATTTGGCGCTGAAGAATAGCAAACGGGATTTCATTGGTTGGCGTCTTTGCATCTGCTAGACCTTATTTGTATTAGCTTCGGGATCGGTACAGTGCGACCATGGTGCACCCAATTATTGTTCTTTCAATCCTCAGCCTTCTAGTTGTCTCGCCTGTCTCGCCTAGCGGGAGTTAAATCAGCAGGGAAACAGGGAACCCCTCAGCTCTAAAATTGGGTTTATGCGTAACAGCGCGTACTGAGGTAACATTGATGTGCATTTCTTGTGGTCCAATGGCTTACCGCCTTTGCTTGTGAAGTAAACAAACGCTGTTTTCGTAATAAGCTTCATCGTATCGCTTACTTGCTTTTGCAAATCTGTATCAATCTCGTAGCTCCAGAAAATAAGAAACTTCCAACGATGAAGGGAGGTAAAATGCATACATGCAGATGTCTTATTTCTTTAAATAGTGAGTGGGTAGGTTTATATGTCTAAGGTGAATCAGGGTCAATAATATTCAGGTATTATTGACTTATCGATGTCTGCTTATAAGTGTCGGCCGCACTGTACCTTCTCACGTAAAAGCTAGTGGCGGACCACGTGCCAATACGCGTAGGTTAGACTTTGCGCACCGTCTTCGGGATATTACATGATCCCTACCTAGTTGCTAGGAAGGCCTGGGACGAACCCAATACGCAAAAACCATCCTTGACGTAGCTCAGTCTGCACCCACACTTCGTCACCGCAAACCTCCATGCGCGGTGTTGCAATTGTTTAATACAGATTTACCGTCCTGCTGTCTTCGACATTGTCAACATCTCTTCCGTCCTTTTTTACCCTTATCCCTATCCTCCCCCTCTCTCTTGTTTCTTCCGTATCCCTTTTCCCGTCTGATCCCATTCCTATTATTTGTGAGACAGTTCCAGCCAGTTCAGGAATTCGGCAGATTTTGCTATCTGACGGATTTCCCACACGGCCGGGTCTCCAAATTCTCAGGATCTCAGATTCCCGTCGGGCTCATTGTTTCTTCTTAAGCAGGACAGGACGCGTCGTTTCATACGCGGCCGTCGGTCAACCGCATACCTACTAGGTACTTCCAACATCTAGTTGCCATGCAAAATACCTGCATTTATTAACCAGTACACTCGTTTGATCACTTAACCCGCCATTCGCTGACTCACCCCGCCGTTCACTCTTCCACACTTTCCTCTCTATACGTCCTCTTTTTGTTTCCTCTTTCCTCTATCTTTTTTTTTACAAGAAAAATAAAAATTCAAGACAAAATCACTGGATAGATCGCGGCAACTCGGTTTCTACCTATTTGTTTCCTGAAGGGGATTTGTTTGTCTAATTGGTAATACTCACGTACTTTTCTTTCTGCCAGTCCCTAATTTTGACGCTTTCAACAAAACAACAATTGCGACAATCCGAACATCCATCTCAATTCGTCTCCCGTCGATGCGCCGATTCGATTCTTCAATTCAAGAGTCCATGTAACCATTTGCTTTTGCTATAGCAAATAGCTACGGCAGTGGTTACCAGTACCTTTGTACTTTTCGGTTGAAGCTTAAATCCGTACTAATTCTTTTTTCGGTCGCCTAAGTCGCGTATCTCTCGTGCTACAACCTTGGACCTTGGAATTGTTTAGCTCCGTTGTTCCCTTTTTTATTTTCGCGTTGCACCGTTCCATAACAGCAACAATTCTCTTCGACCGCGCACTGTACCTTGTTACCTTGTACCGTACCGTACAATTCATAATCTCAACATTGAAACCTTGAACCTGTCACAATCTGCCAATCTGCCAAAACCTGTCAGGCTTTCACCCGATCTTTTTTGCGCACGCGTCCTTGCAGCTGGAATTGCACCAGTCAACATCGGATTTCTCGCAAATCTTTAGCTCGGCCTCTAGGCGCCTGAGAATTCCAGTGCATCTGATATTCGGGACATTTGAATTCAGCTGAGACTTCGATTGACGACCGAGAAACGTCATTCTCCGAAGGTACGTCGCATCACGTCCAACTCCCCTTGACAGCAACACGCTGCACGCTGTGCTGCACGTACTGCACTGCCTAGCAAAAGAAACCCGGCCCCCATTAGTTGTTCGCCCTGCAATTTTTCCCCTATTATTTGCCATCATCCAACTCATCCGACGTCAACGTTGAGCCAACGTGTATCGGGCATTGTCTAATCCACACCACCATTCACGTGTTCATTGGTGTGTTGCTTTGCATGCTGGGCTTGTCTTTTACCACTCGATCCCTAACCGTCAATTAGGCCTTTTCTCTTTGGCTATTAGCCCATATTAGCCCAGGGGTATCGCTGACTAGCTCCAGCCACGTCAAAAATCCCTGGTCAGATCATCTCATTTTTCCCTTTTAATTACTGCGCAGCGCCTTCCATCCGCGACTCAACGACCTTCGCGTCTTTATTAACCTGCATGCCGCAACGATAATCCAAGGGGAAATCACATTCTCCTTGGTTCTGTGTAACTAGCAGCGACCACGATGGCTTTCTACGGTGCTCGCGAGAGGCCTTCCAGGACCTCCTCGCCCGTGCCTGCCATCGACCCTCACCATGATCCTTTCGTGGCGGTCGCGTCTCCCCCTAGTTCCAGCCATCACAGATTCTCCAATTTTGATTCACAGATTTTCGCTCTCGGACCCAATGCATCACAAATACAAGCGAAAAAGGCATTAGAGGCCCATCTTGCCGAGACGGATCGAAGAATGGAAGAAGCCGGCAAGTTAGGCACCGCGTTAGTTCAACAACGCAAGGAGTTAAGTGATAGATTAAGAGAGGTGGAGAAACTGCAGGCAGAAGAGGAATTATCTGATGATCTCCGTCAAAAATTAGCTGAGATTGAGAAAGACTACAACGATGTTGCTAGAGAGAGCGCACGTGCATTCTTACCCAAGCAAAGAGTCCCTAGCAATGAGGTTTCTGCTGGATCTCCCTTTGTTCCCGAAGGCAAAGGTGGAAGGGTGAGCTTCCCGAGACATTTTATTGATATGGAGTTCAGTGCGCTAATTGTATTCTCGTACAGCGTTCCGTCAGTCCATCCAAATTCGAGGCCCAAGCAACGGGATCTCCGACCAAATTCAGTGTCCCCAACCGAAAACTTCGCAACCAGCCGGCAAACCGAATCCACGACATCGAGTTCGCTGCGGAAATAAGCCAATCTTTGATTGCTCAAGTTCGCAACTTGCAGGGCCTTCTTGCTGAAAAGGAAGAAGAACTAAAGGAGATCAAGAATGAGAAGTCCAAGCTTGAATATGAAGCCGAGGGTTTCCAACAGCGAGTCAAGAATTTGGATGAGAGCGAGCATCGGTACAAGGATGAGAATTGGAGCCTTGAAACTCAGGTCCATGACCTCATGGCGAAAGAAAGAGAGGCACAAGATCGCGAGAAGAAGTTGAACCAAGCTCTCAACATGCTCCAGGCCGAGAAAACATTCATCCAGAGAGAATTAGACGAGGTGAAGATGAGCCACTCCAAGCTTAGTGAAGAACATGCCACGTCGATGAAACACCACGACATAGAACTCGGCACCGCGAAACGAAACATAGTCATCGCAGAGTCTGAACGCACTGCTCTCCGTAAAAAGATTGATGATTTAACTGGCCAGAATCAAGAACTCGCCAAGGCTGTGTCTGCTTCTCAGAGAGCGAGGATTATTGAACGCGAGTCGATTCTTGGCATGGCCGACGAAGGTTTCGAGACTGCTCATGACAAGACGACTCCCGAGCATTCGCCTCCTCCTTCGCCGGTAAAAGGAACACCGCGACATTCCATGCTTGAATCGGAAACTCTCAAGACCTCTCTAGGACACGCTCAGCGCACGATCCAGGGCCTTAGAAATAATGTCCACCGAGAGAAGACTGAGAAACTCGAACTGAAGCGCATGCTCCAGGATGCTCGTGACGAGCTGGAGAAATTACGACATGATCCTATCGTTCAGAACAAACGTGCGCGAAAGACCGAGTCTAGGGAGTTCAAGAAGCCACTGCGATTGCTGGGAGGTCCGAGAACTGTTCGAAGCGAGGTCTTTTCCGAGGACTCGAACTGGGAAGATCAACCCGATTCCACCAGTCCGACTCGTTCTTCCTTAGCCTCGCGGGGATCCAGCAAGTTCCAGTCCGTAGCGGAAGAGCCCTGCGAACAATTTGAAACTGCCAACGAGACGAGTGATGCCGCGTTCGAAACTGCACACGAGCCTTCAACTGAGACAGACGACTTCCATACGGGCGCCGAAGAGTTTTCAAGCGACAGCGATGATGACGAAGATGCTCTAACCGAGACGGAGAGTCCTTCTAAGCGTCGCACGCCGAGGAACAGACAGCCAAGTTTCATTGGCTTGAACCGTAGCGGCTCTCTGCATAGCACGGCATCTACCGAGGATGATGAAGACTATCCGTTCGATCAGAACAACCGAACACCAACGAAGCTACCGCCTTTGCAGCCGAAGTTCCCGCTGCGTGTGGGCCGTGGCGCTCTCCGCCGATCAAGACAGCCCAGCGAAGAGCCCGCGTTCCCGAGTAGTCCTCCAAGCGTTACAAGCAGTACGGCAGGCACCCCGCAACAGCGCATCCAAAGTCTGGCAGCCGAATTGGGCGATTTCAATAGTGATAATGACTCGACTCTGTCAGCGACACCTAGCAGGAGATCCTATAGGGGCCGGACCATGTCACCATCACCTCCACCGCCAGTTCCCCCGCTACCCAAGGTAATTATGGTTGATAATGGCACGATGACCGATGACCTTAATAATAGACCTATGTCTTTGGATACTGCCGCAAGTCGGTTTTCCACATCGTCATATGGCTCTGTCGCTCATGACCTGGATGCAAAGCTTGCCAAGTTTCCTTCGCCTCCCACATCGCCGCCGAAGAAGGATATGGGCGTGGATTCTGCACAAAATATTGAGTCTCTCCCTAGATCGGACGCGCACGCAGCCGACTTTGCAGCACTTCAAGCGCAGCACGAAAGAGCGCTGAAGGAATTCAGCGATGAAAAGGCGGCTGCCTATGCTGCTGCTGTGGAGGAGCTCAAGAGCCAACACGCAGAGCAACTTAACAAGGCGCAAGCTGATGCCAACTGGGCTCATACGCAAGAAATTGCAACGCTGAAGTCGAGCCATGCCGATGAAGTCAACAGGTCCATCAGCGAGGTTCAGGCCGCCCATGCGCGAGAGTTAGAGAACTTGAAATCGAGCCATACCGATGACATTGCCAAGGCTGTTTCTGATGCCCAAGCCGCCTATGCACAGGAGCTCGAGATGCTCAAGTCAGCTCATGCCGAAGAGATCAGCAAGGTTATTGCTGAAGCCAACGCGACTCACGCCAAGGAGTTAGAGTCGCTCAGATTGAGTCACGTAGAGGAGAGCAACAAGTCTCTTGACGAAACCCGCGCTGTTCACGCACGGGAGGTCGAAGAGCTTCGTTCAAGTTATGCTTCCCAAGCTGCGAAGGCAGCTGCTGAAAGCCAAGCGTTGCACGCTCAAGAATTGGATGCTCTGAAGGCTTCACTCGCCGAACAGGCGTCGCAGAAAGAGCTAGACAGCAACGCTGCGCACGAAGCGGAGTTGGAGGCACTCAAGACTTCTCATGCGGAGCAAATCGCGATGCGAGAGTCTGAGATTAAGGCTACGCATGCCAGTGAGTTGGAGAGTCTCAAGATGAGACATGCGGACGAGATAAGCAATGTAAAGAACGATAGCGAAAGTCGTCATGCCGCTGAAATCGCTGCTCTGGTTGCTGCCCACTCTGGCCAGGTTGACCAATTGAAGACCGAATTGTTCAATGCCCATGCTCAACAAGTTCAAGCCCTTCAAGCTGATTATGCCGAACAACTTGGCAAGGCGAGACAGCAGTCCGACGAATCTCATTCGCAGGAACTCGAGGCGTTGAAGGCGACTCACTCGAAGCAGATTGAGGAGGTCAAGAGTACTTTAGTTGCAGCGCATGCGACAGAATTGGATTCGATCAGGGCAGCTCACGCCAAACACTTGGAAGACCTAAAGAAGGAGAACGATGCTCTGCATGCCGCCGAGATTGCAGCGCTTATTGCATCTCATAGCAAGCAAATTGACTCCGTCAAGGCCGACAGCCAGGCAACATTAGCGAAGGAGCTGGCGGCACTGAAGGAAGCCCATGCACAAGAGATCGACGCGCTGAATAGTCAACACGCTGCTACTCGTGCTCAGGAGCTGGAAGCTTTCAAGGCGGCCATTGACAAACAGATTGAGTCTTCACAGAGCGAGGGCGATGCTGCCCATACCAAACAAATCGAAGCTCTCAACGCCGCCCATGCAGAGGTTTTAGAAGCTCAAAAGCGTGACAGTGAAACGTCCCAGACGCAAGCTCTGGAATCACTCAAGGCCGCGCACGAACGGAACATCGAGGCTCTCAAGAGTGAGCATGCTGCTTTAAGATCGAAGGAGTTGGACGACATGTTATCTACTCATCTCAGGGAATTGGAGGCCGTAAGACAAGAGCATGAATCCTCTAAGACCCAGGCTCTGGCAAGCCTAGTAGCATCTCATACGCAACAGCTCGAGGAGCTTCGACAAAATCACCTGAAGGAGTTGGCGGATCTTAGCTCTGAGCATGAGTCTGCCAAGGCTAAGCTTGTAGAAGAACTCACCAACTCCCAGTCACAAGAGGTCCAAAATCTCAATCGGGATATCGAGTCCAAGGCGGCCGAGATAACTGCATTAACCGCTCATCATGCAAAGGTTCTAGATGCACACAAAGCAGAGTCCCAAGAAGCGGTATCGCAAAAGGAGCGAGAAATCGAACGCCTCAGAGTTGCGCAAGAAGAAGCACATGCTAAGGTTCTGCTTGAGTTGAGGAACGCTCACTCCCGCGACATGGAGAAGGTTCTACAGGACGGAGAGGACCGCCAGTCTACAGCCTTGGAAGCTCAGAAGAATGAACACTCTAGAGAGCTTGAAGAGGCTCTCGCTAGAGTAGCAGAGGCTCTGAGGGCTGAGCACGCCAACGTTCTGGAGTCGCTCAAGAAGGACTACTCTGAGGAAAGAGAGAGACTCATGGCGGACCACACAGCGGAGCTCGAAGCTCTTCGGGAATCCCTAACAGTCGCACCACCTACTCTTGGCTTCTCCCCAATGACATCGACCGAAACCGAGCCAATTGAGGCGCGCGATCTCAGAAGTCCCAGACGAGAAGCATTCATCATCCCTCGGGAGGATCGTCATCAGCAGACACCCGCGATCGGATTACTCGGACGAAAGGGCGAGAGGGCTGCCACTCCAGAGATTGCCGAAGACGAGACTCGCCAGTCGCCAAATGCTACTCCCGGCCCAGAGACTCCGGAATCACAGCGTCCTTTCAAGGAGATGTCCACAAACACAAACGTCCGTCCTTCGCGCAAGTCAACAATTCCTACCTCCGACCAAGGTGCGCAAACTACTCTTACTTCGAATGGGCTGGATCAATTGTTGTCTCAAAGCCACACGTCTGAAGACTCTGTTACAATCACGACTGCTCGTGGTGAGGTTACGGTAACGCCTTTCGACGAAGCACGAGCGAAGCAAAGGGCAGGCGAAGGCAGCGCTGTCTCCGCCCCTGACGCGATTCCCCAGCGACGACCGGGCAGCTCGGCCAGTGCTCGAGGCTCCGCGGCGAATATGCCACCGCTGCCCCCGAACCATAGGGAAGCAATCGAAGCTGCACGCACCAACTCGGCTGGTGGAGGAAAAGGAACAATGGGACCTCCGTTGTTACCTGCATCGGCTTACAAGCCCTCGACTCCTCGACCTGAGACTCCAAGCACTAGACGCCCGATGTCCGCGTCATCAGTCAGAGGTACCCCAACACCACGAGCCGGCAGATCTTCAACGCCAGGTTACGCGGATGCTCATTCAGCGAGGTTGGCCGCCCCCAGCAGGCAATCATCCATGTCGTCGTTCACATCCGAGGTCGAGACTAGGTTTAACATGCGCAACGAGATGGGTATAGATGCCGCAGCTTTCGGTCCAAACACTGATCCACGCATGATCCAAGCCATTACTCAAACCATGATCGGCGAATACCTCTGGAAATACACGCGCAAGACTGGCCGCGGAGAGATGTCCGAGAACAGACATAGGCGATACTTCTGGGTACATCCCTACACCAGAACCCTGTACTGGAGCGAGCGAGATCCATCGGATGCTGGTCGAACGGAACTGAAGGCCAAGAGCGTCCCGATCGAAGCTGTACGGATAGTGGGCGACGACAATCCTATGCCGCCTGGGCTTCACCGAAAGAGTTTGATCATCGTCTCTCCTGGGCGAACAGTCAAATTTACCTGCACGACTGGCCAACGACATGAGACTTGGTACAACGCACTTTCTTATCTATTGCTTCGGACGGGCGAGGAGCATCAAGCGGATGCCGAGGATGTGGCCGGCCAGATCACCCAGGAAGACGTTGACGAATTCAACCCTTCACTGGGCCGCAGGCCTGCGAACGGGACTCGAGCGCGAGCACCGCCATCCTTATCCTCCTATCACTCTAGGACCACTGTTAACAACTCTCCTAACGTCGACATATCTATGAGGATCCCAACGCTGACCCCTACGCGCGAAAGAGAAACCGCGCGCACCGGCACTTTGGGCAGATTGAGCGGTTACTGGAAATCGAGCTCGATAAACAGCACCTTTAGCAGCTTGAGAAGCCGATCTCATCTTACTCCTCAAGACAGCGCGATCTACGAGGCCAGTGAAGTGCCAGACAGTGCCGAGGATGTGAGACAGATCATGGAGCAGCAGGACAGGGACGCTGACAGGATGGAGAACGTTCGGGCTTGTTGTGATGGTAAAGCTCCTCCGTCTTCTACTATATCCCAATCCCCCAAGAAATAACTTGTATTAACATAAAGACAGGCAAACATGATGTCAGCCTCCTAGATCACAAACGCAGTCGTCTCTCCAATAGCCATTCACACTCGCACATGCATCCCGGACGATCGTCGACACCGACACCTAAGAGCACGACTCGAACTCGCGCATAATGGCTTGTCTTACTACATCGCAACTTATGACGGCTCCATGTTTGAGCCTCTCGTGTCATCCTATTCTTGTCTATCGCTCACTATACCATATAAACTTTTGAACCGCCCCTCCTAATCTTCTTTCCGCTACGAAGACCAGTCATGGATTCTTACGACGCCTACGATTATACATTTTCTTTGCACGTTTATTTAATTCGCCTTTATTCGCAAGGCCTCATTCTGGACCTATCTACCACGGCCGGGGGCTACGATTGCATTCGTTGCGTTAGAAACCGTGCCAGCATACCCGAAACCATGTTTTGTCGGAATCATTCTGGAGTTAGGAGAAAAGGAAACCGTTGCACAAACCACAAAACTACTCGGATATGGGAATTCAAGGCGATTCGCGAACCCTTAGGAAGTCAAGGAGTTAGTACAATTGCTTGCAGGAGACGAGACTTTAGCTATAGGAGGTGCGGTTACTTCATCTGATGGAAGGTCTTTACGTGACCCGAGTTTCGCGCTGCATAGTAGTACGCTTTTGAATGTTCTTGGGCGGTTTGGTCAAAGGGAAAGCATCGTCACATGTTCTCGTTAGAGCACTGGCAGATACAGTTGTTGAATGAGATTGTTCTTATTGACTATAGTAAAATAAAAATGCTTCCTATCATATGTGTGGTCGTAAACTTGAAATAGACGCGAATGAATTGTGACCAGTCCGTACACCGATGTCTCATCTGTTTGACAGACGTGACAATCCTCCTCAAGTTGCGCTCATGCAATAGATTAGGTCCGCCAACTAGACGTGCTGGAAGGTAGCATTTGCTACGCCGCCTGCATTAGTCTGTCTTGTACTTTCCGAATGAAAGACCCCACGAACAACATGCGAAAGTACGATGAGTAGGCTTTATGTATCAACTACGTGATATTGAGACCTATAATGCGGTTCTTTATTACCCCGTGGGGAATTCAGATAATTAATAACTCCAGAGAACTTAACACACAGCGCAAGAAGAAACCCGATGCGATGGTTCGGTCGCATTACCGAATCATACTTGACCATTCTGCTGTTCTACCAACCTGGATTACTAACTCAATGCGAAGAAGTGGGAGTACCTAGTAGCACACCACCTGTACTCTAATCTAAATAATCAACAGTAAATCCGTCCAGGTACCTGAATAATTAACTATGCAGGCTAGTTTATATACCCGTACGCATCCCACTAATCCCTCACAAGCCCGACCACTACTGGCCTACCTATTGCCCCGGTTACCAAAATGCCTCTAGAGCTCCAAGAATTTAACGCAGAGACCGATTTCCCGGCCATTGCCAGATGTCTCTTCGAGTCGTACGAAGATCCACCCCAGAAATTTTTTCATGTGTTTTTCCCGACTCACGGAACGGGGGAGAAAGCTCGTGAAGATGCTATCGAAGAAGCCGCTACTCGTCTGAAGCTCTGGCATACTCACGATCCATCAAGTCACTGGCAGAAAGTAGTCGATACCGATACCGGCAAGATTGCCGGTGGCGCTCTTTGGAATATTCATAACGAGAACCCGTTCGCGAACCCCGCAACGGTACCGGTGACTTGGTTCCCGGATGACGGCTCGCGCCGGTTCGTTGAGAAGGCCCTTCAGAACCACTCAGCCCCTAGAAGTCGAGCGGCGCAGAGGCCACATGTCTGTAAGTATCTTCTTCCCACTGACGATTTACTAGCCATGCTAAGGGGCAAGATCTGTTCATCATCTTCACACACCCGGATTACCGGCGCAGAGGCGTTGGGCAACAGTTCATGGACTGGGGTATGAAGAAAGCAGATGAATTAGGATATGACTTCTTTCTAGACTCGACTCCATACGGGAGACCTCTGTACGAAGCAAACGGCTTTGTTTATGTCGAGGAAAATATCAATATACCGAAGACGGATAATCCAGATGAGAAATGGAAAGATGTGGAGGAAAAGGTTGGACCTTTTACTTTTTGGCTCATGTGGAGACCTGTTGGCGGGAAGTACGAGGAAGGGAAAACCATCAAGCCATGGGAGCAGAATTAGCGGCACCCCTCTTGGCTCTTCAAAGAGAAATCGGATTCAGCCCTTCTTCATAAGGTACTTATCGAAGTACCTCAAGAGTTATCATGATATAACCGAATGTTAACTTCCCCAGCTATAGTTGTATTCTCTGCATTCTTTCGAGGCCGACTAGTATGTATGCTGTAGACTTCATCTTGTCCTCTCACACCGAATTTTCAGTACTACCTATCTCCAAAAAGTGGACAGTTGCCAAGTCTGGATCGCCAACATGTGAAATGAAAGTTAGCACCCAGCTCTTGTCTACTTCGGAAATGTCTCGCGAAAGTAGCCAAACAAGGATAGCATTACCGTCAACACGGTTTGTGCGTTCCGAAACAACAAAACTACCCCGACAGACCGAGATGGAAGAACTAAGACAGCGTAAGGAATTGCCTGGATATATTTCGGGCGCCGATAAGACATTTGCGGAGTAGCCAGTCAGGAACGGCAAATTAACGCGGAGTAGAGAACGCAAAATACCATCTGTTTAGGTTAACCCCATCCGATCCCAACCAGTTGCCAACTAGCGTAAATGGGGCTCTTTGTTAATTTATATCCCATTACCGGCAGCCAACGTGGAGATGGAGAATCTTGCGGGGTAACAAACCAGGGTTGAAATGACGATGGCGACCCATTCCACCAACAGCCACGAGATCTCTTCTTCGAGTGAGAATGAGTTGATGTGGGCTAGTGTGAATTACCCCATTGTTAGTATCTAGAATAGGACCAACATGGTCATTATATAGGTAGTTAGCTTGGAAGCTGGAGGATATAGAGTCTTCTTGCTTTAGACTGTATGAGGATATTGAGAAGTGTTCCTTATTCGGCCTTTGGAACATGGCACTGTTAAATATCATCTTCCTTGTGATAGTGGCCCATCTTAGCCTTTACGTAGGATGGGCCAGCTCGAGTACCAGCGGCTCCGGGGATGGCGTGGACCTCACCAAGCTCCAGTTATTTAGCTACAAGCCACGAATATTCATAATGTCGGACATCCTGAACGAGCCAGACGATTCGATGTCCCTTGTACGCTACCTCCTCTACTCAAACGAGTTTGACACTAGAGGGATCTGTGCAACAACATCTTGGTGGCTGAAGAACGCAACTCACCCAGAGGAGATGCGCAGGATCATTAACGCATATGGAGAAGTTGTCGACAATCTCAATCAACACGTCAATCCAAATGCATCATATCAAAGCGCCGAGGAGTTGCTATCGCTCGTTACTTCGGGGCCTTCTGTGAGTCAATTATCGGCGAAAGTACTTAAGCACGTATCTCGGCACTGACGCAAGCGTAGACTTATGGCCACACTGCGTTAGATCAACCCGTGAGCGAGGGAGCTAAACGAATCATTAGCGCTCTGCAAGAATCAGAAGAGCCTCTATTCATCACAGGTTGGGGCGGAACCAATACGCTCGCCCAGGCGCTGCTTCACATGGATAAAACCTTGTCTCCTTCCGAAGCCTCTGAGTTGAGATCGCGAATCAGATTATATACGATCTCCGACCAAGACGACACGGGAGCCTGGATCCGCGCTCGCTATCCGGAGTTGTTTTATATCGTATCGATCCATTCTTTCAACGATTACCAAGTAGCGACGTGGGTTGGAATGGACCTGGTTACTTCTCCTGGCGCGAACTCAACCATCGTTCAGAACCCGTGGCTAGATGCTAACATTCGGCTGGGGCCTCTCGGGGCTATGTACCCGCAGATAATCTACGGGATGGAAGGCGATACGCCTAGCTTTCTATGGTTGGTCCAAAACGGACTCGTGTATAGAGATCGCATCGACTGGGGTACTTGGGGAGGACGCTACAGTCGTCCAGAGCCTCTGGTCAACTGGGCGAGCGGGATTTATACAAACCACTTCGTCGACGCGCTAGACAGCGGCGTGATCGGAGTCGACGGGAATAGCTACCAAACCAATCAGGCAACAATATGGCGTTGGCGTAGAGCTTACCAAGATGACTTCGCCGCTCGGATGCGATGGACTCTGACGCCGAACTTCTCGGAGGTTGGGCATCCACCCGTGCTGAATATCAATGGCCAGCAGGGCCCAGATCCGGTCTTCGTCAAGGCGAAGAGCAACGAGACGTACACGTTCGACGCGGGCCTCACGTACGACCCCGACCACCCGTCAGACAGCAGTGGTCTAGAGTTCCAATGGTTTTTATACGCGGAGCCCACTTTCTACACGTCGAACGTAACGATTGAGGCCCTCCCGCCCCCGGAGGGGTCAAGCGGTAAACTAGACGCTAACGATGCCGGCTTCGCCAACGTGACGCTCGGTACCAGGGTTCGGATTACTGCGCCGCAGTCGTTCATCAACTCTAACACGGGGCTTGAGAGCAATTTTCATGTGATATTGCAGGTCACGAACCGCGCGGGGCTGTATCCGATTAGGAGATACCAGAGGCTTGTATTCGAGTATGAAAGCTGAGCCTGTAATCGCCTAGGATTGGGAAATTGGTAAGACATAGGTATTCAAGGACTTAGGTAGGAACCCTTCTAAATTCTATATTTATAGAACTTTATCATGAACCGAGTTACAATATGTAGACCTGTCGTGAAGAAAGTATTAATTATCAAGTCCATATAAATAAAATATCGTGAGGGCCATCAAGAGGAAAGGGGGTGGGTCACTTTGTTAATAATTCACGTGATACAAAGGCACGGACTACACTAGTCAGGATTGGGATATATACTACGATACCTGGCCAATTTCCGTCGCTCCTCCAGGAACCTTAGGAGTTAGTAGGGAACAGTAGCTCAGAGGTAGAGCAGCGGACTGCAGTTCCGAAGGTCGCTGGTTCAATTCCGGCCTGTTCCTTGTATTTTTTCTTAGTCGCGTCCCTTCCGTTTTGCTCAATGCATTTTTCCCATTTCTAATTTTTGTACCTTAATCGTTAGGTACCGGTACATATTCAATTTGAAAATCCCATTAAAATAAACCATCCATAATGCTTTGTTCAATTATGGCATTCCCACTTATATTCCAGTTCGGCTTCAAATGAGTTTCTCATTGCATACTTTAATTATTGCCGTTGTTACTCATAAGTAAGTGCGAAATCAAGTTATAATGAATACGGGTGAGTTTATTGAAAAGTTTGTGATGGGATGCTTTAGATGTTATCAAATGATGCACCTTATGAATAGAACTAAATCTCAAGACTTCATTAGAATTGACTCTTTGAATGACCCTCGAGTACCTTATCTGAGTACTTAATCGTCTTCTCATAGCCTCTATGGTTTTCTCGAGCATGTAGCATGGCACTATATGGCTCTTTATTAGCTGATCGTTCTTAACTTCTTACAAATCCCCCGACTCTTCAGATTTCAGAACTGATCAGTAGCATCCGTCACAGGGCGGACTTAACATATCAGGGTGCAATGGCATTACTACCTATAATATCTTATGAACTACACTTGTCTGAGGATGTGGTATGCATGTAGAAAGAAGACTATATCTATTCTGTTCTAGGGTGAGCGATCAATGGCTTCCTCAAGAGCCGAAATTCAATCCGTCCAAATATCTCTGAACGAATGCCTGAAAGATTTCTTTATTCTTCTAGTAAATCCTAGGTTCTTAGAAAAGGCAAGATTCAAAAGTCCACGTCAAAAGTTATATCTACATTGCCATGTGCAAAATTAACCGGTGTTATGAGTTCTGGGAGTCATCTATACAATATGAGCGCAATGCATTAGCCGTTATTAGTCAATAGGGCATTTGTAGACGCTGCTGTTGGCGATTAGGCTGGCAAACTACACCGCCACAATCCTGCTCCGGCGTGCTGGAAACAGTAAAGATAGGAGGATTAGTCCCCACTACAATGGCCGAAGTGAGTCAAATGCCGAGATATTCTGATTGTCCACCAAAACGTAATGTTCTCTGAGATTCCTTAGGAGTTTAATGCTGTCAATGCCTCAGGAGGTATTTCAGATTTCAAATAAAGAAAGCCTATTTAATCCATCGATGCCGCTCCTCACTTCCATCCTGTGTCATCACCAATGCAGCCTAAGTCAAGGCGCTTGGTCACGACTCCGAACCTACCTATATACGAAAACACAAGGTTGTTGCAACATCAAAAGCAACTGTCTTCATACTTAATCATCTTCTAGAGCAATATCCTGCCTAAGCGGGCCAGCATCATCAACACGTCCTCAAGATGTCTTCGATGAATACATCCCAGAATGATGCCGGTCCTCGTCTTCGACAACGCCGGCTTCTCAAGGACATCAAGGAGCTCGTGGAGAAGCCGTACCCGAACATCGCTTTACATACCTTTGATACTGACCTTACGGCAGCCTGTCTAGTCCTTACTCCCGAGAATTGGAAACCCCTACACATGACCATAAACTTCCCAGGAGATTACCCTGTGCAACCGCCAATTGTCTTCATGAACTCTGCAGTTTACCATCCGAACGTATATCAAGACTACATATGCGCTTCCATTCTCTGGAACTCTCCACCTTCCGGGTACCCGCGCGAAGCCGTGTCCTCTACTGATTATACGCCCGCATACACACTCAAGGGCATAGCAATCCAATTGCTTAGTTTCTTCTCAAGTGGTTACGTCGAACAAGAGCACAATGGCAAGCCGAAGAATCTAGACGATTATAGGTAAGTCCTTTTTGTTATTCCTATTGCTAAATTAGCGCTGACCTCGTTGATTCAAGAGGTACGGACAAGGCCCTCATCGACGATTTCCAGTGCAACTATTGCCATTTTGGCCGGGATTATCGAAAACCCGCACCTCGGATAGTGGTACCAAAAAATAAATATAATGCGCGGGTTGACAGTGCTCCGAACGAGTGGCCGTCACTCTCCAACAGATACGCACCATCAAGCCCAAGGATTCAGACCGATCCACAACCGGTTCAGCAGAAGAACGTGACGAGCTGCGAGATCAATCGTTTACCAAACGAGTTGTTGATAATGATTATGGAGAACTTGGACTTCGACCAACTGACGAAGTTTGCTGCTGCTTGGCCAAGGATTAGCAACGTCGTGAGAGACTTCGACATCATGAGGCAGCGTGAACTCCAGTGTTTTTGCCTGAAGCAATCGTACCGGTCTGTCAAGCTCGGAGTAGGTGTATCGATCTATCGTGGCCAGATTTCTTCGGAATTTGACCTCTTATCACAAGAAGCGTACGAGACCTGGAACATTCGCCGGGCAATCAATAACCTCGTCTTCGAACACTGGCTTCCTCTACCAATCTCCCGTCAGCATTGGAGAGGGGTAAAGGGGGAGGTGAAGGATGCTCTTAACGCAATTAGACTCCAGATTAAGGATGGCCCTTTTGGAGAAGCCCAGGTGCTCTTCACATTCATGAATGACGTGGTAGTTCGACTCAACGAGGTAGTTGACCCTAAGAGTGATGATCTCGACTACAAAGCGAAGAGACGTGCTCCTCAGAAAAGTAATCTTCATCACGCCTCGGAGAAGGCCATCGATTCGTACTTCCACCTTTTCCATCTCCTCGTCTGTCTCGCCACTGAAGACCCCTCATTAGTTGAGCACGCCAATTCTCTCCTCCGAAACTTTATGAACGGCAAGCGGTCCAAGACCGACTGTCCCAATCTAGGACACCTCCTCATCGCATTGTTGGTTTCCGACATCGAAGTCACCGACGCGCTGCGGAAGGCTATTATTATTGAAGCCATCACAAGAAACGTCGTTTGGCTTCTCGATAGGAAGGGAGCCCGTATGCCCGAACTCTCGTACATTGAACCAGGTCCAGTGTCGGCCTACCGTCTCAGCAAAACTTTCGAGGGTTCTCGAACTTCGTATCGGCTTTTGATGTTCTCAGAGCTGTTTCGACGCACAGCCCGGCCCTCCCACACTAAACCCCTAACGCAGGTTCGCGACGAGCTTTTCGACCGGCACGGCGCCCCTCCTCGGAACGCGGCGCGGGAATTGTCGGAGACGATTCGGCGGCTACACACTATAAACGACTTCCCAGCTTTCCTGAAGGAAATGGGCCTCCAGACAATCCCGGATGCGCAAACTTTCACCGATGTTCTGCGAAAGACGGTGCTCTCAAGCATGCACAAAGGATACTCGAGATGGGGCATGCCGCCTAGATATGCTTTATTGTTGCGATGTAAGAAGGACCGCTACTTGTGGGAGAATCGCCACATCTGGCTGAAAGGAGATGATGCGCGTTGGCTGGGTCAGAATTGGGAGGCCAACGCGCTCAGTCGTTACGGGAGCTTTTTCCCGGATAAAAGCAACCCACGAGGACGGCGTAATGGCGAAGGCCATTGAAGCTATGCGAAAGCAGCAGCATAGGCTACTCATGCTTGATTATTAGAGCAGAGCTGTGCATTATGAAAGATTAGTAAAAGCGCGGGAATACATTCCCGCGATAGTATCTCAATGAGTGTACCTAATCATCGCCAGTGAATAAAAATAAATAAATTACAAAGCTGAAAAAAAAGTCCCCAATGACCCAATTGCTATCCGTTGATTCCAAATTCCCCACACCGATTCAGCCCCTCCCCTTTTCCCCCTCTCCTTTTTTCCCAATTGAATTGTTACATAATTATTTCCATATCGCAATATTTGTCTGGATTTAAGCATAATCAATGATATTATGTCAGCTACTAACCTCTTCTAGTTGAACACCCGGTGTCTAGGCGGTGAGTTTCCTTGAAGGGGTTAGGGATATTAAAACATTGCTGCACGGGATTTTGAAATAGCTCCTCCACCACTCACAATACGATATCCAGGTCGAACGATATACACAATACATACACAATGCATACACATCATTGTACCAATTCAATCAGCAGAAACACGAAATGACATCAAGCTTAAGTCAGCTAGGTACCTATCAAACCACTCTGTGCCGGCATAAGCCTTCGGCGCGTCCCGTGAAAGACAGGGCGATACTATGGGGCTGAGGTCAGCTTGAGGTAGAGTAGCATCAGTTGCGCGCAGGGCTTAGTGATTGGTCTGGCCCCATTTAGAACACAGGGGATGGATGGGCTCGGATGACGACACTAAATTTTCGCCTCTCAATTGTTCTCTATTAATACTATCGGGTTCATCTCATCGTCAGCCCTATAACTTACCTAGTTGAGCGGAAGTAGCGGCATGTTGAAACTTCAGTTAAGACGAATACGAATACGAATGCCGTCGTAACACGTTATACGCAATCACAACGAGCACACCGTTCCTCTTATCGCCAAGACTCGCTCCACATGGTGGCCTGGAGTACCCGTTGCGCATCTTGTCGGCAGAGGAAGATAAAAGTAGGTCTTCTGGCATCGATTTGGCTTTTCCTAACTCTTGGTAGTGTGATCGGCAGTGGCCGACCTGTGGACAATGTCAGAAGGCCAAACAGCAATGCTCAGGACCACCGGATAGGGTGAAGTTTGTCGCGGAGAACGTTGCGGAGGGTTCTTCGCAGGCGGTCGTGGTCCATCGCTTCGGATCACGTCCTAATCCAAATTTCCAAGCCCTTCCAAGAAGAACACAGCCAATAATACCTCATTCGGTGCCGTCAAGTCATCCAACTTTGGTCGGCGGGGAACTTGCTTCTCTACTAACATCTCAGGCGAAGACTTTCGGGTTCTCCAGCTTTGCACACGTCCTACAACAAGTTCCGGCTATGCTCGATGGCTCTCAAGCTTTGACCAGCGCCGTGTCTTGCCTCTCCGACGCGCGAAGGCGCCAATCCATGTCCCCGAAGCCTGACAGGAAACTTGATCTCAAATTGTACTGCTCCGCATTACGTAATCTGAGATTTTCCCTCCAGGATGCCAACGAGCTGAATCGGTTGGAAACTTTGTTAGCAACTTTGGTCATGTGGAGAGTCGAGGTCGGAATGTTCTTGAACATGATGCACTGCGGTCCTTGTTGCTAACTTTGCCATAGGCCACGATCGCTACGACAGTGGAATTGCCATACTTACTTGTGACTTGGTCGGTTCACTTGACCGGGGCCGCATACCTCCTAGAGCGTCTCGGGCCGGAGGCAGCTAAGAACGAGCTCGTGTTCTCCGTGATTCTTGAAAGCCTTTCCGAATTAGTAAGCCCCATGACAACTTCTATTCCATCAAAAGCTAACACTACCAGTCGTCTCACTATTATGCCCGTAACCAATGGTTTTTTATGGGGTCTCCGCAATGGCAGCGAATCTTCCTCGAGAACCGCGATGTCTCTGTCGCTGATAGGTTATTGTTTAAGGTGTACAGTCAAATGTCGGTGTTCCCGGATGTGATGAGAGACCTACGAAGATACCATCTGGGGCAAGTAGGCTACGAGCATATTCACTCGAGAATAATCTCAATGCATGTCGTATTCGACACCATCGAAGGTCCTTTGCAGACCATTCTAGAGGATCAATCGGTCGTCACTAGGAGAGCTGCTTGTTCTCCAGTGTCTCCCGTCGAGGAAGTTTACGACACCGAGAACAGCGACGTTCCTCGGGCTTGTTGTTTATACGCGCTAGCTAAAATTGTGGCGAACAATATGTTAGCGTCGCTAGATGGGTCGTCGCCCAGGTTTGAGGAGGAAAATTACTTACACAGCAGGAGAATATGGATGTTCCACGAGCAAGCTATGCAAGTGGGCTCATTTGGCATGCACTACTATCCAACCGCTCTCCTTCTGACCTACGGCAGTGCCAAGTCTAAGGAAACGGAAGAGTGGATCGTAGATTTGCTGAACTTACTTCAGGAGAGAAACCCAGCTACAGACATTATGTGGACGAGAGAGGAGATTTTTCAAAGATGTTACGCCACAAGTGGGAACATCTGGCCATCTTTACCGCCTGATCAGTTTTTACTCCCAACAGGGCCATCATAGTATACGAAACGCGCAGCTCGTGATGGGCATTGTCGGTTAAGAGTCTGTTAAGATGAAGGAGTAGGACTTTATAACGAAATGAAACCCAAACAACCCGGCAGTTTGCATAGGGCCTGAACATCACTAATGAGATGGGTTGTTCATATTGAAAAGGCTGGTCTGTCCAATAATGTAAAAGAACATTTATTTCAGCCGCAAGTCCTACTATGAAAGGATTACCTAAATTAGAGTCTTTGATGCGACCTAATCAGTTAGCGTAGCATTACACAGCCCTATGATCAGCCCAGCCTACCCCGGGCTACACAACGTGAAGGACCGCTTGGCTGGATCGCAGGATGATCCTAGTTAGGCGCTCTATACGAATTTTGCATCACGGCAAGACAGACTCATACATTACTAAAGTATATAAGGGACATATCCTCACGATAGTCAACATGTCAACTTTTCAGCATCAGTCATCATCTCTCATTCCAATCTCATCAATCTACAAAAACCCAAACCCAACTCAAACCATTAGTGATATTCATCTCATCCACGACCTAATCCTAAAATAAGAAACCGACAATGGCTCCCCTCAGCAAAACCGCCCTCCTCAGCTCCCTCGTAGCAGCCAGCGCTCTAGCCACATCCCCCGCGCAAATCCAAGCGCGCGACTCGAGCAACTGCCCCGGCGTGACGTTCAACCGCAACGGGCTAAGCGGATGCTGCGTCGGCGGCACAATCGACAGCCCGTACCTATCCGTGTGCAAGGGGTGGCCGATCTGCGAGGGCCCGACGACGACGACGTGGACCGCGACGCCGATCAGCTGCGCCACCATCGTGACCGACGGCGCGAACTACGACGCTGCCATATCGAGCGCGCGCGCTAGTCTGCTGGCTAGCGGGACGCATCTCGTTACCGCGTTGGATGGCGTGACTGCGGCGGCGGGTGGGAGTACTGGTACTGCTACTGCTGCGACCGCGTCTCCTGGAGGCAGTGGCTCGGGGACTGGGGCTGGCGCTACTGCGACGGGGTCCAGCGGAGCGGCTGCTACGAGTGAAAGTGCGGCGGGTGCGGAGACGGGTTCTGGGTCCGGATCCTCGACTACGACTAGTTCTGGGGCGGCGGCGTCCACGTCCGAGGGTGCGGCGGCGGAGGTGGTGGTGGCGCGGTGGGGGGTTGCGGGCGGTGCGGTTGTGGCTTTTGTTGCTGCTTTGCTTTGAGTTGAGGGGAGGGGAGGGGAGGGGAGGCGGATGGGTTTTATCTACCTAGGCATGTATTAGATTTCGCGTCAATAGACGGGCTTTGAGGGGATCTACCAACTGTGTCAATTCAGCCGGCGATGGTGTGTTATTGTTTGTGTTTGTTTGAATAAAAGCTGTGGATTTTCTCTAAACGAATATGATGATTTCTTGTCACTTGATATGGCATCTTTGGTTCAATATGAACGTATCATGAAGTTCCTCAAAGGTTTCCTTCAGAGCTAGATGATTTGCTTTAACCTGAGTACCTCTACCTACTAGTATATGACCCAGGTAGGTATTTACCTACGCACATTTTTGGGTACCTAGTTTGGAGTATTGATCTGGGCCTAGAGGAAGTACTGCAAACAGACGAGAAATGACTGTGCAAGCTACCTAGTAGCATAGCCTCCTACTACCACCGTGCTATAGCAATCCTGCGAAAAGTGTATGGGGATAGAAATTATTTAGTTGCTAACGGGAATGCGGCTGGTGTACGAAACATCTGAGTGAGGTGTTGATAAAATGGCGCTCCAGGAGGCTGAGTGAGACCAGTTTGCTACTTATGCCGCCACTCATCTATCTCCCAGAAGCCGCCCTCATCTTCTAGCGACATGTCTTCCTCCTCTATGAACTCAGCCGTGTCCTTCTCCTCCTGCGCTAACAGCTGCTTTACATCGTCGTCGAGCACGTAGTCGGGACGGTCGTTGTCTTCACCTTCCCCAGCCTCGGACATGGCAACCAGAGATTCGCGGAGCAGAGCGGTGTTCACTATGCTGTGCGCGTTTTCGTTAAGAGTATCCCACGACAACCATTCGTTGGCTTCCTTCGCTAGCTTCAGGGTTGGCCGCTCGCTTATGACGATCACATGTATACCGTGCTTCGTCCTTGCTCTTTTGACCATTTTGCAAAAGTCAGAGTCGTCCGAAATGACAATCAGGGTGAGGTTGGTGAGGTTATTATGCTTCTGGAGTAGTCCAAAACGGCCTTTGAGTTCATTGTCGGCCGCTTGAGATGCCTTGCTGACTACTCGAACTCGAACGCCGGCTCTGTTCAGACTTCTGTAGAGTTTGTGCTTCTTCTCGGGAGCCTTCACCTCTATGTGGGCTTCGTTGCGCCTCATGAGGTTTTTGCCATTCTTGGCGAGCCACTTCTCCCTTTTTTTACCCTTCAACATATTAAGCCGGGTCAATTTCTTCTTACGCTCCCGCTCGTGAAGCATTTTATAATGCTTTTCCATTTTTTTGATTGTTTTGAACTTATTTCCGCAATAAGGACATCTGTATGGCTCGGTGCGTTTGATCTCCCCTCGCTCTTCAGCGGCTGCAATTCTGTTCCGTTCTGCTCTTAATTCCTTCGCGGCTGGCGAGAGGCGTATGAAGGCGTGGTAATTTGCCATAGCCGAAAACTCGATGATCTTACCCCGCTCAGAAGCCAAAGCGCGGATCGCCGCTGCGACATTCTCGGGCAAGGCATAGGGCTGTTTATTATCGAGATCCCAAAGGATGGCCACTGTTTTGTCGTTCGTCGCTTTTGCCTCGCTATCACCCCCTGAGGCTGTTGGCACCGCGGGAGAGTCTTCCGTCTTCCCTACCGAAGAAGTATCCGTCCCAACCGTCTCTTCTGGAGGCTGTGCTATGGTCGACATAGTACATCCTTCCAGTTTTAAGTATGCACGGTGACCTAATGCAGGTCGGGCAGGAGATTGATATGTTGATTGGAATTGTGCAAGCTCATGATTACGAAGATGTCTTATGAGCCGGGGGAGCAATGGACGTAACTTACTAGTCAACATTTAAATAAATATGAATTGAATTCTGGAGAATGGGGGATTTTACCAGGGTAGGTATCTGTTAAGATCCGATTGCATAAGAGAACGTGTTGTTGCTTAAGTGAACTCAACTTGAGGTCGACAGAGAAGTCGCATTTATCATTTATTAAAAGTTTTACATTCCTCACCTATCTGCCAGCTGTGGCAACGCTGTCGAGTTACTACTACTTAGGTGTCACTGGAGCCTGCCAGCTGCCAGTAGAGGGTGGCGCTAAACCTGAATTAATGCTAGGCCGAGGTTGAGCCGGAAGCGACTGGGTACTTAGTAAGCAATGGAGTTAGGTCATCCCCAGAGGCCCAAGAGTTTTTAGAACTTAATAAAGACAACCACTTTTATCCTCCTTCAGAAACTAGCTTGATGAGACTCGCAGAATACCCGCAGAATACCCGCACTCCAATGCAGGAGTATCAAACTCCATCTCGAGAGAAGTCGTTTTATTGAGCGAAGTCTCTATGTAGACGGGGGGATAGTAACGACGTTGTTGCGCAAGGAGCTCGAAGTTTTCGTCTAACCAAGGGGCTAAAGTATACATATAGGAAAAGCCCTTTGTCTACTCTGCTTCCATGCTAGCCGCCAACAAACCGTTCCAAGACCTCACACAGTCTCCCGTGGGCCTAACTCCCGTCCCATTACACCGCTAATTACTAGCTCTTTAACAGACTAGACATTTCGCATACATGTAATTCTTTTACTGAGTGACTTTATCGTAGGCCAACTTGAACAAATCTATCGTAGTAGTCTGAAGTGGTCATAACTACCAATTTTTCATCTTCTGAGAATCTGGAAGCCGTGGACTTGCCCATTTGCAAATATCGTCTATGCATCTCTTCATCGCCTACTAAGTGATATACAGAGGCTAAAGCAAATTCAGTGCGGCAGAGTGAGCCAGGATGGCATTCGCAACAGGTCAGGATTGCGAGTGATTGCTCGTAGAATGGGCTATATACACAGCGATTAGCGAGGTTATATGGGCCGTTGATGGGAAATGGTGACTCACATTGATGAATTATAATCACACTCCATGGCCATGACATCTCCAATTTTATGAAGTGTGAAGGCTGTAACCTGATGTAGCGGCATGGATTCTTTCCGCCTGTCAAGGCACTCTTGCAAGGCATCAAGGGCGGCAGAATTATTTCCTTTTCGGATATGGATATTGGCAAGGTCAAAGTAGCATCTAAATCAAGTGAGAACCTATCTTTGGAACTGGATAAGTCGGATACTTACATAGCTACTTGTTCACTTGATACTCCTCTTTTTGCTTTTGCGGCATCTAATGCCTCGTTGTTGGCCGAGAAGGCTTCATCAACTCTCCCTAGTACGAGTAGAAAAAGACATATATTTCTTAAATAGACATCCATGTTAGGTTTCATGTCATCTCTCTGCCTTAACTGGACCAAAATCTCATATGCCTCTTCAGCACGTCCAGACGCCAATAGAGAAACTGCGAGGTTTCCTTCTGCAGCGGCAATCCATTTGTCGTCTTCCAAGGTCGAAGTACGTCTGTTATTTATTCGAATGTTCAATAGTACCTTTTGAGATAGAAACATGCCAAAGTCATGACCGGGTTATTCTCTTTCTATCGTTGCCAAGACGTTGCAATGATGACTGACCATATCCTGAACAAACCACATGGAATATCCAGGATGGGACTTATGTTTCAGGGCCGAGTCACAAATATCGATAGCTTGTTCTGCCATCTGTCTGGCTGCCTGGTACCGCCCTAATAAGTACCAATTCAACCAATTGGTCTTGCAGACCTACTAATAAGTTGCCAGAAACGCCTCCATGATCAATTCAGGTCAATAGGTCCGGAGGTCCGGGAGCAATGTGGCGGGGGATCGATTAGTGTTGGGGTTTTACATCACGGAAAGGTCATATTCACAGATAGCACCGGCTCTCGCGATGGTCCCAAGGGGAAAGAACCTGACACGAGCACAACCTATACGCTCTGTTCAATATCGAAATCCTTCATTGCAGCGGCTGTTGGAATTTTGATCGACCGGGGAAAGTGCAACTGGACTGATCCAGTTGGTCCTCATCTCCCAGAATTTGATCCCAAAGACGACGTTCGCGTTGCCACGGAAGCGACGTTTAAGGACTTTTTGCGCCACTCTGGGGGACTGGCTAACCCAGTTGTTACGCTCCTCGGCCCTAAAGGTAAGGTTTTGGTCCCTCAAGAGGACTTCATCAATGTTCTCAACGATACGCCAACCGGAAATGAACGTTTCGGTTCATACTACAACAGAACTTGGGAATATAGCAATGTGTCTCATGGCCTTGTGGCGCTCGCCATTGAGCGTATAAGCGGCAAGCGTTATGCTGACTTCATATCCGAAGAAATCTTAAAGCCACTTGGGATGAACGACACGGTAGTTTATAAGTCTGGCCTTTCCCCGGATGCTAACATCGCTCACTCATATGTTCGACTTTCCAACGATGACTGGTGGAAGCAGCCTGATCATGAATGGACAAACGAACAGAATACCCCTGTTCTAGCTATGGTTGGAATACGCAGTTCGATCAAGGATGTGCTTACCTGGTGTGCTGCCACACTAGATGCTCTGGAAGAGAAGATATCATGCAAAACCTGGAGCACTACAACACGGATATGTACAGTTACCAACCTATCAACCGGGATGATTGGCTGAAATCAGGATGGTTGGACTGGGATTACTTTATGGTGGGAATACTGCATTTCCAAAGAGACATGAATGGTCGAGTAGACGGTGTCACCTGGGTGTGAGAAAGAGGGTGTGACGCTGCTTTCTTCAAGAAAGCATGTGCCTAAGCATACCACGCTTAATTAAAACAACCTCACCGAATCGGAGCATGATATGATTTGTTTCCTGTGCCCCATGCTTCCACCTGTATACCTACCATTAGTCTATACTTACCTGCAACATTAGGTTAGTGTGACAAGGAGCAAATGCTTGGAACATAAGTTCAATTCAATATAATAATTCTCTAAGGGGTCTTAGGTCCTTGATCTCTTCTCCTTCTTCGAAGAGGATCGTCCTGACTATTTGAGTTCAATCTGCCATACCTAAGATCCGATCTTCGGCGCTCTAAGCGCCCATAAACATTCTGTTGGTTGATCGTGCATATGTGTAATAACCTGATGACTATTCCTGATATCCAATAGATAAATCGTTCCAACCCAACAGTCTTGTATTCTATGTGTGTTGGAGGCGTGGCACCTATCGCCGTGTGACAGTTAGCATTAGGTCGATACCTACCTAGCCACGAGCCTCTATTTATACAGCCTCATCCTCCCTAGTATTTCCCGTTCACTTGAATTCAAGATCGTTAACTATCTACTCTCCAAAGCAAAAGTCCTTGGTACCCATACCTAGCAAGCTCAATCACGAGATCACCGCCTACGACGTCGGCTGCCGAGGAGAACAGAACGAGACATTTGATTCAAGGACAAGCCGATCCAGGAATGATGGTAAGCATATGAAATGATCGATTAAAATACCCTAAGCCTGCCTACGATATGAATGGGGGGATAATACCTCTGACAAATCCTCTAGGATCCAGGGCGACCTAAGAGGGACAATCAGGAAACAAAGGCAGATCTAAATGAATCATCGACAGGCGGCGGAGGCACCAGTGGAGGCGGTGGAAGTAGGGGCGGCACATCTGGCGGTGACGATCCCAAAAAGGACAAAAAGTAGGTAGTCGTCAAATGATGGAAGGCGGCGGCACAAGCAACTTGGGCGTATGAGTACCTAGATAACGCAAAGGATTAGAGCATTTCTGATTTCTGCATTTCCTCGACTACCTACCCGACTACCTATCTAGGTAGGTCGGTAGATATGTGTTGTCATAACAGCATTTTAAAACTACCTACAGGAGGTGCCATAACAGATTGGGCATATTGGGTACGTGGGTTGTGTTTTCCATATAGTGAGGGAAAGTTGTATCTCCGTATCTAGCATCCCGAATTCGATGCGGCAGAGGTTCCTTGTATCTCACATATATCACATTACCCTATATACAGTTATAATATATACAACCTCAAGCCAATCCTGCATTTTCTAGAACTGCGCGTTCTTGCATGGAATTTTGCACTTTGTGGAATTCATCACTTACCTATCACATATCATAGTTGGATCCACTGAGGCTCAACTTGCTGCACAGATAAGGCCCACTTCGTTGCTTCATGCAGCTCCAGAAATGCAGTTTGTGGAGATCGACGACAGGTGTGAAACTTTCGCGTTGCAATAATAGGGGCTAAAAACTCCGCCCCATACCTGTGGCGTATATGTATCTATAGCCTACCTACGTACCACTACTCCCTAGAGTTTTAACCTTCTAATCTAACCAATATGACACTCATAGCCTGCGTCTATTTTAACACTTCTGATCACTGATCAAATTAGAAGATTCTTCACCAAGTACTATGAAAATATTATATGAGTAATATGATTAGGTAGGTTTTTTGTTAATTGGCGAGTTTTATTGAAGTGGCTGTAACATTGGAAGCTGACAGCGCCACTAGACTAGCGCGGGTATGCGCCGCTCAGGAGCTCGACGGGCGTTCCAGTAAAATAAACCAATGCAATCATGCCCAACACTGTTAGGATAATCTGATAACTCTTTCAACATACCTATCAACCGAATAAGCATATAATAAGAGTGTGCATGTATGGATGCCTCAGATAGCTTAGACGACGATGTTATCGAGATTATTGTACCAGAAACATGGTACGCGGATTCTGGCAACAAGCCTGAGATATTGGCGGCTACAGATGACAGCACTGAAGTTTGCCAAAGGTGCCATTGGGATCAACGACCCTCGAGTCTATTCCCTACACGTCGAGATGAGATGATAAATGGCTTCGACGCGCAACAGGTAACAAGAACCGAAAAGTGCATAAGATGTCGAATTCTCAAACTTTGGTTGGAATCTTTGGGCCCAGACTATCAATCGCCCGACATAATAATAATCCAAGGGACTGGCTTTAGTATATCGAAGCGCCCATATGACGACTACGAGGATTTCGACATCTTTGTCGCGGACGCTAGTAATGGACCCCCTTCATGGTTACCGCGAGGGAATACGTCGTGGTCATCTCACAGCTCCTCCACCGAATCTTTCGAATGGACACGACGCGAGATAGACAAGTGCATCGACTCTCACGCATGTTGTCGCTCTCTAGGAAATTCTTTCATGCCAACCCGGTTGATCAATATTTGTCCTCGGAACATAGCCGGCGACGTCTTTCTTCAGGATGGGTCTTCGGTCCCTCGTGGCTCAAGATATTGCGCCCTTAGTTACTGCTGGGGTGATATCAGGCCAGATTGTCTCACGACCAAAGCCACACTTGCGCAGCGTCAATCTAACATACCTTGGTCAACCCTGCCCCAAACCTTCCAAGACGCTATCTACTGGGCGCGATCAGCCGGAGTGGATTACCTCTGGATTGACAGTGTCTGCATCTTACAAGGCGACCGAGACGATTGGATCCGGGAATCTGGAAAAATGTTCCAGGTTTACCAAAACTCTTATGTGACGATTGTGGCTGCTTTTGGCAAGGATCCAACATCTGGGCTTTTTTCGGCTTATCCAGACGAACCGAAGCCGAAGCCACTCGCAACTCTACGACGTGCGAGTGCAGGGTCGAGTTGGCCATTATACATGAGAAAAGCGCAGCACTATCATTTCTACGACTGGGAGGACTACGAGACGCGAGAGGCGCTGCCGCTACTGAAACGCGCATGGTGTTATCAAGAGCGGCTCATCTCTCCTAGGATTCTCTTGTACACTCCTACCGAAGTCGCTTTCCAGTGCTTCAAAACAGTATCGTGTGAATGCGGACGAGATGGCGTAGCATGCAATAGGATGAACTTCGCCGCGAAACACAAGTTCCCGGTTCCCGGGAAGCAGCCGTTGACCCACGCGGGGCCGGCGATGGACTGGTGGATCGTAATCGGCACATACGCCAACATGGACCTCACGGTGAAAAGCGACCGCCTCCCCGCCGTAGCGGGTATAGCCGAGCACTTCCAGAAGTCGAGGCCGCTAGAGAAATACCTTGCTGGTCTCTGGTCCGGCAACCTCTTGCGAGATCTACTATGGGAGGTTCTCGAGGTAACCGCAGACCCCGCAGCCAAGACTCTGACCGCGGGCGTGCCGAGCTGGTCCTGGGCTTCCGGTTCTGGCACGCGAGACGTACTGGTCTACACGGAACAGCTCCGCTACCTCGCAGAAGTCCGGGAGGCGGAGTGTAGATACGCGAGCGACAACCAGTTCGGCGTGCTGACGGGGAGCAAATTAGTCCTCCGCGGTCGCCTGTGGAAAGTCTCGGCTCTGTGCCGAAAGGGTGGTCCTCTCTGGATGCTGAGCCGGAGGGCAGTTTTCAAGTTCGAGTCATCGAACGAGATGCGTGGGAGCTTACATCTCGACTCCGGTATCGCCAAGCGAAATTGGTCCGTGGTCCGAGGATTACACCTGCTCGAGATCGCCCAGAGGCCTAAAAGCGACGGGGATGCGTTAGATACCTTATACCTTATACTAAAGTCGGCGCGCACTTCGGGAAATTCGTATGTTCGAGTTGGAGTGTTCGAGCAAGAACACAACGCCCTGGGGAAACTAGATCGTGACAAGTGGGATAATTTAGGGTTATGGGGTATATATGAGATTAATTAAGTGCCTGAGATTTAACTCGAGTTAATCCACCGAGGCTCGACTTGATGCACACATTGAAGTAAGGGCCACATCGTTACTTCATGCAGTTAAAAAGTCGAAATGCAGTTTGTGGGGATCGATGAGAAGAAAAGAGCCTAGCCCGTCAGCCACATTTGATTACTTAATGAAAACGAATCCAAGCCACAAACGTATGGCATATAAGTGGGTCAACGAAGGTAGTGCAGTTACGTAATATATCAAGTGCAGTGATCTGGCCGATTCGTCAAACTTTGAAAGTAAACGAATATTTCCAAGTACATAATTTTATCTACAACCCCGACTAGTAGGCAGCAAGATTGAACCCCCGCCTAGGCAGAAGCCCTTTAATCCCTAATGCCTAATTTTTACAGCGAGCTCAACTGATCATTTCATGTTCGCTTTGTGCACCTTTTCAGCGTCCTCGGACGACCGCAATCTCTTCCATCAAACACTACGCCCCTTGATCCAGCGCCGACATGTGACAATCATTACAGGTAACTTCCTTCGGAATTGACGTGGGATTAAAACTTAAACACAACGATACCATATCGCTTGGTTGAGGAATATGGATTCCGAAGAGTCAGCATCCAGCCAAATGAGGCAGCCGAGCTCACATGCTAAGACGGATCATGGAGACACTCAGAGTATCTCGTCTAGTGGACAGACCAAATCTATATCCGCCTCTCGAGACTCTTCAAGTAGGGATAGTGTGGAGGATCATCGTAATATGATAATTGCTAGTTTACTTGAAGACTACATCCGCACTCGTGCTGCCGAGGTCCTCAATGCAGCTAATCCGGGTAAGAACTACACTAGACAGTCGCCAGAGATCCAGCCGTTGGTCCGACAGCTCTTTGCAGAGGCGAGTCACAAGCTTTCAGAAAATGGAATACTAGCGGAGTCTGCTACTACCGATGGTGGTCTAGGAATTCGACGTCAATATCTGTCGGCAGTGGACAACATAATGGCGAATTCCCAAACCCTCGCTTCAAGTGTATCCAGTCCGGTGCACGGCTTGGTATCTCAAGCATCCCAGCTAGCTCTTGTTCCGCACCTTTCTCAATTGGATCTCCAGTCGGAGCCCCAACAGAGTCATTACCGGTCCTCTTTCCGTGAGCTTGCCCTTCTCGGAAAAGGTGGCTTCGGAAAGGTTTATCGGTGCTTCAACCCACTAGATCAGAAGACATACGCAGTGAAGAAGATTCAATTATCCCCGAAGCTAGGGAAGAGGTTTCGTGATGGGAGACTTGAAGAGCTTCAGCATATCCTGCGTGAAGTCCAAGCTCTAGCTACCCTAGATCATCCCAATATCGTCCGGTATCACGCTACCTGGCTTGAGGATCCCCATCAGTTTCCCTCTCCCTTAATTATGGACTCACGCAGTAAGTCTTTCTCCTTTGCATTCCTTCCATCTCCCTAGGTTTGTCACCTAGATATGCGCCCGTTGGAAACATGCTTACAACAGCCCCGACACAACACTGGTCTCCTATAACCAGTCCTGTGCGGCAGTTAAGCCACCAGAGCTTGTGTGCAAATTAAGGACAATGCCTATTATTCTTGGAAGCGCCTTGAACTAAAGACACACTATGGGTATTAGCTATTAGGGGAATACGAACTGCTGACTCGAGCCACCAGATTCTAATTCAAGGCCCCGTTCAAGTCGACATCAACAGCTATTGCTGAGTAATCACCCCTTTTCTCAGGAAACCGAGGGTGAACCAGAACCCGAACCCTCCCTTAGCGGTGGAGTAATCTTCGAGGCAGATACGTTGTCTCTTCCCGACAAAGAGTCAGTTCACCAGCCCCAATGGTTTGAAAAGACCGCTTCTAGTCATAGCCCCGTCGAGAGCCCGAGTTTGTCAAGCACCAGCGACATCTTCACAGACGGTAAGGGCCATCTAGAAAACAGCAGTCAAAGACATCAAACCTTTGATGCAACTGGCCACACGTTATACATCCAGATGTCGCTATATCCTATGACGCTGGCCCAGTATATCTCCTTCTCATCCAATGATACCAATATACCCAAACACTGCTTTCACTTAATTCCTAGTCTTCGACTACTTCATTCTATACACTCAGGCCTGCGATACATTCACTCTAAAGGCTTCCTGCACAGAGATATCAAACCAGGCAACATCTTCCTCTCGTTAACTGAGGAAGAGTTACAAGGTGGATCATTCAATCTTTCGTGCAATTCCTGTCAGAAGAAGACGGGCGAAGTGTCACCACGCTGGATCAATGCTCGAATCGGTGATTTTGGGCTGGTCGCCCAACTAGCACGCGGCGAATTGCCCCTGTCACCTTATGAGGGCGACAATAGCACGCCAACGTCTGATAAACGTCCTGTCGGCACCACGAACTACCGACCACCTCCTTTCAAAGGCGCTGATGACGAGAAAGTTGACATTTTCGCACTCGGTGTCGTGTTCGTCGAAATGCTATGCCGCTGCAGCACGGCGATGGAACGCGCCGAGATGTTTAAGGGGTTGCAGCTTGGCTGCGTGCCGTCAAGCCTCGAAGAGAGCTTGGAAGGCGAAGGCCACCCCGCTAAAGTCGTGAACGAAGTGGTCTCGCTTGCCAAGGCGATGGTCGACCCTGATCCAAAGAAAAGATGGTCCAGTTCTCAGGTGGATAGGGCTATCGAAAAAGTCCTAAGCAGATGCAGTAGTTCATAGTTACCTACACCTGTCGCACACCTGCATATGACAGTCTGCAGGCAAGGTTAGTTACAGTTCGATATTTTAAGGTTGGCATTGCAAAAGTCTTTCTTCCACAGCGGACTTCGACCTTCTTTTATGGATGATCATAACTTACCTCAGAAACAAAAATACAAAGCTTGACTAAACCTTTCCACACTTTCCTTTACCATGGCTTTCTATGGATGGATTTATAGTGAAGGCGATTACTGATGTACAGCGCCGTTTGAGTAGATCCCGAGAACAGTATTGGTTCAAACAATGGCGTGTTTACAGTTTCATTCAAACTCCATACCTACCAGGTAGGCATCCATATGTAGAAGATTCCTTAGGCAGCCTGGTGACTGAGAAAGTGGATGTATATTAGGAATCGAGTTCATATGGCTGGAGCTCCAACTCTTGACCTATAAATAACACCCAAATGCATACCTCGACCTTGGGACAGAATGTTAGCTCCACATTTCGCAGTAGAACTTTCGACATACTGCGCATTAGCTTCCCTTGCTTTAATTCTCGTGCTCCTTATCCTTCTTTTCGTACTCACAGTTGCTCGGACAATGCCATCCACCAAAGATTCAGTTAAAATCAAGCTAAATCCTGCTATGGATGCACCAGAACGAAGCGAAAAGGAGCTCCAGGTCTCTATTAAGTAAGTAATAATCTGAATTATACAGTTATGACCTGAGAGGCTCAAATAACTTGTTCAAATTTCATATACTAATAGCATCGTCCAAAGTCTTGTAGTAAATGATAAGTACGCCGATGTTCGAATAACGTGCCAAGACAAAGTATGGAAAGTTCACCGGATTGTTCTATTGCAAACAGGTAGTCCATGGTTTGATAAGGCCCTTAATGGCAAATTCATTGTACGTATATGAGGTCTCACGAGTTTGAGTCTCTTTTTGTTGATAATAACATACTCCCTTTTCTAACCTATAAAGGAATCCAGCGGCAATATCGATTTTCAAGAATGGAGCCCTGACGAAATCCACAAATTCATAGCTTACGTCTATGGGAAAAGTTCGTAACTCAATTTTCACAGATTCACACCTCCCCCTATTTTTATTTCCTAAGTGGATACTTACTCATACCAGATATTTCTGCTGGCAACTACGACTTTGTCGATTTGATGAAGCTCTGGGAGATGGGAGATTACTTCCTAATCCCTGCCATGTGCCAGAAGTTACCAGAGAAGTTGCAGGAAGCTCTTGAGAACGCTTCTCTTACTGTGCTACGTTTATATCCAAATGAGGGTAATATTAAGAACTACGCGGCCAAGATGACTAAAGGGGAATGCGAAAAGCAGATAATGGAAATAGCGACACAATTTCGGAAGGCAGTTTCTTACGTATATGAGAAGGCCAAACCTGACGTCCTCAAATCCCAGCTAGCCAAATGCTATTTACAAGGCATATTTCGATGTCATGCAGACTCGCGGTGGGGGATAAAATCACTTATAGAAAACGAAGCACCCGAGTTCGCTGTTGAAGTCTTGCGCCAAATAAGTAGCGTTGGAGAGGAAACTAGGCTCTTAGTAATTCCCCGGAGTTGCTCTTTATGCCATAAGACCGTCTCGAGACCTCCAAAACTCACTCGGAACAAATGGTACCTATTTCCATGTGTCAGAGAAAACTCGACAAGTAGAGAGGTTGTGGGTGGCTGGGATATTAGGGTTGATATTATGTGCCTGAGCTGTATGTCTGATGTAATCGATACCGATGAGATAATCTCGAAGGGGAAGAAGTCATCAAGCAATCACAGCAGTTGAGACATAATAGAGATAATAGACTCTATAATTGGCAATAATTTCTATGTACCTGTTAAACGTAAATCATATCTAACTTGGTAAAAACTCACGAAAGTCCCGTACGTAACTTTAGCGACCCAGCACCGTATAAGACAATTTAGCATAACCTTTCGGTACTCCTTATAAATGAGTAAACCTTCGTCTTCATCTCCATCTTCGCCTATAGGTATAAATACATATGATAGTTTGTAACTAGGTGAGCATTAGTAGCTGATATTGGAAAGTACTAAGGTCCAATAGCCATAATAAGGTATGAAAAGTGGCTCGGGGTCGTACAACAATGCGATACAGACTTGAAGGCTTCTAGGTTAGGTATAATGTAGCAATAATTGCTAACATCTCCTTGTTTGATCCATCATAATTCTGGGAAGCCACTACGAAACGCGGGAGACAACCTATCTATGGGAACAGGGCAAGCTGTGTGTCTCTTATAAGCTGTAGCTGTCAGGTCTGCACTAGGATTTTCTTTGTGGTGTTTACAGCCTCCTAGTTATGCTATGGAAAGGTGCCAACAGGGCTTTTCTATTGTCTCCTTTGTGTAAATTCTTTCCGTCGCTGAATTTATGTGATGTTCAAAAACCCCCGAGTAAAGGATTCATCCATGGTTACCATTTTCTATAGAGGCTAACAACGTTATTTTACGCAAAGTATCACTGTTCGGTTACAGTGAGCATATCACATCACACCCCCTTTATTGAAAACATATGCAGATTATGAACATCCCTGTTGTTATATCACAATATTTACCTTCTACCGTGTATATATATCCGCTAGATTGCGGACATATTAGATTTCTAGCCAGCATCCTTCCAACATATCTCTCTCGCCTACATCTTTTATCGACAACTTTCAACTAATCTAAATCCAATTCAAATTTTACTTAATCTTTATCTCAAATATCTCTCAAAATGGGGCGTGGATCTTACGACACCACTGGGACTAAGCCCAAGCCCAAGCCTAACCCGAAGCCTAAGCAGAGCTTCGACTTCGAAGTCGAAGCCTCCTTATTCTGTGACATGGCTCACGGACGGGAAGGCTTTTTAGCGGGTCTAGGCCGCGCTGCCCTCTATGGGCATAGCGCCGGAGATGACTCCGTCTAAGAGAATGACTATGAAAGGGCTTCGGCCCTACTTCATTAATCTTCTCCCTCTTTGGATTTTCTCTTTGCATTAAGGGAAGAGTTGGCTGAGATTCGTCTGCTGGCAGATGGTCTTACGGAAATGTCCAGTCACTGTTCGGAACACATTAATCATCAACTACGCTCGTATTCACCGCTGTAGTCCAGTTGATTGGTTAGCAGTGTGCTTCTAAGGGGTTCATACCCCTTTATTCAATTTCCTTTGTTTAGGTTGGGAATTGGCGCAAATGACTATTTTACTTAGATTGAGATTTGTATTGAAATATAATCAATTAATTAAGCTAAGTTTATTAACAAATGTGTACACTATAATTTGATTGCATGGTCCTTTGCAGTGATCAATTTCTAAGGTAATATGCTACTCAGAAATAGATAACCCCTGAGACCGCCATCACAGTAAGAGATCATTTCTTTGATTTCATGCCACGGACTAGCCACAGGACCTGCAATAGACCACAAGTTGTCCGACTTGTAAGTTCTCGTCCTTTGGTGGTTTGGCTCAATTAGCAGGTGAGAATCACCCAGCATAGGGCTCAGTCCCTACATCCTGACATTCATCAGAAGATATCTCAAAAATGATAAGCTACATTATGTCTAACACGCCAATGGCATAGGTATCTTCTACATGGTTTCTCAGAGACAAGCTATCGACGGAAATCTTTCTTGATTTATCATGCGCATTAAGCCTTCGCGCGGCAAAAGAATGCTACAGGTAGGTAGGGTAACATTGTTTCCAACATTCGTCGAGTATAAGGTCAACCTTAATTCATATCAGTTCTTCTCAGTTACCTTGACATCAGTAGGGTTATAGAGTGGAGTTGAATGCTAAATTTGCTTGGCATACCCAAATATTGGCCTAAAGGCACCACCTATACAAGGGCTAACTGTCCTCCCTGAAACGCCACTTTGGGCCCATTCTCCCTAATACCCAGAGCGTGGGAAGAGTCAGACAATGAACAACGGCGAATATAACAAAGCACCACCCTGGGCCTAGCGCCCGAATCATAGGTTCTAGCACCGCTAGGCCTACCGCTGCAAATTCGCACCTAATGAGATTATTCGCAGCTTGGGCTGAGGACGACCGATTTGGATGTAAGTCCACTAGGAGCGTATTGAGTGACTGTAAATGTTAGAAAATCAAAAAGATTAATTATGTGTTGTGTACAAGAAAGAAGAGAGGCCTCACCGTGAAAAGAGGCTGCATGGTAAAACCAATAAAAAATTGAAGAACTAGGGGTAGAGCCATATGCTGCGATGATTAGCAACTAACTTCCTACTTTACAACTTGGATAAGAAAACCTACAGCCTTTAGTTGAAGACTCCATCCGTATCCAGCAACCAGGGGTGCGCAAAAAGCTATATGATACTTATTTGTTCGCAGCCGTATATACTCGATTGGAATCTTAGAGACATTATCCCCTCGTAACTGATCAACATGCATTCCCCTGGCCTCTGCAGTTTTTCGATAATCCCTATCGATTATTTTCCCTGTCTCCGTTTAGTCATTTATCATAGTTAGTATTTTATATAGATAATGGAGTATTACCAGCGACGAAAGCAGAAGTGGCACATGCGACTCCAAAAGGTAGATATGAAAGACCTGCTACCAGTCCAGTGATGCTGTATGTTTCAACAAATACTGTAGATAATGAGGCCTGTAAACATGAATAAATAGTGTAGTAGATCCCATAACACAATACAGCTGCCAAAGTCGAACGGTTCTTCAGCAGAGAAAGGACGGAAAGGGGGTTAAGTAATCCTGTCCGGACCTTTTGATCCGGCCTTTGAATTGTATCCCGTTGCCTTAATGCACACAACAGAGTGATGGGAGGTAGATTGATCAACGGTGGCCAATAGCTGCCATTCCCAACGATGCTTCTGCATGTTTCTGGTAGGAGGAGGAGAATAAATATGAGCACTGTTGACGATGCAATCGTTAAAAACCAAAAAATGGAGGGCCAATTCCATCGAATGAGAAGCAACCCGCTAATTAAAGGGGCAATGCTTGGAGGTGTATTCAGACTAACAAGGATGGTTAGCATATGAGATACCCCTGAACCCGAAAACATTGCATACAATATAGAAACAAATCCGGTGTATCCTCCCCTATTAGCTGGTGTAGTTAAGTCGCCAATGATCCCATAAGCGATAGAGAATGTTCCTGGGAATGTTAGTATAGGCGCAAGCGGCGAGTTATATCTTATTATTACCAGATATTGCGGCGCTCTGTACCATACGCAAAACGAAGAGGCATGCAAAGGACCTTTGGATAGCTAAACCAACATTTACCGCCGCATATATGCAAAGACACACAATGATAACTGGACGACGGCCATATCTATCGGCGGCATCTCCAGTTATAGACGGGAAGATTCCAGAGGCTATCAGATACGAGGTTACCGTGAGGTTGATATTCTCGACTGAAACTTTGGTGTCCCTGGCTAAGAAGGGTATAGCTGGAAAGTAAACGAAACTACTGGCCGTAGAAAACCACCCAGCTAAAGATGCGATGAAGATAATCCATCTCTTTTGTCTAGGAGAAAAGGCAGAATAAGGCGGGGGTTGGGTGGGAACTGTCCTGGCCGCGATGGCCGAAATCGGCTTCTCACTATCATCAAGCTTAATGTTCATGAGTTGCTGGCCTTGGGGCTGGGGAGTTTCAGTGACTAACGATCTCATGTTATCTATCGTTGGATGTATAATGATGTTAGATTTGCAAACAGAAACAAGGGAGGTATTGAGGTTCTGTTTGTGGGTTGAGTATTGACTGGCATGTATCTACTCGAATTGGATTGTGGAAATGGGCACCAATCAGAGAAGAGATATAACCGCCTGTTCCGCTTATAAAATAAGATATTAATACCGGTATCATGTCGTGTGGCTGCTCCTCTTCAAGGCATTATTCATGTAGTAGCCTCTCTACATTAAACTCTTGATATTTTAGATGCTTGAGTACTTATCAAACAATGCCAATAGCGGTAGATTTGTATAGGAAATACGGAGTGCTAAGGGAGGGGTTTTGATTTCTCTGTAATTATTTCTACGGGAATATAGACGGCCATGGCATGTTTTTTACCCTTATTATATCAAATTTCATGATCCATGACCTGAATTTCCCTGAATTTTAGCCCATTCTCGACAATGGCAAGTTCCCCATGAAGACAAAATACGAAGTTATCGTCAACGCTCTTTGTTGGAAGCGTTTGATAGATTGAAGGAATATACTCATTTGGAACGAAGAAGTGCCGAGAGAATTGTCTGGTGGCAACGTTTTCAAGGTCGATGCTGCATAGCCATGAGTTCCTATGTAAAAATACGAAGGCCTTTGCTCGCTGACTAACTCCAATGAAATATCGAGAACACTGGGTTAATAAATCATTAAGAGGCGTTATAGTCTTCGCGTTTCCGAATATGTCTTTGAGGTCAAACATAAAGACAGTTGATGAAGTGAGGTACCCTGAGTTGTAATGGACCTCGAGGACAAGGATATGTGGATCGGGATAAATGAATGCCGAATGAATCTGAGTTTCCACATCACCACTTGGCAATTCATATTTTAGATGGACTTCTGCGTTATCGGTGGTTGACGGAAAAGTACTTGCGCTATAGCGTCTAAGGACATGGTTGTTGATGAGGTAAAACTGCCCATCATTGTCGTTAGTCGACCCCTGAACCCATCTCCATGCATGTCTCTTCTCGGGATCGAACGATAACGATCCTACACAAGAACTATCCTTCATAGAGTAGACAACGTCTGAGCGCGATGTTGCGACCAGAAGAAAGTTGTCATCGGCGCTGAGACAGAGCTGTGTTATCTGGCCAGATAGAGATGTGTGTAATAATTGCGACTCGCATCTCAGCATCGGCAGTTGACTTGTAATCAGCCTCCAAACCTGCAAATTACCATTTACATCACTTGAGGCAATGCAGTTATCTTTGCTCGCTACTATCTCTGTGACAAACGCTGTTGGTGAATGAGAATAAAGCACAGAGACCTGCTTCCCGGTCTGGGTATTGAAAGCAATGACTTGACCGGTGTATTTTCCAACGAAGACGATGGCAAGTGAAGGATGAGCACAAAGGGCAGTGATCCTTGATATCCTCAGTGACTCATACTGCCCCTTAATGGTGGGTAATCGAACAGCTTCATTGTTAACACTCTGGTCCTCCTCAATATCTTTTCGTATAAGTGCAGCGGGAGACCAGATGCGCACAGTGGAGTCTGTTGCGTCAACTACACTAGATCCATCAGGCGCAAAACTCAATATCCGAAAGGATGTTACCGGCAACAGGACATGGTACAATAAGGACAGTGACTCGAAGTCCCAGATCTGCAAATTCCCGCGCATGTCAATAGTTGCAAGTGTTCTCCCATCTGGGGAACATGTGGCAGACAGTATACCCATATCAATAGATGCCTTATTACTATTGACAAGCTCCCCAGACCAAGTATCGTAGAGTGATATGTCGTGATTCGTGTAAATGACTAGAAGCAAGTTTATATTAGGGTTGGGATTGAACAATAAGATTGAAGCAAGCTTGTTCTCCTCGTCCACAACCCAGCCGATCAGTTCGCCAGTATGAAGATCCCAGAGACAGATTGTACCACCTCTGTACGCCAAAGCAAGCATTTCCGTGTCAGGGGATATCGAGGCTAGCGAGGGAGCTTTTCCAAGCAGGCCCCCAGATTCACAGTCGCCATTATGGTTTCTATATGGGAACGTTCGATCTTCAAGTAATGTACCATTTAGTAGATCCCACCTTAGTAAATGTCCATGTTGTGATATAGCAATAAGGAAGTCACCAGAAGAGTCCAAGAAGATGCAGCGGAACCTTATCCTCTTTTCCCATAGTAGGTTTCCTTTCGAGTCCCACACCACCACAGTTCGGATCGTGCATGCCGCTACGTGTCGGCTGGTAAGGTGCAGAAGATCGACGGGATATTGTTGCCGAATTTGCCCTATCTTCTGGCAACTGCGGTGGTTATAAAGGTTTATATCACCAGATTCCATGCCTACAGCGATCACATTCTCTCCGCAGGAGACCGTCGCAGGTATGCTCTCCTCGCCAAAGCTGACAGACGCAATACAATCATCCCATTCGCTATCTTTGAATCCTACAATCGTCAGACCGTCGGGCATTTTCCCAAATTGTTGGTAGATTGCGGAGTTCAAAGGACAGAGAGGCGGGATAATGAAGTAAACCGATGAAGGATCTTGTAAGAGAACGTCGCCGAATTTAGTCACTATCCGGCTTAGATCCATGGACCAGCCGTCAATATTTTTAACTTGTTTCTTCAACTGTGACCGACATCCGGCCCTACGGTCCAAATATGCCCTCAAATTCTTCGAGGCTCTGATTAGACAATGAAGCTCACCTTTCATAGCCATCCTTTCAATCCAGGATAAAACATTCATCCTGAAAAACCTATCCATCGCAAGCAGAAGTTTATCGCTCTCCGTAGACGCGCTATATATGTGTTCGGAAAACTGGGTCATCGCGTAGTCAAGGAAAGGGGATGGTTCCTCTGGGCATACCCTCGTGCTTAGTCGTCCACGGTTTCGAGGTGGTTGCATCTCAACGCTACATAATAACTTCAAGCATGCCATGGCAATTCTTTCGTGTGCGGACGGCATACAGATACGAAACTCTCCCGCATTCTCGGTCAAGAGGAACTCTTGAGCTGTAGGGTGAATGAGGCTTACCACACTAGAATCAACGTCGACGAATACTAACTGGCCACAGACCCCTTCCACGGCGCTTTTGGCGCTAATGAGGACAGTGTTGATATCCAGTTTGATCGCCTGTAAGAGCTCCGAAACGGTCAGGTTTCGGTAAGTTGCCACGGACCATAGCAGAACGGCTTGGGCAATGTGTTTCTCCAACTTATGCTCCGCCATTGCTTTAGTAGTCCCCTCATAATATGCTATCATCCCCTCTGGAATACTCTGAAGTATCTGAGGGATACTCTCATTCGAGTAGACTTGCTCAAGTTTATCTAGTACCACCCGGACCCACAGAAAGCAAGCATTGGACCTTTGAAGAATGCGATTTGCAAGATCCTGCTTGTCTGCTGTAGCATCAATTGGCAGATTATCAATGCGGCTACTATTGTAATGCTCGATATCATGCATACTATCTTCGACAGGTATTTCGATACATGTCAAAGATACAGAGCCTTCCAGAGGGCGATATAACCTCTGCATATCCGGGAGTTTTCGGCTTGTAATGAAAATTCGGAGAGGAAAGTTCGGCTTTTCGCCTCTGATCATTGCAAAGAACTCTTCGTATTTATTGCACTCATCAACCGCATCTACTACCCAGTATTGAGCGTTGTCGAGTCGAGACTTTTTGATATTAGTTTACTCATTCCTAAATGTTGTAGTCTGAAGCATACCTGAAAAATTCCCCTTTTAAAGACTTTTGTCCATATTGCGTGCGCATCGTCCAAATCAAACGATGAGCCTTCTTCGTACAAAGAGGTTAATCGCTGACGAATAGAAGCGCTTGATAACGCCATTTGATAAGCTGTTGATCGTAGAAAGTCGCCTAAGGATCGTGAAGCTTGGTTGCCAATGTGGAAGTAGTAGTAGGCACACTCAAGTTGGAATTGGCGAAGCTTGGAAACGACATGTGCCGCAAGATATGTTTTGCCAGTTCCAGGATTGGCATGAACCCAGAAGATTGAAGGGCCTCTGATATTTGCTTCTTGATTTCCCCCGTCGCCCGGGGGGTCTCTCCAATCTTGAAAGTCACTTCGAGAATAAATCCATTGACAAGATCCATCAATTGCTGGAAAATTTTCGTCCGGGAGATCTGTGATACTAAGGTACGACTTCAAGGTTTTCATTTGTTCCCGTGGCATCTTTAAGCTGTTCCTCGAATCTGTACCTACGAAATTAGCAAGTAGCTGAACTTTGACCATTCACATAAGAATTTCTTGTGCTCACCATGTTTCAACAGATCTTCTACTGCACTCGATAGTGCGTTATTGAGGGTTATATAATTAGGGTCGTCCATGTTCTCAAATTTACATATGTCTCGATGGTTAGCATTCATATACTGAACACGTTCATTCGCGAACCCCGGTCCTAAAGTCACATAAGCTTCGTCAGTGGCTCGGGTTTCAAGAAAGGGGTGACACTAAAATTTAGTGAGCTTTTACCAAGGACAGCTGAGCTCCCCTCTACAATCAGACTTGACGAAATTCCCAGGTTCATTCTTAAAGTCTCGTAGAAAGAGAATATTTGCGTGCCATTCGCGTATTTCCCAAAGTCATCGTTGATCAGACTTGTAGAAGTTGAACCGGTAGTTAAGTCATCGATATATTTACGGGAAGACATTATTCCGGATATAGCCAGAATGTTGTTAAGGGTCGCCGCCTAGTCAGATCCTCTATGTGGCGTTGCAAGAAAGAAGATGCACTTGATACGGCCTCTGAAATCCGATACATCCCTCGCGAGGATAAAGGCCTACCTCCATGTAGGTTAGTCACGAATTACAAATGACCTATAGTAGCACATAGGTAAGATCTTGCCTTTTTCACCACAAGTCCACCCATGGAGTGCCCAAGTAATATGATAGGCCCCTGTGCTCCGTAAGCCTTGGAACATTACGGAACGATCAGACCCCTTACACCTGGATTCTTTCTTAGATGTGGCGAATTTCTCATTTCTTCCAGCAGCGTCTGTCCGAAGTCGTGAACATTGAGGATGCTTGGTTTCGTGCTGGCCCAATCGGAGTCATCCAAAACTATGGACATTGACATTTCGCAACCCGGGTTCCATGGGCAGCCACAATTGCGGCCAGAACTTACGGGGGTCATTGTCCTTCCGCCAAGTCTTTATCGAGCCTCCTCGTAAGCCATGCACAAATATCAGATCAACTAGCGGCTCAGGAGAGGAATGTAGGATCCTGAGCCCGAGAGGGCCCCTGATACCATCTTCGTCATCTTTATCGGACCGTCTTTTCACCCATGAACTGGTGAATCGTTTCTTCAAGGAAGGTCTCGAGCTATTCACGGCTGGTGAAGACTTGGAGTGCGATGGTAGGTCGCCTGAGAGGATTTGTGACGCATGCGACGTGTCGCTCATTGCCTACTTTGGTCAATGAACTCATTAATAGGTGTTCTGAGCGGGAGCAGGTGATTGAATCACTGCCTATTACTTACCAATATAACATGCCCGCAACATACCCTGCTCTAGCAGACTGCGAGTGAGCTGTAGATAGGTAGTTAATTTAACAAATGGAGCGACAAGATATTCGGTGGTCGGGCGGTAGTCAACCATGCTTCCCAGAGTGGAACGCCTGCATGGTTAATACTCTACATCCAACAATTCTGCCAGTGGCCAATCAGATCGCAATACACTACGATACCTGTAACGCCTCAGCGCTTATCACATATGATCTTGGCCCCCAATATGTGAGCCTTGCGGATACCCGCTCATCTGGTACTCGTCTCTTCTAGCACCCGCTTAGTCACTTGAGAATTTCCCATCACAGTTATAGCTAGCCATATTTATATCCATTCCGTTAGTAGCGATAATGAGCATCACAGTTCTAGATAAAAAAATCGTATCAGGTGAGTGAGTAGCGGGATGCGTATAACAATAAAAGTTAATGGCTGTATCAGCTCTGCCTGCAAACTGTGAGGTGATATCAGTGACCAAGGATACGAAAACAAATGTAAGTTTTGAAAAGTTCGACTCATTCTCCTCTAGATTGCCCAGATAAACTGTCGAGATGGTCAATGGCCTCCTATAATAATTCCAAGAGCCCCGAAGTACAACCATATTTACCTAATCACTAACATACACATCTTTTCAGTGGTCGACAGGCCTTCGAATCGCTGTTGGGGTAGCCGATGAAGTTCAGGAGTTCTTCGTTAAGGTGAGTGTGAGCCTTTATATGTATCTCAGGGCTAAGGAAAGTATATATCAAGGTTGTTGAGCGGCCTGAGTTCGTTGGCATGTCCGAGGCAGAATATGAGGGACAGAAGGCTCTCGCAACTTATATTCCTGATAACGTTATAGCCCCGGTTGCTTGGGGGCTCTTGGAAAACGATAACTCTAAGTCTTTCTTTCTTACACGCTTCCGTCATCTGCAGGCCGGTTCCCCCCCAACCTTGCAGTTCTTAGCGATCGTGAAGAAACTGCATCTATCATCTGTATCGCCCACGGGGAAGTTTGGCTTTCACGTTACAACGTTTTACGGTCCTCCCCCTATGATCAATGACTGGACAGATAACTGGGAGGAGTATTTCACGCGGCAATTTCGGGCGAACTTGGTATACGCGCAAGAAGAGCGCGGCGAGGACCCCGAGCTGCAGTCTCTCGCTGAAGAGTTCATTGAGAAGGTAATCCCTAGGCTTCTGAGACCTCTACAAACAGGAGGCAGAAGTATCAAGCCTACGTTATGCCACGGTGATCTCTGGGATGGTAATATTCGGATTGACGTGGAGACTAAGCAACCGATTATGTTCGACTCTTGTTGCTTCTATGGGCACAATGAAAGTCAGTATGCACAAGACGTAGGATGATGTTCTGCTAATAACCTTCAATGACAGTGGATCTTCAGTGTATGGGAGACCCTCGCTACGCTCTCGGAATGGAGTTTATAGACCTCTATAAGAATGAAGTAGGGGCATCAGAGCCAAGACAAGATTTCTATGATCGACATGCCTTATACGCGGTGTAGGTCTAGCTCCAAGTATTCTGTACCCCGATATAGAAAGATTCGACGCTAATGATCTTCAAAGACGCAACAATATATGCACGGCAGGAATGTGGCCACAGTGGGCACCGTTGTTGACAACGTATGCACCCAGACTGTCTAAGTAGTCATCCTATAGCCTATACACTACCTAGTCGGTTAGGCTAATACGTTATAGTGCTAAAGAGGAGATGCGTCGACTGTTAACCAAGTTCCCTGACGGCCTGAGTGGTTTCTATGGGGGATTAGAGAAGTGAATAGACACATCGGTACTGGCAATTCTGCTAAGTCCAAGCAATGTTGGCTTATAGACATGGACACGTTCACTTCCGCGATCTAAGTCGAAGGATATGCGTATGTGTGTATTTGAGGGGTGACTAGAATCCACGACATTGTTTCGTGAAGAAACATTTTAATTCCAATTTTCTGTAGAGGCGGATTTTAGCGTATTAGCTGGTTGTGGCTGTGCATGATAAACTCCCCGGCAATTGCCCAGCGCGTACCTTGTAAAACTGGGGCAGGTCCATAGCTCTCAATTGTACAATACGAGTACCCTGCTAAAAGGCTTGGCACCGTTATATAGCGTTAGACCGGCAGGACTAGGTGCTCAACCCACCACGGGCAGCTGCACGGGATTACGTATCGTACGTGGGTTGAAAGAATTAGGTACCTACATCGATACAAACATTACAGCAGATCGTCATGTATTAAATCTGCATGTACCACACGAGTCAACTTTAGGCTACTGGTACTTGATAACGTGCGTACCTACAGGAATAGAAGGAACAGTCGGTAATTATCCAGGTATCCAGAGTTTCCAAATTCTAAATTCTAAATGGTAAATGGTTATTTTCAACCTTTTCAACTTCATTCGTACTAATTTCCCTTTCTTCAACAATAACAACATCGTCATGGCGTCCAGTCGCAGATAATTACCCGAGTCCTTCTTTCGTACATAATCCAAGCAATTTGTAACATTGAATATCAAACATCGATCATTAGGTACACAACTACCAGACACCCCGGCAACGACACCCTATACAGGGCCCCTCTTATACCTTTTTTTCCTCCCGCCCTGCCTCTATTCTGTTCAATCTATGACCGCGATTCGCCTCATCCGCATCCATCCTCTAAGCGCCTATTGGGTTTCCGCGATAATCTTCGTATAAGCAATTACTACTTCTACCGTGTTCGAAATCTATCAACCTCAACCTCCGACGAAATCAATACAAATTCTATTTGTATCTTGAAATAGAGCAATCCTCCCATTTCTCCCCCAACCCGAGATTCCGGTGTGATTTAGCATAGATGTCGCGATAGAAAATCGGGCATCTCTTGATTCGCCACCATGAATGACGGAACATATAATAATGTTGTGCGGAGCAACAGCCCGTTCTCCCCCATGTGAGCTTTTCTTACTATCTAGCATCTTTTTACACAATATCATCCAGGATGTGGTTATCAAGGCTATTCACCACTAACATCTGTACTATCTTCGAAGGACACCATCCACCGCGAACAGCTACAAAGCGAATGTGAATCGAACGAAGACGAGGAAATGGGTTGAGGCCAAAGCACAGAACTACGATGGCGATGATTGGGGTAACGAGTACGAGGAGGAGGAGTATGATGATCCCGAACCAGAACCAGCACCTCCCACACATCCAACATCAAGAATTGCTGCTCTACGGCAACAAGCGGCGAATGCTCCCCAACAAAGGGTTTTTTCTCAATCTACAGCTGCCGCCGATTCCAACAAGCCCGGCCCATTCGAGACGAGAAGTCCCAGTGGCCCGCCGGCCTTGCACATACAGACCGGAGTCGACCCGCGGTCTCGCTTGACCGGGGGTATCTCGTCTGCTCAGAGTCAGACCCGTTTTCCACCGCGCGAGAGTAGTATGGGCCGACATGAAGCTTCGGGTTCGAGAGATATTGGCGCGCCTGGGTCGGGTACGGAATCAGGTAGACCCAGTGTCGAGAGTAGCTACGGTCGAACTGATATCAAGCCTTCATCAGTAAACGCTATCCGCTCCTCGATAGAACAGCGCGAAAGGGCCAGCTTTGAAAGCCATAATAGTTCCGATAATTCTCGTGGTCTGAAACCAACACTAGCTCCTGTTGAAGAAGGGAAGAATGGACCTCGAGCCCTTGCCGACGAGACTGAGTTAGGCCGGAGCCTCGCACACCAACGACGGCTGTCTACCAGTCCTAAGTTACCCGATCTAGCACGTATGTCAGGGTTTGGTGATGATTTCTTCTCGTCTTCCGGAGGTTCCAGTCCGTTGGGGCGTCCTTCTCTCCCCTCAGTCTCGGATAACCAGCAGACTAGTGTCGCGGGTGCCAAGCCTAGCCCATCATCTAGGCCGGATAATAACCAGCGTGACACTACAGGACTATACGAAGATAAACATGCTCCTAGTGCATTAGAAGGACCAAAACTCGAACCCAACCCCAAAATCATTATGCCACCATTAGGTGGAGATCTAGAACCAAAGAAAGAAGACCCCGTAGGAATATCTCAACAATCTGCTCCGTCTAGACCTCAACTTCCTGGGACTTGGGTATCAGAAACTGTTAGTGTCGGTTCCGAACACCCAGCGCCCGCAGAAAAGGCCGAGGGGCCCGGGTCTACATCCTTGGGCAGCATTGTAAATCCTGCTGTGTCTCCAATAAGCAGCAGACACGCGGAGCCTGCGGATCTTGAGCCAACCACTGCCGTTAAACACTTGCCATCAACACAAGCCGATTCGGAAGCAGCAGCGAACAATAAAACCTCGCAAGAATCCGGGGAAGACGGCTTCAATAGACCCACCGGAAAACACGACGGCGCTATAGCGTCTAAGGTCATTTCTTCAGGGCCGGGTTTTCATCCGACCCCTCAATATCTTCCGCCTCTAAAGACAGAAAATCCTCTTGCTCCATCTAACGCCAACCAGAAGAACATCCCTGCGAACGAGATGGCACCGAGATCTTCGGGCTATAATGATTCACCATCCCGATCATCTTTCACTCAGCAGAGTGCAACCACCACCGGATCGGGTTTCGCTCCTACCGCACCGTTAAATCCCCGCCGGTCTGTCGCTGCTCCCGCGGAGTTGATAACTCCAGCAATACAGGAGCGGAAGTCTACGATGAGCACCGTTGATACAGCATCGCCAGAAAAGGAGAGTGACAAGTTAAGAGAGGAGATTTTCAAATCTTTAAGCGCAAGTCCAGCCACCACGACCCCTGATGCGAGTGCCGTCCTGGGCTCGGCAACTGGCGCCTATGATCCGGCTCCGGGCAACCTGACTCGAGAAAGTACGTACTTATCTGGGGTATACGATGAATACTTATCACAGCCGGAAGAAAAATCCCTTCAAGAAACAGGTCAACTTCTCAAGCAAGGACCTAAAGTAGCTAACGAGACGACTTCTGGTTCAAATGTTCAGAGGGAAACCTCTTTCCCAGAGATTGCACCCTTGAGTCCACGTAGGAGCCCAGTTCAGGAGACTAATCGCCGGCCAAGGCGGTTTTCATGGGAGAACAGCGCAGACAAAAGCATACCGAACACCGCCGGAACAGACCCAAATGCGCCGATATCCGCTGATAACTTGAACCCTACTACCCCAGGTGAAAATAAGCAACCTCAAGGGTCAGAGACAGGTGCGGCCAGCATTCCAAGCGCCTTGCAGGTACAAACCGATGGTCATAGCCCAGGATCACATCAAGTTTCTCAAGTCAGTAGCCAGAGTCCTGGAGATTTAACATCAGTTCTACCTGAACCACTCTCCCCTATCTCGTTACCTCCGGACACGAATCTTGATGCTCAAACATCAATGCCCGACATTTCCCGCCTGTCGTTCGCAGATGAAAAGGAGAAAGTGCTTATCCAAGCATCACCCCATACGCCATCTGTCGAACAGCATCCGGCGCTGTCTAATCCAACAGATCTGGCACCTACTCCGTCCCCTACCATCCCAACAGCTCCAGCGGCCCAACCGGTGTCAAATGCAAAGGTTATGGCCTTTAGAGATATCTTGAACCTTGTGTCAATCGAACAGAGAATCGAGAAGTTCGATGAGACGCGGAATCAATTCTACTCGATGGAATCGGGTCTGTCACACTGGCTTTCATATATGCAGAGTCAGCCAGAGCTCGGGGCGGGAATAGCGCCCCTGGGAAGGCAGCCTACGATTCAAGGCCAAACGTCACCGTCTGGCGTTAAGCCGTCGACCCAACAACCTTACTATCAACAATACCTAAATGCTAGCAACCCGGGTGCACCACCGGGGCAAACCGGAAGGGTACCAAGCGGCGGCCTACAGCACATGTTTACAGGGCAACCTATAAGTAGTTTCGGGCCATCTGGTAAGGAGGTTGGGGCGAAGAGCAAGGAGCTCTTACAAGCGGCGGGAGCATTCGGTAACAAGGGTGTGAAGTCCGGTATGAAGCTATTCACTAAAGGAAAGAATAAGCTTCGCGGGACAGGCGACAAGGCGTTCTTCTAGTATTGCAATCCTCCCCTCTTTCTGTTTTACTCGACTAGGGACACGGCATAGGACGGCGGCAGTGCATTGCTTTTTGGGACAACATATTTCTCGAGTGGATTTCTTTTAATAGGCAACGGGGTGAGGTCGATCAGCAGATTCGTATTTTCTTCCCCCTGCGTCTCAAGTCTCACAAGTCTTGCGAGCTGCGCGCTTGCACTTCTCATATGTATTGTACTGGTTCGTCTCGTGGGCATACATGTTTGCAAATCGGCTTGAACAAAAGGGAACAGGTCGTGGGATGGGATGTACGATTTATTGAGAAGGCATATTTGATCGATCATGTATGAAAATAATTCGATCTACCTAAACAAAGTAGTAGTGAGATTTTCGCCGAGATTTATATGTAAGCGTCCCGCATCGAATCCTTCTCTGCATGGGTTTCGGCCAATCAGCTCCACCGGTGGTCTCATTTTAGCTCGCAAACTCCCCAAATCACGATGATCTGCCACCGTATGCACCCGTTTCCCGAAACAGATCAAAGAGTTGGCAAGGATCGGACGTTCTTTCGTGGCATACTTGTGTAACCTATCTGCATGTCTTGGTTTACGCATGTATCATAGCGCAGCCCTCGAGATATCTAGGTAAGTTGGTAGATATTATCGTTTGTAGGATTCGTTCATGACCGAGGTCCGCGAAAATGAAGCAAGTGGCGCGAGAAATACCATAAGTAGCAGTTTAATGCACTGTAATTTCATCGTATATAGTCCCATGATAACCTCACTCGTACTACCTTTGCTAAGCTAGGTAACTTAGGCATCTTGGTGGTTAAGCACACGAGGATTCCTGTCTTACTTACATATGCTTCTATCCTATCATCAGCCCGCTAGTCATGCTGTGTTCATTCCGCTTACTTAGTGCTACTACTATCTTTACCTACCTACCTAGGGTACTTAAGTATGCTATCCATACATTCCGGAGGCTTGACGAGTGGTCGCTAGTATGGGGAACCGGGACACTTAGAGGATAATAATAGAACTTATCCCTTCTTGGAGATCTTACCGACATCATCTGCATTAGTCTTAGAGGCTTGTCGACCTATTTACATCGACATCGACAAGCGCAATTCTTCTTGCAATATTCGGTGGCTCTGGATATACTACAATGTAGGAAAGACGGGTACCAAATTAATTCAAGTCCGTCGTTCATAGGTAGGATTTAGATAGTCAACGTCAAACGTTTACCGCGTCCGCACGTGCCGACAGGGGACATTGTCCCTCTCATTAATGCTCATCGTCAATTGCATGTCTTGCTCTCGCTTCATTGGCCAGATGAGGAGGGGAATAGGTAAGAGGAGATATTCCGCCAACACAGCCACCCTATCCGCAGGGCAACACCAGCGGAAGCAATATCTTCTCCACATCCATAGGCCTTATTGTTATTGTTATTACGCCCCCAATCTGCAACACTGTGGCTCTAGGCCATCCCGGAGACGAAAGGGTTTTATTTGATCTCCTAGAAAAGGTACGAGCATCATCGTCTTTATGATTGGAACTCGAATCATTGGCTCGTATTTCACCTTCTCATAAGAATTGTCAACTGTAACACCCGGAACAGCTTTTATTACAGCCCTACTGAAGAACTGCCTGCCAAGGGTACCCGGTCGACGTAGTCCTGCCAATCAATCGAGCGCAGAGACAGGAAACGGTCCGGGATTATCATCATAAGAGAGGCCTGAAGAAGCCAAGAAAGCCTGACCAACGGACCGGATCAGCCAACCACGTCGACCCAGCTTCAGCTCCAGGTACCAAGCAGTAATAAAAAATTGGATCCTACCAACCATAGCATAGTACCAACCATCTGTGTCCGCTGCCGTCCACTGCCCACCGTCCATCGCCTAGCTCATCCCAGCCTTTCCAGGCATCCCAGCAATTTCAATCCCAGATTCCGCCTCTTCGTCGGGAACGCGAACACGTCGTCTCTCACCGTCGCTCGTGCTGCAACTCCACTTCTTCAACTTCACCTCTGTTAATATCGCCTTCAAAAGTCGCCCAAACTCTTCGACGGCGAGTCCTAGATCGTTCACCGTAGCCCGTTCCTCTCCGGGGCTAGCTGCATTATTGGTTAATGAGGTACTTTTCCTACCCTTCCTTCGCGTCTCTTCAGCCCGGTCTAGTTTCGCCTACTTCCGAAACAGGCCTTTTCTTCCTTACACATAAATTCTCATCTTAAGGCTTCCGCGATAAAAAAAAAAGAACCTCTGTCTGCCTCCTTGCCAATTGTACGTATAAGCACATATCTCAGCAAGCATCGCTGCACCAGCCTAGTTGGGAATCAATCTCCAGCGCTCCGCTCTTAGTGGAAGGAGATTTCAAAACGTAAGCCGGTCAAAACAAGCCGGCAGCATTGCAGCGGGCGCTACATCAATCAGCACTCGAATCAAGTGCATGAAAAACATAATGTCGCGCATTTAAATTGCCAATAGTGGATTGGAACGAATGCGCCAAAGTGACATCGTCGGGGATTACCAACTCTAGACCCTTAACTGTCCAATTGACCGCCCACGTCAGACCATGACCGTACCCATGGCCGCTGACAGGACAAACTCGCCAGCTTTCGGTGGTCCTCAACCGCATGAGAGCAAGCCCAGCTCCGGTTTCACACCTCTGCCGCCCATCCGCAGAACTTCAACTATCGATCTGTTATCAAGAACGAAACTGGGGGCTGACGAAGACGACAGGAATCCGTCGCCGGTTGGGGATTCAGATAATGACGTGCCGCCACCGCCTCCCGCAAAAGAGGATATGAGCTATCAAAACGGTAACGGGCATATTCCCGGCCAGGGACAGGCGAACCAGGACGTCGCGCATCCGAGTCAGCCTCAAAATTTTGCTCAACCACCTCAGCAGCATCCCGTTCTTGCAAACGGTCAACCCCCAAACCCCAATGGGTACGCAGTTGGTAGAGGCGCTCCTCAGCCTAATGGATTTCCGCAACAGATGTTCATGGGACGTGGAGGACCTGTAGGGCCGCATCACCAATTTCCAGGCCAACCAGGCGCGCCTATGCAAAATCCTGGCCAGCCCTTTATATCACAAATGACCGGCAATCCAATCCAAAAGTTCCCTCCTAACAGTCAATGGAAGCTGGAGGAGTCGCATCTCTCAGAACCTCTGATCCAGCATAAACCCCGGCCGGGCGCAAATAGCCCGTCGCCACAGCAACCTAACAACTACGCCGCATATGATAAAGAAACAGAAGATCCGCTGCCGTCGGCCAAGGGCCAAACTAGATCTGGACCGCGACCGAGGAACAACAGTAATAGCATACCCCCGGTCTCGGCAGAACGGTATCGTACGCATAACATCTTCGTTCCCCAAGGCCACGACCGGGGTCACGTCGGGCCTCCGTATCAACCTGGTCACCCTCTTTTCCGGGGCGGACCCAACGATGCGGCCGGCCAGGGTGGAAGAGGGTCGCATGATGCCGGGCCTAGTAAGGAGATGGATAGTAAGTTGACCCAAACCCAATGCTGGTCATATATCTAATATATTCTCGGTTAGTCCACGTTGATGAAGTGTCGGTCTCAAGCACTGCTAGTGAGGAAAGGCCTAAGGATGGTAGACGAGGTTCCGGATTCTTTAGCCTCCCTAACCGTCGCAACACGGGCGAGCAAGGGTCTGAGCAGAATGCGTCTGGGAAAGAAAAGAGCTCTTTCTTCGGCGGAGTATCTAACCACAACAAATTCCAGCCGAAGCAGAAGTCCAACCTTGGTTCTTCTTTTGACCATGATGATACCTCGGAGCATGTATCGATGAAGAAGCGTCTATCTGAGCTCACGGGGATGATCAAAGGAGTGGGGAATGCGAAGGAGGGGGCCAAGGATGATCAACCCGCTAAGCCGAGTACCGCGTATCCTTCGTCGAGACCTTCATTACAAGGCCCGATGCGAACCCAGACGGGACAAATGCAGCCAAGTCCGTTGGGAAGCCCTCCGCTAGGGATAGAACGAAGCAGTACTGGTGGAATGCGACCTCCAGAAACCCAGCAACTCCAGGATGCCGAGGGAGAACGTGAGAAGAAGCCCATGGGCGGGTTCTTGGGCGGGCTTTTCAACAAGCAAGGATCGAAACCTCAAGAGTCGAAGCAGCAAAATCAGCAGACGCCGCCGCATGTTCAACGACCACAACACCAATTCCCCATGCAGCCTGGCCGATTTGGGCCGGGTCAGATGCCACCCCCTGGACAACAGTTTCCTCCGCACCCGGTGTTCGCCGGTCAGCAATCTCCTATGCAGGAAAGCATACCAGGACAGCAGGGTCGGCAACCTATGGCGCCCGGTCAACCGAATATGACATCGCCTCTGGCGCCCCAGTTCCTCGGGACCGCGCAAAGAGTGATGATGCGTAGGCCTTCGGAAATAACCGTCTCTTCCCAGAACCAGCCAGCTGGGCCGCAGATGTCGACGAGCCAACGGTCACAGTTCGGGCCCCAGCAAGGTCCACAAGTTAATATTCGACCAGCTACGGCGCAAGACGCCGATGGTAGAAGTATAGGCAAACAATCAGGAGACGACGTATTTTCCGGGCCCAGCGCATTTACAAGAGACTCGCCCCACCGCTCCCGTCCGTCTTCTCCAGACGTCGGCGGATCACAAATCGCAACCCGGATCACTCCCAACAGGAAACCCGTCGGCTCCGGTTTCTCGAGACAAGACGGAACGTCGCCTAGCTCCTCCCCGCAGACCAAGAAACCGGCCAAACCGAGCGATCTGTCACAGGCCGATAGCAACGAGGAGGAAGAGGTACCGTCCAGCCAACTCCCATCTGGTCAGCAAAGCCCTACCCTCGGTAAGTTAGGTCACGTGCGCCAGACGTCTCTCCCGTCCCCAGGACGGCCCCTTGTTATCACATCTCAGCCCGGGCAGGCGAACTACCAGCCTAGCGTAGGCGGCACACCAGTCTCTCCGCACGGCCCGATGTCGCCGTCGCGGGACCAGCAGCTACAGGGCCAAGCGAACGAGGGTCCCCAGCGCCAACGCGGCATGTCGCAGCCGGGCCAGGGGCCGGTCGGCTTCGCTTCTTCTTCTTCTTCCCCGTCCGGGTTCGGCCCGCAGCAGCAGCAGCACCACGTCCCGGGCCAGATCCCGGCGGGCTGGGGCCCCAACTATTCCTTTGCTAACCAGCAACGTCCAGGGCAACCGCTCCAGCACCACCATGCCAGCGCGCAAGGGGTGCCGCGCTTCGTCGCCCTGCCCCCGTTCCAGCAGGAGACTATAAACAAGTTCTTCGGCACCGACCCGAGGGACAAGACCATAAACCCGGCGACGCAGCAGCAGCAGCAGCCCCCGCCGAAGGAGGCGAAGGAGAAGAGCGCTAAGGAGAGGTTCCTCGGCGCGATCAAGCGCGTCAGCAAACAGACCGGCGGCGGATCCGATTCTGTGAGCGGCTCGCCGAAGCCGGATAAGACGCAGCACCCGCAGAAGCCGCCACCTGGACACCACACGCCTCCGTCTACGGCACGGCCTCAGCAGCCGGGTCAGCCGATGACGCAGCAGCAGCAGCAGGCGATGATGACGCGGCCGCAGATCAGCGGGCCGGCGCCGGCTGGGCCGATGGGCCCGATGAGTAATATGCCACCTGGCCAAGGCCGCGGGGCGCCTTCAAATTACGGACCTATGAATCCGCCAATGATGTCGGGTGCTGGACGAGGTGGAGGTGCGCCGCCGCCCCAGGGGCAAGCGGGTCGTGGGCAGGAGCCCCAGGCGGTGGGTGGTTTGAAGCCGCAGCAGCTGGTCCAGCAGCGACGCAAGTCGGCGCAGAATTTGGAGCCGCAGTACGATCAGGTCCCTATCCCGCGCGGCTACGAAGCCGTCCACGGATACGGTAACGCGGGCACGATAGCGCCGTCGCCGTATAACGTCGGGCGTCCTAGTCCGCCGCCCGCGCCGCATCAACAGTTCCAGTCTTTTGGGCCGCAGGGCGCGCAGCAGCAGCAACAACAGCAGCAGCAGCAGCAGTGGGATCCGCGAGGTGGTGTGCCTGCTGGGCACGGACAATTACAGCCGGGACAACAACCGCCGTCGATTAAGCGCAACGACGGCTCCGAGGCAAGCACCCCGACGCCGTCGGATCAGGGCACGTTCTTGGATATGGCGCCTACCCCGCCCCCGCGACCGTCGCAGGACGAGTTCCGATACGATCGCCAGGCGCCTCCTCCGGTTCCCGCGCAGTTCCTGCGCCAGCAGGCGCAGGCGCAGCAGCAAGTCGGACCCCAGCATCCGTCGAGACCGGAGGTGCAAACACAAATACAAGCGCAGACGCCGAGTAGCTCGAACTGGGGCAGCGCACCAGACAGCGCGCGCAGCGGGCCGCGGAAACAGGACGTGCAGTTCAAGCCGTCGGACCCGAATATCGCGCCGCCAAGCGACCACGACGATGCGCAGAGACCGCATATCGCTACGGCGATGAGTCCCGGTCACGCGCCTACGCTACAGCCCGGACCCCTCGGGATCGTGCACGAAAACACGAACGCGCACCCCCAACAGCGCGCTTTCTCGCCGACGAGCGTCGCGCCGGTACAGCAGTCGTCGTCGCCTAACCTGAACCCGAGCCCGCCGACACGCACGCCGCAGCCGCAGCCGGCACAAGAGCCAGAGACACAGGGCCCGCGTCTCGTGAGCAAAATGTCAGCGACCGAATCCCTGCGAAACGCAAGCGTAAACGCGTACCCGACTCAGAACCCGGCCTCGCTTAGCCCGGATATCGCGGCGGCGCGCGCGGCGAGCGTGAGCCCCGAACCGCCCGGGCCGAGGGCGCCTTTCCACCAGGTCTCTAGCACGAGCTTGAATGTCATGAGTCTTAATGTGGAGAGGGCGAATGAGGGGAGGGTCGAGGAGGAGGATTTGTATGATGCGACGCCGAGGATGGGGAGCGCGATGGGGGGGTATGGTGCCCAGGGGATGGGAGGGGGGATGGGGCAGGCGCAGGATGAGAATATTAAGTATGCGGGCTCGGAGAGGAGTCGGTCTACTGTTAATGGGGTTGCTTCGGCTTCGAATGTCAGCGTTGCAGCCACGGCCACAGCCGGAGTAGGGCTCGGGGTTGGGCTAGCGGTGGATGCGGCAGGTAGCCAGAGGGGCTCGGACGACTCTTCGTTCTCGGAGAAGCAGGTCTCGAGCAACATGGACTCCGAGGAGAAGATCCTGGTCGAGCAGCCGGTCGAGCTGGCTGCCGTGAACGACGACGACGACGGGATACCGGTCATGAGCGCTACGTCGTACCCCGGTCAGGAGTGGAATCCTTATGGAGCGGGCGAGTTTGGGGATTGGGATTAGGACTGGGGTTGTGGATGTTGAGTTCTAAGTTTGGTTTATATATAAGCCAGCGTAAATACGATAGCGTCGTAAGATGCTCGACGACGACATTTTTGGAGATATTTTGAAGGGTATGGATATGAAGCAGACGAAGCGAAGCGAAGCGGCAGAAAAGGGGGAAGCACATCTAGCATATTTCACTTGGGCGGTATAATCTGGATTGAAGATTCAGGATTTGAGATCTAATCGGTTTACATCTTTTCCTCTGATCGGTTGCAAGGTTTCAATATCTGTTTGTCTGGTGGAGCAGAGCGGGTATGGATATATGATCTTGGTATACTCTACGCTTTTGTCGTTTCTTCTGTTCTACTCTGTTAGGTACCTTTACTTACATACCCCGGTGGAAGATGTTTATTCTTGTTGATTTATGAGGAGAAGTGAGATCAGATAGGATCAGGTTTTTGAAGTATTGAAAAATTGATGTTTATGTTGAGTTCGCAGTATATGGTTGTGAGTTGTAAATGTTCAATATGGCAGATGAAGCTGCCGTGATTTGGTTTTCATAACAATCAATGCCAAGCCCCATGTAATTATTATGTCAGCCACATACATCATCAATTGACGAACGGGATGGGAAACAATAGAGTACCTCGGTACTTGTACATACGCAGTACAAGGTCAAGCACAGCCACAGAGGTAACGTCGCGACCCCTGCAATCTGAATAACAAACAACTTGGCAATTTGGCCTCAGGAGAGTTTTAAGGCTGAACTCACTTTAACATTGATTTTACCATAACAACTTACCAATTCATTTCGTTAACTGCCTATCCGATACTTACTTACGCACTTTACCCTAATAAGTCTCGATCAAACCTGTAATTTATTTGCAATCATTGTCGTCTAGAACGCCTCCATCTTGGGAACCATTCAATTATCCGGTTTTCCCGGCCTCTTCGCTTTCGCCGTCAGCAACGTCCATACACCTACCGAGTCTCCAACGATACAAGTGTCCTAGTTTGAATTATCTCATTATCTCATCCTACGCGCCCGTTGCTACGAATAGCGAGGTCTGCTCGTCCCTTTCGGCTCGATCGCGAAAAAGAACAGAACAGATCCATAGTTCATACCAGCCATCCCGACACACTCGTCAGGATGGCCGTCACTTCGATACAAGACCGCACCTCCGAATTCCGATCCGTGCTCACCCAAGTCCAAAGGCGACAGGCTTCATCCAAGGTCGGCTCTCAGAGGAGATCTCTCCTGACAGATTCGCAAAAGGCCGCCGCCAATGGAGACGCGCAACCACATCGGAGGTCCGAGTTCGCGAGACGCGCGGCCGAGATAGGGCGCGGGATTGCTGCTACAATGGTATGTCTTAGATGTTACGAGGAAAGGCAAGCATTTCCTAACGCGGTGATATAGGGGAAGTTAGAAAAGTTGGCGCAGTTAGCAAAGCGCAAGACGTTATTCGACGACAGACCCGTCGAGATTAACGAGCTTACTTTTATGTAAGATCCTAGACCCCTCCTTTTCTGGCTGTTACATAGCCATATCTAACATGACCTCCTAGAATAAAACAAGATCTATCATCCTTAAACCAGCAGATCGGCGGCTTGCAAACGTTAACACGGCAACAACACCCAAGGGCAGATCAAGAGGGCGAGCACAATAAGAACATTGTCTTGATGTTACAAGGCAAGCTTAGCGATGTAGGCGCCAACTTCAAGGACGTGCTCGAGGTGCGCACCAAGAACATCCAGGCATCCCGGTCGCGAACCGAGAACTTCATCTCTTCCGTATCGCAGCACGCGCAGTCTTCCTCGCTCCAGCAACAATCCGCCTCTCCCTTATACGGGACACCCAACCGAGGCACGCCGTCACCCGGCGCGGACTTATTAACGCTCAACCCGCCCGCGGCAATGGGCGACCAGCAGATGCTTTTAATGGAGGAGGCGGCGCCGCAGAACTCGTACATCCAACAACGAGGCGAGGCCATCGAGGCCATCGAGAAGACTATTGGCGAGCTCGGATCGATATTCGGGCAGCTGGCGCAGATGGTGTCGGAGCAGAGCGAGATGATCCAGCGCATCGACGCGAACACCGAGGACGTGGTCGACAACGTGCAGGGCGCGCAGAGGGAGCTGCTGAAGTATTGGGCTCGCGCTTCGAGTAATCGATGGTTGATTGCTAAGATGTTTGGCGTTTTGATGATATTTTTCTTGTGGGTCCTCCGTCTCCTTTTCTCAGCATTTCTTCCTTCAATTCTTCCTACCACCCTTTGAAATATGTACTGGTTTCGCTGACTAGGAATAGGTTATGGGTCCTCATCGCTGGTTAAGCGGAGGAGACGAGAAAATAAGACACGAGATGAGATTTGTTAGTAGACGCTGGTGTACTACTATTACGATTCTTCAGTTTGTACATTATTACGCCATCCACCCCTGGCCGAGGGACCTATGGTAGTTGGGCTACACGTACTAGATTTTAATGACATGCATGGCGGCGACCTGTTTGTATGCGTACCACACCCTATAAAGTATTGGTTCTTGCAGAGTTGGAGTTCAGACGGTCATGAATACGATTTTATTATATCGTCTTGATTGGGATTGAACGTCAACTTGTCTAAGTTACTAATTACGTTGTATATCGTTTGAACTTGATAATGCCATAATGGTTGCTTTCTTGCATGTATGTCATCGGAGTCAAGGGTCCAGCCCACATATGCGAAATCTTCTCGGGCTTGGATCGAACCGAGGCCAATTCTTGAGGAGCCAGATTTCCGATTCCGCGATCCCCCACTAGAAATCATCTTCGGAGACTAAGATTTGAGCCGTCTCTTTTCTAGCCCATAGCTAAAACTACTGGGTATCGAATATATCAAATAGAACGTCTCGCTGAAGAATATGAACGATAAATTTCTTCGATGAGTACAGCGAGACATTCTACTTTTGGTCGACGTGGAAGCGTGTGCCTGAATCACATCATTAGGTGCATGGGATCCCCTACATTTCCACCACTGGCGTTCTTCGGCGGCCGAGTACCCGCCGATTTCATCATCGTGGTGGGGTCGCGCGCGGAAAACATTTCCCAGGTTCACTTCCAGGTCTATTTCTAGATTCCGTGTTGATCGTGCTATCGCATACTTGCCACCTATGTACGTTAGCATCATCGCTAGAAACTAGCTTTATGTCCCTCAGGGTTGTAAGAGCTGAAGAAACGAGTAGAGATTATAGTGAACAAGTGAGTTCAGCTATGACTTTTACCGGGTTGGAATTGGTATATCCTTCTAAACACTTGAAGCTCGAGACGCTTCTCACAGCGCCACTATGCAGTATATGCAGTATACTACGACTGTAACTATAATAATCAGACATATACATACGTAACACCATAGGCAAGATGAAGTCCGAGAACAGACATCCCAAACCCCCGCGATCTACCCCAGCAGCTAGAGCATAGTCAGGTGGGTAGACTATCCATAGCTAGCCCCTAGGCATACTACCTTACACCATCTAGTTGTAGCCCGGACCGGGTTCGCTCTCTATTTTGCCGGAAGCGTCGCAATAAATACCTACTCTTACGTTGCCTCTAAGATGTATCCTAGAAACCAAAAAGCCTCCTGAATGATCCTTCATCTCCTCAAGACCCTTTCCGTGAGAAATTACACGAACTTGGTAGCGAAACCACTTGCACATAGGTATATAAGCAGAAGATACTCACTCACGATGGCTCCCACTTCCTTCAAGCTCAACACGGGCCAAGATATCCCCGCTGTTGGGTTCGGTACGTCTCTTCTCACGCAGTGCCCCCTCCTTCCCTCCCCCCCACGCTCAGTCAGATCTCCTGACTCGTCATACTACGCCGACGAGAGGGGAGAATTCGCATCTCACAAAAATATGTCGTTCACTAACCTCTCCCATGTTCGCTGAACAGGAACATGGCAAGCGGCCCCCGGCGAAGTCGCCGCCGCGGTGACCTACGCGCTGAAAGTCGGGTACCGGCTCATCGACGCGGCGTACTGCTACGCGAACGAGGACGAGGTGGGCCAGGGCCTGAAGGCGGCCTTCGACGCCGGCTACGCCAAGCGCGAGGACGTGTTCGTCATGACCAAGCTGTGGAACACGTACAGCAGCCGCGTCGAGCTGGGGCTCGACAAGTCGCTCAAGGCTCTCGGGTTGGACTACGTCGACCTGTACCTCGTGCACTGGCCCGTCGGCATGAACCCCAACGGCAACGACGACCGTTTTCCCAAGCTGCCCGACGGTAGTCGGGATATCCTCTGGGACCACGACCACGTCGCGACGTGGAAGCAGATGGAGGCCCTGCTAGGCACAGGCAAGGCGAGGGGGATCGGTGTGTGTAATTATAGTAAACCGTACTTGGAGCAGCTGCTGGCCAAGTCGAATGTCGTGCCCGCTATCAACCAGATCGAGAACCACCCGGCGCTGCCCCAGCAGGAGGTCGTGGATTTCTGCAACGAGAAGGGGATTAGGGTCGTCGCGTACAGCCCGCTGGGAAGCACCGGCGGCCCGCTGATGAAGAGCGAGGCGGTTACCAAGGTTGCGGAGAGGAAGGGCGTGAGTCCGGGGACGGTGTTGTTGAGTTATCACGGTACGTGTTCATATTTCTAATGCTGCAGTTTGTGTGTTCGCTTTGGGATTGGATATGCTGATCTAATCATCGCTACAAATAGTTGCCAGGGGCACCACCGTGCTCGCCAAGTCCGTCACCGAGTCGCGGATCAAGGCTAACCTCGAGATCGTCGACCTCGACGCCGAAGACATGAAGATCCTCAACGATTATTCCGACAGCTTGGTCAAGGCGGGTAAGGTCGAGCGATACGTGTACCCGCCTTTCGGCATCAACTTCGGCTTCCCGGACAAGAACGAGGGCAGGATCTTGCCGAACGGGGTATGAAGCATGACTTTTAGGTAATTGCGTGGGCAAATCTAGCCAGCTGCTAACTATGGGAGCGTCAATGGCGCTAGGTTAGCTAGCTAGTATCTCGATAGATATATTCCATTTGGTGGAAAATCATAGATGAATAGATCGGGCACTTTTCATGCCGTAACCCGCTAGCTGTATGGGAGAACAGCGCTTCTCATTGATGCCATGAGAGATGTTCTAGAGATTCATGATTTCTGAACCAGTATCAACATAGCCTTCCAAGAATTCTAGACTCTCAAAGCCTCAATTAGCGTCAACACAGTATCTGTAAGGCGTTCCAATCCTGGTTCATTCGCTATGCGTGCCTAGGTAGGTATTGGGGCGATGCTGTCAGCTCACAGCCTGAAACGGACAAGTCCTACCAATAGGCAGACTTAGCTGAATGTAAGCAATACTATACCAAGACATTGTTAGGTCATACGATGTATTCACTAAACTTCATATATTAAATAAGATAAGATTCGCCAGTCTTGAGAAGTGGGCCATTTATTTCCATGCACCACCTTCAACTCCTTACGATTAGGTATACCAGCCAACATGGACCCTCTTGCGTCAATCAATCCATATGTGTCTCTCAAAGGGAACCCACAGCTAGGAGATGTTTACCAGAAACTTACTGCAAACACCACTCGTTTCCTGAGGTATAAGGGGGTACAGCAATCATCGGACTCTCAGGAGCAACTTCTTGTCTTCGAATTCGAAACCCACCAGATATCGAATATAAAGTCACAATACTCAGCTCTATCTTATACCTGGGGCCACCCGATCATAGACGACTTCAAAGATGACATGTCACATACCGTCATCTGTGATGGCCGGCGCATGCCAATCGGCCTCAATCTGAATGATGCGCTTCAACATATATATGTAGAATCCGACATAATTCCTCCGTTATTGTGGGTGGATGCCATCTGTATCAATCAAAGCAATCTCGGGGAGCGAGCTGCTCAAGTTTCCCTCATGACTAGCATATATAGCAATGCTGCCAACGTAGTTGTTTGGTTGGGAACGGCCGATGACGACGCCCGTGAAGCCCATGCACTATTATCAGAGTACACTCCTGCTCTGTTAGCAATTACTGCGGATATCATATCGGGGAACCCCGATACTCCCATCATAGCTGGAATGATCAATATATACGACGATGCGAAGCTCCACGAGAAATACAATATCACGCAGAAATCCATGGATTCGTGGAGGGCCTTGGTGAGGTTTTTCTCCCGAAGATGGTTCAGTCGCATATGGATCGTGCAGGAAATGGTATTCAATGTGTCCCATCTGATCTGCTGCGGCCCTCTTCGCTTCACCTGGGCCGACTTGGACCGCTTCGTCAGCCTCGTCTTCGGCGCGCAGTGGCACGGACTAAATTTCCACGGACTGGAGAAGGAGACGTTGAGGATCGCTCGGGTCTTCACGTTCCATCGCGAGATCCGCATGTCGGGAACCGATTACGCGGATCGAGACCCGCGCACCAGTCTTCTGAGCGCCGAAGGCAAATTGTATGATTTCGCGCAGAGTTACCTCCTCTCGTCGGCTTTTCTGGAAGCTACAGACCCTCGTGATAGAGTGTTCGCATTGACCGCGTTTGTGAATTCCTACGCTCTCAAGATGGATACTAAGCCTATTTGGCTCCGGGCGGACTACGCTCTTCAGACGACAGAGGTTATGCTGCGTACGGCGCAACTGTTGCTGTGGAAAACTCGTTCTCTAGAAATGCTTTCGTACGTCTCTGATCTAAGCTACAGAGAACAGTCCGACCTTCCGTCTTGGATGCCGCACTTCCACGTGCCCGGAGCTGTTGCATCCGTCGAGTCGCTGCTAGATATGCATCAGGGCGAGAAATACCACGCCGGCAGTTTGTCGTCTACCGTACCTACGCCCTCCGAGATATACCTACATATGGATTCTCCGGGAAACGAGTTAGAAAGCCAAGGTTATCTCCTTGATACCGTAGAAGAAGTCGTCCATTTCGAATCCGGTTTCCTTTCCACCTTGGAAATATGCCTCAAGCTACCGCTGATCTACGATAACGGGCAATCTCCAGTGGAAGTCCTCTGGCGCACCCTGATCGCCGGGAGTACGAGCACGGCGTTCCCCGCACCGGCGGAGACGGCTGATGACTTTGCTAAATTCGTTAAAGCTGGGCTTATAGGAATTGCTCTGCAGGCCATCGATGCCGCTGATAGAGATACGTTGACGAGACTATTCACTTTGCTGGACGATATAGGCACACGTTGTCCTCATCCTTCGATCCCGACGGTGGATAAGTTCAACGAGATATTGAGTGGTGTGATGGGGGACATGGACGGAACAATTAGAATGTTGACGGAGTTACATAGTGCATCTGTTTATCGGACAATGATCTCTCCTACGCATTGGGGGAAGAAAGGTAAGGCTCTCTTCCGCAGTAGTAGGGGGTTTCTGGGCTTGGCACCTCACTCGACCCAAGTGGGAGATGAAGTGTGGCTGTTGAAGGGAGCAAGCTTATTCCACGTCCTAAGGAGGGCGGGGATTGGTTCTACTGGGAAGACTTTGCTTGGAGAGGGATATGTACATGGTTTTATGGAGGGCGAAGCTTTGAAATTAGATGGGATGGGTTACAGTCCAGTCACTATCAAGTAAAATAGCGTACTGTTAACAATTATGGGCGGCAATTGGATTCAAGAGTCGTGCTAGATGGGTAAGTAGTTGTTTGTAGGTACCGGTTATCGGATCCAGATAGGATCGAGGTTGTTGAAGATACCATATCTTGTCAACCCTGTCGCGTTTCGGGGTCGGGGTTAGGGTTAGGGTTGACAACCCCAACCCTAACAGTTGATCTCGAACATTCATCTCTATAATTATCAATTTTTGTATGGTTAGGTACAATTAGTATATTTGTGAATAATTCAATTGAATATTATACAAGTGGATGATTGGAAAAATGACCTGGCCATAAGCACATGCCCACCTTACAAGCCTAGGATATCGTTCTATGGACGGTTGCCATTGGAAATAGTAGTTATTTTTAGAACAGATTCATGTAATGATAGCACTGAGACACGTGGAACTCCTAAGTTGACTAAGGTCCTTACATTGCTTGCTATTTATTAGATTCTCATATTAACAGCCTATATGAAAATACTACCCAGGGTATGTACCTCCCGACGAAATTACGCCCTCAACACATCCTTTGCTACGGACCACTTAAGTATGGTAAGCGAAGTACTTAGGTAGTAATATCTGCTTATAGTATATTAATATAGAAACTTCAGGGATGTCCATGGGACACTCGATGAATACCTAGGTCTTGAGACTTTCAATAGAGGGCAAAAAGAAAAGGAAAAACTGCTTTGAGCTGAATTCGAACCCGCGATTCCTGCAACAAAATGGCAAAACTTTAGTTGGAACATTTTAGTTGGAACGTAATGTACAGTTGAGCTAATCTTCGATTGCCCGTAGGCTAATATTCTCTTAATTATCACCACTTATCAACCTGCGTACAAGCTACAAGTGGTTGCTGGGGCTTCTCCCGGTTGTCTCAGGAGACCGGCCGTTGGGAGGGCAGACTCGGTTGCTTGGTAAGTTAAGGGGCACGTGGCTAGGAGGTCAGGCGACCCTTGTAGCTACGCCTAGTTACCTAAGGTCGACATATATCTCTGGATTCTATTCAAGTATGCACGGAAATTATATGAAATTGTTAAACTTAGAAGCTAGAGGTGAAGTGTGTTGTTGAGCCGGACTTCAGGATAAGACTTTGCACCACACATTTAGATGTCGACCTTAGGTACCTATAAAGCTCAATGTGATCTGTGTCTCACCTAAACCACGGTGGAGCAGCGTAGTTCGATCTATAATAGATGTTCCCGCAGGTCAATATCACATTCCCCAGATTTCAGCCCCTGCTACGTACGCTGGCATCTTGTAAAACGTTAACTACCCAAGATGCTCTTCTACACTTAGCCGGGAAACTCTATATAAATAACATGGAAGTTCCAGGCCTTTGATATTGTAGGCCCCTATATTAACGACCCCAGATACATCATGACTTTACGACCTGGGACCCTTACCTATTCCCTAACTTCTCCGCAAAAGGCATCCTACGATGTTGAATACCCGATGATCCGCTTTCCCAATTTGGTCGAAGTTATGCCGCGATAGATTTATCCACCTGCAAATTAGCCAGAAGGGATGAACGAGTCGAGGCGAAATCCGGGAAAATGGCACTATTTGTGAGATTAGCTTCAAGGAACCTCCGGAATGAAAATGTTTATTTACCTTGGAACCTGCCCACCGGGTATCTAGCGATTCTTTAGAGAGGAGTAAAGAAACATCTAGTATTGATCTGGAATTGCTCTTGCTAAGAACGACAATATGCAGGTCTTGTCGACACTTGCAACTTTGGCGCTTGCCGCCGTTGGCAGTTGCCAATCTATCACCAAGGTCAACGACTTCAGTGGTACTCCGACAAACCTTGGGATGTACGTTTATGTGCCCACGAGCCTCCAGACTCCGGCACCTATCATCGTAGCAGTTCACCACTGCCAAGGATCGGCTCAGGGGTACTCTACTGAGTCCAAATACTTGTCATTGGCCGACCAGCACAACTTCATCGTGATCTATCCCAACTCAAGGTCCAGCGGTGGCTGCTTCGATGTTTCTTCAGACGCCTGTATGTTTCCGAACTCCTCCAACTTCCAGCGATTTTCAATTATTGTGAGAAAGTTAATGACTAACTCCATGTAGCTTTGAAACACGATGGCGGTGGCGACAGCCAGACTATTGCCAACATGGTCAAATACGCGGTGGAGAACTACGGTGGAGACGCAAATCGAACTTTCGTTACTGGAACTAGCTCCGGTGCCATGATGACGAACGTACTTGTCGGAGCTTACCCCGACGTGTTCAAGGCCGGATCTGCCTACTCTGGTGTACCCGACGGATGCTTCGCGGTACCGGGCTCTACTGCTACTCAAGACCCCCCTGGATGGAACAACGAGTGCGCCAATGGACAGAGCACAAAGACAGCAGAGCAATGGGGCGACCTCGTGCGATCGTACTACCCCGACTACACCGGTCCTCGGCCCAGAATGCAGATGTGGGTTCTCTTTATTGACGTTTTGATCTAATCATATCTGAACTAACACTGAGTTAGCTGGCACGGATCTGCTGATACTACCCTGCGGTATCCTAACTGTATGTCCAACTACATTCGAGAGAATCGTGCAGAAAACTGACTTCGTGATAGACGCCGAGACGATGAAGCAATGGGCCAACGTTCTAGGCCTTACAGAGTCGACGGACACCGCCAACGCCCCTCAAAGCGGATACACCCGGACTATCTATGGCGAAGGTGACGAGAACACTGCACAACTCGTCGGCTACAGTGCTCAGGGAGTTGGTCACTCTGTCCCTATCCATGAGACGAATGATCTCGCATTCTTCGGTATCGCATAAGGGGCTAAAGTTGATCAAGCCGAGAAAATGAAAAACCGGGGATAAATGATCGGATTTCGCAGCTTGGACCTAGTGTTAGCACAAAACCGATGAATTTATTGTTATTCCGCGGAAAGTATCGTCCATTGAAACGTGTTAGCTGTAGACCGTGCGAACCCCTTTTTAGTGCACACTGTGGCCGAGAATCTTACCAGCGCGACCTTAAATGTCATTTTATCATCCCTGATTCCACGGTCTTTCCATGTGTAGTATTATTAATTCTAGCGGTTTAACTCGGAATACCCGATAGGTATTGACACAACGATATCAATTTAGTGCTAACAATCTCTAACTTCAATGACTGTGACGATTTGAGCAATACATCGAACTAATCGTAAACTACCTACGTTCACACTACGCGACCATCCAGACTAAACATAAACATAGCAGAACGAGCCACCATTTCCACCCAGCTGGTCATGAGTCTCCAACAACTTGATCGGAGGTCCAAGCCATTCCAAATCGACCGTGACATTCGTAGGGTCCTCCGCGCGTCGATACTTCATGGGCATCGGCATACCACCGCTAGGGACAACGTTAAGGCGCGCCTCCGGGTCTTGCATCTGCCAAATCCACCACAGACGGTCTAGCGAAGTATGGTGGAAGTAGAAGAGCGGGTCGCCGGGGGAGGTCATTGGGTCCCCGCCAGGGTCGACGGCGGCGACATAGTGGCCTGCAGTGTGGATCTGATTACAAGACGTCAGTTCTGGTTCTTGCTCCTAATAAGTACCTGCTGAGAATAGGAGACTTACTCCCCAGGGGTAGGGGTCGTCTTTGGGAGGAGGGGTCCCGAGTAACTCGTTGTAAAAGGAATCGATGTCGGCGCTGTTGTTGATCAGATGGAAAGCGCGGTCGGCCCTAGCTCCCATAGTCGCATCGCGGTTGACGTCGCGGCGTAGACAGCGAGGATTCTTGCCCGTCCCGTCGGCTCTTGGGTTTTTGGGGAGATTAGCACCCATCGACATCGAGGTTGGTCCGAGACTGACGACCATGCTGTCTAGATGTTAGTAATTCACACATTCTCAATGTATTATAGAGGTTGTGGGTTGTTAATAATAGGAAACTAGATGACGCACTCTGAGAATGGCCCCTCTGTGACACAACCGCCGCCACCGCCGGACTTTATGATGTTGGGAGTTCGTCCGGGCTGCGGAACACCTTTGTACAGCGGCTCTGGCTCGCCGTTACCACCTAGACTAGACGCATTGCCATTAAGCAGTGGAGAGTTGAACGGGTCTTCCGCGTAGCGGTCGTAGTTCATATACTACTCCATAATTAGCCATGATAATCACAATGATTCGGTGACTCGGAGTTGACCTACGGGCTGGTAGCCGGTGTATCCACACTCCTCTCGGAGAGCTTTCTCAAACAGCCAGACATAGTATTTATGAGCTCCAAATAAGTGGAAGTTGTCGTGAAGCTGCATGGCATGTGTCATATGAAACGCGACAAAGTCGTCGTATCGGCTCAGTGCACCGGGGAACCTCTCCGGGTCTACTGTAGGGGGCAGGTTCATCAAGCACTTGACGGCAGTCGTATACTCGATTCTCTGGTCCTCGGAAAGGTCACTCCTATCAACCGGATTAGTAACCCGCCTAAAGTAAAGTTATCCGTAGGCGTTAGCAAGATCGAATACATACCATTCCCGCCTGACAGCTGCATTTTCTAACGTGCAGTTATTGTTCGTGTTCGCAGCAATCTTCTGAGCTACCCATTCGTCGACCTTGGGCATGGTCGCCTCTTCAAGCTGGTCGACGACATCGAGAGGGTATACGGGATTCCGAATCCTAGATAAACCTTTAGTAAATTCATATAGCAAAGGTGAACGAGTAAAAAGTGAACCTACACTTCTATCTTTGATACGTAGTCACTTCGGGGCACCTCTATCGCCGCCCCTTGAACTCCGGCGAGGAGTGAGGGAAGCAGGAGAGCACTCCTGATCGTCCACATGTTGAAGCGGTGACCTTTTCGAAGGCAGACCTGATATTTGATGTGGGTTACTAAACGATGGTCTCCAACAGATCTGGAACTGGGTGATTTTCCAACAGGTATATATAGCCCACATTTTTCATCGCGGCTCAATCAATCGACCTGCGGTTCAACCTTGCAACTCCGCACGGCATTTGAAGCACAGCTACATTGGGACAGTTTTAATTAACACACCCAATGACAGTTGGTCCCAATATATTTCAGCTTAGATAAATATTCGGCAGAGGAACTCGTAACATGAACCATCGCCCTCAGCTACCTGGTTAAAATTCGTGCCAACTCAGCTTGAACTTATCCGTTTCAAAATTTCCACTTAAACCATCAATACGGCTTTAGTGATCCCCGAAATAAGTTCCCTTTAGACACAAGTGAAGGTATCTGGGAACTTATATAGGCAATTAGGTAGGTAACTATTAGTATTTTTATCAAGTTCCCACCTTTCCTTCTAAAATAAACCTAGGTTCCTATTTCCCTAGTATGTGCTAATTAATCATTGCTTCGTCTTGTATAGGTAATTATATTGTAAATATTTTATTAATTAATAATTTGCCCAGCTTCATCATAATTCAAAGCAATACCATGTATTTAGATGTTACCAAGGTAAGTTTGTATTGGGGTTGGGTTTGGGTTTAGAACCCGAGCCCCTGAGGCCTAGACCCCTAAGCCACATATCCATTAACAGTCCACCAGCTTCGCAGTTCTTATGGACATTCAACATAAGATAAGTTGAAATTTATTGCAAAGAGTATCGGAATCGAATATTATTGATGTTAGTCACCAATAGGTTTACAAGATTCTGGTGGATATGCAAGTCCAAATCAGCCTACGCACCTTAGCAACTCGTAAATATTATTTCTACCTAAGCGCTTAGTTGGATAACAAACTATTTCTAATTCGTCCACCTCAAAGCACGTTTCCAGGTAGCTTGCATACCCTCGAGACAAACGCACCTATCATCCAAGAACGCGCTGCATGTAACTCTGGGGCTATGCGGGGCGGGGCGCGGAGGCTGTGTCTTTATATGATGACCAGTACAGAAATCAGAGCCTCGCGCGCCATTTTTGAACAGGGCCGAATACTTCATATGATTATCTTTCGTAAACTCACGAGTTCACTCCTGATAAATACTGATGTATCTTGATTTGCACAAGGGCTACAGCAGGACTACGTCCTATCCTCTATCCAAAAATGGACGCTGCCGGTCTGGCCATAACGGTCACCGGCTGTGTTCTCAAGCTTTTGGCCTTTTCCATCGACTTCATCACCGATGCAAAGCAAGTCTACCAGAAAGGCGCCACTGATCGGAATTTAGATCTTGTGATGGTTTCGAAAAGCATACAGAATGCGACGAAGAACTTAGAGAGTCAGCTAGGGGAAGCTAATGGGCGAAGCCAAGGAAACATCGATCCCGTTGAACGAGTAAGTTGATCAATTCATAGGAAACTTAGACGATAATACATTATGGCGATGGTGCATTCTCACCACAAAACTTTTCGCCATAATGCTATTACGTATCAACGAAGGGTAATAGACTAGCTAACTCGGTGCAGGACATTCTCATGCTTGCTACTCGCGCAGCTAACATAGGAAATGAGTTGACGTCCCGTCTGAACAAAGCCCACGCCGACCCAAAATCGAAATGTAAAGCCTTCCGAACCGCTATAAAGGGGATATGGGATGAGAAAGATATCGAAAAGACAGAAAAACAGCTAAACGGAATCCGAAGCGAAATACAATTTAGGATTCTCATCGATATTAGGAAGTTAGTTGGGGAATCCCGGAGTGATGAGTATCAGCGCATATTATCAACCTTGGAACAAACCGCGGATAGCCTGGCGGAATCTAGACAGGACAACAGAACCGTGATAGAGATTCTCAATCAAATGAATGAGTCCATCAAAGCCTTACAATCACGCGTCGATAGGCCACCTACAAACGAAGAATCAACTCTAGGGTCTGCGACAAACTCACTCTCGTGCCAGTTGGATGATGCCACGAAGGAAAGGGCAGAAGACATCGTTTTAAATTTGCTGTGGTACCCGAGCATTCGAGACCGCGAGGAAAGCGTGTGTGAGGCCTACTCCAATACACTGCACTGGATATACGATGATCCAAGTGCCAGCAGCAAAGATTGCGAGTGGGATAGTTTTGTCAACTTCCTTGCAGGAGATAGAAGCATGTACTGGATCACCGGAAAACCAGGATCTGGGAAAAGTACTTTGATGAAATTCATCAAAGAACAACCAAGAACTACGCAGATACTCAAAACATGGGCTGGAAATAGACATCTGCTTACCGCCTCGTTCTATTTCTTTTACAGAGGTTCGGAGGAACAAAAGACTGAACTCGGTTTGCTGCGGTCTCTTCTGTACTGGATTCTCTCCGAAAGGAGAGAATTAATTCCGTCAATATTTCGTCAGCGGCTTGCTACCGCTGTTGACGGCAAACGACAGACTCCCATAACTTTAGCTGAGGCGAAGCTTGCTGTCCGCGACTTGTTTCGACAATGCCCTTACCTATGTTTCTTCCTAGCTATCGATGGACTAGATGAATTTGACCCAGAAGTTTCTCTAACTCGTGTCACATCCCTTATCGCCTTAACCGAGATGTTGGGGGGTTTTCCAAATGTGAAACTTGTCTTATCAAGCAGGCAGCTACCAGAATTTGAGCATGGGTTCCTGGGATGCCCTCGTCTAAGAATTCATCATCTGACTACAGATGACATCTGCCAATATGCTACGGAGAGACTAGAAAGTCATCAGCATATGCAAGCCCTGCTCCGTAGGGACCAGGATAACTCCAGGAAGTTGATAGACTCGATTGTATCAATGGCTTCCGGGGTTTTCCTCTGGGTTATGCTTGTCACAGAGTCTCTCCTCGAAGGCCTCACAAATCGCGATAGCATTCATGACCTACAAGACCGGCTCAACAGTCTCCCTTCTGATCTAAAGGACTTGTACAAAGTGATTATACTGAGAATCAGCCCTGTATACCGCAGACAGACATGTGAACTACTTCAATTGGTCTATTTCGGTACAGAGACACAGCAATCTCTAAGCGCCCTGGAGCTATATTTTGCTGAACTAGAAGACTATGATGATGATCTCGCAAACTCGCCTCTAGTCGGCAATGAAGAACTAGAGGATTATTCCCGTAACTTGGAATTCCGGATCAAGAGCCGCTGCCTCTGCTTGGTGGAGACTGTTGAGAAAGAGAGATCAGTTAATGCTACTATATGCGATCGTCTCGCATTAACAGAACTATCCTTTCTCCACAAGACTGTTAGAGAGTTTCTAGATGAAACTACTATCAAGGAGCCATTTTTTCTAGCACACTGTCGCCCAAGATTTAATCCTCGTCGGCGTCTCCTCGGTAGTGCGATTCTTCGTGCGAAACATGTAAGATTACCACCTCTCGAAGATTTCTATCACCATCTAAGGGATGTGCTACCGCGATTTATTCTAAGAGTAATCAAACGCGCAATACATACAGAAGAAGACACCAAGGACGGCAACTCAGACCTGCTCCAGGCATTCGACTCGATCCTAACCGCTCAGTATCCCAAACTATCTCATTCACTTACGCATAAAACTCCACATTGGTTTGAAAACATTGAATTTATTCCCTTAAAAGGATATCATCTCCCTGCAGATACACATCCATCTTTTCTCGCCTTCACGGTTGGATGCGGGCTAGAGTGCTACCTCAAAGAGCAGATCCAAATTCACGGCAAAGAAATACTCGCGAAAGAGGGCTTTCCGCTCTTAGGGCATGCGCTCCGTCATGCCGTCTTTTCTGTCGGAGGAAACAGGTTCTTGAACATGGTTCAACTTCTCCTAGATAATGGATGCGACCCCAACCAAGCCTTTAATGGTGTATCGGTATGGGGCTGGTATTGGTGCCTATTTTTCTATCAGTGGTACGCTGATAGACTCGTTTTGTATCAAAAAATAACTTCTGAGAAGTATTGGCTTTGCCAATTGGGTATTATGAGGGCTATGCTTATGGCGGGCGCGGAACCAAATACTAACGTACCATTATCGCACGACGTAGGCGATGGGCAAAGGGCTATTACTCCACTCGCGGCATTGACTTATGCTCAGAATGTGGTACTATATAAAAAACCACGATTACAATGCAAGCTACTTCTAAACCATATCGAAGGTTCAATCGAAATCCTGAAAGAATGGGGCGGGATCGAACACCGAAACATGGAAGCACATAATTCGAAATGGTTGAAGAGATTACAAGATCTGTATTATAGAGCAAGAGAAAAAAGACAGGGCTAAGGTAGGTACCTATTACCTGACATGGAATACATTGGTAGTAATACGATTTAATGAAGATATCACAAATATGAGCCTAATGTTAAAACCACAGAGCGTAGAAGGACACCCGAGTCACCTAGATACGTCTAGGTGGTAAATTAAACGACGACTAGACCCAGTGTCGCTCATACAGTCGCCTCCAGGATGGCCCTACTCCGTTGCGATCATACTACCCTTTATCTAGGCAAGCATATAGGTACCTAGGTGCTTACCAAGATAGACATCTAATTTGTATTTTTGTGCCTTATATGCATGGTTTGAAGGTTGGGATTTGAATAGGTAGATTTCATTTATCAGCGACTCATCTGACCCCTTCATGATAAAAAGGGCTATCTATTCCGTCATATCTACCAAAACTTTGATAACCAAGTTCCCCCCTTCATCCTTTACTTTAGCAGCCGTATCAAACGCTCTTGGTATACTGTCAAGACCCTTTTGTCTGTGAGTGACAATTTTCTGTACATCAGGTAGTAGTGGGTTCCCGCTTGCAAGTAAGTCGATGGCTTTACGATACGTATTAGCGTATCGAAACACGCCGACCAAGTCGACTTCCTTGAGTGACGCCGCCGAAATCGGCAGTGTTTGGACAGGAGTACCCATTCCGATAATCATGACTTTCCCACCGGGTTGCGTTGCCTGTTCTGTTAGCTTGGTCTTCAGATAGGATGAAAAGGTAGTGGGGTAAAAATAGGGGTCGAAAAGGGGTAAAGGGAAATATTACATATATGGCCGTCTGCATGCATGATTCAACGCCTGTGCACTCAAGCGTAATAGAGACTTCGCCGATTTCCTCGTTCCCTCCTTCCACCCTCAAAGCCTTCAGTTTCTCAGCAACATCCTGCGCATATGACAATTTATCTTCGATCGTTTCCGGTCTCGGAGACACAATGGGCACCGTGAAGGCGACGTCAGCGAACCCGTTCTCTACGGCGAACTTGACGCGCTCCTCTATAATATCTGCGATAACCACAGTCTTCGCTCCGGCTACCTTGCTCACAGCCGCGCAAAGCAGGCCCATGGCTCCGGCGCCTAGCACTAATACCGTGGACCCCTGCTTCAGGCCTGATCGATCCCTAGCGTGCATTGCGACTGACAGAGGTTCGACGAGCGCGCCATGTGCTAGAGTCAGAGAATCTGGTAGCCTGGAGAAAATGTGAGAAATCAGGGTCTAAGGCCATACTATTGCAGCAAGGACATAAGACACTGAAAATTGCCTCGCGATAGGTATCAACATACTTATGACACCATCTAGCTGGGTGGTTCACCCTCTCCTGCAAGGTCCCTTGTGCGTGTGGGAAGGCCTTAGCAGAGCTACGGAAATTCATGCCACGGCATAGGTTGTAACGACCTTCGCGACATAGCTCGCAATTTTCGCAGGGTAAGCCGACTTCGAGGGCCACACGGTCGCCGACCTTAAACGGCGACCCTGTAGCCGGGACAGCGACAACCACGCCCGCCGATTCATGGCCTAACGTCAACGGCTCCCGGACTTGAATCTGGCCATTTCGAAAATGTCGGAAGTAGTGTAGATCTGAACCGCAGAGACCCGTTGCTTTCACAGCTATCTGCACTTCGTCCGCCGCGGGGTCAGGCAGCGATCGGACTTGCTATTATATGCGTTAATTAATCATTTCATTATTAAACCTGCATCAAGGCTTTTTGAGTGTAGACTTACAACTCGGAGATCCCCAGCTCCGTGGAGAACGGACGCCTTTACTTCGGTGGCGCTCATGATAGTTTCAGTTTCAAAATACTCCCAATAGAACAATAACGATTTCTCTACCTAAATCTTTCTAATATTGAACGAAATTAGAAATTGGTAAATTTTAATTGGAAATAATGATATGAATAGACAAAGAGAGTAGGAGCAGCATGTTAATTACCTATAGCTACCTAAGTATTTTCGACCGACGACGGAGTCGCCTACCTACGTACCTAACGTCACCCAAGCTTTACCTAGGTAATTAGTCCAACTTCGGTATAATAATAGAAATATAATCACAGAGGTGTATAAACTTCCAATAGATATTCTCTAAATTGCGGGCACCAACCGGTTCTACATGTGCTACTTGTACCCCTTAACGACGGTCCACTGCGGGGAGACGATAGCATAGGGGGAATGGTGGGAGTCCTTGGTATCGTCAAAATCCGGCGAAGCAGGCTAGACTCGGTAGAAATAGTCGTTTCTGGCCGAATGGGGATCACGACAAATCTTTCCTTACCCCAACTCTCGTCTCCATTTACTCCATCTACCCCGCCGGAAGCTCTTAGGTGAGAGGTAAGGGGAGCTGAGGGGGGCCGAGCTTATCAGCGGCGGACATCATGAGACTAGAAAGAATCTTTCGACCTGCTTCATAGGAATTCACCAGCTTGTTTCGGTTAACCCCCACTTTTCGCCGATTTTAGCCCAATTCATTGACCTATTAATCGTAGTATGCCGGAACACTTACTACCTAGGTATATTTTAAACTTCCCCGGAAAGGAGCGCCCTGACGTAGGACGGTTACAGGAGTCTCATTAGATGATATATAGCTCCGAATGCGGAAATAGAAAAAACAAGCACGTCCAACGTTAGAGGGGTAATCGACTATAGGAAAACCAATCGCGAACTTTACGGTAGGATATCGAAACTAGCATCGCGTAGAGTAGATCGGAAAACATATTCCTGGACTTTTATCTTCAAGGCGCCAGCAACCGAGCTTCAAAATAAATCATGACAGACGCACTCTTCTCGCTCAGGGGCGAGACCGCCCTCATAACCGGCGGCACAAGGGGAATCGGCCAGTCCGTCGCCATCGGGCTGGCTGAAGCGGGCGCCGACATAATATTAGCGCAGGTACGCGATCTTCGCAAATCCCTCCTCTCCAATTAGCAAACATAAGTGAATAGAGAGAATAAACAGAGAAATGAACAACAACTAATCCTCCCTGATCCAGCGCTCCACAGCCTCAACCGAAACCAAGACCGCCGTCGAGGCGCTCGGCCGCAAAGCGTACGTCTACACCGTGGACCTGGCCAACATCTCCGACGTCGCCGGCCTCGTGCCCAAGATCGTCGCCGACGGGCACACGATACGGATCCTGGTCAACTGCGCGGGCGTGCAGATCCGGCACGCGCCCGAGGCGTTCCCGGACAGCGACTACCGCGCGGTCATGGGCGTGAACGCGGACGCGGTATTCGCGCTGTGCCGGGACGCGGGCGCGCACATGCTAAGCCTACCGGTGTCCGAGGTGACCGGCCGCCGCGGCAGCATCGTCAATTACGCGAGCCTGCTCTCGTTCCAGGGCGGGCTGAACGTGCCCGCGTACGCGGCGAGCAAGGGCGCCGTCGCGCAGATGACGAAGGGGTTCGCCAACTCGTGGGCCGGGCGCGGCGTCAATGTTAATGCGATTGCGCCGGGGTATATCTCGACGGATATGAATGAGGCGCTTATCGCGGATAAGGAGCGCGCGGCGAGCATCAGCGCGAGGATACCGGCGGGGAGGTGGGGAGACCCGGATGATTTCAAGGGGAGCACGGTGTTTTTGGCTAGTAAGGCGGGAGCGTATGTTAGTGGGCATACGCTAGTTGTTGATGGTGGGTGGATGGGTAGGTGAAGATTTATGTGAATGGAATGAAGAGTTAGAGTATGGAGGAGAGCATGTGGCTGGTGGAGTGAATAAGACTTTGTTGCAATTTTATACATATGTAGACCAGTTCATCAATACTAGCAGACATGTATGCATAGACCATTTTATTTTCACCGATGAGTACAATTTGAGCCGTTGACATCTTTCATAACTGGCATAAACATAACCCATTTTGCCATTTCCGAACCGTACCCAGCTATACAAATACACCAATGCAACTCCATAGGTAATTGATACACATAGTAAAACATCACTTCGTAGAAGCCATAACTTGCTCCATCCAGGGATACACCGACGAGTTCGCCATAGGATATCCCATATGCAGCGCGCCAGTGAAGAACCGGGCTTCCTTGGGGGACCCGTGCTCGAACAGCAAGATCGAATCCTCGATCGGCATGAGCCCATCATGCATGCCCTGCCCCATCATTAGCAACTAGCCCTTCAAAAAGGACGACATAAAAAAAAGAGAAGGGACATACGTTAACAAGCAACAACCTCGTACTCGGCCTCTCCAAAACCCCCGTCTCAAGCAACGAAAACTTAGCCTGCGCGCCAGCTAAATACCCCTCAACATCCGCACCATACCCATGCTTCATCGCCAGCGCCGGCGTAAGCTGAAACGGGTACTCATGCCCATCAGCGCGCTCAAGCCACTCCCTAGCAAAGAAATGATGCGTGCCGGCGCCGTGCGCCACAACACCAACCAGCTTCTCGCGGTGCGTATGCGCGGCGCGCACGGCGTAGTACCCGCCGCTGCTGAGGCCCCAGCACATGACTTTCGTAGTATCGAAACGGCCGTCGTTTGCCATCCACGCGAATGCGGAGTCGAGCAGCCGGTCCGGCGACGACGGGTCCGCGGAGTCGGCTGGGCAGTCGGCTGTGCCCGGGATCTCGAAGACGAGGGCGGCCCAGCCGCGCGCGAGGAACTCGTCGCACCGCGCCGTGTTGTCGGGGCGGTAGCCGTCGAGGCCCGTTAGTAGGATGACCGTGGGGTGTGGTTTTTGGTCTGAGCCGGGGGTGGTTGACGCGGGTACGCGCACGTATGCTGGGATGGAGGGGCCGTCGCGGCCTTGGGCGAAGGTGTGTGGGATCGATACTTCTAGTAGCGGAGAGGGGGACCATAGAGCGCCGGCTTTGCGGTAGATTGCTTTTTGAAGCTCCCAGGCCTCCCATTTCACGGAGTCGCTGATGCTGGGGAAGCCGGTGATGTACGGAAACCGGGCGATTCGTAGGAGACACGCGGCGCGCAGGTATAGATCTGATGCTTCTTTGTACTCGATTTCCCCTTTCGTTACGGCGTCGTCGGCGCGCTTTTCGAGAGCCTGGGCCGTGGGAACGAAGGCAAGTGTATATTCGGCCGAGTTCCCGTCGTTGATATCCCGCGCGATTAAGTCTAGAAACACGGGCTCGAAGTCCTCGAACGCGCCATCGTGGAAAGGGTACACAGACCGACGGCACGGCTCACGCCACTTGGTCTCCCAGAGCGCTCGTATTCCGGCGTGGTGCGGCATGCGCTTCTCGAAGGCTTCGGCGCCCATAAGCCACTGCTTAGGCGGGGGCCTAGTGTTTGGCGCCATCTTGCCTCTTTGCTTCTTCCCCTTTACCCCTTTGCTCTTACCCGCGAGTAAGGGATTAAGCAAAGTTGGAAGCGACAGATCCGAAGCTGGACCTGGTGGACCGCGACGATGGTGGCTCGTCGATTAGCGTGAAGCCGCTGTTCTGGGACTCGTCCTCTTCCTCGGAAGTGTATCCGCTGTGGCTTTGCTTCCGCTGCGATCCGAGCCGGGAAAGGTGGATACGGCCGTTGCGCTTACGGACTACGACGCGCCGCGTAGTGTACCAGTCCTTCTTCTCGCGGATCCTATTTCTCATTAGTACCTAGTCCGATTCGTCTTCGAGTAGCCTTTTTTCAAGGGTCTTGATCCAGATGTGGGGCGGCGTTGTAAGAAGGACGCCCTTGCGCCGACCTATCCGCTGCTATGCAGAATCCTCCGTCACTTAACGGCGATGCTGATTACGCCCTATAACGTAAGAATTGTAGCGGCAGCGGGAGAGGCGCTCGAACTTGAGGCTGGTAAAGATGGCTGACTTACTCTCGCTGAAGCAGAGCTATGTTGGTTCTTATTAGAGCGCTGCGGAGTTCTTGGTCAACGGCCTGAACATTGCTTTTCTGAGACATTTTTTATAAGAGGCCGAAGACAAAAGACTTAAAGCTGTTGTTTCGGGGCGCAGCCGGTGGGGATGTCCGAGTGAGTCCGGGGCTTGTATACGTGCAATCTATAAGAGGCTATGATAGACAAAGAGAGACGTTGAATATGCAGGCAGTTGATATATGATACGATATGAGCGTTAGAAGAAGGAGATAGTGAAATAGTGGCAATGCAGGTGAGGTTGAATCGTAAGGAATCGTCAGCATTCCTAAGAGTTTTGCTGGTGTAGGTTCCATAGAGCGGGAGTGAGGCGTCAGGACCTTTATACCCGTCCCTCTCACGAGCCAAATGCAGCACCTACCGAAAACATGCCCCTCTAAGGATTCCCCGTGCTCCTGCGGAGTCGTGAGGATTATGCCCGTGAAGCTGGTTTCTAACACTCCGTCGCAGTCTGAGTAAGCCAAGAGTTTGCTCATCGAGTGAGCGCATCGCAGTAAGACGCCAAGGATGGTGCAGATTGGCCGGGGACCGTCTCGCGCTTCGGGAATTCTCAGAACAGATGGATACTACCATGTCCAACCAGCTCACCACCGGACCACCCACCAACCCGAAGGAGAAGGCGATATTTTGGGCTTAGTATAAAGTATGGTCCGATATAGCGTTGTCTACTCAGCGTCGTAATGGACTGATGAAATCCAAGCCTATTGTTGGAGGTCTCATCACATGTCCCTCTTTCACATGTCTTCAGATTCTAGGCTCTCTATACTCTATCCTGTATCAAATGTTCTCGCGACACAGAGTTTTCTCTGCCAGGTACCCGAAACCTAGTAGTATATATATCCCATGTCCCGTCCCTTTTTATCGTTTTTGACATCCCCGAGAAGGGCGACTCATTAACCTAAATCTTCGGCTCTACCAAACGCTCGGAGTCAGCCGAGGTACCAAAGACACACGCATGGTGTAGCTAGTGTAGGTATATACGATATCGATTGCCTGCTCGCTTCTCACTGGGCCTTACTCTTGTCACTGTTATAGTAATGGGCCATTTCTAGCCCAGCCCTCCTGAACCCGCACTTTACGTAGAAGCCCTCGTTCGCTTCGCTGCAGTCGAGGATGGTCTTGTAGCAGCCGACCTTCTCGGCGATGAAGTCGAGCGCTTGAATCAGACGAAGACCAAGCTTCTTGCCTTGCTGATCTTTCGCGACGGCAATGTCTTCGATATGGCCGACTAGACCGAGACTATGGATGCTGTTGAAGAAGATTTTACGTCAGCAATCTTGGCTTCTTCCGTCAAAGCTTACCCGTACAGGTTTATCTTTGAATGACGATCTGGTAAATCACAGATCACAAGTTTTACAATGCTATTGTCTAGAAGAGGGGTATCCTACAATTTCCTCTCTACGAGTAGTGCTCCTGTCCCTACGATCTTCCCCCTTGTAGCGTCCTCAATGACGAGGACATAGTACGTGTCTTGTGATGACATCCACTGGTACCTCTCAGCGAATTGGTCTTTGCTAATCTCACCGACAGTCGTCAGAACGCGTAGGCAGTCGAGAAAGCCGGCATCGTAGTCGGATAGTCGCAGAGAACGAGCGGTGTAGCCTTCAGGAAGTGCGGCAGAGACTTCAGGGGAGATGAGGTCGGACGAGAAGAGACCTTGTTCAGCCATTGTGATTATGATTCTGATTCAGTGCAACTTTGGGTTCGTCGAATGTGTCGTTTCGGGGTCAATTGGTGTTGATTAGCGAATGTCAAGTCCGCGGTGAAACGAGTGGACACAGATCCAAGAGAGCGCAATTGAGCAGAACCCTTGGAGACGATATATATGTTAAGGCGGAAAGGGAGGCCCTAATCAAAACGTTGGTCAAGAGGATAGAATGAGAAGAGGTCAGATGGTTAAAGGGGTTAGAGACAGCTTTTGTTGTTATTCGAATAATGTTCTGTTATTATTTCGTTATCGACGATAAAGAATACGAAGCAGGAAATTCCCTCTTTACATCCCTGAAATATGGAAAGCGGCAGTATTACGAGGTACCTGGTAATACCCGTGGTAGCCTGTAATTCCTTGCGAAGCCCCTAAATCTGAGGAAGCTTAGCCTTAATTGATTGGTTCTGGCCTTCGGGAACCCCGTAAAACCCTTAAAGATGGCCCTGGAACCTTGGAACCGACTCAGTGTCTGCATAGCCTGCATAGGAGCTGAACAGCTGGGACCCCTTCCTGCCCTTCCAAACCTTGAAAGGAGCTAAGAATAGCAGTCTCGATTTGTACCCACTATATGTACCTAGGTACCATAAACCTGAGGAATTTCAATGTTCCCGCTGCAACTGTTGACATCATTTGAGTTTTGGGGTTTGCAAACCAACCCGAATCTAACTTCGAGGCTAAAGCGAAGAAACAAATCCCAGGTCTTGGGTTCCTTTCCCTCCATTCTCAAGGTGAAACTTACTATCATTCCTCTCTCCATTTTCTTGTTCCTCCCGAGTCTCAATCTAATATGTTTATCTTTATCCAACCACACCTAATATTCCCTAATAGTTCTGGACCGTGGTTGAACAACACGACAATATGGGATGACGTTTAAGCGACCCACGATTTCGTGTCATTTAATCAGTGATTGATTGCGGGCAGATGGCTGGCAATGACTCGATCAATTATTGCGACTAATATGGCGACTTCGATATGACGTGGACAAGAGCCTCGGTTCTCTTGTTCCTGCATCCTGCCCCGTCGCCTAATTATGCCTGGAATGCCTGGAATGCATAGGAATATCGATTCTTTATCATCTTAGATCGGGAACCAACCGGGTTGGCTGGCACGAAAGATATGGGACACCGTCTGAGATGGAGACACGTTTCCATGCTCTCGGCGCTGGGCATATGCAAGTCTCCGTCGTTTCCGTGTCTTATCGATTTGGAAAATCGTTGGGAACCTATTTGTTCCCCTTTTTCGCCCTTTCCTATTCTAGCGCGAAAGTATAAGGTGTCCACCATTCTACTTTGGTACGACAGTTGGAAATGGCCAATCAAGAGCCAATTAGATCTCGACCCAGCTACGAAAAAGGACCTCCCCGCGTTATTATCACATGTAAGTTTTAAGCTAACGAAACTTTATGCTGGTACCTAACGTCAACGGATTTCTGTCGCGCATAAAGTTTTTGGGACGGTACGGTACCAAGGTTCTCGTTACCTAAGGAGCGTGGCCAATCTTTAATTTCCAAAGTCATCGTCATTCATCATCTCGAATTAATCCGACGCTCCTTCTTGATTTCGCTCCCAATTTCAAGAGATTTGTATTTTACATTAGATCGGCAATAGACATGTATATACGCCGTTTCTTATTTGATCAATGTGTCTCGGCTCATCATCAACTGTTACAACAGCAAATGCACAAATACAGTCCATACCTAACTGCTTAACCATTTGAAGACATTCCAGTCTTCGCTACAATAAATGCTGCCAATCTATTTCGAAAGCCCGCTCCTCTATCGGCGTCAACATGTCCGCGATTACGGAAGAAGACCAAAATGAAGACTCGAGCCACCCGATCGAGACACCTCTATCTTCGCCAGGGGAGCTGTTGCCATCCATTCCAGGTAGGACTCTGCTACCTGGCACGATAGCGAGCGCGGTTAGTTTCGCAGCGAGGTCGACATCATTTGCCATTCGAGTCGGCACCTTTATCGGCAGCTATGGTTTAGGGGCTGCGAAGTTCACCACTCTCTCTAGCTTAGAGTTGAGTCGCGGAATCTTGGAGGGGATATTAAGTAGGGCTGGAAAAGATGTTATGTCGAGGACTCGGTCCGAGCTGGGGAGGTCAGATGCCGAGTCTATCCTTGAGAAGAGCTTGGAGAGCTTGCATCAGGCGATGTCCCAGATTGTCTTTTGGACCGCGACTAGTTTCCATATCACCGACACCACTGTATCAAGCGCATCTCAAATATCACAACTTTTTCTATCCGTTTTAGACCAATTCTTCGGTTCGACCGACTCTTCTAGAGCTATCGCAAGCATCATTACTCTAATTCGTCGAGAGTTTCAAAATCCTGCCACCGGTGTACAAGGAGAAAGAGTCGGGGTGATTGACCTTTTGCTTGGATTATGTGGTTTGGCATATCTGCAGAATTGGTGCAGGAAGATGATTCAAGACGAGTCCCGTCGGCTTTGCCAAGAGGAGATCATCTGGGATGTTGTCCTTCTTGACGACGACAGGCGAGTGGACGTCGATGGCGAAGATTTGCATATATCGCAAGGTGGTAGACATAGGAGAGAAGGTTCCGGCGGCAACGACAGTATCATCGAAGCAATTGAGCGACATGGTGCTAGATTGGATAGCACTGACGAGGATGAATCGCCCGAGACCCGACTCAAACAGCATATCATAAGATCTCTTCCAAAAGACGCCCAGGTATCCATAAATACTTCGACCACTACGACGAAGACGATCACCGTGGATATCAAAGGTGCTCCACTAGTCCCGATTTTATCATTACCGGGAGTTGACCTCGTAAAAAGCGAAATACGTTCCAATGCGCCAGAAGATCAAGAAGGATCCAGTTACAGGGTCGTGTATAAGATTAGCCGGAACAAGGTGAGAAACACCGCTGCAGATAGTGACGGCGACGGCACCAAATCGCGAGTTGAAGCCATTGAGGATGGCGAATCCGATTCTTCGACCAGCTTTATTAGCCGCCAATCCGATCAACCCCCGCCTGTCCCACCCAAACCTGATCGTCCCACATTCGCGTCGGCAGCAAAGCGGAGAGAAAGTATTACGTACGATTGCCCGGCTCGTCATAACATGAGAAGCCCGTCAGGTAGCGTGATCTCATCCAAGGGTCGTATATCTCCGCCCATCTCTTCCAAACAAAGCCCCGAGCATATAGCAAATCAGAAACGCGCCAGAAAGCCGTTAGATACGCAACCTGCCCCACGAAATCACGTTTCGGTTTCTGTCTTGCCAACTAGCAGCAAACCCGCATCCAAAAAGCTTGAGCCGCCGCCTACGGTCAAAGCAAATGAGAAGAAAGGTGGCATTCGAGGTGTCCTTAAGAAGAGGTCTAGTTTACTGAACAGGGACTCAAGCTCCGAGAACCTTCAAACTGCCACCAAGTCAAGACCAACTATAAAACCGCCATGGGGTAGTAACAAGCCATCACAGGGCAGGGTTCCTAGTGCATCAAGGAAAGAGATGATTCCAAACAGATCTTCAAGTCTATTGTATCGCGACACTCCTCGAGCAGCACAACGGGGAAGCCCGAACCACTTCACTTCAAAGGATCTTGGCGAGGCCGGAGGCATTCCCAGCCTACACGGCCCGCAATCTCGGACAACGTACGTCTCACTACACGACCGGCGCCGTGAATCAATTGTGTCCTTGACAGATACCTTTTCGGTACACTCATTCGAAAGCCGACCGTCATCTCCGGCATTTCATAGGAATGAGCCGGCCATTCGTATATCTCGTCCCGAACCCGGATCTACTACCGGTGCACAAAATCCTCCACAGGGCCATATAAGAACCCGATCCGAAAATCACAGCTTGTATAGTCCAAGCATATATACGCTTAAGACTAGAGATTCGCAAGCTTCACTAGCACTGTCCACCTTTCACCAGAAAAGTGCCTACAGCGATTCAGAAGCCGTAGATACACTACGATCATCGGGTGTGGTTGAAGGAATGTTCCCCGAGTTTCATATTCTAAGAAACATTACTCGATATAGTCGTTATGCGTCGGCTGCGTATGGCTCCCATTTCTTGAAGTTCATGGGTATCACGAAGGAATTGCCTGTCCTGAAAGGATTGGACGAGACTCATCGAGACGTACGCTCATTTGCGCATCATACACAGCTCCCGCCGGATAGCATCCTATTATCCTCATTTGTTGATCCACAAGGTGGTTCTGATTCTACCGGATCCACTGATACAGGAATACCCCTCGTGCATACTATTGCCATTGATGAAGAGTCTAAGGCTATTGTTCTGTCTTGCCGTGGTACTCTAGGATTCGAAGATGTTCTTGCGGATATGATGTGTGAATACGATGACCTCGTTTGGAGAGGAAAGCCGTATAAGGTCCACAAAGGGATTCACGCGTCTGCGCGACGACTTCTATATGGAGGAGATGGAAGAGTATTGGCGACGCTTAAAGAGGCGCTTGAGGAATTTTCAGATTATGGGCTAGTGCTCTGCGGGCACTCACTGGGCGGCGCCGTGACAGCACTGCTCGGAGTTATGCTTGCCGAACCAAGTTCTACGGGAGCGGGGTTCGTCACTTCTTCTGAACCTCTTCGAAGGTTACTTGCAGACGGGCAATCCAAACAGGACTCATCTCATATATGTCTACCGTCGGGTAGACCGATTCATGTCTATGCCTATGGGCCTCCTTCGACCGTGTCTCCGTCCCTGCAGAAAGCCACAAGGGGATTGATAACGAGTACAGTACATGGGAATGACCTCGTTCCATACTTGTCCCTAGGCGTCCTCCACGACTTCCAAGCATTGGCGCTAGCGTTTAAGACGGACAACAGCGATGCGAAAGCAGAAGTGCGTCGACGAATTTGGGTAGGCCTGCAGTCAGGTCTAGCTGATAAGTGGTATAACAACGGACCGACACGGTCTACCGAGGAAGAAGACAAGTGGGCTTATGCTGCGCTCAAGACCTTACGTGCGAGTATGATGAGCTCCAAACTACTCCCTCCGGGCGAGGTCTTCGCAATCGAGACCACGCCAGCCTTAAGACGAGACGCCACTCTCCAGGCCGGCACTGGCCAAGTTGGGCGTCTGGCAACTAGAGTCGTCTTTAAATACGTCAGAGATGTCGAGGCTCGGTTTAGAGAAGTCCGATTCGGTTCAAGCATGCTCTTAGATCATAGTCCCGGACGGTACGAAGATGCTCTCCGGCGGCTCACATTTGGCGTTGTGGAAGTTTAAAGTATTATTCTTAGAATGACGATCATTGGATATCCCCTTTTTCATACAGCGAAGATACCTGCCACGATAAAAATTGGTAATGTAGATAGATGAAATATTACGTCTCAAAGACGAGCAGTATATATTGGAACCTATTATGACAATTAGATAGAGCTAGTATTTAATGCGATTATGTCTAACTTTCAACAATATTGCGAGTAATGTCGTGATACACATGTGGATTGAGTTGCATTAAGCACTAAGGTCTAAGAGCACTAGGAACTAGCTAGGCAGGGAAGGTATGCCAGACTCAAAGTGTTGGTACCCATTCATCCTAGAACAGTGACTTTGAAGATGAATATCGTATCTGGTAAGTAAAACAGAGCTAAAGTAGGCGAGCGGGCGGTTAAATAAGGATAAATTCAGGGTTTCCGGTCACCCATTCTGCCGGGACGAGAGAAGAAAGATCACCATCAGGGCCAGCAAGCGTATCGCGTACGAGGGTATAAGTCGCATGATAATCACAAGCCATTCGTGGAATTAAAAGAGTCGCTAAATAAAAGAAACATAAATCCATTTGACTTTGACGGTTATATCGTCACTCAATGCCTTGGATCAAAAAGTTAGGACCTCCAGAAATAGAGCCCCTCAACACCAAGAATCCCCACCTCACGATCCCCTCATTCAGCGTATTGGTACGCCAGGAAACGTCAAAGATCACCCCAGATATTTGATTGCATCGGCATACAAGCCAAATTATCCTTACAAATTTACAGATTTAAGGAAGTAACAACGATCAAGATGTCCCCACCCCTAATAACACATCTCTACACTGCGGACCCCTCGGCCCACGTCTTCGACGGCAAGCTATACATCTACCCGTCGCACGACCGCGAGACAGACATCCAGTTCAACGACAACGGCGACCAGTACGACATGGTCGATTACCACGTCTTCTCGCTCGACACCCTCGACGCCTACGCCTCCCGCCCCTCCCCCGACCCAGCACCCGCAGACCCTCCCAAAGTAACCGACCACGGCGTCGTCCTAAGCGCCAGAGACGTCCCCTGGGTCAGTCGCCAGCTGTGGGCGCCAGACGCCGCGTACCGCAAGGGGAAGTATTACCTGTACTTCCCGGCGCGCGACTCAGATTCCGTGTTCCGCATCGGCGTCGCCGTGGGCTCCTCGCCCGTCGGCCCGTTCACGCCGGACCCGGACCCGATACCGGGGAGCTTCAGCATCGACCCCGCGGCCTTCGTCGACGACGACGCCGACGCGACCGCGTACCTGTATTTCGGCGGCCTATGGGGCGGGCAACTGCAGTGCTACCAGCGCGGCAACGACCCTTCTTACTTCGACGCCGCGTGGCTCGGGGCCAAAGAACCTTCTGGCCCGGGGGCCAAGGCGTTATGTCCTAAAGTCGCGAAGATGGCGGACGATATGCGCGGGTTCGAGGGCCCGGTTGGGGATTTGGTGATCCTGGACCCGGAGACGGGGGATCCGATTAGGGCGGATGATCATGGGAGGCGGTTCTTCGAGGCGGCGTGGATGCATAAGAGGGGTGGGATGTATTATTTTAGTTACTCGACGGGAGACACGCATTTTTTGGTGTATGCGATGGGGACGAGTCCGCTTGGCCCGTTTACGTACGCGGGGCGGATCTTGGAGCCGGTGCTGGGGTGGACGACGCATCATTCTATCGTGGAGTTTGGGGGTAGGTGGTGGTTGTTCTATCATGATTGTGAGTTGAGTGGTGGGGTTAATCATCTGAGGTCTGTGAAGGTGAAGGAGATTTTTTATGATGGGGAGGGCAAGATTGTGGCGGAGAGACCTGGGGAATAGGGGGTGGACGAGAATATCTTGACTTTGCTAGCCCTCGGATTGGACGCGTGGCTTGACCTTTAGCCATTGAACGATGATATTCGATGTACCATGGACTAGGTTGAATTGCCACATTGCTTCATGATACTATATCAAGATTTCCATATTAAATTCTACAGAGCCGTACCATAGGGCTAATTGTTGCAGCGCCCGTCGTATAATTCTACTACCGTCTTCGGCAACGACAGTAGCATCTTTATAATAACCATGGTTCTTTCAATAACTGGCATGGAAGCTCCATCTTCCACGATAAGGGACGGAAATGAAATCGCCTGATTTATTATTATCGTGCCTGTTTATGCTGTGGTGAAGACAGCTGTTTACCCCATGGGGTTGATCTACTCGGTACCCCTATGACGTTGCACTTGATCTACCGATATTAAAAAGGGACGTCTATTTTCAGGGGAAGATAAATACCGGAGAAGATCTCGATGTGGGGGACTTGTCGACAATTTATCTCGAAAGTTGTGTACCAATCACACTACCGGCGCGATAATGGATGTTATGGATGTTGTGAATGTTACTCCAACACGTCTCTACCGAAAAGGAATCAGGTTTAACTTCATGTCAAGAACTGCTGTGGTACCGAACTATCGAATATCTGCGAGAGTCTTGTCTCTAGTGATTGATATATATCGTTATGATAGGGAATGTATAATAACACTGTGTTTCTCTTCCCGAATTACATGAAGCCTCAACTGTGTCGTCTCAAACCATCATAGGGGTTCATTATGGTCTCCAGAAATCAACACAGCGATGGCATCAAGAGGAACTGGAAGTGTGCCCTCATATGCGTCGGCATGGCATTTGCCATGGCCCAGTATGGAGTCGACGTCACCGCCGTAGGAGCTTTCCAGAGCATGCCCGGCTTTCTAATGACCTTCGGATATCCTGACCCTCAGCTAAAAGGGGGTTGGGGTATTTCTACCACCGACCAGCAGTTGATCACCTCGTTCTTGAACCTAGGAACCATAATCGGCGTTCTGTTCATCGTCCCTTTTAGTCGATACTTTGGTCGCAGACACGGGATATGGATGGGTTCCATCCTCTCCTTCGCCTCATGCGTCACTCAAATCGTATCGACCTCAATTCCCGGCTTGTGCGTTGGAAGAGCCCTTATGGGCGCGTCGAATGCCTTCTTCATCACCTTCTGCAATACGTACATCGTGGAATGTGCGCCGCCCAACTTGCGCGCCATCTGCTCGGCTATGTTCGCTATTACTATGAACGTCGGAACCATCATCGGAGCTACCGTCGACGAGAATACGTCTCATATGATGAACAAACTATCGTACCAAATCCCGCTAGCCTGTCTGTTCATATTCCCGGTTTTCCTGGGCGTCTTCATGTTCTTTATCCCCGAGTCACCTCGATGGTTGATGCTGCACGACCGCCGCGAAGAGGCAATACGTTCACTCGCTTTTCTACGAGACGATTCCTTAGAGTCAGACCTTGTCCATGAAGAGATAGTCGAGATCGTTCGTGGCGTGGAAGAAGAGAAGTTAAATGCATCCTCGTCGAGTATTACGGATATTTTCAAGGGATCAAATCTACGTCGCACGCTCATCTGCCTGTCTGTTGTCGTGTCACGAACATCATCAGGAACATGGGTCCTCTTGTCTTACGGCGTAAGGCCCCTATTCTCCGAGTGTTACTCGTGCGGCATTGTCTAACGTGCTTCAAGACATACTTCTTCCAGCAAGCAGGCGTAGATGACGTCTTTAGGATTGGAATCTACATGATGTTATTAGCGTTCGCCAGTGTCGGAGCCGGCATATTTTTCGCGTATAAGGTCTTTGGTCGTCGTACTATGCTCCTCATAGGCACAGGAGGAGCAGTGATATCCATGCTCGGCTCGGCGCTGGGAGCTACGATCGCACCCGAAACGGCGGCGTCCGCGAAAACCTTTCTGGCGTTCAACTTCTTCTACGTTGTTCTCTATGGCGGTTTCGCAGGCTCGATGACGTGGCCTATATCCGCCGAGGTCGTAAATTCGCGCTTGCGTGTGGTGACCTTGTCCTTTGCTACTGGCGTGGACTACATCTTCGCCTGTGAGTGTTTTCCTATCTAGTAACCTGCATGGTGCGACGTTATATCTCGGGTCGCATTGGATTATGAGCGAGTCCTAGATGCAGTAAGACGAAGGCAGGCTAACTCGCGATTCAGGGCTCACCTCCTTTTGTTCCCCGTACTTCATCAATCCGACTGCCTTGAATTGGGGGGCTAAATACTGCTGGATCTGGGCTGCGTCGAACGCCTTGACATTCGGTGAGACATTCGAGCGCAATCTATATGCTGTGCTCCCTCACTAACCATTTCCTAGCTGTCTTTTGGTTCTTCTTGCCAGACATGAAAGGCAGATCTTTGGAAGAGATAGACGAACTCTTCGAGAAGCGGGTGCCTGCAAGAAATTTCCAAACATTTGAGTGCCAATCTTCTTCGCAGGCTCACGATATCGTTCTGCACAAGATGGAAGAAGCAAAGGTAGCTGTTCAGCATATCGAGAAGGGCGATTAAGGGATGAGCTCTGCCATTACCATCGTGTAGATTGGAAAAATGCCTCTCGGGCTGTCTTAAGGCTCAGCCCCTGGACTGGATATCATTGACGTATGTGGATTTAGGAAATGCAGCCGTGCTGGGGGTTGTCCTTTTTTTACTCGTCGAGAACATTCATGATCGGAATTTCCTGGAAATAGTCGTGTATTACTGCGGGTATGACCGAGATTCGTCATCTAACACGAATGTAATATTCGACGAGTAATAAAGTGGCGGATTGGTTTCTACAGCCACGTTGGATGTTAACACGGCATCCAACAAGAGAGGTATGTTAGTGGAGTGATAGATGTTTGTACATATGCAAGCGATGCAGTTTTTCGGTGTATAGCCTTGGTTTTAGACAAAGTCTCCCATACCTCATGGTCGTTCCATGTGATAGGCTTAATATAGGAAAGATTCGGCCCCCAATGCGACCCTCCTGAAACTAGAACAAATAGGAAATTCCAAGTCTGGGCGACGCATTATCTACATTTTACTGCTGCAGATGATTTGCATTAGCGGCGGTCATGTCGCACCCGCCAGATGGTGTGCAATGCCCGTATCCGCCCAGATGCCGAGCCGTTAGCAACCCAACCGCGTGTGGGCTGGCACCTATCACGGTAGGGCAGCGAAATCGTCATCTGAGTCCGACCAATGTCAGATGACGATGCGATCTGGGCCGGCTGCATGTGGATTGGTGTGGTTAGTTCCAACGTGGCCAGGGGAGTTAACTGCACGCGCGCGCGGGGTGAGTCGCGTGTGACAGGGTCGTCGATAAAACTGCCTGACGAGCCGTCCCTCTTGAGACCCAGTCTCAGACGATACTTTACCAGGACTGGACCGTGGCTTTTGGATCCGATTCGCGATTTCTGCCAAGCCCAGATCAGCTCCCTGCGTCGCAGAAATGTCCGTTAATTTCACAACTTTGGTAATCGTCGCAAGCCAAGTGCAGCCCGACATCGTGAAGCGGCAGGTTGTTATCACGCAGACTATCACGTCTCCCGACTCGACGAGTACGGCGCTCGTGACGCTCGACCGCGGTGGCCCGACAACTACTTCTTCGGCCGCGAGCTGGAGCGCGGGCGCTGCCTCGTCGGACGGCCTCGGACAGGCCCAGATTGGTATAATAGTGGGATGTTTACTCGGCGCCCTCGTCCTCGGCATAGTCATATGGTGTTGCTGCACGAAGAGATGCGGGTGCACCCGCTACACTGCTTATGAAGGCGACAGTACAGAGGAGGTGATCTATTATACAGACGACATGGTAGGCGTCGCTCGACCTGCAAGAGCTTGGCCAAAATTTCCTCAATCAATACCGCCGCCTGTCGTTCCGGAATATGTCGCAACTGCCGAAGATCCTACTATTCCTCGCTGGACAGCATACGGAGCATCGCGACAACCACGCCCCACCTATTATGGGGGATGAGAGACGAGCGGCGTATCCAGCATTTCATTTCACTCTGTTATGTTTGCAATTATTGGCTTTTAATCACCGCCATTTATATTATCTTCTGTTTATATGCGTCGGATAGCTAACGGGTAAGCCATCGGTAACAAGGGTCGTGGTGAGTCCAACATCCCAACCCCTATTTTAAGAGGTAGGTCTAACTCGTATTCTAGATTTTTATGGGTGCACATGTGTAATATAAGTTGAAATGCCCTTGCGTCAGGTATAACTGGCAGGAATTGGTTATGATACCCATTTTGCACACGAATGATGATATGCAACATAAGAGTACGAGACCAGAGGTTTAAGGATGTGAATTCTATCTGACAGCGGATAGTTACTATATGACAGCTTGGTCCATGCAACATTCCAATTCACCATTGGTTAAGTCGATCGTCGCATGCCTAACTCTTTGAACTATCACATTCACTGGGTGCCTCTGAAAGCCTCTAGAATGTTGCAACGGCAGGTCCAGGCATCTCGTAAGAGCCTCCGCCGCCCCAGAAGCTAAAGGTAAGTCCAGGGTCTGTCTTACTGTAGATTCCAGGAATCTTAACAAGTGGAGATGGTTTGGCCGTGCCGGTGCCTCCAGTAATGCGAATTTGCGCGCACTCCATGTCTATAAATACAGTAATCAGCACCCATATAGGTCAACCCGAAGGAATATTGAAAACTTACATAGCTGTGGTTTTCCAACATCTACATATATTTGAATTAGTAAGAGGGCTTCGAGAGAAACATAGATAGGTGACTTACGGTTCTCGTGGATACCGATGTGCTCTCCTCGGAGAAGGTACTCGCCATCTTCAAGAGTCGTTGGCAGGGTGAATTCCATTGTATATTTGCCGTATAACGGCCAACCGCCTGTGCTAGTAGGGCTTCCGGTTGGGCCAGATTCCCAACTAAACTCTTTAGTTCTCATATACGTCTAGTTCCATACACTGGTTGATGACTTACACCTTGAACCAGTCGCCAGATCCATCGTAGTCGCTCACGTTGCCGGGGGCTTTGGACATATAAAAGAATCCAGGACCCGGATGCTCGATGAATTCGTTGTTGAACAGCTTAAGACCGATTTTGTCTCCTGCCTTGACATCCATGTAGGTCTGGGTTCCGGCACTAGTAGCACCCTTGTTGCACCTCAGATCATCACTGTGACAGCTCTTGTTAACTCTATCAAGAGATATTCGTGCGGTTCGGGGAACACCAACGTGTCAATAATCTCCATGAAAGACGGCATGTAGCTGTTAGAGTTCTTTCGGACGTAGGTGTATTCACCGCCGACTTGTTTGCCGTTGTGCATGACTATGACAATCTTTAGTGATAGTATCTACCAGGGGCCAATGTAACAGGAGGCTTACGAATGTTGAGGATGTAGTGAGAGCTGACTAGCGGGGCAGACAGCAGGGCTGCCGCTGCTGCGAGAGTAAAAGATCGAACCATGTTGACGAGCAAGCCAATCTGAGATCAACGATAATCTTGAGGTCTGTACTACATTTCAGAGTTGGCGGATGATAGCCTTTTATGCGCATCGTCGCCGTGTGCTCTACTCTGGAATACACAACTAAGAACTCAGCTCCCGCATTCTAGCCGCATATAGTCCACCAGTTGGCTAGATACTCGCTCGGCAATCGTGTTTATACCCAGAAATCGCTAAGAGGACATTACTAGGTATATTCATTGCCTAGATGATACGTATACTCGCTAAGTCTCGGCAATCAAAGATCCAATCTAGCGACTGGACGAGAGAATCTGGGGAAATGTCAACTGCACTTGGCATACATGAGAAATTACAAATAAGTAACACAAGTTATCCGCGTTTGGAATGTAGCTTGCCATTCTCCGGGGTATGTATAAGATTATGAAGACGGCAACCTTCACTACCTATCATCCCTTCATCCACCTATAGAATAGGTAGACTTACACATATTCAACTCAACCATACCTACCAATACTCATAAGGGGATAATATCAGATGTCTTATAGCCTAGCACAGCATCCAAAGGAAAATCAATCGTACATATGATTGAGATTCCTAATAGCGATTTAGTAGCAGGACCAAAGCATTCTGATCTGGTCTAACCGAACTTCATTGCGTGTTGAATGATGGAAATCCACATCTAATAAATCGTTATGTCCCTCGATGACTATCTGGGTAGCTGTAGCGAGACTATTTTCGATTGATGCTTAGGGACCTCTGTTAGGGACTTATTTCCTGCCTTTCAAACTCTGAAAAATGTTAGAAAATATAGTGCCCCCCCTCCAACGGAATACATTCAGCCTAGGAAGAATAACCGGCAGAAATTACGGGTCATATGATCAAAAATACTTAACATGTGCCCTTATTCCTATTATGGAACTCTTTATTTGAAAAAAATATTTATGCTTTCAGTATAATTCGGAGGTGATTACTAAGATTTCAAGTAGATTATGATTAGTCAACAAACCCCTAAGCGATGAATACCTTCTAAGCGATATTACATGCCTATGTAAGTGTAGTGTTACTCATAAGCATTTCCACTTAGGTATCGACGGACCTTGAGCCAACAGTTTGTAATGGGAATCCTTTCAGGTTACTTTGAGATAGATATGTAGAAATAAGTATTGCTGTGATGGTAGTGCAAATATACTTCTTACGCTAGAATTTAGATTTCCAATGCTGACAATACTTGATATCAGTTCCCTGAATATCAGCCCAGCTATCAGCGTAGCAGTTTCTCTTGTTATTATCGAGATCTGAAGAGCCACCCAAGCGGCTCATCCAGATCCTTAAGACTAATATGTGTAATCTTAGAGCCTGTCCAACGTCTATATGAGTCTATGCGAGGTAATCTGAAAAGGAACTAATTTTTCCTCCTATAAGATGACACCAGCGATTTCCGATTCTTGGCCGAGATATGAGCGAGACTGATGATGGAGACATCCGAGTCGTCAATAAGTATGTTTGCCAATAGAACATGGTCCTAGAATTTGTTCACTTATATTTATCTTTTGCACATTATTACTCGTTAGATTCTATACGGAATAACTAGTGAAATAGTAACTTCCTACACTTGGTCCATTAAACTTTCATCTCAATAACAAGAGGTAGGATACCCATCTAATAAGCACACACTGGTGTTTTAAATGATAATTCGTAAAGTATAAGAATAATATTTTAATCTTGGGTCCGTAGGTCGTACGAGTAGCATCTTCACTGTATAGCTAGGTAGTATTGACAAAGCAGAACAAGAAATCCTAGGCTCTAGTTACCTATTGGCTCTATAGGTAAACATGTACGAAGTAATTACCTATGTGGACAGTCGGGACAGGTGTTCCCATATAGATCCCGTAGATCGTCTTATTCTATTCATCCATACTCGATGAAATGAAGTCAGAATAAGGTGATATGGCTAAATCCAAAGAAGCTCTCGGCTAGGATTAACTTCCCTAGCAACGTGTGCGCACATTCAGCAGTACAATACTAACGTGTTCCCGAGAAGATTATGTCTTTCACATTGGTGGTTTTAATCAACGTCCATAGCGGAATAGGAGATAATGCGTACCTAGGGAATAATGTAGGTAGTTATTCCGCAGTCTAGAGCTAGGATCCACCTCCATAAGCTACATTGTCCTATCTTGGGGGAACACATCCATTCAGCACCTCTTCATAACTCCGGGCTCCTATCAATTATCGACTGAACAGTGTCCCTTACAGATTTATCCAAATCGATATAGTCCAATCCCAGTATCCTCCTAGACTTGCTGTTGTCGAACTTGTACACATCAGCAGGGAAATCATCATGCGAATCCTCAGGTAACCGCGCTGCTAGCTCTGGAAACGAATGTTGAATCACGTCCGCGATCCGTTTATTGGAGAAGTATCCTCCAACGACGTAGAAACGGTTCCCGCCTGCCTCGGGCATAGTTACGGCTTTGAGATGCGCTTGGGCTACGTCACGCACGTCGACGAAGGTGAATACCGGCATAGTCGGAGATAGGCCACCTTTCATCTTACCCTGAACCATGTCCCGGATACGGTGGTTAGACGTATTCATAGCATCCAGGTTCGGAAGACTGCGTTGCAGAGGACCGAAAGTGAAAGTGCAATTTATGGTGGCAAGGTCAAAATTTGGCTTCTCGGTCTCAACGAAATTCCAAGCGGCCTTTTCGGAAAGTGCCTGTGATTGGATTAGCGACAAAAAAAACATCATGGTAGGTGAAGAAGTAAGGATACCTTGCTAGTTTCGTAAGCCCTCTTGGGAATGTGGATGTCTTCTAAAGTCCACGGGGCCCAGTTCGTCTCATCATAGATCTGGGCATGCTTAAGAGGGTTGATGATGGCTGCCGACGACGATGTGATCACGATACGCTTTACGGTGGGAGCGAAAGCCTTTACCGACTTGAGTATGCCTGTCGTCCCTTTGATTGCTGGATCTAATAGGTCCTTAATCGGGTCATGCACCTTAAGGGTATATGGTGAGGCGGTATGAACGACATAGTCGAAGGCTGATCCTGACTTGAATACCTGCCAAGCATTAGAGCCGACTTGCCTCAGTATTATATGAAGGATACGAAGAGGATATCAGAAGCCTTACAGAGTCAAAAGCCCCCTCCTCTGCGATATCGCCCACGACAACATAAGAAATGTTCTTTTGTTGCAAAAGGGGTGCGGAACTGACGATGGCACGGCCCTTCTCATTTGATCTCACTGTTGCGACAACCTCAAATCTTTAATACGTAAGTTTCTAAGTTGCTTTAGTAGGGTGGATAGAATACCAACCCATCGTCAAGGAATGCATCGATTATGTGAGAGGCGATGAACCCGCTCCCTCCTATGCGATGCACTTATTAGAAAACTACCTACATAGATAATAGGTACGAATGTTAATCATACTCGCTACTTACCTGTAACAAGGACTTTACCCTTTGGCGGTCCAACGTAGCTCCACATCTTATTTCGTTTATGATGCGCAGCTACTACCTGGATGGATATCACAGAGATGTTAAGTTACCTTATTCTTATCAAATTAGGTAGTACGTGCTTTAAGAGGTAATAGTCACAAGACGTGCGTATTTCGGCTTTTCGCCAAGATCGTCTTCGGTGTTCCGACGCATCTACCCCAACCAAGGCCGAAGGCTGCAGCAGACAGCAGCATTAACCAGTAAGCCCGAAACAGCGTGAATTTTCTGTCTCCCCTTCATGCCATATTCCAGTGGAATTCAAAGTTACGCGAACGCACAATGTCACTTGGTGAATCTAATAGCATCCATGTCGCCATAATAGGCGGAGGGATAACGGGTATTATACTCGCGCTAGGTCTGCAGAAGCGCGGTGTCAACTTCACTCTGTATGAACGGGCCCCGGCTTTTACGGAACTCGGAGCCGGCATCGGATTCAGCCCTAACGCTGAGCGCGCCTTGAAAGTCATCAATCCCGAAATAGATCGCGTCTACAAGCAATTGGTCGCGCCAACTCATGGTGTAGAAGAGTATTTCCAATGGGCCGACGGCTACAGAACAAGTGAAATCGAGGCGAAGCTATTAGTAGGTATTCCTTCTACTCACTTGTAAAGATTGAATTAACCATGTGTTCTCGTTCGTCTAGATCGGCGTGGACTGCTTTCAGGGAGGACGACGTTCCGACTTCGTGGATGGGTGGTCAAAGCTCATCTCGAAGGACTCGGTGAAGTTCAACAAGGAGCTGTCGTTCCTCGTTCATAGAGATGACGGCAAGGTATCGTTGCAGTTTAAAGATGGTTCCGTTGATGAAGCGGATGCTGGTAACGTGCCCCTAATCAGTACTCGGAAAATCCGACGGTAGATTGCCAAATGCTAACATAAGCGAAAGTAATTGGCTGTGACGGAATCCATTCACGCGTTCGTCAACTGATATTAGGAGAGACTAATCCAGCCTCATATGCCAGCTATACAAACAAATACTGCTTCAGGGCGTTGGTTCCTATGGAGAAGGCTCAGGCGGCGTTAGGCACGGAGCAGACGACGGGAAGTGACAAATCGCTGAACAGGGTCATGTACAACGGGCCGAATGCGCATATTATCACATACCCAGTGGCCCAGGGTCAGTTCATGAACATCCTGCTCGTCATCTCCGACCCCCACCCGTGGAAGACCGAAGATGGCAAGCACACGGCCGCTGGAAGCAAGGGAGAGGCTCTTCGGGCCTACGAGGGCTGGCACCCGCGAGTGAGGGCGATAGCAGAGCTGCTGCCCGAAGAACTGCAGAAGTGGGCCATCTTCGACATGTGCGAGAACCCGGCGCCATACTACTACCGTGATAGCGTGGCGATCGCAGGCGATGCGGCTCACGCTGCGGGTCCCCACCTCGGCTCTGGAGCTGGTTTCGGCATAGAAGATGCGCTGGTGCTCGCAACGGTGCTCGAAGCTGTCAACGAAAAGCTTGACGTTCAGGGCCAGAAGGCGAAGGTGGAACTCTGCCAGGCTGCGCTAGCCGCTTATAATAACATGAGATATGATCGCACGCAATGGCTCGTAGGGGCAACCCGGGAAGCTTGCGCGTTGTTCCATTGGCAGGACGAAAACGTCGGTAGCGATTTCGGAAAGTTTCTTCCGGAGATCACCAAGCGATTTCACAAGATCTGGAAGCAAGACATCGACGAGATGCTCAGGGAGACCCGTGAAGAATTCAAGAGGTTGGGTAGCGAGTTGCCGAACTAATTTTGTTGAATTTTGTTGTGATCAAGGAGGATGGTCAGTGCTGTCAGGGGTCGGCTAGGTACGTGCCTGTAGCAATGTTAAGCAAGATCTTGATTATGTAATAGAGCTATTGGCTTTGGCTTAGATGCATCATTAAATGTACTTACATAAACGAATTACCAGGTATTGATTACTAAGTCAATTAAACTATGAACTCATACTTATCCTCAACTTATGCATAAACAAACGGTATTCGGAAAGAATATGTAGCCGCAGTGAAAAGAAGAGAGAACCTAACCTGGTTCAATGTTAGATCACGATCTTTCCCTCATGCTTACATGCGTGTATTCATTGTCAGACGCTGCTGTGAAGAGTCCGAGCAGCGTAGGCAGCAGTAATACCCCCTTCGATCCCTACCTAGTCTAAAGCTTCATCCCATTGCGCCCATAATGGTTGTTCCAAAAGCCGCCGAATTCATCGCAAGCTAGCATCGAATATCCACATCAGTCGCTCCAAATACTTGCCTAGCAACTGTAAACTTAGGGCGGTAGACTTTGATACGGGCCACTGATATACGTGCGGGGGATTGGAGACTTCCAATTGTAAGTCGCTCGACCATGATGGGCCTGGGTTACATTTCTCGTTTCTCCTGCATGTTTAATGATCCTTCATCCCTAAAAAGGTTGGAAGTTCTTCTCGCACTCGGGACAACCGCAAGACCGACGACTCACCGGTGTACCGCCCAATCCAAGCTTGGCCTATTACGATATTCGATTATTGAATCTCTCAGTTCCTCTTATACCGAGCCCACCCCGTCTTTGACCCAGATGCTTGCACTCTAGATACTCTTACTATCACTCAGGAACATTAGCTTAACTTACACGATGGCTTCCGGCGTAATTTCCATTGAAACACAGCGCCAGTCTATGGCCCAGGGCGAAGCCGAGGGCCTCAAGCTCCTGGGGCCGTGCCCCTCTCATCTAAGTGAGGCCTGGATCGATATCCTGCTGCCTGGCGGCCGGACAAATCGCACAAGAGTCGTGTGGCCGAAACCAGCGGAAGGAGACCGTCGCACATGTTCGCTGATCGTTTACTTCCACGGCGGTGGTTTTGCAGTATGCAGTCCCGACTTGGTCCTGGCGCCTGCTCGCGGCTTTTCGTCACTCTTCTCTAGTGTGGTGGCTTGTCCATCGCTCAACCAATTTCCCGAGCAGCCATTTCCTGCGCCTACTCAGATTGCTTGGGAAACTTGTGCATGGTTGTCCGATGTGAATAACCTGAACAAAGGGTTATTGAAAGGGACCGGGGCTGAGATTGACTTGAAGCGTGGCTTCGTCGTCGGTGGCCTCAGCGCCGGTGGTACCGCCGCCGCCGTTATCGCCGGTATAGCTGGTGCAGCCTCAGCTGAAGTAAGAGATTTCACCGGTATCAGTCCTCTTCACGGCCAGATCACCGGCGTTTTCACGGGAATTCCCATGCTAGTCACTGATGCCATGCTTCCGGCGCGGTACAAAGACGACCTGCGGTCCATAGAAGAGCAAGCTGAGGAAGAGCCTCAGGTCGTCGCATTGCTTCGAGATCTCGAACAGCGGCTCGGTGACGCTGTTCACACGCCCTGGTTCTCGCCCATCAATCTGGATTTATCCAACCCGAAAACCACCCAGGATCATCCGAGGAAGGTCTTCATCTACGCCGGTGCCCTTGATGCTCTTCGCGATGAAGCTATCATATATAAGAAGTGGCTCTCGGAACTTCCAGGGGTTGAAGCTCGAATACGCGTGCTTGAGGGTCAAAAGCATACCGCTTGGACATCGCTACCGGGGCCTGACAATCACAACCCGAAGATGAAGGAGATGACACTCGACGGTATGGCATGGTTGCTTGGCTTGGAATGGGACAAGAGCCAGTTGGACACCCTGATTTAGACGTTAGCCTTAGATATAAGGATAATCCAAAGGACAGAATAGCTTTCTGACGAATATATTTCACTTCATGATTTCTAGATGTGGCAAGCAACGCATCATTCCCAGTGCTCGCAAAATGCTTCCGGAAAACCATTGTCGGGGCAGATGATCGGAACGGTATCCCCTCGCCCCCTTATCACCTCCTCTGGCGTTAATAAGTCGGTGTTTATCGCGCCTTGCGGTCGACCTCTATCCCCCTCGTAATACTCCGCGCCAGCGAGATCCACAAATACCATCTTCGCCCCCAGGCATGGATCAATGCTCGACTGCAGCTGTAGTTCGAGCCTAAAATTGGGATTTCTCCGCCTCGATCACGTCTATGCACTCTTGATTTTACTGGCAGTCAGGCATAATGCTTTCCATCTCCTCTTCTACCTGACAGCTAGAAAACTCTTCCCAGCACCATCGAGCAAAAACATTAATATGGTTCAATCTCGAGGATGTGGTGCTCATCCCGAGACTACTAGTAAAGAACAGTACATTTATATAACGCATAAATATACATGTTTGAAGGCTTTCATGACTTGGCGATATCCAACCGGTTTTCGGCCTAGCCGCTGTGATTACCTTCCCATCCCTTCCTCCGTACCTCCATAAACCTAGATCCAGGTCCCTTTTCAATTCCCGTACCCAGCCGATATCCCAGGGTATCTTAAAAACACAATCGTCGCCACTAAAGAGAAAGCCAGGCACTAGGTACCTAGGTAAGTATATGTACCGTATTTCATAGTAATTCGTTATGTATGTGATCTGTCGCGATAATGTGAATATTGTATTAATTATTTCCGTTGGAATAAATGTTGCTCGCTGCGCAATCGTTGCTTTTGTCATTAGTCGCTAGTAGACACGGTCAGAATTGGTGGAATTTTGAGCGGAATGTTAAGTTTTGCTTACTAGATGGGTCGGTCGGCCCCCTTTTCTAGGGTGGTCAATCATTTGTTTTTAATCAATTCGTCAAGAGCTGATTGAATTTTCAGCCCTAATCCAGCCCTTCACGACAGGGTTGGCTCGGATTCGTTGTCGAACCAGTAGCTACCATGGATTTGGCGCCAGCGCACTGTTCACAATGATCGACAATGTGTGTGAATCCGTGCTTTTCAAACCATCCCCGAAGGTGCGACTAAAGAGACGCCAGAAGACGGTTCCTGCTGTCACAATCCTTCCACCAAGGTGTCGCAGCACCGTGAACAGGTGTTAATATTCTTAATAGCATGTCTCATCTTAGAGATATGTTCATCTCGCGTCAAATATAAGAGACGGAGAGCGAGAGCGCGACGCAGGAACGATTGGGTCGTCGTCGTCGTGGGGGATTACCGCGGGAGGGGGAGGAGATATAAGACTATCTCGCACCTCAGGTGCTGTCGATTTGGAGGCGAGCTCCTCATCCATCTTGATCCAAGATTCCCTTTCGAAACGCGAGGGCCGACTCAGCGGCTCGCCGCTCGCATAGTCCGGCGCGCTCCGATGGCCAGACCTTTTGCGCCGCGCAACCCGTAGAGAGCCGTAAATAGTGGGCGCGTTCGCCACGAAGCACGACACGAACATTTGCACGGACGCCCAAAGGCTGCGAGTGGTCTGGGAAGAATTCTCGTTGAAGATCAGGACGACGCGGATTATCGTTACGACGATGCAGAAGGTGCCGAGCGCAAACAAGGTATACAAGGAAATGTATTCCGACAAGCTTCGCTTCCTCAGGCAGATTAGAGGATACGCGATGAGAAGGACCAGTAGATCGATGACGACGTTCGAGATACCCAGAAGAAGCAGCTGGACGTAGGCGCGTACACATGTCCCTGGATCAGGCTCTACCTGCCAGTAAAGCTCGATCGGACGGCATTCGAGGAATGTCGCGAGCACGATGGCGACGAAGGTGATTCCCAGAGTGGCCCAGGTTATCTTGGTGAGTCGGTTCGCCCAAGTAATGCCAGAAGTAATCCGCGAGTAGAACAATAGCAGAAGGCAGACCTGTAGCCAGAGGCCAGCGGTAAGTAAAACTCTGGCGAGAAGGACCAGAATGCTCCCGACTTTCAACCGGTACTCGTCGTCGCTAGAGGGCACGATGCCATTGTGTAACACATCGTTAGCAGTTCCGAATTGTAGATAGAAATTGTTGGCGACGATCCGGCCGATGATGACGAGCATCGACAGCACGACGAGGAAGAAACCGAGGTCGAATGGTTCGCGGCGCCATCTCGAGATGACTATCCGTATAGCGAGGATGAAAACAGACAGTGCCGCGCACGCATAGCCGACATGTTCTGCTTCGGATGACTCGTAAGCCATGACGGCACGCGCAGGAGAAACAGATTCTCAAGCAATTCGATGTTGGGCAGGCATGTTTCCTATCGGTTATAAGACGGAATGATATACTTCTACGTTACATTAGAAGCGGCGAGGCTAGGAGAGAGGTCAGAAGAGGGGGGGCCGGGAAGTCGAATAAAGAAACGAAATGCACAACTTCATCGGCCCACAAGTTCTCTCCGCATGAAAATGAGATGCAAATGAAGTGTTAACCGCATTGATTGGAGGCATTCCAATTAATAGGGCAAACACAGTCAGACGGCCACCTCGACCCTTGAAGAGAACCGTTCCCAGAGCTAAGCTGTTAGCCTCATTGGTATACGCTGGCGCCGTTAGATATAGCCAAGATGGGGTTAGCGATGGGGTTAGTATAGATCCTTGCCCGGTCCATACTGTCGGGGTCCCAGGGGTCGTAGGCGAGCATACCAGCGAGGATCGCGACAAAGGAACCTAACCTCGGTGTGGAGACGAACATAGATCGATCCTTTCAGCCGTCGAATGCGCCAATTCTCCCCCACCAGTCTGCTTTCTAGCTCCTCTCTGAAAATTTTGATTGGAGAAGTGGAAAACGCTGTAACAGGCGGTAATCTATACTTATGAATAGATTCTGACAGTCTGCCGCGGGTCGTATCAATAAGAAGTTCAAAAGCCGTACGTCGTCAGCATGCAACTTTTACATCAGATGTGGAAGGGCTGAGCAGACTTGGCATAGCTGTTGGGCTGAAAAAGTCCAAATACGACGCTGGCCAGGGGTTACAATCCCTGCCCTGACGCTGCGCAATCGGCCATTCGCCAACTGAAGATCCTGCCCCGTATTCGGGCTCGTAGCCGAAAATGCTTAGGTTGCTTGGGTTGCTTGAAAAGTCGGGGGATTTGCATTGACCCAAACTAAGGTAGGTTCACACGTGAAGAGGAGATTTTCCATCAACTTGATACTGGAATGGCTTCAGTGCATTGATCTACGAATCAGCTATGCCCCAAACAAGATATTTATTTGCTCATAGAAATACTAGCCCTGTTTTAGAAAACATTGCCAACGAGACTAATGCCCACCTGTTTCGCTCCGAAGGTATAGACAAGCGCGATATTAAGATGCGACTCGAACCAAGGGCTCTCCAACCTCCTAGTCAACCGAAGAGGTCAGACATAAACTAAATCCTTTCCGCATATCGTCCATATGAGCCTCTAAAGACACTTGCAGCGTTACAGGTGAGCCATCAAGTTGGCTCCTTACCAAGCTTGACAGGGTTTCCGTTTTTACAAAGCGGTTTTTCAATTGCATTCTCACCCACGTTTTCTGAAGAACTTCAGAATTCAACATATAGTCCAAAAATGACTTGCTCGCGTCCTCTTCCACTAGAGCGATCATAGGAAAATCGCGATCGGGGTATCTTATTATGATTATAAAGCCAGGACGAAAAGGTCTTGCGATATGGATCATGCAGCAGTCGCCCATCAACGTTTTGGATTCGAATCTGATTATCATGTCGGCATCCCTCAGCGCTGGAGGCCAGACACCAGCAACGAAGTAATTCCCAGGAAGCTGGCTATCTTTTAAGGCCATATACAACCTGTTCAGTAGATAGTCTCTAATAGGTGCGATTGTATTTCAGGAACCTGGCCAGGTAGATCCTCTTCCTTTGCCGTCCGCACGAGCATTTGGTTGTAATCCAAACAGGAATCGCCAGTGTAAGTCGGATGTACACGTCGGTTGTCAGACTATTTGAGACATCATACATTGAATTGGATCGGAGTAAAGGCAGAGCTAGAATGTTGTCAGAGAGAGGAGTGCTCCGTGATAGAGGTCACACATAGAGTGAATGCTAGGTAGTATTATAGTATTGGTGAACTAATAACGCTTGCCCTTCGAAGCACCTTCGAGGGCGCGGCGCGCTTTATATATGAACTAATGAGTTTACGAAGGGGTATTGTGTTGTGATTTTGTTTTGCCCTGAGTTTACGAAGGGTTATTGTGTGTCGTGATTTTTTTTCTTCTTTCCTTTAGGAAGTGGTTCGAAAAATTAGCTTAATCCTCTGCTTTAGTGGGGCTTTAGGCATATCCGGTCAATCCGGCTTATGTAATACGGATTTTGACAAAGTCTTGGCAATGTCGGCTGACCTGATTTGATAAAATCTTGGCAAATTGACTTGCAAAAACGTTGATTGGCTCTAGGGTGTGGATCAGTGGGGCTGAACTGACGAATTCTTGGCAAGTCCCCTTTTATAACCGTTGATTGGGTGTATGGCCCCTTTTAGTGGGATAAGCGCTCCAAGGGGCTGGCTTATGTAAAAACGGCCTTTGACCAGCTACATAAAGCCAATTGACCTGCAATTGGACCTGCATTCTGATTGAACAACGGTTGATCAACAGTTGACCTATAGTCTAATTGAACTGCAGTTGGTATAGCTAGTTGTTTGTAGTGCCAGGGGTTGATTAGTCAATTGAACTAAGGGCTGACCGATTACATAATACAGCAGCCCTGACTTTTAGGTCAGGTCAGGTCTAGGGACGGTGCGCCAAATGAGCTAAACCGCCAAAGCCTCAAAACTCTTGATCACAACGTATAAATACTGTAAAAACACTGTATTTACACTGTATTTTTTCGGTCTGGCCTTTGTATTATTAGGGTGTTTAGCGCTATTAGGCCCTATAATTACAAGGGTTATAGCACGTATCTATAGTGATTGATTTTAGCCAATTAAATCTATCGCATTTTGATAATCCTACTGCTCTTCTTAAGCAACAATACCAACAACAAGCACCTATAATTATTTGTTTTAATTATTTCAAATAATACAACGTATATCAAAATGAAGCTCTTCAATTGCTGAATTAATTGATGTAGTTTTTTTGCTGTATGATTTGTATAGGTCTAGCTGTTGCTCAGCTGTTGCTGAGCTGTTGCTGAGCCTTCGTTGAACTTTCGTTGAGCCTTCGTTCAGCCCTTGTTGAGCCCTCATCTCTAATTAGAATCAATCATTCTATACCTTTGTTATACTCATTCGAAAGCGCTTTTAAAGCTCTATTTAATGATATAATCAATTTACTATAGGTCGCGTTCTTTAAGTCGTTATTCTAGTTAAAGTCAATTATAGAAACGTTTTGAGGCTTTGGCGGTTTAAGTCAAATGGCCCGCCGTCCTAGGACTCAATTTATACCTAACGAAACGCATGATTCTTCTAGGTAAACACTACTCATTCTGCTAATATATCTACCTACCTAGGTAGCTTGGAACTTCGAACAAGTCCTTATGCACCAGTTACAAACCCCAGGACCACCCTCAACGAAGGTATAAGCACATCCGCACCCACAGGTACATGAAAAAAGCGCCCTGCATTTACCACACCTCGTGTGACCACACCCATCCGTACCGCGAGGACTCCCACATCTCATATTATTCGCTGGTGTGGAATTATTCTTAGAACACATGTGGCATTTCCAATGTAAGACAGGCATGGGCTTACTCTTAAGTTGGGGGCCTGTAGGCGACGTCGATATGCAGGCTCCGCTGCGGCAGGGCGTACACAGCGCCTGTCCCCTCTTCCTTAAAGCAAAGCGAGGGCAATTATGATTGGGATTAGGGCAGACACAAGGCTCCCACACTGGAGCGTTCTTAGTGCGTTTACACTGACATCGAGAACATCGCCAGCCTACTTGTTTGGGTGATCCGCAGTTCGTACATTGATAAGGCTGTGTAAGACAAGTCGAGCCGCAGGTATCTTCCAGATCGGGCGCAATCTCTATTGGTGTATGCGAGTCACAGGCTTTCGGGGGCCCGCGCCTAAGTAGATTCTTGGCCTTTGCTATTGGACAGTATATCCATTCAGACGACTGGTGCCCACATGGGTAGAAGGCGTAGTAGAGAATGCAACCACACGTCTTCATTTTTGCTAATGAATACCTACCTCAGCTTCGAATAAGTTTCCACGATAGACTGTATCTAAAGGGGGGAGCACGGCAGTTTATATGGCAAGTATGCGATTATTGTTCTGAACCATAGGAGCAAAGAATAGGGAGCTACCGTTAAAACAACGCATTGTGAAACTACTACATTCTTTCATAGGATGAAATGAACAAAGAATCATGGGTACTATGGCCATTGTGTAAAAAGAGGGATGGCTTGTTCATGTGTAGCTATCCGGGGGCTTTCACCAAGCCACTGAATCATCACTGATATGTTGGAAATAGGTATCTTTAATCATTGGTTATTCACGTGACTTCCGTTGAGACAAGAGCGTGGTAGGTTTAGAGAAAAGTTTTCGTTTATGGACTTAGATTTCTAGAGATTGAATACATCATCGATTCTATGAAGAATCTATTGCTCTCTCTGATACATATCATAGCGGTAGTACCCTAGGCACCGAACGACAGGAAAAATTAATGAACAATAAAATTGACTTCTGATTCCATCCCCTATCTATTTTTTCCGCGCAGGTATCCCCATTTACCAAGGCTGAATCCCCATAGCCCGAATAACCTTACCAACGTCCTGATCCCGCTTCCCCGCCACAACGTCCCGTATGAACTGTCCGCCCAGCGCCGGGTCCAGGGCACCCATCTTGATATGAAGTGTTAGCCATATATTTTTAAAAGCATCATCTGACGGGGAACTGGAATAACCAAAAAAAAAAAAAAAAAAAGACCCCTATACGAAAAAGGGGTATAAAAAAGGGGCAAAAAACTAACCTCCCTCCACTTCTCCGGAGCCATGCCCGCAAACCCCGTAGCCAAGAACCCAGGCGAAATGCCCCAGACCTTAACCCCGTCGTTCCTCAGCCGGCGCGTCCAATCGCGCATGAGCATATTCAGTCCCGTCTTGACGACGCGGTACATGGTGAGCTCCATGCCGGCCCTGGGCTTGGGCCACCCGGCGGGCGGCGCCGCGTTCAGCCTCTGCAGGCCGGGATTGCCGACTTGGACCTCGGTCTCGGCCATGGAGGTGGTGCCGCTGGTGACGAAGAGCAGGCGCGGGTCGGCGGAGTTGAGCAGTAGCGGCACGGCGAGGGTTGTGAAGAAGTGGGTACCGGAGACGTTGGTGTCCCAGGTCGCGTTGAAGCCGTCGCGAATCGGCATCTTGCCCTCCCGCACCTCCGTGTCGAAGGTGCAGCCGCCGTTGTTGATGAGCACGTCCAGGCGTCCGTACTTAGCCTCCAGCGTGTCGACGGCCGACTCGAGGGACGCGTCTGAGTTGAGGTCTACCTGCAGGGTGCTGAGGGACGAGGGGGACGCGGCGGTCGTCTCCTCCTTCAGCTTGGCGATGGCGGCCTCGCCTTTGGAGATGGTGCGGCAGCCGACGATGATCTCATAGGGGATGTCCGTCTGGTAGAGCGCCTTGATGATTTCGTAGCCGAGGCCCGTGTTGGCGCCTGTGACTAGGACGATCTTCTTGCCTGTTGCCATTGTGAAGAGATGTAGGTAGATAGATGTGTAGATGTGATGGCTGCTGTAGCTGATGCGTATGATTCCTGATATATCGAGTTGTGGATGTGAGATGTGTGATAGAATGCGAGAACAGCAAGACATTACACACTGGCGAGACAAGCCGTTTATATACACCACCACGCCTTAACGATGCCGCATCATTGCTGTTAGACAAGCGTATCATCCATATTCTCCGTCCATGACATTTAGCTAATGCTGGTTCGCGTCCGGCTCTAACTATTCAATACTGATTCGGTACCTGACTTTTGCCGGGTACATATGTCCTGATTACGCAACATTTGTCCTAGAAAAGCGAGAAGCCGTGAATCCGATTGGAATATGTGTGTGTTATGTTGAAGTGAGCGGTGCTTGTAGGTGAGGCAAGGCGTTACGTAAGGTAGAGCAATAAGCGAAGACGCGATTAAATAAAGAATTATATTAAAATACCTAATTTACGTACCGCGCTTATACCCCACAAATATTATGGCACGGACCATATTGCCACACTGTGGCGGGTGCAGCCAATTATTTTAGTTTGAGCTCACTGAGATAAGAAGTAACGTATTTCATTCTTTCCATGACACTTATTATCCCGTTCTTCACCGGCGTGACCGGTGTAGTGACAGATGTTACAAGATAATGCCACTTCGTTGACAAAGTTAGTCCGAAGACCAATCACTTTAAATCGCGGCCTCATCCTAGCACTGAAATTATAAGTAGGCTTATCGGATCTGCTCCGCGTCTTGTGAAGGTACATACCTGTGCATGTATACGTAATCAATCTTCCAATGACAAAATATCCGATGCTTGCTACTGCTACACTCTTGCATGGCCCGAACCATTTCTTATCGAAACGGGACCAATAGCTTCTTTCTGCTGCATCAATGAATAAGTTTATACATAGATTGCTTTTCCTTTCCTATGCGGGAATTTGCGGCTTATGCCGTGGATGTCTTCACAAACGTCTACCCCAGCCTGCCCAGCGAACCCAGCGCGCCTAAGCTTCGTTCAATCCAGATTACAGGGATCAATGTAGCGTGTGATAGACCAGGGAGCGATCATACGCCGAAGGATGTATCGATATGAATCCCGATGCGATAAATCCGTAATAGACGGGGCTTACCCTAATAATATTGACAAGCTGAATTTCGACGTTTCTTTGCATGTTTTTTATCATCATGCTCATGGTCCTGCGACGTTATTCCTAATCCCCCCCTTTCTCCGCTCCGCGGAAGCGAGAAAATATGGTTCAAAGAACCGCAGATGTGAGCCAAACCGCCCAGATAATCATATGGTTCCTTTTCGTCGTATCGGTCTTCAGCGTCGGCGCTGGCCTAGGAACCAAGTATGCGTTGCTTCGGAGGTTTGCGCGGGACGACTGGCTGATGCTCCTGGCTCTGGTTTGTAATTCGCGATCTTTCGCGTCTGAACCGGACATTGCTGAATTTTGTTAGGTTATGTACCTTGCTCAATGCATTACGATCTCCCTGGCGGCGTCTCAAGGTATCGGGAAGGATATGGACACCCTGAGCGACGATGCGATAAACGGCTTTCTGAAAGCCGAATACGCTAGCGTCCCCTTTCAGATTCTGAGTTTCGGGTTGGTCAAGTGGTCGATTGCTATTTTCATCGAGTATCTTACACCTGATGATTTCCATCTACATGTGGACCTGGGCATTCGCGTGGTGGTCGCCCTATGGCTAGTTTCTGGAATATTCAGCGGCCTCTTCCAATGCGCTTTGCCGACTCCATGGAATTATCTTGACGGCGCTCGCTGTATAGACCGGGTACGTCCTCTAGTACCACTATCGTGTTGAAGACAAGTCATTAACAAGAGAAGCGAGCCTGGTGGACATACGTTGGCGCGCTTAACATCATAACTGAAGTGGCCATCATCGTTTTATACCTCCTTGTCTTGTGGAATCTTCGGACGTCCCGAGCGAGGAAAACTATGGTGATCTCCATCTTCTTGACGAGAGCCTTGTAAGTCTTACCCAACTGTGGTATTTGATTGATACAGTAAATATTAACAATTTGTTCCAGTGTGATCGCGGCAGCGATAGCGCAGCTTGTCGTATTCTACAAGGCGTATTCTGACCCTAATGTGACTCGGAGCATGTGGCTCCCTGTAATCTTGAATCAAGTTGTTATATGCGTGAGCATACTAACAGCTTGTTTACCATTTCTAAAACCTTTCATGGAGAATCTACATTCGGGCATTGTTCGCGTGGAAAATGTTGTTGCGGATTCCCAGGAAGAGTTATCTCACGGCAGGACTGGGTCAACCCTATTAACCCTAAGCGACTTCACTAATTCAGCTGCATGTTCTCATCCTTCAAACAGATCTACTGATAGATCAACTATATGATAATGATAATGAAACTTACTGACTGCCTACTGTTGTTGAATCGTCCTCGAGTGAATTAGAATAGATGTGAGATCCGTACGATAATATTATCGCCTAAGCTAAAGAGGGGTATTGACGAACCACTCGCATCTAGATCCTTCGATGTTTCAAAACTCACCTTGGTTAGAATAATCAGATATCCCGTCTGACTCGGAGATAGTAATATAGGAGAAACTCATGGCGGACTTAGTATACCATTCTCTCGGTATTCATCATTTGCATACTGAGGTATGCTAACTATGGGACGGAACTGCCGGCAGTTCTAGTGGTCTACCCGCTCACCCGCTCCCGCTCCAGCGCCAGCGCCACTCGCCGAAAAGCAAGGTGCTGACCGTCAGCACACATAACGCTAACCGTTTTCTTCCTTTCATTTCCGCCATCTGTGTTCATGCCTAGCCCTTATCATGCGCAGCACTCGTTGATGAGATATTAAACATAAGACTGAGACTATTCTACAAAGTCAGCGCTGAAATGCTGTGAAATGTCGTAGAATGTCGTGGTACGGTGTCTCAATAACACACAACCACATGGGTCTAGAATCTTCGCAACGAGGTTGAGACGCGAGCAGCAATGCGAGGGAGGCCATGCTGTACGAGCGAGTCGTTACAATCGACCCAAAGAAGTTAGACGATGCCATCATTTCCCAACACAGAGGCGATTGCAACCCTCCTCCAGAAATTCGGGAGGCGGGGGCGTACGGATTACGACCAGTAATCTGCCACGGCAAACGCTATAGGTAATATTAAAATGCAACACATTCGTCCGCGTGGGATTTTTGCGTTGCGACGGTTCCCTCACACGTATGCATGCACGTATAAAAACATCCCCGCTGATCTCTACAACGTGCTAATAAGGTCTAAATACACCCTGGCTTAGATAGGCGACTAAAGGTAGGTACCTGTCTAGTAGAGGGAAACGAGAGGAATTCTCTATCTACTACGACGGCAGCAGATTTCGATACATCCATCTTCCAACCACACACTCCTTCTCCTGTTTGCTTCGATGTTGCAGCTGAGCTTGCGATGTCGAACGAATAGGCAAAACTAGACGATGCGCAAACCTGTGAATTATTCATTCGGCGTTACTTGAAGTTGCGCGTACCTACCTAAGTTTTCCTACAATTATCGACGACAATGGATCTCAGCTTGATATCGAAAGTGGGCACGCATACGAACACGTTAGCTCAATCGAGTACCGGGCCAACTTATCGCGATGACTTCGCGTTAGCACGGCTGGGAAAGAGGCCTGTCCTCAAAAGAAACTTTGGGTTTATGGCAATTCTCGGATTTAGCTGTACGGTGCTTATTACTTGGGAGGGATCATTGATGTATGTCTTTTGTCTCGCGACAAATGAACTTAAACATATGGTAGCTAATGCGAAGACAGCGGGTTCATCTCAGGACTACAAAAGTAATAGGTTCCCAGTATTCCGCGTTGCGAATAGATTTACTAAACTTACGGTAACAGTGGAGGTCCATCTGGCATTATCTACAGCTTCCTCGTCGTCTGGGTGGGCACGCTCTCCGTATTCGCGACACTTTCCGAATTGGTCTCGATGGCACCCATTTCCGGCGGCCAGTATCACTGGGTTTCCATGCTGGCGCCCCCGTCGTCGCGAAAGTTCTTCGGATACATCACCGGTTGGTTGGAATTAACCGGTTGGCAATCTCTCGTGGCGTCCGGCGGGTACGTGACGGGCACTATGATCCAGGGCATCATCCTACTGACGCACCCGGACTACGCGGACAACATGCAAAACTGGCATGGCACTCTACTATTCTGGGGCGTCGTGCTTCTGAGTTTTGGTATCAACACTGCGGCTGGCTCTGTCCTTGCGAAGTTCGAGGGTCTCTTCCTTGTCGTCCACCTTCTCGGATTCTTTGCTGTAATGTTCCCGTTGGCATTGTTGGGTGAACACTCCGATTCAGTGTCCGTCTTTGACACATTCCTGAACCCCGGAGGCTGGCAGACACAAGGACTGGCTTTCTGCATTGGAACTCTTGGGAACGTATTCGCTTTCCTTGGTGGAGATGCTGCAATTCACGTGAGATTCATCTTTCCTGGGCATGTGTGATCTTTTACTTACGCTCTAGCAGATGTCGGAAGAGATCCGAAACGCCGCTGTCGTGGTCCCTAGATCTCTCTTGACAGGTCTTTTGGTAAATGGAACTCTAGGCTTCGGCATGTTGATTGTGACTTTATACTGCATGGGAGACATCGACAAAGCGCTAGCCGAAAACCCTCAATACCCCTATATGTCCATTTTCAAAAGCGCCACAGGTTCAACTGCTGGAGCCGCAGTGATGGCGGCGATCGTCATAGTTATGGCCTTCAGCGCTACAACTGGATGTCTTGCATCCACCTCACGAGTATACTTCGCTTTTGCTCGTGATCGTGGGCTCCCGGGCTGGAGAATATTGAAAAGGGTCAACCCTCGAACAGGCATCCCGATCTATTCCGTTATCACAACTGCCGTCATTGCGGTTATCCTTTCCCTCGTCAATATTGGAGACTCCACCGCTTTCAACGGTGTGATTTCGATCTCAACTGCCGGTTTATTTGGATCTTACCTCATTGCAGCCTCGTTGCTGCTTTACAGGCGGGTCACCGGGGGTATCGGTGTAGCGAACGACAACGACGTACTAACCAACACCGTCGGTTCAAGCCTGACTTGGGGTCCTTGGCGACTTCATGGAGCATTCGGAATTGCGAATAACATTTTCAGCTGCATCTACCTCGTGTTCATCTTCTTTTTCAGCTTCTGGCCGCCGGCCCTAGAAGTAACACCAGAGACCATGAACTGGGCTGTGTTGGTATTTGGCACCGTCATCTTGTTTAGTGTGCTCTATTACGCTGTGTGGGCTAGGAAGGTGTATTCTGGACCGATTATCGAGTCTATCCCATACCCAGGGAGTCCAAGACCCCCGTCTTGATGAGTATCATCTACCTAATTATAGAACCCAGAAAAATATGAATATAGGTACTTAATACCACAGAAAGGTATTCCTTCTGCCAGGTGTACGCAGGTGCCGACATACGGAAGAATTGGCCATCAAGATAAGAAAGATCACCACCCTAACCCTGTAACTTACCTAGGTATATTTCATGTAAAATCTTATCAACTACCAATTCCGAAGCGCTCGGGAACAGAATGCGCAGGAGCATTAAAGGGGGAAAGGGGTTGGTATGTTCCAGTAGGCACCTAACCAACAACTGATGAATTGCGTTGGTTCCTGGGATTAGAGCCCCTTACATAACGTGTAGTATGCCACAAGCAAACTGCATAGTGAGTCTACATAAACTTCCGGTCTTTGTCTGGTTTGGCGAGGACGTAGTAAGTCCCTACCTATATTCATACTCCTTGTCTCCCGTCAATCATTCCAAGTTTCCATTTTGCAGAGCTCCCGGAGTATTAAGATTGTTTCACATCTATACCACATACTATATCTTAAATTGTTCGCGGTTATGAAGGACTCTCAGATCCTTGAGCTCAGCGTTCGTATTGCAACTAATACGGCTAGAGTTAATGACTACTTGTCCGCCAACAACCTGCCGCAACCCTCCTTTGATGTGAACGCACCCTTGCAATTTGTTATCTCCCCTAGCGAGCCCGAGGTCGCGGCAGCGCACCAAGCCGTGCTCCATGACTGCCGAGAGCTTCGTGACTTGATGCTCGGGCCCCGCGAGTATCTGACGAGCTTCCAGCATAATGAACTAATAGGTCAGCAAGTTGTCACGCGCTTCAAATTAGCAGATGCTGTCCCGATCGGTGGGGAAATTACTTTCGCAGAGCTCGCCGCCACCACTGGTCTTCATGAAGTCCACCTTCGTAAGATACTCCGTCTTGCGATTGCTCAGCATATTTTCACCGAGCCACGTCCCGGTGTCGTGGCCCACTCAGCAGCATCCCGTCTCATCGCTGAAAACAAAGTGCTTGCCGATTGGCTGCGATACAGCTCCGATGACCTTTGGCATGCGGCGTACCACATGAGCGATGCCATGGCAAAATATCCCGGTTCGGAGGAGCCCGGCGAGACGGCTTTCGCTCTGTCTAATAAAACAGATAAAGACATGTTCCGGTTCTTCGCGGAGAACCCGGAGCGGTCGCTGCGATTCGCAGCCGCCATGCGCTTCTTTACCCAGCGACCAGGTTTAGAACCAGAGCGTGTTGTAAATGGCTACCCCTGGGAGAAGATCGGCGGAGATGGTTCCGGAACCGTCGTAGATGTGGGAGGCTCTCACGGTAAAATTAGCATCGCGCTAGCTCGCCGGTTTCCGTCGCTCAACTTTATCGTGCAAGATTTAGACGAGCCCGTAGTCCGAGACGCCGAACGTCAGCGACCGGAGGAGGTTGCCAACCGCGTGCGCTACATGGTCCATGATTTCTTCACGGAGCAGCCGGTTAAAGGTGCGGACGTGTACTTCTTCCGGGCCGTTCTGCATAACTGGTCAGACACGTATGCTACAAAAATCTTGCAAGCCCTTATCCCTGCGCTGAAACCCGGGGCAAAGATCATACTGAACGAACCTGTGGTCCCAGAACCTGATAAGATTCCCGCGGGAAACGCCGCTCGTGTGCGAGCTAATGACCTCGTTATGCTTGAACTTTTTAACGGTGGAGATAGGGAGATGGCTGCTTTTAAAGAGCTTTTCGCCAAAGCGCATCACGGGTTCCAGTTCCATGGCGCAAGTCAGCCTCCAGGGTCTAACATGTGGATACTGGAGGCTGAATGGATGGGAGAATAATATAATAAACATGAGCGTCAAAACTCGAGAAAGACAGGGGCCCTTAAGTAGTAATTGGACCGGAATGCATGTGATAGAGCTTCACACATCTCTATACACTAGAAGCTAAAGATAGCTTGCCACATACAGGTACCTACCTACCTAGTACCCTGACAATGGGAGAGGTTGTCCATGACCTATTCTAGTGCTCGCCTTTAACGCGTAAGCTGATCTTGAGACAAATATTTAGAGTGTCTAAAGTACTCTCTAATTACCTGTACCTACCTATATTATTGGTACCAGGTACGCAATATCAATCATGGTCACATACTGAAACTATACCATTCACATCACGATGTTCATAATACTCGGTACCAAAGGTCTGAATGTGTGCATTGCAGCAACAAGGTCTTATTAACATTGTGGCGCTAATTGTATATGCTGTAAACTTATAAACATTAAACATAACATGGCGTAAATAGAACCGTCAGCTTTATACTATCTTATACTGAACTTGAACTCGCTTATCTTCCTTCATCAGACTTCAACTACCTACTTTAGTACTCAATCCGTTGTCGCTTTGAGGCCGATTCTTCCCCATCCTCCAACTCGCGCTTCTTTGACAAGGTGCAGTACGTCTCGTCAGTCTCCGCGTCTTCGGCCCAGGCGGTGAAAGGGCTTGGTTCGCGTGTTGGTTGAAGTTTTGTTATGCTGGCGTCGCGGCAGTAAAGAGTATTCAGCGGTGTAATAGCAGGCATCTCTTCCTCACGAGGGCTTGGTTCGTGTGTTGGTTGAAGTTTTGTTATGCTGGCGTCGCGGCAGTAAAGAGTATTAAGCGGTGTAATAGCAGGCATCTCTTCCTCACGAGGGCTTGGTTCGTGTGTTGGTTGAAGTTTTGTTATGCTGGCGTCGCGACAGTAAAGAGTACTCGGCGGTGTAATAGTAGGCATCTCTTCCTCATGAGTTCTTGGGAAGAACCCTGGATCCTCGGAGTCCTTGGGACCAGGTATATCGATGACTATGTTGCGCGTGGTGTAATCCTTAGTTTTATACACTTCGTCGGGCTGGCTAACTTTGGTATGCATCAAAGCGGCAGGGTTGTTTTCTGACCTTTTGCTAGGCACCTCGAGAGCCATACGAACATTATACCCAGACTTCTCGATCACTTGGTGAGCACAGGCAGCCATCAGCGACTCTCGGTAAACATCAAAGTCGTAGTCTTCCTCAAACTCACTCCAGAGGAAATCAGTAGGCGTTGCCCCTTTTCGGTAAAGAAGGACTCTCAACCGACGGAGGAATTCCCGACACACCGCGTACGCAACAAGCCCTGTAGCCCAACTCTCTTGAATATCATGTTTGAGAAAACCCTCCATCATAATAGCATCATGTGGTAATTGGATGCAACCTTGAGCAAGGATATGCGGGAGTCTCTCTTTCAGGAGCTCCCTTCGAGAGTCTTTTCCTTCCAAAAAGGGGTCGATAACCGCAAACTTCGTAACTCGTCGATCCATATATTTGTTGGAATATGATGCGTCCATTGCGCCCATCTTGATCTCTAAGATGAGGGTGACCCAAATTCCTTCTATGCGGATAGGCCAAAGAGTGTACGGGCGATCCCGCATAGGTCCGAACATGGGATGTAAGCAGACACTTGTCGAGTCACTTGTTGACCGAATTTTATCAAGGCCCGCCTCGAATGTTCCGTCTTTGGAAAAAAGATCTATCTCAAGTTCGTCGTCAATTGCCGGTGTCGAGACTGCTCGCTGGTCGGCCAAATGACGGTGTTCCCAGAACACCGCTGAGCTGAGACTTGAAGAAGATATGGGCCTGTCCCTCGAAACTTGAAGCTGGTACATCGCTGACGCATCAGTCTTGAATTTCGTTACCAGATCATTGATCTCTTTAGTCAAAGTTTGCCCCCATCCGAACTTGATAAAGCTATTGCGGATGACTCGCGCCGCACAGGTTGGTTGTGCAGAAGGCATGTTGACTACAGTTGAGATTCTCTGACCTTAACGTAATGATATGATATTATGTTGAGATGATACCTGATCGAACTAATCTGTAAGTTGCAATTGTGTTGCTTTGCCGAGTTCCAATCCTTTCTCTCAGGCTGACTAGCTAGATTTATACTTGACGCCCTCAAAACAAGTCCTTGTTCGCCTCGACCTATTGTTCATCTACGCCTTAATTGTACTACAACCAAGGTTCTATCACAGCCTCGGTGACTGCGTAGGGCTGAACGAGATAAGTTACAATCGTCTCAAGTGAATACCAATGTTTCATGATGGTGATTGAAGTTTCAACTCTGATAGGAATCAATGAACGCAGTCAATGACTGCACCGTAACCTTTGAATTCTTTGTGAAAGGACTAACGAGATGACGGATGCAGCAACAAAGGCAGCTATTGCTATCAATTAAATTAATAATGCGATTGTTCTCACAAGCGCATTATACTATTGTCTTCTCGAAGACCACTTGTCTCAAAAAAAGCCCCAAATTGTTGCGTATAACCTTTTCACAATGCCGTTAAATGAAAGAATTTGGTATTATTTGAAGAATAGAAGTACACTCATACGACAAAGATAAAGCTGACCAGTACGTACTCTAGTATCACCTGTTGATTCTCGAAAATAATTTATCTAATTATAATCATTAATGTAATTTTACCGTTTAAGCAAAAGGGGTTGAGGAGTTCCTAATGCATCATGGCGATAAAATATTTAAAATTTGACAGACATTGGGAAGGTTGGATAATGATTACATATTGTCAGATCTAAGTTATTGAGAACATATCGCTCTAGAATTTATGGCAGTTACTTTCTATTGATCAGGGGGCGGCGATGTGGTTGACGATGCAATTGGATGCAGGTGTCAATATTCCCTGTACCTTTGCTGACTAAGTCAAGGCGAGATCAAATAACCAAGCCTCCTTTGAGAGTATCTGAGAGACTTATTTTAACCTAGAGCTTTTCCCGTGGTTAATAGTAGGTAGTCGGTCATCGGTGAGATTCCCGGTATAATTTAGCCAGAATTGCTTTAGGTGATAGTGTCCAATACATGAGAGGTATCAACGTCATTTGGACACCTTTACAAATCTTGTGTACTAATTTTAAGCTCTTCGCCCGTCTTAGCAAGCGCACACCTTCTGTCTCTCAGGGTATGCTACAACCCTTAACTACCCCTTTGTTCTATCTACCTAGATACAACGCTTTTCATCTCACATCTCCCTTCAGAAAGGATATATTCACTATAACAGGTACCTATGGAATTATTTCAAAAATTTCCTTCCCTGTTCTCCTGGTTGGTGCTTTTGGCCATTTTGAAGCAGCCTTTCTTACTCGCACAATTACTAGACCCTAGCACTTGCTCCGCAGGCAGCCATAAGTCCCTTTCAGGAACACAACATGGGTTACCCGTCTGTCCACTCCCTATAGATGAGGAGTCGGCCGCTGAGACGGGAACATGGGCGCCATGGAAACGCCGTCCATACTGCGTAGAACCCTTTATGCAAGACGACGACGTGACTGGGCCCGAATTTTGTCTCTACACGTTCGAGCCCTTCCGCGGAGACCAGGCTCTGAGCGTTGTGACCACACCCGTACTTGCGGCGACTATAGTCGACGCGCTGGATGACTCGATTGTGCCTCCTAGGCTCAGGGTTCATCCTTCAAACTCACTTGGTGAGGATGGAAAGATAAACCCGCCATTTACGATAGAGGATGTGTCAGGGAAAGGAAAAGGACTCATCGCACAGCGCTCCATTAGGAAATGGGACATCGTGCTCGTGGACCACCCGGCCTTGCTTGCACATATGGACATGTTTGACGTCGTTGGTTCGGAGATCCGACAGGATATCCTAGAGCAATCTTTGAAGCAGCTACCCGAAGAGCAGCGAGAAGAGATTTGGCTATTGGATCGTAGTATGGGTGGTGAGCCAATCGAAGATATCTTGAGGACGAACATCTTCGGGGTTGAACTAGGACTCGAAATCCCGCATCTAGGATTATTTCCAATCGCATCGGTAAGCTTTGTTTCATGCTCAAGTTTCCACCAAGGGGTCAAGCTAACGAAAATAGAGGATCAACCACGATTGCAAGCCCAAGTAAGCAGCCCCTCTGAAGCTCTCTTCGACGAGTAATGACTCATTGGCGTGTAGTGTCTTTTGGCGGTATTCAGTGCGAACTCTCGCAGTCGAAGTCATCGCGATGCGAGACATCGAACCTGGAGAGGAGATAACTCAAAGTTGTAAGTTGTCACCTGTTTTGCCTCAACCCCTACCCCTATTTATCCCCCTCACCCCTTAGTTACACCTTTTCCCACCGTGAAGCACCCAACACCTAATCATCAACGCCAGACGTCCCATTAGGTCTCTCCTACCAAGACCGCGCAGATGATTTAAACAATTGGGGATTCACGTGTACATGCTCCCTCTGCGCCGCCAGCGCGCAACAACGCGCTACCTCAGACAAGAATCGGCAGCAGCTGCAGCACATCTACTACTCGCTCAACGAAGGCGCAAGCGGCCGATCCAACATCACTGCAGCTGTAGTCAACGATCTAGCGGAAGAGATGGAGTCGCTGGTGCGCGAAGAAGGGCTTGAGCCGCAGTTGCTGGTGTACTACGGCGTCGTGGCCAGGGCGTACATGTGCGTTGGCGACTTAGGTGCAGCGAGACGTTACGTGGACTTGAGCGAAGAGCTGTGGATGCGGTACGCGGGTGAGGAGCAAGATTATCTCGCGGGCATGCAGCAGCTGCGACATGAGCTGATGGAGCGGGAGAAGATGGCGGTTACGGATAGAAAGTCTGAAGATGCATGAATTAGATGAATATATATTTCCTTTATTCTAACTGAAAACCCTCTAATGTAAGCTTGAATTCAGTGAGATGAGAGATATAACGCTACCTTGAACCCTCTCGACAAGATTCCGCGCTCCAGGTGGAAATCCATTTCATGAAGCCCAAATTGTTGAAGTGTTTGGGCAATCCTCTTTTTTTCAGCGTGAGCTGATTAATATCTTCTATTTTATGATTACCGCTTAAAATTCCGGATCGTTTCTAATATAGCCCGCAAAATATCGGCTTTCCAGAGCCCTTTAGAACGAAATATGTACTCCTTGTTGTCGAACTCCATTCTCCTCTATGTCCAGTATCCTCCATACCCGGTATTCGTCCATCACATTAGTCCGACATCAACCGTACCTATTCTATAATCCGACCAGTATGAAGCCTGTGTTTCAAAAGGAGATATGCCAGCCAAGGAATTAAACCACAAAGCATCATGCTAGATGACTTCTTGGTATGTGGGTCCTATGGGGCCGCATATACGAAAAAGAATCATTCCATCGTTAGTTAATCGTGTGCCATCTCAAAGCTTCCCACGGAGAAGATTTCAAACTGTACTCTCTCGGGCTGCACACCATACCTCTGTAGGTGATTTGAAGCTTGGATCATGAATTTCTCAGGACCACATACGTAATATTCCGTCATCCTGTTACTGAGATACAAGTCTTCGGCAGTCAAAGAGAGGAAGTCGTTGTCGAAGGTCGATGTATATGAAAGGACATCGCTATCCGATAACCTTGACTTGAAGAACTTGGTCCTCATGTTCGGATGTTTCTTCGCGATCTTCTCCACGTGCGCTTGGAATGGGGCGTCGTGTCGCGACGCTTGAATCCACGAGACGGGCCTAGTGATTCGCCTTTCTACTACTGTGTTTAGGATCGACATGAGCGGGGCGACGCAGACCCCGGCAGATATTAACACGAGCGGCATCGAGGTATCTACGTTAGGGTTAAGGTGGAAAGAACCAGATGGGTGTGTTAATTCCAAGGTGTCGCCTTCGTGGAATTCGTCAATGAGAGAGTTCGATACGATGCCGGGTCTGCACGGCTGCACACTCCCGATACTGCTATCCGAGGCACTGCTTGCGGCCGACGACACAGTCATGTCGTCTCGAGGTGAGAGGTAGTCCCAGTTCGTCCCCTGGTCTCGCTTAACGGTAATTCGGTAATGGTCAGGGCTAGGCGCATCGCTCAACGAGTATTGTCTAAGCTGCGCATACTTCATACCCGGCACCGTGATCCTCACAGTAATGTACTGGCCCGGTAAGAAGGTAGGTAAGGCCTTGCCATCGACCGGTTTCAACGTAAATGAGACGATGCTTCCTCCTATCGTCTCGTTCTTCTTATCGTAGATCATGAACTTCCGCCAAGCCTTCCATGCCTCAAATTCTCGGTAAATATGAGCCTCTCGACCCGTCAGCATCTTCGCCATGACCCAGTACGCCTTCGTCCAAGCCAGCTTGACATCAGGAGTCATCGAGGGGCCGAGCACGGCAGAGAATGCGCGCAGTAGGTATCTCCCAACAATTTCATATTGCTCGGGTTGGATGTTCAGGGAAGCATGCTTCTGCGCTACTCGTTCCAGCTTGGGGGTTAGTTCGCTGATATTGATGATGTTAGAGGCAAAGGCCAGTATGAGTGACGTCAATGCCCGTGGCTGCTTTCCCGTGTGCATGTTTACATTGTTAAAATAGTTGTGAAGGTCGGGATGATCGCGTAACATCGTCTTGTAAAAGACGGTTGAGATGTGCTCTCCATGTTGACGGAGAGCGGGGATCGTATCCTTCACTAATTTTGTCTCCTGTGCATTGAGCATGGCGGCTGATTGTCGTCCTTAAGGACCATATGACGTGGGAATATATGGATTGAAGCACATAAATCGAAAACTCGAAAATGATAAATCAGACAAGCCGCAATGTCGTATTGAGGGAACTGACATGCAGGATGAGATGGTCACAATGAACGAGATATGTCTTAATTATTGACCCAGTTGCGCAGGGTATAGGTTTCGATTCAACGACATAAAACATTTCAGGTTTCGAAACATCATGGATGAACACAGTATACCCGGGAGATTTTAATATTTTACTTACCGCCCCGTACCAGTGATGCAGCATTGCATCTTGGTCCGCTTTGCGGAGTCACTTGCCAGGTCCGCCAGGCTCAGGCTGAGATGTTGAAGGGGAAAAAAATTGTTTTAGCGCGTGGGATAGCATGACGGTATGTAGCCGGGTATAACCGACCCTATACAAGACTTTAGAATCTCTGTCCGTCGTTTTCAACCGGTTCGAATCACACGAGCAGTATACTTCTCGTGAGGCGAAATGGCCTGATGTGACAGCATGTCCATGCGTAGTTGGAAAGATCTGGCCAGATCTTCTCATCGAACGATAACATTAGGGTTTTTCTAGAACTGAAGAGCTGGGCGAAATTCCCCGACCTGCCCGGGCTCGCGTGCTGCTGACACGCATTACGACGTAATTCCAGGGCCCCGGTAGTTGGGGTAAATCTAAGACAGACCGCCAATCTAGTGAGGATCGTGACCAAGATATTGGGAAGTCTACCCAGGTATGTTTGTGCTAGGCATTTTGATAAGGATGCCGGAGTTAATAAAAACAATCCAACAGCTGTAAGGAGAGGCCAAATGCGGGAACTCTCTATCAACAAATTAATGTAGGGCTACGATCGGTAAGTAGGATAGGCATTACTAAAGCTACATCGGCTCATTCGGCTGAGCTGTTCCCTAGCTTCCGCTGCCATCTTGTTGTGACAGTTTGATATAACCTTGATAACAGGGTCTTAGTCCCTTAGGGTTCCATTTATGATTTCCTCATGAATCAGGAGCCAGAACCAGACATCGAGATTATGTGAAATTACGTCTATTTGACCTCAGATCGCCCACCTCCGGTTCCGAAATCCGGGTTCAGTTATTAGCGGGACCAAAGATGTCCAGATGCCTTAAGAACGATCTGAGCGTTCTTCAATTTATCGATTCCAATCTCCGGGGGAGTTATCAGGTCTCCGAGAATTCATGTACTACCCACATATGTATGTCTCGAGTCATCCCACAACGCTGCCCTCTCTGCCGCTCTCCTCTTCCGGTAACTTATTCGCCAAGAGACCAGGGAGCATTGTTTAGAAAAATGACGAATCATCAACCGCTATGTCCTTACCCACATTGAAAACTTGAAATTTTCCTTTCATTCGGCTCAAAATCCGATTCCCGAATGATTTCTCCTAGCTCTTATGAGAACCGTTAAGTTATTAACATCATAGGTATACACATGTTGGACGATATCATAATGTTTACCTACCATAAGTTGTAATATTTAAGTCGTGCATATTTCGGCGAGGCCGACCGGACCAAACCGGCACTTCGTACGAGGAAGTCTTCCAAACGTAAAAGATTGAATAGGGTATGGTATGTACAAGAATATCAAATAAAAAAATTGCATGTGGCACAATGCAGACAATGTTGTACACGTCACGCAAGACAAAATATCTGAACAGGGTATTCCAGTAGAACAAAAGAGACCAAATAAAAACTCCGAGTTCCTGCATAAACCGCCCCCCCTGTGCCTCCTACTTGCCAATCCACCATTTGCCAAGTGCCGTCCAAGCGCCATTGGCATCCAGCATCTGCGCCGCGGGGCTTACAAAACTGTCGTCGACCTTGGTCGACACGCCGAAGAAGCCATACTCGGCAATCCAGCTCTGGCCGTCCAACCAGCTCGACACCTGCTTCGTAAATTCCACCACCTGGTTGCCGTCGCGGTTCGTGCTCGCAATCTCGCCTACGATGATGGGCAGCTTGTACTGGTTATGCATGTTGGTGAAGTACGTCTTCGCGTTCTGGATTTCCGAGTCGCTGGAGCTGGTCTGCAGCGTGTAGAAGTGCAGGTTGAGGTAGTCCGGCTTCTCGTTGGCCGCCAGCATGCCCATGAACGTCTGCAGCCACGTCGCGCCGGCGGGGGCGCTCGAGATGCCCGGCGCGACGAGTTTCGCGCCGTACTTCTGCCGGAGCGGGAGCATGTTCGCGCGCCACTTCGCCACCGCGTCGGCGGCGCTGATGCCGGCCATTTCCGGCTCGTTGTAGAAGTGCACGATCGTGTTCTTCTGCGACGATACGACCGAGATGAGATTTTTCCAATTGTCGCCGCTAAGATGCTGCGGCGTGCGCACCATTGGGCGGAAGGGAAGATTCTTAGTCAACTCCGTCGGTCGATACGTCTCCCAGTTCGTTATCGAGTGGATGACGGTTGATGAGGTTAGCGCAGCCGCGGCGGTCAAGAGGGCGGGAATGCTTTTCAGCTCGGCCGATAAGCTTGTCTCCCAGAGAATGATGCGCTTTCCGCCTGCGGAACTACGCTCAGATAACGCGTCGGCGGCCTCTACTGGGGCTGCATTTATTGGGCTTGCGAACAAGACGCAAGCTGCAAGACAAGCTACTTGCCTGATACTTCGGAGTAGAACCATGGTGATAGTGGGGTACACGGGACAGTTGACCAGCAAACAGAGCGTTTCTGTGGACAACACCTCGAGATGCAACCCATGATGCTTCACGAAAGGGTATACTCACGCTTTATATCGTCGTCCTTTAGGATCCGAAAATTACATTGCAATTTAAGGCTTACGATCAGGAATAGGACTGACATACCACTTTGGAACAGGTACCCAGGTACGTTGGAGTTGTCTCCAGCTCCATCAGCCCCAAGTCATTGGTAGTACCACGGCGCCAGCTTGGAATAGCTTGGAATAGATTGACCAATGTGCGATCAACAAATAATAGCTGAGCCCCCAGGGAGACGATGCAATTTTGTCCTCCGACATATCTAGATCTAGATTGGGATTCTAAAAATACCTATTTCGGTACCTACCTATCTTACCTTAATCCCGGAGCTGATCAGCCCCGGTTCTGACGTACCTGCAGATCCGGTTAGCGCTCCGAACTTCGCGCAACATCTAACTCAACGCGATGACATCAGTAACGGAATAAAAAGCTAACCCTTTTCAAAGGTAAGGGGAATCAGCAGAAATAGAGAGTAAGACCACTTCTAACGCCAACGTTTCGGTGACTGGCTCTCTATTCTAGCCCTTTGGGTTTATTATTAGGATTGTGTTTGCTCACAGGGCTGTGTCATCTAATCTCCAGCAGGATTTAGAGGTTTAGCTTACAGTTGCCATGTCAGGCTTAAAGGATCACTCTTAATTATTTCACTGCGGCACAGTGTTTCGAGATACTGACCACCTGCGTTGGCGCCTCGGGGCTGAAGATTAGGACTGCGCCTTTTGCTTCATAGAATCGAGTCCGCCAACAGAAAAGTGAGAAATCACAGGATTTCATTGATTCTTGTGAGAGTCGCGCTCTAATTGAAATTGGCTTTGGCTGCTATGCCTTGGTTTACAAGATTTGGCAATTACTACATGGACTGATTGTGGCGCGATGTAATCCGCGAACAACTTGCGAGACAACGTGATAGTTAGAACTTCTCGACCCCAACACAAAGAATATACACCCAAGGATCCAGAATACACATTTAGATAAGTAAGGAATGAAGAGATACAATATATTTCAACATGGACATTACTATTCAATCGAGAGACCTGGCTATGTTATCTGTCGCCTTAAGGGCTGTGGTCTTGTGTATTAATATTTCTATGTTTTTGGCTGATAATGTCCCCAAATAGGGGTTCCCAGGTACCTAGAGTCCTATCTGCCTGACAAGAAGGCATTTCCAACCAATCAGAGTCTACCTGTCAGGTAGGTACGGGACGTACCTCGACTAGAGGTAGTTGCCTGCCAAGGACATAGCTTCTCATAGTACTTATGTATTCTATATCCAATTGCTCCCTACTTAAGATTGTTACTACCTAACCAAGTTGTTTTCTAGAGATACTTGCCGTAGGCAGGGTTTAGTAACCCGTTGGTTAAAACGAGAAGTCAAATTATTATAAAACATTTTTCTTAATCCACGGTGTATTAATACCTAGTTAAGGACCCGATTTGAAGAAATTACGGATAGGTAGGCATCAAGTGATTATCAAGACTTTCAAAGAATGCTGAATTTTTGGGGGACAATAAATTAACCGACGGATTTATCGAAACATCTACCTCATACTTCTCGTTGAATGTTTTGAGAAGGGCACGAAGATTGATAAGGCGTCTGAACATTATAAATCGGACTATGTGCCTACTAGGTCAAGATGTAAGGTACCTAATTTGTCCTAAAAAATGGTCTTCGAAAATAATTAAAGAAGCCTCGGAATAAGGGATGGGGGGATACGTTCTCTTGTGAGAAGAATGAATGGTATCCGTAGGTAGGTCGGTACATACATATGGGGACATCCGTGTAAGTCGAAGTTGATCAAGTCACTTCCTGTGCTGCACTAAATCTTCCAGGCTACCTAGTATTCCACTGCCGTATCATAGATCATTAGGTACCTACCAAGCTGAACAATCGTGACTATTTTCATCTAGTTGTATGACTTCAACCTTACTTCTACGTGTGGAAAGAAAATAATTCCAACTTAATTAGGACTCATCTCAAAGTACGACAAGAATCAATGGGAAAGTCCTACATACAGCGTCACTTTGAGATTTTTATCAAGGGTATGTGACATAAGTGATATTAGGTTAAGTAAATAGATACGTATATTTAATGGATTTATCTTTGTTCACCATCGAGTATCGTAGGTAGTAGTCAGGCAATACCAACGCTTATATGCAAGTTGATGAGACAACTAATAGGTACCTAGACCCAAGTTTTATACCATACTTTATAAATATCTGTTAAGTAATGGCGACATAACATAGCTCCTCTGAATGATATTCATAAAAACCAATCGGAATAGTAACGTACTTACATCAAAAAAATGACAAGAACAAATACAAAATTCGCCCCATAAAACTCAGTCATGGGCACTGTGACGATGTGAGTCACTGGTCCTAGGTCGGCGGAAAGGTTATAGGTTAGCATAACAGAAGTAAAATTATCCAAGCACAAGTTACAGCGAAGAGCTTCATGGCGCAGTGGAAGCGCGCCGGGCTCATAACCCGGAGGACCTCCGATCGAAACGGAGTGGAGCTAATTCTTTTGGCCTTCGTTTTTATCGTGAAAATTTTCGCGCCCCTTTGCTACGATCATATAAATCTCCACTGTGGAGCTCACTATTTTTACTCCCACAAGCAATAAATTGTTTTCCTTTCCCATACCTGCTCTAAAATCGGTTTTCCTAATGTCTTCCGCATATATGTAGCGAGGGTGGGTGTTGAATCTGAATATTGTCATATGTCGTTTGGTGGTTAAGAGTCCTTGTGTAACCCTCGACATAGTCATTGCCTCCGGTATTCACTCAATAGAATCAATTATCGGGATTGCCCGATTAGGAAAATACAGGCATCTAGCTTTAACCTTTTTGCTTTGGGGTAAGGAGTATGATTGGCTAGCTTGTGTCCTGGGACGTCCTTTGCTTTCTATTAGTTGAACCTTGAGTTGAGCCGCAGCTAAAACCCAATGCATGTGACTCATGTAGGGCTTGGAAGAACCTCAAACGAAGTATTCTAAAGGTAGTTATAGCATACATTGATAACTTTACGAAAGACGATACATTTATCATAGTATCTGCATATTCCTCTGGATAGATTGTTTAAGCATTACCTGCTAGTCATGAACCAGGCTAGGACCTGAACCTAGAGCCGCGCATTCGTCTCTTGAAATAGAACCCAAGCCATGGCTACTCGAAGATCACTAGGTACAATCACGTCATAATCAACCCGGCCCGGATACAATCATTTCATGGTATTAACGCGTATCAAACATCTCACAGCCTAGCTGTCTGTCGTCCACTATCATTACATTATGCTTGTCCAGCCGAGCCCCTGGGCCCGGGCATAACCATCCGGTCCAATACATTACAATGCAAGCTCCAGAGCTTTTTAAACGCCTAATTAATCGATCGCCTTCCTCACATTACCTCCATCGCCGCCATCAACATCATCATCATCATCATCATCATCATGAGTTCGTGTTGAATTGTCCCAAGTCCTCCCAACTCATAGGGAACTGGCCGGAAGACAGAGGATGAGCCGGCTCCTCTTCAACCTCGACTAGCGTACTCGCGAAGCTCCGCCAGTCATCTGAAGATAGGTCGAGCGGTGGTAATAACCCCTCATCCGTGTTGAAGATCGGGAAATCCATTTGCATCGGCGAAGTTGGTGACGGTGCTAGCGGCGCTGGCGGGAGTGCCTTGTCCGTCGTGATAGACGGCGGCACATATCGCTGTTGCGGAGCTGGCTGCATCGGGAAGCTTTGGTATGCATTCATCATGGATTGTTGCTGGCTCGGCACAGGCGGCATAGCTAAGTTCAGATTCGACACTTGAGAGGAGACGGTATTATGGGGGTAGTCACCGGACGTTGTCCGTCTGCCGTGTCGGCCCACTCCCGGTAACGCGGATGTGGATGCCGAGCGCCGTGGAGCGGAGGGGTTCCTTGGTATGACAGATATGTGTTTGGATGCGTTGGTGGGAGACGTCGGGCCGAAGGGCGATTGTGGTGAGCTTTGAGTAACGGACCCTGACCTCGGCCGGAATACGACGTGAACACAGGTATACGCCATCTCGACAATGTTTTCAGCGGACTCCTTGGTCCCGTCAAAGAATTCTAGGAGATCTTGCAGTTGTCCGGGATTCTCATTCTCCACGAAACCTTGGGCTCGTCCCGTCGATTCGGGACTCCAACTGAACATGGGTTGGTGGCCGTTAAACTTGCTCTGCTTCTTCGCAATCAACGCTTTCCACGCTTCGTGGATCAGGTGCTGGTGTAAAAGACCATAAATGACATTCGAGTGCAGCCAATCTGCCTTCGTGCTCCCGGTTTCGAAATGCGCAGCAACATGGTCGATATGCTTCTCGAATTTGCCGTGCATCGCAGCGCAAAACCCGCATCCCCATGCCCTCCTCTTTCTCAGATGCTTCACGACGGTGTCTGCATGGGGACACGTCTTGCAGCCATGCGCTGATTTGTGGTGCTGATTAAACGTGTTGGGTCCCCAAAAGCTCTGATTACAATTGGGGCAGGGATATTTACGCGATCGCTCGTGGAATTCTTCCTCGTGTCGCTTCCAATCAAATTTCCTCTTGAATGTCTTATCGCAGGATGTACACCAGAATTTCGCATCCGTCGCCGCAGTCGTTGTCGACGATATCGAACTTCGTGCGGATGCTGCAGAGAAGACGCTGTCACGGCTCGAACAGCTAGATCTGGATGATGAGATGGATGATCGTTGTTTATGGGGTTGGCCGAAGGAGTTGATGTCTCTGTAACTAAAATTTGGCAAAGCGGCTATGGTTACGAGTCAATTAGCGGAAAATTCACGAGACGTCGGGAATAATCTCGTACCATCGGTTACCATTGGATTTTGCGGTTGCTGCGGTTGATGGTGGTGTTGTTGTTGTTGCTGTTGTTGCTGTTGTTGTTGCGGTTGCTCTTCTAATAAAGCGAGTAAAGCGTCACGGCTAAGGCCGGATTGCTTGAGAGCCTCGAGATGCTCTCGCGCCTGCTCCAATACCCTCGATGGATGATCCATTGAACTGTTTATAATATCAATTGGCAACTGCCGCGTCTTGAAAGAGCGTCGAAAGGCTACGAAAGGGGTGGTATTGCGAAGGAATAAGCGATCAAAAGCTGAATCGAAAGAAAAAGGATAGTTTCGAAGGACAACAGGACTGGAGATTTACGTTGGGCAGCCTGAAGGTCGCACCCGCCGTGCATTCGGCTACCTTTCCTGTGATATATTACCCCCCAAACGCAAGTAACCCCGTATGCTCCGTCATACTTAGGGCCGCGGTCCCCAGCATCACCCCATGCCGATTGCTCATTGGGGAAGAGGCCTACAAGCATCGTTCGCTAGTCGAATGAGCCTTGCTAACTCCCTAGACCATCTGGCAGAGCGTATGTAGCACTAAAGAAAGTGACTGGAGGCCATTCGATTGTCGGCTCAACCTGAAACGAGTCGATGCCAGCCCGCCTCCTCATTGTTTCGAAACACGCGCGAAGGTGGGATGAAGCCGCCAATCGGAGGCAGAATTGAGAGCGACGGCAAACGAAAGACCAGGACTGGATCAAGCCGGATCAACCGTGGACCCATTGACGATCCATGATCAGCCTAGGGCTTTTACCCTTGGCGAAGGACCATGCAGAAAATCTGTTTCAAGATTACCGGGTTACATGCATGCATCTGTGATTGGCCCATAGTTTAGTCCGTTCCCCGTCGTGACCCGAATCTGTCGCAATGTGTTTTTCTTAAGAAGCGTCCGCCCTTGAGATCATCAGATTGGCAGATTGGTTTTCCCGATTGACGCTTTTCCATAAGTCCCATCTCTCGAATTGTTCGAGGGGACCTTTTGTTCGAAGATCGAGCGAAGATACGTAGATACGGCGATTCCATAGTTCCATGGTGCATGAGTGACGCCGGTGGCTACGTGATAGATCCTCCGTCGATCACAAACAATACCCCAGTCGTTCTTAGTCCAGCCTATCTGTTTATTACGCGGAATCACTTGGCGACCTCGTCAATCGGTTTCGGTACGGCTGAACACGTCTTCGGCCGTGTCCCCGCCACGTGTAGCGGAGGCTTGAAATTTATGGCAATGTAAACTATAAACTATTCTTAGTAGCAATTCGTTTGATATTAAATCACTCCAATAGGTCTATTCTTGGAAAGGTTCGTTTTCTATTGTTTGACATTCCCGTGAATAGCGTGAATATTGTGATACACTTAAAGGTGAGTCGAAGACTTAATATTGAATTAAAGGCGATTATTGATTTAAAGAAAGCTCTCAGTCATGTGATCATTGCATCCTTATTAGGTAGGTACCCAGCCCCATTTTGTGGCTTGCGAGCTCAACACCAACATTACTACCTAATAATACTAACGTGACCCTATGATAACGTTGACCAACAGCCTCAAAGAGTGTTGCAACTAGTACAAGTTTATTGGATGAGTGGAAAAAGACTAGAAAATGCCGGATTACGACTGATTGGCTGCTTTAACTTTTTGGTTGACCGCATTGCTGCTGTATACGGCAATGGGGATATCAAACCTAAAAATCCATCTTCCATTATCTCAGCACCGCCTTGCCTAACGCGGAGATATTGGAAATCTCGGTCAATCACTACGATCAGTGCGTACCCGGCTTGGAAATGGAAAACTTCTCTCCTAATGTTTACAAACTGCGGGATTTGGCCTTCTTTGGCGGTTTCCGCTATGCGGCCGTACTTGATATATCGGGCGACTCCGATGACCTAGTTTCTATTCCGGAATTTGTCCCGGAACCTTTTTCACGGCTGAAGTAGCTTAAGGTGGTTAAATCGTAGAACGAGTATGCTGTAGTGCTTTCCCCTAGGTACCTATGTATAAGGGACCTGATGCAGAAGACTTCTAAGGGCACTGGACATACGACGCTTGATTCCAGGATGAATGGCACTGGGACAAACATAACAAAACAAGAGTTTTAAAGAGATGATGGAATGGCATGACTGAAAGATCGCTGGGACATCAAAGTTAGAATTGGTTGGTTTATTGGATATCTCGTATGGTGACAGCGCTGATCAAAAATTCTCCTGGGTCATGAGCCACAGTTGATAGTGCCAGCCATATATCATTGAAGTGATTAAGCAAGATATGGTAACATTTGCAATGAAGAACTTAGCTAACCTAGATACATGATAGATGATGTCGCGCACAACTCCAACAACTCCTGGGAGACACCCTCCAGGATAGGATAAAAGAAAATAACCTCGATGCTTTTTTTTCCCATCTCATTACTAATACAACCTCCCCTTAGCTACACCTTCCGACACTTACCTACCTAGATAGGTATATACCTAATCAAAATGTATCCTCCAAAGCTCCCTCTCGCACCCCGCCGTGAAATCACTGCGCGTGTGCATAGCCAAGACATTATCAGCCACCAGCAAATCGCCCTTCTTCCAAGAGTGATAGTACGCGACGCGGCGATCATGCAGCAAGGCCGTCAACGCATCACACACATCCGTACTATCGAGATCGTAGGCGTCCGCGTTATCGATATTTACATGCGTAGCGTCGAAGCGCGTCTTAGATTGCTGCCAGGGCTCATGGAAGCGTAGGCAAGGGCGACCTGTGGTCGGGTGGTCGACGACTAGGGGTAGGCCGCGGAGGACTGTGGAGTTGAAGGAGGACGTGGACACGGACCACGTCAGGGGGCGCAAAAAGGAGAGGTGGAGGTGGGAGGGGAGGTATTTGAACAGCAGCGTCGACGATGAGAAGAGGGTGAAGCCTGTGTTCTCCGGGGATTCAGTGACGGCAGTGAAGAATTGAAATCTAATCAAGTGTTTAGTATCGAGACGGAATAAAGAAGATGGGAGTTAACTTACAGCGGTGGTGTGGAGACCAACTCTTCGCTTCCATCATCTTTCACCCTTTTCTCCGTCTTGAACAGTCCATCGTAATGAAACGGCATCCACTCAGCCGAAAGCACATTATTCAAACCGCGCGTGTCAATACCGCGATCCTTGACCTCTAGAACGAGGCCGAACTTCCACGGCATCGGCGTTCCGAATTCTCTAGCTTTATCGACGAATAAGTCGCGATTCCTCGTCTGCGAGAAGCCCCTTAACACGACGGGAGAGTTGATCTGCGATAGTGCGCGGACTTTGGCAGCATCTACGTCACGTATGGATAGGGCACCTGGGCCTGTTGCCGGGCGAATTATGAGGCCAGCGGGATATAGAGGCTCGCAGGTGATGCCCCCCTTTTCGGTTGCCCATGTCAACAAATCACTCTTTTCTCGAAAGTAACTTGGCCTGCCGTCCTCGTAGACGAGTTCGAGAGTGTCGTCGGCTTCAAACTCAGACCGATGACCGGTGGTTGTAGTGCCGTCGAGTCGGAATGCGATGCTACAATGCCAGGGGGTTGTAAATAGCGTGTCGGTCGGCAGTAAGTTGACGGAGAGCTTGTTTCGGCCTGTCGAGGCATGGATAGACAGTCTTAGTCTATCGGGAAACATTTCTCGGACTGCTCTCGCGAACGCCTATGTTGTCACGGTCAATCTAGGTTCCCTATTTATAAGGGCGCGGGAACATCAAGGTAAGACTTACATCACCTCTCATGAGCATCTGCTTGGCAACGTATTCAATCCCCCTCTTGTATTTTGATTTGCTTCGCCCTTCGCCTATCGGATACACATTTTGAAGGTCGGTCTCTAGGAACTTGATATAGCCCCTATATGTTAAGCAGGTGTCTTCATCCTCCGATATCCTGAGTGAGACGTTGAACCCAGGTTTACTAAATTGTTTCAATAGAGCATAGCGAAAATTAGTAGCATTTGCGACGTCTAAAGGATTATCCAGGTCAGTATGCCTCCATGAGAATTTAGATACAGCGAGTTCGAAATACGTGGAATTTTCGCTTACATCTAATCTCGTCTAGTTCATTAGGTACGTCAATGTTAACTATGTCCTTGAGTCGGCAAAATTCGATGTGACCAAAGTCCTTTCTTGCCGTCAACGCTCGAAGAGCTTCGCCATATGCCCAGACATCCTTATCCGGAACCCCTAGAAGATCTTCTTCGAGTCAATAATAAAGTACCTAGGGGTTAGGCAAGGGGTACAATACCGTTATACACAAGCCCATCCGAGACAATCATTAATCTTGCGCCAGGTGCATAGACATCTCCTATAGCGGCACATAGCCCGTTCAGATGTGCAAGCGCAAACTCTTCTGCCTTGTCGGGGAGACGGCCAAGGACCTTCGTGATTGTATTTGGCGATTTGAAAGGGAACGCGGGAAGGCACATGAGAATGGTCTCATTAGCCGAGACTTTGGAGCAAATCTGGGATAGAAAATTGATCCCATCATTGGTTTCCGAGAGTAATGCATCCTTTGAGAGCTTGTATCGTGAGATAATGCTCAGAATGCGTGATGCGGTTTCGAGATGAGAGGCCTCCAGCTTCCCCAGCCCTGCGGCTAGGGCTGCTGGGAGTGCCAAGTTGTCGGCAGAATTGAGCGTCAAGGCGGACGGCATATCGAACATAGGATCCAACAGTAAGGTAGTAATCTTCAGATATGGTTGAATCTATAAACGAGAGTACGACTTTGCAGGACAATGCGGACCCTTTGCATGATACATATGATACAGAGCCTCGACTTAGAGGACGTCAGTCAGTATCAGTGGCGATACCCCGTGGTCTTTATTTATCTAATACATTTGTCAGGTGAAAACCCGACTTGGCAAGGCCGCAGTGTTGCAATTAACTAACTAAGCTTTGTAACAAGTCAATGGCTGCCGTAAATGCATAGTGGGTGTCCTCTGGCAGCACGGCTAAAGCCATTAAGAATTCAAGACATTCTAGTCCAATATAGGGTGACTAAAGCGGTGTTTTTGCGTTGTTCGTAGTTTCCCACGGTTTCTCGTAAAACTAAATGCCCTATAGATTTAGTTTATGCTTCACAAAACTTTTTGCATGGCCGAGGCAAATCTTCCTCTTTCCTAAAAGGGAAGTTTAGCAAGATCAGGACTGGGGTACGGGATAGCTCCGCCGCTCCGTCTCGTACAGTCTCCGCAGCGCTATATAAACCTGCCGCAAATGGGACGGTCATGCCGAGTATCCCGGTCACGAAAAGGAACTCTGATCTTGGAATCTAAGGGACTTCATGCGAATAGTCCCGTCGGTGAGGCCCGGATTGTTTTAGCCCACGATGTCGTCAAAGCAACGGCCTCCTGTGTCTCGGACGTTTGATAATATAACTATGGCACCGTAGCATCGGGCGATCCCGATAGGACAATCTTGCCGTCGATACCTGTTAGGTTGACCGGATGCTAACACCATAATAGTATCTTGAAAGCTTGGCAGAAGCAACTCTCGGTGAAGGGTTTCAAATAGATTTATAATCAAGACTCAACAAAGAATTTCCAGCCGTCGCCTCATTTAGTCTGAGAACTTCCTTACAACCGAGCTGCCTTTGTGAAGACATCCGTATATTTGTCTCGTCCTACCTAGCCATGGCCCAAAATGACCAGAGCTCCGGATCTGAGGAGCAGGTTGATCTAGCGATCATAGGAGGTTTGCCATCAAACCCATCGTTATGCATCATGCGAAACACTGACGTTCGATAAGGCGGACCCACAGGACTACTCTCTGCGCTTCTTGCAAGCCGCTTAGGCCTTTCCGTAAAGATCATAGGTGCGTTGCTACACCTCTATGTTGGGTACTAGATTCTGACGGTGTTCTAGATGCAAAGCCTGGGCCGTTAGAAGTAGGCCGAGCAGATGCTTTGAACGCACGCACACAACAGTATCTCGAAGTCGTTGGGATTCTTAATGAATTACTTCCACTAGGGATCAAATGCAATAGTAAGTAGTTCCTCACATTGAGGAGGACTGTTAACTCACCAAATTCAGCCAGTTCGACCTTTTCAGAAGGTGATTTTAAGTCTCGTCAGAGTCATTGGTGGACGTCACTCCAGCACTGCTTTCATCCTAACTTCTTGATGGTCGGTCAATCTGTCGTGGAGAAAGTGCTCAGAGACCATCTAGATATACCCGTCCACTATCAGGAGAGGGTCACTAACATCTCAGAGACGGAATGCGGCGTCACGCTCAATACAGACCGTGGCCGGAAGGTCTTGAGCAAATATGCTATCGCAGCTGATGGAGCCCGCTCAACAGTTCGACAAGCGTTGAACATTAATTTTGCCGGAACGAAGCCTGAGATGGTGTGGGCGGTTCTTGACACATTTATCGACACCGACTTCCCCGTATGCTCGGAGATTATCACGTTCCAGCTTAGGGGCCAGTCGCGGATATCATGGATCCCTCGAGAACGTGGGATGGCAAGATTCTACGTGCTTCTCGATGGAGAAATCACACAGAGAAAAGCCGAAGATTCCATCCGAGAACACATGGCACCGCATAGGGTTGACTTTGTTAAGACGGAGTGGTTTAGTACGTTTGACGGTAAGCACATATCCCATCATGCGAAGCATCCCGAAAGAAAGATGGTCTAACGTGATGTCTTGCCGTTTAGTAAAAGAACGAATCGCCTCTACGTTCGTCTCAAAGCAAGGGGATGGTCGCATCATCCTAGCAGGTGATGCAGCGCACGTTCATTCTGTAAACGGGGGGCAAGGATTAAATACTGGCATTGCCGATGCGTTTGCGCTCAGCTGGAGAGTTGTTGCCGCGGTCAAGAATGCGGGGCTTACGCATGGCGCTGCTACGAAGTTGATCCGAAGTTACGATACTGAACGTCGGGCTGTGGCACAGGAAGTCATTGATGTTGCAGCGGCTCTCGTCCGAGATACGGTACACACTGCGAAGCAATATGTTTCGACTATTGAGAAGAACGCCGGGTATATAACAGGTGAAGACATTACCCAGCGAGGATGTTTATAATGGGATAGACTAACATTATTATAGGAATGGGAGTTTCTTACGATGGAATCGGATCCGAAATCATCGCGGAATCTGAGAGAGGTATCTGGAAAGCAGGCAAGCGATGTCCGGATATTTGGGTCACTCCTATTGGGAGTAACGAGGCAACTCGACTGTACTCCATAACTTCATACGGAAAATATTTGATACTTTTCCTCGGAGCGCAGGATATTCAGAAGTTGTTCGGAAATATCTGCACCTATTTTATTCTCCGTCCCAGCGATGCAGCTCAGACGGAAACCAACGGCCATGATAACGGATCGAATAAGCAACCGGGTATTTTCTTGTCGGATGTCGTTACTTCTGAAGACAACTTTGTCGTTGTAGTAAGACCTGATATGTATATTGGGTATGTTGGAGGAGGGGATGGCTGGAAAGGATATCTAAAGCATGTGTATGTGTCAATGTGAGATAGAAGAATGAAGTTGAGTCCTTGGTTAAATGAATTCAATGTGTACCTCGGTACGTCTTATCTTATCGTGCTCTGATAACGATATCATTTACTACCTAAAGTGGCCTAAGCGCGTTATTTCAGCTCAGCCTCGGCTCGGCAGTGGCAGGAGCGTGAAGCATGACGCGCGAAATGGGTAGAATGGGACCCGATAATTTCCCATTTGGTGGACAGCTCATCATCGTTACTTCCACTTTTCTAGCAATCAATCGAATCAATTGCGTAGCGTCGGATCGCACATTCCTTCTTTCTATCCTTCCTTCTCCCATCATATTCTTTTTTCCAGTGTCGTTGTAGTTTTAATTCGATTTAATTTATTCCTTAATACCATATACCATCCACCGTCCATCCGCCGTCCATCCACAATGTCGATACCCGCCGATCACTCTAGAGGTAGCGCATCGCGTCCGCCCAGTAAACCACAATCGCAGAACCCCATTCAGAGCATGCTCTCTCTACCGCCTCAATGGTTGCATATGTATGGCGACTTCATCACAAAGAACGCCCATCAAGTATCACAAATTGAGAGTGCCTTGCGGTCTCTAACATACATCATCCCTGGTCGATTTCGTGATGCCGAGATTGCTTCGGAAACCGTGCATTCTGGTGTTCAACTACTCTCTCTCTATCACGATGCCGTTCTTCGAGGTGCCGTTACTAAAATACCTGGGCTGTCTCCAAAAATACCGAGCCCTCATACACGATATACCAGATTCTGGACAGCCAAGAGCAGATTATACCGGAGAATAGCATTGTTGTTACAGATAGTGCAATATACCGAATTGTTATGGGAGATGGCAGCCAAGAGGAAAGGAGAGAGAATACGCTGGCGTGTGGTCATCGTCTTAGAGTTTATAAAGGCTGTCTGTCGGTTACTACTAATGAGGGTTACCAATTCAAGACCACTCGTCACCCCGGCTTTACCTGAACGAGAACCAATTCCTCCAGATGTTGACTCGAGCGACGAGGATACCTTGAAGGAACTGATGGGCGAGGATACAACAGAGACAAATGAGTCTGCTAAGGCCGTTTACGAGCGAGAATGGACCATGCCACGAACAGGCTCCAGTCTCCCTAGCTTACCCAATCCTAGCGATATTGGCTCATACCTAATGGGCCGGGTTCTAACAGCAGATGACATCAAACCTGCGGCGAAACTCCTCAACACGTTATCTCGCCCTGGCCAGACTGCTGAGATCCTACACATCCTTGCCCCCTTGGTATACGCCATTGCATTATCAAGGAGCAAGAACAAGAAATCCTGGACGCCCTGGCTAATTGGCATAAGCATGGAATACGCGGCACGGCAGTTGCGCGAGAGAGGTCTACGCAGCACCGCTCTAGAGAACGAAGAATGGGGTAAGAGGTATTGGGCGGCCGGCTGGTGGACTATGAGAGGTGCTTTCTACGAAAACTTTACGAAGAACGTTATCGGTGGAGTACGTCGTCGCATGCCTAGTCTTGTCTCCGGTATACTGGAGGACTACGAATACCTTTGGGAGAACTATTATTTCAGCACTAGTGCTTGATGGATCTGTAACGAGGACTCAACAACTTTACGGATTTCTGCCGAGGCGAGCAGACTTGTACCATAAGATCACCGGGTAATTTCCAGGACCGCAGTTGGATTCATGAGGAGGACAATTCGGCAGCCCGGCCAACCCCCCCTTACTCTGACCGCCAACTCATTCATGCTCCTGGCGCCCCATTTCCTAACTATAATGATACCCGACGAATACACCGACTAATCGATCACGTTCAAAGTGGAGTTTGGCATAGGCTAGTAATGTCACGTGGTATGGAGCCGAGACTTGAATATGGATATGTCTTTCAAGAATATGAGCTTCCGGCCTGGTCTATTCGAATCTTTTATGACTGTTGTCCCTGTGATGACGAACCTGTATCTTCTCCAGCAAGTTAATGGCTGCCCGCGATTCAGTGTACACCTCCAGCGCGTCGACTTGACGAACACATCCAATCGATTATCAGATCACACTTCGTTAGGCCAAACACTCTTCAAGACGCGTGTTCTAAGCACATGTCGAGTAACAATAACAATGTATCCGCGATTACTAAAGCTGCCAGGGACGTCATGAATTAATATATACATTGGCCGGAAAGGATTTCCTCAACTGTACAGATGGAATAGACATTCATCTCAAACCCAAGGACTAGTGTTGGGGGATGGTATACAGATACCTTAAACGGTTTTATATCCAGCAAGTAGGCTACTTACTGTCTCTGTTGGTATACCCACCGGCTGTAATATGAGATTAAATATTACATCAAGCCCGGCGTTGTATTCACTTGCTACCTTTTTATTGAGGGAATTGTACAATTAAATTCGAGAAATCAGCAAAGCCTGTTCCAGCAACTAGAACTATATCCTCTCAATATGGTGGGTCAGGGGTGAAGGCGACAGCAGGATCAGTAAAACCAAGAGCGGCGATTTGTTTTCCATCAACGTCCAAGAGTGTTCCTCCTAGGAAAATGTACTTGCTTAGGTAGCTAAGAGGCAAAGAGGCCGATGAGACTGCCAGGGAGTAGAAAGGACGTCCTGAAACCATATCTGTACTCAAATAAATCGTTGATCGACCCTTGATTGATCTGATTGTTATCCCTTTGGCTAGGTACTATGTAATAGTTGTCAATATCTAGAGATTGGCAGCTAAAAGACACCTAGCCACCTAGAAAAGCTCGGTTTTCATCGACTGCTTGTAAGCCAGGGTGCTGTTGGCATCTCTGACACAAGACATTAGGTAGGTAGGTGTAAGTCATGTAATGTTTATGGTCTGGGTATCCTTAGGTGGGGTCTGTTCTACCAGGCCATGTGATTGTATTTTACCTCCTAATCCCTGAGTGGTAACAACCGTCAAAGGGACGGCTCTTAGTATGGCTTCAGCTAAGGTGTTAATTGAGTAACGCCTTAATCATGTCTTTTTTACTCTTCCATGGTCAAGTTCGACCACCTTCTTTGACTTACACCACTTTTAACTCGTTTACGCTTCGCTCTCAATTAATTGATGTCAAAGAAAAAGCCGGGACGAGTTTGGGTAGCAATTGAAACGTCAACCACTATCACGGCCCCCTTTGTCCCAATTGGTTCCGACATAAATATGGCTTAAAAAATCTAGGAATAAGATTCTATCTATGTACATACCAGGTAACAGGATAAACAAAAAAAAGTTATAAAAGCAAACAATGCAATTCTATATATACTGAATATCCAATCCGGAGGAAGTCTCGCTAGAGGCAATTCCATTTAACACATACCTTTCGGCCCAGGGAGCTACTAGAGGTCAGAGTAACTGTCCAGCATTCTCTACCAACCCCTTTATCCTACTTCCACCAATTCATCCCCATTATGATCATATTAATTTGAATCGTAATCCGATTATTCTCCGGGTGATGTTGAGTCGCCTCCTGGCGGCGAAGGTGGGTAAGGGGCCGGGGGTGGGACGTCGTTAATATCTGTCATTTTTATGGGATAATACTGTAGGCTCTTAACTTGGTATTTGGGCCGAATATGATGCCATGCCGTTACATGGCGCAACTTTCGCCGCTTTTGCTCCCGCTCTGGTGTTGGGCATTTGTGTGCTGCTTTACCCTTCTTGGCCCTTTGAAAGTCATTAATGTCAGCAATTCTAAGTCTGAATGAGAACATGGATGTCACATCCTGTACGAAACGAGAAGGGATGATGATGACTTCGGTGTTCACTTACTTGGCCAATGGAGGCGGGGGGGCTGGTACGCCCAAGTACCTGTCCAAGGGGTGTTAGCATCAATTACATCTCCTAAAAATCATACGGTACGTAGGCATCTAAGATGATATTCTTATAAACCTCCCCGAACATAACCCAGCCGACATAAAAGTATGGTTTAACTTACTCGTAGGGCATGACCCTCGGCGGTCTCGTCCATGACACATCGATATCACGGTAATACCCGGCAGGTCTTGGACGAAGAATACCTCGATATCTGCGGACTCTTCTTTGAGCTAGTGGCAGAACTACAGCAACACGAGTCAGTAATTTCTTCTTGAGAGAGGAATTCTGGAACTTCCAAGCATGTGTTAGGAGCAAAAGCCCATCAGTTAGCTCCCTCAGGGAACTTTCGCTCTATGGATGGGTTAAGAGGAAAAGGGGGGCTCGATTTTACATACTAACGTTATTAATCCGGTTAAATCTGGGCATAACTCGATAATTGGGTGTAACGACACCAGCCGCGTTGATGTGGTTGCCGAATATATCAGCGCCGAGGGCGCCGCCTGGGAACTCAAACTCGCTAAGAGTGTTGATAAGATCATTCGAGTATGGAATATCGCCGGCAGGCATGTGGCCATTTACTGTGGCCATTGGATTTTCGTTTATTGGGTCGATAAGGGCGGGAATATCAGGGATATGAGTTTGGGCCAATGAGCGAAGGCACTCCCCCATCAAGTATCTAAGATACATGTTAGTTATATGTGAACCCGTTAACCTTACATCTTAATGAGGCCAATATATTCCCAAGTGACGGAATTAGACCGTCTGGAACAGGCCAATAGAATAATGCTACCTACTGTTACAAGTTAGCCACTGTAGCAAAGGAGCCCGAGGAGGACCTGGAGGAATATGGTTATTAGTTTATGTAGGTACGTACCACGTCTTCCCACAATTGAAACGTAGGAAGTCCGAAAACACCGTTAGGCATGAAAAATGGGTTATCGGTCCTCAGCGCTGCCTCGCCAAAATCACCGATAATAACTATAAACTTAAGGTTAGTACTTTCTCTTCCTATAACACTCTTCGGATATTGGACGGTGTAGAGTTAGTGTCGACGAATACTCACTGTTTGGGAAAGCATTCATTTCTAGACCGGCATTGGGTACACGGCCTCCTCGAGTTGGTTCATAATGTATGAAGACATTATTCGGTGCGAAGTCTCGGTGGGAGATTCCTATTCGCAGATTGATTAGATCTTCTACTTAGGTCCCAGAGTAAAAGAGTCTGAAATATGTACTTACTGTCCCATAGAGCATGAGGGGCAACGCCATATTGTCTCGGTATCAAACCCCCGTGAAAGTATCGGATGATTTCGCAGAACCTTTCAATTGCAAGCTATAGAACTAGAAGTTAGCATTTCAATTTTTTCAATGTGTTGAGAACTAAGTCTTATTTCAAATTCAAAACTTTCATTGGACGCTGAATAATCCTGAGCAGACTATTCTCTAGCTTTGGATGATACGTACCCAAATAAAACTCTCCGGGACCGGCCGGAGATGCGCGTGGTATTTCTCGATTAATCCCCCCATTGTGCCGCCGTTGCAATACCTGTATAAGTTGAATTGTAAATAATCATGAATCGTAGGAAGTTAGTAGTGAAACTTGCCTGAAATACATGGAATATGTGCCGTCGTTAAACCATTGCCAGGCAACACATTCATCGAATTGCCTTCTCAATTTCCCTTCCACGATATGAGGTGTAGGTAAGGGGCAATCTGCTTCCGGCGTAGTCGAAATCCGAAGCTCTGCGGGTAGAACCGTTTGGAATTCAGTCGCTCTTATAATTTTGTTGACAAAAAGTTCCCCAGTACTCACGGACTGGACCAACAACACCCTATCTCGCCCGAGGGAATCAACATAAATAAATCCATTTTCAGTGATCCTAGGATCACTGGTCCACCAGTCATGAGGTCCAATGCCGGCATTGGTGTATGGGATATAGACCCCGGGGTGTCTGTACGGTAATCTCTTTGCAGTCGACATTTTAAGCTTTGCAGTGATAAGGAAAGATAATTATTGACATCTCTAGGTGGTATCATATATATTATTTTTCTGAAACCTGGGAGTTATAGACTTGATACCTCTTTATTTCTAAAAATATCACACCGAAATACTGAGGTTTAGTAATGCCATTTCTTGACCTAGCAATGAGTACTTCAGATTAGTTATGGCGCATGCAAGAAAGGGGTTGGTATTCATTCTGCTTTATTTGCCGGTCTTTGAACTTTTCTCATGGGATTTAAAATATATGTTGTTTAAGCGATATGAAAGGGGGGGCCTTTCATAAGATTCGAACAATGTATACATTGTGATAATAGCTTTTGTCCTCTGTTTGCTATTTTGGCAAATGCTGTTAACTCGTAATAAAGCCCATATCAGAGCCTGTGCTAAGGTCACCCAGCGGATACTAAGAATGATCCCCTCCGTAGCCTCCGGTAAGAAAACTTGGTATCTAGTAAAAGGGAAAAGAGGTAAACTGCCTACCTAGGTGCATTCGCGGTCCTTACTTTAGAAGGGAGACCATAAGCCGTCGTTAATACCATTTTGCAGAGAGAATTATCATTCGTAGAACATGGTATGCATATTTCGGCCAATAGTGGACCCTTTAGTACAAAGAACGGCTATTGTGAGTGATCATTGTTTTTGCCACAATCAAGTTTGCTATATTCGAAACTACAAAGGATGACTATAATTAATGAGAAACCTACCTCTTAGGTAATTATAGTAGCAGGTGACTTGAAAAAGCGAGGTAAAATGTCGACTGAATAAGGTTGTCTCAAATCTAAGTGATGTATCAACTACAGATATTACAGTTCCGGGGCCGGAAATTACGTATCTTGGTACTTACCAAGTAAGTACCTATACTGAGACAAAAGCAAAAATATATAGGTACCTAGGTAGGTATATGTCATTATCTCCCATGCTGTTATTGCTCCAAGGGTCTCTGATATGAACGAGAAAATCCAACCCTACCTAAGCCGCATTTCAACGTCAACACACTACCTTCTAGGCAAAGTCCTGCAGACTGCCCTTTGTTGCTCCAGAGTCATCCAACTAACCCTAATTTCCGTCTCTTATTCTATGCCTATGCTCTTTATGAATCATTTGGAACTAACATCTCGGATATCTTTAATCGGCTCTTTGTTAAATATTTCACCAATGGATGTTTGCCACGTTTCCAATATTATAGTCTTCACGTAACACTTGCTCCCCCTTCTTTTTACCTATTTTCATAAGTAAGGAAATGTACATAGATTTAGAAGTGGTTGTTTGAGATTACTAAGGTTTCTTTTCATAATATATTTACGGTTATCTGGTTATACTGGCTGGAGTCATAGGTCTAACACTTATCATACATGTTTATTTACTGAATTATGCATTAAGGTCAGGCTACCGCCACGGATTTCATTCCGAATTTTAATAACCTTAGTGGACCATTCACTTTCTTCGCAAGCATGTCATCAATAGGAGAGATTATGTGTGTTTCAAAGTATGCAATTCATGATGCTATCATTGAAAGATACAACTATTCCGTAAATTCCTGCTGCATTACTCATTCCTATACCGTTCAGCCAGTCCAGACCGCAGGCCCAGGGACCTTGTACGAAGTAGCCGAACCCATGTAAATATCAACCTAGCAGCGGTTAGCATCCGGCCATATATATGAGAGATCAAACATTGCTTACCATGATACCGGGGTCAGACTGCGCGGCATACGCGGGGATAGAGGTAAGATATTCACCGCTGGGAACAGCCGTGCCAGAACCGGTAACGGTGATCTGCGCACACTCTGGGTAGAACTGGGGCGTGTTGGCCTGGTGAAGAGCGAGCAGCTCGTGGCGAATGAGGTAGTTTCCAGGCTTGAGGGTCTCGGGGATCTTGCTCGACCACTTCAGGTTCTTGTAGACGAGGGCGGTTCCCCAGTTGTTGCTGTTCAGCACGTCACCCCACAGCCCCATCTCATCGATCTTGAACCACTTCTTGCTCTTGCCGTCGCAGGCCGTGAACTCTCCGTCGCAGGAGTACATGTAGACGGTGACGGGGCCCTGTTCGTGCGTCCACTGTGCCCAAATCGCCGTCACGTTCTCGCCGGCCGCGACTTCAGCAGCGATGGGGGCCGAGGTGCCACCGTTGCAGGTCATCTTCGGGTCCGTGACGGTCATGATGGGGTTGTAGTCCGGCCATTGTCGCTGGATGATCTGAGCCCCGGCCACCGGAGAGAATCCCTGGTAGCCTTCGTACGTCTTGCCGCCGATCTCGTAGCTGGTAACAGCACCGTGGGCGGCGACGAGGGCGGGAGCGAGGAATAGGGGAAGTGAAAACAGCATCTTGATTTAAACGGTAAAGCTAGATGGTTTTTACTTTTAGAAGACAGAGAGCGGTTGATCGAAAACCTTGGCGAGCAGCGAGACCAGGTAGTATTTATGCTGATCGTGCTGGAGAACAACCAGAATTGACTTAGGCTGGGATAGGGGTAGCGCAACATCATAACCCCGTCGTACAGATTTCAGGGTTGAGTAAGTAGCCATCTCCGGTGGGCCATACTCGGTTACAGGGGTCATTGTTAGGTATTAGGAATCATTAGGAGAGCGTCTACTCGAGTCTCGGTATTGGCTTGAGCGAATAATATCCAAGCTGATGTGTTGAGTGGCGCATTCGACCGTTTCTATGCCGCTATACCAAGTATAGAAGATCCGGCCAGGCGGACCGATGCTTCAACTCGGCGAAACAGCGTTCGGCGATCGACTTGTGACTTGTGACTAAGAGTTCGACGGCATATCGAAGGCTTTCGAAGCTATCTCGGTCGAACTTACGTTATATCCTAGGCGCTGTATATGAAATCCGTATCAGGTGGTGTCCTTGGAAGCAACCGATTGGAAAGTAAGGCGACACCTTTGTAAGGCGACGTGTGGCTTCCCCACAAGTTTCAATATACCGGCAGCTTTGGGTCCGGGGCATGTTACATTGCGGCTACAAATGGGGTAGCATCCCTGTGGGTTATATGATGCTTGGCCCTCTTAGTGCACAATGCGATCATAGCCCATATGGTATTAATAGGACAGATTCAGGCTAGATAGGATAAATTCGAGATCCGCGTATCCCCTGTAATAGCGAATCAAATCGGATGAAGACTTTGAAATACTTGACTAGCTGTAAATTTGCGTGTTTTTCTTCGGAGGAAAGGGGATAGAGACATATGTTTCGTTGAACAGTCTACCCAAAGCATCACCAAACCTCCAGACCTCACCTCTTATTTCACCTAAGCCACCCCCCCTAGTACCCTCACGATCCAGTCTCTACCCTCAACTCCTTCACGCAGCCCGTAACAAGCAGCTAGCGGAAAACAATGCATCAGCCCATTCCAGACCAACCACTGCCCCTTAACCCCCTCTCCCCCACACCTGTCCACAAACTCCAACGCGTCAGGGGCCAGCACATCCGCCGTCCCAACCACGCCGTTCACCCTGATCCCACTCGCCTTCAAATTAGCCAGGTCCGCGAGTATCAGGCTCAGGTAAGGATTCCTCCTTTCTATTTCCGAATCCGCACTCCAGGCTGTTGCCGCAGCGTCCGCGATCCGTGGTCCGAGAACCGGGTCCTGGGCGTCCGCTTCGGCTTTGGAGGGTGCTCGGCCTTTGAGTGGGGACCGCAGATCGGTTGGGGGCGAGATGGCTAGGACGGATTTGAGTCGATGATAATCCAGTTCGAGACCAGTACCCGACTTAGCCAGTGCAAGCTGGTCCGCGCACCAAAGTCCCAGACTCAGCGCGATATTAGCGCCCGAACTATCGCCTACGAGGGAGACAACTCTATCGCCGGCCGCCGCGTCGCGGAGTTCTTGTATTAGCCATCTCCTAAGAAACGGTAGAGTGGTCTTGGCAGGTGAGTGCGGAGCTAGGGGGTACGAAACCAAGACCACGCGACTCCGAGGAAGAGACGAGGCCAAGTAAGCGCAGAATTTCCAGTGTTCGGAAGACGCCGGGGCCTGGAATCCGCCGCCGGCGAAGTAGTACACCGTGTGCGTAGCCGTAGCCCGATTATTATTATTTCCGGATACAGGGAGGTGGAAGTCGTAGACCCACAGGCTCTCGGCCTTGAATCCGGAGCTGGCTTCGGAATCTAGAAGCAGGTTCGAAGGGATCAGGATTTCTCGTTCTGTGATGCTCACTTTGCCAATGCGATGGGGGTGTTTCCGTAGCCGTGGCGAGCCTGCTGGGTATTCTCCCTTTGGGGTCACGAGATGTGGGCGTAGAGGTCTGATTACGATGCGTAAAACTCTATATAATAAGGAGAGGTCAGTCCGGCACGTTATAGTTATTGAACCTGAGTTTGGCTGTGATTCGGGTTGTGTGCTATCGCCCATTATTACTGTATAGCTCGATTTCATAGACCCGTAATTTGGATAGTAAGGAGTACCGTAATCTATCGTGGCCATGGAGGAGTTGTTTTTAAATCCCGAACCAAAGGTTGCTTTTTTGTCTCAAGACTAATGATTCATTAGCAGTCTAGTTCAAGATGATTACGTTATCAATATTGGCAACATTGAGAACTCGCAAATTGATCACTTCTCTAAAGGATTCGGTCGAAGTAGATCATGGCTTTCTATTGTTGCATCCGGGGTATCTTCAATCCTCTAAATACACTACTTAGAACATCAAGGTCCTAGTAGTGGTCCTCATGATGCTTGAGAAATAGTGTTAGTATCACTAAGTGAAATCGTAGACCATTAAGCTCTCTCGTCCTTTAGACTCTTTAAGGACAATGACCATCTCGTCATCGAAACCGACCCAGTTTCGCCGGTCGTCCCACTCAACAGCAGCGAAGTCGTTGGAAGGAGTTTTGTCTATTCCTTCCACATCAACTGTAGACTTGGATGTTGGTCGAATCTCGATACTCTTTCCATGTGCCTTGCCCTCTAACTCCCAGACCCTAATCTCCTCTCCTCGGCAGCTGACGCTGACTGCTTTACCACGAGCCGTTATCTCAGCATCACTTATACCGGAAGTGTGCCCCCATAGTCTGATGCCACGCGATATAGAAAGTGAGGTCGCAGTAGACGTACAGAGGTATAAGATTAACGTGTTATCAGGGAGGGTTGCGAGGAGATATGGGTGGGTGTAGCATAGGTTGATAGGTCCATCTAATTCTTCTTCGTCTTGTGACGAAGATGAAAGGTTGATATGCCGAGCTGGTGAGGTAGGTGGAGATGGCATATGAGTAGGGCTTGACCGGACGGGGAGACTATATGCCAGTCGGGTGGCTGTGATGTCCGGAGTAGACTTTGATTTAGAAGGGCGCAAGTGTAGATCTTGTATGCCCAAGGACCATCCTTGAAGAGTCGAAAATGTGTACGCGATTGAAGCCACAGTACTTGCTGCTGTCTTTCGAATAGATAATGCCAACGGTGCTCTTGACGTATGGGATTTTAGTGATGTTAAAAGGTATGGCGCTCGAAGAATTACCGGTTCGGGATTTCGTATTTTTGACTTTGAGGTTTTCAAAATATGCTCATCGTCCGTGTCTTGCATCGTTTCGCTCCCGGAATCCAGTGCGGTCTCACCGTCTGGTACTTGGATTCCAGAACGATCCGTACTAGGTGGTCTATAGAATGTGTAGAGGGATATAAGAACGGATTTGGTTGCCGTTAGGAGGTATGGATAGGAAAAGGCAACTCCGATTAGCTCTCCATTAGTAGATTTCTCGTGGCGATATCTTCGCAATATCCTCCTTTGTTGGATGTCCAGCTTCCAAACCCCAAAGCTACCGTCGGAGAAACCAATTGCGATCTCCAAAATTTGGTCTTGAATCCCTTGATCGTCTATAGTAATGCAGCTCGGCACGATTTCCGAGTCAGCTTGACCCAGACTAATTTGCGCCAGCAGATATTTTGTCTTCAAGTCCCAAGCCCGTAATCCTGTAGCTACATCGGCTGTGATTGCAATGCCTTCGGAAATTTTAACGAGTATCTTATGCGGCGAACTTGTCTCGGGAGGTGATAGTTCTTGTTCTTGTCCAAGTTGAAGTTCCTCGACGGCGCATTTTCCCTTTGACCAGTTATGTCGGAGCTTGTATTGCTTCTTCCAGTCCCGTGAACGATCTTCGAAGTTGCCGACATGCATATCTACCCAGCCTCCTTTTCTCCCGTCTGCCCATACCGCCTTGCGCGACGAGTAGTGGAGTTTTCCTTCTCTTGCTGAACCATTACGGAATCCCGGGATGCGAAGGGCGCGGGGAAGGACAAAGCGCTCGTAATATAGACGTTTCCAAATCTGCGAATCACTGAATAGATCGTAGAAGCGCCGCGATAGTGGCGCGATATTCAACAAGTCCGGAAGGGGTAGGAATGTGAGAATGCGTATGAGGAGTTCGTTCGGTAATGGCGATAGCAGGTCCGGTAACTCGGTATGGCGGGATCGTTTTGTTATCGTCGACCTGGACGCGATGTCATTTTCGGTGCGCTTTCGCTTGTAAGTCATCCTGCGACTCTACAAGTACCTCAGCCCGAATTTGATTGTACTATACTATGCGTGGGTATATTCAAACCTTGGGGTCTATCAGGTAAGAGGTTGGTAGGAATAATGGAGATTGTTGGTGGGATAGTAAATCGCATCTCATCAATCGACAACGGGAAATCGGTGATATCGGATATAATTCTAGTTAGTAACTTTAAGTTGACTCTCATTATGTAAAATTAGTCACCCACGTCCCAGATCATATGGGTCTACAAGGCGAATGACTAACCATTCGGGGTTTAGCCTCTCAGATGATCGGAGTCTTTCCTAATTCGCTCGATTATGTAACCTCATAGTCTCTTACTCTTAAGTCTTTACAACAGGCAGCTAACTTGATAATACTCACTTATGAGCAATTAGAATCTCGCACACTCCATTTCTCTGAAACAGATTCTATTATAAAAATTTCATTATCTGGTAAATAATAAGTTAGGGTTCAGACGTTAATATCTACCACCATTAGCTCCTAATCCCGTCGATTACGAAGTTCCAGTCAGCCTCACCTGCTCCTAGGAGATTAACTTTTATATCCCATATCATTGGGATACCAACACATATCTTGGAGATGCAGTAGTTGGTCTGATTGGTACCGTATTATATACATAGATGTGCTTATGAGTCAAAAACTGATGGTCTCTAGACTCAGCCACCCTCTACGGAACCCGCGGGTGCCGAGATCCAAGTAAATCGTCCGGGCAAGAGTGTGAGGTCAATTTAGACTTCGCAGTTTGAGTCGTCGGATGTGTCTTTGAATCATCATCCCACGTGTCTTGCCGTAGTCATTGCATATGCTGGCAGATTAACTGCCGAGAGTCACCAGCAGTAAGAGTTTATTCAATCCCGCGATGGAGGCCGAGGCGACCGAAGTTAATGGTGGACCCGAGTCTCCTACTCCCCGGAGAGCAGTAAGTAAATATCGGTGCCCGTCGGCCCCGTTATTCATAGGGCCAATTCTGTGAAACCATGATTAGATCAGGACCTGTTGGCTAAGTAATACCATGTAACAGTGTGACCAATGCAGACTTAGGAAGGTAAGGGATCCCATATTGCCCCCGTCCCCTTTTAGCTGCCAGCTTACGGCAAAGCTCGCTAGCCCTATAACTAATACCCGTGCTGGTAGATACGCTGTGATAAGGAATCGCCGTGCTCCAACTGCCGGAGCGCTAGGCGATCATGCAGTTCTACAGGAGCTGGCCAGAAACCCAAGGAACCACGGCAACGGGTACTAATATCCAGCCAATAGTAAGCAGGACACGACCTCCTGCAACTCAGTCAAGGCCGTAAACGATCTAATAAATTGAAATCAAATAGTGAGCGGAAGATTGACTTAATCGAGGAGCGGCTCGGTGGTATTGAGACGCTTCTACGAAATCTAAGCCCAATTTCGGCGTCCAAGCCACCCGACACGGAAGCTTTTACACGGCAGTCGTCTGACAAGCCAACGCCGTTATCCCCTAACAGTCGAGATGAGTCGTCAGGCACCGTTTTCGATCCGGAAGATGCGGGAGACTTCGAGGGCAACTCATCCTTAGCAGCACACACTGTCTTCGCGAGTGAGTTTCTCGAGCATGCCGTCCAAGGGACTCCATTACAGCAAGAAGGGAACGTCCCCAAGATTGATGCGGCGTTGTCGTCGCTGCGTCATATCTTAAACATACATAAGACCCAGCGTGCTGTGTCGTCGTTCCATGAATTTCGTACCCCCGGCTCGAAGCAGCAGCCAAAGGTTAGCTTACGAGACCTGCCCCTGCCGCCTATGGAACTCGTAGCGGAGAAATTACGAGAAATGAAACGTATGGTGACCCCTCCTCTATACTATTTCGCGTCTCTTTGATCTCATGCCCTTGGATCATCAATCAATCTCATTCGCTGACGACTTACCACAGATGGCCCGGCCCCCATGATGCTTGCTGTCCTCTATTGCTTTATAGAGGTTGATCGTTTCACCGATCAATGCAGGCGAGTATATTTTCATACTGACGACAATACGGATGCGACATACATACTCGTCAACTCTGGCCTCGCTTATATGTTCTTTGAAGCGGGCCTCGGAACAAAAAACCCTGAAGAGAAGGCTCGGTATGATTCATATTACCATATGTGTCAAAAGAACTTGGAGGTTGCACTATCACAACTCAACCTTCTTATGCCGGCAACATTGGAGAATATAGAGGCCTTACTTATGGCGGTGAGTTCATTTTTTATATACTAGTGACGAAAGGCATACCATACTCTAGAATATAGATTTCCCCGCTGAATCCATGCTGATATAACCTTTATAGGCTAGCTTCTCAATAGATATATCACGGCCCTCACTGGCATGGCTTCTTGCTTCACGTGCCGCTCATATGTGTAGGACATTAGGTCTGCACCAGATGCATACAATGAAAGACGACAGCCCACAGAAGAAGGCTGACAAGTCCCTATTATTCTGGTGCACGTATATGCTTGATAAAGGGCTGTCTTTAAGACTAGGTCGGGCGTCTATCTTACAAGATTATGACATCTCGCTACCGCATATAGCTCCTGAAGCTAAGGCTGCGTTCCCAGGCACCGAGGTCATGACACTATGGATAAAGCACGCGCAAGTTCAAGGCCGAATCTATGAGCGCTTATATAGTCCCGGTGCTCTACGGCAGTCCGATATGTATCGCGTTGAGCAAGTCGGCATAATAGCTTTGGAACAAAAGAACCTGATGGCGCAAAGTATGGAGCTTTATGCGCAGTTTAAGGCGTCCGAGACCGCTGAGGGTCGCATGTTCGCAATCATGCTCAAGTCTGATCAAGTTTCGTACCTTTCGTCGCTAGCCTTGACATATCGTGCGATGCCGCCCGCGGGCACGCGCTCCCGGACCTTCTCGGATGAATGCATTGACTACGCGCGAGCAGCGATGTCATGTCATCAAGAGGCAATGGGCATGATGGAAGATCAGTCTCTGAAAATTGTGTACATCCACTGGTGAGAATCTTACTCGTACCCTACTCCCTTACATAGAACACCTCTACTAACCATACAAATATGAAGGACGATCCTCTACGCGCCATTCATCCCGTTTATCGTAATCTTCTGTTTAGTGATCGAGACCTCGAGCGCAGAGGACCTACAGCGACTAGGCGATTTCGTACAGTCACTAGCGGCGGCGTGCGACTTATCACACTCAATTAGCAAGTTACACCAGTTATGCCAGGTACTATATAATGTCGCACAGCTGTATATCGAGGCCAAGGCGCAGCAACCCGTTGACCAGGACATGGTGCCCGTAGGCAACGAATTTAATATGTATCTCAGCCAACTAGGGTTCATGCCCATAGACGAGAACGTAGCAAATTTCGATGTCAGCGATAGCGGAAATATCGACGATCAGGCGAGATCTATGGCGCAGACAACACAGTTAGGAGACTGGTTCTCGGGAAATAATTATATGTTAGGCCTTTTAGAGGAAGACCTTTCGGGGATAAATCCCTCGGGTTGGCCGTCGTGAACCGGTCTAATGTGGATATATCTGACCTGGATTAATTCGATAGCGGGTAAGGGTAGATGAGGACGTCGATATTCGATGAAATGACAGGGATCCCCTCTCACATATATCATGATATCTATAAAGCCTCATAGCGATTCACTCATAGCGAAATGTACAAAAGCTTCAAGGTCTTAATGAACATTTTCGACAGAGCAGGCGTGAAAATAAATGAAGTGTTAAATTTTGCATTTCATGTCGTCTTCGGAGCCGTTCTGAGCTCTGGCTAGTGTCTACCAGCAGACGAATATCGGTGATGGATATGTACACAACCGCAACTCCTCCCTCCTCGCTTCACCGTTTCCTCTCGCACTCTTCTCCCAACTCACGAGCTAGTGCTCTTGCCCAACCTCTCAGCTTCCAGCTCCTGCTCGGCACGCAGGTAGTACTTGGCGGTGTCAACACCGTGCTGGTTGTGGTTGACGAAGTTGAACCAGGGCAATACGGCAAAGAATAGTGCCGAGTACCTCGACTGCCGGGCGGCTACGCCCTGCATGTGTGGCGTCACGGAGCTAACGCCGTATAGCGGTTGCCCAGCCTTCACCTTGTCGACCATCTCTCGCATGTCCATCTCTACTTCGCGGGAGTTCTCAGACATGCCGTAAAATCGTACTGCAGGTATACGTTGTTAATATGGGGTGCGCATGAACGGATATCGTTGTGGAAGAGACGTACGGCACGATCTTTGGTAGAAGTATAGGAATCCACCAATCACACCAATCGCACCAGATAGACGCAGCGCTCGTACGAAACCACCTCGACCGACTTGCGAGGGCGCAAACTTCTCCATCGCTAGGAGGAGACCCGGACCGGCCGCGGCGGCTACGGTACCGTGGACGTAGTCTGATGGGCGGGCATATCCCACTACTCTCCGAAAATGTCTGATATACCATGATAGATTAGCCGCCAATTATATCCATTGAGCTACGGTCTTCATGAAGCTTCGAGATCGTTACGTACGGGTCATTGTCGATGAGCTAGAAACGTCTCCGGTTAGTGATTAGTACACGGACCAATTGACAAAAGTACGTACGGGGTAGTCGGACTTGGCGACTTTGCTAGGAATGTACGTCGGCTGAGTGGAAGTCGCCATACTCGCGGAGTCTAATTGAGCTCCCCAATAGCTTCGGTGTTGTGGAATGAAGTGCTTCGTAATTGAATTGAGGTCATTGATGAAGCTCGAAATCGCGAAGTCTAAGAAATTGATGAGGTAAGCGGAGTTTCTTCGGATATACTGGGATACTTGGCGGGACATGGACCCGCTATGACCACTTACAACTTCGTCATTAATAACCTTTCTGAGAGAGCTAAATTGCCCCACACAGCCCACGTTAAGTCGCGTCTTTCATCTATCCGACGCGTCTTATCGATCTTTAATTAAGGATAATTCTCACAATTATCAATTCATTCCTTCGATAGAAGCAAATACAGCGACGATGGCGCCACGAGCAGATTCGGCGGCAGCAAGGCCAATTAATAACGATATAGACAATTACGACGTCGATGACGATCCGTTCGCTGAATCGGGGAACGAAGCTCCCAAAAACGATGCGCAATCCAAGAAACGCAAAGACACCACCGGTCTAGGCATTGACGAAGCCGTAGCCGTACAGAAGAAGGCTAGGGCTCCTATTGTCAAACTAGATGAGAGCAGGTTCGTATTTCCACAGCATGGGTAACATTAGAGCATATACTCACCAAGTCTAGACTATTATCTGAGAAGGGCATACCGAGACTACGAAGAAAAGCGCGCGATCTGAAATTCAAGGGCAAAGGACATGAGGTACTTCTACCCTTTCTCTACCTCATATGGAGTCTCTGGCGAAATTAACAACATCCTAGTTCTCAGATGCTGCCAGACTCCTCTCATTCTACCAATTATGGTTCGACGACCTGTTTCCCAAGGCAAAGTTCTTAGACGCTGCAGCTATGGCGGAGAAGGCCGGCCACAAGAAGTATATGAGAATGAAACGAATGGAGTGGATTGATGAAGGAAAGCCCAAACCGGCGGGACATGATGGGGATGACGATATTGACGGCCTCTTTGGCGAGCCTAGTGAACAGCCGGAGGAACGGTCCGCTGCAATATTTCCAGCTAGGATTGCGCCAATATTCCAAAATGCCGGAAGTGAGAGGCCGCAGACTCCGACACGAGATGACGTGCCTGATGATGAGGATATGGGTGATATCTACAACGCTACCCCAGTAGCTTCAAAAGCGACGCAACCTGCGGGCACTTCTACGTTCGGAAATGGTGGAACGAGTACATCGTTATTTGGAAATGGCAATGGTGGTGAGCCTGATGAGGACGACCTCGACGCGCTAATGGCTGAGGAAGAAGCTCAACGCACGAAACCTACATCTCTCTTTGGCAATGGCAGTACTGCGAACGCCAGTCGACCACGAGATGAGCCGGATGAAGATGATCTAGACGCATTAATGGCGGAGGCCGAAGCCCAGCAGGAACCTACAAACCGAAATAGTAACACTGCCCCGAAACAGGCAGTGGCTGCAACGAATCACGACGAGGATGATGATTTGGATGCGCTGATGGCAGAAGCAGAGAATCAAGACCAGGCAAAACAACCCGCTAATTCGAAGCCAAAGGAAACTTCAGGTGCATCTAATGATGTGGCAGACGCGGATGCAGAGGAGGCAATGGCCGAGATGGACGGATTATGGTGAAGGTCAAGCTTGATGATGGCAAACGGTATTATGACGCATGTAGCGGCGTTTAGGAGTTTTTGGTGCTATTGCCATCCATAAGTGTTTGATTGTATTACCACCATTTTGACGTCTGAAATGGATTACATCCATTATAATGTAGAGTTGAAAGGGCCTAGAGCTCTCGAACAGTGCTGATGTATTACTGAAGACGCTGACAGTATGACGCAACTTAGGGGATGGAAAACTTCCCACACATCCATACCACAATTCTTCGATCCAATTTTAAGTCCAGTACAAATTAGTACATCCTCATACACCAGACACGTCAGTCGATAAACATCGAAATAATAATTGTCTCTTCAACCCCTTAATGTACATACCAACGTGACTGGTTGTATCTCGGTACTATACTTAGGTACCTCTTAGTACATGTAAGCTTTATCGATAAACGTTTAGGCGATCCACACTACCACACTTGACCGGGTTCACTAGGTATTGCAGCATCCCACCAAATCCAACCCGCTTCCATTTCCATTTCCTAGGAATATCACCAAGGTTAAAAAACGACATTTCATGGTAACATCCTAATTCTCTGCTGTCGTTAGCTGGGGCATTTCTTTGAGTCGAACTTGATATCTCAAAGAACCATGGCGTCTCCGGATCTCGTAGAAGCTATTGGGAAGCTTCAAATCGCAGGCGATACCAGCATCGACGATATCCTCTTCCAACAAGGGCCCCGCAAGCGATTAAAGCAGGACCCGGCAGCGCTCAAGGCAGAACTCGAACAGAAATTCCTGACTCCCTCCAATACTTTCTCTACCGAATGGCTCAACCGTCTACAGCAACGATGGGACTGTCCGACCGATCTCACCGAACTCTTTCGCATTGCGCCGACCCAGACCCGAACTGTTACACGGTTCCAGCGCCAAGGCCTCGAGGGTAGAGTGACGGGATACAAGAATGTCACTGTGCCTGCAAACAGTGCCACAGCCAAGAACTCGACCTCCTTAATGCGTAAGCCTGGCAGCCGTGTCGATTTCGTTCGTGGAGCTGCAGGTTTCTTCCCTTTCGCGCCAGGTGGTTTGGAGAGCGTCGAGGCGACCGCCGCCATAGAGGATCAGATGGTGCGCTCTGAAACTACCGGCACACGGAATAAGTTAGAGCGAGTCATCAAGCTCGGTGCCGAGGGCGGACTTCTCGAGGTGGCCCCTGGTATGGAGAGAGGCATTGACTTTACCAAGAAGAAATCCAAGGTCAACGAGAAAGAAGCCAAGGCAATCGAAGCAGAACTCGACCAGGAACCTGAACAAGAGCCAGAGACAGAGGAGGTTAATGGACATGTAGAAGCTAACGGTACCGAAGATGAACCCGACGAGGAAGATTCCGAAGATATTGATTCGCTCTTACCAGTCGAGTTTCCAGCTTTGGAGCCGCATAGTAATCTTGCCGCGTCCAGTGCAAGGAAGGCCGGCCGAGAATGGGCTCACATGGTGGACATCAACCGCGACATCACCAACTTCAGAGAGCTCGTTCCTAATATGGCTAGAGAGTGGCCATTCGAGCTCGACACCTTCCAGAAAGAAGCCATCTATCATCTTGAAAATGGTGACTCGGTTTTTGTTGCTGCGCATACATCAGCCGGCAAGACTGTTGTGGCCGAATATGCTATTGCGCTAGCTGCGAGACATATGACCAAGGCTATCTACACATCACCTATCAAAGCCTTAAGTAATCAAAAATTCCGAGATTTTAGACAGACCTTCGACGAGGTTGGTATCTTGACGGGCGATGTTCAGATCAACCCCGAAGCAAGTTGTTTGATCATGACTACCGAAATTCTAAGAAGTATGCTGTATAGAGGCGCCGACTTGATTCGAGATGTAGAGTTTGTCATCTTCGACGAAGTTCACTACGTCAACGATTTCGAGCGAGGTGTAGTTTGGGAAGAAGTTATCATTATGCTCCCAGAACATGTGTCACTTATCCTTCTCTCAGCCACTGTTCCAAATACGTACGAATTTGCATCCTGGGTTGGTAGGACCAAAAAGAAGGATATATACGTTATTTCAACTCCGAAGCGACCTGTACCCTTGGAACATTTCCTATGGGCTGGCAAGAACATTTACAAGATCGTCGACAGTGATAAGAAATTCATCGAAAGAGGTTGGAAAGATGCAGACCAGGCGATACGCGGGAAGGATAAGGTTCTTCCGGCACCCGCCGCTCGTGGTGGTGGAAATCAGCGAGGCAATCAACGAGGAGGCCCTCAGCGCGGCGGTCAACAACGCGGTGGCCAGCGAGGTGGTGGGCAACAAAGAGGCAGAGGAGGTCCCCCTAGAGCTAGCCATGCGCCTGGACATATGGGTCGTGCCGGGCGACCGGGCGGCTTTTCGTCGGTCAACCAGGACAAGAACTTATGGGTTCATCTCGTGCAATTCTTGAGAAAGTCTACTTTATTGCCCGCTTGCATCTTCGTCTTCTCCAAGAGGAGATGCGAAGAAAATGCAGATGCATTGAGCAACCAAGATTTCTGCACCGCTCAAGAGAAGAGCCACATCCACATGATTATCCAGAAATCAATTGCTCGTCTACGGCCAGAGGATCGAGTTCTACCACAGATTATTCGTCTGCGCGAACTCTTGAGCCGAGGTATCGCGGTACACCATGGCGGTCTCCTGCCGATTGTCAAGGAAATTGTTGAGATTCTGTTCGCTCAAACGTTGGTCAAGATTCTTTTCGCAACAGAGACCTTTGCTATGGGCCTGAATCTACCGACAAGAACTGTCGTATTTTCCGGCTATAGAAAGCATGATGGTCATTCGTTCCGAAACCTTCTCCCCGGCGAATACACCCAAATGGCTGGCAGAGCTGGCCGTCGTGGTCTTGACCCCGTTGGATCCGTCATCATCGTACCTCCTGGAAGTGTAGACGAAGCGCCTCCTGTGAGCGACCTTCAGAAGATGATACTAGACCCGCCTAGTAAGCTGCGGTCTCAGTTCAGATTGACGTACAACATGATCCTAAACCTGCTAAGAGTGGAGGCGTTGAAGATTGAGGAGATGATTAAGCGCAGCTTCTCTGAACACGCCACCCAACAACTACTCCCAGAGCATGAGAAGGCTGTCAAGGTTTCTGAAGCCGATTTGGCCAAGGTGAAACGAGAGCCATGTAAAATTTGCGATGAATCTCTAGAAGCATGTCATCAAGCTGCAATGAACTATAAACAGTTGACCCATGAACTCTACAAAGGTCTCCTAACTATACCCATTGGCAAAAAGCTATTTACACAATCACGATTGATTGTGTTCAACAAGGACGGTGTACGAACTCCAGGAATCCTATTATCAAACGGTGTCAGCACGAAAATATCGGGAGGCGAGCCAACTGTACACGTGTTCGAGATAAGGACCGAGCGCGAAACTCGCAACGAGACAGATCTGCTGCCTTTTATAGAATCATTCAGGTTCTTACTAACAGCCATGCCGCGCCAGAGAAGGTCGATGCTTTCACGAATCGTACATGTTCCACTTAGCGACGTTGAATGTCTCACGGGCAAAATCACTACTGGAATCGTGCCCGACTTCTTCGAGCAGGGAGAGTCGCGTCAGAAAGCAAAAGACCAGATGATGGCAATCTGCAAGACCTGGGATTCGGATATATGGAACGAGGTCAGCTTTGCTAAGATCAAGAACTTGCCGTTGCAGGAGATCATCGGGAAGCGCCGACAGGAAGAGGCTACCATTAAAGTTACCGCGACTACTTATTGTCGGAACTTTTTGAAGCACGTAAGTCGTTCTATCAATATATTTCAGGTGTGATACGGGTACTAAACAGACTATAGTTCGCCATGTGTCATGATCAGTGGCTTATCAAGGAACATATTTCATCTCTTCGTTCAGCGCTCGCCGATCAAAACCTCCAGTTATTACCAGATTATGAGCAGCGTATCCAAGTCCTAAAAGACCTTTCGTTCATTGACGACGATACACGCATCCAACTCAAAGGCAAAGTCGCATGCGAGATCCACTCAGCCGATGAGCTCGTCCTCACGGAACTTATCCTCGACAACGTCCTCGCAGACTACGAACCAGCAGAAATCGCCGCTCTGCTCTCGGCCTTCGTGTTCCAGGAGAAAACCGAATCAGTGCCCAACCTCACGGGCAGCCTCGAGCGCGGCATGAAGACAATCATCGAGATCAGCGAAAAGGTCAACACGGTGCAGACGGACCGGCAGGTGATCCAGAGCGCGGAGGACAGCAACGACTTCGTGTCGCGGCCGCGGTTCGGGCTCATGGAGGTGGTGTACGAGTGGGCGCGCGGGATGAGCTTCAAGAACATCACGGACCTGACGGACGTGCTGGAGGGCACGATCGTGCGGACGATCACGCGCCTCGACGAGACGTGTCGCGAGGTCAAGAACGCGGCGAGGATCATTGGAGACCCGGAGCTGTACCAGAAGATGCAGACTGCGCAGGAGATGATCAAGAGGGATATCACGGCCGTGGCTAGTTTGTATATGTAGTTTGGGCGTCTGTCTACGTGTTGTTCATGGTTTCTAACCTTACCATGTATCTAGTCAGGGACCAAGGGATATGATAAGGGAGGTTGTGCGTGTTGCAGTTGCTATCGCATTTAAGGACTCGGAAAATTCATGATGGAGGGTATGATCATGAGATGAGATGAACGGTATAATGATGTTACTATGAATCAGACTTGCAATTTGGTACATTCCTATCATTTTTTTCATGTGATTGGTGAGTTTCTGTCTATTTCTAGTAATAGAATAACACCTGGCATGTGTTTTTCAAGGAGCGACGACTTCCTAATCTGAGGTAGGTTAGGGGTGGGAGTGGTAATTACCCCTTTTTGGTATATGAGTCTTTTTATGAGTTATAGTTCAGAAGTAAAGTTCACTATAAAGTTGAGCAGATATTAAGAAACTTTGAACTCATGAGCAGAGTTTAATGTATGAGCAGTATATTAATGTTGGATCAACGTCACGGGTCTCATTGAGTGTATATACCTGATTAGAGGCACTTAGTATGTATTATGAAATAGTCAAGCTATACAAATGTCTATATGAAGAGATAGAAACTATACATCTTGATTACAAAGAATCCAATACCCAGAGAAACACTGAGTCCTTCTCCTTAAGATACGTACTTGCGTATTATAGGTCTCATGAGCGGGTTATAAGTTCATTCCCAAAGTCAACATAAAAGTTGCTCAGGATTAGAAATAGAAGGAAGGCGCTTATAGCTCAGACATGTCTACCTTATTAACAGTATAACCAGCGTATTATTGATTCTTCTCTTTGTCAATATCTTTCATATTCTTCTACTTTTTACAAGTCAATCTCGGTAAACTCTCCCAGTTCTATTGATTCCATTCAAGAACCCTTTTAATCAACGTCCAACTTCAGCTAGAAGTCAATGAGCTGCATGAAATCTCCTAAGAACACCGCCAAGATGTTCGAGAATCATAACACAACGGAACAGATTCAGCTGCGGACCCTATTCCACATCCTCAGACAATTCAGGTTCTTTGGAGATTCTCATCTGGCGATCATACCAATCATACCTACTATCCCAGCCATTAGACTAGTAGCCCCTTTGTTCCATGGGGGGGGGCCGCTTCCTAATTTGCACGCATCCACGATCAAAGGAATGGTGGAGTTATTCCCGCTTGATACAAACCAATTGAGATCGAGAGATCTGCTTGGTCCCAGCTATTGCGCGCATTGCCCTACGACCTGCATGACAAAGACTCAGAAAACCGGAACATATCTGCTCGACATACTCGAAGGCACGGACACCTACTTGGCAGCATTGCCTATCAAGGGCTGGGAGGAAAAGTTAATAAGCAGTCGGGATCTAGGAAGCATAATGAAGCTCCTAAACACATGAGCTAGTCAATCTTCTACATGTTTTCACATCATCTCTAAAGTCATGCATGACCCTTTCATTCCTGGATCTCACCGAAGTCATTGGCGAGACGTCCCGCGACACTGGTACCTATGGGATAGGGATACCTGGAGCTTAGACAGTTCTTCTCAGCATTGACCCCAAGGAAGGGTTGGAAAGCTGTCAATACTTTTCCAGAAATGCTTTCTAGAAGGTACTCGCCAAAGCCGACGAATTCTTTCGAGAATTACATAAGAGGTCAAAGGAGGACTTCCTAGCCGGAACAATTATATGGCTAGAGAAATTGGCGGCAACGAAGGAGAAGATACCTACACCGTTGTGTGGACGCCAAGAAGTCTTTCATCGGCGGCTTATACAAGAGACGACATGAGCCGCCGTAGCTCACTTTCCCCAGGCGAAGACCTGATCTCGTGAGCTACCGATTCTTCTCATGGCCCTAGTCTCCTTCAGTTACAACCATATTTTCCTCTTCAAGACCATAGAGTAAACAGGCAAGGAGGAAAACCTGTATTAGAATATCTTGTGAGATGGAAGGGCTACTCAGCGGCAGATGACTTGTGGTATCCCAGAGAGCTTTTATTACAGAACGCGATGGAGTTACTCGACGCTTACAACCGTAATCATCTAATGGCAATCAAAAAGTTAAAAGCAAAATATAGTTTAGAAAAAACGTCACTATCGATCCCTAAAGATAACGCCGCTACTACTACGTTTACAACTCAAGCTATAATAGCACTAATTTCTCCCGCAACAGCCCCAACAACATCAACGCAACCAAAAGTTGCAATATCGCCAAAGATAAACATATATATTCCCCTAAAGATACGTAAAGACTACGAGAGAGATCAACGAGGATGTTGATATTTTTCGCCGCGTCGGCGGCAGTTGATGAGGAATACAATCATATATATTCAAAGGAAGGAGCCACCATAATACATAGCTACCATACAAGGTAGCATTCTTCAGGATCTCTAAGATCCTGTTAAAACTTAGAAGAATCAACCATTCTATTCACTCTTCATTTGTCTATTAATGATCCCCTATCCCTAATTTTATGGTGTTTTTCGGCTTGACTGCAGTTGCAGCAGAGCGCCGGCGCAATGTTCCTACAAGAGCATTATTATTAACCTTTATATTACTGGGCAGTAAGGTCTCCCCTTACCACGGCCGCATGTGGTGTGTCCTAAAGTACCATTCACCAGGTACATATGTCCAATATACATCTTACTGCCATGGTATATTTCCCGATGCATCCAACGACATGAGTTCAGTCTCAAGAACGTCTTAACAACGACGTGGTAAGAAAAATGCGACCCATATAGAGGAGTCGGTTCGCTGTTGGCCTTAAGGGAAACAGGTCAATGGTCCGAGTCTCAGATTTCGGAATGACCTCCGACCAAAATCAAGGTATCTATATTGACGACATGCGCGAGACTACACGGTCACATGCAGCTACAATGAGTGACGAGCGAAGTTGGAAGGCTAGCCCATCAGAGCTCCGTTACCAACAGTTTCACGAATCCAAGCCGTCCGCTCGCGACGTGATGGGAGGGACTTTCGGGTTGATGATTAATGATGTTAGAAAGACTGGTGGTGAGCGCTGCGACGGAGAAGTAATGACGCAGGCTTGAAGGACGGAGTACACGATAAACAGGATACTTCCGTTCAGATCTTGATTTGACAGTGGTTGGGACAAACGACATCATGGCTATCGGAAAGGAGACGCATTGGAGATCGGTTTAGTTGTTCGTCTAGCAGGTTAAGGCGCAACTGTCGGAGAGCGCTTGGCAGAACGGCAAAAGCTTGGCAGAGCACAAAGGCAGGAACGTTGGCAGGAACGTTAGCTTGAAGAGCTATTGATATTCTTGTAGTCAAGTAACCATACCATAGCTAGAACTTAAGAGAAACAACAATATACGAGACTTCAGACTTCACAGCAACGAACGAACCCAACTTGGACGGAATAGATCACGGTGACGTTTCCGCAACTTCTTCGAGGACGTGCGCAGCTTTGGCGGACAGGAATGTTGAGTGAGGAGGACAAGGGAAAGGCGGGAGGGTTCATAAAAAATAATACGATGATATTACCACCCTTATGGTCAATTCAATCATACATCAACGTGAAACCATGCGAACATATGATAACGAGGATACTCAGCAATGTGGTATGTAGGTAGGCAACACGCAGGAATTGAACATTGTCTATAACTTCAACCCAACCCACGAGTCCCTTTAACCTCGCTCGTCAAAGAGCGAAGAACATGACATCCATCTCTAGTCCCCGCAAACTAATAAGCGGTGCTATTCGCCCCAAGATAAATATGTTATGAAAATCCGGAACGCCAGCCCCGTCCCTTATGTCGTGATAATGCTAGGTAATCAAAGTTCTGCCGTGCTGAGCCAACCCCATGTCAACTTCGCGCCCTCTACGTCTGCCACGCGTATGTGCTTTACTCACATCGCCGGCTGCGCGACTCTGTCATCCTCGTCCCCACCATTCCCATCTCCCCCCTCGCCACTACCATCCCCACCACCACTGCCGCCGCCACCGCCGCGAGCCCCAGCCTTCTAAGCCCTAAGAGCCCTCAGCCTCTGCTGCAGCGCGTCCTCCTCCTCGGCGGTGGGCTCCGCGGCGGCGGGCAGCGCGGCGGGCTCGGCCTTGCTGGGCTGGGCGGCGTTGAGCTGGGAGTTGAGCTGGACGCCGGCGTCGTCGGCGAGCTTGCCGAGGAGCTCGTGCACGGCCTCTTCCGACACCTGCTGGCTCGTCGTCTGCGAGATGGCGTCTTGGTAGATGCCGTTGTTGACGGCGTATTCCTCGTTTTGTTGTTTGAATTGCTCGAGGGTTAGGAGGGTCTGGGGATGGGTTTTATGTTAGCGTTAGCATCGGCGTAAGATGGTTTTGGGCAATAAGAATCGTAGATAATAGATGATATATTATAGATGATAATAGAAGACGTACGCGCTCGGGGTTCATGTTCCGCTGGGCGGCGGTCATGGTGCGCGAGGACTGGCTCATCATGTGCGTCATGCGGTTCATCGCGTTGTTCGCCTGGATCTGCGACACGCTGAGCTCGGCCATGTCGGCCATCTGGTCCATCTGCTGGGCGAGGGCCTGCTTCGAGAGCAGCACCTTGGCCTTCTGGTACGCCTTCGCCGTGTCACCCTTCTTCAGCAGTTCCTGGATCTGCTTCTTCAGGAGCGGGTCCTGCTTCGCGGCTTTCTGGGCCTCGCGGCGGGCTTGCTTGGCTTGGAACTGTTGGGGATGACGGCGTCAGTGACGATGTGAGGGGTTGGAAGGGGATGGGGAGCGGCATACGCGAGCCTGGAATTCGACTTGCATGTCGCGGGCCATTTGTCGGTTCGACATCTTGTCGGATTGGGGCGATAAGCGTGAGGTCCGCGGATTAATGATAATGAGCCGGAGGATGGCTCGATGGACGGAGGGCCGATGGTGGACTCGATCGAATATGCGTTCAATTAGCCGGATAATAGGGAAATCGTTGCAAAGGTCGTCGTCGTTAGGAAAGATGCGGAATAGAGTTGCGGTTCGGTGTTCTGGCCCAGTCGGCAGCCGGGCATTTCTTGGTGGGGCGAAGTTTAAACGCCTCTCTCTGACGAATGACGCAGTTCGGTGGGTTTTTTTGCCAAGGCTCAAGGTTCGCCGCGGTAGGCAACGCTCAAGCCACACACATTTCCCCATATTTTAGCCACGTCTTTATCGATAAGACACTGTACTTAGCACAGTCAGCAGTTAGCACAGACATGCATAAACGTTATTAAAGGGGTGTGATGTTTCATAATGGTATCCAATCATGAACATTAAATGTGTTCATGACTGCTGATCAAGGAGATCTTCTTTTCCAACTGTTTGATGATATTTCTACTGTTCGAATGATATGTTCCATTGTAAGAAACAAACATGATTTTCCGGATAGCCCCTTGACCCCGTGTTTGGGTAGACAGGGTCGAGCGTTCTCAAATTGTTCACCAGCTAATCAGATATGCAAATATGCTGCAAGGACCGAATTTTTCGCTTACTATGTACTCTAGGAGGAAGGGAGATGCAGGAATGTCCCTTCAATAATATAGGCAGATAGGTAGGTATGTTACTACACTGCCTGGGTATCTTTCTTTTCTCTTGCCAATTGACGCTGCTTGAAGTATCAGTGAGAAAGAGTAAGTTCTATCAAGAGCATCGAATTACGAATGGATGACGAGTTGCATGACAGAATGATATGTTAAGCCTGCATTGTTAGAGAAATAGTCAAGTTTAAGACAAGTCAAAGCCTGCCCTAATCAATGTAACATTCGGTATAGTTATTTTCGTAATACGCCTAAGCTGAAATACTGATTTAGCATTAAGTTTAGCATCTGTTATGCGAGACGGCAATATTTGAGGATTCGTAGGCTATCTACGATTCAATTTATGCGAGGAGGCCGCTGTCGTACCTAGAGCAGCTGAGATAGGCTAGCGAATGCCGGACTGGTCGTTGAATACGCCGGCGCGATTGGATCGTCGTAAGATTTCGAGGGTACGATGTACCTGGTCAGCCCTAGAACCTGACGTGAGGCCATAGAATAATATTGGAACGTAGAAGAACGAGATAGGCAATTTAGTGCATATCCTGCTCTCTAGTGAGTAAATGCTCGACATCATCGAATTGTCAGCTTCATCATCACTAAAACGATCGCTCTATTGCGTGATATTCATTCGAATTCATTTACTCGTTCATTATCTGTTGTCTGAAGTGCACTTTATGATGGCGAATTAGCATCGTATTCTCATCCGTATTGGCGTATTAACGTGCGTAATCTTGGGGGCCTCGTGTTCAAATATGGGGACTTCGCTTGAGTAGGCCGAGTTGCCCTTGTCGGAGACGGGAGCAAAGAAGAAAAGGGGGCGGACCGGAGAATAACCTTGGCGCTCGGGACTAGCCATTCGATAGGGGGCTTAGGGGGCTAGAACATTAGGTCCGCCCACAATTTCCTGAAACAGGCGTCGTGTAGGACCCATACATTCAGCACTCCGTCGCCTGCCTCGTCTTGACTCTTCGGTCGTTTGATTTTGAGACGATTCGTACGTGCGCTAGCCATCATGAATGTCATAGCATAGACTTACCTCGGAAGGCAGGTTGGTATGGCCGTTGGCTTGGTTGATGGGATAGTACGTAAACAAGATTATAAGCGAAAGCAGGTAGGGAGGCGATGTGGCGATGTCTTTCCTCCAATCAAGGGGCTGAATGAATTCAATATTGTCCATCAATTGGAGAGATGCAGCACGTGCTCCCTATTGTAGGCACCGAGATAGCTATTGTGTAGGGAGTATACCACCTACCAATGTCGCTAGGTGATTATCAAATGCGTATGACCACTACTCACCTTTTCACCTTGCCCTAAATTAGCTAATACTTAGAGGCGTGACACAGAAAGTGCATGAATATGTTGCGCCTCCATCTAGATCTGCTGATTCATTGAGCCGGATTTCGCGGGGAAGATTGCGCACTCGATGCAACGTTCGGATGGCCCGCGATCCACCGTGCTCGCGGAACTTCGGCTGCTCAATTTGAAGCGGAAGGTGTTTGGATTTGTGGACTTCGAGAGGAACGGATGGGAAGCAGGGAAGGTCTGAGAGATCCCCTTTACATAAACAGTGTTTCATTGCGCGACGAATCACAGACAGGCTTGGCCGAGAAAGGTTGGTGGTTTGTCTGTGCATATGTCGAGAGGGATTGATCTGATAAAATTTCATCTTTCTGAGATTCGCGCAATATTTTCACATGGCACAGGAATCCTCCTTCATCAGCCAGTGATTTCAGGTTAAGACCAACATCGCACGATGATACCTAGAATGACCTAATTTGATGCGGGTTGGCGGCTTCGAGCGAGGCTGAGTGGACGGCAAGTACGGCGTAAGACCTAACTGATATTTTAGCATAGTACAATACAGCACCGCTGAAATCATAAAATCAGCCCTAGTGACATTAATAGACGAGTGCCGTATCGTGCGAGACGGCTGATTCCAGCGAAATCCTTATTGGCTGGCTCGTTGGTTTCGTTTTTGAATGTCGACATCAACCCTGCGCAAAATCAGCGTCGATCAAGGAGCCAAGAGAATGCTTTGAGATAACCTCCAAGGTGAGATTGATCAACCGGCTCATCGTGAATGGAGTGGGGTTCTCTATGGCAATGATAATACTAGTTTCCGAGATTGGTAGCTATGATTTGCAGCTCACTGAATCTGATAGTCGAAATCTTCCAAGGTTCTATTCGGTCACGGTAGTTTGCTACAGAATAGGTAAGACGATAAGGTCAGATTATTGTCCTCCCTAATTCAGTATGTGAAATATGCGTACATGTACGCATGAGGACAATTTTACCGAGTCCGCCCCGTAGCGAAGTAACAAACCTTTGAATGATTGTAATTGAAGCCAGTCTCATGCTGTAACAAGCCATATCGAGGCTTGAAGATCGAGCTATGTGAGATTATAGTGAGAATAAGATGGTTGGCAACTATCCGAATTGTGCATTTGTGATGACCGAATTAAGAAGCAAACTGCCTCGAAGGATCAGGGGCTTCTAGAACGACTCTGAACATCCCGGGTTGACTTATACAAGAGGTACGTAGGTCAAGCAAACATGGGTTAATCTAGGTAAAATGTAATTCAAGCATCAATTCGAACCTAACGATCTTGAATCATGTCGGTGATCGAAAGGAGTGAGAAAATTTTAGGTTGGTGATGGCTTCATTGCCGCTCTTGATGTATGTGCCGCATATTCCTACACCAACAAGTCGACCGCCATTAGATGAAAAGGATGACACGCGACTAAGGATTGCCGTCTCGCTAGCAACAATTCCGTTTCTGCAATCTTATATTACTAACCGCAGAGTTTGGCTCTTCCCCAGATTCCGTCAGGACAATGCGGACGGCTTCGGCAGTCCTTCCGCCGCAGCTGGCCGACCACTTTGGCTCGGCAGCAATACAGGCTAATATCCCAAGCACTGATTAATTGCGGATAGATTATTTCTATACTCTCCCTTTCCTTCTCGGAGACTAATTAAGTTCTGTCTTGCCGTAAACAGGTCAAAGGGATTATTGCGTTGACAAATAGCGTGTGTTCCTGATTCGCCCTCGTTGGAATTTGGGTGTTAGAAACTAAATTTTCCTTGCTTGGTATTTGAATTTGAATTTTGGACAATAGAAACCCGGTTCATGATACCAACATAGATAATTCTATACAATCTAGGCGTCATACAAAGGCTCTCCAACATCAGACGAATGTGAAGCCTATTCCAACAGAATCCTAAAGGTTAATTTAACGATGATGATGGTGATGGCGCGATTGAGATCGTACGTCATGAATCCTTCCGTTTTACGACAGCTTAGTTAGTTTAGAAGGTGAAGCTTCTCAGCGAGGATATGCTGGGCATGCAAGTCAGCGGTGGGCTGACATAGTTGGCTGACGGACGTGTCCTGCGAGTCCAGCTCACTGGGTGGGTTGGTGGATTGGTGGATTATTCCAGCTGCTAATAATAACCACCGAAAGCCTTGGGGCGTTTCCAAATTGGCCTCTGTCTCCGCTGATCGTATCGAAAAGATAGAGGCTGAGGATCTCTAATCAGGGGGTCCGGCCACTAGAATGTCGCCATGGAATAGTTCGAATGCATTAAACCCCCTATTTGTAGCAGCATGAGTTAACGCAATAATCCACCTAAAATGGATAGACATAGTTTTGTTGGTATCCTGAGTATCCATGTATCCATAGATAGGGACATATTCTGCTTAGAATAGGCAATGATAGATAATTGTATGTACTAAGGAATGTAGTAAGAGTTGTTGGCCCAATCGGCAAGTTTGTCGAGTGGTAAAGTCAGTGGTTAGGTCAATTGATTAATCCAATAAACATGAATGTTACCAGACTTCGGTTATACAATTTGTTGGCCTCGTTGGAATTGCTAGCCATGGTATTGCCGGGCCGGTTGATGGAGCTGGGAGTTTATTTTATTAGATGGAAGTCGGGGGAAGAGGGAAGACGTTCTAAGCAGTCTGGCAGTGTTGCAAGATTGAGAAAGTGCACAGGCACAATGGGCGAATAGCACCGGATAACAGGGAAGTTCTCATTCGTCTCGGTGGTTTGGTGCCACAAGATCCACTTGCCTAGTTGAGATCCATCTACCCCTGACACTTCCTCCATCCCTTCTCCAAGAAGTCTCCCTAGCAAGGGTGGTACGTACATCCATGGGTGTATGGGGTTCTTTTCCTTGGCCCCACCGGTGGCTGACACACAAGCACACCTAAGACCCAGACAGGGGGGACGGAGCGGAAGTTGCTGCCTCAGGCATTTCCAGGCTCCTAAATTTATCAGGACACGTTGAACATAAAGAGTCGTTCTTGTCTCCCGTCCTTCCCATCACACTTCGATTAGTCCAAGCACCAATCCATCGACCACCAATCAAGGAAAGACAAGACGGCCACTACATATACTAGGACTTTCGCTTTTAGGCCACCGTGTCCTTTATACTTTCAACTTGTTACACTCACCTACTCACCTGACTCAACACCTAGAGCCTTGACTCATTGATCCTTGTCTCAGCTATACCATGCGTTGGCAAGGGTGATCTTGCTGCTGTTTATTTGTATTGAGGAATTAGGACGGCACCTCTTTACTTTCAGCTCCATTCATTTCTCTTCTATCGGTTACGCCATTGAAGCTTACCAAAGCTACAAAACAACAGCTAAATCCGAAGCAAGCTGCTACTTATCAGCAGCAGCCTTGCATCTAGAAGAAACCAAGTCCTCCTAACAAACCATACACCCAGACACCATACTACAGAGACTCAGAATAAACAAAAAATGGATAACTGGGAATCACAACAAACTGCGACTGCGACTTCGACTCCTCAAGTCAAGTTCGAGGCTTCTCCCGCCGAGTCACTAATGTCTGTCCCTGGCGACATGTATCCCTCCCTCTTCGCCGCCTCCTCCACGTTAAACTCATTGGAGAGTGCTATGACTCCTCAGTCATTCACAGAAGAGAAGTCGGTAGCCCCGACCAGCACTGAGGCTACACCTTCTCCGGCGCCTGAGAACGCCGAGAAGAAGCCGACTAAGAAGAGGAAGTCATGGGGTCAAGTCCTCCCAGAGCCTAAGACTAACCTACCTCCAAGGTACGACTAATTCACATGTGCATCGATGGAGTATTGGTCCAACTAACGAGTACAACAGAAAGCGAGCTAAGACCGAAGATGAGAAGGAGCAACGACGAGTTGAGCGTGTCCTTCGAAACCGTCGCGCTGCTCAATCTTCCCGGGAACGTAAGCGGCAAGAGGTGGAAGCCTTGGAACAACGAAACCAACAATTAGAAGAATTACTGCGAAACCAGCAGAAGACGAATGAGATGTTGATGGATGAATTGAACAAGCTTCGACGGGGCAACGGTGTTAGCCGAAGCTCGTCCCCACTTGACGCATTCCAGCCTTCTCCCTTAACTTTATCACAGCCTTTATTTGGCTCATCTCAGAATGGCCAGGCTGAAGACAAGCCGGGTATGATGAACGATTTCATCCTCATGCCCGAGCAGGACGGCACCGTCGACCCTGCCTCCCTTTCACCCGAAATTACACCCGTAGCCGATGACAACCTTGATGAATCGTCGACGACTGAAAAGGTCGCGACGGCGCCCGCCTCCGAGTCTTCCACAGACGCGACACAACATCCAGCAGCGGTGTTGTGCGACCTGCAGTGTCCGTCAGTGGAAGTTCCTCGGTCGTGGGTAGCCTCGCGACAACCGTCGCCTCCAGCGCTGTCACTCTACCTGCAGCTTCAAACGCTGCTGATAGCCTCTTCGGCGATGCTTTCAGCCTTTCGGCACCCTTTGACGTTGATTCGTGGGGCACTCAAGGCCAATTTAGTCCTTCATCCGACCCCCTCAATTTTGAGTACAATAATCTGGCTAGTAACTCGACCCCCCAATTTCCGGAATTCGACTTCGACCAGTTCCTCAGCACCGACGACGTCAGCGGCGCAGCTCCAGGCGCAACCGCGGGAAGCGACTCGGTCGCCCAAGACAACTCGGAACCATCTTTCAGCCTCTTCGACTCTGAGAATCAAATCTCTTCAGAAGCTCTTAACCAGCAGCCCCATCTTGGCGCGTCCGCTCAAGGATGCGACGATGGAGTTATTGCGGTTGGTGTCTGAGAAGGGACGCGATGACCGGGTCGAGGAGCTGGCATTTGGATCCCCGGGTATCAAGGGCGATCGTAGCCGTGGACCGCAGACGTGGCCAGACGGCACCAGCTTACCGTCGCGAGAGGTATTGCTCACCCTGATGTGGGCAATCACTGTCGAAGAACGGAAATTTACTAGTAGTACTATAGAGGGGGAGGCGACTATAGCCTCCTCGCCGAGTTCCCGACCCGGATTATCAAGCGTCCTAGGACAACAGACACCACCAGTCAAACCAAATTTTGTATTATCGGTGATATCAAAAGGGGAAAGAGACATGACCACGGAATTGGGTAGCGGAAACCGGATAAGGCTTTCCCCATAAGGAGTTCCGGATCAAAACGGCAATGGACACACAGGCAGGCGTCACAGGAGCGGTTGCATGATGTGTGTGGGTTTGATATGGAAGCTGAGCTTGTATCATTACTATGTTATGAATTTGAGAGTCTTGTGCTTTCACCTATCGCCTTGTGATATGCTGTGATGCGATGTCGTGATTGTTCGTAAGCCTAATGAGCATTCTTAGCCGGGAATCCCGAACACCGTCGTAATTGGATAGAAGCCAATGTCTGCCTACGTAGTAAGCAGGCACCTATCTTGAGTGGTCACAATAGGCAGCAACAATATTCCCTTAAGTTTTGATTATTAATTTTAGGTAGTTTAGTGAGGCTACGCAATTCTTGATCAGAAATGACAGCAACCATTCATCTTTGCGACCCTACGTTGATGTCCTAATTAATTACTCATCAAATAGCGTCGTACAAGTTACCCCTTTTTATGATGAAGAGGTTACTCATCCACAAACACGAGAATACCACTCTTTATAAACTTGGCGATGCCGACGGCATTCTAGATTGTGAAGGCTAGAACTTTACGATTCTTGGCACTGATGAGGCTCATCCCAAATACGTATGACCCTGCATTAGTACCCTGCATTAGTATTACTTAAAATATCCATGAAGCGATCTAGAACCCAACTGTCGGAATTCATGCGTTAAATCTCAAAGTGGATCTCAACGTGCATTCTACTTACACAGGATTTACCTAAACAATTCACACAAGTCACATTTGACGAATATTCAGACAAACAATTTTTTGTAACAAATATATTCTACCCCTTGGACGGGCAGTCTCGGTTGGTTCCATTCAGTGTCTCTATGGAGGCTCTTAAAAGACGAGCCGGTAACCAGTCTCCGATACGGTACAATCAACGTACTGGGTATCTCTCTCTCTCTCATCTCCGTTTTGCTCTAAAATGTTGTATATGCCCATCGAGTTTTTCGTTTCTCGTGTGGCCCAAAATCTCTGTCTAGGTTGACGACTGTCTATGCGCGCTGCGCGGTTTCTCGTGATTGACTTGGATCGGATCGGATCGTGATGATTCCTGATTTCTTCTAACGACGAATTGCTGAGTTGGCTTGACTTTGCTACAAGGCGGCGCCGTCTAGGCTGTCCCCCTGAGCGTTGTTGATACCCGGATTGGCTCTGGTGGTTTTGCTTGCGTCCCGCGCGAGCTTTGTTCGCAGTGTGTGCGTTCGTGGCTTGGTTTTCTCTCTGCGTCGTTCGAGAGCGGTGAAGGCTTTGTGGAAGCTTGCTGTCCCCCATTGTGCAGTGACTGACTTTGACTTGACTTGGTTCGACTCATCCCAACGTCAAGTGGAGCGGGTAAGCGAACGTAAACTGGGTCGCAGTGATTGGAGTTAAGTACACCGGAGTAAACAGTAGTACTTTAAGTGACTTTTGACCTATGCCTGTTGGCATATCATTTACGTGGCGTAGTCCCATTCGACTTGGACGCGGCCGGCGGACAGATCGGCGAGCTCGGTGAAGACGGCGGTGCTGACGTCGATGCTGTCGTCGGAGCAGCCCATGCACTTGTCGACGACCTTGGCGGTCGTGGTCTTGCCGTTGTACGTGATCTGGATGGTCTTACCGCAGGCGTTGGGGTCGCTCGTGAACTGGGCGGGGGCGAGCGCGACGATGTGGTCGGAGCTCGAGCTCTGCTCGCCGCACGAGCCGAGGCCGGGCTGGTAGTAGGTCAGGTCGCCGTTGAAGGCGAGCGCGTAGCCGACGGTCATGGAAAGGGCGGCGACGATCTTGGTGACGGACATCATTTTGGCGGTTTTTGTTTGTTTTTGGACGGAGAATTTAGTAGTAGTTCTTGGGAAGGGAGAGATAAGTATGGATCTTTGATAGTCCCGTGAAAATCTAAAGAGATTGGTGTGAAAAAATTGGTGGTTCGACGACGAATTTTCTGGTCTGTCTGTCGATAAGGATTGTTTTAGGGCAGGCGTTCTCGAGGAGAGCGGATGTCAGTTCTGACAAGGAAGGGCAGCAGGCTAAAGAATGCCTTGCTAGTATAGTCCAAAGATTGGAGTATAGAGATTGAATAGAAGTAATGAAGGTTGACGAGAGAAGGAGAAAAAACGAGATAAGTTGAAGCCAGTCCAGTCCATCTTATATACCCATCTCGACAAGCCGGAACTCTCATTTCTCCCTCACCTCTCCTAAGAGAGAGAATGCGGTGCTAACACGCCACCAATACCTCATAATGTCCAAGCGAGTGACTAGGGAGTGGTAGGGCGAGAGGTTTGAATCATGATATCGATCTAGCTGGGTGTTTAGTTGAAACATCAAACATACCTGCCATCGACGACGGCCCGTACGCTACGCAGTCTGACATCGCCAATGCCGCGTGGAGAACATGGATTAGCGTATTCACCTCTATGAACGGACGAGTCAGCATCATCCTCGGTGCGGGACCGGTTCATGCCTCGTCGGCTTAGCGCCAACCAATTGGCGTGGAGCCTCTAGCGAGTCAAGCATAACTGGGGTATCTATTACGACTACATTTAATAACATGGAGGCTCCCTAAAAGCCTTGGGGACTCGGAACCTCCGTGATCATATTTGAAACGGCCGGTCTGAAAATATCTTCGGCCCTTCCGTAACGGCTCTGTGGGGGAGTGTAGGGTCTTCCCGTAGTCCCGTACTTGACATTTGTCACATCGACCGCGATGGCGACCATTGACCATGTGGCCTTGGAAATGGAGTTCGCTTATTCCTAGTACGGGGTAATAAGGCAAGGTTTTAAGAGGCTTGGGTGGTGGTGTCTCGATGCCGAGAAGTCGTAGCCCTTCGCGACCATCGCCGCATGGATACATCCGCAACTAAATGCTATACTTAGTATATTAATTATATATTAGATGGTAATATAAAATTAGCCCCATGAGCTTATCACGACTCGTTTAGTGTGTATTCGTTGTCACTTGCGTATTTGTTCTTAGGGGTGTTCTGGATTTGATGTAGATAGGGAATAATGATTTCCTCACTTGGACTAAGTGGGACGCGGTATGAACAGGCATTCTAGGACACGTCGTCTTAGAAGACTTGGAAAACTACCGTTGAGATGGGTATACTCATAGATAGAGTACGTGGCATCTGGGCAGGGATGCGTACTTATATAAGAGATTCCCTCGACACTCATACCGCATCTTCCAGCAAACTGCCCTATCCCTCCAATCAATTCTGAATGGGTCTAATACCTACCCGTAGAATCAGAAACGAGTTCATCAAAAAAGCTTTTCAAGTGTCACAATACCTAACATTCATCCATAGAATCTTATTTGAATCGTCGATATTACTTAAAATAGACCTAATAACAATGATACTCATAATAATATATAAGAATGTTAACACAAAATTCGACCCTTGTCCCTACAAACAGAAACCTCAAGCGAAGCCGGTGCTAACCAACCAGCTCACATCGTCGTTAAACGAAGTAGTAGCGTCAAACGTCTGCACGCCACCATTGCTCGCAGCATAGCCCACGTTGGAGTAGTGCCGGAAATACCGAGTCGGGTATCCCCAAGAGCGGATCGAGTTGCCCTGGCCGTTGAGGCCGGCCTGCGGGCAGAACGTCGCGTCCTCGTTGAACTGCTTGGTGCCGTCGCTGGCGCCGACCTGCAGCGCGAAGTTGTAGTGGCGGATGTAGCTGCCGGGGGTATCGACGGACTCGAAGGAGACGCAGCCGCTGTTGCCGAGCCCCGTGCGCACCGTCCAGCTGGCCTGCTGCTGCAGCGCCGTCGTGCTCGACGACGTGACGACCTGCGTGTTGACCGTCGACCCCGTGTGCGCCAGGTAGCGCGTCGTGTAGCCGGGCGTGGTGGCCTGGAACTTGACGGACGAGCCGACGGCGAGCGCGGGCCCGCTGACCAGCGACGTGGTGGCGTACTTGGCCGCGACGATGTTGGCCTGCACCGAGCTCTCGGTCGCGTCGGACGGGTAGCCGTCCGTCATCGCGCCCTCGTAGAAGGTGCCCTGCGCGCCGTTGCTGTTGTCGCCGCCGATGCCGAGGATGATGGCGCCCTCCTCGTGCATCGGGTTGTAGCCGGACGGGCGCGCGCCGCTGTAGTACGTCGCCAGCGCCCCCGACGCCGCGTTCCCGCCGTGAATCGCCCACTGGTTCGGCTCGCCCTTGACGGCCGCCGTGACGAAGCGGTACGCGATCGACGGGTCCGCCGCGTTCTCGCCCGCGCTGGACCCGGAGAACAGCCCGTTCTCGAGGTCGGCCATGACCCACGGCCCGCTGCCGGCGCCCGTGCCCCAGACGGTGCAGTCGCCGTAGTAGATGGCCTCCATGTGGGCGTCGCCCGTGTCCGTGTTGCTGACCTCGGCGTTGCCGTAGTCGAAGCAGCACTCGCCGTTGTAGTGCGTGCCGTCCAGCACCGCGTACATGCCCTCCGACCCGTCGCCCGTCGCCACGCCCGTGGTCGCGTCGTTGCGGTACCCGGTCCCCGGCGAGACGAAGACGCCGTACGCTTTCTGCCCGTTCAGGGTGACCGGGGCGCCGGTCGCGCTGGCGAGGTTGTCGTAGCCGTTAGTATCCGGGCCGCTGAAGCCTCCCGGCGGCGCCTGGGTGAGGTGGTTGCCGTTGCCGGACTGGTCGTAGATGATGGTTATGAGGCAGGTCGTGTTGGCGCAGAAGGTGTCTTGGGCGGCGGCGTTGGCGACACCGCCCGCGGACAGCGGCGAGATGGTGGTCGTGGCGCTGTCGGACCCGCGTTGTACCTGGTAGAGTGCACCGGAGTAGGCGCTGTACAGGGCGCGGGTGGTACTGTGCGCAGCGACGCAGGGGGTACCGCCGGAGGAGTAGATGTCGCAGGGCCCGGCGGCGACAAGGGAGCTCGAGGCAACAAGGCCAAGAGCGCGTTGGCGGCTTCGTCTGGAGAACATGTTGAGGCTCTTTTACTGGGCACGTCTGTGATGAGAAACAAGCTCAAGCGGACCACCTCAGCAGAACAGCAACATCGTGGGCTTTTAAACCCGCGACGCGGCTGGCCAGACTTGTCCTCATCTTGGCACGGCCCCGGTAGCATTCCATTGTTTACGTCGACCGTCTTGACGCTATTCACGGGGAAACCCCACCACCAAATGCCTGACCCCTCATCAGTTGACATGCGTTTTCTAGACTCGAGGTAGCATGCAATGCGGCAGTGGCTGATATTTCCTCCAATGACAGATCGGGCGGATCTGCTGATGCTACGTCGACCTGCGCTTTTGCGGGCTGCGGCTTACGTCACCGCCGACGCGCTCAGGCGTTCCACGAATAGACGATCGGCGCTTATAACACGGAAAAAACATAAATCCCTTGAAGCTGCCCCCTTAAATCTGCCTGGGGAGGGTGTCATTTATGGAGGATTCAGCGATGACAAAGGTCCCAGCTAAAGTCCAGCTGCCGGTTGATGCCGAGGTTAGCAATTCTCGAGTTGCTATTTGTGAAAACCTCGTATAATTAAGCGCTCTCCATAAGACGACTTCATTCTCAAAGTGCCAATCTCAGGTAAATGCGGCTTGCGGGTAGTTTGCTAATCATTCACAGTTCCGAGCCCATCTCACGTTAAAAAGTTATATCCATTTGAAATAAGAATTATATTAACATTAACTACTTCCGCTTTAGAATTGAAGTGCTTGATCATAGCTTCTCGTGATGTTGTTCTCAACGAAACACTCTTATTTTTCGTCAACAGCTGATCGGAAACACCGGACTTGATACAATCCACAGCCCTAGGCACTAATTGACATAGTGCTTAAATCCGTGGACTTCCCCCTTGGTCAGATTGGAAATAGGTCTGAAACTTGAGCGTTGATATCACACGGTTTCCAAAACCATCTGCGAATATGAGATTTAGGATCTTAGAATGGAGCAATACGGAGAGAGAATGAGGGTTATGCTTACTTCTTGCCCGTCTCTGTGAAACAGCAGAACAGGAGCGCGATAGGCCAACAGATGAAGGCAGCTAACACGGCAACGCAAAAACCAATGGTCGGTCCTATTCTCCCGAAATTAGTGAAGATTAGTACTTAGTAGATATTACCGGTAGCATCGGGGAGCCAAGGTTGATTGAGACGCACCGATGACCTTGACGCCGCAGAGGCCGACACCTCGGCCGCACTGGATACAAACGACGGGAAAGGGGAGTCCGCAGTCAGCCATCTTCGGGGGTTGCTTATTGACTTATGAGCTTGAAAGTGGAAGAAACGGGATGGTGGTGGTGGTGGTTAGATGAATTGATGACGGCGACGTCGGGTGTCTTGACCGGATTAGGCATAGTCGTATCTTGGCTAAATCAATAAATATTGCATGTTCATCCGCATCTTGGCGTGGGGTTCAGAGAGATCTTGGCAGGAGATGGAGTGTACAAGCTGGGAAAGTGCTACTTGCACTGTGGGAGGTATTTAAAATCTCCTGCGGAGATTTTAGAGCTTAGAGACTAAAACAACAATACAACATTCTATCTTCCTTAATTCTTTTCTGCAGGAAACCAAGATATGATTTAAACAAGGGAATTAACGCTGAGATATTTACGTATCTATACGAATTTCACTTGTATTTCTCTACCTTATATGCACTTAGACGGATGAGCAGATTAGCATATCCATACGTTTAAGTGCATACCTATACTGTTACCCCAAACGCGTAACGACGAACTTAATACGAGGTCTTTTACAGAATTTCAAGTTTTCACATTTGTACTAAAAGACTCATAGCCGCTGTTGCTATTTTATTTGGCTCTGATATACGTCGCCATACTAGAGCAACTATCCTACTTATGACGTAAGGAGCGTCCTGGAGGCTTATTTGTAAAGAGCGAATGCCTGCGCGTAGGTAATAATCTCGTTTCGCGAACGCGGTAAAGTATTCCCGAGAATCACGTCACACCCCCTAAGCCTGGACAGCAGTCCCATTAGCGCCGCCAGCTTCAAGGCGGTGAAAACCGCCGTTGCTAGCAACGTCCTTCTGCAGCACCACCATGCGCTTCTGATCTCCGGTCGGGTCGGCAGACTCGCCGTCGAGGGTCCAGGACAGGAACGCGTTGGTGTAGTTAGGCTCGAAGCTCTGGTCCAGGACGCCGAGGCGCTTGCCGTACCGGGTCACCTTCTCCCAGTCGCGGCGCACGTTCTTGAGGTCCTTGGAGAAGTACGCGAACGAGCGCTCGAAGATCTTGCGGTTGAGCTCCGTGCCCATGGCCGTCTTGAACTCGACGTACTCGGCGAAGGCCCGCGCCGGCTCCGCCAGCACGAAGTCCGTCGCGCGCTTGACGGCCCGCATGAACGCGCGCGCCTTCTCCGGGTTCTCGGCGAGGAACCGCTCGTTGCCGATGTACAGGATGGTGCAGAAGCAGCAGCAGCCCAGCTCGGCGAGCTCGTCGATGCGCAGCATCTGCACGTCGCTCTTGGCGCGGCCTTGGGAGGCGAGCCACTCCTCCAGCTCGACCATCTGCACGTTCTCGAGGCCGATGCCGGCGTCGATCTCCCCCTTGATGATGGCCTTGGACACGTTCATGCCGCAGCGCACGGCGGTGTAGTCGGCTGGGGTCATGCCGTAGTGAGAAGTAAGCTCGTCAATCTGGATCTAAGCAAGGGTCAGTGAAGCACGACGGAGAGAAGGTAAGGGCAGCACACCTTTCCGAATTCGCCAACATAACCGATTCGCTTGCCCTTGAGAGTCGTGAAGTCGGGGGTGATACCGCTGTCTTTGAGGTACACGACACCGGTGAAAGGCTCGTCGAGCAACGAGCCGATGGAAAGGACCGGGAAGTTACGGGCTTTTGCCTGGATGGGATTTATTAGCTTTGGTTGGCACAAAGAGTTATGAAATAGCGGTCTTACGGCAAGGGTGTGGATCATGGCCTTGAAGCCAAGGTCGACCTTTCCGGTGCCGATGATTTCGGTGACGTCCTGCTTCACATGAGCGCTAATTCATTATGAGAACACACCCATGAAACGTACACTCGGATCGTTGGGCTCTAGAAGAGCCACCTTAATGCCTTCGTCCTTGAAGTACCCCTTGGCCTGGGCTAGGTAGAGAGGGGCATGGTACGGCGTCGCGTGCCTGCTGCCGTTAGTCAACGTTCGTCCATTGCAGATGCCTCCATGCTTGCCAGTTGGTCAAGAAGGTAATCTTGTCGGTAGACATGGTGGATCAAGCGAAGCTGCAACAGTTAATACTAAGCTGCCCAAGCAGAATAGGGGAGGGGAAAGCAGCATGTCCTTTCGCTGGAATTATCCAGATCAAGTTTGAACGGTGTAATCTCAGCCCAGATGCCTCTCTCCTGTTAAACCATCCTTCCATTAGGAATTGGGGAGTGACCTTGACAGGATCGAGAGCATCGAGCACCCGCCATGCGATTGACCAACGTTACCTTGATACTGAGATAGCTCCATGATGGCAGGTGCTTCCTAGACCATACCGATGGGATGACTTGTCGATGTAATTACAGACTGGACTCGTGTTTGGCAAATAGAAGTCTCTGGGAAGAAGAACAATTCATAAGGGCATGGAAAGGAAGGAAATGTCATTAGATATATATCGGACAAGATGAGGGGTAGCTATGCTCCTTAGAGAACCGATGGTGGGTCGGACCGGGTCGGCTATGCAGTCTAGCATCATCTTAATATGATAGATCATCATTCAAATGGCTCTCTTCTGCGCTTTTTTATTTGAATTTAGTACGTCATGTCAACATAAGGCCTTGGAGACTCGACTCGTTTGGTTGGAACGTGACGGCTTGGCCTGTAAGTATACTTACTACAGAAAACGGCCATGAAAGGGTAGAAGGTACTTTTAAAGCCATATGTTCGCACTTAAGGATATTAGTAGGTATGTTGATAAACTAGGTACCTAAGTACCTAATAGACTGTAAAAGGTAGGTAGGTAAGGCGGTAAACATGGTTGACACTGACTGGGGCTTCCCTGTTTCCGAAGATATTTCTAATTTGATTGAAAGTGAAAGAGGTAAGAAATGCCCACTCCCTAAAACAACAATAATATAACTAAGTAGTTTAAATAACCCGCTTCCTTCATTCGAAGCTCGTCAGTGCTTGTATCTCTTTCTTCAGTGAACATCTACTTGTGGATATCATCCATTCGGCGAGCGAAAGTATCCAGTATCTCTGCTATGGATTTCTGTTGTATTATTGGCCTGACACTACCCTTTGAATCCTCAATAAGCATTACTCCTAATTCCTTAACGGCCGTTCTTTCTTCTTGAGTCAAGCGCCTATTTTCTTTCTCCTCTCTAATCTGGACCATACGATCCATCCAATGGCCCCGGAGGAACTTCAAGAGGGGACGCCCCTGAGAATGGAACTCGTCCATAAATTCTGCCACAATATCGTCAAGCTCGTCTAGGAGGGTTTTATCCTCATCGTGTATGTCGAGAAAATCATCGCCATAAGATTCGAAGAACTCGTCGAAACTTTTCCTGTCATCGAATTCATGGAATTCATCGAATATGGTCTCGCAACATGTATGCCTCATCTCTAAGGCTTCGAATGTGAGTGCTCGTATTATCGCGCTCGCGACAGGTGGAGCTGGGTCGATGATTTCGAGAGTACCCGGAATGGAGAAGACACAGTCCAAGACATCGCAGATACTTTCCATCATATTATCCCTTAGAAATGAGAATGTCCTTCCTAGGATTAACTTGAATGGAATGCAACCTTCCGGGCCACAGCAACCGCATTGACAGCCATCACCTGTTTGCAGAGTACTAAATCTGCTAGTGAGGCTTATCATGTACGACAAGCACTCTGGCACTTCCAAGTCATCACAATATTGTGCCAATGCCTCCCCAACTCTTTTCATCAAGCGATGAGAAATTGTATGTCGCGGAAGCTCAGATCGGACTGAGTGTCGGAAAGTTCGTTGAGGCAACCTTTCCTCTAGATCATAAACGTACCAATTATACGGCACTAAGTGAGTGGTGTTTGCGCCATGTGCGACAAACCACTCACTAAGGTCCGATGGTAAATGTGGTAGCATAACTGGCGTCATCTGATCATAGAACGTGTCTATATCTCTGAAACCGAGGTCGAAGGCAATATCAGCTTTGAGGCGGCTATTACTTATAGGTATGAAGTTGTTCGCGAATAAATCGTGGTAGATAGAACCTGAGCCGTGAGGGCCTCGTGGCTGGAGACGATAATCGTATTGATCCAACTGAAATTCTCTGAAAGGGGAAATTCCCCTCGATTCAAGTTTTTGGATTATATTGGATGCTGCGTGGTCCAAAACAAATGAGCTGTGAAGGCCGACTTGTTGTTTTTCGTAGACAAACTCCCTTTCAGCTAGTTCCATCAAACTTTCTCGCCATAATTTAATATGACTCAGCACAGTCTGGGCGACTTTTGGCGAGCTCTTCTCACTCAGGCATGCGATAGCATCATAAGAAAGCTTGCATCCAGAATCCAGCAATATTTTGGTTGATTCAGCACAAGGACAATTTCGGCATAATCTACCTTTTTCGTGACACATCTCCTCGCTTGAGTGTATAGCCAATTTCAACGGGGTGCAATCATCGCATCTCATACTTAGATCGATATCTGGATGGGAATCAAGAATCATTCTCAGTCCTTGCGGCCAAAAGATTGCGATATGGAGTGCTGAAAGTCCATTTGACATAAACGAGTCGGGCAACTTTGGTAGTGTTAGAAGAACATGTTTAAGTAACAGTTCATCTTTTTGAATTAGAGCTTCAAACAAAGGACTGTCAAGACCAAGTGCTGCCAGTGATTATCAGAATTAGTTACTACCGGTGTAATTCAACTCGACAAGTAGGTAAATATCCTTACCTTCAGCCATACCTTCTGGCTCAAAAAGGCAACGCCGTTTATTATGCTCCCGTAGCATCCAATACCAACGCAGCCCACAAATACAATCTTCGGGTTGATTCTGAATCAATAATGGGGCCAATGTGTCTACGACGTAATCCACGCGGCGGTTCGCCAACGCGACACAACGACCTATACCAGAGCTATAAAATTAGTCATTTCCCTTTTTGTTGGACAATAATGGATACCTTACGAATATAATCTATCACGTGCACTGATTATACAGGGCACGTTTAGGCCTAACAGTGCTAATACTGCTTGATGAGTGATGTAAAGCGGTATTATGCTTCTAGGAGACATTTCCTATTTAATGTTAATAATAACTTTTCTCTTGTATATGGATAGGTACTACTGCGGATAACGTACTGCTAAAACCGTCCCAATTAATGTTTGCCCATATATGTTAACGTCTGTCGGCAACGAATGTCCGGAAGCAAAGATGCTCTGTAGCCTTGATGTGCTATCACAGATAATCTTCCGAAGAGCTAATTCAATACTGGCACCCTCTTTATTTTCGCAAATGGCGATCCATGAACAGAAATATACCATAGCCCGGATGATACGAAATGCTGGAGATCGACATGTATCTACCATGCCGTAATATCGAAACACGGGGCTGATGCCAGCACCACCAGCACCGGTTTTCCGCGTAAAACTGGCCTCAACTGCGACGTCCAGTATGCAATGCAAACCTGTGAAGATGACGCCAGTCGTGTGCTGCTTTTCTACCTGCGAGTCCCGAAACCTGGGACACCCAGGCTCGTGGCGAAGACAAATAATCTTCTCGTCAAAACGTGCCAAGAAGCGCCACCCAGAGAGCTGCCGGGTTTTTTGGCGACGGTAACGACACACACAGCTATTTGTTACACGTTTTTGGCCACGTTGCAGAGTAGGAAGGCCTGGTTCTCGAGTATTGGCTCGGCCAGTATGGGTAGCGGCAAAACCATCTTGACAACTCCTGAGAAAGTCAGGCTTCGACATCAACATCTGAAAGAACTTTTCTCCAGGTGATGTCTGATTAGTTTGAACTATGGCGCCTTTTAGTTCTGTTATCATTTCTTCGAGTTTCGACGTGTTTTTCTGGTGGTTTGCAGTTAACTCGTGTAGAAGAGTCACACTAGAGGAGGCGTCGGCCTGTATCTGATCGATTTGAGGAGCTGATGGATGGACCTTGGTGTCGATAAGTGACAGGGCCTGTATATCTTGTGATATTGCCGCAATGGCGACTTGACTTCCTTTCAAGTTATCTTCAAGGCTGTCCCCTTTGGAACGGATCTCGTTAAGCTTGCTGTGGACAGTCGCTAGCTCAATTGTTGTAGCTCGGCTCGAATTTCCAAGCTCTATGAGCTTATCTCTGCTTTCGGATTGAACGTGTCTTTTGCGAAGCTAGTTAATAAAAATGAATATCGCGTATATTGGAAATAGGTGGCAGCATACAAGCCTAGTCCCTGAATTGCTACTAAGAGGAGGCCATTTATTCGGTCCAAATGATCAGCTAGTTTCTCTAATTCGGGGCGGCCAAAAGGGAATTGAAATCTCTTCTTGGTCTCCTTGAGCTTTCCTTTGAAATCCGTAAAAGGTGTAGACTGGTATTTCTGAACTTCGATATCTAGGGCTCTCAATTGGACTTCGCAGTCCCGTAAGCAAAGGACGACGTTTTGGCTCGGGGTAGAATGTTCATTTTGGAAGGATGGAGCAACGGATTCAATTATTCTAACCAAGTCCCGTAGGCGATTTAGATAGGTTGTCACTCGAATGACGTAAGAGTCTCGGTCTTTGAAATCATCCAAATGGCTATTTATACCGCCGTATACCTGGACGCAGAGCGAAATTATGCCAACGGCTGTTCCCGTAATGCCAACGGGGTCGACCATTTTTCCGTTAACGATTATACCATAGATGAAATGAGCTGGTATGTGACTCGTATTGCAAAGGAAAGAGGGATAAATAGGAATACGTTCTGGCGGACGATAGAATAAGTAACTAGATAGAAGCGAAGCTGAGAGGCCGTGCTAGTGGCTGAGTTGAGCTATTGGCTGCAGGGTGTTTCGTTCAAGGGAAGTATTGTTAAGACCCAATCAAAGTAGCAGACTCGCAGACTGAGGGGCCAATCCCATAATTTAGATAGGACAATGCTGTTAACTTCTGACCGAATGATAGAAATGCACAATTACTTACCTACCTGGTAAGTACCCAAGTAGGTATCGATCATGGTTTCAACAGGCTACCTACCTACCTAGGAGAGACAAAACTTTCTGAAAAAGGGGTTAGACTTGACAAGTATTTACTGAGCTAAGAGATACATGACTAAGAATTTAATACGGAATAAGAGGTTTATTTGCTTAGCTGAGTAGGTAGGTAGGTAGATAGATACCGAAACAATTCATTCCGGCGTCTTACGCCATGGGTAGGTACTTCACTTTTCAGTAGAGCTAAAATACCTACCTAGGTATTCCATCTGTGAAAAGTACCTACTCCCCAACAAATCCGGCCACAAACGCTGCGCCCACCATCCAAAACTGCCTGCGAAACCACATACCGCAGCTATCGGGGCGTCCTAGATCGACTTCGTACACGTAATAGGCCATCGCAGCCGCCACACCTACAAAAGTCCGAATCAAGCCCACATCCCGCACAGCCCCAGCAAGGCGACCTGCACGACTGAGAGTAGGCTGACCAGCGCCTCCATGCTGTCCCGAAACCGCAGCGCCATGCTCTTGATGCCAGCCTGCGCGTCGTCCGCCACGTCCTGGTGCGCGTAGACTGCGCCGTAGGTCATAGCTCATAGGGCGTTCGCGCCGAACAGCGCGAGTGTTGGCCTGTCGTACGGGTACGTGTCGGCGCGGAGCGGAGCGGGGCGGAGAACACAGTCCAGCCGAGGACCACCTGCGGGTAATGCGACATGCGCTTCATGAGCGCGTAGTAGACGAATTGGATCACGGCGGTGGAGGTGTGTCGAGCTGTGGCTGGGGCAAGATGCGCAAGTCTGTGGAAGAGGGAGAGGGGGAGAGCTGCGCTAGAGCGAAGACGTTCGCTTCGGTGGCGCAGACGGCGCCCCGGGTGAGAGGCCGGTGCCGGGTTCGCGCTACGTGCCGGTTGATGTGTTGATCGGTGGTATCTTTCCATGTGCACACGGCGCCGAGGAGGACGATGCTGAAAGGGAGAAAGATCGCGAATAACTTGAGTAGGGAAGCCGGCTCAGGAGTTTCGGGTGCTCCACAGGCGGAGTAGGCCAGCCCGGTGAGATACGAGAAGCAGAAGGCATAGAGATCGGCAGGCCGATCGAGGCGCATAAGTTGCGCGTAGGGGATCCATGGCTTTGGGAGGACCGAGAGGATGCCCTGGGATCGGAGTACGGGGGCAGGTTGGGGAAGAAACTGATGTGCTTACCCTCAAAGCTTCTGAAGAAAGACCTCATGGGAGAAGCCCGTGGACTAGGCATGTTATTCTAGAATTCGTTGTACGTGGTAAGAAAGATTTTGTGTCGCAATGAGGAGCCTAAAGGCACTTTGACTCGTTTTCGCACCAACACTTTGATAGCGATGAAACATCGCGTTGATGCGCCCCATGTAAAAGAAGAATCCTCAACTTCTCACGTGAAACTACTCTCGTCCCTTGCTAGCCAAATGGTGGGTTGAGATGCTGGTGGTGTCGGCCATTTGGAACGTCGCCAAGGTGCGCAGGACAAATCCATCCTTTGCCCGTAGTTTTCCGGGCTCTCCTGGATGGCTTCTTAGTGAATATCCGAATCTGGATTCGAACCACTTACATATAAAACTCGAGTATTCACATAAGTTTTGATGAATATGACATTGGGTTTTATTAAATGGGATGCGTTCAATGCAAGATGAATCGAATTTGTCAATTCGACTTCCAATATACATTACCTTAAGTGCTTATCGGTTAGACTAATATGCAAATGTAAGGCATCATTAGGTATCACGCCTGGATTGTGCCTTTTCGCTTGATCAACAATGGGAATAATTATGGTGTTAAATATGTATTAAATAAAAATAGAATAAAACTAGATATACTTGATCGACGAGTTAATAGGTAATTATAAATACACCGGGATAATCTACTCTGTAAATATAAATAAACCCGGAGTAGCTGTTATGCAATTAAGCAGGTTATCCCTATTCTCTAAAACATTCTCTACAGTATCTTTATATGCAATTAATAGCATATGTATAAAGTGCTTCCTAGGAAATAGGGGCATAATTGCCTACAAATGGTATTTTAGTCCTTGTATTTCAATAAGCGGATAGGTAACCATGCCCAAGTAATCGAAATATTGAACTATCCAAGTCGCGAATGGAAATATCCTACTCAACCTCAACGACCAGTTTCTTTGCCGAAACACCTTTCTTGAAGATATCCATTGCGTCCTGAATACCATGGTGACCTTTCCCAGATACAACTTCCGGTGGCGGAGCGACTTTGTAGATACCTTTTTCTAGCGCTTCCACGAGGTACTCACCGAGAGTAACAGGAGGCGTCTCCTTGAACATGCTAACACGACCAGTTCCAAAGACCATTTTAGCCTGTACCCCTTCCAGAACATCTGCTAGCTGCACTGGGATGGGAGATGCCACGAAGAGTTCTTGCTTTGACTTGTATGCGACCCGACATATACTGGCTATACTCCCTAGGTATGGCAAGGTAGATACCAGCGCATGTGTCCTTATCAAGCTTTTGAAAGTAAATGGTATTTCAACCTTTACTCATAGTACTTGAATACTCATCGCAAACCCGTATAATACCCGTATCTTAAAATCATTTCCCCGTCACTTCAGTGCCAGCATCGTATGCATATTTCATACGAAAATAGGACTTGAGTCGTCTTATTGTGTTATAAATATTCCATCTATCTTATCTGCGGGGGTTCCCACTCCTATCCCTTGTTCGTATCAGCTACGTATATTCGGTACTGTCGTCCACCGTCCCTCCCCCTCTTCTTCAATTATCTAATTACTCATATCACCAGCTTAGCCCACTCCGATATAAAATGTCCACAACAACAGTAATAGAGACGAGGAAGGCTTCTGGCGCAGAACCAGTGCTGGGTAAACAGGTACGCTACGTTGCAGCCGGGCATGTGCCCCAGACAAGTCCGCACAATTTCCATCTTCCTGCCCTCACAGACTTTGGTGATGAACGCTTCCTTCCTCTTCATAGTGTGCGTCCTCTTCCTAAGGTCTCCGAATTATCACAATATGTCGACCATGCTCAGCTCCACACTCATGGGTTCACTGCTGTTCATCACCCTACTCCATTTCATGCATCGTCCTACAACTCGCAGTCTTTCAAGGATCCCCAGCTCCTTAGGCAGTACCTCATACCTCATACGGCTGAGATGATGAAACAAATTACTGGATGTAAGACTGTCATAACGGAATCCTTTTTACTAAGAACCTCTACCTGGACCGAAAAAGATTCCCTAGCCACTCATGGAGAGGAAGTGGACGAAGCTTCCGAGCTGGAAACCGGTTTTCCGCAGTTCATCGGATTCAATCCCAAATATGGCGGCGCAAGCCCAGCTTCCAAGATCCACCTGGACTTTTCGCCAAACGGCGCGCGAACTCACATTCGGAAGTTTCACCCAGACCTCGCCAAATCTGCAACCGATATCATACAGCATGAAGACTCGTTGCTTAAGGATGGGAAAGATTTGAAAGAGAGTTACAAGGACTGTGGGGGTCCTCGATGGGCACTTTATTCAATATGGAGACCCCTGAAGATTGTGGACCGGGACCCACTAGCAGTAATAGGCCAAGGAAGCTTTAGTAAAGAAGACTGTGTGCCTGTTGACATCTATTTCCCATGTTTAGGGATGGGCACGAATGAGAGACACCTCTCCGAAAGTCTTGTAATCCGATACTCCGAGAACCACAAGTGGCACTGGATAGATAAACAGACTCCTGAGGAGGTATTAATTCTGAGGTTCTTCGACAGTGACGCAGAAGGAGGTTTTGTTGCTGGAGGCGGATCGTTCCATTCTAGCCTAGAACTTCCTGGTACGGAGAATGAAGCACCTCGAGAATCTCTAGAGATCAGGTGTCTCTGTATTTGGTAATTGCGGTAGGCTTGGTATAGGTTAGGTAAACAATAGGAGGTAGATTCTAATACATCTTTCCAGAAATACGTAAGCAACAGAAAGTAAACATTTATCGTGAATCTTTCGTATTAAAAACCATTCCACCTAGCTCAACGCCTCGACCATGAAGACTCTTAGTAGCCTTCATATCAATACTAACAATAAACCACTCCGACGAGATGCCTCTAACGTGCAAGCCAAACAAAGGAGATAATCTAAACCTCTGAAGTATTAGCAGTGTGCTGTCCCACTTCACCCTCTTCACCAGGCCTCTCATCGAGTTCGTTAAACTTTTTAACTACTTGCAGAGTAGCATAGTAACTAAACGGCAACGCAAAGAACCAGAGACCCAGGTTTATGCTGGCTGTAGCAACCAGAGCAGTAGGAACAGCTTGGACCCCGAATCCTAAACAGATGCCGGCAGTCTCAATTCCCCGAAGTAGAGAACTGTACCTGATCTGCTGGCCGGGGGAATCCGATAGGTTACTAATACACCAGTAGATGTAGTTCTCTACCATCCCTACGCTGAGCCTTTCTAACATTAAAACACCGAAGCCTCGACCGAAAGTAGCTTGGTTGTCCCAGTCCAGAACCGGACGTGTAGTTCGATATTCGTTTTGGATTATCACCGCCCAAATCCACGTTGCGCTATTGAGCATTGCGATTAGGATGTAGGTGCAAACAGCGCGCGTCTGCCTCTTTTTCGTCCAACTAACGTCGACCAATGTCCCAGCGAGCCAAGTAGCAAGGATCCCGAGGATGGCGGATAGCAAAGCGCCAAGCGCCCTCGACCTCACGGTGAAGTATGTCGCCAGGTAGGTACCCGGATAAGCTTGGGCCCATCCGAAGTACCAGAAAAGGGGCGTAAGAAGCAGGATTGATTTGCTTCTCAGCAGGGTCCACATCTCGCGAGCCTCTGTACGCCAAGCAACCTCTCTTATTACCTTGATGCGAGTCCCGTCATCTCGCCGCACTTTCTCGGGTTCTGAAAGAGGGAGGGCGAATACACAACCGAGACATTGGATTGCGATAAACGCTAGGTATGTTTTATAGCCTACTTGACCGCGCTGCGTAACGTTAATGTTTAGGGACAGCGAGATAGCACCCCCAACGATGTTCCCAAGGTTGCGGAACGTAAACCAGGTAGCGATGTAACTAATGTGAACATTAGCTTATCAGATCCATATTATCAAATCCATAAACACCTTTACACATACCGGCCTCTCTTGTGTGATTCAGGGTACCCCGTTGCGATAGCGCCCTCCACACAAAGGAAGAAACCACCGGTGATACCACAGGTTATGGCGCCAACATAAACGAACCAAGTGGAGCCGAATCGATTATTAACATAGAGGCCAGCCGCATATAGGGGATATCCAAGCGTGCCGAGAGATAAAGTCCAGCGAAAGCCGATAATGTTGGTAAGCCACGGAGTGAAGAAGCATGTTATGGTCAAGAACGCATACAGCAATGCATTGGCAGCATTGACGAGATCAGGGCTCTGAGAACCGCCCACGCCAAGGCCGTTCATAGCGCTCCATATCCCAGGTGCGGAGAAGGCACATATCCCAACGATGAGAATCTGGAAAAGGGTGCTCCGAAAGAATTTGATATGGCCGGGGCTTGAGGGAACATTCTCGGTGCTCGCGACTGTGATGGAACTGGCAATATTCCCACCGATCTCGTCTTTTGCGACGACTGGTTCGACGGCCATTGTAACGGATGCTAGCTGGTTGTGATGATGATATTTTATGTTCTAGTAACTCATTTGAAGACGGAACCTTAACAACTGGTCGTTAAATTGTGATGACCGTGGAAACTTGTGAGATATAAGGACGGCCTGAGTTTACGAAGGATCCTACATTGGTCGATAGTCGTAACATCCGCCGTCCCATCAATTCAACCGAAGGTAGTATGCACCGTGGACCTTACTAGGTCATGTGCTTAGGTAATCGGATAGACCCCCACTTGAGGTGGTATACCTATACGATCACTTATCATACATACGTACCTAGGAAACAGTTCCTTTAACGTCCGCCGCTAGTCTTGTGTGATCCCGATATCTCCAGAGAACCATAGCCGCTGATTGGCCCTAGGTACAGGGGAGGACCCACCTATCACCAAGGTGCACCAATTGGATCAAAGAGCTTAAATTGATTACATAAGTGCCATATTTCGACAGTTGACTTGATCTAAGAACGTTAAGCGTTGGAAGGGGGAAGGCCGTACGCTTATCATACACACGAACTGCGAAGCGAGCGCCTCGCAGTTCGCGATTTATTGTTGACTGGTTGGTTTGTTCAATTGAACCTTGAAAGGTTTAAAGGGGGTGAACTGCGAGATCGAGAAATCGAACCTTCGGACCTGCGGCTCGGCTAAACCGGGGGTTATGATGCCACCAAGGGTGGCCTCCAGTTGGTTAACTAGGTACGTACCTAGGTATACATATAGCAATCTATACATGTCCATAATGAATCCATATGATGTTTTTGATATTTTCCAGGTACTTAATCTTTCTTACTGGGTAGGAAATAGAGTGTACTTGGCAAGAAAGTGCGATTAATACTATACTAATATTTATGATCTTCAAACTAAGGCCCAAGGTCTAAAGCTTTCAAACAAATACAACATCTTTATCCCTTCCAATCTTTCCTGTAGGCACTTACGCATTACTCTGTCTAGCCGTAGTCGGCGTTAATTGGCTAATTTTTTTCTGGGAAAAATAACCCTAAGTAAACCTCTTCAAAGGCCCTTTAGAAATATTTTTATCAACGCGGAGGCGTGTTTTAGGGAAAGGAACCTTGAATTAAGCCATTAGTCAAGCACCTACCTAGGTAGGTAGACAAGTACGTACCCCACGACGAGGCTAGATATCTAATGGCACCCTGTTTATAAGCGAGTGCCTCGCCGTTTGGTTGGTTCATTTAGTTCAGGGGATTAGGTATATACCTAATATGTAAGTATCAAGAATATAATTACTTAAGCATAGTACATCTATTATATCCGTGATCTTGGAATTATAGCTTGTTGGTGAGCCGCGAGTTCTAACGAAATCCCTCCCGTATATTGGTTTGGCGGAACATCGTGGAAACCGAGAGAGAAATTTCGTTTCCTCCCAGAACTATGGCCCCCACCTCATTGCTAAATGATCACTGCCTGGTGGCCCCCAAGAAACACGGAATATGAGGCGCGGGGAAGCGGTTAGGTTACCAATCGTTACTCCCTCTTTCGGTGGCGTTGACAGGACACGCGCTGATTCGCAGATATCAAATACGCCCGCAGACATAGCCTCCCATCGAACTCATAAGGATGCCACCCCCTCCGTCCACCATGGCGCTGAAAAATCGCTACTTATCCCTCCTTCTTATCACATAGTTCTAGGATCATAATCAATCGCAGTAACAGCAGTATAGTCGTCGCGTCAATTCCGCTGCTGCGTCTCTTGGAGACAACCATGTCAGTATGGCTGGACATGGACTTCACGTTCTTTTCGACAGCAGTGAAGATAGTCCGGATCATGCCGTCGCAGAGATAGAGTAGGCTCTACCCCAATTCCGTCTTCTTCTAGTAACTAACTTCTGTTAGTATCGTGGCCGTACACGGGCTAAATTTCAGGAACAATCCTAACCATGCGCGAGATACCTGGACGGCGGGCGGCAATCTCTGGCTACAAGATTTCTTACCTAGCAAACTCACGAAACCAGCCCGAGTCATGCTTTTCTCCTATAACTCCAGCCCCGCCATGGATGCTGCGGCGATCAAGCTCGACGATCATGCCAAGACTCTGCTTCAATTGCTCAACATTGAGCGGGAGGTAAGTCTTCGATATATTCCATTTGAACGATGCTTCCTTCTCACGAAAAGAATAGAATGCACCGCAAAGGCCCCTTGTATTCGTCTGTCACAGCCTTGGCGGCCTAGTGGTTAAGGAGGTCAGCAAACCGGCCACACGATGAACACTCGTTGGCGGCGCCCAAAGCTAACAAGCATAGGCCCTCGTCGAAGCAAATTTGGATACCACGTGCAAATGTATCATCGAGGCAACCAGACTCCTCGTTTTCTTTGCTACCCCTCATCGCGGCGGAAATTACGCCGGTATTGGCGAAGTCGTCGCGAAGATCTTTCGAGTTGGCTCACGAAAGCCGAATAACAAGCTTCTCGATGCACTCAAGAAAAACTCGGATGACGCAACGAAGCGGTTTGAACAATCGCGACATCTATACGAACACTGCCTTGTCGTGAACTTCTTTGAAGGGGAATCATATGGCAATCTAGGGATCGTGAGTCAGCACCGAACAACCCCTTAACCGTTCTGTCTAACACTAAGCCCCGTCTCCAGATTGTCGATAGGGCTTCCGCGACTCTTGGCCTTCCTGGATCGCGCGAGAAGCAAGTTGCGACGCATGCTGACCACAGTTCTATCTGCAAGTTCGATTCAATTAACAGTCTTGCATGCCGACTCGTTTTAGGGACCATTGTGAAGGAGGTCGACCGCGCGTTAGAAATAGAACGTATGTAATAATAGAAAATGTATTGTGAATCATAGACTGAATCCTTTATCTAGCTAGGAATGTTCACTGGCTTGTCCCGCGGTCCGTCAATTCGATGTTTACCGGCCGACGCAACCTCATTACGAAAATAAAAAAAGTACTCGTCTCACCCGCGCCTCGTGCTCAGAGGAGATTCGTCTTGACCGGAATGGGCGGCCAGGGCAAGAGTGAAGTTTGCCTTAAGGTGGCCGATGAGCTCCGCGAGCAGTAGGTTGGATACTACCTTACCATTAGCCTCTCGTATTTACCTCTTATAGGTTCTGGGGCGTGTTCTGGGTAGATGTTAGCAGCGACTCTACCGCGAAATCAGGGCTAGTCGCCATCGCAAAATTGTTAGGATCAAATGGAACAGAAGTTGATGATGCTCGACGTCAACTTTCCAACGTCGACCCTAAGCATCCCTGGCTTTTGATCTTGGATAACGCCGACAATCCAAAAGTCGACTACCAACAATATTTCCCCACCGGCACTCGAGGCGCGGTTCTAATAACGTCCCGGAACCCTGAGTGCCAAAACTACGCGCCAGACGGCTACGAGGACCTTGGCAGCCTGGACAAGCAAGACTGTATTCATCTCCTCCTACAAGCGGCGAAGCTCGCCTCAGAATCGCCAACAGTAAAATCCAACGCCGAGAATGTACTTGAAATTCTAGGTTCGCATACGCTGGCCATACTACAGGCTGGTGCGTACATCGCCCAGGGGGCATGTACATTAAGTGAATATCCCGGCGTATTCCAAACACAAAAAGAACGACTTCTCAGGTTCAATTTAACGCAGGACCAATCGAGGTACCACAACATCTATGCAACATTGGAAGCGTCGGCCGAGCTCTTGGGCACGCTACAATCGGAGTGTGCTCAAGATTCGTTGTGTCTTCTCCAAGTATTATCGCCGCTACACTACGAAAAAATACCTCTAGATCTCTTTAAAGGCTCATGGACCGGCGCACAGAACGTTCAAAAATATCCTGGTGATAAGATCAGTGATCTAACTAATGAACACGTGTCCCAACTTCCAGACTTCCTTGAACCTCATAGTCATACTTGGGATGCGTTTCGTATGTCGGAGGCTGTGAACCTGCTCGAATCTCTTGCTCTAATTAGAAAGAGCAACACTGATGGAAAGTTGACGGTATCTATGCATCCACTCATCCACAGCTGGATAAATCTCCGTCAGGACGCGATCCAGAGAGACGAATCCCTATTCAAGAGCCAGTGCATCATCGCGCTTTCCCGATACTATCAGCCTTATTGGGAGCCATATCAATATCACATAGGACTTCACATATTATCAGTACTTCAACGGAGCTCACTCACCCACGGAGGATTGCGCGATTCATTATTACCAGTATATGTCCGAATTGGCCAGCTACTAGATGAATTACGATATGACCAAAAGCTGGAAGAACTTCTCCAATATCTTTTTTCCGAACTACGTATCGATGACGACAATATGAGTGAGAGGTTCCTACCCATTTTTGATTTAAGCGCGAGGAACGCACGTACGCGGGGAAATATAAAGCGTTCGGTTAAATTATTCGAGCAGATAGTCCGGATTGGAAGGACGATGTATGATGAGACGCATCCCGCTCGACTTGCTTCGCAACATGAGCTTGCCTACGCATATCTAGAAAACGGGCAAACAAAACAAGCTATTAATCTATTAGAGCAAGTGGTTAAAGTTCGAGAAACAACACTTGATAAGACGCATCCCGATCGACTTGCTTCGCAACATGAGCTTGCCCACGCATATCTAGAAAACGGGCAAACAAAACAAGCTATTAATCTATCAGAGCAAGTGGTCAAAGTTCGAGAAACAACACTTGATGAGATGCATCCCAGTCGACTTGCTTCGCAACATGGGCTTGCCCACGCATATCTAGAAAACGGGCAAACAAAACAAGCTATTAATCTATTAGAGCAAGTGGTCAAAGTTCGAGAAACAACACTTGATGAGATGCATCCCAGTCGACTTGCTTCGCAACATGAGCTTGCCAGCGCATATCTAGAAAACGGGCAGACAGAACAAGCTGTCGATTTATTTGAATACGTAGTCCAGATCCAAGAAACAACACTTGATAAGACGCATCCCGATCGACTTGCTTCGCAACATGAGCTTGCCAGGGCATATCTACAAAACGGACAAATAGAACAAGCTATCGATCTATTTCAACACGTAGTCCAGATCCGAGAAACAACACTTGATGCGACGCATCCCCTTCGACTTATTTCAGAGTGTAGGCTTGCCGAGGCGCGCCTAGCCTATGCTGAGATAGATGGTTCACACCACGCTTCCACTCCATCTACGTCAGTAGAGTCACCTGTACCCCAAAAATCACGTCGGTAAAGAATACGGCTTGTCCTGCGTTCTGGGCTAAGACGCATCGCGGAGAGCTGCAATGGTTAATTATAGGTAGTTAACTATTGTGAGTTGCGCATAATTTGGAGCTTTCACTTGCTTGTTTTGTGTGGCGAATATGGCATTGGACTGGTTGTTGAAATAGGCGTAGGTTATGAGTGTCAGACTTCTTGGTGTTAGGAGGTTAAGTTGCTAGGAGCGGTTAGAGATCCATACCTGATAGTGTCAGCGGAGCTGTGGGTCTAGTAGGACCGGAGTTCGGCCCGTGGGAAACCGTGGGAGGTCCTGGGGAGACCTGTTGATAGTTAGGTAATCTTAGAACAAAGTAGACAAAAGGCTTTTCCTGTATGTATTTGTATGGCAGATGAAGTAGCCACGCTAGCCTAGGTGGTTCATCGATAATATTTCCGCAAGGCTTATTTATTTAGGGGGTGGGGGTGGACGACGTAAGTGGCAATGGGAATATTTCATCGTATACACAGTACTGACAGTACAAATAGGGGGCCCCAGGATCTTCACCCATGTCCTATATCCGGCGTTATTTTTTACTTACATCTACTATGCCCCAATTAATAGAAAGTCATTGGGTTTATTATAAGTGGAGAACAAAAATTGGAAACGCAGTCAAAGTACATCATAGGTAAATATGAGAGTAGTAAATCTTAAGCTTATAGGCATTCCTTGTTGGGCATCTCACTTCAGACTATTTAACGATATTCCAAGCGTCATCCAGCACTGCAAGTATATCTTCCGGGAGTGGGCCCTTCCGAAGTGCCCCCACGTTCTGTTTGACCTGAGCGATCTTGCTGGAGCCGAAAATAATGGCATCTTGCGGCTCTAACTTCGAATGGAAGGCGAGCCAACGTAGTGCTACTTCCGGCTTGGAGATGCCGTGCGGCTCAAGCGCCTTATCGAGAAATCGGATGACTTCGTGATTCTTATCACTGTCGTACCGCCGAGCGTCCGTTGACATGATATTCCCTTTGGTGAAGCGGGTCCCCTCCACTTGACCGGACGTCAGGGCGCCGTGGAGGAAACCGCTGCCGTGCGGACTATGCGCCACAAACTGCATGCCATGCTTGCGGACCAGATCAAGCACCGACCCTTCGTGTCGGCGATCGATGAGGTTGTACAGACCCTGGTACACGGTCGGCTTAACATACCCCTCACGTTCGCAGATGTCGATGAACTCGGCAAGCATATCAGCAGGAAAGTTACAGACACCCAGCTGTAGCTAAAATCAGTATCGACCTTACTGCTCTTCTTTTCCTTGTTCTGCGAGGGCCTGGAAACGCTTACCTTGTCAAACAGCCCCTTTTTATATTGTGCGTGGAAACCAGCCGCCTGATCTTTCAATGGCGTGGCTACGTCCGGCGCATGGGGATAGAAGACATTGATACGTTGACCATCTCCGAACTGCAGGGCCCCGTAGCTCTCCGCGATGGACTTGGCGATCTTCTCAGGCTCTAGGGTACCTTTAAAGCCAGACATGCTGATTTTTACCTTGGTGTCAATGACGAATCCCAGTCGCGCTGCTCCGACTTGTCCGAGGAGACGTTGCGAAGCACCAATGTCTGAGGGCGGGTACAGGGCGGCCGTATCAAGCCGATCTATTCCCGATTCCTTGAGCAGTTCCAGAAGCTCTCGCACGGCATCTTCACGGACAAATTCGTCACCAAGGCCGCCACAGCCAAATATGATGTGTGGCGCTACTGAGGACGCCATGGCCATCACGATACTAGTATGAGGCGACAAAGTGAGGGATTGACGCGCTAAGCAACAAAGAGTATGAGGCCAGGGACATCTACATAGGTAAACTGTGAGTTGCCTTCCCTATTTATGGGAAGATAGGCAAGCCTCCGAAGGTATGTTAGGTACACAGCATTTGGCACATAGATACATGGCGGGCCAAGCATCCCTTACATCCTCACACTTATCATGCCGGCAATCTGCTTACTTGAATCGGGTACCCTGAGCAGTAGTAAGTAAAAGGTTTTCACGAAATGAAGGGGTAATAGAGCCGAAGCCAAAATCGTACCTATTCGTGACTTATATCAATGACATGGCGTATAAATTCGCCCAGGACGATGAATTTGGGGTAGACGCAATGGCTTTGGTGCGGCGAGCATGGGTGGACTGTGACGAAAGTTATGGTGTTGGCTGCATGGATTTTCATAATAGTTGAATGCCTAACATGTTGGTCAGAAGCTAGGGCTGTTTCCCCAGTCATTCGACAACTTTCTCCGTAGGCACCTGGTCTAATAATGGCAGCCAGGGAGCAACCACAGCAGCACCACAGATCGAGGGCATCTTGAATACAGCGGCCTCACTTCTTTCTCTGCAGAGACACCGCCTCGAGCCGCTCAATACGACAATCCATTTACTCGTAGAAGTAAATGAGCGCACTCGCTGAGCAAAGATGTCGCGCTTCGTACCCATACTTTGTACGGTTGCAAGCCTTCGACAGCACTCCATTCGTTCGACGCCTCCGCAGAGAAGTCGGACTTTGGCAAGGTAGCTCACCACAAGACCGGTGGTTCTCATAATGGATATTTCATCTTCCACAGCAGCATATCTCATGTACGCCACGAATTGGGACAATGAAGCAGAAGCCTATCTGTGTCATGTTTTCCAGGTCAGCACGAGAAGGGGCAGTGGATCCGTCCCGAGTGCATTTCCTGCCATGTTCTTTGTGTATACTTCGGTACGACTTCAGCGTAAGAACCGACTGATTAGGTACCTAGCCGTGGACATAGATCCTGTCAACAGGTATGCTTCGCGCTGGGGTTTTTCGATGTAGAGACACGCTGCTCCCAATAGGATGCAATGGCCGGTGTGATCTAACATATCACTCTCATTCCAAGCGTACCTGAGAGCTTCATTGCGAGACTCGGACTCCAGGTCCATCAAACAAATAGCTTACCTCGTTCTCATCCTCCGCAAAGCTCGAATGCTCTCTTTCTTCGATCCCATTCGGTTTAAAATCTATTTTTGTATGGAAGATCAAGTAAACATTCCTGGCACGATACCAGATCTAGTGCTTGAGTCGGATACGAATCGAGTGGGGGTTGAGAAGGCCAGTTTCGGTTCCCATCTCCTAACCCAGAGCTATCCCTTTGACTAACAGCTGTCAATATTCAGGGGTTAGGAGGCAAAATGCAATTTTACATGACCTTCTGAACTAAACGATTTTACATCTATTGTCTTGTATCCTTTTTATCAGAAGTGCCCTGAACAGAGCTTATGCGGGTGCGTAGGTGTATTTCGCCTCCCGAACCCTGAATGTTAGCAACTGCCAGTTAAAGATATAAGCTGCGGCTCCAACTTAAGCAATAATATGTCCACCTTTAACCGAGGCATGCCACTGTGGCTTACCGAACACGCAAGTAGACTAGTGGCTGTCGCTCAAGAATCCGATCGAATGGACGATGTTGATATTGACGTCGATTATGTCGGCATTAGTGGAAGTATTAGGCACTTCAACACATTGGCAAATTGCAGCTAGACTCATTTTGGGAGGTTCTCAAAAGGATATGGCTTAAATGCACATGTGGCGATTGGCCAACTATGAATCTTCAAGTGGCCCTATAGTATGATTATAAGACCACGACGGAAACTCAGGAATGTCGTATAAAGATCCTCTGTCTCAAGTGCTTGATTGTAGTTAAAGCAAGTTACTACGTCTTCAGCAAGAAGTTTGTACCAGATGATGAGGGGGTGGCGCTCCTAGACTAAGGGGTTTCGAGAATCTCTGACGATCATCATCAGTCTAACGTCTGCATGAAATCTCGAGGCGGCAAATAAATGCATAAGAGACTTTTTGTATATATATGCTAACCGGCTGGGTCACCGACGGTTAGGCGAATGCGATCCGCACCATGGGTATAATTAGGAGCCAAACGCAGGATATTGCGCAATTGCGTTTAGGGCAGATCATAGATTCGAGAAAAGAGACGGGGCATTGTAAAACGGCTTCAGCTCCAATGACATAAATTCAGATAGATTGCCGCATTTTGCTTGGCGAGAGCTATGTAACGTCCCGCGCGGTTCGCCTTGACGCGCTGTCGCTTGTCGGTAAAAACCAAAGTGGATACTGATTCTATCTTATGGGCAAGCGCATCACTAGGTAGATGTGGAAATAGGGAAAATAACCGTCTCTTCTCCGAGCACGGCATATCCGGAGATACTAAGGTAACGAAACATCCGCTACTGCACCTTTTACGGCTATTGAAGAATCCTGAGGCTGGCATGAGGCGGTCCAGCTGTGACTAGCCCAACAGCCTACCTAATCATAGGATGTCTTGGCTTGAAACATAAGTAGGTACATACACAGTAGTTGATGAAACTAACTACTACCTACCTAAGCTCGGTTCCGAGTTATAGGTAGGCAGGGTGACCTTACTAGTTCATGGTAGCTGGATAAACCATCGCGCTCTTGGCAGGGGAAGCCGAGGCTTCTCTCTAGCTGCACGTGGTATGGCGTTTTTATCTAGCGGAAGAGGTTAGCAAGCGAATGCTACGTAGCCGTACTAGAGAGAACGATTTGAAATGAATTAGCTAGCACCAATGCCGAATCTTATGATCCGACTGTTTTACGACTGCGAGGGGAGTCTGAAATATTAACATGTTGGTACTCTTTTTTTTCTTTACGGTTTTAGATGACGCGTTTGTTGTCGTAAGGTACCTGTTCTTGTCTGGGCAGTTCTGGGAAAGGTGATCTCATCTTGGAGGAGACATTGTATCCGAAGCTGGTTTTCTATTGGCATTGGGACCGGTATTATGGAGCTTGAGGAATGCCCAGAGTTCTTGACTGCCGCAACTAGTTAAGCTTATCTGAATCTCACTACCGGATCGGGTGCTGGTCGTCGATCACTTAGCATTTCCTATTCTGGACGTACCAACCCGAATAGGATACCAGAATCCAAAAATATCCCCCAACGTAAAACCGTTCTGATAAGATCCTATCGCAAGCGCTGAATTATGAGACGCATGGCAAAACAGGGATCCAGCTGGAGCCTAGGGCGGCGATCATTTGAAACGGCGCCTCAGCTTAGGAACGTGGTATTCCTACGACCTCATAACCAACAATTCTGAAGAACTTTCGTGCGGCCGCGGGGTCGCCGCTGCGAAATGGCAAGGGTACGCCACTAGGTATATTTCGCGAAGATCTCACTAACCCGTGCGGCGTGAAGTGCAGATGTAGGCATACGAAACAAGGTCTAGCATCCGGATCGGGGCAAGGATTAAGCGTATTACAGCTGATGGTTATGCTTATTTTATCGTTAACTACTATGATCGAGCATACGAAACATGTGGCACGAGTGGGAGATATGCTCGATTAGAAACCCACGTACCTATTCTGGCCATTCCCTTAACGGTCATTTTCAACTCCACCTAGATTGGATTTGGCAATCCAGCGATCGTCCTCTCGGCTGCTAACGGGGTGGTGGAAGTTCTAAATATGAGTTTTCATGTTGAATGAAAAGTTCATGATAGCCGACCGAATCGAGCGGCTTGGAATCACATGAATGGCCAAGATAAGAGATAATTCAAATTAAACGCGTCGCGGTCGAATTTTTAGTTAAGGAAATGAGCTACCGGTAAAACTGACGGTTTCGTTGATGAAAATCGACCTGAATAGGAAAGTCCTTTTGAGGAGTGGAGTGTCATCATGCTTAGCTATGGCTACAAGATGCGCTTTTCGCTCTCTTGCAGCTGCAACCACGTGGGTACAACATATAGCCTTCCCCGTGAATCCTTCGTTAGCCAGGGTTCTCTGTTAGACCCTAGCTTTCGACTTACTGCCGAAGGACCTAGGAATATTTTATTTCTATAGAACCCTAGGAAGCCCGGTTCGCGTGGCCCCTTTTTCTTGTTTCACTTGGTTGACCAACTGAACAGTTGCACAGCACAAGATGAGTTCGACAAGCAAACATCCACTACGAAAGTCTTGCGGCTTCTGTCGTTCCCGCAAGATAAAATGTTCCAACGAGACTATCTGCGAAGCTTGCCGTAAGCAGGGTGTCGATTGTATCTATGATTTCGAACCGTATCAAGCACCTTCACGATATGTATCTCGGCAACAAACAGATCGACAAAGTCCTAATCCAGGTTTAGTCGAGAAAGATGGAGGGTTACAAGACACAGCGCTGGGCGCCTCATCCAGCATCGCATCGGAACTAGAAGCCATTTTCATTGAAAATTTCTCGGGGCGGAGTAATAGGACGAATTCGAATAACTGGCAGCAGAAGACATCAACTCTTCGCACGTCGCCATCCGTCAACCATTCTGATCGGAACATCGGATCGCATGCCGCCAAGTATGCCGGTTTACTCTCCTTACTCACGGAAGACCTAGTTGCAATGGTCGTAAACAAGCTTGGAAGTCTAGGATGTGAGGTGGTGGAGAACGGCGGAGCCAGGTTCCTAGCTGATGGCCTCAAAGAGGATCGCACAGACGCTATGTTTGATTCCATAACCCCTGGACCAAGCCCCTTGGCAGAATATGGAAGCCGGAAGACCACACAGCTCATTGATGTTTGGTTCTCAACTCATCCACTGTCTTTCTTGTTATCCAAGACGCTGGTTATGCATGAGTTGCGAGGCGAAACTGTCGACGAAACCCTCCTAGCGGTAGTCTTGGCTGACGCCAACTTCTTCCTCGACGACGACGCCGCAAGGGCTCGTGGTCAAGTACTTCTTAGCTATGCCACAGCCAGACTTTCTACGCAAAGATTCTCTAGAACGCCGGGTTCTCCCACGCTTCAGTCAGGAACTAGGCAATCCATCCTACCCCACCCGACCGTTTCCGCAGTCCAGGCTCTGACACTCCTGGGATGGAACGCGCTTTGCCAATCTCAGATCCGCCGGGCGACTTGCTATATTGGCCTGGCGAGCCGTTTGGCCACGGAGCTCAAGAATCAGAAATGGTCGGCCACCGCTACTGGAGCCGGTAGCCGCATCAACGGTATCGACATTTGCGAAGTTGAAAAAGAGATGGTAGCTTACCTGTGGTGGATCAATTTTATACTGACTCAATGGATATCCATGCAAATAGATCAGCAGCTTCCCTATCTTCCCCAAGCCAGCTTAGAATCAGCATTCCTTCCCGTTGATGCTGCATCGTCGGTCCTGATTCAACTGGACGAAGCTTCGGACAATTTATCTACGGTCCAAAAGCAGAAGGTTGCGCTACTAGACATATGGCCCTTAGTACATATTTCGTCGGTAATCGCCTATATCTGCGGCCTGTATCCACAAGACCTCTCATCAAACGGCCTGCATGGAGCCGGATTCTGGCAAGAAGCTCCTGGACGTATCCACAACGGGTCAATCCCGCAGAATCTCGTATTAATACAACAGGAAGTTCACCGGGTACTCGTCGAAAGCATCCACGTGCTGGATGGTAAGATTAGCCACGTCCCATCACAAGCCCTCGTCCTCGCTGTCTATCACACAATAGCAATCCACATACTGTTCCCATCTTCGGAGAGAGGTTTTGCGGGATCGGTTCTTACCGGAGACGTCATTCACCAGTTTTGTATTTCCGCAGAAGAGCTCATCGGAATCATCACATCGACTTATGAGCAGACAGCTACCAATCCGTTACTTCGAACACCACCTCAGTTACATCCATCCTCGGCGGAGATATTCACACTCGCCCTGGACACCTGCGCTCGGGCTATGTCGGCGATCAACTCAAGGAGAGGATCAGTTCATAACGTCGAAGTATACACATTGTATGAGTCTAGGCTCCGAGTCCTCGCCACCCGGCTAGATGAACTTGCCCAAGATCAATTCTTCGGCCCCGGACCGTCTCTCCGAGCAGTGAGAAGACATATTAGGAATGCAGTGATGGAGTTTGGGATCAGCTCACCGGCAACGAATTATCATTGGCAGAGAAGGCCAAGCTCTTCGCTTTCTACGAGCTCGGCCTCAGTGATGGAACAAGAACACTACGTACATGGGCCACCAGCGCTTTCACCTCCTCAATCCATGGGCACGAGTTTATCATCAACTCCATTATTGTCGGATAGCTATAGGTCGTTTGTTCCTACGGGTTTCCAATCTACATCGATTGACAATAGCAACATAATGGCAACGGCAGGACCTGAAGCTAATGCTCCAATGGAACATCAGTGGTTCCACTATGTTGGAAAGCATGAAGACGATGGCAGCGGATATAAAACAACGGGAACGAACATGCATGCGGTGCATATGAGGGAGGTAGACGAAGCGTCTTGGTATCAGGATGAACACAGCATCATGGGATTTGATATTCACAACATGGAGTTAAACGGGCCTGTCATTTGGCAGAATTGGGCAGCAACATCATAGAGCTGACCTGGAGTTTGGGACCGGAGAAAAGGGGGAGTTTGGGTTATAGGTGGTTTAGTGCTTTATCGTGATACCAATTGTATAAAAAAACGCATAGACGAATAGGGGTGACGACTGTATGAGGAAGAAGATCATGTATAATAGCTAGGAAACAACACAATCGTTATATAGGTATTCTAATAATTAGGCACCTTTTGGCGTGAGTCAACCAATTTTCGCTGGAAGCGGTGAATGCCAAGATGTACCCCTGTTTGACCCCTTTTTCACTAACAAATTGAGTGGTAATTGTCAAATGTCAGCCAATTTACTCGATGTTTGACTAGACAGCTATTCAAGGCAGTCTGTAAAACATGGATGGATTATTTACAGTGTATTTAAATAGCCTGCTAGACGTGTTCGTCCGTGTAGGGCTGGTCGCGTCGCTGAGATGGGTTTAGCTAGATTCCTTCAGGGCTTACCTGCGGCGTCAATCTTATTAGAACCATCAAAACGACACCCGACCGCCATAATCGACACGCATCTTCCTGCGTAGATATGAACAGTTCCATTCGCTGACAACGCTCAAATTGAACTCAGCGTAGGGGTGAGTAATAAGTGATAGCCAAAGCTGAAGAAACAGAATAGGATTCTGAGCGATGAAAGGGGCCTAGGACCGTAAGCACTGCCCCACCAAGGCATGCCATTATCGTTCGACGGATAGAATTTGCACCGTCGGACTTGAAGTCTAGCCCCTGACAGTCGCTTGTTACTCGCTTCCCTTCCGAGTATTCGGCGAATAATATGGGGGCACCGCCCCGAAAACACCTGCAGCCAGTCGATTCAACCGGAACGGTCAGATTAGTAAGTGAAGAATCGCAATTAAGATGCCTGAGTGGAACATAGGAAAATACTGCCGTTTCGAAAAAGGTCTATTTTGATATTGAATGTGTGCACCTCTCTCGCCTCATCTGAGACTTCATATAAGCTGGCGTTGGCTCCATTGCTTTGCGCCCAGGTCTCTCGGTCTCCTATCACACAACTTATCGTACTACAAAGCTATCACTTAGAATTCAAAAGCTTTCTTCTTTCCTTAAACGAGACATCTAGCTGCTATACGAAAGCAAAGCGCTATTCACATATCTTCCATATCCTAGATTCCATCTCTCACCTACGCCATAATGACCGCCTGTCGCAAAGTCGTCATTACCCAATTCGGCGACGAGGACGTCCTCAAGGTCGTGGACGACATCTGCCCGCACCCGCCCGCAGGCCACATACAGATCGTAGTAAAATACGCAGGCTTCAACGGCGCCGACGTCAACATGCGCAAAGGCATCTACCCCTTCCAGAAGAAGGCGCCCCTCACGCCGGGCTACTGCCTCGTGGGCAGCGTCCGCGCCAACGGCGAGGGCTGCGCCGCCTTCGAGGTCGGCGACGTCGTGGGCGTCCTGACCAAGTACGACGCGGACGCGACGCTCGTCAACCAGCCGGAGAAGTACGCGATCCGGGTCCCGGACGGCGTCGACCACGTGCAGGCGACGGCCATGATCAGCGACTGGTTCACGGCGTACACGATGATCAAGCACACGGCGAAGGTGGCGCGGGGCCAGAAGGTGTTCGTGCACGGCATCAGCGGCGCGGTGGGGTGCGGCCTGATGGAGCTGAGCCGGCTGGAGGGGGCCGAGGTGTACGGGACGGCGAGCGAGCGCAACCACGACGAGATCCGGGCGCGCGGCGCCACGCCGTTCGCGTACACGGACAAGCGGTGGATGGACGTGATGAAGGAGCTCGGCGGCGCGGACGTCGTCTTCGACCCGCTCGGCTTCGAGAGCTTCGACGAGAGCTACGCCGTCCTGTCGCCCAACGGCTTCCTCGTCGCTTACGGCAACAACAAGAGCGTGCTCGAGAACGGGCAGGCGCGGAGCCCGTGGGGCCCCGTCGCGAAGCTGATGGCGCGCAACCTGAACTTCATGTGCGGCAAGAAGGCCACCTTCTTCGGCATCTCGCGGGACCAGGCCACTTACAGGTCCGACATCGAGGCGCTGCTGCAGATGCTAGAAGCGGGTACTATTACGGCCCCGGTCAAGAATATCTGGGATATGGAAGATATCAAGACTGCGCATCGGGAATGGGGGCGCGGGACGGGCATCGGATCGCTGTTCATCAAAGTGGCTAAAGAGTAGGTAGGGTAGATTCGTGGACGGTTAGATCTCTTTTGTTATGACAGGATTTTCAGCTCGGGCTAATTATTTGGAGTTTGCGATGGAAAGATGGAAAGTTTCCCGGTCATAGTTTTTTCTGTCTTGATACCAATACTACAGGAAAGCCTCTTACGCAAAATGGCGTTCTTATAAATTGAATCTACGTCGTTGTATGTTGATATTCCAACCCTTACATGCACAAGCCGGGCGTAGTAACCTTGTAAGCTAGGTTTTCGGACTTCGGACTTCCTCAGGATTGTATTTATAATCCTACCTAACCGCTACTTCATACAGACACCTTTTGACCCACACCCTAGGACTGGGTGCCTGGGGTGGGAATAGCGGACTTAACGAACAGTCTTCCTTCACCATCGTGTACCGATGACAAATGTCAGAAAATCTCGGAATACCGAAGGAATCAATTCGTATCTTCACTTCGCTTCGTCGCTCTATATTCCCATAGCATATCGTCGCTGAATAGGTACATAATTCTCAAGAATGACCAAAAGTGGCGAAATAGAGCACCTCCGTAGATGAATAATGATTGAAGAAAATTCCAAACCACACCCTCGTACGGATGACGGTCGAGGGGTGGGGTTGTGATGCCAAGTTTAAGCTACTCAGCTACAGAGGTGCTTACATGGGTATGCACCTCTAGCTGGCAAGGTGCTCAAGTATGAAAGGCGCATAAATTCCAGAAATTCTCATTCTGTTGGAGTATAAGTGAAGCTTCTTCAATCTTCTGATCTTCCTTGCAGACTCACATTCTAAGCACGATCCAACAATGTCTAAGCTCGCCTTTACTCCGACGATACCTCAGGGCTCCACGATTCTGGTCACCGGTGCCAATGGCTTGATTGCTTCGCATGCGGTCGATCAGTTGCTAGCTTTTGGCTATAACGTTCGAGGCACCGTCCGGGACCCTTCAAAATGTACGTGGATGGAACCGCTATTCTCGTCGCGACATCCTTCTAGTCGCTTCGAGTTGGTTCAGGTTTCCGACTTCGGCGCCCCTGGAGCTTTGGACGCGGCAGTCAAGGGGGTCGCTGGCGTTGCAGCAGTGGCCGGCGCGGCTGCATTAACGATTCAGGACATTGATAGTGCACTTGCGGAAGAATGGCCGTGGAACGAGTCGCTCCTCCGGGCGGCGAAGAACGAGCCTAGCGTCAAGTCTTTTGTCTACACCACCAGCGCCTGGTCCGCGTACACCCCAGACCAGACCAAGAAGACCAAGCTGACGGAATGGTCTTTCAACGAGCATGCAATTCAAGTAGTGAGAAGCAATGCTACTCCTGAGGAGAAAGGCATCAAGCCGTACATGGCATTCAAGACCTTACTGGAGCAAAAGCTTTGGGACTGGGTTAGGAGAGAGAAGCCGTCTTTCACTTTCAACTCAATCCTCCCCGAAACTGTCATTGGCAAGTGCCTCGACCCCAAGGGCCAGGGATTTCCGAGTACTTGTGGGATGGTGAAATGGGTTGTCGACGGAGTTAACCTGGATATGCTCGCCTCAATCCCGCCTCAATGGCATGTCGACACCATCGATTGCGGGTTGCTTTACGTAGCAGCTCTAATCACTCCGGGGGTCAACGGAGAAAGACTTTTCGGGTTTAGCGATCGGTATAGTTGGCCTCGAATCGGCCAAATTCTGCAGAAGCTGTATCCAGAGAAGAAGATACCTGTTATGGAGGATAATGGCTGGGATCAAACAGATGTACCAAACCAGAGGGCTGAGCAGTTGATCAAGGGTCTAGGCCATAAGGGGTGGACTAGCCTTGAGGAAAGCGTCAAGGCTTGTGCAGAGGGCTTTATGTAGCCGTAGTGATAGGGAAAAAAAACTTGAATTACTGCTCAATTGTGTACATGGTATAACGAGTTGAACCTAGAAATTAAAGGTTGAAAAGGTGGCTATTCCCAATGTCCTTTTTAGAGCTTTTCGTGTGATAGTACTTCATTATTTTTAGCATGCGCGGGCTTATTCTTCCTCCGTATCTTCGCTCCCGTAGTCCGTTTCCAGTTCATCTTTCTCTCTACGTCCCTCAAACTGCAACCACTTCGCGATCCCAACAATCCCAGTATCATCAGCGTTGTCGTCACCTCCGGACACCGCCGGGATGTTCTTTACGACGTCAGTGTCAAGACCAATTTCGTTCGCCAACGCAAGCAGAAAAGAGCGTTTTAGATAGCGACCTTTTGTAGCCCAAAATCCTTTTTCGAGCTGATTCGGTAACACTTTACTCGTGTCTCTGCGGTATTCATGCCTCCATGCTAGTCGTAATTGAGCAGCCACGAACAAGAAATATAGGTATCGGGCTCTTGGGCGAAAATCGTTTTTGAATGCGAGTTTCTGTCCGTCGAGGTCGCGCATCAGGATAGGCTCAGGGAGGGTTTCTGTGGATTCTTGCACCACGCTGTTTAATATGTCTGCATCGGGGTCCATGATTCTCCACTTGTAGTCCTTCGGTGACGTACTTTCCCAGGCAGTCACTTCTTCTACCGATGGATCGTCGGGCAGATCTGGTACAATTACAATGGCTCCATCGTCCATGGCCTTTTCAGCAGCGGTGTTAAGAAGCAGGCCGTTGTAGGGGGTATCTAGCTCCCCCCTGACGTCATCCCCGAAAAGCGCTGCCAGTATGTCTTCCCCCAGAGAATGCGGGACGAGATGGGTCGCTTTGATTAGTTCCTTTTGCTTGTGACGACCGGTTGCACTGTCAAATATCATGCTGTGCGCAAGAGGCTTCTTCGAATGGACTTCTGCGTCGTAAGCCTGAATTAAATCTTGCCTAAATCTTAACTGTGCACTTCTTGGTCGTTTTCCAACATCTGCTATGTCAACATCAAGGCCAATTTGGCTAGCATTAAATAGGACTTCGAAGTCATGCTGAACCGGACCCCCTTTTCGAATTAGTTCTGCTTGTTTTTCGTAGCACACCTTTTCGTAGTTTGATGCCTTTATTCGGTCGACTATGGCATGTGCTTCAACTGTGGTCCGCCAACTCTCCGTATCACCAGCTACTTCGTCTTCCTCCCACATCCGTTTTGCAAGATTCATTTCGGCCTCGTAAAATTTAACCGAGAGCTCACTTGCTTTTGCTACCGATGTCCAATATTCTACATCGAAGCTGTGAGAAATTTTTATCTTTTTGCGCATATCGTTAACGTGCAAACGTAAGTATGTCCACTCCTCCTCTGCTGCATCTCGTTCATGATCCATTAGGGTTCCCTGGGGGGTTTCGGATGGCATTTTAGCCACTGATTTAGTAGGTACCTAATCGAAGAAGCCTTCAGAAATTTATGAGCCGCAATTGTAAGTGGTGTTAGTGGCTTTAGTGATTGTAAATTGTGAGTGGATGGATAGAGAGAAGAGGAGAAGTTGAAGGAATCAATTGAATGGGAAAACTATTGCTAAGGAAGTTGACGTTGAAGTTAACGGAAGGGGTTACCTAGGTGAAATGTTAACTTCAAGGAGTAGCAGTTGGCACTAGGTGGCAACAGCTGGAGCTCAGCAGCTGTAGTTCTTGCCAGCTGCTTAAAGCAGGCGCATTTTAAGGTTAGGCTCTACGACAAGGTACATCCATATCATTCATTCTATTTTTGAATTTAATCTAGTAGGTACCTACGTACCTACGTAGCTCAGGAGTTGAAGTTGGAAGGAACAAAATCCGGTGTGATGTCATTTGGCATTGTGTAACAATGACATCAACACTTACCTATTTATCAAACAATAAAACATCTATCTAAACATGTGAATCTTTGCAAGATATTAACTTACCTATGTAATTAACAACTTACTGCTACACGACAAAACGAAGCTACTTATCAAATCCCATTCCAAAGAACTCGCAAGAAAAATTACCATGGCATCCACCGGCAACCCAACTAGCGGCCTCTCGCGAGAGGCGCAAGCCCAGCACAGCACCTCTTCAGCCGGCAAGACCAACATCACGAACGACGGCACGATCGTCAGCACCGCGGACCCGACCGTCAACCCCTCGGCCACGGCGGGCCAGAAGCTGAAAGGTGACGTCGGCGGCGCGGTCAGCGGCAGCATCGGCAGCATGCAGGCGGCCACAGGTGCGGTGTTGCGCAACAAGGGCATGGAAGAGAAGGGCCTGGCCAAGATGCAAGCCGAGGACGAGAGATTAGGTGCCAAGAGAGGTGTTATGCCTGTAGGGTCCGGACAGAGACACACTACAGAGCAGACTCAGGCTACGAGTGGTCCGACTGATACGACTGGAACTACCGGAACAACTGGAACTAGAACAGCAGGGACGACTGGGATGGGGAATGTGCAGTAGGTGGTATTGGTTTCCTTAAGGAAGTAAGGGGTTATGATTGTTATGGGGTATGAAAAAGGGTATGACTGTATGAATAAAATGGGTAGCTACCTACTCGATAACTAATACGCAAGAATGGTTTAGTGTGAGATTAAAAGGATCTTCAAGAATCCTTGATACTAGTCTCCGTTAGGCTCACATAAATCCGCATCTTCTTATAGGGCTAAATTGATTCATCTTTGGCCAGAGGCACTTGATGTTAGCAACAGCATTCTACTTCGCGCCTCTGCTTTCGAAGTGCGTTGACGTCCATTACTTAACACTATCTACCTAGGTAATTACTAGCAATACCAATTCACCTGAATCTAACCCCCACGTCTTCATATATTCCTTCCCATCCGGTAATAGCTAGGTACTTACAGTAGAAAAGAGGAATCCCAGTGGCATTTGCCTTTAGAATTCAACCTAATTAGCGTAGTTACAGACTTCAAGGGTGAACTTTAGGATTTTTACTTTAGCAGCTACGGCTGTTAAAACAAGGTTCAAGTTAGTACGAAGATTAAGTAAGAGAAATTGATGGCAGAGTTAGATGCAGGGTTGAAGTTGCCAAATAAAGACTACACGAATATAGAATCAAACGTCAATTGCTCGCAAGGTAATTGCAACCTTTGAACAAAGCAAAATATTACCTAAAGTCGGGTAGTACAGGCAGTATGGAGTAGGTGCCGCTCCCCGCAGTGATGTAATCGACTAGGCGCAAATGAGGCTCGAATTTCGTCACGAATTCCTCACTTTCAGCATTCCAGTTGCACAACAACGCCTTGATAATGGTTTCTAATACCAAATACAAAGATCTCGTAGTTTCCAAGTTCTAATATCACACGTTGAACATGAGGTGTTTCGACTTCAATGAATGCACCAACACGTCATGATATCGCCGGCCATTCGAAACATATCCCACCATAAAAAGCCGTTGTCTGGCATCGTTCTACGAGCCTGTGCTTCACTAAACCATTCATCAATTCCCCGCTATATCCCATCAATTTACACTCGAGCAGAGATGTCCAAGCCAATGAATCTCATTCACAAAGCCACCACCTCATCCAACGACGGCAACAGCCGCAATGACCCCTTAACCCGGGATAAGCTCTTCGATCTCAAAGGGCACGTAGCCCTCGTCACTGGTGGCGGGACCGGCATCGGGTTGATGGCCACCCAAGCACTTGTCGCGAACGGCGCCAAGGTTTACATCACGGGCCGCACCAAGGAGAAGTTAGACCGCGTCGTGGAGCTGTACTCGCACGGCAAGGACTCCATCGTCCCGATTGCCTGCGACGTGACGGACAAGTCGCAGATCGCGAGCTTGGTCGACCAGGTCAAGGCCCGCGAGGAATGTCTGTGCATCCTCATCAACAACGCGGGAATCTCGGGCGAGACGCTGCAGACGGAGGCCGGCTCCGCGCAGGAGATGCGGGAGAACCTGTTCGATACCGACAAATCTTCCGTGGATAACTGGACAGACGTCTACCGCACGAACGTGACCCCCATCTTCTTCGCGACTGCGGCCTTCCTCCCGCTACTGCAGAAGTCGTCTGAACGCTTCCCCGGCTGGTCCGGCACCGTGATCAACATCTCGTCGATCAGCGGCCTGGTCAAGACGGCGCAGCACCACTTTGCGTACAACGCGTCAAAGGCCGCCGCAATTCATCTAACGCGCCTGTTGGCCGCCGAGACCGCCGCGAACAAGTTGAAGATCCGCGTGAACTCGATCGCGCCGGGCGTCTTTCCCAGCGAGAGTGAGTGCATTGCCATGCTTTACGCACACGATTATGATATGCTAACCGGATAATGCTAGTGACGACCGAGGGTAGCGGAGGCGACCAGAAAAGCTATATCGAACGCGAGAAGTATGCGAAGATACCGGCCGGGCGACCTGGCAAGGATGATGACATGGCCCAAACGGTATTGTTCTTCGCTGCGAACCAGTACTTGAATGGCCAGACGCTGGCTGTCGATGGCGGATACACGCTGGAGGCTGGAGAGTAAAGGCCCTGTTCGGTATAAGACGGTCAAACATGTGCATTAGCCGGAGGTGACTAGGTAGATATTCTACCATTGAAGTTGTCACATGCATTCTTAGAACCTAGTGCTCACCTACCTCCTAGATGTTGATTTCAGCTCATATCAATAGCGCCGCCAAGCTCGATCTATCTCATCGAAACCCATACTATTGCTTTCAGGTGCCGTGTTCTGCTATAATTGCCTAAGGTCGGAGATCTATCGATAGTTAATGCTTTGAATCTTCGAATTTCTTAGATCCCGCCGGAAATATTGGAAGGATTTTGCCTTCTCCCCGCCAAGACTAGCATGCGTCGCGTCGTAGTATCGAGCTTATCTAACCCGCCCCTACATGATACTTTTTGGTTGCCCATGTGTTCTTAGATCCCGGATGATCTACTGCGACGTAATAGTCGATAAGACGTCGGTATAGAATGACATCAGTCGGACTAGGTATTTTACGCATGTTATTTTTTATCCTCTAGGTGCTGCAGGTAGGTATGTAGTTACAGTATTGTATACTTAAGTTGTCATGTATGATTTACTTTAGAAAAGTATATTCCATGGGACTTTATGAACCTTAAAAGTTCCCGAAGTCTTGTGAACTATTCGTTACTGACACTGGTGGGCTGTAGCTGGAGGCGTTTGGCTTATACGGTCACCAGCCTAACGTAGCCAAAACTGCACCTAGCTTTTACGATGCGAGGTTTACTACTAGTACCTAGTGTATGATGGTGTAACTTCTTCATCAAAACTCTCAATAACCATACGGACTAAAATAAATCTTACTCTTGTGTAGAAATCGGCTCTCGATTCATCGCATCTTGTCGGGTCTTTCCATCCTCTCTTCAGTATTTCCTTTTTTTGTTCCCTCGAAAATAAATCCATGCAAACGCAGCCTGTCACAAACCATGTTCCCGACGCGATGTGACACGATTCGATTCAGCTCAGCCCACTGCGGGGAGGAAGTAGTGGTGCCCCGTCTTTTCGCCCGCCCCTCGGGACGCGCCCACTTAACGGGTTTACCCATCCCCCATCCCCATTCCCCCCATCCCTAATACGTACATAACATGGATGCCCCCAGCGCCCGTAGTACAGCCACGGCAGGTACATACGTAAGCGCATGCCCATGTGTACATCCAGCATCCACACAATCCCGCTGCATCCACATTACATACACCTAACACCACTACGTACTGTATCTGCGCTGCGATGCGATGCACGCCGTGCGTACATACGCTGGCTGACCTCACGCTGCATCTGCGACCAGATCGAGGGCACATATGGATTTGATGTAAGCCCTCTTGCATCTTAGCAATTTAAGATACCTAACTTCTGTCGTACGGATTTCGTAATGCGCCTTAACAGGTACCTACGTACCTATGTATGTAGGTATTTTGCGTTTCTTTTTACATGCATAACTTACTTACCTAGGTAAACCATGGTTTATATGCTATGCTGGGTTTTATGAGGCAGGGTGACATCACGAACAGATTTAGGGTAAGGGTGATCTACTTTAAATCCCACTTCGCCCGCTGATCCGGCGGGCGGCGCGCCAACGACGCTAAGGCAAGGGGCGGGAACGGCAGCGGCTTTCGTAGCGTACCGCAAGGCTGGGAAAAGAGATTAGATATCGTATACTATTTTCACGTGCGACTGCATCACGACGGGGCTCCTTATCTCCCTAGGTAGCTCTTCACCGTGGCTACCCATTTAGTCTAATGGCTTGTACGAACTCATCATAGGGCACTTAGCTGGGTCGATATGGTCACAACTGCATGAGGGCATGATCGCATTCTGTTAATAGTTATAGGTAGCGCCCTTGAGCATCATATTTGATAACCTATCAACGGTTATAAGTAGATATCTATCTACCATGTCGTTCACGATGTTGTCAGGGGCCAAACTATGCTTGAGCATCATTATGCGCAGCTACGCGTCCATGACATTCTGTCATTAAACCTTAAAAACGTTCCTTCTCTGCAAGGCCGATATAACGCCACAGGTGATGCAAAGGTATATCCCTGGTTGGCGTAAAGCCCAAACCTAACCGAAGCCGAACCAAAACGAACCGAGTAACTGCTGAACCGACTGAAATCCTGTAGACCGAAAAGGGGAATTCCTCATGTGGAGTGGAGTAACTATGGGGATAGGAATCTGCTCACTCCGGGTATCATCGTAATTCTGTTATGCTGCGTGCCGAAAACCGAACCTGTGTCCCATGTGATATGGTGCCGTTGAATGAGTTGACCTTCCAACCCAAATAAAACCAGGGTAACAAAGGAAAGGAAATGTGTATCGCCGAGATCGTCTGTGATCAAAAAATGCAAACCGCCCCTAGGCTAGCCCATCCAACCCTGACCCAGAGTATGCACAGATCAATATCCGAATCATCCATAGAACCCCAATTGTTGCTTGTGGGAACTCAGCCCGAGCGCGATGACCCATGCCTGACGGACCACGGAGAAAAATATGGACATGTCCTTTACATGTGAGGACCCATCCAGGCTTTGTCGAGCCAACCGACCTTTTCAAAGGCCGTCCACAATTTAGAGGCTTTGTTGACATCAATCTTGCAGGCCTGCTGCGCATCCGTCTTGCGGAACTCCTTTCCCACCTCGAGACACTCCCGGCGTCTTATGAACATCCGTCTCTTGCTCGTAAGGTACGTAGCGCAATCGAGTCGAAGGTTAGCGGCGAGTGCAACTTCGGCGGGGTGTAACAGATGCCGATGCGCATCATTGCTCAGATCGATGGGGGTTCCCTTCCAATCCACCTTCAGGCTGTTGGCCTTGCCCTGGAGCGTATCGGTGGGAGGACAGTAGTTGGGAAGCGACTCAAAGTCTTTATCCTCCCGGTTCGGGGCAACTGCGCGACGTGGCGAAGGATCAGCTGTCTCGCTGGGCAGGCGTTTGGGAGCTTGGCGCGGATTCTGGCCTGGACCTGGGGCCGGATACGATCGAATTGGGCGGGGTGCCGAGGGTTGGGACTGTGTTGTCTTCACGACCTTGGCAGGCTTCGTCTTAGCGCGCTGCGTTTCCTTTCGAATCTGTTGCGGCTTGGCGGGAAGAATTGGTTTCGGCTGCAGCTTGAGCTGATGGTTGCGCGATCCAGCTTTTCGGTCCGACAATAAGTATTGACGCTCGCGCTTCAGCCATGCCTTCGGATCCTTGGAGTAAAGCTTCATGACCTGGGAACTGAAATACAGGAATAACTCATAATCCTCCTGATTCGGTGGGGCCGCTTCTTTGAAGAGATCCGCTGGTCGCGAATTGACATGGTCGTCCACAATTCGACGGATATCGGTGGGTTCGTCCTGACCGAAGAGCGGTCGCTGCTGGGGTGAGTTGGTGACATCTTGTGAGGGGTACAGGATCGGATCCTGCACGGGAGAGGTCGTCGGAGACATAGCAGCGACGGCGTGATCAACGGTCTTGGATGCGGGAGAAATGGGAGGCGACAGAGGCGGAATTGGGCCCATTCGTCGAACATCAGATATTGTCGGACCCATGGAATTAGAATCGCGCCTCTGCGAGAATGAATCGAAGCGAGGAGGTTCGGGAGGAGACATCAAATTGCTGATGTCGAGCGGCTTCTTAACGCCCTGCTCTGTTGAAAGTCCAATTGGTGCCATTGACTTCTCCATCTGATGATACGAGCGCTGTGAAGTAGTTGGGAGAGATTGTGTTGAAAGCTGAACGCCGAAGGTAGGATCAGACTTCATCATAGCATGAGTTGGCGACGTTGGTTTGTCAGCCATTGCGAATGTGGGTCGATAGAGTGCGAAGTGGCAAATCAGGCAGAAACCTAATTGCGTAATGAAGTCAAATCGGTCAATAGAATACCAAGGAGTAAACGATTTACGCGATTGCGATTGCGACCACGAAATATTGAATTGATTTCGTTGCCGAAATAATTCAAGTTTGCGAGGCCCAAGTTTGGTGGTGGGGAGACAGAAGACTGTAGATAACGAGATATATATGTCAGGTAGAATGGTGGGTGTTAGAAGTTGGGAGAAAATCGAAGAGCCAAGATTGGTTTCGGAGATAAGGTATTATATAGAATTTCCTTGTCCACGCTCCAGCACAGGCCGCGCTGTCCAAGAAAAGGAAGGGGCCTTAGGAGGTATGATCAAGTAAGTGATTGGCGACTGTTCAAGTCGTATTGTAATTCTCGCAGCGACGGCGAGAGCGGCTGTGAATTGATGTCGAGTTGAGGACCACCATTTGCGGGGATGGGAGCTCAGGTAGTTAATGGTGCCGGTATAAAGTACCTGAAGGTCTAATCGCCGAGTCTAGCAGTACGCATAAAACAAAACGGAACTGAAAGCTGTTTATATCCACGGCGGCAAGAATTGGTATTAGAACGATGATTGTAGACGGTAGAAATGGAGGATTAGATAGATAGATAAATAAATAGATAGACGAACAAGGCGTAGGTTGGCAAGTCAGAAATAAGGAGTGGGAGCAAGAAGTTTAAGAAGGAAGGGTGGACAAGATAAACGGCAGAGAGAAAGTAGAGAAAGTAGATTGTTGTTAGCCTTAACACTGGTGGTGACTTCAGAACTTGGTCTTGTTTTGGGGTCCGTACCTCGTCGGATATAGACGTGGATGCGTCTTGATGGTGGTGTAGTCGAGGAGTCACACTCCTCTGCCCCAATCCACCCAATAGTCATCGATGTCAGTCATAAGGCAGGACCAGACAGGGCAGACGCGGCGTGGCGGGTGGCAGGGGTGTGCAACATTTGGCGTTGGCTTTATTTTTGGGACGGCCAGGACGGCCTGTCCTGCGTGAAAGTCAATCCACCCCTAGTCCCATAGTCCCCGTACCTGAATGTACCTAGCAAGCACAGGTACTTTCAAGGTCGGAGCAGTGACATCCGACCCACTTTGGATTTCTGTCAGCCAACGAAGGGTTTTCCCAACTTCGCATTGGAGACGATCAATCTCATCTCTCTTTTCTGGATGTCTGTATCCATGTACACATCCATGAGCATATCCATATTATTTGTATACCAAATGCCACCATCCATCCGGCACAAGGATTAGACGTATCGACACATTGACGTATTGACGGATTTCGAAGCTATTCGAATTCCGTGGACGCTTTACGGGGTACAGAAGCACGGAGATACGGATTACAGGAATTGTCACATACCTAATTGACAGCTCTTACAACTCAATTGTGCCTCACGAGCGACGCAATTGGGGAGTACAGAGCTTGTGTTAATTGTGTTGACTTTTGCAACGTGATCAGGCTTCAATGGAGAACAATTGCGAAAGCGTGAAAAACGTTGTTTGGAGAGTGGGGGGTGTTCGATCAAAGGGAAAGGGGGTGTGCCACACAACCCACACTGGAATACAGACAATAGGTACGCATAATACATACGCACAACACAACACATCTTCTACCACTTGGTGCGTACTAGCCGTAGTTGGCATCTGCATACCTAACTCAGGCACGTTAGGTACGATATGTGGTTAGGTAGTATGTATGTCGAGAGAACAGCTAGACGTGTCTGGATATAGCTCCCCCCCTCAGATAGAGGCCCAACTACGGCGCACAACGATTTGTCACACCAACGGTCCTTGCTAACGCGGGGTCCAATGATATGAGCGAATTGAGGTGCCCAATGTTGTCCGGTTCGCAGGACCTCAAGTAAACGGAGGGAAAAGATAAAAGGTGCAAAAAATTGGCACTCATGCAAAGTTGACGTCGACGGGAATAACCTTGGCGCATGAGATTCGCGCGAGATTAGGCACCGTAACTAATCGACGAATGCCGACTTTTTCCTGTTTACTTGGAAGCCATAATAGGCCATCTCCAACGAATTGACCCTTTTTCTAGAGGGGTCCTGATGCCCAAGCTTTGACCTCTCCCCCTATAAGTGGATCGAAAAGTTCGATCGAATACGGTTGAAATTGCGACAATAACGAAAGTGGAATTTTGCGTCGTGTCACGCAACGTCTGGTCGTCGTTCTCCTTGACAGATACTGTGGATGGGATTTGTGCAAACCAGGTGTTCCCAAACGGTTGGCCAATTGGTAAGCGTATGAGGTGGGCGATGACAACTACCAACCAAGGCAGTAAAGTAACACACGGATGAATCTGAGAGTTTTCGTGAGCTTCATAGCTGACCCGTACGTATCTGACATGTCATCATCCCGTTAGCCAGCAACTTTGCCAAGCTACATGTGCACGGAAGTTGACGAGGATCATAGATGTATATCGAGGAAGGCTTAGGAAGACTTTGGTGTACAATGTTATGGTTTTATGCTAGGACTACAATAATATGTACTTGGGGTAAAAAAGGGGCGCATAGTATGAGGGTTTTAAGTTGGGAATAAAACAGCAAGACAAATACCTACCTGAGTACATATGTCTATTTGCCATTGTGCAGGAAGAACATTATGCAATGGATAGGAAACTCACAGCGGAGTATCTTTTTCCTCTTGTTAAAAACCTGATTCTAATAATTGCCGGCCATCAGTTCCCCCGGAGCTGGCTTGGGATGATAGAAGCGCAGTAGGATGGGATCCTGATTTTATTACCTAGGTTGGTAGGTATTAGAGGCGCGACCGCGTTTTGATGGCGCAAAGACACAGTTCGTCATCCGGGGTTGACCCAGCATAAAATCCATAAATGAAATGCCATTTCTTGCATTGATAGATGATAGAAGACTCGAGGTGGGCTGAGCGGGTAGAGCGGCTATTCAGCAATAGATCCGGGCACCTAACCACCTAGCAGATGAAATGCTTCGGGAACAGACGCGATTGAGCAAACAATTGGACCAGCCCAGTAGTTGGATAACGAAAGTGAGGAGAAGAAGCCAGAACTGCCACCTCAGTCACCTAGACCGACGAAAAGAAGCAATTGGAAGCTTCAAAAACGAATTGGCCAATCAAACAAGCAATACATACAGACGAGTGCCCATAATTGGGTGGATTCGACCGAGCTGAAAGAGCAGGTAGCCGTTTCGTCAGTGAGTCATAACTGTGAGGGCAGCGAGGCGAAGAATTGGAAAGAATTGAAAAAGAAAAAGAAAATTAAGAAGAAAAGGCAAATAGAAAATCGGAATTGCCATTGCTTAGCGAAATCTAGTGAGGGGGAAAATGCAGGGCTTGCTTGGCCCTCAATTGACATTCAAGTGCGATTTCATCGCTATTACTAGCTTATCATTGGATAGGCATAAGCAAGTACTTCCCTTCTAGGTTAAAGTTAATTTGCTGTTATATCTATATGTACCTAGGTAAACTAAATGCATTCTACGCTTTGAACGTCTAATACAATCGATAAGCTAGGCACTACTCGGGGAAAGTCTCGCAAGTACCATTTTTGACACCGAGGTACCTCTACGAGTCCCCACGTCAGAAGGTACAAAGCCAGATTAACCATTCACAACGTGTCATATGCTAAAGTCACAAGCCCCCCCAACCGTACCTCATTAACAGGGCGTATGAGAGTGATTAAAGTGGGTCTTTGGAGATGCTAGGAAGCTGCTAGGTGTGTAGGCAGGCTACAGATGCCATGTATAGATGCCATGTACAGATGGTACAGATCTCTTCTTCCACATCACAAACGCCAATCTTATGCCTGCCCCCAGATCTCTTAACTGCGTTTATGTGGTGGTAACAATTAAGGCCGTGGAGCATGTCGACAGTCGGCGAGATGTACAATGTAGGTAATATGTAATTTTCAGCCCTTTGGCCCTTTCTTCTTTTCGTTAGATACGCCTTGCCTCATCTTCATGAACGAATGCGGAATAACGTACAGTAGCACACAAAGTCTGGATTCTGGCAGTGCTAACGATATTCTGCTGCCTGGGCTCCGGGATTTACGGGTTACGGACCATTTTACCCTCTAGCCCTCGTGGCAACGGCGATATCGACCACGATGATCTGACTACTATCAGTTAGGTACCTATAATTTGTCATTGTCCCACCCGGACTTTAACGGATTTATTACTGATGACAAGCTTGGAAAACTAACTACCTTCACACTTAATCGTCATCAACGGAATATGGGCATACTAATGGCATTTCCCCGACGGATCCGGAGAGTCTTCAATTGACATTAGTTATGCCAATTGCTCCGCTGACCGAGCACGGTGAAGGCAGCTAGTCTATCAATTCCACCAGTCTCAAAGTATTCCCTGTTTCGACTGCTTGTTCCCGCTCATTTACGTTACGTTATGCTTGCCCCCAGCTCCGCCTCAAAATCTCTTATCATTAACATATGACAGCTTCAGTGGTGGGAGCACTGTCGTCGCAGATCCGAAAGTGCCCGAGCTCTGAGTGTCTGTGTGGTGAGACGTTCTCAAAAGCTAATTAATCGTGGTCCTATGAGCTGCGGTGCGACCAGGTTCTCAGGTTCTCCCGTATGCCTAACTAGGCACCACGTTTATTCTATTTGCCTAGAGGAGCCACGGGGGATAGCTCTTAGGAATTGCGCCTAATGGGAAGGCAGAAATGCTCGATTGACGGGCAACTTGCAGCGACTCCGTACATCTCCAATTGGTAGCCTCGAGAGTCGAGAGTCGAGACAATCGAAGCAAACAAGTAAGCACCATATTATCGCCACTTTGAACTCGACCATTGGGTATCTATCTACAAGATCTCGAAGAACGCCCTTCGATAGATATGGAGTTTCTACCTACCTAGGCACGCAGTAGTTAACCTTAGCTGTGTACATTTTCGAACTCAATTAGCAAGGCAATTGATAGTCGAGACCATCTACGGCCACGTCTGAGAAATCAAGACGTATTGCACAATACGATTGGTCCCGGCAAACCATTTGTTCGTCAATTGAGACCCAATTGCCGGCATAATTGCTTCATCTGCAACACGGCATGACAAATAGATGAACTACGGACCACGGACCAAGCAAGACCAAACAAGGCTTCTCTACGCTACCAAATGTTGGTTGCCTCACTCAAATTGAAGTAGGCAGTTGGCTATATTCGCAAGTACCGAAACCCCCAATACGAAGCCAGGTGCCTAAAAGCAATTGCCTAACAATTTCATCTCGTCAATCACTTGTGCTGCTTTCAACCCTACAATCGATTGATATTAGACAATGTGGCTGGCGCTTTGATGCTTATCGCGAGTGTCATACAGTTATGACCAATCTCATTATACGATTAGCTATGTGTGTACGGCCATCCACATGACCACAACACCCACAATACCTACGTACAATGTAGAGCGCCTAGTGGACTTAAAGGAGATGACGGCACGAACCTTGGGCGGCGGATCAGTTCGCCTAGATCCGCCCTAGCCGTCTCTTAGGCATGGGATGGCTGGTGAGACATGCAGTAGGTGCTGTAGCATTGCGCCCTACTATGTACTATCCCTACTATCATGCTATTTATGGTCATCCTCGTTATCTTATAATCGTTATCTTATTCTCGTCCCAGACATCCCTCCACTATGTAAATTGGTGATCACGTTTCTTCTATGGAGGTCGTCACTTGACCTCTTCATTCCAAGTTACTTCTTACCTTCCGAGACACAGTGGTAGTATCCTGAAAAGTCAGGCGCTGACGCTATGACTTTTATTAACATGGTGTGTAGGGTTGAATCCACTTTCACATGTTGGAGACGACGAAGAGTCGAAGACCTAAAGATCAACGACCCCGCTGCTGGTCCACGATGTTTCAAACATCATGATACCTACGTTGTACCTTCGTACCTCTGATACCCCGCCTGCCCGCCTTGTAACACCTGGGCGGCGGTCATGAAATTACGCATTATCGATAGTCTATTGTTCAATGTCACCCCTCCTTTTCCTCTCCCCCCTTTTCTGATTACCAGCTACAGCTACAGGGAGACGGGAGAAAACACTCCAATTCAATAATATCCATAAGATAGAAGTCTAGTTCCAGTGAACGGGATTGATGTTAACCATCATTCCTAATTGCTTCTAATTCGCAAATATATTCCCCTATCTCATCCCAGAACTTCTTGCCCAGGTCTCACGGACGAATGGGTTTTGCCATTCATCGAATTGCATTATCAATTCCCTCTAGAATTCGATTATTGATTACAGCCTGCATTACATTCCCATTATGTTCCCTCGTGCTCACGTAATCCCCCGCACCGGCCCGTATCTGTGCCATCAAGTCGGATTCGCTTTACGTGGTTATCGTCGAACCCTGACGATGCCTTAGTCCCTGCTTGCATGGACGTCTAGTCATCTTACCCAAGAAGACGGATCAGGGTCCAACGTGCATCGGCTTTAAGCGTCCGACTTTTCGCCATTCTCGACTAGCCGAAATACAAAATCTGCTCTGATCTTCGGTCAAGATGGGTTTATTTTTCGCGGTGCGCTGCCGTTGGCGCCGATGATTCTGTCCCCCCCCCCCCCCCCTCACGCAATATGGTCGTCAGTATCCATTTCGGGTCTCGCCAATTCCTAGTTGCGCGAGTTAAGGTTAGTCCGATACATCTGTGCCACTCATCTACCATGCTGAGGAGCCGAGATCATCGGCAGCGTCAGCAAGAGCCTTTCGTCCGTCCAATGGAGTGATCCGATTGTGCATTTATATCGCCCCGGCCCGCATTGTATTGCTTGGAATATGATATCTGAGAAGCGAATTGCCAGGTTGGGTTGCACGGTATTCTATCATGTCAGACGACCCGATCTGCCTGAGAAACCGGTGATTCCGGGAGCTTTGTTTATCTGCTATCTTGTTCGCTTGCGGCTCGTGAGGAAATGCGGCTCGTTAACTGGTGCCATGGGCCACTCTAGGTGGCCACTGAGGCTTTCTTAGGCAGCTTGGTGCTTGGTGTGATACAAGCCTTCTAGCCGGTGATTCATTTATCCCTTACGGCAAGCAAAATTAACGCAGGGTTTGTGCGTACCTACGCGGCTTAGCCTCTTGGTATTATCTTCTACCTCTGTAGTAAAACGTTGGTTTAGGCTTTCCGCCTAAGCCGCGAAGATTCGGTAACTTCCTAGCTATTCGAGAATAACGTCGACAAGACGATGGCAGCAGTATGGTGGAAGAGCACCCTCTACCCTTCGGAACAATTTGTTGAGGCTTGTGGAGCAATAGTATTTGACACTTCCACCAACCTTAAACGAGTCCTCCTACAACACTACGGCCCTGAAGACGAATGGCTGCTACCGAAAGGAAGACGAAACTGCAATGAGTCCCGGAAAGATGCGGCGATACGAGAAGTTCGCGAAGAGACTGGCTACGCGATCCAATTACGCCCGTTAACCATGGCTACTCGGGCACCATCCGACTTCGAATCAGCCGACGTCAAAGATGTGGCACGGACCTATGACAGTTTGACAGAGCCTTTCATGCTCGATGTTCGAGATCTAGGGAAAGGAAAGGGGGTCAAGTTGGTCTGGTGGTTCATCGCAGATTTAGACGGTATCGCGGGAGAGGGAGAAGTCCAGTTCAAGCCCGAATTCGTCGAGTGTGACAAAGCCGTCGAGAAGTTGACGTTCGAGAAGGACCGTGAGGTACTTACAAGGGCGTTGGAACTTATGGACCTCGCAGCCAATAGTTCCGAGGATGGCGTAGGCGTACACAATGGGCGGGCACGTGAGCCTCTGGCCTCACGTCTGACGACTACCACTCTAGGGACTGCGGCGTAATCTAGGCCTTAAGTATCAGCAATGGATGAGCTTTTCTACGCCATTAATCTTGAAACTAACCAACGAATGCCCGAGAAGAAAGTGGGGAACAAGTAGCCGTGCTTCGATTTAATCTATAAATCCGAGTCAATAAATGTGCTACTTTCTAGAAGAATAGTCGGGGCCTTCCGTTAAGTTATCTCACGTAGGACACTCAAGAGCCTCTTTCTAGCCCAATCATCCTTCTCGCGAGTGTTCTCACAAAACGGCCGCACCCACATCATGTAAGCAACAACTTGTGCCACCCACAAGTAGGCGGGGCAAGCTAGGCTAGATTCCCAATCTCGCGGCAACCCAGCCCATTGGGAAGATCTAGACGTCGCGCGACGGCCCGGGAATTCTTCCTTAGCCCGGCAGTCGCGTAGGGATTAGGTATATGGTTAGGTAGGTGACTAATGAAATGTTCCCGCCCATCCGGTCCCAGCTCGACGGAGCGATGTCAACCGGAACGCGGGGCCCATTGTATGTCGCCATCCCATCTCATTCCACATTCCCCTACTCCCCTCCCGTTCTCGCCACGAGGGTAGGTGGGTAAGGGTGGGTAAAGGGGGTGTTGCTGTATAACGCGAGACGGGGCAGGGAAGGATGGGAGGGGAAAAAAAAAACGTGTCGACCTGAGGCCGGTTGGGCCTACGTGCATAACGCAAGTGTAGCGTAGCGCGGTGCGTCACTTTTTGGGTTACATAAAATCTGGCGATTATCCTTTGTGGAGCAAACCAGGTTTGGAGGTTTTTTTTATGGGCTACAGTAGTAAGGCCGTAATTTTTACTTGCTTATACCTTGCTTTTTGTAACGGTGCTGATCTGATCCCATCCGGCCGCGGTGCGGAGAAGTGGGTTCGGAATACCTTCGCCGTCTTTTTGCTACCTGTGTGTGGTATGTATGTTATGTACGTATGTACGTATGGAGTGATTGCTGGCCGTTTTCTCCGCTGCGTCGGGCTGGAGGTTTTCGAGTCGTTGCTGGCGAGGTGGAGATGCGCCGGGCATGATGGGGTTGGGTTGGGCGGAAAGGGAGGAAGGGGCTAGAGAGACGAGCTGAGGGCGCGATGTAACGATTTTCGCGATGCGTGGTCGTGCTGGTTCTCCTTTTTATAGCGGCGGGAGGTTGTTGTGAGTGAAGGTAGATTGATGTACAGACGCGAATTGATACCTTAGGGCTTATGGTGATAATTGAAGCTTCGCGGATTCGTGCTAGATAGGTACGAACGAAGGGAGCCGTTAGGTCGTCTTGGTGATACTCCGTAGAAAACAGAGTGGTTTAGTAATGGAAAAGGTAAGATGGCTGTAGCTAGAAGCTTGCCAGCAAAGAAACTCCATTAAAACTATGAACTCTGCGTATTGATGTGTAATGGATATTACTAATAAGGCACTAAATATGAAAACACTACTTTGAATCCGGGCTCTATTAGGTGGTAATTCATTCATACTTGTTTGAGATTGTTTTGAATGTTGGTAAATCTTCTGTATCCCGAAGTTATTCGGAATGCCTATCCTGCTACCGTCATATCTGTATTCATGACATACAGCCATTGTGACATACCTTCAACCAAGCTCCTAGCAAGTCAACATGTTTCTGACAATAAAATAGTTTCTTTCTAGCTAATTGATGTACCTACCTGTAGCCGGGGCTTTGTATTATAGTACGAAAGATGTGCTAATATTGTCGGGTATATCTTCCAGCCCGACGGTAATGGTGATTTATGAGCTTGGTTTGAATTGGGCGTAAGGGAATATCCTCCTCCCCTTACTACCCTATCTACCGCAGCATATGAACTGCCGTCATTCCATTCATATACAGAACGAATGAAGTATAAAATACACGACGTAAGTTGTATTATGAGTGTTAAGTTACACAGAGTACAAAGCCCCTTTTATGCCGTGAACCCCTGAGCTCAGCCAAGCCACCCACCAAATACGTAGTAGAGGAATAATCCGCCCCCGAAGAGCGCCTAGACCCTTCTTACCTATTCAACGACATTTTTATATCCGGGTGACTTATACAGTTCTAACTAAGTACTTCACAAGTTGATCAAATATTTCCTTTCTCATTCCCCTTACTCTTAAAGACCCTAACCCTCAACCCCTTCCCCTTCGGAAACCCAGCAAACCACTCATGATACGCAACCCAGTCCTCGTCCTTCGTGTCGTGGATCCGCATATCGAAGCCCGCGCTCGGCCCGAACAGCCGCGACACGGCCAGGTACGCGTCGATGGTGGCGAGCTCGGTTCCCAGGCACAGCCGCGTGCCGCGCCCCCACGGCTGCAGGTACTTGTTCAAGCGCCTACGCTCCGCCGGGTCGGCCCAGCGCTCGGGGAGGAATTTGGTCGGGTTGGCGAAGATGGAGGGGGAGTCGTGGATGTCTTGGGTTGTTGTTGAGATGGTGGTCTGAGAGGGAGTTATTGTTAGCTACGTACCTACCTAGGAGAAAATGAGAAAGGAGGAGGGAAATGCTTCGTGAAAGTGAGTATTTTCGCAGACTGGGGTGAGAGAAGACTTACACCCCGTGGAATAACCCATTGCTTATACGTCAAATCCTGGTCCTCGCAGACCCGAGGCAACCGGCTCGGCGTCGGGTTCGCCAGCCGCAGGCCCTCGTTGATCACACCGGTGATGTACGGCAGCTCCCGCAAGTCAGCGTACTCAAGCGCTCCTCCCTTAGCCATCTCAGCGACGCTTAGCTCGTGGCGCAGCTTCTGGGCTTTCGCCGGGTCGCTGAGCAGGTTGCTCGTGATGCACACCAGGGTCGTGGCCGTGGTCTCCGTGCCGGCCATGATGACGGACCGGCTCTCGGAGAAGAGACGCGGGAACGTTTTCTCCTCCGCCGGAAGGTTCGAGGCCAGCAGCGTCTGTATCATGTCCTGCGGGCTCCCTGGCGCCGGCTCGGGCTTGTTCATCGAGCGGCGGACGCAGCTGATCATCGTCTGTCTGTCGTGTAAGCCCACTTTCCAGCACCCCTCATAACACGCAACGAACTGGATCCGGGATTTAGACACGATGACTTACATCCTTCATCCACATCACCCGCCCAAACGCCGGGTTCATCCGCCGCGCGATGCTCTCCGGCAAGCTATGCAGTACCGGCAGGAACAGGCCGAAGGTATGCCTGCTCCACATACTCGCCTTGACGACCATCTTCACGCTCAGGTTGAACTCGCGGTCGAAGCTCGGCTCGTCCAGGTGTCCGAACGGCGCCCCGAACGCGAACCCCGTCGCGACGTCCGTGGCCAGACACCTGAACGCATCGCTTAGACTCACCACGTTCCCATCCTCCTTGCTGTTATGGCTGTGGCTGTTACTGTTGCTGTTTTTATTGTCCTTATCGTTATTAGCAGCGACAGCGCGCAACCGCGCGCACAGCTTGTCGACCTGGGCCACGATGGTCGGCATGTAGCGCTGGATGTTGGAGGACGCGAAGTACGTCTGCAGCGGCCCCCGGCGCAGCTGGTGCAGGGCGTGCGACTCGGCCACGTTGGTGCTGGGGAACTTGCCGAAGAAGCGGAAGTAGAACCAGCGCGGCTTCGACGCCTTCGCCGAGTACTTGTACACCGCGTTCCAGTCCGGGTCCGCGATGTGGACTTCCCACGGGTTGATGCGGACTATGGGTCCTGGATGATGGGTTAGCTCAAACTACCTAAGTTGCCTTGAGATAGCCTAGGACTTTTGGCTGGGAGAAATGGGCTTGATAGGAGAAGGATAGGTAAGGAGGTTGGTACCGTAACGTTGGTGCATCTTCTGGATCTCGACCCAGTATCTACCCCCTCCATCTTTGATACACTGGTAGTAAGCTTCATAAAGTCCAGTAGAAGCGGCCAAAATTGGCCCTGGGAAACGAGCAAGAGGGTGAAATGTAAGTCTGTAGAGGACCACCGACAGGCTTCCGATGAATACGATAAGGGGTAAGTACGTCAATAGATAGATGCTACTCAGGCCATAAGGCCATATGATATTCATGTTGAGGTCTAGGTCTTCACTGAGATGGCTGTAGGAGGGCTTGGGAAGTCAGAGGAGCTTTGCCCGAGGGGCGACAGAGCACGACCCTACGTTTTATTCTACACCGGGACGAGATAAAGCAATGTCGAACCGAACCAGCGTAGGGCTCATTCACTCACGACGTCTTATGCGTTTTATGCGGTGTAACGATCCTATTTCTCCTTGGTCGAATCAAACTCAATGCCAGCGCCAGATCGGTACGTAACGTGCTGCTCCTTCGAACCGTGAACAAAGACTATTTATTCTCTCACCACCTTTATGCCGCGAATTCATACGTATGCCATCCGGTCCCGTCGGCAGATCCGCCGGGGGGGAAACGGACTAGATAAAGTTCTGAGACCTGTTTGAAGGCCGAGGCTTGCGTAAAACATTTTTAGCGCCGACACTCCAACGCTGAGTAGTCGTCGCAGCTTAATAGGATGGCATAAGCGGTCCGCGCGTTTGGCGCGAAGATGTCTCTGAATTTTGGATCTCGTGGCGTCTGAGTCGGATGTCTCAGTAGATAATGACGTTACCAACGGCTCTTATAATCTAAGACAAACCTCTTCGATGTGCGTGTCCGATCTGCTATCGATTCTCTTAGAAACTCCGTTTGACTATTGCAATGGAATGGCAGGATTGGAGGCGCGACTATCGAAAGAGGCTCCACATAAAGAAAGGAGAGCCGCAAGCCTGAGACAATATCACCGTGCCATCTTTCCTTTTCTTCTTAGGTGGAAATTAGGCTTTAAGTTAACCTTACATTGCCTAATAACCACCCAACGTCTCACGAAGGTTTCAACAACAAAGCTTACACCTTTAGGATCTCGACCTATCTTCAATCGCCATATCTAGGTCACACCATCGATTCCCGTCATGAACCTCAGAGGCTGGGTAGTTAACAGTTTGGCTCCGAAGTAAGGGATATCCCATACCTAATATCAGTTGGATGACCGCTGATCAGTATCGCATCAATGACGAAGAACCACAAGTCAAGAAGGTATTACTCTGTTCTCAATCCCCTAGATACATCACTCAGGTCCACGAGGTTGCCTCTCCAATCTATGTCTTTCCCCGCTATAATTCTTCATGATTCATAATCTTAATCCAAAAAAAAAAAAAACAACGCTTTCTCGCGTGGATATATCCCCCTTTTCTTACCTATGCAATAGAAAGAAGCGCAGCCGCCCGAGTATGCATATGAATGTTAATATCCCCTAGATCATCTTCGCTCTCCGAACATTCACAGCCCGCTACCGGCTATCTCCCACGAATGGTATAATCCTGGTCTCGCCCACGGCATGCACACACATATAAAGACAGATAATCTTGCCCCCCTCCTATCTCAATCACAAATACGGTTTTCTACCGAACACATATCGACACCTCATGTATCCATGCCTCTTCTTGCTCTTTAGTTCTTTCTTCATTTTTGCTAGTTCTTCCTCGTAGCCCGGCGTGTTCTCGCCCATGACCGTTTTCCATAGGAAGAGGGTATATCCTACGAGCGGTCATATGGTCAGAAAGGCTCGAAGGGAGAAAGGTTATCCTCACTCACCTTCAACGTCATTCAGCATGGTCATTTGGACGTACATGCCTATCTCGGCGAGCCTTTTATCAGCCGGCCATCCTCCTATCGGAAACTGGTTTCGTATGTGAGTCAGCTATTCTAGTGGGGGTGTAAGGAAGTAGCAGATTTAGGGAAAGCCTATGGCAGAAAAACAGGATAGATTGCGCCTTTTATCCAAGCTACTCCTTAGTAAGAATTACGAACTGGCATTTAGACTAACCTTGTAATCATGCACTTCAATACATTCGAACCCCGCCCTCTCGAACGCCTTTCTCTGGACGTCATCGTCAATCGGCTGGAATGAAACACCTAGTTTCGGCTGTGATTCGCGATACAGCCTATTCCAAAACGTTACGAAAGGACTATCTGCGGGAATACTGTCATCGTCGCTCCGGATATCGACATCCGCCTCGCAGCTCTGGGCCCAACCGCCGGGACGGGTAACTCGGTATGCCTGCCGCAGGAGTTCATCCCAGTCAGCGATGCCTCCAAACAGGTACCGCATGTGCACAAAGTCGAAGCTGTTCTCGGACCACGTCCATGGTTGCGTGCAATCATCCAGTTCGAACTTGACATTAGGAGGGACCCAGAGCGGTTGTGTGGGTGAGAGATCTGTGCCTATTACTTCCGCGTTCGGATACGCTTCTGAGAAGACGCTGTTACGAGTTTAGTGTCAGCTAGGATGACCGGTAGGTCCGTAAGGTGCCCCTTCAACTTGATAGGGGAATGGAAACGGGGAAACGAAATATACGGAGAAGAGGAAGACTAGGCCGAAAAACATGTCATCTCATTGTAACTTACATAGACCATATTCCTATATATAAGGTTAAAAATGATTATTTCGTAGGACTGGCTAGGCTGAGTTCTGGTGCTTACCTGTTCCGGTTCCAATATCCAGCACTCTCTAGTAAGGAGGTAGCATCAGCATCTTGTGATTGATAGCAAAGGTCCGACCTACTTGAACATTCTCTGGTATAGGAGCAAGGAATAGTTTATCTCCTATCAGCATAGTGAGGTAATGATGCCTATGAATGAAGGTCAGCGATTTACTTGAATATAATCATGAAGTGCCTTCTGCGTGATGAGTATACAGACAACCAGTCATTCTAGGCTCAATAGAGACGAGCTGGATACATGAAATTGGAGTATATTTGATACGTACGTGATGTCTTGAGATTGGAGTTGCTGCTCATCGTTCGGTATGAAGTAGGAACTATTATGCTTCTCGCTATGGAACGTCCGCCCACCGATAGTCCTGTATTCCAGGATACTGGATGTGATAGAATGTATAACACTCGAGCTGTGAGAAAAGTCAACATTGCGAGTTCTCATGAGATAAGAAAAAAATACTACGTTAAGTACAAAAGCGTCATCCCCTTCATCAGCAGCTCAGAGGTGTCTCGGTGAAAAGAATAAGGCAACTAACGCATCGTCTCCTAGGGCCGAGTCTACATCGTCGTCGTCATCCTGTATATAGACCTCCTGTAAGTTCAAATGAATTGGTTAAACCCTGACTTTCTCTGACTCAAGAATAATACGAAATATATCGTCACTAGCATCGCCTGCTGTCAATAGGCTATCGCTGTGTTCGTCCCCCACACAATGGCAGAGACGTATCATTTCATACCTCTTCATCTATATCGGAAGCAACCATAATCGCCGCTGGTTCGGGCAGGTTTGGTTGGGTGCTACCAGAACCGCTGCCGCCGGCCCCCGCGGTAGTCGGTTTGTACGCCATCGGGGATTTTGCACTAATGAATCCTTTGGGTCAGCTCGTTTGGGAGGGGTTACGTTGTGGGATATGACTTTCGCCTCAGCTGGGAGGGCGCCAAACGGGTGGGAGGGGATATTTTGATAATACGACAATATGTCAATGACAAGAAGTAAAAGCAAAACAAAACCGAAACAGAATAAACACAGAACGGGGCGAAGGAGCGTGTGGGCGATGGTTAGAATATAGAATATAAAATATATAAATAAAACTACACACTTTGGGATCTTATTTCCAACGGTAATACAAAGTAGTAACCCTCGTCGATGGAAAGATCCGAAATAAAATGAATTGACGGTTTATTCCTTGCCAACAAGGACCCAAGATTCTCACTATCGACAATCGAAGTATGGTCGAGGACCGGGATTGAGACGAAGGGTGAGGAGGACGAGGACTGGGTAGGTAGAAGGAATTAAAGAAACTAGGCAGTGAAAAGTAAAAGAGTTCTGAGAGTGTAACAAGTAGAAATCGAAGAAATCGACCCAAGCCCAGCGCAGCGGGGTATTTCCAGATTTCTAGGGTGTCACCCCGGGAATGGCCCCAAAATTTAGATTCCCAGTCGCAATACTGGGCAGTCGCGGTGGATGAGTGGACGGGTGGATCCCAAAGAGGAACCGCAAAGATGCAAGTACGCTACTTGCTTGCTGTGCTTGCTGCCTTCTTGCCCTCTTGGAGCTTGGTGCTATTTTTGACTTTTCTCGATTATAATGGCGGTCAGCGATGAAAGGGCGTCGTGCTTGCCAAATGTCGAATGCTCATTTACCGCGTATTGAACCTTATGTTTACTTTTTTACTTTCCCACCCATCAAATCTTCCCTCTTATTTTCCTAAATTAGAATAGGGGTAGGTAAGCTTTAAAGCTTAGGTTACCACTGCGGCGGGAGAAACCTACCTAGTAGGTACCGGTACCGTTATATGTAAAGTGGCATATGGTTATGTACGGTTGGTTATGCTATGTATGAATCCAGGAAAGATCAAAGGAAAAAAAAAGAGACTAAAAAAATGGCAGGATAAAAAGATGCGTGGTCGGAATAAGCCTTATCGAGGGCAGAACTGACCTGGCCTGACCTGATTTCTGGATATCTTTTCGTGTATGTTACATATCACATACATAACCATCCATGTATGATCTGTCGATAAACTCCCACTCCCGCCCCCGGATCCCTCTCTTTGCTGCGCTTATTAAACAGCATGAGCCGACTTGCTGGGTGCTCTAGGGCTGGAACGTGTGTGTGTGAGTTATAAGGTGCATTACCTAACAAAAGCATCTACCCGCGCCTGCCAAAAGCTGACATCCATCCCCCATCTCCGGTTCTTGGGGAGGGTTCCTTAGGTCATGCATGATGATCTAGGTTCTCATTTTACCTCCAGCGCCTCCAACACAGCGGGTAACCCATGTACTCGGGTTTGGCATTTTCGGGACGTCGATCAAGCAACTTTTAGCACACGTACTCGCTTTACAATACGCCTATACGTACCCTACATCGCTCATGCTATGGTATGCACTCAATATGTAGGTAAATTAGGTACGTATATCCCCTCCAATCTATCGTCCCTCACCTTGGCTTAGGTGGGTGGACCAAGCTTTCCTCGAGCCCGGTTGGCTCAAATACGTCTGTGTGCCAGCCTAGGTATGTACTTTTGCTACCACAGAAAAAAAAGGAAATAAAAAAGACAGGAAAAAAAGGATGAGCGTCGTCGCTAGCGTTATGCGGGATCCCTAACCAACTTGAACATCATCAGGTGTTTTTTTTCGGTTGGTCTACTTCGCAGTAGCCATGCAAGTCAAACCCACGGAATAACATGGATGTTGAATGGATGGTAACCGGTAGTGCAGGTTCGGTCCAATCCACGCGCCCGGCTCCTGGCTCTATCTTCCCGTCCACATTTGAATATAAAGCCCCCCCGGGCCAGGCAAGTTTTTGTGCCCGAGAACTTTTGATATACGCCATACTACAGTTGCATATATACAGTTACATACATGTGCATTTTACCTTTCTCGACTAAGAAGGTCGCACCATACAGGTCCAACCCGCATATCGAACATCCTCATTTTTGCACTAGTGTTTGTTCGCAAATTGGAGCACGCATATAAACTACTCCTGAAAAGTGATGGTCAAAAAATGGCTAAAGTCTTGCATGGCACGGAGAGAAGCATAGGGAAGAGTGCATCGTGTTAAATCAATGTAATCCTTTTTCGTCGTGGGAATGACTCCGCCGTCTTCGAGACACCTAATCCAGTAATCACATGTACCAGGTAGTAAATGATTAATATTGTACATTGCTCATGCCTCAAACTCCCCTTCTATATAAGTCGGTACCCATTTTCGTCATTTACACGCGTAGCACCTTCGCGGCGAAGTCCTCGATCAGTTGCTCGGTCGGGAAGCTCATCAGCTCGAGACCTTGGGCGTAGGGGGTGGGAACCTCAGCACCGGTAATTCGTTGCGCAGGGGCATCCAAATAGTCAAAGGCGTACTCCATAGTCGTAGCGAGGATCTCAGCACCCATACCAGCAAAGGGGAATCCGGACTCGACCGAGATAAGGCGGTGAGTCTTCTTGACTGATTGGACAATGCTCTCAATATCCAGAGGCTTGACTGATCGCAGGTTGATGACCTCAGCATCCACCCCATACTTCTTCTTAAGACCCTCAGCTGCAACTAAGCACTGACCAACGGTACGCGACAGGGAAACAATGGTAAGATCCTTGCCCTGGCGCTCGATCTTGGCCTTGCCGAACGGAATGACGAAGTCGTCCTTCTGCGCAGCCTCGGACATGGGGAAAGTTTGACCGTACATAAGCTCGTTCTCGAGGACAACAACGGGGTTAGGATCGCGGATAGCAGCCTTCAACAGGCCCTTGGCATCTTCGGCGGACCAGGGAGAAACAACCTTAAGACCGGGAATCGAACCGTACCAAGCACTGTAGTCTTGGGAGTGCTGAGCGCCGACACCCGCCGCGAAACCGTTGGGCCCACGGAAGGTAATGTTACAAGGCTGGATACCACCAGACATGTAAAGGGTCTTGGCAGCACTGTTGACGATCTGATCGATAGCCTGCATGGCAAAGTTGAAGGTCATGAACTCGCACTAAATATCACATATTCGATTAACCCTTGACCTTCTCATTTTGACTTCCGGGCCGTTTTATCTTTCTACTCACGATAGGATGTAAACCGCTTAGGGCAGCACCAACGGCCAAACCGCAGAAACCACTCTCCGTAATCGGCGTGTCGATGACCCTCTTGTCGCCGAAGCGATCTAATAGACCTTTCGTAACCTTGTATGCTCCGTTGTACTGGGCGACCTCCTCGCCGAGAATGAAAACCTTGTCGTTCGCCTCCAGCTCCTCAGCCATGGCCTCGTTGAGGGCATCACGGACGGTGTAATCCTTGGTTCCTTTTACATCGGCGAACGTCCTTCGCTGAGAGACGGCGAAAGAAGCAGGGGCAAATCGTGTCACGGCTCGGGGAGCTGCGGCGGTGCGAGCAGAAGCAGCTAGTCGAGCTGCCGGGCGGAGATATCGCGACATGTTGATCGGGTTGAGGGATTGAGTAGTGGGGAGAGGATAGTTAGGAAGGGAGAGAAAGATAGAAACCAATTGGAAGCAAACTCCCAGCCGACAAGAAGTTGGCTTGGTTTGCGGTCTGGTGACGGATAACGGTGGTTGATTACGAGAGAGTTTGAAGAGCGATTTTCTCCGTCAGCCTTTTTTTTGGAGTTGCTATCAATTCGCAGTCGTCTCCCAACTTTTTTTTCGGATGGAATAGGAACAGCTTGTTGAGGTTAAGGATGCGCTAAACCCTTTCGGGGTTAGCTGACTGCCTTTCCGATTTATCGGAGCTTTGGAATCTCCATCCCTCGAAAAGATAGGTACGTACCCAAAATATTTATTTAATCAGTTCCTGTCTGAGTTAACAAAAATGAAACTATTCCGATTAACGATGTCGAGATCATGAATGGCCATGCACTAATGCGTTTCTGAAGCTACCAACTCACTGTTATAGGTATAGTTTTCTCTATGCTTCAGAATTATTCTTATTTGACAAACGCTTACCCTATCTCTTGCCTTATCTCGGACGTCGATTGGGGAGTTCTCCGTTGGGGGTAATCCGTGTGCATTTCAATGTTTGTTACATATATGCTGCTGGGGATTGGCCCAATCCGACTATCTTCTATACAAGATGATTAATATGTGTAACCAATTATTGATTAGAGTTGACGTATGTAAGATGTTATTGAGCTGAGAATCATCAATCCGTGAAATACGATTCAGCACCTTCACATCAGAAAACGAACAGTATTTCCAAATTATTCTATTTCGATAATTCTAGCAAGTATATATAGTAAAGGCTATCGAGTGCGGCCAGCAGGTATGCTTCTATGTCTTAGGTATATACAGAGAAGTCGGAGCCAGGGCTAGTCTATTATCCTAGATTCGGCCTTGGAAGGCTCTTCGGTGGTTTGGTATTATTAGTATTAGAAGACATTGACGTTGCGTCTTGACTCATTACTGTGCTTATAAGCACATTGCTTATCTCCCCTTGATGCACTATATCGTATCAATTTCGATATCGATCATTGTTCAGGCTTCTTGCCAACCATCAGGTACATCGGTGTGAAGAGATGCTTCTCTCCGCCTGCGACTAAGCAGTCGCCGGCACGAGCCAGACTGTCGGCCGTCTTCTTGGTACCAGCCGGAGCTAAACCAGTTGCTTCTAAAGCACCGGCGAAGTTGTGAGCTAGTAGACGACCCCACCACGTCATTCGCGCAATAGTAAAGGTGTCGAATACTGATTGCATGTACTTCCATTTGCCAGCAAGAGGCCAGTACCAGGGGATAGGGTCAGGGCGATCAGCGAGATCTTCGTGGTGCAGCAGCTCAAAACCGGCAATCTTCATGGCCTCTAGGCCCTCCTCGATCTTCACCATGTTGGAAATACCATCGCCCTGCTCGATTCCGAGGCGGATCTCACGGTGCTCGAGGTTGTCATTGTCGTACTCGTCGGTCATGAGCCACTCGTACACGCCGAAAACACCACCGGGCTTCAGCACGCGCAAGATTTCGCTGTAAACACCAGAGAGCTTGGGCGCGTGCACCGTGGCCTCAATCGCATACACGGCATCAAACGTGTTATCAGGGAAATCCATTTGCTATTGATCGGGTCAGTATTCCGGAAATGCAATATCGAGCAATAGGGGGCGCAATTGAAACTTACCATGAAATCACCTTTGACGAATGTCAATTGGTTGGACAGACCCTCCTTAGCAGCATAGTGCGTGGCACGCTGAATCTGGTAATCGTTGTTGTTCAAGCCGGTAACATGGCAACCGGTGAACTTGGCGATCTCTCGAGCAGGGCCACCAACACCGCAACCAACATCCAACACCTTCATCCCCTCCTTGATACCAATTTGATGTGCGAGATAGTGTTCATGTCGGGATATTGCCTGGTAGAAAGTCTCACCAATGGAGTAGCGGCAGAAGTGGAAGGACTGGCCCCAACCGTACTCGTACAAGTCTGTAGCAAGGTTGTAGTAACTAAAACAGTGTTAATGCCGGAAGATATACGCGCAAAGAGATCGTTAAGATAAATGAGACGTACTGTCTAGTCAGGGTAGCGTATTCCGCTGTGCGCTTTGCGCGGTCCTCCTCTGTCTCGTCCTTCGCGTCCTTGTTATCCCAGTGCTTGAAGTATTCTTCAGTAGCAGCCCGTTGCGCATCAGTGCCCTTGCCACCCTTTCCAATCATGGCCCGGAAACCTCCAGCGCTAAGGGCGGTGTTTCCATGCATGGCCTTGTTGAAGGCGGCATCGCGGGCCCTATCCTGCTTCTCAAGTTCGATCTTGGACGGCATTTTGAAGGATTGACTGAAAAACAATTATAATGAATGCGACTGATTACAAGAACTAATTCAGAATATATTAGGGATTGACGACTGAGATCGTTGACGAAGCAATAAGACAGGCGTTGGAGTAGTCGAAAAGAAGGTGACATGCAAAAGGGGTCTTCGCCGACATTTTATGTTATTATTTTCTGGTCCCTTATCGACAATTGATTGTCACGACCCACACAAATATAAGGACCCTTCCAATTTCTTGGCCAATTTCATTACAGAATTGACTTAAGCTTTGGCATAGCCTGGCCAATAAGATTTCGCCGAACTGCATTAGAGGAAAGCGGAGACAGGGGTAAAGCTTCGACCGTACTTTCTCTTCCGGAGCGTTCGAGCGTTCAATAATCCCCCTGAATCCGAATACGAACGCGACAAGCCACAGGTAAATATGGTGTAAGATGTGGCTGGAATTGAGTGGCTACATTATCGACTCTGAGTATGAATTCCTATCGAATCTCCTGAAACTTTCATTGTCTTCAAAGCTCGGAAACCGAATACGAATTCGCATTCTCGATCATCTTAATGGAATATCTCAGGATATTCAGGATAGTTTCTCGACTTCATCCTTTTATGGATCTCTATCGCTTCGCGATGTAGATAACAATTTTGTTTTCAAGGTTGTTGATGATCTGGAGACGGATCTCGAGACGGAGAAGAGAGAGATCCGACGGCCCGGCCCCATAAACGGTTGCAAGTGCCCCTTACGCTTTGTAATTATTTACCCATTACTCGCACCCTTCTGAGAAAAAGGAGAGTAGTAAATGAATAACAAGTGTGAGAGGATAGTCAGTGCATTCGCTAAAGTCTTACAAGTTGCCAAACCCTGAAGTAGGAACAAAATAAACAATAGTAACAGGTATTGATAACTGAGTGAACTCTGTAAATTGACATTTATAACACTAAGCAAATTGTGAGGAGTTTGGATACGCTGGCTTGAAAATGAATTTACAAATGGCATGAGACGGAAGCATAAAATAGGCAGGAACAAAAATATCAAAAAGGTGGCATAGAAGGATTCTAACCTTCTATCATTGGACTCGCGGGGAATCGAACCCCGGACCACTCCCAGATCAGACGAATCCTCGAAACGAAGTTATCACAAGATACAACGTTAAACATTGGATCGTTCCTGCTAAGGGAGTATTATACCACTAAACCACAAGCCCGTGGAACTGGAGGGAGAAGATCAATGGTCTCATTAACCTTCTGATTCGTTGAAAATTCTGTCGTGCTAAAGTTTCCTATATCCTTTTCATTCAAAGTTGTGGAAAACGCACCTAATTAGCCGATTGGTACGTGCTCACCGCCTCCGTCTGAAAGCCAAGATCCACACAGACCTTTTAGATGTGATTTGCTAAGACGGAAAACACCCCACAAACATAAAAGCAAGTCTGTAAGAGGTCCAAGCGTTTAGTGTTCTAGAATACGTAGTCTATCTCTGTGTACTAACGATATCGGGTATCCAGGACATCTTACATACCTACATTCAAGGGCCTTGAGTTAGAATATCGCATTAAGTATTCTGAGAATAGTCTCTATAATGAGAGTAATGCCTAATGCTGATATTCGTAAGAGGGATAACGCGGTTGATGTCAGATTAAGTGTAAATTGTTAGCTAAACTTGTGCAAGTGTCCATATAGTGCCATATATTTCCATACCAGGACACTATATTCAACATCTACCTATCTACCAAGTCCACTTCCACTTCTTTGCTAATTCTATCTGGTGTCCATCAGGCGTTTCTTCTGTCTTCCCGGTCACTATTGGAGTATCTCCCCGTTTCTTCAAATTCCTATTGCTAACGAGATACCAGACGCTCAGTACTATGATCTCCACAGCCACTGCGGCGGAAAGCACTAGACAAGCCGTGAAAGCAGTCTGGTAGAGCGGCGCGTCTTGAGTTCTGAATACTTGACTACCAGCGATACCGCCAGCATTAGCGCCCATGATGATCATCCTAGTATCCAAGTCAGTCACGTTATCAAAATAAGGTCAAGAGAGCATAGGTAAGTATGAGCACGAGTACGAGAAAAAATAAGAAAATGGAAACCTACGCCATAGCCACGCTCCTCTCCTGCGGTCTCCGGCAATTCACCGTCAACCAGCCCACATTAAGAATGTGAACGGTGGAATTCATCGCCATCGAGAACACCACGGCCACGTACTTGCGCCCCGCGCTCCACTGGTACGCCTCCCTCAAGCACGCGAACGCGATAATGCTCCACGCCGCGGCAGCCAGCAGCGACGGCGCGCGCCGCCCCGTCGCGTCGCAGATCCGGGCCAGCAGCACGGTGACCACAGCCGCGATAAACGAGCCCACGCTCGCCATCGCGTTCGCGCGCACCGTGCCGTACCCCAGGCTCTTGATCACGCTCGGGCCGTACGTGTTGATCGCGTTGACGGGGACCGTGCTCGTCAGCGTGATCACGATGTGCAGCAGGATCCGCGGGTTACGCACCGTGGACCAGACGTCGGCGCCGGAGATGCGTAAGTGGTTCGTCGTCTTGGCCGGGTCGTCGAGCAAGACGCGGCGCACGAGGATGTACGACTCCCGCCGCGAGAAGTAGGACCAGCGCCCGAAGCTGATGAGCGGCGACCCGTTGCCGACTTTCGGCGGCAGGAACAGGATGAAGAGGATGCCGACGCCGATGGTGATCGCGCCTTCGACGATGAAGAGCCACCGCCACCCCGCGACGCCGTACCGGTTGCCCATGCTCAGGATGCCGGCGCCGATGAGGGAGGTCGTGGCGGAGGCGACTAGGTTCCCGAGGAAGAAGATGGAGATGCGCAGGCTGGATTCGGATTTCTTATACCATGTCGACATGGTGTAGAGTGCGCCGGGGATGAAGCCAGCTTCGCACTGCATAGGTAGGTAGGTGAACGTCAGCATCTCCCGTCTTATTTGGGATTTCCGGTTCCTGTAGGTTTGGTACGTACCAGACCGAGTAGTAGACGAGTGGCAAGATACCCGCCGTAGTTGGTGATGAAGTTTTGGAATGTGGCTACCAGTCCCCAGGCGATGATTTGACATGACAACCATTTCTGAGGTCCCACACGCTGCAGCAGGATGTTGGAAGGTATCTCCAAGAGGACGATTCCGGCTGACAGCAGACTGCTTCCTGTATTGATTTGGTTGGTAGTGATTCCAAGGTCCTCCGTAATAGTGCTCGTCAGCGCATTCGAGATATTCCCTCTGTCCATCTGCAAAGAGAAAAATGCCAAGCCCAGGATAGGTAGCATTATGAAGTCAATTCTGGAATTGTTAGGATTCTTCATGAACATCTTTTCAATGTTTGGAGGCGACGTCTTACTTGCGCTTCACAGCTCGTTCCTCTGCTTCTGTCCAATCGGCCACTGTCGACTCGTCGACATTAACAGGAGCGACCTCTTCATCGCTCTGGCCATTAGCGTTCGAGGCCGCCTCAAAAGTTTTTTCGAGCGCCATTCTAGAATCGCGAAAGAAAACAACTCAAAAATACAATAGCGAAAGGTCTACAATGATCATTGCCAAGGGCTTGGTACCGCGAGACTCTTAAATATCACGACATCTGAACTTGTAGTTAATGGTATGAACCAATGAATTCCACATTACACCGATTCGCCGACCGCGAGGTCCGCAATCGATTGGCAGGGCTCATTTTAATGCTCGCTTTTGCTTGTACCATCTCATATTGATTACGCGGTGCTGCGACGAGACCCTGCAAGCGACACTGACGTGCTCGGGGATTGCATTGCGTGATTGTCTGATAGGCCTCTGGGCCCAATAAGCTAACTCGGAACAACCAACCGACACGCACAATTTAGCAGGATCATGAATTGCTAAGGGAATTTACTTATTGATATCACAGCTCGAGTTAATTAACTGATTTTCTGTTCAAATTAATTGGTCGTTCTTTGCGGCGAGGTGACTTCGACGTCGGGCTACCTTCCCGGTAGCTTGGAACTAACATCACATCAGAAGTCTAGAACATAGCGTTTATTATCAGTTCAGAATGCTCGACTCTATTTGCATCTCCAAATCAACCAAGGAGGAGTGAAAAGTTGCAGCAGGCTGGATCTACTTCGCCCGGAAAATCAACCCCATCTACATGTTGAAGGGCTCGAGCGTCGCCCGCATCTGCTGCTAGTCCCGTCCTAGAAGATAACCTTCCATCCTAATGAGATACCAAAGTTGTATGTTAGAGAAATGTAGCTACTCATATCCTCACGTTCCTGTTGCAAAATGAAGCTGAACTTTTAAGAAGCATAATAGGCCTGTCATATATCTGTCTCATGATCATGATCTATGAGAAATGCTGAGCCGATTCATAGTCACTATGCTATCATATAAGTATCGTATAATTGTTCAAGGAATTTTAGTTAAAATGCCGCTACAAGTTAGTATCAGATCATTTACTCCAATATACCATAACCCTCCATAAACCTGAAACCGCCTACTTCGATATAAATACACTTATAATATACGACTAAACTATTATGTTTAAACAAAATGAAGCCAGGCCCCTGAAACAACGACATAGACACATTCTACTTAAACTGCTCGAAGCGCTCCCGCTCACCATCTCCCTTCGCAAGATAACCCACCGTCCACATCCACAAGTCATCCTGCTTCGCCACATCGTAACTGTCCTTACTACTCTTAATCACCTTCATCCCCTCGAAATACTTCCCACTCTCGCCCTCCACATCAGCCCCAATTACAAGTCGCGCCAGAGCAACAGCAGATTCCTGCGGACGGTGCACATTCGAGAAAATCAAGGCTCTTATCAACGGAATCAGCTTCGGCAAGACACGCATCCAGAGAAACTTCTCAAAAGCATTCGCCTCCCGCGCTAGACCGGTGCCGGGCATGAGACCGGGGTCGAACGAAGTCACCGTGATTCCCCGCTCCGGAACGCGCTCCTGCAGGCGGCGGCCGAGCGCATAGCCCCATAGTACGTTCGCTAGCTTACTCTCGACGTACCGCTTGCGACCGGGGTCGGTGGCCGTAGCGGCAGTCGGGTGAGCAAGCACCTCGGCGCTGATGTATTTCGGCTTGGGCATGCCGCCGGATATCTGGTCGGGGTCATGAGTTCCGCTTGAAGTAATGACTACCCGCGCCTTGGGCGCAAGGTAAAGGCACAGCAGGTGAAAGAGCAGGGCGTGGCCGACGTGGTTGATGGCGAAGGTGGATTCGAGCCCGTCGACGGTTTTTGTCAGACCGCCGGGGAACTGGAGGCCGGCATTGAAGACAAGGGCTTGTATCGGCGGGTAGCTTTTTGCCGCCCAGTCTTCGGCGTAGGCGCGGACTTTCTGCAGGTTCGAGAGGTCGAGAGGGATGTATACTGTGTTCCTTTGGCCGAGTGTCTTGTTGATGGCGTCCGCGGCGTGTTCGCGGTCGGTTCGTGATGAGACTACGACTAGATATTCAGGGTGGGCTTTCGCAATCTCGAGTGCGGTGTAATAACCTAGGCCGACTGTGCCTCCGGTGACGATGATAGTTCGTTGGTAAGACATATTTACGAGGATTCTATTTGGAAGGCCTGAAGAATAGTCTATGATTTTCGTCTCTAGGTAGATTTCGAATCTCATAGTGATGTAGTACGAGTGCAATATCTTCTTATATAGGTACTTACCTACCTAGGCACTGCATTTTTAATCATCGATGATGGACTATTGCCCCTAAAATTCATCACGATGGAAGCCATGACTATCTGTAGGTAGGTACCTAGGTGCATATCGTTGATAGAGACTATTTCCGGAGATAGAAGGGATAAAAGGAAGGCACCAACAGGCCTAATAGGAGTCGAACCTAAACTACCTTTTATTCCTCTACCCAGTATCTAGACCAGGGCAGGGAAGTGACGCCCCCGGCGGCACTCTTAAAAGAGATTCAGGCCGCACGACATGGGATCGAACCACATGGCCGATGCTTAAAAGCGACGCACTTACTACTGCACCACCTGGACGAAATCACCAGATAGAAGGGATAAAAGGAAGGCACCAACAGGCCTAATAGGAGTCGAACCTAAACTACCTTTTATTCCTCTACCCAGTATCTTCCGGGGGACGGGTGCCGGACGGCGCCGATTTATTAGGACGTTAGGTCGGAGTTAAGTAAGGTAAGCATTATAGCTGCATTTGGGAACGGGCACCGAGGATACCGTTACTTCACCGTCGCACACCATTGGCTGCAATTCACATTAATATGCAATAAGACGTGCAAGTGTATACGTGTAGCAAATCATGCATCAAACGGTACTTCAAGGAAAAGGGGTCACGTAACTCCGGCCGTCGATGACGTCGACTTGATATATTTCTTATCAAAACGGAAGTCAATACTAGTTGATATACATTCTGTCAACTTTCTAGTCTGATCCAACCCACTTTACAAGATTGTGATTATTCTGTGAAATGACAGACTGACTAAGAAATACACAACTATCACCATGGCCTTAAAGCTAACCCCTACTCCTTTAGCTTCATTACGCGTTTCTCGTCACTTTATTCCGGCACACAATCTTATACCCAACACCAGCATCCAAAACAAGCCATTGTTACATTATCATGAAGTTTTCCCTTCTTCCAGCCTGACCGCATCTGCCATAGAGTCGCATCTCACAGCAGTCGGTGTCGTGGAACCTCAGTGGCGTTATACCATGTATAGCACAACTCACTTTCACTCGACCACTCACGAGGTGCTATGTATCAGCCAAGGGGGGGCCAAACTCTGCTTTGGCGGTGAGGGCAACCCGGAAAAGGTGGAGAAGGAGGTCGTGCAAGGCGACGTGTTGATTGTACCTGCCGGCGTCGGACATAGGCTTCTCCAGGATCTCACAGGCCGTTTCGAGATGGTAGGCTCCTATCCTAAGGGCTATAACTGGAATATGTGCTACGGGAAAAAGGGCGAAGAGTCCAAAGTGCAGAGTATTGAAAAGTTGCCGTGGTTTGAGAGGGATCCAATTTATGGTGATACGGGCCCCGTGCTCGAAAACTAGGTAGGTAATTGTCAAGATACTACGGGATACAATTATATTAGGACCGGATGAAGTATTCTTCTTCTCTTTGTCTTGGGACTTCTAGGGCCGTTCTGGGCGCGGACGAAGGAATAAGCGGTCTGCAGCTCCGAAACCCCTGGTGAATGGAAGCTACTCCGTACAGAAATTTTCGTCGATTTCATCTTTGGCCGCGGATCGAGGTTTAAGATCGCGGGTGATCGCCTTATTCGGAGATGCATGTTGTGCTCCCATGCTGCGAGATTCAGCTGGTACAGATACGGGATCGCCCAGTCGGGAATTATCAATTAATTATCTGCCCATACAGAGCCTCCCACAAGAAATGACATTGTTGGCATCTGCAAAACGCATTCGTCGGCGCTCATGACCCGCATCGAATCTTGTGCGACACCCACGCTGCTATTACGAGCTGACCAGGATGAAGGGGCTCATAAAACAGAAAATCTGCAGATACCCGTCCATATTCCGAGTCGCCCGACTTCTATGAGTGGATGACGATTTTTAATCATGTTGTCGCGATCAAAAAAGGAGCTATCATTTTAGCCACCCCGAGGCATTTGAAATTTTCAACTCTCAATGGTTGACTGCATTAGGATCTGTGGCTTCGATAAAAGCCAATAGAGGCTATGCTAGGCAAAATTTTCCGATGGATGATCACCTTATGTATAATATCTCGTTCGATATTGAACAGGATGGACGTTTTAATTTCCTAGAGGAAGTTATATAACCCCCTAAAAGACAATTCAACCATCTGACAAAACGATGCAGCCGACCACCACTACTACATTATATTTGCACCCTAAAGGGCTGTTCTTCCTAACGTTGAATTAAATCGATACAATGTGCAAACTTATCATCACCTACCGTTGTGGCTGTAAGCCATATGAAACCAATACGCCTTGCAAGAAATCAGACTGCCAATCAGTTAAGGAGATAGTTCAGGAACCGTGCTGCGAGCAGTGCCAGGTGCAGGATGCGGAGATGGAGCTGGCTACGACATCGATGTGATCTATAATTACCACACGAAGTTGGACTTGTGAAAATAGATAACAGATTCACAATTAAAGTGGTATGTTCCCTTACAGTGGCTCAGAGCTTCAAGGTTCACAAATCCTGATTGCACAGTTACCAACTATCCTCTCTTTCAACTGTAACTCGAAAATCCTCCCTCCGCGACACAATACGACGTGTCTTCAAACAAATCCACCAAACTTGAGGATTTCGAATCATAGACGAACAATACAAACCTAGAAGACGAACCTCACCGTTCGGTAAAAAGTTGATCACCACATGGACTTGGTTGGAGTTTATCCCTTAGTTAGGTCTCGACATGGGCCTGTTACGTTCACCTGGCTGTTGAATTTGGTGCAACCAAAGGAAGGGGCTGAGTAAATTGTATTACATACAGGACAACAGCATGACGTCGAGAACACTTGGCACTGGTGAATCTATACCTACCTACCTATGTATTTATCAAGCAATACGGAATTAAGTTACTAGCTTTCTTTGCCTCAATTTAAACGAGCTTGCTTAATTACTCTCTTTGTTGGTTCGACCGTCGCATAGTAAACTGCGCCGGCTTAGAGAAAACCCTTGAACCCCATGAATCGCCCCTTCGTTGTATAAGCTATCAATTCAGCCCTAGCCTTAAATCAGGGCTGGGGATTCTCAGCTAGGGCTGTGCTGATGGATGTTCTTCCGCAAGGATCCCGAGCCACCCTGGCGGTAGGACTTTCGCGGCGGGATCTGAACTGCCCAAACACCCGGGAATCGGCGACGCAGCGGGGCGCATCCCCGGCCGAGTAAGGGCAAACATTCCTATATATAGGACTTAACAGCCTCAATCTGCTCAACATACAACTACGATATAACAAAACCAACCATAGTTTGAGCATATTGATGAATTTTATAACCTATCTCGTAAAACACAATCAAGCAAAACTGTGTCTAAGGGATGTGCTGGCTATGTAGCATGTGCTAGCCGCATCTCCCGTAAACCACAGAACGATCACAGAAGTCACCCATTTGAACTATTGAAGTGATACCTAACAATCCCCACGCGTTGGTTGGAAGCTTGCCCCTTACCCCAGAACAGCATGTCGTTGGGGCGAATGGGTCTTTCCCTTCTGATTCGTCTCGGCACATTCGCAGGACGCCGATCTGATTGGCCACGTTTGTGATGCGGAAGTTTGGTCCATCACGCTGCGGAGATCTCCATCGTCACGTTGCATGTGTGATTGGCCCCATAGGGGCAAGTATGGACGTCGAAGGGGGCTGCATCTACAATTTCATATATAATAGAGGTATTGCCCGGCTATGGACTGTTCTACTTACTTCTATCTTCACGGCGATCGCTACAGCTAGGTACTTACCAATCAACCTAGACTACATACCTCACCAGAAGCATTGCCGCAAATATAATCGCACGACACAGCAGCAAAACACACATTTCCAGTCTACCAACCCCCAAAATGCTGTTCCCAATCCCCCTCCTCGCCATCTTCACCCTCACCACCGCCCTCCCCTCCACCACCCCCTCATCCCTCTTCACCCGCCAAGACGCCTGCGCAGGCGACCCATCCGCCTCCGGGCACTGCACACCTTTGACCTACAACGACGTCCTCTCTTCCTCCCCCTCCTCCTCTTCCGGCGGCGCAACAACAACAGACTGCGAATCGACCTGCGCGTCCGTGCTCGCGGACGCGGGGGACTGGGGCGTGGACTTCCGCGGGCAGCCCGCCGGGTACGTGGACGGGATGTTCCTGAGCGGGTGCCGGTTCGGGATCGCGCGGGCGACGGACGCGGACGCGTCGCAGTTCGAGATCACGGTCGCGAACCAGGATATTGTTGGTGTGATCGGGGAGAGTATCAAGAGGTTTGGCGGCGCGCATGAGGGGAGGGTGAGCGCGGAGGGGACTATGGATTGTGAGGGGCATACGGTGAGGTGGTTTGTTGGGTATTAGTGTGTCTGTGAGGTGGGATGGAGGGATTTAGAGGGAAGGGCACGGGGAGGGGGTGAAGGGTGAGGGTGAGATTGGGCTGGTATACGGGCGAGTTTACGGATTCTTGGACGGAGTTGGTAGTATTGACGAATCTTGAGGATGAGGTGGTTCTTGGCTTGGCAGAAGGATGGCCGCTAGGCCTAGGGCGTTCACGGGGTGTGGGAATGGGATGGGGCATGGTATAAGATGAAATATAATCTGGATGCTTTGAGAACCAATATGAACCTTGAGAAACTGTCAGATTTAAGTGTTGTCCAGGTCTGCCTAGTTGGGAATCCCGTGACTGATCATCGGCGGTCGTCAAGCCACTTACATAGAGCCCATCGTGAGTTCATTTAGAACGTTCGGTGTAGTTCGTACCTAGTCTACTCGTCTCGTATTATGATATTCTCATTTCCTCTAGATGTCTACACAATATCAAGCATTTTCGAATATGTAATGTCACGGATGAACTCCAAGGATTTGAATGCTGAGCCCAGCAACTTTACTACTGCCGATACCCTTGTCGTGGTAATGCTTCTATCGAAAAGCAGGCGGCTAAGTTACGTCAATGGCGAGTTCTGATTGGCCAATGAGCTTATAGATCATGCATGATGGATCGTTGGCTGCAAGGGGCATGTGGGGGAAGAGGGGATATCCTGGTCTGCCCGGTTTAGGTGAAGATCTAGATAGGGGTGCACTCCGTTATGGTGTTGGTTACAGTTATTCGTCGAAATGCTACGCTGATATTCTATTGAAATCCTAGTATGACCTCTCGTATACCGCTCTTCAATGACTAGGCCGGCTACGATTATCATTCCCGATAGAATGTGAACGCCGATACAGTATCGTCATGGTTATTGGCAGTCCCACAACTTGACGCCAAGAAACTATAGTGAGGGGCATAACCATTTCAGTAATGTAGTTCGGCACCACCCGCGAAGACGTCGCCGACAAGTCCAACTAGTGAGATATGGCAACGTCCAACTTCGTCTATTCGCAAGTGACGCATCCCGACGAAATCAGGACTTTGACCTTATATCCGGGCTCGGAGAATGACAAACTTGAAGGGTCTATAAAGCATATTCAACTCCCCCCTTCCATTTCGCCAACCACATCCTTTTCGGCGGATACACGGCAACAAAACACAAGAGTCTTTCGCAACACAAGAAGACTTCTCGACATTTTTGAAGCGCACTCTCATCAATCCGTGGAGTCAGAAGACTTCGGCGGTGACATTTGGCGTTGGAAATTATTCGAGTCAAGCAAGCAATCTAGGCGCAGATCAATTGGTGGAAGGTTTGTATTTCTCGATACCTAACTATTCACGGTGTTTACAACTAACTTAGTGAAGACAATTCCTCGTGGAAGAACCGGTGTTGGGTTTCGATTGCAATCGCATCGAATATGCTCGCGAATCATACGATGCGCTGTCGTATACGTGGGGCGATCTACAGAAGACCCATGAGATAGCTGTCGATGACCAAACTCTTGGTATAACGAGAAACCTTTACATGGCTTTGATGAAGCTAAGGTCTCCAACTGAGCCGCGATGTCTGTGGATCGATGCAATATGTATTGATCAGGGAAATGTCCAGGAGAGGAATCATCAGGTACAAATGATGAAGCGGATATTCTCTACGGCGTCGTCAGTCATCGTATGGTTGGGCGACGCCGAAGGTAGCGTTCGTGATACTCTGGAAATGATTCTCAAATGCAATTGGAGCGGAGGAAAGAAAAATCTATTCAACTACCCCAAAGAGGCGCTCCAAGGGCTAGGAGAGTTGTTCAAACGACCATGGTGGAAACGCATATGGATAATTCAAGAAGTTGTTGCTGCGAAAGAGATCGTCGTGCTCCTAGGAGATACCATCTTCCCTTGGAAGATGCTGGTGGATCTCTGCCGGGCGATTCAGGTGGCCGAGTTTCTCTTGCATCCTATGGCATCTATGATCCGCTCCTGTGGATATCAAAAATTCACGGTCTTAGACCATTTCCGACGGAATAAGAGCATGCCTCTTGTTCGATTTGTGCACTGCACCCAGGATTATCAAGCAACAGACTCCCGCGATAAGTTGTATGCGCTCTTGGGGATGGCTTCGGATGTAACTCCAGACGATATCATACCCGACTACACGAAACCGGTCCAAGAGGTGTTCCTTGATCTGGTTAGGTTTATGGTAACCAACCGCTATGACCTGGATATAATATCATCAGGCCGCCTAATAATTTCGAACCCGACTGCCCCTAGTTGGTTACCAGATTGGCGTGGTCTGAATACCCTAAGACCGTTAAACAGCGAAGAAGTTGGTGGCCATTTCTATCGAGCGTCAGGCAACACGCATGCTGTGGTTGACATGACTGAATTCCCTTCAAGCCTCACAGCTGAAGGATGGATGGTAGATGCAATCGACTTTTTCGATGACACAGTCACACTCACCCATGCGAGCCCATCGGTGATACAGCGTTGGCAGAGTATCGCAAAGGCAAATGTTGATATCACTATGATGAGCCTCTTCTGGAGGACAATCGTGATGGATAAAGATCATCTGGGGAATCAGGCCTCGGTGTCTTTTGGGAGGACATTTGATGACTTCGTCAACAGCTCGGACAAGACTCGTTCGCGGCTCGTCCAACACTTCTCTGATGCGGTGACAAGGGCGATATTGGGCCGGCGATTCTTCATCACGAAAAGGGGTCGGATGGGCCTTGGACCACCGGAGATTCAACCAAATGACCATATTGCTATTCTCAAGGGATGTCATGTTCCTCTTGTGTTGCGTGAGACCGGGGACCACATGATTGTTGTCGGGGAAGCTTATGTCTCCGCATTAATGAATGGTGAACTTGTGTCAGAGTTAACTGAGGGGCGATATGGCCTCAACACAATTAAACTAAAATGACATCCCAAATTACGCCCTTGTTATATTGTACAATGAGGTACTAGGTCTATGTTACATGTGATCAATTTATCACAACTAAGGTAAGCTGTGAAAACTTACATTCTACCCTGAGAAACCATGAGACTTTCCACAACTCAGTTATGATGAACCCATCTATAGTACACTGCTCTGCCCTCTCTGGCCTGAGCGGTAGGATCGTAAGGGTTAGACTATCATTGATTGTGCCCCACGCATCAACGTTATGTGGTAGTGTTCGGGATCTCATGAATCGGGCTTAGAGTCCTTTGGAACTTGGATTGCTCCCCCTCTTCTCCCGTACTCAGTCGCTTCTGCCCACAATTAGGATCCCTCTCTTGGAGCACGTTCCCATTTCCATGAGGGGATCCAGGTGGAGCAATCCTCACAAGAGGACATCCAAGCATCTCCCGAAGCTTAAAGAAATTCCAACCTAGCTGATATGATAGGGAATACACTCCCTTCTTGGGGCCCCGCTTCTCTAGGAACGATGTCAGCTGGGGACGGGTGATATGACCAAGAGCTAAGCGGAACTGGTCCAAGGTCCATTCGCCGCGATTGCAAGTGAGAATCTTGATCATGGCTCGGATCTGATCGCAGTCCTGGTCGATTTCGGTACCGCAGTCAAACTTGTTCTCTACCGGAAACTTGACCTTCTGGCCCGGTCTCAGAACAGAGCCCGAGAGTGGTAGGTCGTGCGTACGGAAGGCGAAACCAGGTCGAGGAGTCAAGTCAATGTTCACATTGATATCGCCCATGACGTCGGCTTGCTCCCAGATATGCTTCGCTTCGCTCCTCGTCCGTACACATCTCTTTCCAATAATGTCATCTATGATACCCTCTCTTTTCCAATTTTGATCCCACTCTTCTCTTTTCTTCGTCATTAATGCAGCATACTCTAGCACTTCTGACGTGCCAAGATCGGAGAAGACGTATTTACGGGCGTGCTCTCGCTTGTCTTCTTCGATCTGACAATTGATGTAGTCCATGAGGTAGTCTCGGACGAAGTAGTTAGGCACATCTTCGTCGGAGCGATCGGCCCACCAAGCAATTTGTCCATGGACGACAGCAGATTGCTGGGGCCCTAGATCAGCGGCCGAAACTAGGTCTTCGATCAATTGAGAATTAGTCTTGATCTCACCAGAGGACTATGCATTGTTAGCTTATTCACGATAAAGCAGTTCATCATGGTGACATACAACTCTGGATAGGGAAAACTGCGTCTCTGGTGTCGAGTAGTGGCTAACTAAAGGGGCTTCCCAGTAGGGAGTCTTGCTGACACCTACTATACCATCCATCACTTGTCGGAAGACTTGCGCCCGTTTGTCAGCAGGGACCAATTCTCCGATATAGGTTTCAGCCGTTTCAATAATCTTTTCCAATGGAACATCCTCAAAGAGGTGCGGTGTTCCATCTGGCCGGATATATTTCTCTTGTAAGCACGGTAGGTTGGCGGGATAGAAGCGGCGCAGGCAATCGTCTTCTATCACTTGCAGCTTGAATTGCTTCATCTGCTTATCCGAAAGTTCCGCATATAGATCGAGTCTGTTCAAGACATCGCATTTCTCCTTAACGAAATTCGATGTTAATACAGTTTATTGTGTAAGTAACTGGGTAGTTCACTTATGAAGCTCATACCTTGACGTGAGCGCTATCCATTGCAGCCATCTTGAAGTTCAAGCAAGGCAATGTTACAAGCAATTGATATCAATATATCTGAATTCTTGAAGTTAGAGTAGGTATTGTATGGATTAAACCTAAGCATAAGCCTTGTCGACAGCGCTCGAGATTGAGCTTAAGTAGGAAATAAAGTAAATAAACGCGTCGCGACTTATATCATCGCCTACGTCATTGCGATGGTGGTGCCTGGCGGAGATCTTCAAGCATGAAACTTTTCCCAAGCCATCGGGTCGATGACTTTACGTCATATCTGATTTATTGAATCATCCCAGAGGGATCTTCGCAAGAGCTCGAGCCGCATTGTGCATGCTGCTGAACATGCTTTGCGTAATGAAGAACTGAGGTGAGTTTGATGAACTGAAGATATTCAGAGAGTGTAGTAACGGATGCTCTAGATTCATTATACCTCCTTTTAATTGCATAAAGATCGAGATTTCCATCATTATTCCCTGCAAATAGACACTATGTAGTTGGCTAGCGTTTACCAGCAGGGGTAAAAATACGACTAAACGGTAGATTCATGCCGAATTAGTGTAGTAGTGTCTGTGGATCTCCGTGAAAAGAGACGTTCATATCACTTCTAGCGCTGGTAGCTGGGGGCAAATCCTCACCTTCAACGCAGCTGGCTACCTAGGTGAATTGACGATGGTGGTTACCGATAAATCTAGACCTGATTTCTTTACCAGCGATGAGGGGAGAGGTTTAGCCATTCCGAGGTGAGGCAGAAGGACGCCCTCAATTCCTGATATTTACTCCAGCAAGGTTAGATCGGAGGCGCGATGCTGCGTTTTGGCTTGTTTCAACTTTTAGCCACGTGCGCATCAGCAGCTTATGTGCAATGGAAGCATTGTAACGACTACCAATCCGACGCGGACGGCTTTGTACCAGAGACGCTGTCAGCTGGACTGGACCATTTCAACGACACCCATGACCGGTTTTCCCTTAAAGTTGGCGGCAGAACCGAAAGTGGCAAATGCAGTCGGCAGGCGACTGAGATATCGAGTTTCGGAATCCAACTTGATTCATTAGGTCGATCTTCTTCCTACAATTCAAATATTAGTGCAACCTGTCGCGAATTTCGTCCGGGAAGTGATATTTCCGCCTTGTATTTTACACCGGCGGATGACATAGAACTTCCAGCATTCTACTCTCTTTCCACCTTCCATATCACTCTTCGCCTTGTCAGTTCCGATGCGGAAGAAAAAGCTTGCCTAGAGGCCAATCTCACCCCTGTGATCAGCTCCGATATACAGGCAACTTTGCGTTATGCACCGTTAAGCATTCTTTTCCTGGTCCTGCTCATAGGCATCGCGCGGACCGTTACCAGCAACGATCCCATGTCGAAAGACAAAGCGGCACCACAAGCCATGCTTCCCGGCTTTGCTGATTGCCTTCAGTATTTGCAATTCATATTCTTTACGGGAAGCCTGAGTCTCTTCTATCCAGGCTTCTACCAGCCCGCCGTAAGTGGGTTGGGCTGGTTATCACTCTTCTCTGACGGAATAGTCACTCATGGGTACACCTACCCTAGAATTAATGACGGACTTTACGAGATTAATGGGACATTTGGTGGGACCTATGGTTTAGAAATAATGACGCAGATTGTCGGCGCTCCGATGACCATGGATACGTGGTTGAACATGGTTATCCTCATCGCAGGTATAACAATTATGTCGGCTTTAGGCCTATGGGCGTACTCGCATCGGAAGCGACCTGTTCGTTCAAATCCTGGATCCGACACGGATAGCGACCTGCGCCTTACCTTTAACCGGACACTCCGTTTTGTTTTATCTTACTTCATGCTGCCGCTCGTAGCGCTGTCATTCTACCAACTTGACAACGTGGCCTGGTTACCCCTGTACCACATCTCACTCGCCATTTTTCTCATAGCTACCATCCTAGCTGCGTTTATTTGGCTCCTTACGTCGATACCGACGCGCAGTCTAGGCGTCTTGATCTTCGACAATCCTAGGCGATATCGTCAGGTATCCCCAGAGTCAGGGAGTCGACACCAAACTTTTGTTCTTGCGCTTTTCCTGCTGTGCTTCATCCGAGGTGTAGCGATCGGCGGACTTCAGATCTCGGGAGGGGCACAGCTGGCGGTCTTAGGAGCCTGTGAACTAATACTCCTAGCTTGTATAATGCAGTTCCAGGCGTACAGCATACTTTCCATAGGGACCATATCAGCCGCTGTGCGATTGGGAAGCTTAATGTGTATGGTGGCATTCGTGCGCGGCGTCGCGTCAAACAACGCTAGGAGTGCTGTTGGGTACCTCATCTTGACGCTTCATGCGTCTATGCTCGTCCTTGGATTCTTCGTTCCAGCGGTGGTACAACTCGCAAAATTATGTGCCTCTTGGTGGATCACCCCTGGCCCCGATGTACGTCTTCTAGAACTTCCAAACGTCAACGCCTAACATAGGTACTAATATATCGGAATAGGTCTACAGCCTCCGTCAGCTCCGTAGGCGGGAAGCTTCCAGGAATCATTTGCCAGAGCGTACGCATCCGTCCCATGCTTGGGTCGATTCAAGCATCGATCAAGGAAGCCCTATACAACTAGGGCCAATACATGGTTGCTCAAATAGTACGAATGCGCTCCATGCTGATTCCCCCTCAATCTCAGGCCACGACTATTATCGTCCACCGAGGCATTCCCGGATATCGCCATCTCATTCAGTGGATCGCGAGCATCGGAATGTTCCCCAAGAAATAGTAGTCTCGCATGATCCATCAACAGATGATGACTCAGGCGGATGCTCATCACGTGAGACCGGCTCTTCAAGTTCGGTTCAATCAACCACGATGTCTCCAGAGACACTCGCCAGCACGACCGAGACAACGGCGTCGTTGCATCCGCGGTGGGCAGACTACTCCTTTCGAGAGTCAGATCTCTTCTACGGAGCGTCAAGGCCAACGTTAGCGGAAATACCGTCGGGTTCAGCTGAGACACCCGCGCCCTCGGAATCGCGGCGTCAGATACCTTCTTTATCTGTATTTAGTATATGGCGCAAAATCTTTAGGCAACGGGCGAAGACGGAACGAGGCTTTTCGGTCGTTCGGCCGCCCAGACCTTCAAACTTTCCACCTACGTAGAACCAATAATCGTAATTGATTCCGTATGTTTCGGTTAAAATTAAACGGTGAATTTGGAGTATTGAATTATTCATGTAAGGTTAAAGTTGTAAGAAAGTTCCGGCACCTGGAAGATTTGTGGTATATTTTTTAAGTACATGCCCTGTATTGAAGGCTGAATGCAGTCGTGTACTCTGACGTTATGTTTCTAAAACCTACGCCCCCAACAGCGGCTTCGATGGAAAATAACGCCAATTCAAGAATCGTAAGAGACTAACTCAGACGCCGATTATTTGAAACTAAAGTCACTGGATTTTCTTCATTAATTGTTCAATTAAAAAGGGGATATGACATATGTATATGCAATAAGTGGTACGGGGAGTTACGGGGCACTTAAGATAACGATCTTATCGTTGGCGCTGGTGATTTCTAATTGGCCAATCAAATGATGCAAGCCTAAAAGGATAGCTACAGACATGATGTCATATTGCTGGCTACGGCGAACGTGACTGCTCAACTACAGGATGATGTGCGCCGCATACTTAGATGATGTAGCACATGATGCTTCAGCAGTTACCACTGGGGGCTACTTAGGGAGGTAAGTGCATGGTTAGGTACGGGACTGCATAGTACTTACCCCCTTAACCTCTGAGACCTCCTCCTTCCCATTCAATGACTTCGATCTCGCACTCAGACATCTCATCTTTTCCCTCTTCCATCCTAACTAAATCTAAACCTCAAGAACATTATTCGAGTTTCATTGCTGATATTCTTCCGACATATCCACTCCTCTCGTTCACGTTACATAGCTCTCTTTATACGTTTTGATGTTCATTATTATTATTTTCCCACGATTCTTGCCTAGGTACTTTATACCATTGTCTTCAATGAAGTGGTTTGTCGAAGACGCTCATTAATCTAGGACTTATTCCCAAATCAACAGGATATCGTCAACAATATAGGAATAGCGCGTAATAAATTCATCAATTAAGTCTTACTCAAGATGTTTTCTCCGTTACACGAACAAGACCAACCCGCCCCTGATCCTCCTCCTCCTCCCCCTTCCTGGACGCAGCGGTTGCAGTCATGGCTCTTAAATTTATTCTCAACGAAGAACAATATGGTTTTTTTCTCGAGTATTGCTATCGGTCTGTATGGATATGACCAAGGTATGATGTCCTTGGTCAATACAAATCGTTCTTATCTCCGCACTATGGCTATATCAGAAGACTCTCCTTTTGTAGGCGTCATCGTTTCCATTTACTACATTGGATGCCTACTTGGAGCCATTGCAGCCTCATCTTTAGCGGACAAGAGGGGGCGAAAGACCGCAATCTGGGCTTGCCTTTGGACGAGTATCATTGGTGATATCCTCATGTTCATCCCTGGTATATATCCCTTCAACTCTGACAGTTCATGGGGTGGAGGCTCGATGGTTCTTATGATTATAGGCCGTGTGGTTCTTGGACTAGGTATTGGAGGCATTGATGCTGTAATTCCAATCTACAGCTCGGAGCTCTCTAAGGACGACGCCCGCGGCAAAGCAAGTGAGTGCATTGCATCTAATTTTGTCGACCATCACTCCTTTTCAGTTGCATCATGTGTCTATCTTCTTTCCTTTCTATGTATATCGATGCTAAACTCTAAGCTTGCGTGTATTGCCAAAGACTAGGTGTAGTGGTTACTGACTCTAGTCTACAGTGGCAAAGGAGTTTCAAGCAAACGTTGCAGGACTGCTCATCGCATTCTCGATCAACGTTGGACTTACTCTATTGTGGGGGAAAGATAGTCAATGGGCCTGGAGATCACCTATTGTGGCTATGCTAATTTGCCCTATCATACTCCTCCTCATAGTTAGGGGCTTGCCGGAATCGCCGCGTTGGTTTATAAGTCAAGAGAGGCAAGAAGACGCGATGAGCGTTCTCGTAAAACTCCATGGCGAAGATGAAGCGAAGCCTAAGTTTGAGGAACTTCGCATAGCCCAACAGGAAGAAACGGAGCACGGGATCGGATACTACGACATGATCTGGTTCACTGGTAGCCAATTTCATCCCACCATGATTACAGTAATGGGCCAGATCAACCAAGCATTGACAGGCTACGGAGCTGTCTCAGTGTATGGTCCACAGATATTTGAGCTCCTAGGATTTCCAGTGCAAGAAGCCGAGTTTTGTACTCTCGGAAACTACATTTTTTACTTTGCCATGATGACCTTCGCTTGGTGGCAAATCGACAAACAAGGTCGGAGGAGGTTGATGCTCCTAGGATCAGTTGGACTGTCAATTTTCTATCTTGTTTTGACCTTCTTGGGTTCTCAATCAATAACGGAAAAATCTGGCCCTCCTAACTGGTGGTTGCCATCTTTGGGCATAGCCACACTCTACGCGTCAACGGCAACTTTCGGAATATGTTGGCTGACTACTGTTTGGCTAATTCCAACTGAAATTTACCCGAACTATGCGCGCGCAACAGGGAGCTCTATTAGCGTCATCGTATGGGGACTGTCCAACTTTGTCGTTACGTTGTTAACGCCTATTGGATTCAATAATCTGAAGTACTGGCTATTCCTTGTGTTTGCTGTCACCAACATAGTAGCGGGAATCCTCACCTGGCTATTATCACCCGAGACCGGTGGCAGGAGCTTCGAGGAAAACCAGAGGTTCTTCGCATTAGCCAAAGACGATGGTAGCTGGCTCGTGAAGAACATTGCCGGTGGGAAATATAGGGCCATGCCGCCAAAGGAGGATAACCACAAGGATTTGGACGTTGAAAATGCCGAAGCAGAAGACGCTAAGGGTGAAAATGCTAGAGGGAAAAACATTCAGGATCAACCCCTGGAAACGACACCCCTATTGGGGGAACGGATCGAATAGGGGTAAGGTTTTTATGTGGGCAATAGATCAACTAGCGATGAAAGTCATTGATGAGTTCAATAATGAGAAGTAGCGAGTACATTCAGTAACAATAGCGAAATTACGAGATTTTGTATCGTTTAATTTAGTCCAATAACCAAATTACTGACTGTAGGACAACTTATGTAATACTGAGAACCTTGAAGCCATCGTGACACGACATCCGCTGACTCATACTCCCACTACTACTCCGAGTTGAGGGGTATTGGATTAGTCATGCGCCGTATGGCCAAATATCCCTTATTTCCAGTCACAAGACGTGTTTGGATAGACGAAGGTTATGGATGAGTGTTATGTTTTTGTGCATCTCAACGAACGCAATAAATAGGTCTTCATGAAGAATTCCCCGTCCTAGTTTTGAAAAGGTTTAAACGTTAATACGCTCAACTGTCTATCCCTACCTGAGGGCCACCGGCAAGTCTCTCGCTAAGAATCTCTCACTTCGTGATAGCTAATAATTACGGGCTTTATCCCCGATAATACCTAACAATGGTACACATCAAACTGGTAAGAAAGAAAGAAGATAAGCGGGTAGCATTCACTAAACATTATCGCTAGAAACCTCCTTCTCACGATTTCGGGGTGTATCCGTCTCTCATATTATCCAAGTAAATAAAAGCAGGCACTTACCCAGTTTCAACGTAACAACTCTGTAGTCGATTTAACCTTAATAATTGAGATCCGTCATGACACATGATCAACCAATCTACATGCGATTCCATTTGGAGCAATACTGTTCCGAGTTTCGGATCGTTACTTTGGTTTGGGTGCATAGGAAACTATGTTACGTCGTATAAGGCTTGCTTAAGCGCGGTTACCTTTCGAGATAAGTACTACATGATGTTTCACTAGCTCTGCTTGTCACCCACCCTCAGACGCCAATAACATACGACGGTTAAGAGTTTTAGATAAACTCCGGCGGGGGGCTGAATCAGTAGGTGATATAGATGCATGAGATCAGCTCTGGTTGGTGGAGGGTCTTCGTAGGTACATGTCGTATTGCCAAGGAAATTGTTTCAACGCTTCTGGCCGGGCTCGACACCTGACTGTCCGAAAATTCTGAATAGTGCAACGGATATCCCCCGGCACATCTCCGGATCACCCCCGGGTCGTACTGTGCATATCGGGAAGGTTGTTACCGTAATTCTAGTGGATATAAAGATGTGATTACTCTAATAAATGTTGGTTATTATAGTCAGGGAAACTGGATGAAGAGAAGAAAGTCTTACCTACATTGTAAGAATTGCCACTCTATATACCCGTTACAATATGTCCGTGTTAGCAACGTTGATTGGCAACGCCTTGTCTCATGGCCCCCACGTATTTCTCCGCCGGGGACGAGAGATAGCCGGCGTAACGAAGGGGTGTCGATTCCTCCGTCGCGTTTATTTCATTCAATTTCCTCACCCTCTAATTCCTCAGGCAAATTGAATGGACAACTAACATTGGTATCTTGATTGTTGAAAGGTGCGCTACCCTTCCGGACTTTCTTTTTATGAACCTACCCTAACATCTAGTCTAAAACAGTGTCAGCCACGATGAGGCTCACTCCTCCCGAGTTGCAACAGATCCATTTTGGGACCGGTCCTCGTGGATATGAGCCTATAACGCATCATGATGCCAAGCCGGATACGTACGTACAGGAAGAGGAAGATTATCGAGCTGCTCTTTCGAGCGAATGCCCTTTGCATAAATGGCCTCAACACTCATATCGTGCATTTTGCCCTCGACCAATTCTTGTCAACAAGCGGCATCAGCGACAGTTATCAGAATTGCATGAGGCTTTGGCTGCTGCTATCACTGACATTGTTGGGAGATGGTGGACTGACGATGCAGCGGGATTCCCCAAGCGTATGCCTCTGCAGAAGGAAGAGGAAGATTTCTTGCAGGTATGTCATTCCTTTTTCCCTGCCAACCCCTTTTCGAGCCAAAGTCTGTTCTAACTAGTAAAGTAGTGGTTAGAATCCCAAGTATCGCGCGGAGATCGACCGCCTTACTCTGCATGCCAAGGAGCAGTAGGTAACACCGACTGTTCATTTCCCCCCCCCCCCCTTTAACTCGTCTTGAGAGTGAAAACCTCTTAGTCGATCTGATTTATGAGCTATTGCTACCTACCAAAAACATGCGTGTGATTCCGGGGATTTTCTCCTAAATTTACTGACTTCGATTTTTAAGTGGAGGCCAGACTTCATGGTTGAGGAAGATAAGAATAGCTGTGACGATGAGGCAACAGAAAAATTCCGAATCACAGAAATTAATGCCCGCTTCTCTTTCAATGCGCTCTTTCATGTAGCATACGGTCAAAGAGCTCTAGAGAAAATGGGTATAAGGACTAATGGGTTATCCGGCGCGATAGACGCAGGCAAGGTAACCCATACCCAAATGCTTGCCACCCAGTTCAGATTCTTACAGCATACAGTTCCTTGAAGGGGCATTCAGTCTCACCAAACCTGATATTCCTCTACATATTCTTAAGGGGGAAGAGGCTGGACTTGATATACACCTATTCTTAGACGCCGCTCAACATCACCGAGGTTCCGCGACACGACTTATTCGCCCTTCGGATCTCAGACTAGTTCCTGATCCCCAGAATGAAGGAGAATATCGCCTCTGTTGCCTCGTTGAAAAGAGTGGAGATGCCAATGGCTCCCAGGCATCTTCTATCTTTACAACTTGCAATGGAGAACTAGTGGAAGAAATTCAACAAGTTGGCCTCGAACTCTATCAGCAGGAGTTGCTCTCTCTAGAACCAGAGATGTTACGTCAGATTAGCCTACGGTGTTTCAACGACATGCGGTCTATCTTTCTAGTCCATGACAAGCGTATTCTAGGTATCGTGAAGCAGGAACTTCAGCCACTAGTAGCGCGGGGAGTGTTAACCCCGATCCAAGCACAGATCTTGGACGAAGGAATTGTGGATACGATACTACCCGGGTCACAGGAGCTAGATCAACTTCTCCAGCTTTCCAGAGCCTCGCCCAAACTGAAAGATAACTACATCATCAAAGCAGTACGCGATGGTAAAGGGGCTGGGATTGTATTTGGCGAAGATCTCACAGAAGACGAATGGGTATCTGCTCTTGGGCAACTACGATCTCCTGAATTAACCGCGGGGACCAATAGCATTGTACAGCGTCGGATCATACCTCGCTTGTACGATGTGATACTGAGTACATCAGGGGAGAGGCTGCGATACCCGCTTGTGGGAACATATCATTCCATCCACGGAAGGCTTCTTGGATTGGGGATCTGGCGTTCTACCAACGATCGAGTATGTGCAACTACGAATAGGAATTCTTGCATATGCTCTGTCGTCGATGTCAACGCCGCTGAAGCACGCAATTAGTAATTTTCCACACGAGGCTGTGGTAATACTATATGAGCGTCTACTCAAGTAAAACGTATATAAGCTATAGTTTTCTCCCACAGGCATTTTTTTCCTATCAAATGCCGTCAGGCCTAGGGTTGATGAATATTCTCAACAAATCCATGGTTTTAGCTCTTTTCTTGCGAGACATAGCAAACGATTCAGCTTCATACCATCATATATAGGTTTTTTAAATAGCAGTCAGCATCAATCCCTTCAAATCTGTACGGTGCGTAGGTAAGGTTTTACAACCCCCTTCTGTCATGATATACTGTGTCCTTTTAGAAAAGGGGGCCAGCCCAAGAAGATGATTCAAGCTTCTTTATGGTCCGTGTTAAACCTCAACATATAACGAACACCATTCTTACGTTCTGGATTGCTGAATTGCAGCTTTGGCATTTGAGATAAGTACATAGAAAAAGAAGCATCAGGAGCAAGCAAGTTGCATTGCCCGGCAAACTAGGTAAACAGCTTTACAAATTGAGTTCTAGTCACAAAGACACGCGTCAATATTCTTGACAAACGAGAGAATGACGATTACTTGATATCTGCAGCCCAGTTCAGGTGCAAGCTAATCAATTCATCTACACATTGCTCATGACTCATAGGTCTAATGATAGTATGGATTGAATCTATTAATCTGGCAACGTCTAGTACTATGAGACAATAACCGAATTACTATTGGTAATAAATACGATATAAAGAAACAGAGTTCTTCAATCTGCAACCCATCCTATCACTTCTAATTCAGTCGCCAGGATTGAACAGATGAAAAATGACACATATTCCTGGGATAAGTATCGAGACGCTACTATTCAACTTCAATTCCGCCTTAGACTCCGTTAGATCGAAAGTCAACGATAAGTTCCCACGCCATGAGTGGTATCGCTCTCTTGTCGACGCGTTCCGTGCGTGTCTAGGCGATGAAGATGACCAGCAGACCTCCGTCATATGGTTTGCCCTCCGGTTCCTAGATATCCTATGGAGTATCCTATGTATGTTTACATTTCTCATCTGGCTCCTAAGTCAAAACTAACGAAAAGCATCCAGTCGGAAAGATGGCTGGTCCTTCGCCGTGGAGAATTATCTTATATCAAATCTCGCGATTAAATCGCAACGGCATCAGTGATCGGACCATCAATCTCAATCACTTAAAGACCTCAGTGGAGCACGATGAGGATGCAATCGAAAATATCATTCGACAGGCCGTTGGAGAATACTCCCCCATGATGGTCCCCGTAGTCGATATTAGTCCGCGTAACCAAAGGATTCATGCTGAGAGGAGCCAGGCCGAATCATGTCTGAGAGAATTGGGAGAGAATGATACCACTCTAGGTTACGAATCAGCTTCGAACAATACTGCTCAGGGTCGGGATCATGAGTGTAGATTCGAACGGGTAGACTGGGAATGGGAAACCGATAGAAGTAGTCAAGTTTCGGACTAGATTTATTATGTGCTTCTCGAGGTATGTATTCTGACTAGGCAGTTTCTCCTTTCTACTTAGCTCATTCTAAAAAATGGAAGAACTCCGTTCATACTACCTACTTTGATTAGGTCCTAAAGACGAAGTCTCAGTCTTCATAGCTCTCAGATTTAGTGAGGTTATATATGCATAAGCAATAGTATCCATCTACGCTGTTCTAGAACCAGTTTACAATAGGTCTCCTATGGGTCAACCCTCGGCTTCAAGACCCATGACGACGCCATATGGAAGTTTTGAATAATTTGTCGATATGGAGCTGATGCTCATAAGATCTTTATCTTTGTCCAAATAGAATTTATTTTTTAAGCTCGTTACACACGTTGCTATCCTCTAACCAGCTATGTCCGCGTTGCGATGGGTTCTATTCAGGGGCCTACTGCGTCTCGATGTGGCTTTCTACCCATTCGGATTACTTGCTTGCTGTCCTTAGTTTTATATATATTCAATTTTCAAACAGAAAAGCTTAATGGCAGTTAACTTTTGGTTCAATTTGGTAAAATAACCGTCAATGAGGTTTTAAATGGAGAGGACTTGGTTTAACCCCCTTTCTTCAATATGATGACAAGTACCACTTGAGGGTATCCGAAAAGAAATCGCTGTCTTAAAAAATTCTTGGGACTTTTAATTGGGAGGAGAAGTACTCGAAAAGGTGAAATGACTCATCCGATCGAACAGTGCCTCGAGCAAGTTAACAACCGATACCACAGCAACCTGATATTTAACACGGTCGTTCACCAGCTCGTCCCAGGCCCAATTGTCACACACCCCAAAATTATTAAACACAAGGACATTCAACTGTTTATTATTTTATTTCTGCAAACATTAGCCCTTCGGAATATTCAATTGGTTTACCGACCTAATCAACCGAATTTCTAGGTAACTTTATCATCGCCTTTTTGTAAAGTTATCATTATGTCCTCGGAGCGTTCAATTTCAAAGGATATTCCTGGAATATCCATAACGACGGCATTCGACTTCTGCGAGGCCCTTGACCACATCAAGGGAAAGCTCGACGAACGAGTTTTCACCAAAGATTGGAGAGATTGGACCAGTTCTGTCACCGACGCCTTTACAGCCAGTCAGCCAACTGATGTGAAACAGAATCACACGGTTTCGATAATCTGGTTCTCTTTTAGATTCTTGACCGTCCTTTGGACTATTTGGTGTACGTTATTTTATTTTATTTTATTTTTCCTTATTTGCTTTGATGAATCACTGCTAATTAAGACTTCCTAGTCGGCAAGGGCTCAGTACCTCCCTGGAAAGGGATGTACGACGCTATGACATTGAGAGGCCGAAATGGCAAAGACGACGTCCTAATCGACGTCTTCAAGCTGGGAGAGTCGATACGGCACAAACCAAACAATGCCGAGCAGATTATTCGACAGGCAATCAGAGCTTACTCTCCGCTCACCATCCGCCGTACACGTGCTCCAGCATAAATGCAACAACTTCAGGGTCAACATGAGTGGGCGAGGAGTATTTGGAGAGGATATGGCCTAGGGCAGGCGATTAGATGAAAATTGCGGTCGATTATAATTGGGTGTCGGGAGGTTATAGAGGATTGCAATGCATCCCCGAATGGCGCATTCTAGCCGATTGCTTGCACCCGCGGATCGGACACAATATATGAACTCGGCCTGCTACATCCGACTCCTGGAGCACTTCCTATAAATAGTTTAACTATGAACGATAAGTGGCTATCTGGACAATAACAGGGAAATGTCAGTGAAGTGATCTATTAAGAGGGCCAATCGTCGAAGGTCTGATCGTACAAGAAGGTCAACCCTTCTGGTAGGTTGACAACGCCTTCTCTCTCAGGTACCAGCCAAAAGTGAAAGCAGCTCCAGGCCCGATGAAGGCGGTAATGGCGAGTAGGAGTGCGGTGTTATATAACCAGCCTTTTCCTAGCAGACCAGCAAGATGAAGGTCGTAAAACGAGTAAATCAGCCAGAGAAACGAGCTGCCGAAGACAGCCAGGTGGTCGGCTTGTAGTGCTTTTCGGCAATGTGCGACAAACTCGGTCTGGGACTCCAGCATAGGTAAGAAGACGGTAGACAAGGGATAAGGCGAATACAGCAGCATGTAGCCCCAAACACCAGCCGAGATCAAGCCCAATACTAATAGAAGAAATTTTGCCGACGTCAGACTGCTCGATTTGGGTAGAAGTGGCTTGCTCATCGCGGCGAGCAGAACGTTGCCGACGCCGATCCAGAAAGGAGCCAGCTGCCAAGCCCAAGTCCAGAAATGCCGCGTCGATAGCTCCGGGGAAAAGAATATGCCGAACACCTGATACGTATGGAAGACTAAGACGAGCGGAAGTAGAAGCCCGACATGCTCACGTCGGATAGTTCGGTCCCGCGCCGGCATCCGAGCCAGGTCGGAAGCCGTCGGACCAAATGCGAAGCAAAGAAAGTAGAAAATGGGTGCTAGTGATCCCAAGCCTGTCAATTGTCCAGTGAGACTAAACAGCGTCGGTCTATAATGATTTGTTAGCTAGCTAGGTAGGTACTCGTCGAAACGCATTCCGTCGCTGACGTACAGGTACGCCGGTGTATAAAAGCTTCCGGCACGGCAGGATTCCAAGATCCATAGCGCATACACCGGCCCGAGATCGGTAAGAAACGAGAGCATTTGCCACCAGGCGACGGGATCATATCCGAACGTAGACGGCGAGAAAGTACCCATCGATCCACGCCAAATTTGGTCAAGAATGCCTATGTTGTGGAAGTGATCCAGGATCAAAACTTTTCCGCCTTCCCATTCAATTACTCCGGAGTCGACGAAGGGCTGTTGGTTCTCTACTAGCTTTTCAATATCCATCATGCGAAAGCACCAGACTGAGATAAGAAGAAATGGTATCGACGCAGCTGCGCGCCGGGCTTTGGCCCCTAAGAGTGACATGGTTGATAACTAGGTAGATCTAGATGATGTTAAGGTGGAGGATAGCTAAAAAAGACGGGTGAGAGGATGTACTATAATAAAAATACAGGCATCGCGATGAGCGGCTTGTTCATCCGAAGGACGGCTCACCTAACTTATTTCGTTTTCGACGCCTTGGCACTAGCATCGTATACGGATCTTACAGCATCCACACATAATAGCCTACCTTGGCATCGACGAAGGTCTAAAGCAAAGAATCCTGTGCCTCATCGGCAGATCAAAGAGACCCACACAATCTCAGCATACCCTCTCATTCCTCGCCGTATTACGTTCGGAATACGTGGGTGCATTACCGGGTGCGATTCGATGGCTTAATGCGGTCCGGCTCCGGTATAAAGTGGGGCTCATCGGACCCTTGAGCGCGGGGACGGATTGCAAGAACGATCAATTAGGGTAAAAGCGGAGTCAGTTCTAAGTTGGATCCTTCGTATGAAGACTGGGATGTAGTGATACTTCTTAACTTTATCGCTTCAGACTCACGACGAACTTATAATGGAATAGCAATTTAACCCCTTTCTCCACTCTTATTCGGAAATATGCGCAATCTCCGAAATAGCGAGGGGATCTCCGGTTTCCCCTAGTAGTACCGTACATCCGAAAACTTATAAAAAGGTTCCTAACAGAGCTGAAAGTCACGCTTCCTCGAATACCAGCGATATATGGGGGCACTCATGTATATATACTAGTTACAAGAACTATAGGTATGTAAGGAATGTGCAAGCAAAATGCTAAAATGTCTAAATTTTAATGTCGGTTATCCCCGCCAGTAAAAAGGAATGCCTGAATCTGCTCCGTTCAATGCTAAAAGTAACCGTGCCCATATCCCACACTCCCTATTCCGTATCCATTAGACCCTTCACCTCAGCCCTTGAAACCGTGATCACTCTAGTTTCCGGCAGCGCTGGAAGGGCATTCCATCTGCCACGAAGCCCAGTTGGCGTTGGGCGGGGGGACGTCATTGCAGCCCGAGACCGACAGAGCGCGGCGGCCGGAAGTGCAGATGTTGTTGGTGTAGATGTAGACTATTCTCACGGTTAGCCATATGTTGCTTACCAAGACTACCGACCTACCTACCGAGGTAGGTAAGATAATAGGGGATAAGAAGACTTACAGTTGCACCCGTCGGCAGCGGGGGAGTTCATGGCCTCGAGGACAACGGACTTGACGCCGGGGCCAGAAGGAAGGTTGGTGAATTGGTGGCAGGTGTTGGCGTCGGATTGGTCGACGAGGTAGAAGCCGTAGTTCAGGTCCGAGCAGCCGTCAGCTCCAAAAACACGGAATTGTCCCAGGCGGGCACCGTCACGGGGAATGGCGTTGGCGTTAGCGCCGAAGGCGAGGGCGGCAGCAGCGGCGATGAAGCTAGTGAACTGCATTTTGATGGTGATTGGAGTTGTGGTATGTGGTTGATGTAGAAGGTCGTTGGGTTGAGATGCGAAGAGTTAGTGTTATTTAGAATCGAGTGACTGATGTGAGACTGGTTGATAGATGTCTGGAGATAGAGGTCGATTGTCCCTTTTATAACAACGTGAGGTCTCTCTTTGTCGTGTCGTCTCTCTCGTAAAAAATCCACATCGCAGGCAGCACCGTGCCGTAGCGACTCTCGTCCGTTGAATTTGGCGAACACGATGTTTGATACCTGATACGACCGGGCGCAAACGACGACGATGCAAGGAGTAGACCCTAGACTGAGCCTCCTCGCAAACAGAGCCACAGCTCGGGTAGGTTATTTACCAACCGAGCAGCTGAGAACGAAGCAACCAATCAGGGATGACGGGGCCAATGAAGATCTATCCGAAGTGGGAATTACCGTCTTACGCCCAGAGAAACCACTGCCCCGGCATTTGTGGGGTTTTGAGCACGTTGAGTAACCTGGTAACCTGTAAGTCGACGCTTTTTACGAAGACTATTGACGATCGACGAGAGATTTTCACCGATTGACTGGCTCGACTAAATTTGGAGTGCTGGGATATCCTTTCGTATGCCTCACATAAGCACCAAAAAACCGTGTGAGAGCTCAAAGCTTGTCACTGACGTCTCTTCATGCAGCAGCGTACAGCTCACGGCAGCATCGAAGTAAATAGAATGAATTTCCCGATTGGTTCTTATTCAAAGGATTTAGCAGACCCATCGCCACCTAGAAGCGATTACCCCATAAACCGCCAAACATACCTATCCATAGTAATGGCTCGAGCGCAACCACGCCACGATGCGCTTCCAAAGCACCGGGGTTCCCTTTGCTTCGTCCGCCATCCTCGGCTCAGCTTTACGCTAAAGGAATATCTTAGAATGAACTGAGTTAGCCTATTGCCTACATATTTTACACGGCGGTGAAGATAACTTTGATACACGTCTTGATGCTGACGTCGCACTCGCTCTTTGAAGCCCGAAGCGATGGATAAAATGAGACTTGAGATGCAGGGAGATCGTGGTGCTGGTGAATTCTCGTATCGATTCGCAGATGGCCGCGTGATCATGCGATGTAAATTATCGACCAGTTGCATCTCTCCAGTAGAGACAGTTTACGTAGGCGGCTTCTACTCAGAGCGGCATCACCGGATGCACTCCTTTCCTTATCTGATCACAACAGGTCATCCGATGTTGGAACGAAAGCAGGGCGCGCGGAGCCTTTCCGGAAATGATATCCTGAGTTTACGAAAGGATATTGTGTTAAAAAAAAGTAGGTAGGTAGGTAATTAGTAAATTCTTTATTACTGGAAGCCACCCTTGGTGACACAATAACCCTGAGTTTAGCCGAGATGATGGTTCGATTTTCTCGATCTTACAACTTTTGCAGCCTTTGAAGCTTTGCAACGTTCAATTAAGCTTGTCAACCACAAATGCTTATGCCCTCCCCCTTCAGTTTATTAATTCTCCCTGGACTAAGGCAATTGGCAAAACAGCTTCAAGTAAGTCGTCAATTAAGGAAGCACCCTTGCAGCCTTGACCACTGCGTATGTAATCAATTAAGTTCTTTGATAGGTATAATTGGGTGTATTCTGATAATAACCTTGGAAGTGGGACTGTCCCTCCAGGCCCTCCTGACTCCTGCACCTGGCCCTGGCTTAGTCACCCTGATTTACCCAGGGGACCTCGGAACTGGAGGTCCTGTTAATTAAGTAAGCACCTTAGGTATGTAGGCAGTCCACCTTTCACGAACGGACCATCTTGAAAACCTTTGTCTCGATCTTAATGATCAGCTTTTGTTAATTGATAATCAAATAATCAAATAACCAAAGGTTGCGCTGCCCTAGAACTATCGGTGTTGTATAAGTTCAGTGCTGGATCTTAAGGAATTACCGATTGCGACAGGAAATTTTGATAAGGAATTTGCTGGAATACTAGATACTTTTGATATAATATCCCTCTTGCACTCGGGGTACATAAATGATAAGTACCTAGGTAGGTAGGTAGGTAGGTAGGTAGGTAGGTAGGTACCTAAGGTAGGTCCTATATATATGTACTAATTCCGACGGGCTAACAACCAAGATACCAGTATCGTGCCTCAACCCGAGACGGTTATGTTTTTACTAGCTTTCCTTTCAAACCCGAAATATATTTTGAAATGGATTATAAAGCAAATATAAACCATAATAAGGTAACTACTTGTAATCTGAATTACTGGCATGACTTACGGGTCCAATTTATTTGATAAATATTTCAATGGTAATATTGAATGCCAAATCTCACGTAGTGATAATAGTAAGAAATAGCAGCTATTAATAAGTTGTATTGGAAAGAGTGTAGGTTAGGTATGTATTTAGGTCTTTAACCAAGGAATGTGAGATGTATGTAGCCTAAGATATATGAGCCCTAATGGATCATATGCAGCACCGCTATCACTTATACCTGATATCTATGAAATTGAGCCAAGTATACATCTGTGAATTAAAGCGCATCTTTTCCTGCGTCAAACGAGCGAGCTGAGTTGGCCAACAAACTTCAAAATTGCATCTGAACGGAGAGAGATGAATGGAATAGGGTAAGGGAATAATGAGGTCCCCTTTTGGTCAAACGTGAATGGAGAGTGGTAAATTCTCTCCTATGAAGTTTGTGCCTGCAATTCGTCCAGGACCTTGGTCTGGCCTTCAGTTTCAACATGATTTGCCTTATATTCATCATGTGAGATATGTTGAGGTTGAGCCTTGTCCTTTTCTGCATATATCTGCAGACCAGTCACCATGGTGCCCGTCCGTCCATAACCGTAGCCACACCAAACCAAAGTACTACGATGCTTTCGGTACTCTTTATTTCCAGTGCTGAGGTCGTCTAGAGTGGGAGTCTGATAGTCCTCCACAGGCAATGGGGTGTACGCAATGCCGTTGTTTATCAGCCTGTCCGTGATATCTTTGTTGTTCGCTTGGCTGTTCAGACTGATCACATGCGTGATCTTGCTTTCCTTGAGGAAATTGATCGAAGCGTCGGTCAACTTTTGGTCTGAGTCCTGGTTGTTGTAGTAGGGTGCGGAAGAACGGGCAAGCTTGTCGCTGTCCGGCATGTGGGCTTTCACCCACTCAAACCGATGGAAACCTGCATCATCCGGGGTAGACATGTTTAAGGGGAGAAGAGTGAACGATATCTCTAGGCTCGTTAGAAATAAGTCTTGTGCTTCTTGACGTACAAGTGCACTTACCCTGATGAAATAATAGTAGGCCTTATGGTAAATTCCACAGTAGAGTGTACGCCCACTGTTGGAAAATTTGCAAGTATTATAGATTCTCAAGTGGTACGTAAGAATGATCTCCGAATGACAGTGTGTTGATTAACTGGAGAATGAGCTCTTGTTTTCTAGAGAAGAATGAGATATGATTACATCAAAGGATTGCTCAAGAGTCTGGTCGTGGAGAGCAGGTTTCCGCGACCTAGAACAAGACATCGATGCACAGCAGCCACCCAACTCCCATTGGAACAACAAAAGTTGATATTACTGTCGATCTAGGCATCCTTCTAGAGGTACGATGAGTCGATCCTTACGAATATTCCCACCGCCAAGTTCAAAAACGCCTGAAATGGTTGATACACGACAGACCGACTCACAATAATTATAGATGGGCACTTATACAGCCATCCACAACTAGACAAAATGCGCGATCACTACAACTATTGGTGGGCAATTACCTGCTCAGCTTGCCACAGCTATAAAAAAAATGTGTCATTACTATGATACAAGGCATTTTCTCGTTATCTCAAGTGAAAATCTCCATTCAATTGAAGCCCCAATAATTCTGATTGGGTCTACAATATGTAAGTCACTTCGATTTTCATGTAGCTACCGGCGAAGTCTGTCACAGGAACAGGGCGAATCCGGCACGCCAAGGTCAGACGGCTAAGTAGGTATCTTTCCATAGGATTGTGTAGCAAAGCATCCGGACTGTTTTTATGATTTTGTATGATAGGTACCAATAGAAAGCCGGTTGGACACATAGCACCCGCTCACATATCGCGCTTGATCATTTCTCGAATTTTCGTCTTCCGAGACGAAATGTAACATACTCATTATCAAGTGCATAAATTCAGCAGCTATCCCCTCGTGACACCACTGACACGCCTTCTGTATTCCAATCATCATTATTATTATTGGACTTTATTGCACCCTACTTGCTGCATATTATCCTTTGATCTCTCCCGCTACACATTCGTTAACGAATCCTACACCCCTCCATATAGTCATGGCGCATAACGCAGGACATAAGTCCAGTTTTCCTGGCAGTGTTCAGTCTCAGAATCGATCCGAGCTTCTCCGATCTGAATCTAGGCTTGAAGATGACACTCTCCCCGGAGTATCGAACATTGGAGCTGGTTATGACCCCTTCGCCGGCTATGCCAGCCCCCACTATGTTGTTGATGCGAACATCTTCGACTGGAAGCATGCTACCCAGGATATCTTCGTATATCTCGAGAAGACCTATAAGAAGCCGGTTGCAGTCGGCGCCATTGCATATTCGGATTCCTCATCGAACAGAGTGGTCGGCGACGATATCCAGAGCTACCAAGAAAAGCTCGGTGCCAGTGTAAAAGTTGATGGCTCATATGGCTTCTTTTCCGGGTCAATCTCTACGGAGTTTGGATCAGAGTCACTGACCAAAATCGAATGCGAGTTTTCGCGCTTCCAAGAAAGTATTGGGACATGGGCGCTTGAGCTTACCCTTGATTCCAAGATTCGTGAGCTATTGAGCAAGACCTTCCGCAGCGAGCTTGACGACCTTGACACCAGCGACAAGGATGTTTGCCAGGAGTTCTTCTGCTGCTACGGAAGCCACATCTTAACGGGGATTGTGCTCGGCGGCTGTGCGCTGCGGACGGCATCTACAAACAAGTACACGGTGGAACACAAATACGACCTCAGCGTGACAGCCGAAGAGGCCTTTAGATTCGAAACAGCGTAGGTCAGTGCAGAAGAGAAGGTTCAATACGAATCTGCTGTATCGAGCTTCAATACCAATTCCTCAGTAAATCGAGACATGGTTGGTGGCAATCCTCAACTCGGTGATGGTGTCTGCGCCTAAGATGACAAAGGAAAAAAAGTGAAGTCCGGTCTTTCCACCTACTATAAGGACCACTGGGCTCCGGAGTATGCGAAGAGGCTTCGCCTCCAGCCGGATTATATTGATGCGCTCACCTTTGTTGTCGGGGATAGCAGCACGATCCCGCCAACCCCGGGATATCAAAAGCTCAACTTCGACCTGAACCGAAGTGTAGGTGGCAAATACATCTATCTCTGCTACCACAAGGCGAGCTACGACTCGCTTGGCCCGAACAAGCCGGCCGTCACCGACCTTGCCGTCGTCTTTGACAACGAGGCCGCGCCTTCCGGTTACACGAAGATGTCAACTGACTTGAACGAGGTCTATCTCTGTTACAAGACGAGCGAGTACACTCCCGACGAGGCGATCCTCGACATTACAGCATTCAGCAGCAGCGACCCCAACATTTCCCCGCCGTATGGCTTCACCAAGATCCCACGTGACTTAAATGCCGGCGCAGGCGGTGAATATATCTTCTTTGGATACGCAAAGAGGAGAAATTGACTATGAGGCGGCAAAGAAGCCTCCTTCCGCCCTTTGGCCTTACGTCTGGTTGTCTTGGGCACTCTTAGCACACTGGTCTACCTAATTAGTCGGAGGCATGGTTATGTGTGGACTTGAATATGATACAAGCGGCAGAGTCAGGAATCTCTTGGCTCTGTCTGCACTCTGCCCCGTGTTAGCTTTACACGTGCTATTGTAGCTATCTACACTTACACTCATTTGTTAGATCTATTAAACTACCCATGACTACCTCCTATCTTCCATCCAAATAATAGACTGGGGATATCGCATGACCATTTGTAAAATAATCTCTTATCAAGTACCTACCTACCTAGGTACAGAATCTAGATTGTTTCATGTGATAGATGTTCGTCCGCCAGGATGTTCAAGCAAACGGCCCTTTACATATATCGGAAAGTCTGCTGGTGGAGAGTCGTAAAGCCAACAAAGTACCTATGTCGCCCACTGCCTGCACTGATGTCGGTCCTTGAAACCACAAGTCATCCGGGATCATAAGGGACGCCACTGACGTCTATCCTCCCTGACCTACGGCTGCGTGGCTGACTCGCACGGTGGTCAGACTACTTGATATCGGAATAATGCCGTGACACTGTTACTCACCGGTACTAGATGCCAAGGAGAAACAACGCCACATAATTTTTCATAAGGCCAAAAATCAATGTCAAACTCATAGCCGCCGAGAATAAGTGTGAAGCCGAATCTATCCGCTGCCCCATGAAGCTTCGCCAGTCAACGATGTCCAGCCTGATAATTGAACGTATAATCGCTAAATTCCGTAAGTAAAGGTTTTGTTTTGAAAATTGGCAGCTTCCTTGCAGGACATCTAGGTGTCAATTAGCTGCCCGTATAAAGCATTAGGCGTCTCTATTTCCAACAACCATTGATCTCTACTCCTCGTACGCAACGATAATACTGTCGTTTTCTTCCACCGAAGAGCTCTCACAATCGCATATGGAACTTCAAAGCCCAACAATCCGACGTAGATTATTGACGTATTTGGTATGACGTGACGTGAAACGCCTCGGTAGTTCACATAGTGTTGCCTGTTCACTTCCCATATCCACGTCACGACATGAATGTCGACGACGCTGCTCTAGCGGGGATCACTAGTTACATACCTAAGTGAGGCCCACATTGAGCCATAGCGAACATGAGAAAGCTGATGGGCCATAGGATAGGTAAACACACCATGGCAGGAGTTAACCTGGTAAGGGAAAGGGGCTTGACCCACAATAAGCCCTGCTTCGGCTTGAACTCTCAGTATGTTCCAAGTGCTCTCATCAGATTGCCAATGGAGAACCGAGTAAATTCAATGACCTAGTATACAAGTAAGAGAAAGAGATGTCTAATTGCAAAAATTGGAAGAGACTGCAATCTACCTCTCCCCTCCATGTTGTAGGAAAATCGGACGTTGTCAGCCATCGTGAGTCGACGTACGACCAATCAGCTTGCGGATGGCGGCGATTTGGGGAGAGGGCAACTTTTCGGATGTAATTCGCAGAAACCGACAGGAAACGGAGCCTTGTTTGGTTTCCGTGTCGTCCAGATTACTTTTCTTCTTTCTTAGGCTTTTCAAATGACAGGAATCCACTCATGGAGTTTGAGATAGATACCTGACCAAGAGAAACTCGATGCAAATGCGAGCAACTCTAGATAGCCCCTTTTCGTCCTCCTTTTTCTATATTTTTGTTTTATGTTTTTTTCTTCTCTTCAACAAAACCAATGCGAGCAAATGAGACAGAGGCGAGCCTTCCACTCACATATGTTCCTCACATGAACAAGTTAGCGACACTTCCGTCAGACCATGGATCACTGTCCATCTCCGAAGCCGAAGTCGTCTCCCACATGCTTTCTTCCTCGCCCTCATCCTTGTCGTCACCTTCATTCTCCTCATGACCCGTATCCATCGTCTCTGCACCCTGGCTACCCTCTACCACGCTTCCCTCCCCCATGTTCTCATCACCACCATCACCCGCGCTTCTGAAACTAACTATGATCTCTGGCGCACTCTTCTCCCTTCTTAGTGGTGTAACCGGCGACTACAACAGCAAGAATCAGTAACCTCTCATTGAAGAAATCATTCCAGTAGTTTCAAGCATATCTCAAGAGCGATTTATCACATACCGGCAATCTGAACTCCGGGATGTCCTCATCCGCGTCCGGCACATCGAGATGCCACGACTTCTTCGAGCTAGCCGTAGAAGCCCCGCAAAGTGAAACCGAGCTAGTAGTAGTGGTAATCGGCACCAAGTCCATCTCCGACTCATCCTGCTCCGCGCGGGACGAGACGCGCCGATGGAACCGGCGCAGCGGGTAGAAACCCGCGAGCTCGGCGCCCGCGTGCCGGACATTGGCCAGCTCAACCTCGAGGTCACGATTCTTCTGCTCGAGCACCTTGACGCGAGCCTGGAGGTCCGCTGTCAGTGCCGGACTTGCGAAGGCGGAGGTATCCCAGTCCGCGTCAGTGATGGATGAGCTTGACGACGTCGTGAAGTCCTGCATCTGGACTTGAACCTGAGCATGGACCTGAGTCCGGGCCTGATGCTCGGGTTCTATCTTCTTCTCTTTAGCTGCCTGCTCTCGTCGAACGAACACAGCAAATTTAGTCTCGAAAGCCGTGAGACCCGCCCGGACATCGCATAATTCCTTGGTCCAGGCGGCACACCTTTCCTGCCACTCCGCGTTAACCCGTTTCTCGGTGTCCTTGACCAGCTTCTTGTTCGTCTTGCGTTCTTCATCTACCTGGGCCTTCAAAGCCTTATTCAACTCCTCAAACTTCTTAATCTGACCTTCAAGCTCACTAATCCTCCCCTCCAACTCCTCAACCTCAGCCCCCTCTCCCTCTCCCTCTCCCTCTCCCTCATCCGTGCTCTCACTCACATCCTCCAACTCCCCCACCAACCTCGCATTCTCCCCCTGCAGCGCCTGGACCAACCTCCTCAAATCCGCAACCTCGCCCTTACGAGCCTTAATCTCATCATGCTGAACCCCAAGCACCTTCTGCAACCCCTCCGCCTGCATAGTCAGCACGCGCGAGAGCCCGCGCTCGTCGCTCAGCATCTTATTCGCGTTGCGCAGCTCCAGGCGCAGAGCCTCCGCCTCGCGGGCCCGCGCCGCCTCCGCGCGGATCGCGTGCGTCGTGTGCCGCACGCTCTGCTCGAACGCCGCCACGATGCCCTGGTGCGACCGGTCCATGCACACGGGGTCGCCGCGGTTCGCCGCGGGCGCCGCCGGCACGAACGGCCTCCTGCGGGGGGGCACCAGGATGCTGCTGCTGCTGCGCGGCGCCGGCGGGTTGATCGTGTAGATGGGGCGCGGCGTCGCGCCGGGGCGCCACATCAGCTCCGTCTCCTGCAGCGCGACGCGGAGGCGGTGGACTTTGCGGAGCAGGGCTCGGGCGATGGTCTCGGCGGCCCGCTCCTTTGCTATGGCCCACGCCTCCAGCCTCTCCTTTTCTTCTGTCGTTTGCCGGAGGCGCTGTCTGAGTTCCTCCGGGGAGAGGGTGGCGTCGTCGTCGTCGTCGGAGGGCGTGCTCCCCATGAAGCCCAAGCCCAGAGGCGAGTTTAAACCGGACCGTTGGCCGTTGTTGTTCGACGGCGTGCCTGTACGCGGGCGCAGGAGCGCCTCGTCAGGCTCGTTATACGACGACGACGATGATGCCATGTCTAGTCGATATTCGTCTCCTTCCAAAAGGTTGAAGTTCAGTGGAGGGGACATGTGATTTTTCTTGTATTCGCCTTGTGTTCTTCCGCACACGTACCAAGGTGCCTATGGATGGTGTGAAGTTGTAAGAAGCAAGAAAAAGAAGTTAGGGTCGAGAAGAATGTGGCGGGATTATTTCACGATTCAACATTTCCCTGTCAGAAGACTCGCCTTGTACCCTGATTCCTAGAACAGGCACGGAAAACTCAAAGCCCTCTTCCCATATGCTTAAAGTTGCTGGACCCTACGCCGGAGCGCCAGGGGACATAGCATATTCCGGCCAGTCAGATCGGTTTCTGTCCGTCATCTGAGGCTACTCTCAGTTTGAGTTCAGGAGAGTTTAGCCTCATTCGGATATGTGGCATTACAGCTGGACCCTATCGAAAACTATCGATATAGGAGGTCGACGCAACAAAGTTCGCCGATGCCGATTTTGATGACATTATTGGGACTTCCGCAATACAAAACTTCGAATAGAGTTGCGCTTTGGGCCACCTGATGAGACTTTAGCGGTGGCACTTGGGGCTATGCGATGCTTAATAGGTAAGGGAATACGGTCGTGTGATGGCTGCATTGTTGAAGGTAAGGAAATAAGAATGTTGAAAGGACTTACCGACGTGATGTTAGAGTTATATCATCTGAGAAAATCGTCAATCCTCTGGACTTAAGCATTCGAGATGAGGTGATCTAGAATAATATGGCCGTGCCAGATGCCAAAGCAGAGGCTCACTCGCTTACTAACAGGAGAAATCAGGCCCAAGCGGGCTATCATGGAAAGGGGTATGATTACTGAATTCCAAGTCTATGTATATATATACCGAGTCAAAGCAAATGATTCCCCCGCCTTCCCCAGCGCCGTTTAATAGCGCACACAGATGCCGTCCCAAGATCAACCCATCATATGAACAAGACGGAAATAAGATCGCTACGCCAGATTTTTGTGTCCGTGACTACCTAGGTAAGTATCCAACACCCTCGGTGCCGCTTCCAAGAGTGTGCAGAACACTCCAGCAGGTACCGCAACGGAGCCCACCAGTAACCTAAGTCACATACCGTAACTGATTAGTCAACCTGTTTTTCGCAGCCGATGCGACCGAGCAACTCTTTACGGTCGCTGTGACCAGGTAGGCTGACACCAGAAGAACTTGCGGCCCTTTTAACGCCTGCCCGGCGCTCCCATCCCTTAAAATCAATAGCCTCGACGCCTACTTCCTCCTCAAGCGGCTGTGCCTCCTCATATTCAAACTCTTCCTCTTCCTCCTCACCTTCGTCGTCACTTCTAGTATCATCGGCACCAGCGCCCTGGAGTACGCGAATGGCAACCCGAATGATCATGAAGAACCAGAATATGGTTATGACTTGAAGACCAAGTAAGCAATACAAGAAACCCCATTGTACAGAGCTCGAGAAGCAAATTGTTCCCTCAAAATTGCGGAAGGGCTCAAGATAATGACTCCATCCGTCAGGGATAGGGAAAGGTCCAGTCAAGTTCGCGTTGGTACCCTTAAAACAACCCGTAGGTATCATCTCGGGCACATCCTTGTAAATGCTGTAGCACGTCATAAGGTAAAATATGTGCCGAGCGACGAACCACGATACCATAAAAACACCAAAAGTGGCATCGCATAACCGTGCGAAGCCCAAATACTTCAGACACTTTGCAAGCTATTTACAAAGTTAGCTGCGGCTATGTGATCCTGGCTGTTTTGGGGGAAATTTGACTTACTGGCAAAAACAAGTCGACTACATCCATGAGAACAAGGATCAGATTGCCGACCCTAGTGTGGTGATAGCAATAAGATGCAGAAATGAGAGTGACGGTGATGAAGTGATGAGTAAGCATCTGCCAATGATCTTTTCTGCGCTCCTCGATGTGAATAACGAGAACTTGCTGCAACCAGAAAGCCCATTGGGCTAGCATGTACGCTTTCATGAACCCGTCGAGTTCTCTGTTTGGCCAATCCGTCCAAAGTTCTCTCATATTTAGAAAATAGGGAGATTGAACGTATAGATACTGTTCGAAGGTTAATACATTTGACCTAGTAGTGCCGATAGTAGCACGTATAGTCGATTTTCTAGACAAGGGAATGGCATATGAGGGGGGCATCAGGAGTCGTATCATACCAAACCAGCAGACCAGAAAAAGCTGTAGTAGATCAGCATCCATGCCTGCTCCGAGAACCTGGTTATCTCCTTCCTCTTAGAAACTCCCCAGTGCCTTGCCAATGGCGCTAATAGGTGTTCCATGAAGCCAGCGCGGAGTCCGGTGAAGAGGATAATGCAGAATGAGATGAAATGTAAATCGTTTGATCCGATTGCATATTTGCCCGATTCCGAATTGTAGTAGGACAAAGTGAAGAACTTGGAGGTGTGAGGGCGAGCTTTTGGTAAGCACATATGGGCGAGGAATACCAAAGTGATGAGGTTGAATGAGAGACCTGTAATTGGAAAACCGTCAGTGGTGGCTAGGACCGAATATGTGTAGTGACTAGCGATGTGGTTGTTGCTGTCGTGAAACGGAACGCCTCGCAGGATCCAGGACGGCTTCCAGTGGGAGGGTGGAGGCTAGATTAAGCATGTCATGTAAAATAGGTTTAATCGCAGCAAGGACATACCCGTCTGGTTATCTAGAAACCAGCGTGCTAAGCTCTTCATAGGACCATCATCTTTCCTCTTAACTCTCCGAATCAAGACTTTATTGTTACTCGTTTGCATATACAATGGACCATTCATGGAGCTGCGACTGCGCGATTGCATCGCCGGTCTCACTGCAGCCGCCTTGGGCTTTTCAGCTTGAGGTTTCATGGTGGTGATCGCGGTTTGGACAGGTGGATTTGGAGGTTTTGGTATATCACCAAGGTCACCAAGGTCTACGTTGGCGACATTAAGCGGCGGGTCGCTCATATTCGGATCAAAGCTCAGTTCGAAGCTTAGCTATGGCAAATAAGCTCAATTGAAACCAATTGATCAGCGCCAGGCTCTCATTCGGTCGCGGATATGTCGGTGGTTTATGTTCGGTGGCCTCAGGCGGATCGCGGGCGGCGGGGACTTTCGCAAACCCGTTGATACAGACTGATAGATACACAACAATAACGTAACGAATGCTTCACAAGTTAAGTGACTAACGAGCAACTGTCAAGGTCCAGGAACAGAAAAAAGAGAAAACGCCGCGAATAGACAAATCATCACCTTCTTTTCTAAGAAGAACGAGTGTGTCGAACAAGTCTCCGAGCAGTTTACAGAGGATAGCGAACTACGTAGAAGATCGAATATACCTCCTGGGCTTGACGAGGGAAAAGTATTTAGTGTTTTGAAGATGCAGAGGATGTTGAACCGAGGGTGGAAACGTCCCCACCGTCTGCAAGTTTTTGATAGCCAAAATGATTTAGAAGACGGGGCGGTCAGAGCGGTGAAAGCGAAAAAAGGAGGAGGGGGTTTGAGTTCAAATCTAGTAGTTGTCTAGTCACTTACCTTACATGGTAGCGTCTATTCCAACAGGGGCATAGTGGATCTGGTAAACTTTGAAGATCGCTAACAGATAGGGGCTTAAGGTCTATTTGTCGGTTGCCCCTCACATCGCTGAAGCTCCTACCTCTCCGTGTCTCGTACTCTCGCCTACCCTAACACGCACATTCGAACACGTACATTAATTGTCTAGGTATATCCCATGGTTTCGAATACCTGTCCGGGAGAAGGTCGAATGAGACCGGGGGTAAGATCAGCGATCGAGATACCATCTTTACCTAATACGGTAGAGTCCGACTCATGAACTAATCTGACGATTTGTTGAGATCCTTTTCTTAGCTCGTAGATGCTTGTAGATGAAGCAGATGAAGGAGATAGAAGTTGGTAGCTTCAATGTTATTTCTATAAACCAATCTTGAACAATCTTGAAACAATATGAAAGTTTAAAGCCTTCATTATACTTACCCACTTGTCTCTCAGCTGGAAACTTTAAATACTATACCACGCCTCGTCTTATCCAATCGAAATATCTATTCATTCCTTCCTCGCCGCTAGCTACCTCATGTCACATTACTATGTATGCATGTGCTAAGCTCTTGAATAAGCAACAGCTTGTGGACATGTGCAATATCTCCCAACCAATGATCATTAACTATCTAAGTAGGTAGTTGACATCTTGCCGCATAAGTCGATCTTCGTCACTTATCCAGGTGTTGAGGTGGCATTTCAGCGAATAAGCTTTTGTGAATTCCGCACAACCATATATCTGTCGTTCTCGTGGCATGTTTGCTTATTCTCCGGGGTCTCTTATGGGCGGGGAATCCATGCCAGTTGTTAAGTCTCTCCGGGTTCCGTACAAATATCTACCGAGGCTCATATGTATTGCTATTCTTAAAGGTAGGTCTTCATATATCAATATAGCTATTACCATGGACTTAGCTTCATAGAAGACTTAGCAGCTGGAAAGCCAATACACACATACCATAGGTGAGATATTGAAAAATCGTTCTCGAATTACAGACCAATCAACTTATTTCGGTTGAATGGTTGGATATCAGATGTCATATGCTTCTTCATTGTAGAAACCGTTGACTCCAACAATCTGGGTCTGGAACTCCCAACCAGCCACCCGTTAGCCCCCGCACTTTAAGTTCAGGCTAGCTTAAGCCACACTTTCCTAGACCACCGAGCCACATGTGGCATTCAGCAATTAAATTTGAGCCAATCGCATCCCACCCACAATTTAGGCCGCGGTAGCATGCCTGCGTGCTAGAAGCACTTAGAAAATACCAGTAAGCATCGCCACTGTCTGTATGGCGCAGCCTTCCGAACCTTACCTAATAGTCGACGTACATTAACGCCCCGCGATTCGCCGCCGTGCTTCCTCTGCCTACATCCACCTTTCCACCTTCGCACCTAAACCATCAATTTCATCCAACCCTCCATCAAACGCCAGCCTCCAGTAGATCATTACTCCTTTCTCTTTCATTTGTGTATCAAGTCAGACATCACACAACTACATATCATCTCGTAATCTGTCCTCTCACCAAAAGTCTACGCATTACCCGCCAAACCGCGAAAGCAGCCGAAAAAGATGGCCGCCAACACCAAATACCAGCCTGCGCCGACGCAGGACCCCGACGCGGGCACCTGGTCGCAAGCGCCTCCATCCTACCAAGCCGAGCCCTCGAACAACACGCCGCTCTTCGAAGCCGCGCCGCGCAGCAGCGACGACAACATCCCCGACGACTTCAAATTCGGCGGGTCGGTCGCCGAAGCGACCGTCGAGATCCGGAACCAGTTCATCCGCAAGGTGTACACGATCCTGACGGCGCAGCTGGTCGCCACCGCCGCCGTCAGCGGCCTCAGCTTCTGGAGCGCCTCCTACAAGACGTGGATCCAGGCGCACCCGGGCCTCGTCTGGGCCTCGCTCGCGGGGTCCATCGTCTTCATGCTGCTGACCTACTGGAAGCGCAAGTCGTACCCGACGAACCTGCTCTTCCTCTCCGTCTTCACGCTCATGGAAGCGTACAGCGTCAGCGTCATCGTCTCGCTCTACGACACGGCCATCGTGCTCAACGCCGCCATCCTCACGGGCGGCATCTTCGTCTTCCTGACCCTGTTCGCCTGCCAGACCAAGTACGACTTCACCTCCTGGATGCCGTACCTCTTCGGCGCGCTCTGGGGGCTCCTGCTCTTCGGCTTCATGGCCGCGTTCCTGCCCTACAGCAGCACGGGAGAGCTGATCTACGGCGGCCTCGCCGCCCTCGTCTTCTCCGGCTACATCCTCGTCGACACCCAGCTCGTCATGCGCAAGCACCACGTCGAAGAGGAGATCGCCGCCGCCATCAGCCTGTACCTCGACATCCTCAACCTGTTCCTCGCCATCCTGCGCATCCTAAACAGCCAAAATAACAACTAAGCTATTTTAAGATAGACGGGGGGTTGGCAGGCATACAAACAAAGACCAGGCAGATTTTAGGGCTAGGCGAAGGAGAAAATGAGACTTCGACTACGGACTGCGGACTACGGGTTATCTTCGACGGGAGAATAGGTAGTTCTTTTGATGGAAATTGACGTTCCGGTTTGTCTTCGCTAGACCTCCCTATCGTTTGTGTATCTCCTTTGAAGTAATTGTATAGGTTATGGGAACGGCGTTGTAGGAATGAACCTGAGCTTGAAATCTGAATGGTTGCTCGCAAGAGTTATTGAGGTCCTGTTGGCTAGCATAGTTAATTTAGCTTAATGCTTTGAATTATGAGCACGTCTTTGTTGCTTTACGTGTGCTTCCAAGTCTCCTGTCCTATGGTTATAAGAAACCGAGACAAGACTCATGAGCGACTCATCTCAGCTCCGTAGCCGATATCTATCTAAGCGCCTTCTTGCACCACTGAATACCTATATGTAGCAATGTCTGCCATACTAGTACATAATACGCAGTTCTTCAAACATTACAAGCACGGAATCCACGCGACTACAAGGCAATCCTAACACTGGTAGACATCAAAGAAAACTCGTATTGATATCTGCATTAGAAGGCACTAATACTAGGAGAAAAGGGGGAAGTAGAAAAAGGCTACACAGTTTGCAACTAGTAAAACGGACATCGACTCGCAGAAGTTACAAAGGTAGCTAGGTTATCCCCCTCACCACCTTCGGCTTCTCAGCGGGACGACATGCCTAGATATGAAAAATCGGGGAACACAAGGTTGTTTTCTTTTCCCATAGTACCATCGTCCCTTTTCCGAAAATTGGGCATGCAATAGTTGTAGGGGATATCAATGTTGCCCGGGTCTTATTCCTGACAAGCTCTTCACCAAACCCTCTGCTTCGCACACCTCATGCACCAACCATTAGCTTTTTTAGGGTTTCATATAACGTCGTCTCGAATGGCCATAGTTCAGGGGAGTCGGGGACTAGGGGATATCAAACACCCAACGCCACAATCCGTACTGCTATCTGGCCGCCGGTATACCAGAAGTAGAGATAGAAAAGATGTCGTTCTAAGGCGTCTAGTTGCCGTCCTCCTCGCCATTCGCCTCGGGCGTTCCTGAGGCGGCGGCGGCTTCTCGTGCCATTCTCGCCTCGATTTCGCGCAATTGGGACTCGCGGGCCAAAAGTTCCTGTCGCTTCTCGTTAATCTCGCGCTGGACCTTGACCTCGATCTCGCGAAGCTTCTCCTCTTCTCGGCGAAGCTGCTCCTCCTTTAGGCGCACAGATTGGGAGGCCAAGTCCTCGGGGTTCATGGAAGAATCGCTATGACTACTATATTAGAATGTGAATTACATCACAGGCTTTATAAAGGTTACTCACACTCCGGCACCGCCCTCAACACTCTTAGAAAGCTTCTCAGTACGGTAGTTCTCGTAGAGGAAATCGTGGGTGATTTCCTTCAGATCGGCAAGATGGCTGTGGAGAAGAGCCGATCGAATGGCCAGGAAGTCGGAGTGACGAGGATTGTCGACCTCAACAACACCCCAAGGATATTGACGAGCCCGGACTTTGCGACCTCCAATCTCGATGACCTCTTCGGAGCCAACGATGGCAAAGGGCATGAGGCCTCTAAGCTCGGCGTTCTCCTCAACGGTGTCCTCGTCGTCCTCCTCAATGTCGTAAGGGAAGTTGTAGACGGGGATTCGGTAGTGCTCGATATCCTCCATAACCAGCTTCTTCGACTCAGCTAGTTCGGCAGGGGTAAGTGAATCGGCGCGGCCAATGACGGGAATAACGTTGACACGAGGTGCAAGGCGCTTCATCAGTTCGATATCGAGCTCACGGAGACTGATTAAACTGTAAGTAGAAAGCGAGGGCACCAGGCGAAAGACAAGACATACCCGTGACCGGTAGGAGTGATGAAGTACAGCATAGCGTGCACACGGTTGTCCCTGAATCTGGGGTTACGCTTGATACGCGACTCCTCAGCTAAGATGTCATCGTATTGTCGCTCGAGATACCCAACGATCTCCGAAAAGCTGCAGACCCAAAAATATTAGCAATCGTCATGACAACCGCGTCAAGTATTAAGTCATACCTTGCTTCATTGTCGATCTGGTCACCGAAGCCAGGGGTGTCGACAATAGTCAGGGAGATACGAGTACCCTCCTCGTCCAATTCAAGCTCTAAAAGGGGTGGTCAGAATCAATCGCCATTCTCGAAGCGGTTGATGGACTAACCAACGGTGATGGGCTTGATCTTAACGCCATCCTCAAGGTGGGCAGCGGTGGCGTCGTCGGAGTCCTTATGGTTCAGAACGCTCTTGCTGCAGAGGGTGTTTACGAAGGTCGTTCTGCCTAGAAAGCGACGACTAGTATTAGCAACGTGATTGATGACCGAGTAGGCGGTCGAGTATAGGTTGCTCGGGCGGCAATGGCACGTCGAACGCGTCGAGATGTTGGAGAGGGAGGTATACCTGTTCCTGAAGCACCACAGACCATCAAGCAGAACTGAATTCCCTTCTTCACGTTCTTCTTCCGGCGCATCATCTTCTGTGAACGCATCATGACAGATTAGTAGCTGCACTGTTTGACAGTACAAAACAAATTGAGATAGGAGTTCGACGCGAGTCTAGAGAGGTAGGATAGAGATGGAAGTAGGTAGCAGTGGCCGATGCAAATTTGGAGTGAGTAGCAAGCGATGTGTAGCAACTGGACAAGGCGTGATAGGGGACTGTGTGCTCACCGCTGGGGACGACATATTAGGCTAAGACTTGGGTTTCCAATGGGCTGACGAGTTCCGCTAGCAGAGAATTGAAATTAACAATGATTGACGATTGAACAGGACTCGTCAAAAAGCGAAACGGATCTTCGTAAATGGGGGTATCTCAAAACGGTGGATTGTGAAAGGGGCGGATCACAACTGGGAAATGTTGATGAAAGGTAGAAACCGAAAAGATTTGAAAAGTTGTTCGGGTCTCGCTTTACACCACCGACCAAAGTAGCTGTTGATGGTTCCAGTTCTCTCCTTCCCTGAAGTCTCCTCTCCAAAAAAGTGCAATTTCATACCACAAAATAAGTTGCCGTAGACGGGGACTAGACAGGGGGCATGGGACCACTAGAAAGGCACCAAATCTGAGCACGGATCACCTTGGTACTCCCAAATTCAGGGGCTCAGGCTTGATAGCAAGCAACACCTACCCAGTAGCGACAAAAACTAATAAGTACTTGTGTACAACTATTTAATTGGACAAGGTAGCGTTGGCCTAGTTGGCCCAGTTGCAGCTTCCCCGTGCCAAATTAACACGAGGCTGGAAGATGTCAAAAAGGGCAAGACTAGGGATTCGTATCCGACCGTAACTGCTCTATCATACAGTACCGTGGATATGCGGTCATCCATAGTAAGAAGTCGGCACCGGCACTTAGGAGCACAGCCACAGAAACTACACGGATGTTACAGTGAAACATTACGCCACTAAACACTTGCGGGTGAAGACTCACCCTGTCACCTTACAAACTCACCTACTACATAAAGCTTGCCCGACGGTTTGATAGCTCTTCCCCAATACAGTAGCCTGGATCTAACAAGGTTACCTATCTCATGTGTGTGTGTGGCTCTTGGTCCGTGCACGGCATCTTCAAATCTCCATACTACCTCACGTATCCATTCATTCGAAGTACCCGTGGGACTCTCACGTGTACTGTACCTGCGCAACATATTACATCCATCCCATCCAATCCTCAGTAAAAGCCAAGTCGTGATAGCTAACATCTTCAGTTCTACAACTATTCTACAACTACTTTATTTCTTCTCTCCAAGCTTCTTTAGATCTTCTTTTTATTTGATACTCCGGGTCTATCATATAGTTCGTTTTATCTTCAGCCTCCGGTCATTTACGGCCGCTCTGCGGTATTGTGAAGCTTGGTAGCTTAGACTGGTTAGCGCTTATGAGTGCGCTCTCTCCGGTGACTACATCCATATCATAGGTTCATTTAAAGCCAGCCATCCACGACGGGGAGCTTCACGAATGTGCCATACAGCTATGATCTGGGACACCGAGACACTGCCCGAACTATCTGGTTCCCTTTGATGCTTCGCATCTTCGATTCGTTCATTTCGTCCGCCGTGGTCGTTACTCTTTATTAGCCTTTTATACCTCTACCTCTACTATCGCTGCAGCCTTATTAAATAGTCATCATGAATACTCGGCCGGTTATAGAAAGTCCCCCCGAGCATGCTGCTCTTTCTGTTACCTTCAACAGCGACGCAAGTCGGTTTGTGGTTGGACTAGATTCGGGATTTTGCAGTACGATCCCTCCTAGCTATGACAACTCATATTTCTAATTTACATATTGTCCTAATGCTTACATGATTTATAGTCTTCCATTCAAGCACGTCTCAGGTACAAACCGCAAGAGGTAAGGTGATCCTTCATTCACGGAAGATGAATCCTAATAATCTGTAGTTTTCAATGCCGGCCTTGGTCTTGTCCAGATGATGGGAAATGCCAATTATCTTGCTCTCGTCGGTGGCGGTCGCTCACCCAAGTTTCCACAGAACAAAGTCATAGTATGGGACGATAGCAAGAGTAAAATAGCCCTCGAGCTAGCTACTCTAACTGCTGTTCGCGGAGTTCAGATCTCCAAGTCAAGGATTGCTGTCGTCTTGCAGAACAGTGTGCGAGTTTACGCTTTCCAAAAACCACCAACGCCACTAGCCAGATATGAGACAGCAGACAACTTCCTTGGTCTTTGCTGTCTCACAGAGAAGTATTTGGTTTTCCCTGGTAGGACCCCTGGTCAAGTCCAGGTTGTGCAACTGGCAACAGACAGTGTCAGCATCATCCCTGCGCATTCTTCGAGTTTGAGGGCATTACAGCTGAGTTCAGATGGGGAACTACTTGCTACAGCAAGCGAAAAGGTATATGGATTCTATGGTTTATGGGATATCACTCGCTGACTATGTACAGGGCACCATTGTTCGCATCTTCTCCACAAATAGCTGTGCGAAGCTTGCTGAACGACGGCGAGGTAGCGAGTTCGCTACCATATACTCCTTACGCTTCAGCCCATCAGGGAACATGCTTGCTTGCACCTCAGATAAGGGGAGCTTACACATCTTCGATGTGCCTAACCCGCGCAAGCCTAGACCCAGCTCGCCGTCTCCGAGTATTGGTGGAGGTAGCTCAAACGCCGAGGCCACGAACAAATGGGGGTTCCTAAGCAACATTCCATTTGGACCATTTTCCGATGTTTATTCATTTACTTCGGCTCCATTCGAGACCGGCGAAGAGCCGCTCCTGCCTAGCCCAGCTAGAGCTATAGAAAGGGGTGATAATACAGTATTAGGCACTAGTAGGCCAATGAAGGGTGTCATTGGATGGATAAATGAGACGTCTCTTGCTGTCGTCGGCGCTGGCCAGGATGCACGATGGGAGAAGTTCGTGCTCAAAGAGGAAGATGGCCGTACCGTGATCGTCAGAGAAGGCTGGAAGCGATACCTGGGGAATTAGGATGAACTCAAGGAATATTACGAGAACCACCCCGCTTTTAAGGTCGAATTATACGTGCCGGACCCATTAAGTCGAGTAGGGCGATATTGATTTGAAATCGGGCCAGGAATGGGAAATCAGCACGGAGTAACAGGACTCGGGGGGTTGGCGTTTAAATGGTCGGCGGGCGTCTTAAATCACTTTGCACTAGGATATGTGCTGGCGAGGTCATCTTAAGTATACAGCGTTGGCTTTAAATGGGGGGTATCTTTATTAGCGATTAGGCAGTTCTCGTCAGTCTCTATATGAACGTGGAGATCTGCTTCTACTTCTCCGTCTGCTTCTGCGATCTCTATCCTTGTCTCTGCTTTGACCTCCATCTTCGTCGTCATAGCGGCGAGAGCGCTTGGAGTGTCTGTCTCTATCATCCCTATCATCCCGATGTCTCCTTCGCTCCCTATCGCGACGTTCATCACCATCATCGTCCCGCTTCCTGCGTACGCGGTCCGTAGAATCGTCTCTCCGTCTTGGAGGGGTTTCGTCGCGATCTCGACTAGCCCGGTCTTTCGCAACCGAAGTCTCGTCCCTCCTCACTCTTTCCTTGGCGACAGGCGTTTCATCGCGTCTGGACCTCCTATGACGATCGCGGTCGTCGCTATCTCTAGTCCTATCATCCCTCTTAGATCGATGGCCGTGATGATGCCGGTGCTTCTCTTTCTTGTCCTTCCTCTCTTTCCGCTCCCCTTCTTTCCTTAACGCCCGTTCAACTTCCTTCTTTTTCTCCTCGATCAAAAAGCCCTTCATAGGATCATCCTCATCATGCTCCTCAATCAGCTTCGCCAACTCCCTCTCCTCCCTAATCATCGGGCGTCTCTCCTCCTCTTCACTACTCTCTTCCATCTCCACATCTTCTCCGTTCGCCGCCTTCTCGCGCCTCACAATATCCTCCCACGCGACCTTGAACTCCTCCGGGTCCTCATCGTCGCGGGGCTTGTAGCGCGCGTGGTCGACTCTCACAAGCCGCCCGTTGATTTCAGCTCCGCCTAAGTTGTCCACGGCCAAGTCCGTGCTGCGCTGGTCCTCGTATTTGAGCCAGCCGAACCCTTTGCTCTTCCCGGTTTCCTTGTCACGCGCCAACTTCAGGAACACGGGCTCCCCGAATTGCGAGAATATGGTGATGATGTCGCCCTCCGACAGTTCGTACGGCAAGCCGCCGAAGTTGACGAAGGCGGTGTCGCGGTAGTCGGTGTGCCAGGAGGCTTCCGGAGGTCTAGGTTTGTTTGTTAGCGGGCGGAATGGGATTTGGGAGAGGTTGGCTTACACTCCGTTTTCGATCTCGCGCTTGTTGAGCGCTTGAATGGCGCGTATTTGATTCATCTTTCCCTACCAAGCAGGTTCTTAGTCCTTGCTCTACTAGCTCGTAGGATTATCGGGAATTGTGACTATTGATGAAGATATAGGAGGTAGCTTGGGAAGGCTGCAAATGGATGAAAATATCAAAGAGCTTAGCTGCAAGGCTGAATTATGACGGTATTTTTTAGACTAGACCTCCGAAGGTATGTACCTCTAGCTGTCAATAAGTACCTGTACCTGACAAGTGCCGCCCGGTGAACCCTTGTGCTGGGGAAACGTCGGACCGCCAGGGCCTAGCAGGAGATCCACTAAATGCCGGTAAGACAGCACCTTAATCAAATGCTGGCTCAGGTGGAAGCTTCAAGGGGAATAAAAGTAATTATTGGATGTTTTTTATGTTGAAAGAAAGAATCGCCGGTGAAACGATTTCACTTATCTTTTTTATTCTTTCTCTGTTCTTAAAACCACCCCACCTAAATTTTGTCATCTTGTCTCATTTCGTTAAATAAAAAGAGGGAGGAGATTAAATACCCCCAATCTGAGATCGATCGTCATTCTCAACGCGTTTCGGTTGCATAGCCGAATAGTTGATAGGTGAAAGTCGACCCTTAAGACGCGCTCTAAGGGCCTGCCCATAGTCGCATCACCGCTCACGCCGAGACCTCTCTAAGCGCATTTAACTCCTCCCCAATGCTACCAACCGATCGGAATCAAACATGACGGCCAATTCGAACCGGTTCTCGACCTATACAAGTACCTCCGTCGGTACCGGTACCGGTTCGGAGGGAAAGAAGGATGACCAGAAGAGGGACATGTGGAGTTCTATGCTCGACTCCGTCGCGAGCGGCAAGAGATTACCCGAGAAGAACTTGTTGGTCCTAGGTATGATGAACTATACGAACAACAAATCTTGAATCGCAGGACGTCGGCGACTGACACCGCATATCAGGGGGTTCTGTAGATTCGCAGCGAGACTTCCTCGAAGCCCTATCAAGCAACGATACACGAAAGAATCTCGACCGGAACAACCAGAAGATACCGCCAATCGCCAATAGTTTCGCGCTTGGTTATACATATTATAACGTCTTGGACGCAGACCAAGAAGGTTGGTCGACGATGCCCCTTTTAGCGAACGACTTCAGCGCTGACCCAGACTAGACATCCTTGCACGAATATCTCTCTACCTGCTCACAAGTCCGGCGCCTTCCTTTGCCTCGCTCATCAAGCCCCTTTTGACTCCTCAATCGATTCCAAATACCTTAATAGTAATACTCCTCGACTGGTCGCAGCCCTGGTTATGGATGCGACAACTGCGGGAATGGCTACTACTCCTGCGGACGGTCATCATGTCTCTAAGCCCAGAATGCAAAGAGACTATGGAAGAGTCCATGAACAGCTGGAGAGATCGCGGCCGAACAGGTGGATCTGTTAACTTGGACGGGACAGGTGCGGTTGCTGCTGAGGGAGATGTTGCGCTACCTCTTGGACCGGGCGAGTGGGAAGACGGACTAGGCTTGCCGCTGTGTGTCGTCTGCCAAAATGTGAGTGGTATCGGCCTAATTACATAATTAGCATGCTAACACCAATGTCCCAGTCCGAGAGGATAGATTATTTGGAAAAGACCCAAGGATGGAAGGAAGAGAAGTTCGACTTAGTTCTTCAATATCTCAGAACGGTCTTACTAAGACGTATGACCCCTTTCATATGAACCATGGCCGAGCTACTCGCTAACAAACAGTAGATGGAGCTTCTCTTATCTACACAACACCGTCGATGGCATCGCCTCTACAGACTCTCGTTCATGCCAGTCTTGGAATTCATTCACTATTAAAACGCACGCCCTTAAAGATAAACGTTATTGACCGAGACAAGATTGTGGTACCTCCGAACTGGGACTCCTGGGGCAAGATCCGAGTACTACGGGATGGTTTTGACGTGGAGCAAGTTAGCGAGGGTTGGGTAATAGATCTGGACCAACCTTTTCCCATGCCCAAGAGAGACGGGTTGGGTGACGCCAGCGAACCGAATGGCGATATAAATGGCATCGACGAACCCGAAGGGTCAGCCGTCGTATTATATGAAGAGCAGGTTCAAGACACAAGCCTAGATGCCCTGCAACTAGCCCAGGGAATTAAAGACACAAGCAGGTTGGAGGTCCCCTCGGTTGATACGCAAGCTTTCCTCGCGAACCAATTAGAGCGGCTCGAACAGGCGAAGAAGGCAGACGAGAAAGCCGGTAAGGACAACTCTTTCGCGCAAAGTGCAACCGACGACATGATCAGCGATCACATTGGCCCCGTACAATTCAATATGGGAGGTATCCAGGTAGATGCTGACGATATGGTACAACGCCTTAAGGTAAGCCAAATATGTTTGTTCCTTAGACATTCAACAGAGCTAACTTATAAACAGGATCGTCAGGCCTACGGTCACTCTCCCGAACCTCATCTGGACGATGAGTCTCAACTGGAAGAAGGATCGGCTCCAGTTGACACAGATACGCTAGCCAAGTTCTTTGGCAACTTGATGAACAGGAAACCTACCACACCAGGCCCCGTGACTAAGGCATGATAGAAGTAGGGCGCGTGTGTATGGCGGCAGATACTCGGTAGTAAACTTGTCCGTACAAACGGACGATTAAACTTAATACCATAAGGGGCGCGCTTGGCACATACTATGTGCAGCCACGCAACGCATTACGATCCACGATCGGCTCACGACGAAGGATCCGAATTCTTTCTCATCTGTACAACTACCTACGGAAACCATATCATGTCGGTGTCGGAGAGAAGGAGAAGGGGGGGGAAGTTACCACGTTACCAAGGGAGGGGAAATTTTTTTACTTATTTGTTTCCGGCGAAGGGTGAGAAGACAAGAAAAAAAAGAGAGAGCCTCGCATTAACTAGCACGTACTCGGAGTTTATCGGCCGTTTCCGCCTCGTGTCGTCTTTTTTTGGTTGCGTCTTTTCTGTGTACCTATCTAGTACTTGTGTTGTCTTGGCTAAGGAAACCTTGGAGGAGGGTTTGAAGATGAAGGTGAAGATGGACAACGACATGGACAAGGAGACGGAGAAGGAGAAGGAGGAGGAGGAGGAGGAGGAGGAGGAGAGCCCTGCCGTCTATGGTTCGAGACTGTAGAATAGATACCCCCTTGCAATAAATGATATGAAGAGAATAATGTTCGATTTTATACGCTGGGTTTGTTGATGCGGGTTTTTGTGGTATGTTTTGTCTCCAGTCTTGGGTCTGGTCCCTTGGAGATGATATATGGATGTTCTTTCGATATGGGTATTATCTGGGCTTTATCCCGGAGCTTGGGTTGTGGCCGAGGTACGTCGAATGTTTTACTCTACCATGTCTAGATCCATACGGTACGCTTGACCCCTTTATACCAGTATTCTCAGATGCGCCTATTAGTTTAAACTACCTAATAGTGTACCTACTAAGATACGAAATAGAGCAAGCTAATCCATATTAAAAGCCAAGCAAATATTCATCTTCAGAGAAACCTCCCACCTCCCACCTCCCATCTCCTAGATCTGGAATATCCTCATCCCGGGCTGAAATGGAGATAGTATTATGGCCTTTACTAGAAGAGAGAAGAGGCGGTATCTTTGCCCGAGAATTAATCCAGGAGTCCTACAATATTAGATTAAGAGACGCACCAGAACTACAAGCGCAACCCCTTTTCAGATACCTAACACATACATTCGCAGCACACCACTCCATCACAATCAAGTATAGCACAATCAACCATTATTCCCCAAATTTGCACCTATTCATTTATTTAGGCAATCGTCTACATATGCAATCACCATGCAAATGCAAGTACAAGTAGGTAAACACGTCCTCCAACCCGCACACCGCACACCTAAAACACATTCAGGCCCCCCTAAAACTAAAAACCGTGTACCATAGACGCCTCCCCTTGGTATCTTTCTTGATCCGGTAAAAAAAGAATTCCTCAATACCTAAGGTAACAGAAAGAAAAAGAGGGGAAATGCGTCACTCTATGTAATTCCGGCCGTGCCGTCGACGTTACTCCCGTAGTCCGCACTGATGGTTGGTGGTAGAGACCCCGGATTCCTCTCCTTATTAAGGCATCCAAAATCTAATGTCACTCGTCCAGTCCTTAGTCCAGTCCCTACCACCTGATGCGTCATCTACGCCGCGTTTGCGCTTGTGGCCCGGCCATCTGGACTTATCGTTAAGCAGCCAATCCTCAGGACTCGGTGGAAACTAGCCACGGGCAGTTAAGAAACGGCGCCCATCCTGTTTCACAAGATCACTGCTGTCCAATCTGCGATATGTCCCGTCCGATGACTTTTCATAGAATCCAGGTTCCTGGGGGAGAGCAGCGGTCTTCGCGTCCCGTTTAGCCAACCAAGAGTCGGATTTTCCTGGGGTGTGATGGCGGAGCGTGAATAAGGCAGCACGGGGCAACGTGTAGAATGCTGCAAATTGTGCGCGATCATGCTTCTCTCCGACCACGAGCCAATGTTTACCGCCTAATTTCCAAGGGATAATTCCGCACAGCAGACCGGGGAAGAGGTTAGGATGCTCCAGCATCTCGACACCGAAAGCGTTGACACTCTCTTTCGCTAGGTAAGTGTATTTGTCATCGCCCAACAGACCCCCTAATCTAAACAGATTAGAGACGGATACCGCGTTGACCGATGGCTGCGAAGTGTCCATGGCATCTTTGATACGGAGTAGCGTGTAAGGCGCATCCAGGACCGTGGAGTAGAAGGCTCCGCATCTAGCGTTCGCCGTCGTAGGCGCAGGCGTAGGATGATCGTAGAAAAGTTTGATCTGGAGCGCCTGTAACTCATCGGCCCATTCGAGCCATGATTCCTCTGCAGTACCTTCATAAAGCTCGATAAGACCCTCAATTAATAGAGCGTAGTCCTCGGCGAATGCCTCGATATTTGTACGACCATCAGAGTAAACTCGGTAAAGAATTTTCTTGTCCTTGTCCCAGAGTTCATTCTTTACAAACAGGGCCGCCTTCTTAGCTACCTCCAAGTACTTTTGTCCTTGTTTACTCATGCCAAAGTCAGTGTGAAGAAGAGCAAGGGCTGTTCGTGTCAGACCGGCAATAGCCATGCCGTTGTAGGCGGTGACAATTTTGGTGTCAACCTCAGGCTGAACGCGTTCTCTGTGTCGGTATGAGCGTAGTTTCGCCTTTGCAGATTCGATTCGATCCTCCACCTCCCGTTCTGGGATTCCTAGCTGCTGACTCAATCTGGCAGAATTCTTAACGATCTGGAGAACATTCTGGTTAAGGAAATCGTCGTGAGGGTCATTGTTACGGTCAACGTTCCCGTGTTCTTGCACATTCCAGTACATGGCAGCAATCTCACTCTCATGCTCGTCGTTAATGATATGATCGAATTCCTTTCTCGTCCACATGTAGTATGCTCCGTTGCGCATCACTTTATCACCCTTTCGGTTGTAGGAGTCGGCTGCTTCGCTAGTGAAAAAGCCACCCTTCTGTGATAGCATTCTATCACCAACAAGGTAGTCGGCAACTTCGATCACGACATCAGCAAATTCATCATTTTCAGTACCTCCAGAAAGGAGCCAAGCATCCAAGAAAAGTCCGAGTAATAGAACATTGTCTATCAGCATCTTTTCGAATGCTGGTAGTGACCAATCTCTCGTGACTGAGTAACGGTGGAAACCACCTCCGATATGGTCATGGACGGCACCGGTTGCGATTCGTCGCAGGGTATGCAGACCCATTCCACTGATATAACTGCAGTCGTTGGGACCAACAACATCCTGCACAACTTTCGGAAATTGAGTCGCTCTCAGAAGCAAGGAAAGCTTTGCCGATGTCGGAAATTTATCCTCCAGGCCAAACCCACCACACATGGGATCGAAGGTTCTTGTAATACGTTCATATGCTTCTTCGATCTGATCTAGGTCAACTTCACCAATGACTTCACGAGAATAATCCACAGGTCCAACATCTGTTTCTCCATGGGTAGATGAGAAGGGAGCATGCAAAAAATCATCTCCTGCATGATTCAAGGTCCCTTCGGCAGAAATGTGACTGAGTTCGATTACCATCTTCTTAGCTTCATCACGAACGCGAGGCTCTTCGTTCAGCCATGTCGCGAGAACTTTCGTAATGACCCTGATCCAATCAAGAGGTTTCTCGACTCCATCATTCTCTACCGCAATGTCATCCTGGACACCGGGTGCGGCCCAATACGTTCCACTGAAAACCGGCTCCAACTCTGGGGTGAGGAAAACGTTCAAGGGCCAACCGCCACTACCACTGAGAGATTGGTTGTAGCACATGTAAATGTTATCAATGTCCGGACGCTCCTCACGATCGATGACAATAGGTACGAAGTTGTCGTTAAGTATCAATGCGACTTTGGGATTGCAGAAGGACTCTTGCCTTGTGAGATAACAGTCTGCGAATGGAAATCAGCACTACTAAATCATAGAACCACAAGGATATGGACATCACAGCTATCTCGGGGGTGGACGGTAGCTACATACGGTGAGAAGCGAGGAAACCAATGCTGAGGAATATCAACTTGTTTTCCCTCTTAGCTCGACTAACCGCATCGTCATCCAGCAGTTGCCAAGCTACTAGGCTGTCGGCATGTGCTCGTACGTACGGGCTCTTGCTTTCCAGGGCGCGGTTTCTGAGCGGCGTGGTCTCAGGATACTTTCGTTGTTCTGCTTCCGAAAGAATGGTCGTATCACTCGGCTTGTTCTCGGATGCCGCTAGCTGAGCTCCAGCCTGGCCAGGCTGTTGGAGCTGTGCTGACATCATATTTTCGGTTGACTAAGAGAATGGCACAAGACCTTGAAGTCAATGCGGATAAGACGTTGACGGTAGCTTCCTTGATTAATTAGACCGATATCCCGCCTATAACCAGTGTTCGCGATGCAAGATGTTTCTGTCTCCTGGGCCATGCGCCGAATCATCAGCTCTGACGAGCTTACATGCGCCTGTGGGAATACAACAGTACGGCTTGTGCGAAGGTTAGTGGCAGGCTGACGGTGATCCTGGCGGGTGTTCCCGAAGGCGCGATCCAAATGCCGACAGACCAATGTGTGTCTTACAGACGGGATACAAGGGTGAATACAATGCGGAATACAAGAAAGATCAACAGTGTCTTAATGTTTTTAGACGAAAGCTGGGAGGAAAATAAAAAAGAGGATGTGAGGGAAATGACGGATTAGAGCTCTAGCAATTGGTAAGATGACCCGAAAACCCCACCATCAATTCTTTAGCTGCCACTGCCTAGACTTTTCGCTACAGCACATGCATGATGCAAGTAGGCAGGTGGGTACCAATGTACTTACGTACCTATGCAAATATTGGAGATCGCGACGTGGGGTAACGCGCACAGCCTTTGTCCAGTTGGAGCAGCAGGAGCAAGCCACACGCGAAAGAAACTCTATTTATTACCGGTATACCTTATTTATCAACATCTGAGATTTGTGAGATATGACAGAATTTAGTCACATTCCCTCTTGCTTTTTTCACAACCACTTGCATGATGTCTTATTCAACCCCGTCTGGGGAATCCGTAAAGTGAGGGGTCATCCCGTCATCGTTACAATCTTATAAAAACTACATCCTCAGATGGTACAAGAAGAAGAATAAGTCTACCAAGTCTACCCCTTTTCCCTGCCCAATATATATGTATACAGCTCTAAGTAGCCCCTGGATGCATCCAACATGCAAGCCCCTTCTCAACCCCGATTAATCACGAACCAATCTACGAAGTCGTAGACGGGACATCAATAGCCACCTTATCAACCCAAATCTCATTACTCTCCGCCCCCTCGCCCAGCACAAACGAGAAAACGAACTGCAGCATCCGGCTCCCGCTCTCCAGCTCGTACGGGAACTCGACCCGGGTCCAGTCCGCCATGTCCGCAGTCGCGTTGACGCGGTGCGCGACGGCCTCGTTGGCCCGCAGCTCGAGGAACGAGTCCTCGTGCGCGGCGCCGAAGCGCGTCCAGAACGACACCGTCCAGTTAGTCCCTACCGGAGGCAGGATGATGAGCGGGCTCACGAGCCGCAGGTTCGAGCGCAGGTCGTCCGTCTGCATGTTGCGCGCCATGGAGACGTGGAAGGCGCCGCAGGACCCGTCGGCTCCCGGCGTGGATACGTCGTAGCTCGTCGACATGATGTCCACGAGGTCGATGCTCCAGGGCGAGAGTCCGAGCTCGAAGTCGCCGTTTTTGATCGCGCCGGTGCTAGCCGTGCTTACGCAGGAGGGCGTGGGTGTTGCTTGAGATAACGATGGGCTGACTGACGGTTGCAGTGTCGGGAATGGCACGCCGGTCAACGGGCCTGGTTGTGAACTTGGTGTTGGGCTTGCCGATATGGCTGCGTCATATGTGCTGCTTAGCGATGGCAGTGACGGCGCACTTGGAGTTGATGTGGAGGAATCTTCACCGGAAGGGGTCGATACGAAACCAGACGCCGTCGAATTACCATATTGGTAAGATCCGCTAGTGTCGCATGGTGGATCCTCTGTTGGCGTTGGTGTTGGTGTCAGGGTTTCAATACATGTATCAGTTGAGAGAGATACGCTTCCAGTAGTAAGTCCCGTAGAAGTCGAATTGGAAAACGGGGCTGAGGAAGTTGAGGGGGTCCCGAACGATGTCGTTAAGTTACCGCCAGTTGTGCTTGCGAAAGAAGCCGTCAACGCCGATGACCCCGTACCCAAAAGACTCGTACTAGTAGTCAATGTTACCGAGGTAAATGTCGTGTTCGTCCAGAATGCCGAGCTACTGGGAGCCGACAATACTGAGCTGCTAGCCTGACTGGGGCCATTCGATACGGATGTCGACAACGGAATCGAAGACGATCCTCCGGACAGCCACGAAGTTGTCGGCGTGAAAGCGCTAGAGGCATTCAAAGTGGCCGAACTGAGATTTCCTGAAGCTGAAAAGGTGATAGTAGCTGTCGACGACGTTGTTATATTAAAGACTGTGATCGAAGTGGTAGCGGATGCTGTTGTGTTCAAACCCGTGGATGAGCCTGAGATCGAGCTTGTTACCCCTGGATCTCCAACGGTAGTAGTGCTTGTGACATTGGCCGTGGATGAGGAAAAGATAGGTGAAGACGAAGAGTCGGGATCAACAGTGCTTGAGGTTGTCGAGATGGATGTCGATGAGGCTGAGGTGGACACATTGCTTGCTGACGCACTTGATCCGGGTGTTGATTGGGCACTGCCTCCTGAAGTCGTGGTAGAGGGAGGCGTAATTGGGATCGATATCTCACTAGTGGAAACTATTGAACTAGTGATCGTGACTGTAAATGATATTTCACTACTAGAAATCGTTGGGCTGGTGAGGGTAATGGGAACTGATACGGGACTGGTTGAAAATGTCGAGTTGGTGAGAGTAATAGGAACTGATACAATACTGGTTGAAAATGTCGAGCTGGTGAGTGTAATGGGAATTGATACTGTACTGGTCGAAAACGTGGAATTAGGTAAAGGGGTAGGGCAAGCAGGGCCACAAGCGCAAGCCGAAAGGTAAGCTCTCCTATTAGTATTACCACACTACCGCGGCTGAAGTCAGCAATTGTCTCCTTATAAGTGAACACAATAAAGAATCTCGTGATAAGGCCCACACCTTGGCTATATAAGGAACTCGAGCCCAACAGCCAAATAAGGGGGCATCGGCATTATGAAAACGTCTAAGATTATACTTACAGCAGCCGTTGCTTGCGCTGGGAAGTCCGTGGCGCCATAGTGTCCCACAGTCGAGCAATAATTCATGGCCTGCGAGATAGCAAGGGGAAACTCGCAAGGGAAGAGCGCATTATAACAACTGCTCAATAGTTAGCCTTCCAGTTCTAAACGAAGCTGCCTTCATGATAACGTACTCGTCATGGTTGCAGTTAGATTGTGCGCCAACGGCAAGTATGAACAAGGACAAGATCCAGCCAACTGGCTGGTTTAATCTGATAGCGAACATTTTAGTAAAATGAGTGACTAGAATATATAAACAAAATAAACTATAGAATACAACAACTGCTTCTGTAGGTAGGTAGGTTGTTGGTAGGATACTTAGAATTATTCCACATCGTAACTCGTACGTGTTATATAAACCTATCGTCCTTGGAGACCAGGTTTAGGACAGCCCCCAATCTATCGTGATCGAATATCATCTTGGTGGTGAAATAATTCGACAACAAGGAATTCCTAGACAGTCTTTATTAGGCTCGTACGATTTCGTCACGGTGCTGAGCCCTACATTCAGCTAGCTCACCAGGCGAGTGATACAGACGCAGTTTGCGTAACCGTTTTGTGTTAAGTGAACACAGCATGAAGATATCCTCTGAGATTGCTCAATTCAAAAGGCGGCCTCCTGTCTCATGAGATCACATAGAACTTGGCTTCGTATATTATATTAATGCCTAGGCTAGGTACTTGTCTTATTGGTAGAGGATCTGATATCATGTAGGTATATTGCCGAGACATAGGACCTGTAATATTCCTACCACACATAAAGAATAAGCGATATTCATGTGTTGACTCTCATTTCGATCTATGGGCCGAATAGGATCGAATTTGACATATCTATCGTGAGCCGATGGAGGCAAGTATTCTCGTTGCCGTATTGCCGGCCTCCGAATGATCCATGGGACGAGATTGTCGAGAAAAAAGGCCTCCTCAACCTAAAACCCTAATCAAAGAACTAGTATCATGGATGACTCTCTAATGTGCTACTGATATAGAACTAATACTGAGGAGGTCACGGATATCACACATCTTACCAGCAGCGGCGAATTGCTCATGTCACGTAGCATTCATTATCAAATTTGCACTTCGCTCGTGTATTTAACCTATTACTTCTCAGAAGTGTATGTTGAAATAAGGACAAAACGTGTGTTTCTAAATACCAGATAGTCTTAGTCAATAAACTAAAAGGTGGGATGTTCACTAATCAATGTTGAAATATCTTACATAAGGCCAAGACGTCGATCTACTTTCGATGTGATAAGTTATATGCTGCAATGCCTCTCGGGACGAACCGAAACTCTATATAAACAGCCGCGCAACTACGAGCCTTCTAAAGTGAGCAGTAGCAACATATCCCAAGTCATGTCGTCGCTCAAGACACGATACCGTCTGACCTCTACAAACCATATTTTACGTACTAAGGCGATCTACCCGGATAGGCATTCATAACCGGTCTGTCAATGGCGCGCTTAACTGCTTCCTACTCCAAAGGACCTCGTACCATCGGCAGCAATATCCCCACATTGCTAAGATTCACGAACAAACATAGTTTCTTACTATCGATACCCATACATAGCCGTCTACGCTGCTTAATAAACGCTAACATCAATCTCCAAAGACTGCCGTCGGCGTTATGGTCTTTGGCTCCGTAAAGCAAGCCGGCTATCCTATAGCTTACCAATCCATGACTCCGGCTCTCTATGTTGACCGAAACTCCAAGGATCTGTAGATAACAAACGTCGATGATCTAGATACCTAATCTGTCATTCCTACCTACCCTACGATTCAACCTCGGCGTCCGCGCGGTCTAAGGATCTCAATACCGAAATCTTACCCGTATCTCCTGACGCTATGCCCCCGGCACTATTAACCTCCCCAATCTCCCAACCCCATACACCGGAGTTAGGTGATACACCGCGCCCCCCAACGCCAGAGATTCCAAATCCCGTAGGGCTGCGAATAGGAACGGGCGGGAAGGGGGATTCTCAATATTCACTTTGCTCAACGCATCAACTTAGCCCACAAGCACGGACGAGGCCTGGCCTGGCGAATATGCAGAAATACATCTACATCTCGGCGGTCAACGCGAATACTTACAGACCGGTCGTCGAGGTCTTGGCGATACATAGGGAATACGTCGAGATACTCAAGGTACGAAGCGCCCTTTTCTTCACGTAGATCGACGTTACGTTGTTGCATTCTGCGGGACCCGCCGTTACATATTTTACCTTTGGGGGGGAAGTTGGGGGGAGGGAGGGAGGGACCCTGGATCATCATCACCAGCATCATCATCGTCAACCAAAATTTCGCTACGTACGTTAACCAGGTGCCGAAGCTAGATCCCGAAAAAACACAACAACAAAGACATGCCCCCCCAATCCTTGAACAGCGCATCCGCATTCTACATACGAAGCTAAAGGAAAACCGGGAAAAGCGTCCCCCCTAAAAAACGAAACGCCAAGGCTAGCCTTGGCCCCCAATGCGTTCGCGTATGGATGGATAGGTTAGGTAGGTTTAGGTAGGCAGGCAGACAGACATGTGCGTGCGCGCGTGCGTGCGTGAACCGCCTTGCCAAGCTGGCCCTGCCCTGCCCTGCCCTTCCCTGCCCTGCCTACCAAACGCCGAAAAAAACATCGAAGCTAGGTAGGTAACGGAAGCCTGCCCTACCTACCCCGGCATCCCGCATGTCACGGCATCTGGGAAAGATTTTGACGCGCCTGTCACCTTCCTTCGACGCTGGGCTCAGCTTTCACATGCGCGCGGTCGATCGCGGTCTCGATTCATTCGCTTTCCTGGGTCAACCCACCCCCCCAGCCCGCCCGCCAGGCCCGCCGATCGACAGTAATCTAGTCTGGCTCCTTGGTTTAGTCATCTTCAAGGCGGAACCACCAGGGACAAGGCTTCTCGATACTGCATACCTAATTCAAGGCAAATGCCGCGGTCTTTTTTTTGCTTCGGTTTATATATATATCTATACACGGTGCAACTACACACCATACATACATACATTACGCCGACATGTAGGTATCGTAGCAATACATCACATTACCCTATATAATTGGCCCCCGGAACGCTGTAACGTATCGCTGTAAGATAATGGATCTTCAGCACGTTGATAGAATCAGGAAACGGATAGGCAGGAAGAGGAGGTGATGGGCAGGAGGCGCGTCTGGGGCTATCGAGTGATTGACGGGTTCCAGGCCGTTCTGCTTGTTTCGTTTTTTCATGCCCCGTCGCGATACGAACCTCTGGATGAAGCCGCTATGGGCAAGAAGAAAAAAGCATGGCATGACTTGGGCTTGGCGTATGGCATAATATATTCGTTTCGTTTTGTCCTTGAACGTCTAGATTCTATCTACCTACGTACCTACCTAATAGTAGTAGGCTTCGGACTTTAGACATGATAGGTTGTGGTATGCTGATGACGGGAACGTGCGCGATGTGGAAATTAGTCATCCTTAGACGGGAAAGTTTCAGGATATGGGCATTAAGGTTGGAATTGCTTAAAGCGCGTTAGTCTAGTCGAGGCGTAGCGATTGTTTCAATGCGATGTGCGATGTAATGTCTCAGCGTGAGTCCTGCCTTAGGTAATTAGAGACGGCGTTTGATTATCTCTTTTAGGAATTTCAGATCCCAGATTTCAAATCCCATGGCGAGTACGAAGTAGTTTTTTTGGTTATTTAATCAGGTTTTTGTCCTTGCTGGCTTGTTATTCTATACCGAGTATAAGTGCCAGTATGAGACATACAGCAGGTTGGTAAGGTAGATTCGGCCTCCGTTCTATTATAGTATACAGCACCTAGCTTCTTCTATTCACTTTATCTACAGAGGGCTAGACCCCTCTCTTGATAATCTAAACTTCATAAAACACGACGTTTAGATGAGGAAACTCCGGTTGTGCATGCTGCAAGCACATGAATAAGCTTGTTTTTCCTGGAGACTTAGAAGAAAGGACCTCCGGACCGGCTCCGCAAGGTGTGGGGTGGAAGAAGCCGTGGCCGGTTCCAGTTGGCGGCTATCTAAGGTATCGATGACTTCCACGTAGCGTGATAGGTCACAACGGGTGGTGTAGCAGGTCACATTGTGCCTGGGGGCACATAAGGCTGCGCCTCCTGGGCCGCATTACATAACGCAACCAAGAAACGGTTCGTGGTGGAAGGCTAGGGACTCGCCGTCACGGGTTCTCGTGGCGTTTTCAAGTGCCGACGATAGTATCGTTATTTTTGATTTGAACCTTCCTATGACGCCTTAGCTCAGGTACTTAGCTTAGGTAGGTAAGTGTAGAGTTCGTGAAGAGCTTCGACAGTGGGACTGGGCTAACACATGCTCGACTCAAACCGTTTTGCGACCGACGTAAGGGGCTGATGCTAAGGATTATGTAGAAAAGAGCTACAAGCGCGAAACTGGCATAACTCGCGCATAAATCGCGAGTGCGAAAACGAGACTTGCGAGTCTCCATATATTTTCAGTATGCTGAGTACGAAATATGGTAACAACGTTACCTGGGTGGGTAGGGACTGTGGACTGGTATAATATAGCGAATATGCAAATGTTTATAGCTGCTATCTCTCTTTATACATGTGCTTACTAAGTTACCGCTCATAAGGTCGGTTCGGAAGATCAAGATGTTAGATAGATCCCAGATCTTTTTATTCATCTGATTTCGGATGTCGACGATGCAGATAATGTTAGTTGTTAATGCGCATGCTCGACTGCTGAAAGAAGTATGTCGGGTCCGAGACTTGCGTTACCCACCACGGTATGTCTACATAAAAGTAGTATAATAATGGATATTTCCCCTCCGGTGTAGATTAGAGTAAGTAGATATGTCAGTATGTAGGTGAAGAACGAAATCCGAGATCCAATCCCGAGATCCTGCCCTATCGGTGTTGAGAGCTGTATATACGAGGCGTACGTACCATCGTGAACTCAGTCGCTATAACTGCCAAGCGTTGCTTGCGACGTGCCTCAGGCATCTTGCCTGCCTTACTAGTACATCGAAAGTGCTTGGCGCTTATAAAGCCCTCCTTGGCTTCTGACCGGTTTTTAACAACGTGGTGTGCTAGTTAGTGATTAGAAATTTGGATTGATGCTAATATAAAACCGAATTAGTATACATGGTAATTTTGGAATAGTTTTAGGGCCCGAAAAAAAGAAATGAACTAGGCGTTAAGATTCAAGAATACCTAGGTAGGTATTAAGAGAATAAAGAAAAAGCCCTCGGGAATCGTGGCATTCCTGAAACCCGGTTTCCGCTGGCACTCGGATCCGAATTAATAGAGGCAGCTTGCTGGCGCCGGAGCGTTTTGTCCCCCCTTGGTCGGCGTCGGTACCTGGCCGACTGATGGAATTTGCCTGCATAACTTGTATCCACGTGGGTGTTGTATTGTATTAATATACCTACCATACTACCTAATCTTCCAAGGTCCGCTACGTACTAGTATGTAGGTTAAGGTGGTGGTGGGAGAGTGGGAGTGGGATGACCCCCAGTTATTTTATAACCCGATATAATTGAGAAATAATACAGGTACCCCTGATCTTCAAATTTACACAGAATCCATATTTCAGTATTTGGAAGCGTCACGGCGTCCAAGTAAGCGTACATTTGAGGAATCGGGAAAAAAGCCATGACGATGACGAATTATTGGTGCCGTCCTGACGGTACTGCTGACATATCAAGGGTCGATAGCCAAGCTTGGCCCGTGGCTTGTTCGTCTTGCGTGTTGCGGGAAGCGCCCCCTAAGTGGGATAGGGCGGGCTGTGCGCCTGCGTTGTACCTATGATAGTAACATCCATATGAACGTAATATCACCCATGGGAGCTCGGGAGGTCTGAGGAGGCCGTGTACGCCCCACCCTTCGGAGAGATATTCTGACCGCACAATATGAAAGGGCACTTAATATAGTTGTAGAAGATGCGAGTATAATAAGAAAACGAATACGTGGGATACGGTAGGCTACCATGTGGCATGTGGCATGCGATTAGGTACCAAACCGTGGTATCGCAGGAACGTTGATGGCATTTTCCGATCGTTAGCTACATCCTTAGGGGACCTTGGGTAGGTTAGGTAGGTCGCAATGCAATGAACGTGAAGCAGCTATTTTATGATAGGTGGCCTAGAAACAGTTAGGGATCGAGGAATTATCCGCCCTATGTACCCTAACTGATATTTTTTGAGGCCGTGCTTGAAAGTTGTTGTGGCTCACACAAAAGCATCCGTATTCCGTTAAAGGGAATTATAATCGACGGTGGTTAGAGCGACAAAGATCCCCGATAGGGCAATCCGGGGTACTCCAGGTGAGCGACCGCTTACCAGCGCTACGTAAGTCAAGGTGGCGGGACGGCCTTTAGCAGCGCCGACCTTCGAGATCATAGGTCGGCGATACGCAGGTTAGATATTGGGGATTATGGAATGGCTGCTTAGATTGAACGCCCTATTCGATCTGTTCGATCTATTCGTCCCTATCCGTCGTCATTCGACGAGTGGTTGGTTGGGCTGCGGTCGTAAGCTGGATCCCCAGATTCTTCAGCTTGGTCCCGTCGCTGTCGATGCCGGAGGCCGTTCCGTAGCTCTAACCGCTGCTTGTACGCACATACTTGCAGATAACCGAGCTGCTTGCCTTGTCCTTGTTAGGTAGTAGTCGAGAGGGAAACGGTGAATCTAATAATTGTCCTGAAACTGGTGGGATTATTCGATGGTCTAGCCCGGATTTTTATTTAAAATAAGAATCAACGGACTAACAGACTGTTTCGGTCAGCCAAGCTAGTCTGATCGGCAACGGCATGGCACAATGCAGGGCACAAATTGGTATCAGCGAAAAGAGGTAACCAAGACAGCGAAAGTAGAGGAAACGTAAGTTTAGAAGCCATGAGAATATGGTCCCATTGAGTATGATGCTCGTTGCCCGCCGCGAACCGGTCGGGCGCGCGAGAAGAAAGCCCCTCAGTGAATGTATGTATGTACAGATCCATGATATGTAACATCAAGGAGGGGCATGGAGTTATTAGTTATGGACATAACGCTGGAAATAACCCGCCAACGCCGCAGATGCATTCCTTCTACCGCCTACCGCCTACCGCACGTTGGTAATACACAACTTGGTGGTCGAGGAATCGAAGAACTGTATTCCCGACCATCCAAAAACGCCCCGTCTATAGCTTTGTAATCCACCGCTTATTCCCCAGTTCATTTTTGATCGTGAAGAGCTGAGTACGCAATGTTTCCAAATCCTGCCAAACCCGGTTAAACGCCTTGCAATTAAGTGTGTGTGGGTGTGAGTGTGAGTGCGTGTTGAAAAAGAGTATTGCTAGGCCTCAGCCCACCTCGCATTGCTCCCCAATGCTGTTTAGTTGAATTCGTAAATACCCAAGAATCCCAAGGATACCCCTCCGGAGTTTTTGCCCGGGGTCTTATCATGATCGTAATGACTCCATATTATATCCGGAATAGATCATCGGGTCCCCGATGCCCAGCATCGCTTCTGGATTCGGACATTGTATCATGTGAGGCTTGATCGTGCCAAACTCGGATTCGACAAGGCCTTGGCTGAGCATCATCTCGGCCATATCCATGTCCATACCTTGCATATATTGCGGCGACAAGTCCATCGAGCTTGGCCTGCTCATGTTCCAAGTCGGGTAAGACGCCGGGGCCGAAGGCGATTGGACGGCGAATAAACCTCTCGAGTCGAGGTCCGATTGCATGGCTTTCGTATCCAAATCGTAACTCGCAAAGCTTTGCGGCGACATGGTCTGCAAGTTCTGACTGCCTAGAACCTTTCTGTAATCTTGCTCGAAATCTGAGTGGTCGAGCTCTGAAGAGCTTGCGCGGTCCGTCCTCGTGCAGCTTGAATCCGTCTCTGATCTGTGCTCTGTTGAATGTGATTCCCGTTCTCTTTCCCTCTGCTGCACGTCCAATTCAGCTGCCAGCTTCGCCAATCCTGCTTCGTCTTCAGGAAAGACTGAATGTGGTGGGAGGTCGGCGTCCGCATTGGGTCGTATGCACCCGAGTTTCGTCGCGATGTTGTGAATGACCGGTTGACCTCGATCGTTGAGTTCCGGCTCCCCTAGGTCCCAGGATTGGCCATTCCTGACCATAGCATATAGCTTATGTACGGTAGCAATTAGAGCGAATTGAGTGTTCTCCAACACCTCGGCGTATCTTATATCAAGTTAGCCTTTCGGTAACGCTCAATTAGGGGTGAATTGCCATACCCTCTTGGTAATTGCTTATATTCTGTCTTCTTTCGTGTACCTGCTGTGCACACTAGGCCGTCGTCCTTACACCTCTTACACGGAAATTCCCCGTCACACTATGACTAGCGTCAGTGACGACTCGATGCAAGTAAAAGAAAGGTGAGCTACGAACCTTCGTCTTCTTCATTCTACATCTCTCACATGCTTTCCAGACTCGCTTATGCCTGTTGTCGATGGCATGTGGCGAGAGAGGCGGAGGATGATCGTGGGCAGGTGAGTGAGGATGATGGTTGGACGCTCGCTTTCCACCACGATGTATCGGCTTGACAGACTTAGTACTGGAAGCTGTATTCCTTCTCGACGACGTTGATATCTTCATATTATCCTCAACGGGAGGCGTTGGCATCCCGCTTTCCATTTTGGGAGATCCAACCAACACGGTAGGTACTTAGATACTTGGGCGGTACCAAGGTCCACGATTATATATATAAGTGGGTGTAAGTGTAAGTGTGAGTGAACTGAGACGTCTGGGTGAAGGTGTTCCAGATGCCTAATTGTGGAACCAAAACTTGAATATGAGACCAAGTGGTAAAAATAAAGATAGGTGTATATCAGACGATGGAAAAGGGAGAGGGAAAATAGATATTTGAGGAATTCGATCGATAATAAACTGTGACTCTCACAACCCGGGATTAATAATGCAGCTTTGCAAGTGAACCGAGCTTTTTAAGGGCGTGACGATTATGTGATGCTTGCCAGTTTAGATCCGGCAGCTTTATTCTGGAAACTGAGCGGTCGAAGCTAGGAAGCTAAAAGGACAGGGTTGTCCAGGGATGGTTTAGGGATGGTCTTTAAATCGGCCGCGCTTTATGTCCGAAAGTGCGGGCTATGTGGGCTGGCCACTTGCTGACGGGGTCGATTTTGGTAGATGTAAGTTCTTTGATGGGTCTTGTAACCTATTCGATATGTTACGCCCAGATAGGAATTGCTAAGCCTTGAGTCAGGATGATGTATTCGTCGTCCCTGTCAGTCCTGTATGTCTGTATATTCCTAATAGCTCTAGCCACCAAGGTCGAGATAAGCCGTTGATGTCTACGGGGTCTTTGTGTTGATGTGTCTAGGTGAATTCCCGCGATGTCTTGTGTGCTAATTAGTGTTGATGTGATGTGGCTGATCTAGTTGAGATGGACAAAGGCCGAGGGCCAAGTTGATGTATTGATGTATTGATGTATTAGTGTCGTTATAGTTGTGACCTCACCATTCGAAGGTGTCGGTTGAACGGGACAATTGTCGTTGCGCGAGAGGATAGTGATATTGGAAGGTAACACGAGTCAAGTTAAAGGTGAGGTGTGCGTCCTTATAATATATCCATATCGAATTCTTGTCCTTCTACTGCCGCTTGGGCGATAGCCCTTACGATATCCGTTCCACAACGGTCCACGGTCCATGGTGGGCAATAGGTACCAAGTAACAAAGTGATAAGTGACTTAGGCGAAGGATTAGGCCAAGTCAGAGTGACATGTAGATACATCGAGCTACATCACGATCGGAGTCGCAAGTCGCGAAAAGTGACCGACCACAGAAGTGGCTCAGTAAGCCCGTGCCTCGAGTTACAACATCGAACCAGGACTTGCCAGGACCCCGAAAGGAACAGGGCTAGACGTTAGTAAACCAATTTGGAGTTATGCTAATCAAGTTGATCGAGTTGTGCAAGCCCAGCGCGTACACCATTTCAGGTGCATGTACAGCATAACCCTTGACACCCTTGGCTAAACCCTGCAACCGGTCCAAAGCCGGGCCACATGCCTCCCATAGGTGTTTGCACAAACTTGCATAGGTACGTCTTAGCGGGATGCCGCACTAATAATGTATCTACGGTATTGGACGGTGTTGACCTCTCTTCGACCTCTCATCGAGTAGCCGTCTCTCCTGCTGTGCTGTCATGTAATGCCCATGTATGCCCATGGATATTGAGCAGTAATACTGCTAACTCCGAGTTCCGTCAGTAATTAAAGCTGGTTTAATCTGGTTCATTCTTCCATGCATGTAAGGGAGTGTGGGAGTGTGTACATAGGTATGTACAAGATATTTGTACGCACATAAGGACGAGTAAGCTTCCTTATTAATGTATCTAGGTACACCTTCCGAGCTGAATATAGTAAACGCATGAAAAGACTTCGACGACTTCTTCGATATTCTATTGTCATCTCGAATTAAGCCCACAATAATTTTTTTTCTCTTTTCCTCGTGAAAGCCCAAGCTGGTTTAGATCCCGAAACGAATTCGAAAACGACGAGTATGGGTCCATAAATTCCCATCTCAATTTCCCATGTGTCCATTCCCGTCCGGCATTATGAATTCGCTGTGACTTCACCTGGTGTCCTAGAAGACGGGAGATACTTCACCCGTTCTAGCGTACGGCACTAATTACTTAGCATGTCACTTGCGCTTGATAGATAATGTGTAGGTGTGCTGGTATTGGTATATTGGTCTTATGCTACTGCGGCTCTGCCAAAGCGCGCTAATAGCAGTTCGAAGCTGTCATTGATCTAATCCGTAACTCGCAGTACCTCGGTAAAGAAGTCATCATGATGATGACATGAACATGAACTTGCATCCGATATCGTGCCCTCTCTCAGCTTGTCAGCCGTCCCTGATTTATTGAGGAGCAATATTTCTTTTTAAGTTTTGATTTTCTTTTCCTTCTGGGTTAAGTCGAGACAAGAGCCCTGGCTCGCTTAAACGATGAGTTGATGCAGGCAATAAGTGGTAACCCTGTAAACTTGGTACCTAGGTTAGATTCAGTGTGGAGGTGGAAGTGTGGGACAGCTGCAACTCTGCACCTCTGCACCTGCGAGGCTCCCCTCTTGGCGTGTTCCCAAAGGGTAAGTTTAGCAGATCCGGAGTAAAAAGCCCTTCTAGGCTGTTGATGTGTTTACCTTACATAGGTACCTACCTCTTATGCATATTGCCTCCTAATTGCTTTCTACGGGACGTTGAGCGTTGTTTGATTAGTACAACTAGCTACGTCCTTACTGTATTAAAGCTCTGCGATACCTGCAGCGAAAGAACCTGTTGAACGGATTCAGCATATGAAACCGCAATGATCTCACCTGTTGTGGCCGCACATAATGGGAATGCTGGTTGATTCTGATTGGCTACGAAGAAGAGTGGAACTAATGGAAGATCGTCGGTAGATCCACACTGTTCTTTCCTGGTTCGGTGCCGTACTATATGAAAATGCCGGTTCGGCTCCGATTATGTTGTGCATCGACCGAATCTACACATTATGATGAAGTCTGTAAAGGATGGTGAGAATAAAATGCTATAATGGAAGCCTGATAGCAAATGAGTCATGTAAGAAAACACTTACCTCTAAAGGATGGTTTTCCAGCTCTGATAAATATACGGAAAATGCATGCATGCGGGTTACGGAGAGATGATGTCTACTTAGGTACCTACTGTTGAAGAAGGTCATTGCATAAAGTTATGAATGTCGCCCCCCTGGACCCGGGAATTTGGGTAAAGGGACAAAAAGGGGTGGTTGGGGGCTGAAAGATCGACAATAAGAAAAGTTACATGCCGTACTTAAAGTTATCAATCACATCGGCATCGAAATTCTCCATATAAGGCAGAAAGCGAAGAGAAAAAAAAAGAGGGAAGCTAATAAAAAGTTTAAAAAACTAAAACTCCAAAAACGATCATGAGAACTCGTGCCTTAGCGGGTCCCAGTCGATCGGAGCTCGGCCTCGTCTTCACGGATCAACATTCGCTCTCCGAACCTGTCTCTTGGCCGAGAAAAATGCTACGGTACCACTTTTACTGGATCGAGTAAACATTAAGAGAGAGCCTGAGGCCCTTTTCTAGACCATCAATCTCCTTCAAAATAGAGCTTAGGTCGAGATTTCTCCTGACCTCTAACCTGATCCAGTTCCCAAGCCAGCCCAATAATTCACTCACGTTTCGCAACCACAAGTGACGACGATGGGGACTAAGTCCCTCATCCCTCACTTCCAAAGACGAAGGGAATTCGTCAGACCAGCGGACGAGTTACCATAGATAAAACGATAAAATAACCGTGCGCTATGATCGACCCCCCAAACGGATCGCTGCAGCCCTGTCTAGCCCTGCCTGTCCCGTGTCACGAGGGGAATCTCTCCTTGGAATAGCAACCCGCGTGGTATTCAACGTGGTATTCAGTCATCCATTCATTCATATATTCCCCGTAAGCATCATCCATGTTCCTCCGCAGAGTAGAAAGAGGGCACCTAGGCATTGCAGCAGCAAAGCAGGTGTCTCCAATGCCTCGTGTGGATTTATGGCGGATATGAAAGATGAATCATCTTAAATCAGACTCCTATCGATCGGTGGGTCGGGGATTACTCCGTTAACGCCGTGCAGGCACTATGATTTGAAATGCTCGAAATTTTATGAGTGTAGCGTTAGCTGCATATAACAGCGTCTTTTACCGTCTAACCCACAGGCATGTGCCGCAACGATGGGACGTGGGCCGCTCTAGCGGTACGAACAAGTCGTAGCCGTTACTGCTGGGTCATTAAAGATACTTCAGAGACTCAAAGTTACAATTCGGATCCGTCTCTCTCCTGACCCAATCCCATCGCGATGGATCCTTCTCCGAACCCCGGTTGTACATAGAGTAGTAGTAATATTCGACAATTTCATAATCTTCAGCCCTAAAGATCATAAGTCATCACTGTTTGTTCACGGACTGTTGCTGAGCCGTCCGCCTTATCTACTGGTCTAAGCAGCTGGAGGTACACATGCAGTGTTATGTAGGCAATAAAGAGGAATGGGACGACTCCACTTCCATCGGACAGTCGGTCGTATCGCCTTGCCGCATGGATCATATTTTGAAAATTCCATTCTACACTAGATGGCCTTTCTGCCATTGTTGGCAGTTAGTCATCCTTGTCAGTTAGATCCTTGGCCCCCCTAATTATCGACGTTGGTTTTTAATCGTCTTTGCAACTTTGCGCCGTGTTCGACGGGGCACGGAGACTTTTGTAGAGGACGCGGCGACTTTCGGGGAACTGGTGTATACCGATTTACCAAAGCAATGGTAAAACCTGCGTCATAGATGAACTATTTCCTCACCGTCTTCTACGCCATCCCCAACTTTCTTTGCATCTGCTTTTTCCCATCGTCCTTGAACAAGAAAAATAAATAAATTCAAAATCCTCCTAGCCCTGCTGGCCTTAGTCGGAATCCCACTTCTCATCAAACGTTACTTAGGTAATTCACGCAAATTCGAAAATAATGAGGAACGACAGTTCGATCTATTTAGATTATTGCGTACCCGCCACGTGGGGATGCCGGCTATGATCGTAACGTGTGGGTGCAACAGGAGTAACAGGAGTAGGCATGTACTTGCGATGCTACTTGGGATACTTACAATTACATAGGTGATACCATTTCGCTATTTCGTATGTACGATCGGCCCTTCTCGTCGCGAAAAAAAAGCTTAAAATGTCGACTCCTGAATGGGCGGAGCTAATGATGTGACAAGCTGAAAAATGAGTAAGGCGGCCGCAGGGCTAAGTTTTGCCCATTACCTAACCGGGAAAAAACAAAACATGGGAAAAGTTTGACAGGTTCGATGGGTTCGATGGGTTTGATGGAGCCTCAATCTACGTAAGGATGCGTGATTTACTCATTACATCACCGAGATTTCTCCTTCTCCCGGCCCCGTTATGGTTCGAGCCATCCCGGCAGGACGAAGGCTTTGGCCCAACCATCCACTCCGAGTCATTGCCGAGCCGTGGCCCGGGCGGCGGATCCCTCCGTGATCGCTGCCAAACTCTGCTTCCCTTTAACCGCCGTCTTATCCTCGGCTTTGCCTCCTGGGTTTTGGATCATTTCAACCGGTGGTCGCCGGAGCTAGACACGGAATGGAGATATGTATCGTCAGGTTCGCTAATTTCCGCCTCATAATGCTCCAGCACAATAGGAGAAGAACCCTGCACAATACTCTTCAGTACTATATTTCGAGGGCATTTAAGTGTCTTGCTGGCATGTTCTTTTGGCTTTCAATGCTCCTATCGTACCATCGTGTCCCTTAAATAAGGTGTACCTATTAGTTGGTTAGAGACACGTACCTAGACAATTGATGTCAACATGTCAACATGTGAAACCATACCTACCTTCAAAATTTGCTATTATCAGGTATCCTACGCCGTTCCCCTTTTCAGCCGTCGATAAGGTTAGCCCAAGCGTCTCAGTGGCTTTACGATTACCGAGGTAAAGGATGAGACCTCGTCGCGTAGCCCCCTTTTGCAACAACGCGGTAATAATCTAACATGTGGACGGCCCCTTTCCCCTTAATCTACATACAGGGCAAGCTTATGGCTAGATATCAGCAGCCAATCGGTGTCTTACCTTGGTTAGCCGAATAGCATCAAAAGACAATTCTTACCAACCCGTGACAATAGTAAACGGGTCGTCTCTTAACCCAAATATTATCCCGCGGGATTCATTAGCTCTGACGACGAATCGAAGCAGTCTATTTTAGCTAAGCCATACGTTGAGGCTAGATCCTCCTAATAAAACTCCTTACATACACCAGCAAAGAACACAGTAGCAACAAACCTACGTACGTACATACCTGCATACCTCACTCACAACTACTAACCCATCCCGCCCAAACACCTAAGCAATGCTAGGTACCTACCTATCAAGCTAAAAATCCCCCCAAAACCGCCAAAGGAATCATGAACCCCCAAATTCACCCATCCAACAGGCCCCCATCCCACCTCTATCTCAACTAGGCAAGCACCGAACCGCTTAGAAATGATTAGACGAGCCGTACCTAAGCCTACCTACCTAACACATATCGGGTTTGCTTACCACGCGTCCCGTACCACGATGAGTAATCCCGCATGAGGACGGGAACCTAAGCGCATCTGCACGCTTACCTACCTACCGGAATCCCGCGCGCCTGATTCGCCCGTTTCCTCCGCGGACCGTCCTCCCGGGAACATTGGGAAATCTACCCGTAGGATATTTACCCCGGCGGCCAAATTGGTGGTCCCTGGGATTGGGTAATACGTAATGTATGCTTAGAGACGAAAGCTTAGCTACCTACCTTAGGTATACTTAACCTGTCAGCAAAGCCCTGTGAGAAGCTAGCGTCAGCGCAAGGCTCTTGTTCTCCCTATTCCCTAGGTATGTCGCGTATGACAAACTTGTGATATTATTACTCTCCATCTATAAGGTACCTACCCAGGTATCTAGGCTTCCAGTAAAATACAATCTAAACCGAGTTTCTTTTTTCAGATCCCACTCGCGTGCGTTCTCTTCGCCGCTCCTAAACGTCCGAATATCAAAAAGTACCTATCTACCTAGGTACCTACATAAAGGAAACACAGCCAAGATTCTATCCCTCGTAGTAACACACACACTTATTCCATCGCCAAGTCTCAATTAGATAGCCTACTCACACGTATCCCGCACAATAAGAGGACCAATCTCAGCCATGCTTATTATAGCTTCGCTTTCTCCACCTTCTCCTCCTTGCTCTCATCCTTTAGTCGTACAACGCCCTGTATATCGCAAGTGACATGGTTAGCCAAACCCCCCCAAAAATCAGATACCGAGTAGAAGGGGAAAGCTGGATTAAAAGAGGAAAAAAAAAAAAAGAAAAACTCACCTCCTGAAAAGCCGTAGCAAGCAACACCCCCTCGCGACTCCAAACCCGCTGCATAACCAAGCCCCTCCCATCCCCCGCCCACGGGCTCTCCATCTCGGTAAACATCCACTCGTCCGCCCGCACACTCTTCGGGTTATGGAAGTAAATCGAGTGGTCCAGCGAAACCATCATCCCCAGCTTCGGGCGGCCCCTGTACTCCTCCAGGGGCCCGTACCCGCCCTCCCAGGCATTCAGCTTCTCCAGGCGATCGCGCTTCTCGGGGCTCAGCTTGTCGAGATCCGCCGGATCGGTCGTCGACCCGTACCGCCACAGCTTGTGGATGCGCGGGATCGTGCCGATGAAGAAGGAATCCGAGATATACGCGAGCGCGCTGAGATGCGCCTGGTGCCCGCCCTCCTCGCTGATTTTCCCTCGCGCCCGGACCCACTGCCAGACCCGCTTATCGCACTCCCTCTTCTCCTTATCCGTGGGCGGCGGCCGAAAGCTCTGGAACGGGTCGTCCTCCTTCCTCGCACCCCCACCACCATCCGAAGGACTCGCCGCAAGGAAGTCCGGGTCCTTGTAGTCGTCCGGCGGCGGGTTAGCCAGCGCCGCGGGCGGCATGGGGGTCGAGTGCTCGACGGTGGCGGGGCCGCCGCTGCGCTCGCGCACGAAGCTGCACGTCACGGTGAAGATGGCGCTGCCGCGCTGCCGCGCCTGCACCGTGCGCGTGCAGAAGGAGCGGCCCTCGCGCACCCGCTCCACGTAGTACACGATCGGGATGCTCGAGTCGCCCGCGAGCACGAAGAAGCAGTGGTACGAGTGCACCACGAAGTCCGCCGGGACTGTGCGCTGGGCCGCCTGTCGGGCATGGTCAGCTTATGGTCTTACCATCGTATTTAGGTAGGCCACTAGGTAGGTAGGTAGGTAGGATGTGCGATGTTGAGGGGGTGTGTAGGTAGGTATCCCGAGGTACCTATGTATCGACGGTAGAGAATTGGGGATGCATGGATTTGTGAACATTATGTCACGCCTACAACTTCCCGTCTTTTCCCGTCCATGCATATGCGCATAAGACTGACTGTAAGGGAAGTAAGGCTGTGGGGGGTTACGGGGAAAGAACCAGGGGGGAGCGCGACAACATTGTGTACGCAGAAGATGAAGGACACAGCGAGAAAGCGCAAACTACACCCCGAGTCTCGACACGAGAGCCCGATCCGAAGCCGAAAGGGTGATTATCGGCCCTAAGCCGACCTTCCGTCCGAATCTCCGCTCGGGGAGGCGAACGGACGTACGCAACAGCTCGCCCTAAATTGCTCAAAGAGGGACACGTCTAGAACGGGGGACAAACATTCTATCATGCAGATGCAGATGGAGAATGTAACCGTCGTAGCCAGGGATCTGAAACAGGTAACCGAGTAAAAAGAATTAAAAAAAAAAGCAAGGGAAGGCAAAAAATCATGAACATGAGATTGGGGAAGAGGGAAAAAAAACAAGTACCTAGCTTGGCACCAAGTAAAACAGGGGAGCCAAGTATAATCGAGGAATGACATAAAAAGACAGCCACACATACCGCCAGCGTCTGCGCGATGACAGCGCCTCCGTAGATCCCCCTCGCGCCCGGCGGGTGCCAGAGCTCGCGCGTATTAGTGAAAATGCCCTGCGATCAAAAAAAGAGCAAGAGTCAGCGGTGTTACTGATCGGCCGGTACCTTTTCCACTGGCAGGACCCATCTCATGTACATAGGTAGATAGGGCTGATTGCCAGCAGCCAGGAGTAGGTATCCATATGTAGGACGGGAGGGTTGGGGGCTGCAGTACGCAGTATGCGCAGCGTAGCATGGCATAGCATAGCAAGTACTTAGGTAGGTAGGCAATGTAGGTAGGTAGGTCAGTAGGGTAAGACAATAGAAAATCTTACAGGTCCGATGATACTCAAGTCCGTCAGCTCGAGCGCGTTCTCGATTGGCGCCTTGGATAGGTCGACCGGGGGCGGTCTGACCAACGTAGGTCTATGTTCGCCCATCCTGTTTGTGTTCTCTCCTGTGATCGTTGAAATTCGGTTCCGTTTCTCTCGCTGTTGGTTTCCTGTCTTCTCTTTGTCTCTTTCTCCCTACTATGTATCCTCCGAATATCCTAGCTCCCCGTAACGGGATTCGCCAATTCGAATCCCTGGCGCGGGCGGACTCTGAAGTTGGTAGCACAAGAGAACAAGCCTGTGATATCCAACGCGAACAGCTTAGGTACAGTAGTTTTCGCGCGGATCGTCCGATGTGGGTAAGAAAATAAGATCAAAGAACCCTCTTCCACCAAGTTAATCGATCCTAGACTTCTACGGCATAGTCTCAGTCTTATTCTCAGTCTTATCTGCTTCTCCGGTAAAAAGTTCAGCTCATCAGCTCATTGCGTCGAAGAGCCCAAAAAGCCCAAGAAGTCCGTTGCCGTCGGTATTGAAACGCGACCGGGTTTAATTGGTTCGATTGATCCAATGTTCCGGATGAACAATCGATGTTTTGAATTTTTACCGAGGCTCGGTCCCAGACAGGTAAAGTGTAAGGCAATTTTAGCAGGCACTCAGGTACTACGTACTATAGGTGGAACCGCAGCCGCAGCCGAAGCTATGCCAAGTTCGCAAATGCCGGCCGATCAGCTATTGTCAGGGGCTCATGAGCCTCTTCTCGTACGAGTATCTGATGAAGAACCAGACAGCTATAATTAGATATCGAATATAAGAGACCATCTAATCTTCAGGCTCGTCTCTATCTTCACATGTGATTTTTACAAGCATCGTATTTGTATGTACCTACCTAGGTGGGTTAGGTACCTATCCTGGAATTGAACACAAGCATTATTCAATACTCAACGATAACCCACGACAACCCATGTGGGCAGTGAGAGCGATTCATAGTCATAATTAAGTCACTAGTGCTGTGTTTCATACATACTCGTTTTACAGCTTTTTGTATACAGGCTTTTTCTCCTCTATACCATGTACAGTCACTGCCTACCACCCGAGCTTCGTGAATCCTGCGCCTACCTACTCCTCCGAAGTATAGATCGGCTCCAGGCCATCCCACGCGTGAGCATCTCCCTGACCAAATTTCTCTCGTTGTACCCAGTACTTTCCCGTGAACTTCCAGTACTCTACTCCCGTGATTTCACATGTCGCCTTTGCAAACCACGCAGGGGTAAATTCCTCACCCGTCTGCTGCCTCACTTTTCGCCTAGCTCGCTGGGCTTCCTCTAGTCGATTCTTCTCCGACGCCGCGAAGTCGTACTCGCCGTCTTCCATAGCCCTTTGGTCTGGCCGATATCTTGAATCAGTGGGGGCAATCCACTTCTGAAGATTCTCGTCTATATGGTTGAAAGTGAGCACGAATGGCGTGAGGTTGAAGGGGATACCTTCAGGTCTCTCATGCGCTTCCCATACTATGAAAGCTCTGCTGGGATCGCTTATGCTTCCTCGAGTGTCCTTCGGCTCCTCGACAGTCGCCTCAAACCCAGGCGTAAGGCGAGCGTATATCTTGGAATTCCATCGGCCGCCCAAACTCACGCGCGGTCGACCGTCGGCGTCGAGAATCTTTCCGGAGAGCTGATAAGCACTCGAAGCTTTCCATCCTCGCTGCTTGAAGTCTAGTAGACATGTCTCTCCGGTAGTCCAATTCTTGATTTCCACAGGTCCATAGTTGTCTACTACAGGATTGCCCGTAATGATACCGACTACCTGAGACTTTGGCTTCTTCCATGTGAAGAAGTCTTCTTTGCCACCGGCGGTAGGGCGCAATCTTAAGAACCAGGTACCGAGGTGATAGATGTCGAATGATTTACCCAAGAATCTAGAGTCGACCTTGGCCTCACCCCAGTACGTCCATTTCGCGGATTCTGCGTATGCTGCTCCAACAGGGGGGTGGTGGCTAACTTGTTCGATGAAGAAGCGATACCCCTTGTCTGGTCTCGCGTATTCGAATGTCTCGCCCAGAAGAGGATTGAAGGGCTTGGCTACACGACCAATCGTCGATGCGAATTCACTGGAAGCAAAGGCGGCAACGTACAACATTCGCTCGATTGAATCCGATCGGTCCGCTGCCATGTCTAGTAGGTCCGCATATTCCATGTCTTCGCCAGTTCGATACAGTAAGGACGTTGGCTCGTTGAAAGATACGGGAAGTGTCATCTTCGTCATATCTTTACCAATCATCGACTTAAGAATACCCTACAAGAGATGTAAGTAGCTATTCCAGTTACCGGGACTTTGTTGGCTTACCCATAGGCCGATCTTTGGTCGGTTGTCTTCATCTAACTTCAACTTTGTCCTGAAGCCATTCTCGTAGCCATGGAAGGCGCTGCTAACATCGACGCCCGACACTACAACGTCCTGCTTTGCATCGGCAGAAGGCACAACATCAGATGGTGGCATTGGCTCCGCGTCAACTTCTCCTGCGTCGACCGCGTCAAAGAATTCCTCTTGCTCGGACTCAGAGTCGTCGGAGATTTCGAGTACGTGAGAGCGTGCGGTTGATCTGCGGCCGATGCTCTTCATCGACGGCGAGTGCAATATACCGGCGACCTCATCTTCGTGAGCACTAGGCGTTGCGGGATGGACACTATCACTGCTGATCGGCCGACCCTCGCTTCCTATTACTTCGCGTAGAGCTCGTTTAGCCATCTTGCGTTTTGCTTCAGCCTCGCTAACTCTTGCCTCCAAAACTTCTTGCTCAGCTGCTACCTTAGCCATGCTCTCTTCCCACATTCGTCGCATCTCGGTTTCTTGTTCTAGGCGATACTGCCAATGTGCGTCACGATCCTTCGATATCCTAAGAAGGTCTCCCATAAGTCCCTTCAGACTCTTGATTGCAGCGTCGTATGTTGAAAGCGCTTGTGCTGCCCTCGGATCTACAAGCGACATCGATGGATTCCGATGAGCTTCCGCTTGCAAAGCGGCGCTCACAGATGCCAACGTGTCTAGCTGGAGTCTTGCTGACTGTGCTGTGATGTTAAAAGCGTCCTTAGTCGCTGTTGGAGCTTCACCACGGCTCGAATGATCCATATATTCATTGTCATCATCGTCGTCGTCCACCTCACCGGGGATTGTTGGCGCCTTGTTGCTTTGGGCTTTCGCGTCAGCACCACCCGCATCGACGAATTCGTCATCTACACTACCCGCAGTACTAGTACGGGATAACCCTGCTTGAGGGTGTGCTTTCACGGAGGGATAGCGAGATAACTGAGCGCTACTCCTTCGTTCGGCAGTGCTGGCAGCCTCGCTATGAGAATCGTTTATAGACGGCTCTGCTGGTTTGATAAGGCTGTCTCGAGCCTGTCGTAGCATCTCAGCACTCTGTGCCTTCTGTTTCTCGTCTTGTTTTGCTTGGTCCTTCATCCACTGAATCGCGTTGTTTAAAGCCCAGAACCATCGCTTGGCCTCGACTTCATGGTTGGCTTTCAGAGTATACTTGACTGATGATTTCCCGATAATCTCGAACTTCGTCTTTTCTTCCGGACTCATGTACAGCCTAGCGATGCGCATGCTGATGGCACCTCTGCAAGCGTGTTCCGCATCGTCTTGGTGCTTGTAATAGCTCAGAACGCCGTTCTCGAGGACGAACCAACGAAGCTGGTAACCTTTGCGGTAATTTGTCCACTTTTTAAGGTATCCCTTCATCTGGGGTTCATGAGAAGATAACAAATCCCCGGTGACAGCTGCGCTGGCCCCAGCTTGCGAAGTCGCATGCCCAAGCACGGCTTTCTCCTGGATGCCGCGTTGGGCAGCTACTGCAGCAGGTGATCGCTTAAGCATGGCTTTTGTAATGTCGTCGTTAGTGACCTGCTGAGGAAGTTTGCCTTTCCGATCTCGTTGGAATGGGTCAGCGCCGTGGAGGAGAAGAGCTTGTATCAGCTTTGTGTCCTTTTTACGAGCTGCCTCGTGCAATAGAGACCCTCCTGATTGGAGCGTCACGGGATCACAGGGTAGTTCAATACTGTTGATGTCTAGGATCGTCTTGACACGGGGTTCTTCAAGAATGTGACCCAACGTGTCATAGGCACCCGTTCGCACAAGGTCCTGAACTTCCTTTACTTTATCCTGTACAAATAGGGTCCTCGCAAGTTGGAGCTGCTGAAAGATTTCGGGGTTTCGTGCTACGTCTAGGGGAAGCTTTCCTTGGTTGTTTGCGACAGCATCGTTGATATCTTTCTGTTCCAGCAGTAAGCGGACGATGGGGCTACGCCCCTGAGAAGCGGCTATATGTAGTGGCACATTTCCGTCCTTGTCTCGGGCGTTAATATCGATGTATCCAGCACCATCGGAGAGCACATATTCCACTACGTCGTATTCAGCGCATTGGATAGCAAGGTGTAGAATTGTCGTATCCTCTAAAGGTCCGGCATTCCCACCATTCAAGGAAGATGTGCTTGCACGAGGTCCATTTTCCGAAGTTTCCCTGATCGCCTTAGATATGGCGGCTGTATTGCCACTTCGTAGGGCCTCGACGATTCGAAATTTGCGGACGGATTGTTCGAGGCTCGAACTCTTCTCGACCGCCGAGTTATTGGACCGAGTCGGGGTCAAGGTGTTTGGCTCGCGCGATGGGATTCGACCTAGTGACATTCTCTGATTATATGGCTTGATAGAGGCCTGGTGGGACATAGCAATGGCGGGGGCGGAGTTGGTCGTGGTTGAAGCGAGGCCTGAGGTTTGCGATCCATCCTCGGAATCGTCATCATTACGGTCCTTGTCCTTACGTCGGAGCAGGGATAGGGCCGTGGACTTGGACCTCTTGTGCTGACTATTAGGTAGAAGCGAGTCAGTTATCCGCAGTGCATTGATCCTCGACCCTCAACTCTCAACCCACCACCTGCTGTCATAGCTTAGACTGATCTTAAGAGGGAATTACGGGTTCACTTCTACAAGAATAGAATGCTTCAAGGGTATGTATAATATAATTGATAGATCGGGATTGCTTACACATCTCCAGAGTCCGACATTGTGAATTAGATGGATGATCCGGGTATCGTTCGGTACCAAATAGTTGACCGAAAATTGGCGGTGGAATTTGATTGCTAGCTTAAGAGATGTCAAAACATCATGTTTGGTCGATTGAAGGCAAACGAAAACGAATATTCAGATGGCACGTTGGAATTTGGTTAGTAGCATACGATAGTAGGTAATTAAAGTGGTGAAAGTGGTTTAGGTATGATGGTGTTTGTGTAGTTGTATGGTGAAGTCAGGAATTTCGACGGTGTCACCAAGACAATTCCCCCTCGATCTAAAAATGACGTTAATAAGTACAGATTGTACTAGCCTTTGACCGTTCAGCGTAGCAGCTTCCCTAATCCCAGAAACTTGAACCGCGCCAATCCCACCATGGATATTCCCCACCAAGCCTACCGTCATCACTGAAAAGAGGTACACCGAAGACTATACGTACAGTCTTAATACAGCATTTATACGGTATACCTCTCTTGTTAGGAACTTATCTTTCGTTCTATATTTCTCCTACCTTTTTAGAATTACCACATCGAAACGAAGAAATGGACTCCTTATTTCTCTTGGGTACAGTATATCATGGGACGTTTTAGATAATTCCAAATTACCACAATTGTCACTATACAGCTGTATCATGGGTCCTCATGTTGCACCGAAACCTCCCCGGGTACCTCCTAAGCACGTAAAACAAATTGCAGTACTATGGAAGCAACATTATAATGAAACTCCCAAGTCGGCGAGATATGTAGTTTGGTCTGATGGCGAAAAGATACCAACGTGATAGAGTCGGCTGCCGGCACCCGCCTTACAATACCACACACCTACGTCCGTGCCTATAACGACCCTTATAAACAGCCAGATCTATGTAATATCGAAAATCATCACGATGAACTCCGGCGCCACTAAAAAGTCATATTCGGTAGTATAGAGCGAAGATCATCTGCCGTCACCTTGCAGGAGTCGGGTGCGCCACGATGCGACCATAACCCTCCCTTATTCCAGCTAGTATACCATACCATATTTACGCCTCACATCGTAGTAGCCCCGCGGAGTTTAGATGTTATGGGTAATACTGTGGGTAGCTCTATGTCAGGTAGTAGATAGAAAGAATGTGATCCAATGACCAGAACACGTTGAAATCTAAGCGTCTATGTGAACGAAATATCGTATCCGAAATCATACACGTTTAAGCTAGCTTCGTAATCGTAGCCCATATTCCAAACCGCCCACCCAACCCATCACCCTCACAGCACCTCCCGTCATATCACCACCTCAACCCAACCTCGCCTCCGCATCACCAAGCACAGTCTCCATATCCAAGAACGCAAACGGCCCCAACTTCCAACCCAGCGCATCCTCCTTCCTCGCCGGCGTCCGCACCGCCGTACAAGTCATATAATCCTCGCCCAGGCTCCTGAGACAAATATTCACGTCCGTAACCCTCTCGCCCCGAAACAGCACCTCATGATCCGTAATAACCTCCTGCTCCCTCCCCTCATCCCCATCTCCATCACCCCCGTCCCCTCCATCCCCACCAAACCCGTCCCTCGTCCCCGGCGCAGGCGCCCTAAACCGTCTAAACTCCAAATCCTTAAGCCAAGGCGCCAGCAGCGCATCCCCCGTCATCTTAACATACGCCTCGCGCAGGCACCAAAGCGCATAAAAACACCTAAGCTTGAAATCCACAATCTCCTGCGCCCTGGCCAGCGACGGCAGGCTGCCAGGCTGCGTAGACAACAAATCGCCGCCCTTGAGGTACCGTGCCTCGGAGCGCCCGAACACGTCGGCGTGCATATCGACGAACTTGGCCCAGCCCTCGGTGTCGATGACGCGGTGGTCGCGCGTGCGCCGCTCGCTCGTGCAGACTACGTCTGTGCCTATGTCTACCTCGCTTCCCCCTCTCCCTTCTCCTTCCGCTTCGCCGCTAGCAGAGTACCCCGCGACCGCAACAAGCGCAACGAGGCCAGCCTGATGACTAACATTAAAAGCAACGGGCTGCCTCCCCGTCGTCGGGTCGACATACACAGGCTTCGTCTTCTCGTCGCGCGTGAGCTTGGTGTCCCACCAAGACACGCCGGCGTACCGCGCCACGACCCAGTGCTTCAGCAGGTGCGAGGCCAGGGACATCTTGGCGTCCGCGACGAAGTAGTACCTCAGCACCTTTGTCTTTTCCTCGTCGGTGAGGAGCGCTAGGGCGCGGGATGCCTGGGGTGGAAGAGGGGGGAATGTTAGTTTCATTTCTACTACTTCTTATTTTGTCTCACTTTAGGTAGGTATTGAGACGGGTTCTACGAAGGCGAGGGCCCAAGTAGGTAGGTAAGAAATTTGCTCACTTCATTTTCAAGATCCTTAGTCTTAGTCGCCTTGGGCCATAAAGGCCGCGTGTCGACGAGGTATTGTATGACTTGTACGTTACCCGATCCCATGATGTCTCAATGAGATAGACAATCCGACAGATGGATTGAGGTTGATAGTCCGGATCAGTTCGAAATTTGTAGGTAAGCTCCAAGTTGGAGCCGTTCCCTAGAAAGTAATAGAATCCCGGAGCGATCTGTCTTATCTCACCTCGAACAAGGTAGGTATGATGCCGTGTAGCGCGGCACGTCGATTCCTTCCTGCAGAAAAGCTTGCCATTATTGGCTGCAACCCGTCCGTAGGAAGGGACGGGTAGTAGGGTCAGCTCCTAGCAGCCCTACCTAATGCTGAATAAGATCCATGGATGCTGGGATACCCCACCTAACTCGCCAACTTAGAGGGCACCCTGGAACTACAGTTGAAGCGGGCGAAGGATTCAAGGTGGTTTTAGAGGGAATCAAAATAAAGGAACTGTACCAATCTGAGAAATATACCATATAAAGCTGGGTCAAGTCCGAATCCTCAAGCTCGTTCTTAAAATGCCAAAAGTCACATAAATGCCCTTTGCATCAAGCGCTTGTAAAGGCCATCACATAAGGCGAATGAAGTACCCGGGCACTGACTGCCCCTGACAAATAGCGCCGGCAGCAGCCGATCCTAGGGTTTCACGTAAATCCGCCAAACAGGGAATACCCAAGGCCCACCTGTGCGACGTCCAGCATCATACCTCACCAAGAACCAGACCATCGGTTCTCCTAACCTCAACACGTCTACGTTATTAGATAAGCAAGTAAAAAGCATCACAATCACATCTACGTAAGGGAAGCCTCGTCCTTGCGTTCGTTATATAAAAACAAGCGAGCAGCGTTCCTTCGGAAGTTCAAGGCATTTATTGTTCCGATTCCATACACAGGTGAAAGCATACGCCTTCTATCGTAATTTCCACGCAGGGCATCATCTTCGCCCGCGGCCTATTGAAAAGCTCTCTCAGCTCATCGTAGGTATTCCCCGTTCCCTATTCCTCCCAGAACCAAGCAGACTTATAGGACCAAGTACTTAGTAGGTACCTAAACACCAATTAGCACACGAAGTCAACTCGATAATCAAGAAAGAAACAGATGTATGTGTATACGTACCAAGTGAACCACTCCCCTCGTTATCCAGGCAGTCGTTATAATAGTCATAGTCTGCCAAATCCACCGGAAGTACTCTACTCGAGGTCCAGACCTCTAGCCATGAAACGCAATCCCTCCTCAGAGTCATCGTGAATACCGCGCACTGAATTTGCGCCGCAAGCGATGGTCTTCACTTGCTCTAGAAGGCCGGGGATTTGGGACTCCCAAAAGTTGGCTGCGCCGTCCGGGGAGTGCGGTCCGACCAGGTCATCCACGTCAGCTTCGACGCCGTCGAGACTATCGTCGTAGTCGCTGTCCGAGTGGCGATCATGGTCCTTGGTCGCTGCGGGCGGGGCGGCGTTCTCGTTGTCCTGCTTCTTGGTGTTCTTCTTCTTGGGAACGGGACGCGCCAAAGGGTTGTGCCGGCCCTGGCGGCCCTGGCGGCGTTGCGTGCGCATGGCGCCGGAACGCGCCGCGGCGGGGGTGGGCGTGGTCGGGACGTTGACTGATGAGGATCGAGCAACGTTTCCGCTCACTTCGGCGAGTGCGTTGTCGCGGTTAGGGGGAATAGTGGTAAATGCAGTGCCAGAATTGGACTCACGGGCGGTGACAGTCTCACGAAGAGGCGACTCAATAGTGCCAGCGTCGGCCTTCTTGTTGGCTCGGTCGGGAGTACCGACGTTGGAAGATGAATCGGATGCCATGGTGGAGATAGTAGTAAAGGGATATGTCTGGTGACTTAAGACGATTGTAGTAAGTGGATGTTCTTAATGACTAGAAGTCGACCGAGATATAGATGTCTGACTTGAAGTAAGACGACGAGCCTTCGCACTGTTCAATGCTGGATTGATAGTGGATGAGATTGGCAGTGGAAGAGATGTCTTGCGACGATATATCTTGACTCGGCACGACCGCGTTATATTTACACGCGAGTGCCTTGGTAAGTGATGGATAGCGGTGAATTTATAAGTGCTATCGAGTTGAATTGTGATTGTGAATGGGGATAGGTAAGAAGTTGATGTGGTGGTTGATAGGATGAGAGTGTGTTGGTATCTCACGAAGCGCGAACACTTGGATCGATACTAATGAGTTTAGGGGATCGGAACCGAATGTTGAAGGATGGCGGTTGGAAAGTGAAGTTACGAACGGGGAGATAAATAGAGAAATGGAAGTATGGAGTGTGATAGTTTAAGACAGTTGATGGCCGTTGCGTCCCTTGAGCTCACGGACGTTATATCTTAGAATGTGTCAAGGTTGGACTTTCCATAGGAGATTACGAGGTAGACGTGACAAACATTTAAGCCGTGGGTGGTCTCATGGATGACATCAGGCAGAAAATTTGTCAGGTCTTGAGTTGCTTTCGTACTTGCCAATACCTACCAAGTGTCTAGGAAACAACGTGTATTTTGCCCGGTGTAAATATAGAAACGGCAGCGACGATTGTTTACTATCACCACGTGGGAATAGCCCTAAGCTTTAAGTGACGTTTACAAGGTCTAAGCGTGGGCTAATGATGGCGAGGCTTCCGCTAAGGCCTCCCTAAAAGTAGCTGAACGAATCAGGGAAGACTTCAATCTATGTTAATAGGGTGTGTTTCTTGACGGAAGTCGCAGCAATGACCTCTCTGACCGTGTATAATAGGGGACATTGTGGTTACTTGACTGAAGGTATCAGATGGTACTTTGCCCCTATCCACTTATGTATGGGTCTACCCTCTGAGTTTGGGAAGTTGTGACTTGAGTTGGTGGACGACAAGCATATGGTACTCATGGGCGTACTCATTAGGGTCGTCTCGGCGTCGTATTGGTGTCAGGACCAAAGAGGAAGACGAAATCTCGTTTGGGGAGTTATCAGGCCTAATAACGGGGCCCCCATAGTCATCACCCTCTCCTGACAGCGTAGTGGTGAGCTGCTGATGTTTGAACACCCGAAGCCATCCTCACTCCCACCTGGGTACATACATTGGCGACGACATCATATCTGTATTTATCACTTGGCGTCGATCCATTATAGACAAGGCCTAGACTTAGAATTTAATCCAACTCCGCATTCACCAAGTCAACTTAAACATAGTACATAAAACAAATTCGATTTATCATACTTCTAGCGCTTCTTCGTTTTAAAGTCGCTTGATAACGTATACTCCTTAAGTACACCTTGAGCGATTGCTTTAGGAGTACTTATCTAGTCCACACAAACCACTATGAGACGGAGGACAGTCTCCTCGAAACCGGGGCCTCGATTGAGAACAGGAAGACGGGATAGCTCTTTGCTTCGCGCTCAAGCGCACTCTTGGCTTCCGAAGCTTTCTTGTCGTCTCCATTTGCCTGTGAGCTGTCCTGCTTGGTCAAACTATCATCCTCGAGAGCATTGTCTTTTATCTCTGTCTTCGGCTCTTTTGTATCCTTGCTATCCTCGCTCCCTTTCGTTTCATCTGTGCCCTTTTTCTCGTCATTGCGGACTACGTCGATAATGTTTCCATTCCCGTCGACTTCCACTATTGTATCTGCCGTATCAAGCTGACCATCCTCAGTGTAGGTCCACATGTCGCGAATCTCTCTTCGAACCGCTCCCGTAATCCAGACGGCGGAAACAACGCCCGGGACAAGATACAATAGTGCCGGTTGCGCGTGGCGATATACTATAAGCATAGCTAGAGTCACTATCATAGCGAGGAAATATCCGATTATAGCAGCGTGGAAATAGGGCTTGGGGAAAGCAGAAGCTTTTAGTGCGGGTGTGGCATCCGGCGATAGCATCTTTCCAAGTTTCGTGCTCCAGAATCGATCGCCCCACTGCCCTTGAGGGTTCACATAATCGGGCTTGATCACCATGCGTTGAGTCTGGGTATTGGTAACTAGCTGGCCTGAAGATTCATCGCTGGTCTTCAGCTCCACCGGAACGAGCTTCCGTTGGCGATGGTAGTACATGTAGTGATCGAAGCGTAGGCACAGTCCGACAAAGATACCAGGAAGGACGATGTCACCCAGCCCGAGCATACTAGCCTTGCCAGGGCCTCCCTCAAAAACAATCTTGATAGGAACGTCAAGCTGAGTGGCAACTGTCACCATATACGGACTATAATTGACTGTAAGTAGGCTATTAAATATTGGGTGTGACAAGAAAAGAAAATACTCACGTAAAGAAGACCATGTAGATATCATAAAAGAAAAGCCCGAAAAGGACAGCCGTTCCTGTGGCGAACGTCGTTGGCGACATGAGTATTATCCCAGCGTAAGAAAACGCGTAACCCATTATGTTGGATAGGATGGTTGACTCTGTCTTGTAGTATATAATATTAGCTACAATGGCAAGGACAGCGCCGAAAATGTCGTTAAATTTGACCTTGACTTTCTCATGGACGATGCCATGGATTGAAAGACGAACGGTCCACTCCTCCACAAGTAAATGGCGCACATCCCAAAGTAAGTTGTTCTTGGAATCAGAAAGGTTCAACTCAGACCATCGACCAGGAAAGGGGGTCTTCTTCTTGACATCCCAAAGCTTCTCTTCGTTGTCACCAGCTGTAGTCCATTGACCTACACCAGGATAGTTGACATGGTACAGTTTGCCATCCCTAGCACGCCACACCGTAGGAAATATGAACCCAGTCAGGAAGTGTAGCGAGTCGGCAAACAACTTCCCCATGCTCGCTAGTGACATAGTCATGAAGTAGACGCGAAGGAACTTGTTGAGAATGTCCGGATCTTCAAGCCACTTTATCAAGTAGTAAAGACCCACAAGAACTATAGCTGCCATGATGGGAAAGAGAATGGCATCAGAAGGCAGCATTCCCTGGACTGGCTGGTCTTCTCTTTCCTGATCTCGATCCCGCTGCTCTTCTCCTTTCTTGCTTTTCTTTGGGGGATTTGCCGATGGAGGACGACGAAGGGCTGCATGAGACCCTATATAAATACATGCTAAGGCAGTGAATATAATGCGTCCCTCAAGGAGGAAGTAGTCCTTGTTGTCCCATAATAATGCCGGGAGAGTTGCAAGCTGCTCTGTGAAAGTAAGGCTTGCCATTGGCGGTTCTGTTATATTTGTGGCTGACATCTCGCTTGCCGCGAGAAGCACCGAATCGTTGGTAGCCATAGTTTCCCGCAACTCCTAGGCTTGAGTATTAAGAAGTAGAGGTATGAGAATGTCTAATTCAGAGAAGAGAAATGAAGAGCTGGGCATCTAAGCACCAATAGCAATGTGAGGCCTGATTCGCTGCCTGGGTTGTGTTTATGTAGCGACGATAAGAGTTTCGGTTAAGCTCTTTCAAAGAGCCCAAGATATTTGCGTCGATAAAAGAATGTCTTTATTGCCGAGTATGTAATTCTGCTTCCTGAGTAAAAAAGAGTTGTATGGTTATATTCCTAACGACTGTTGAACAGAATTGACGGTGGTAGCCTTTAAATATGCCTATGGTGTCTAGTGAGTCAAGGCAATAATTCACCTAAGGAACTCCGTGACTGTAGAAACGCCCTTCATTTGAGTCTAGATGAGACGTCGTGAGTGTTCCAATGATTAGAATACCTCTTTAATGAAAGATAAATAAATGAATTGTCTCCTAGCTCATAGACAGTGTCTGTGAAGAAGACAGACTGATGCAGAAGTCAATTTCTAGGTACAGTGTCCTGTCTAAATGTGGCTTGTTCGATGATAGATCCCCGACGTCCCCCCAGCCACCGTTACAATTTCCATATAGAGAAAATCGGATAATAGCATACTCGGGGCACCGCCCCTCCAAAGCTCAAAATTTATCTATCCGTCAGATTTGGAGAATTGGGAGCTTCAGGATAGCTTCTACATCGTAAGGTCTTCATTCCAATCGCCCTCAAAATGACGACCAACGTAGCTCTCGAGACCTCCATGGTACCTACATCCCCCCCTCCCCCATCCCCAAGCCATCACTGCACAAAACCCCAAAACCCCAATTGCTAACTCCTCCACTCCCCAACCCAGGGCACGATAACAGTCGAACTCTACACCAACCACGCGCCACGCACCTGCACGAACTTCCGCACGCTCTGCCAGCGCGGCTACTACGACAACGTGATCTTCCACCGCGTGATCGCGAACTTCATGGCGCAGACGGGGGACCCGACGGGCACGGGCCGCGGGGGAACCTCCATCTACGGCGACAAGTTCGCCGACGAGATCGCGCCCGACCTGCGGCACACGGGCGCCGGCGTCCTCAGCATGGCCAACGCGGGAAAGGACACCAACGGCTCCCAGTTTTTTTTGACTCTGGCCCCGACCCCCTGGCTCGACGGCAAGCACACCATCTTCGGCCGCGTCAAGAGCGGCTTGAGCGTGCTGAAGCGCATGGGCATGGTGAAGACGGATGCGGACGATAGGCCCGTTGAAGAGGTTAAAATTATCAAGGCGAGGGTTCTTGATGACGAGGAGGTAGTCTAATAGTCATATTCACGAGGAAAACGGTTGACATCACGAGCATAGGAATGGATGATGTACCAGGGTAGGTAGGTATGCATGACTAGGCGTTCCGGTTTTGCGTAAAAGGCTCGATGGTTTAGAGATACCAAATCAAAAGCATTCCCGATTACAGTACAAGTTAAATCGTAAGGCATCACTTTGGTATTGGTTTGGGGTCTATGTATTGAATATGTGCAGCAGAACCCCCTCTAAAGATACAGCTTAATGTGACACGCCGGTTTTCCCTACCGACGCAAGATGCAGAACACTCCAAACACCCCTTTCCTGTTGCTATTTGCCGTATAGCCCCGGAACCCCCTTTGAATGCAAGACCGCGGCCATTGTACAAGATGCCTGAAGACGTACGGCCGGATAGAAACTTTTAGACCCCAAATAGTTAGTCGATCATATGATATGCCATTCCGTCATGGAGGGCATCCCAAGTTCTCTAATTTCTCGACGTCGAAACATCCCCTAATCATACAACCGGCGGGGAAGACAAAGTTCCCGAGCTCTCAGACTCGCGATCATCGTCTCTACCGTTAGGAGTTGAGTGTTTATTGCCGTTACTTTTAGACACTGGTGAAGAGAGTATCGGTTTGGAAGCACCCAGCTTCAGCTTTTTAGCCGGACTCGGCACTTTCGTGATCTTCTTCTTTGGTGCAACTTCAACCGTAGAACCCTCTGCGTCGTCATCATCTACCTTTTGCTCGACCACGAGCGAGGAGCCGGTCTTGACCTTCTCCTTCTTGGTACCGGAATTACCCTTATTCTTCAGAATGAGTTTCTTGTTAGCCGCGTTCGCCGCCGTGGGCTTCAGCTTCTTCTTCTTGTGTGCATCGTTATCGGTCTCGTCATCATCATCTACATCATCATTATCTCTCTTCTTGGGACTACTAGCTCGCGAGCTCGGATGTGGTGTACCCTTTTGACTAGAAGGAGGAGTGCCATCCATGCTTCCGTTCGCGTTGTTACCGTTACTGATCTTCTGCGCGGCGGCACGGCTTGCGTTCCTACCGCTGTTTCCAATACACGAACCCATATGATTGTTGAGTCGAGTGACGAGGATGCATCGCTTGCATTTGCTGCAGGTGGCCGACGGGAAGGAGAGCATATTCGGGGGTCGCGAAGCGGCACCACCACCACCTGTTCCTCCTTCTGGAGTGGGTGAATCCGAGTTCTGCTCCAGCTTCTTCTCCATATCCTTCTTCTTCTTACCCCGTCCAGGGCCTTGTGCAACCCATGTCTGACCGTAGATGTCGTAGCCGGGCTTGTCGATGTACGGATGCTTCTTGCAGTAGATTATGCTTGGGTCGGGTTTCCTCGCCCCCTTGCCGTCTGTGGGATATAATAATCGTGGGAGGTGGCATCGCGGGCAGACAATGTCTGGTGTGGTGGCTAACGGGTTCCCCTTCAATAGGACCTTCCCTTCATCGTAGACAGCCGCGTCTGTTTCGACCTTGACGTCTAGCCGAGCGTCAGGGGCGGAGGAATCTGAGGTATCGGCGGCTAATTTCTCGACCCGAATGGCGGCGGTCGCGGCACGGGCGATCTTCTCGTCTCGGTGCGTCTTCATTAATAAGTCATGAACAATGTTGTAGAGTAGATCGTCGAGCACGGCGTGTGCCTGTAAGATCACGCGGTCAGCTGAAATGCCGAATGTTTGTAATAGCTGAGCTAGAATGATAAGTCATAAGTACCATATAACGCGAACTTACAAGTTGGTCCATGCTGCCGGCGTCTTCAGAAGCTTTGATAACTCCAGCCTTGCCGGTATTGGGTGAGGCCATGGCGAATGCTCCGTATGGCCGTTCGCGACGTCAAGATGAATTCTGGACGTGGCGAGAAGGATGAAAAGAAAAAAGTGATCCCCCAGAAGCTGACAAATTATGCGAATATCTAATTTGAAGGGAGGAAATAGGAGATGATGGAATTTGGGTATCGGGAATATTAGAAGCACGAAGTAGGGAGAAGTTCAAGGCGAAGTAAAGTAAAATCGGATCCACTCTCCCCAGAATGATACAAACCCCTAAAGTTTGGAGGTTTGCAGGTGTTTAGAGTTTTGTTGGATTCGCCGGTCTAAATGCAAATGTCTAAAGTTAGGAACAGCCTCAATTGCGAGTTGTTCTTTCTTATCGGCGTTATAATGCACCGGTGATGCTGACGGATCACGGTGCCTGGTGCAAAATTATTTCGAGGCTCGTTTTGAATTGTAATCCCCGTTCAGGCGCGGACGGGAAGATCAGGAGAAGGTCTCTTTCCAGATAGTGGTACCGTAATACCCATCTGTACCTAACCGGAGGCTGAATTTTGGTGAGTATGGCCTGGTATGGCCTGGTATGGTAAGCCTGACAGCGTAGTACAAACTACACTGGCCGCGATAGCGAATCGATTAACTGGAACCCCCATGCATTAGTGGACAAGAAAGGGTCCCGGATCTTTTAGAGGATGCGCTACGTAATACCTTGCTGTACCTGAGCAGATATCTTTGGATGTTTGACGAAACCAAATGACGAAAGTTGATTTTGAAAAGAAACGAGGTTGCTCTATCGCAACGAAGTGAATGTAATTTCCCACTTGCTTTTCTTGACGAGAAATTGAACCTTTTTTCCTCAAGTGTCACAGAGTATACCTAGTAGCTTACCTAATATGTACTACCTATGGATGTAGTAAAAAGTAAAAAAAGGAAGATCATACGTTCTTTAGTACCTGAAATTACTAAGTTTTCCGTAGTGGGGCTATCAACAGACGGACGGAGGGCAATGGCCGTAACATCAAGGCCCTGACTTCTAGAGCTGTATTAAGCTATGAGTTATTTACCTAAGTAAGCCGATTACCTTAGGTAATCGCTTTTGTCCCAGCGTTTAATGGTCGGTGCGCGAGGACCTCTTTTGACTTTACCTACAACTACTAATTAACAATCTTACTTTCCTAGAAATAGCAGCATCGCACAGTATTTACGCCGGACTTAAAAGAATTTCATTATGTTTATATTTCCCATTATATTTCCCAAACTAAATATGGTGTGCGAGCCATCGCAATGCCTCCCCGTAACCCTGTCTCAAGGCGAGGGAGCACATACACAGCTTAATAGGCCGACCACAGATGCGCTCCAAGCCGAGCTCGTAGCATAATTCCTCCTCTGAGACGGCATACAGATGGTCGATCTTGTTTCCTAACACCACGATCGGAATTTTCTGCATTTTGTTCGTAGCCAGCAGAGCATCGAGCTCGGCCTTTACCTCGCCGAATCGCTTATGATCCGCTACGTCAACGAGGAAGAGGATTCCGACGACATCATTGAGATGGTCGCTCCAGAGAGGTCGGCCTTGCTGTTGGCCACCGTAATTAATGGCCACATACCTGACATCCTGGATCACTAGCTCCTCTGATGTGGGATGTAGTATATGTTGGAAACCTCCCGGTCTACGACGAGCCAGCTCCTTCAGTAATGTCGACTTCCCAGCCTTGTCTAGTCCGAGTATGAGGATCTTGTTCCGCTTGTTAAGCAGACTGAAGGATCCCACGAAGCGGTAGACCCGCTTGAGAATTCCCATCTCACCGGTAAGTATCAGAACGTCTGTTTATTGCTGATATTAGGGATGATGAAATGGAAAGCGGCGTTGGACGAGAGTAATAGCCGCTAAGCAACTGTGTCTTTATTCATGAAATGGCGAGGCCAGATCTCGTGTGGGCTTGAGATATATATATAATGAATGAAAGCCTTGGGGTGAACCTTTGGAAAAGGAGTTAAACTTTCCACGGGGCGGTGGCATAAACTTTGGGCGCCCGTGGATATGAAGAATATTCGTGGACAACTGTATCTTGGGCGAAGGGCTTGAAGGGTATCAGAAAAAAGGCAAGATCCCTTCCGAAGATTATTGAATCCCTTCCATTATATAGGTTCGAGGAAGCTGACCCTAAATTAACTCAAAGATCAGTTCAATGGTCAGTTTAATAGTCAATACACATGTCAGCTCAAACGTAGGTTGAATAAGGAGTTCGATAGTTAGTCCTTCACTCAATCCCCAACTCTGTTTAGTAGCCAGTTCAATGAGAAGTTTAACAGTCAGTAAGCCAGCCTCTCAATCAGTCAGTCCATAATCAGTCTAAAAGCTGGTTCCGTCAATCATAGATCACAAACTGCGAGGCGTGCGCCTCGCAGTTCGTATTATCGGCAATCGTATGGCGTCACATCTGGTCGTTGATCGTCCCTGAGCAATTCAACCGTCGAAGTGTCAAAACAGCTTCAAATAAGGAGTCAACACTCTTTATCACAACTGGAGCGCATGTAATCAATTTATTAAGCTCTTTAATCTAATTGGGTGCACCCTAATAGGCAGTTAAACCACCTTAATAATCAAATGCTTGGGTCCACTTCCCCTTTGAATGCAGCCAATCAACAGCTGTGTTTTTACCGGGGATAACGGGGCTACACGCGTTTAACGTCGGGCTTTGATAGATTACTACGATAGGAAACATCTGATGAGGATCCATGAATTTCGCTGGGACCCTCCATTTTTTGGCACAATATCCCTTCGTAAAACTTACCTAGGGTATTATATAATATCCTTTCCTAGGTAAACAAACCAACATGTCTTTACCTACCACGAACTCCAACGGGCAATCTTCTATCCGGAATTTCTTCCAGCCCAAATCGCCAACCTACGCTCCGCCCCCCGCCCTGTCACGTACACAAGCTACTACTGCTGCTCCGCCGGCGCCACCACCACTAGCCGCTCGTCCGCCCCCAATACCCGGACAAGATGGACCGAAAGCACCACCATCGCCGGCAGCCAACGCCAACACGCCGCCACAAAGGCCACCATCCCTCCACCCACAAGCGACCATAGCCCCGATCCTGCCCGAGTACATCCCCGCGCTCCGGCGAATAACCTCCCTCCTGCTTCCCGTCAACTACCCCGACTCCTTCTACCAGCGTCTCTCCGACCCCCTCTCATCCGGCGCCTTCAGCCGCGTGCTGCTCTGGTCAGACCCAGCCGACCCCAACGGCACGCCCAAAGTAATCGGCGGACTCGTCTGCCGGCCCGAACCCTCGCCCTTCGCGCCCTCATCCGCGCCCGCGAAGCCGAACGCGCTGTACATCCAATCGCTAGTCCTGCTCTCGCCCTACCGCTCCCTAGGCCTCGCGGCGGCGCTGCTGGACGAGATAGCGGCGCTGGCGGCCGCGAGCCCGTTCGCGTGCGAGGAGGTGTACGCGCACGTGTGGACGGACAACGAGGACGGGCTGCGGTGGTACCTGGCGCGGGGGTTCGGCAAGCACGGCGAGGTCCGGGGTTACTATTTCAAGTTGCAGCCCGACAGCGCGTGGATTGTGCGGCGGCAGATCACTTCCACCTCCAACCCTTCCCCTAGCTCCAGCATCCCCAACTCCATCGCCGCAACAATCCCGCCGAGCGCCACAGCAGCAGCCGCCAATCTCCTCGCTCCCAAACCCCAACCCCCTCGCCCTACACCCCCGATCCTCGCAACCACAGCAACCACCCTCAGCACCCTCTCCCCACCCCTCGCACCACCCCCACCACGCAGCTCCGGCCCCTCGCCGAACCGCTCGGGGCCCAGCACGCCCGGCACGGGGACGGGGATATCGTACCAGAACGCGCGGCCGGAGACGGAGTGGAACGACCTGCCGGCGGACATGCACTTAGGCAGCAGTAACGGCGGAAATGGGAATGGTACCAGCGCGCCGGGGAGCAGCGCCGCGAGCTCGCGCAGCAGTTCGGCTGCGCCTAGGAAGAAGCGCGACCGGGCTTATCCGGCGGCTGCTTTTGGGAAGTGAGGGTGGGCAAGTGTGCGTGGGTAGGCTTGAGCTTGAGCGGTTGGGTGAGGGAAGAGGGTAGAGTAGTGATGGTGGTGGTGGGGGAAGTCGGTGGAGGGGGAGTAGAGCAGAGCAGAGCTGTGACTAGATTTGGACAACGAGGGGAGAGATGGAGAAACGGAGAGTAAAGGCTGTAAATGCCCATTGAGAAAGAGACCGAAGAAACGAATCACGAGTTTGACAAACGAGGGTAAAACGAGACAAGGCAAGGCAGGGAAGTCAATATTCTATTTGAACGTAGATATCTATAATCTGGAGTAGATCGTGGCCGAGGCTGTTCGCAACAATAGGGGGAGCGGGCCGTGCCGTTCAAGTTCCAAAGAAAAAAAAGAAAAGAAATGGGTGGGGATAGAAAGTGGTTTAGAGACCATAATTATATACTACTCCTAAGTGAATAGATGCGTAGTCTTAATACATCATTAATTCAACCAGAACGGTATTTGGCCCGTAAGCTGTAAACATGGTAGATTTGCCGTTTACCATTTTATTGCAAGTGATTTAGCGATGATAATTCCCAAATTTGCCCTGCTGTACAGGTCAGAGTTATGATAAACTACTGCGTGCAACACAAGAAAACTGACACGAGACATCATGTAACTGGTCATAAAAGTGTTTTGCATTAGGTCATGATCGTAGGTTACTTTAGATACATACACGTTCGCGTTCGTCTACTTCATGCCAGAAGGACTCCCGAAACCTTGAAAAGCCCCTTTCCCCAAATCCATGCCCCACCATCCATCAACTTAATCTGTCAACTTACATCACCGTCGTGGGCTCGATCTCCGGGATCGCTTCGACGATCTTGGAAGTAACACCGTTCCTAAAGTCGTTCAAGTAATCCACGACGCCCTTCTTCTCCATATTCGCCGCCACGAGCGCGATCAGCGCCGCGCCGACGCCGCTGCCGTCCTTCGCGATCCCGATGCGAATCCGCTTAGCGCCTTCGGGCCCGATACCCTCGATCGCCGCCAGCGCCTCGTACACCATGTCGCGGAAGAAGGGGTAGTGCTCTACGAGGCTGCCGTCGACGCCGATGTCGATGGGCTCGTCATTCGTCTTCTGCAACTCGCCGCTCTGCAACACGATGGCGCCGACCGCCACAGCAGAGAGCCTAGCCGCCCGGCGTCCGACGGCGTATGCCACGTTCTTGAAGGCTAGGGCGTCCTCGAGCGAAGCGGCGTATATCTGTAATTGCTTTTCGAGCTCCTGGCGCAGAGTCGACAAATCCGGTGTGCTGTCGGCCGCGGCGATGGACATTATCGAGCTGTCCAGGCCCCATTGTTTGAATACGCCGGAGTCGGACGCGATGGTTGTTGTCGACTTCCAGTCGTTTTGGCTTGAGTTTTCGTCGCGGAATAGTGAGATCTCGGTGTTCTTAAGCATGTCGACGATAACTAGACGGACGATTTCGCCCAGGAACATGCCAGATACTCGCTTCTCGAACATCTGGATGCCTGGGTTTACACTCTTCTGGTCTAATTCTATGTCGTATGATGTATTAGGTAATATGTTCAGTTGGTTGTCGAAGGATCCCCATTCGGTATTTACGACCATTAATCCCGTCGACTTGTCGTAGTCGCCCTCGACAGGCTTCTTTATGTTGGCGAGCTTCTCCACATAGGCACCGTTGGTACCAGTTCCAAAAATGGCACCGAGAAGAGTTGACGTCTTGCCCGGTGAAGTATAGGAACGAGCCATAAGCGTTCCAACAGTGTCGTTCACTAAAGCAGCCACTTTAACAGGCAAGCGAAGCTTGTCGATTTCCTGTTGAAGCAAGGCGCATACGTCCTTCCCAACCGCATCCGGGATGTCAAATCCCTTGGTCCACCTCATTAACGTACCCTTGTTGATGCCGAATTGTTGAACTGGGAAACTGAAGGTAAAACCGAGTCGGAATATTTGTTCATCACGGTAACCCTCTGGAGTGCTGACAGTCTGCCGCCGGCGGATGTGGGCGTCGAAGTGCTCTCCGTGATGAGTTTTTAGGAAAAGTTCGATTTGTTTAGCGAGAAATCCAAAGAGGTCAGTGGCTTGTTTCGCGACCATTAACTCTTTTGGAATTGCAACTTTGCTGTATGTAAGGTTGAAGGTTGTGTCACCATTCAGGTGAATGGAGCAGACTCGGAAATTTGTGCCTCCTAGGTCTACTGCTAGATACAATCCCTTTTCCCTACGTCAGTTACTTCTTAGGTAAGCGGTTCGTTGGCTACTAGACATACCTTCTCGGTACCATTGGGTACACCTGTTACGTAGGTAGGAATTTGGCTCAAACTTGTGCCATCTTGTTGTAAACCCTCATCTACCAGCATATTAGCTAAATCCTTAAAATTTACCAATGGATAATCGTACGCATTTGCCGCAGAAACTCTTGAACGCCTTTGTTCACATCTTCGTCTGTGTAGTCGAATTGCGCGGCAATGCGCTTTGTCTCTTTGGCGAGAGCCATTGTGCGTGCGCGAGATACGGGCGGAGTAGTAGGGAAAGGCTGAGGAGATTCGCAGATTGGCTCTTGTACGACAACTGCCGGAGGAGAGGAGAGAATGCGTGAGAAAGGATGCGAATTGAGGATACGAGAGTATTGAGATTTGGCGTTCGTTAAGAAAAGTTGCGCGGTCTATAAAGTCAGAGGGGCAATTAGCAAGGATGAACCCAATTGCGTCAAAGGGTTCGATTGCGGGGCCATAGAGTGTGCCTAGGTACCTAGGTAGCTGTACTAGGTCGCTGTACTAGGTAGGTAGGTATACTAGGTAGGTACGGGAAGATTAGGGGTAGGTAGTAGGGCCGTTGGCACTACAACAGGCCCGTGGGGCGGTGGAAATTTCCCTCTCGTGTACTCCGAGGAACTTACCATTACAAGGATGAGGAAGATAAGTGAAAAAAGGCGGATATATGTAAGGTGATGGTGTCTCGTTGATGCTGATGCTGATGCTGATGCTGATGCTGGTACCGGTACTGATACTGTCACTGGCGTAGATGCAGATGCAGATGCAGATACGGGTGCTTGTGCTGGTGCTTGTGCTTGTGCTACCGCTGTCTTATCGTCTTGGTTTTGTCGGGCCTTCTCGATGTTCCCTTGGTGGTGGTTATCATCATGTATGTCTGTGGTACACATAGATGAGGGAACATCTTCAGCTCTGGCGCTGATGCGCCAGGCCTTAAAGTATCGCAACAATATGAACGCCACGGCGAGTTTCGCGGGGCTTTAGTGGGGTAGTGAGGGTCCTTTGGGGCCCCCAAGAGGGTGATTGTCTGGAGACTCGGGGAGAGAATCGTCATCCGACGCTTGCGGTCCACCCCGGCGCTGCAAACTGCACGATCAACCACAGCCCAGTGTTCTGTAGACCGGGCTTAATGGTCAAATAATAACGCAACCAGCTTGGATTTATTGGTAACCGGGCCGGATGAGCGTCACCTGCAGGTCGTCTAAGTCTTGCAACGGATGCGATGATATCATTGAACGATCCACCCCTGCAGAAGACGGCCGAGAAACCCCAGTCTAGAACCGTCTCAATCTCCCGGTTTGATCCTGACTTTTTAGCCTGGTGGAATTCGACTTTGTCCCGTGCTCAGCAAAAGCCAGGAAAAATTGGGGGCTGAACTTGGCGGCTCGACTGAGTCGTGTTCTCTTCCAGCCTTCGAACTTCTCCGAAGCAGCCGCTTGTTCCAACAATCTGGGTGTCAATCTATCAGACGGAGCTGATTGACTCTCACGCAATCAAGATCTTAATCTTGGAAGCATGAAAAAAGTGATCGACGAAATGATCAGCCAATAAACTGCGATATTCTCGTCGCAAAGGAACGTTGAATCTATTGAATCTGGAAAGTCAAGTAGGATTCTAGCAGGCTTATGAGCTTAAGGATAGGAATTTAGCCAATTGAGAGCCGAACCGTAGTGACGGGTTTTGATTATAGGTGAATCAGAGAAGCGCGAAAACGAGGCATCAAGAATAATGACTGTGTAGCATGACGAATATGACCAAAGGTGAAGCCACAATTCTATCTGAACTAATTGATCTGAACAGAAAGATTAGGGAGGAGAAATTGAGATTGCGGTGAAGCACAGACTAACACCCCTGTTTCACGATATCCTAAATTGTAGGTTCTTTCCACGTGTAATTATGATGTTTATGCAACTAACCCGTTATGTGCCAAGCATATTGAGAAAGCGAGGCCCGAAAAATACCTTCACGATCATGGGATAAATCGTATTATTCATTTTACAAGTTGCCTACCGGTAGGTAATTGTGAATTCGGCCCTGTTCGGTCAAGGCAAAAAGCCCGCGTTAACAGGGCGAAAAGGCATGATGGTTTAATAGGTGTCAAAAATGGCATGTTTTGTCAGCTTTGAACCACCTAGGATAAGTACAGAACATAGCGGCAAGTGTCCGCGTGATTGACAACAACTGGAATCTATAAGATAGTCTTTATATGAACTTTTCTTTCCTTCGCCGAGATTCCGCCCTAGTTTATTCTTTATTTGACCCCCCGCCTTCGTATTCGACTCGTTAGCATCAATCCAAACTCCGGCCGAAGATCTCAAGGGCATATCGACAATTCTCATATGGCAAAGAAACAATTCTTAAGGTTATCAGATCACCAGATCATCTTATCTGCAATACTAACATTCATCTCAATAGGTTTTACAAAGGTATCAAACATATTTCACATAGTAGGTACGAAATTTGAATTGTTGTAGCATTAGGAAGATTGAAACAGAAACAAGCAGAGGAATATAACATTAAGGTAAGCGATTGAAGATTTCCTATTCAGCCTTGTCGTCACCATACAAGTGCAACCATATATTTAACTCTGGGAAGTCTTGTAAAAATTAATTGAGTACCTCCATGGATAAACCTAATAGTGGTTGAAAGTAACTAGGACAGGGTTACATAAGACACCACCCCGGTTGTTTTTTCTGCCCTTTTGGGAAGTACCCCAGCAGTTGACGCAACCTGATTGGTTACAGATGCCAGGGTTTATTTTCCGCAGGGTAGAACTGTGTAACCTTCAGGGTCACTTTGAACCAGTATATAAACGTTTTGTCTTTTTGAAATAAAAGAATCCAAAAGTTTCAAGTTCCTTTTTGTCCCCCAAGGAAAATTCATGATATCCCCCGCCCCGCAATACAGGCATTACTAGGGAGCTCTACTTGCGTTACCGAACAGCAAACCTATGTACTAGTACGTGTATGGCATCAGGTTTGGTACAGCATTTCCATAAGTCATTCTCACGTAAGTAGGTGTTTATATGTCTGCTTTGTGATATTGAAGTTCCTGGATTCTTTATAGGTATGTGGGAAACAAGCCTGGGTAGTTCGGGCACATTCATATCTGGACTTCCCCCTTTTCAATCGGTCTTGAGTGCCATTTAGCCAGGTAACATGTGGTGGAGCTCATTTCTTAGTAGTGCAAGTATATTATCCAAAAAGGCCTATAGCATGTATGATGTTCTCAATCTCTATCCCTTTAGTTGGCATACTGCAGTCTCCACAAAACCGGTAACTGTACATCGGTGATAGCGCAGGCCCTTCGGCCTGTAAGCGTTGAGGCTCTCACAGTGATCTTCAGAGGCGTTTAGCCAACTAGAAGTAAGCTTTTGTGGGTGCCAGTAGAGCTCAGGGGTTGCTGGAAGTACAGTTACTAATCCTGCTGGAGCTGTAGTCTTATGCCAACTAAAGGGATACTACATGATAACTTATACACGCATATAGAATAGGTGATGAGAACCTAGCGGATGGCTCTGCTTCAAAGTAGCAGGGGTTTCCCCCACGCTATCCCTGTAATTAGCGTTATGTAGGTATACTGGGATGAAGTAGAAAAACTCAGTCAGGTAGATTCGCGCAGAGTAGACCAATGTAGAAAAGTCTCCAGACTGTGCAGAATTCCACACCGTGATTATGTAGGTATCATCTGAGATGGTTGACTGTTTGTATGTTAGAGAATATACCTAAACCCGGTAGGTAGACATATGTTTGTCACGTGAATCTGTTTTTGCGTCTTTCCAATGCCATCCCTATTCTTGGTACTACCAATAGCAACAGTCGTCGCACCGCCGTTCCCTGTTGTGCCTCCTATTGTATTGTTTGTTCGGAGTTTGGTAACAACGGTATTGTTCCCGATTACAACTACCAGCAGGGCGTTTGAGTGAAACCTGCGAATGCGACAATACAGCAGCTGAAGTGTAAGTCGTTGGAAGGCTTCCGAGACCCCCACCCCCTAACTGTCACAGGGACTCAGAGAGCCGCATCGCTAAGTAGGGACGCGTCATTTCAAGGATGTACCAATTAGAATGTGTGCATAGATTGACCATTACGGCCTTGGTGCAGAGTTATATCTGAGGAATCAATTCTGAGAGCCTCTTCAACTCTATAATCGCCGTCTTACGGGGAGGGCTCGGTCTACACACCTATCTTGACACCCATGTACCCTATGCAGGGGTCCTATGAATACCACCAACAGGTGTTTTTTTGAGGCTCTGCTTAGGATTTGGAGCCGCATGACTTCCTTCTTCCTCACTATAAAGCATCAGCTTTCCGTCGAGTGGCTCGAGATATCTTGTTCACTAGAGAGTACAAGTCCATGATACTCTACTCAGTGTATTGCCCGTTCTCAGACTGTTTTAACCCCTTCAAACACACGCCCACGATTAAAGCACAATCTGCATCTTACTTAGTTGCGAGGAGTAGCTTTTGGGACATTCGTATCTATTAACAGGTATGAAACAATGAAAGGACACCGCAAGATTTATTATCATTAAACTACTTGCTGACTTAATGATTGAGCTTTGAGACACTTACGCCATTACCAAGGCCAGGGTCTCCCGTGCGAAATGGAAGCAACCTTTGGATTCTAGGATCGAAAACCACAATGCTCCCTCCATAATCGAATTTGGTAAGGTCGAAGTTGCTTTTATTACTGAGTTTTAACAGATTCGGTAAGCATGCGACCGTAGCCTGGGCGTTTTTACATTTGTCGCTCACCGAAACTCCACCGGGCAAATGGATATACCCTAATAGCACAAGACGACTGCTCAGCCCCAGACTACTTCCCTCCCTATTATTCCACGCTATAATATCCTTTCCGACGCCCACAATTTTTTACCAGTCATTCTCGATCATTCGTTTCGCCTTGCGATGAGTGGTCGAAATCCGCTAGGGGATAAGTTCTCGAAACGATAGTTTATGTTGCAAGCCTAGGAACCCTCTGCCCTACGCAAACGAGATTACATGAACCATGGGTGTTGATTTTGAGGAATGAAGATGCAACGGATTATTACACGCAGGACACCAATGCGTTCGGTAAGACGAAATCTCGGGCATATGTCTGAATTGCGTCGTCCGACGAACACACAGCCTTACCTTAGGGCAGACTCGCTACGTTTATCATGTTTCGCCCTGGGGGCTAAGTTGGGCAGGATGACTACGCAGTCATTCAATCATGGGTAGTGTAAATTACGAGGGTCGAAGATGCTTAGTTTCCGGGAATTTGTCTGGGGCGAGTTTTGCCAAATCAAACGACGTTTCCCAATTTTCACTGCCTATTTACCTACCTAGGCAGTTTGTTTTCATGTGAATATGATATATGGCATTTACATCGAGTATTACACGGTCCGCTTTTTAAGAATCTTATTTACGATTCAATTAATTTATCAGCTCGAATTTCACTCGCCCGGAACCGACGCCCGCCCCTAGATGATCGATCTGCCTGAGGCGGGCAGTAGAGAGCATCACTCAAGTGATTTGCTATGTAAGTTTCCTCGACTTGAAAAGAAGCTTACAATACTAAAATATCTTACGGGCATGACAGAGTGATGGAGGGCTTAGCTTGTACTCCTCGATGTCCTCAGGACCTGTGGATCTCAATGGGTGGAAAAAAGAAGCTTGGAATGTCATGAGAAGACTCTGTCCTGCGAATAGAACGGGGAATACACCGAATAAGGGGATCCAAATTGGAAACGGACGGATCCACTCAGTCCTCAGAGTTCCTCACATGCTGTCCTGACCAAACCTGGTAGGATTGGAATAACCTCAGCACCCTGATGACTCCCTATTGCAATGGCTGAGTCGACGAGTGACAACTGTACTTAGTTGCCCTACATCTCATCGAAAATATGGCAGGCGAACCAAAACTTCGATATATATATACCCATACTATATCGCCATCCCAAAAAAGTTCGAGTCTATTTCTGTCATCCACCATCCACCATTACTACTCTACAGCTACTCAACTCACTTCTAAATGCCGTCCAATCGATCTCAATCTAATTCAAACTCCTCAAACAATACAACAATGTCTGATTCAACAAAGACTCCTATTTGGTACTGTTGCCAGTGCCGCAAGGGACCCATGACGATCAAAATCACCCCAGTGTGCGTGTATTGTAATGACCACATTTTTTGCGAAGGCTGTGAGAAAGGATTTACAGATGTCCTCTCGGGACGTTAGAATCGAAAACACAAACGACCTACCAAAGCCCACGAGGGCCTTAGTAACCGCCTATGTCAGTCATAGAGGTTCACAATAAACTTTCCTGCTCTGTTCGAAACGAGTCAGAACGAGTCAACTACGAATGATTTCCGACTACATGAAGCTTTACGAATGGAAGTCTCGCATTATACCGGCAGCACCTTGGCAGCAGCACACGCATGGAACTGGATATTGGGTCATCTATTGTTTATTCTCCTTACTTTATCTTTCCACGATGTCTTCTTTATTGTCTTTCGGCGTCATGGCTCGGCTGGAACCGGAGTTAGAGCTACAGGATATAGAGCTACGGGATAGATCTAGATCCAGCAATGGAATTGGGCGGCGGATCTCTCATTTAGGGATGGTGTATTTCTCACTTGGATAGGAAAAGTAGATCTAGGAAAATGGGGTAAAAAGGACAAAAAGAAAACCAAAAAAAAGCCGATGTTGTTGTGCTATCGTTCCAGGGGTTCTCACTTGTATTACTACCTACCTAGGCACCTAATTACTAGGTGCTTGGGCTCGGAGCTTTCTTAGGTACATGATTCCCGTGTCTATAGATTTCAAACTTCCTTAACTCTGTAAACGACTCTATAAAGATATCACGTCTATTTTTCGAGTATCTTGTATATCGTATTTGGGACTAACATGCTTCATAGTTGAAAGTTGAAACTTGTTATCAGGATCTTGCCCTCTTCCGTGTAGCTACGTACGGATCAAATTGTCATTAGCTCTACTCCATTTGCTACTCGATTCCCTATCTAAGAAACGACCATTGCGGCTATGATATATATATATATATATATATATATATATATATTTAGAAATTAATAGGTTTAATGTGTAATAACTTGATTTAACGTCGATGATACTACCAAATTTATTTTGGTGGACGTTTAGATTGAAATCTGACGGAAATCCTTCGAAGCAACGCCGCGTTGCGGCAGCATGTAACTGTCTGAACCGGGATATCTCGGAGTCTAGGAAGGATGAATATGCGGTGGTGGCAAAGCAATGCGCGCCAAGATATCTTGATATTGTTCTCTCCGCCTAGCTTGTAATTCGTAGCTGAAAGGCTGATACATCTGCCCGTGTGCTAGTTGAAAACTGGCGGGTAGCTAATATTCAGGGGTAGTCGTTTGTAGGTAAATATTTACCGAGATACGCAGTCTGGTATACAATGCACACGGCAGTTGAATCCAAAAATACAAATAGGGTGGTAAGAAAGGATCGTTCTAGAATGCGCACTTGGAAACGATGACCAAATTTCAGCCAGTCAGATTCAACAGAACCCTCTCAATACCACGTGTGATTCTCCGGGGACCCAAGCCAGTGAAACGTGTGGTTGAGGCTGAACTTGACCTAGTTGAACGTCATATTGTCACACATGGCTTCACGGTCCTGTGAAGACTCACGCATGTACGATGAAGCATCCCGAGAGACGCACATATTTCCAGGTTGCTGGGAAAGCCTATATGCATGGACCGAAGCTGAAAAGCTGGGCTGCCTTAGGAGCGCCGATACCCAATAAACCACCATAAGGCTCATGAATGCAGATACAGAGTCCAGCCTATGGTAGGTCCGTTGGGTATCAACGGGCCCAACTTCGCCACCGTGCCCCCTGACGGTCAAATTTTTATATACACAACTTTTCGGTGGTTAATTTCCATTAAAGGGGATCGGAAGGTCTCGTCGTTACGGCTCGGCTCGCTAGACCCGAGTTCTCTGTCATTAGGTCCATAAAGTGTTGCTTGAGACATGGACACTTAGAATGGAAAATCCCATGGTCTAAATGATCTGTCAATGTCCTCGGCGGGAGGAACACTGCCACTCCTGCAGCGACTCGTCCATTCATCGATACCGAACGCTTAAGGCAAACCTAGAAGCCAAAGTATGACTCTAAATCTGCAAGCTAGTAGTGGCATCTGATCAGTATCGCAGGATAAGCGCCACAATCCACATCAGCGTTTCTGTTTCTTCCATATTTACCGCTTTTTCATGAAATAATAATATTAAAAAACAGGATTTTACAAATCATCCACAGAAACTGTTCCACGGTAAGCATCAACGCCTCGAATGTCCTGATATGAAGTCTGACCAGATGACAGTCGGTTTCTAGGCAGAAAAGGGATGAGCCACCTCATAATACGAGAGATGGAATTGAGGAGATAATCCATTTCAAAGCTGCGTACTTGAGATCGCAGGTGCGAGTATGAGTAACATAAGGCGTATTGGCGATTCATGCTAACAGGAAAAGCGGTGAGAGCGGTGAATCCACGGCGTCTCACAAAGCTCGAGAGTCTGCAATTCAAAACACAGAACCCACGTCTATATCTCTCCTCTCGCATTTTGTTCAACGCAGTTTGGGTATTGCGGCTGTCGACCATATGATGGCAGGTGAAAAAAAGATGGGGAGCGATGAGTGGATAGAGGATAGGAGACAGAGGCTTACATAAATGAGACTAGCTCGCCTCCCCACTAATAAAATAGCCCTTATTGAAAATATGCAAGGATCGATTGGCGTCTTTTCTTACGCACTTATCGCGATAGCGACGACGATCATGTCTCCGCAGTGTCTTCCCGTCCCCCCTTTTCTGCCCCTCATTTCCAAGCTTCTTCATCCCCCTACCTTCGTTACCCCACACCCGCTAGCTCTGACGATAGTCTTCACCAACATACCTACCGGCACATACGCATGCACAGGTCAGACAGATCATCGAGGATGTAACGATGCCGTGACATAGAACTAGGTAAGCGACCATCATTCGATTGGCAAACTCGCAAACCGTCAATCTGAACCATTCCTCCGGGCCCTTGCGTAGCAGTGTCGTACGTTTTGCTTTGTCTGGCGTCAGGGTCAACCTTCTTCCACCGCCATGGCTCTCCTTGGATTGGAGACAATTGGAGGTCCCGCGCGTCAACTGCCGGGAGTCCGAGGACCCTCAGACTACGGGACAGAAGTGGACAACGGGGATGACTGATAATTACATAAGGGTCACGACGACCGTACAGGATGTTCAATTATAACCCACTTGCTTCCCTTATACGAAATACCCCAGATAGATCTCATTAGACCTCTCCTATACTCCCCGTAAAAAGTATAACCATAAGAATTACCTCTACAATGGCAGCGCCGGCCGGGATACCATCCCTTCTAGACCTCACCATCGACAACATCACGCCCAACACGATCCGCATCAACTCGCAATGCCAGAACCCGCGGTTGAAGTACCTGATGTCGCGGCTGGTGACGCACCTGCACGACTTCGCTCGCGAGACGCGGCTCAGCACTGACGAGTGGATGGCGGCGCTCAATTTCCTCGTGGGCTGCGGGCAGATCAGCAGCGACGTGCGCCATGTACGTGCCACCCCTTCACACACACACACACACAAATTCCTTATTAAGAGAAAAAAAACAATAGCAAAAGTCAAAATACTGACGCAACGCAGGAATTCATCCTCCTATCCGACATCCTCGGCCTCTCCCTCCTCGTCGACAGCATCAACCACCCCAAACCGCCCTCCTCGACCGAAGGCTCGGTGCTCGGGCCCTTCCACACGCACGACGCGCCGACGCTCGCGAACGGGTCGAACATGGCGTCGGACCCCGACGGCGAGCCGCTGCTCTGCGTGTGCACGGTGCGGGACACGGGCGGCCGCCCCGTGGCGGGCGTCAAGGTGGACATCTGGGAGACGGACAGCAGCGGGCACTACGACGTGCAGCACGCGGACCGCGGGGAGCCGAGCGAGCGCTGCGTCATGGTCACCGACGCCGAGGGGCGCTTCTGGTTCCGCGGTATCAAGCCCGTCAGCTACCCCATCCCCCACGACGGGCCCGTCGGCAAGCTGCTCGAGAGGCTCGGCCGCCACTGCTGGAGGCCCGCGCACCTGCACTTCATGTTCGAGAAGGAGGGGTGGGATCACTTGATTACGTGAGTCGGGCTGCTTTTCTTTGATCCGCTTATTCTGTTATTGCATGTGTGTGTGATAAGTATCGTCCAATTCCTGGTGACCTTCCCTTTTACTTGGTACTTTGGTACATGGCATATGGCATAAAAATGGAGAAAAGGGGGTAAGGAAGGTTTGGTAGAGGCGGCTGTCATATGAAAATGGCTGTGATATAAAGCTAACAAACCTCCTAAAATAGTGCCCTATATGTTCGCGGGGACCCATACGAGACATCAGACGCCGTGTTCGGCGTAAAGCAGAGTCTCATCGTCGATATAGATAAGATCGACTCAGCAACAGCCAAGGAGTACGATTTTCCAGAAGGGGGTCTCTATTTGAAGCACGACTTCATATTGACGACGAAGGAGGAGACGGAAAAGCTACGAGACGAGAACGCTGTGAAGGCTCTGGCACAGCTGGGACTGCAGATGAAGCTTGTTGACCATCTGCCTATACCCGAGTTAGACTGAATAGATGTGGCTGATGTCTAGAGTGTAGGTAGAAGAAAGGTTAGAATCAAAGATATCGACCCCCATGATGAGATAATAAAAGCACAGTTATTGCTTTGAGTGCATACCGTTCAAGGCATAGAACTATTTATGGCACATTCATCATGAACTTCTAAGGTTGGGAGAGGAAGGCACTGGCGCACATGGTCCTAGCAGCACGATGTCGAAGCTATGACCATACCGTTGCCATGGACATCCGGATAGGCAACCATATATACCTATGCAACTGCACATCTTTCCAATCGAACATCCACTCCATCGATCCAAGGCCGGGTCGGGGCGACGTAACTACTCGGATAGCTCAGTTGGGTATAGACGGGATTATAGACGGTATAGACGGTATAGACGGGTACTGAGCATCCGAGACCGCGTCCGAGAGTTCGATTCTCTCGACGGCCAACTCTTTTTTTTGTCAATTCTTTTTTTCTTATCATGCACCAATGTCACCCGCATGCGTGCACGCCCACGTGAATCTCACGATGATATGATTATTTGTTTACTTTTCCTCGGTGTTTCGAATCTGCACCCCTTCCACTACCACATCCACACATCAGCCTTGCCAGCTACCTCTTAACCACAATGCGCCGTTACCCAGTACCATCACCATAACCAAACATGCATTCTCCTGACCAATACCAGTAAATCTATATTTTTCTCACTCAAATTTTAACGTCGAAATACACCCCCTTTAAAATTCGTACTATCTAGATCACGTCTCAATCACATGACACCCATGTTCCAGCTCAGCCCTTTTAGCCATCCCTTCCTTAGAGCCTCAAACCTTAGCCATTTCTCCACTTCTGAGATACTAATTATATCTATGCTGATGCCCCAACCATTCATAATAGATACCAGTAATATGATGCTTCCTAATCTCCCGATGCTAAGATAGCCACGCTCATGTCTTGAGGGATAGAGGGGATGCATGCAAGGTACAATGCATAGTTAGAAGCATCCCATACTCAACAAGGCGTATACTTTTCAAGCTCCAAGTGATCCTCCAGATGCATCAATGCCGCTCCTTTAGCCCCTTAAGCAGACCCCAAGCCGGCAAAAACACTCAAATGAATCAACAACAGAAAAAAAACCGACGCAGACCTGATTCGAACAGGCGCTCCCGAAGGAATATGATAGGACGTGGACACATTCTAGTCATACGCAATAACCACTCTGCCACTGCGCCCTAGCACCCCTGGGCCTGCTCGAGGAACTTGACGTACCCGAGAGTGCTCAAAGTTAGCTGGCCACAAACCTTCTAAGGTTGGTAGATAAAGCCAATCAGGCGCGTGGATACTAGAAAAAAAAAAACTTACCTACGCACTTTCCTTCAGGTGATCAAATTTCGTCTGAAGTTTGAAAGCATGATGTGAAGCATGGATGGATGTGCTTAGGTAATTAAACAAGCATATCTAGGTCCTAAGGTATTAAAAGGGGTTCCCCCCTAATATGGATGTATACGTAGCCCCTAAACTTGCTATCGCGTGGCTGAAGAACACCAGCTCTGACAAAAAAAAGGGGGGGGTGGGGTGCTCAAGGCTCTCACGCCCATCAGAACCGATTCATCGCAACTTCAGAAGTAGGTATCCGCATACATTTGGCACCTAACCCACCACACGTAGGTATGAATCAAGTAACGGAATCCATAGCAGTCATCGGAGAGGTAGATTAAATAAGTACCTACCCAGCACCCAAGTACGTATATCGGGGACACGAGTAGACAGCCCTGATACCAGGTATGTACCTATGTACTGTAGCGGATCCTGTCCGTGAGTCACCACCATCTCGAACCCCGCCGTCGCTGTCCGTAGCAACCGGGAGATTTTCGGATCCATCTCGATACAGATACAAGGCTTATATATCCGTTTAAATCCCCAAATTTTCAAGCCGACCTCACTAGTCTTGAAATCTAGTGGGTGACTTGATGGCTAGAGAAAACTCGTTCGAGCCACGCTGTGGTAGATGGGTATTATTCCTACTACAGCGGACTCGGGGTTTTTCGTAGGTCGCCGATTCAGTTCGGGGCTGAGCTTTTTTTGTCTTTTCCTTTTCTTTTTTTTCCCCACATCGTTTCTTTTTCTGAGTTTCTAGTTGATGCACTCGTATATTTATTTCCGCAACTCGGATGCAACAGTACTGCATTTCAAATAGGATAAAATATAAGGTAGGTAGGTAGGTATACGCTCACAAAGCACCCAATCCAATTCCATCCATCCATCCATCCATCACATATCAAAGCCCCATATAGAGCCCGACGCCCAGGATCAGAAAAACCCTAGGCTCAAGGCTCGAGTAGAGGCTCAAGCACCAAGGCACATATACGGCACCCCCTTAGCCCCTAGCACGTAAGCGTCGTCAGACCAACGACCCAACCGACTAATCAGGTCGTCTGTACAAATACACGCCGGGAGCGCCGTCCCGGCTGGTATATGGATAAAGCCCAAGTTGGCTGTCTGTCTGTCTGTCTGTCTCTGCGTGGTATCACCCATCCCTATCCTATTCCTATTCCAATCCCTTATCCCAGCCTATCCTATCCTATCCCAAACGCCGGTGCTGGTGGTAGTAGTAGTAGAGTCGTGATATTTCGCGTATGTCGTTTCGCTCGTCCCGGCAATGGGATATTAGATGTGTACGTAGTTATATACAACCCCTTCTTCTCTTCTCTTCCCCTCCTCCCCTCCCCCTTTCCCCAAGCTCTTATTTATTCCTAGTATAACGCGTCGCGGGTCGTATGCCATATACTATAAGCATCGTATACCACACCCATTCACAGCGCATAATTCTCCGTATGCAAGAAAATCTCCTCCAGCATCGGATCGCCCCAAATCTCCGCCTGCAGCCGTGCCACCATATTCGAAACGCCGACCCGCATGCTCGGCGGCCCGCACACGAACACCGCCGTCCGCCTGCCCAAGATACCGCGTCCATCCACGCCCCCCGTCGTCCACTCGCGCAGCATGTACCCGAGGTCCGGCCGCCCGTACTCGACGCTCCAGCCCCCGTCGATCTGGTGCGGCACCGGGAACGCGAACCGCATCAGGCTCTTCTGGAACTCCGTCGGCGTCTCCGGGAACCCGAAGTCGAAGCCCGACGGCGGCCCGAACGTCGACGTCGGCCGCGGCTGCTGGGGCGGCAGGTTCGTCGTCCGCAGGTGTGCGAATTCCGGCGGTCGGAGTACGGGCTCGGAGGGTCCGCCCGAGGCCTCGTCGTCGCTGGAAGCGGGCGGCATCCGTCGCGGGGATGGCGGCGCGTAGTTGAAGTGCGGCTGCTGGTCGGGGCGTGTTTGTAGCGGCGGGAAGTGAAATTCTCGCTTGGGCTTGTCGTCGGGAAAACCGTCGGTTGGGGCCGGTTCTGCGCAGCCGTGATCTTCGGTATCACTGTGATCCCGACCTTCTAACCTTCGAAGGGAGTCCTCCTGAGCCGACAGGCGATTCGATGGCGGTGGGCCTTGCGGTGGGATATGGTGCGGTTGGAGGTACTTCTGTTGTGGGAGGGCGGTAATTCTATCTTCGTCCTCTGCCCGTAGCTCGCGCTCGTAGTCCGGGTTGCCCTGCGCTTCGTCTCGGATCATCTGGGAATTACGCTTCGAGGCGATTCCGGCTACAAACCCGTCTAATCGATCGTGGAATATATTGCTCAGGGGCCGAGGTCCCCGCTCACGGGGTGCTGGGATTCGGGATTGTCTCTTGGCTGCCGTAACGAAAAACTTGCAAGTTACGCTCTCCGGAGGCGCAGAGTCACGGCAGATACGCAGCTCCTCTCGGAACCAATCCATGGCCTCGAGTCGTTTGAGAGCCCAGACAACTACCACTTTCTTGGTGATAGCTTTGCCATCACGCATACGTTTGATCAGGTTTAACAGCTGAGACATCAGTGCAGTTACACCGCTTCCACCAGCGATCAGAATGCATGTGTCGAATGCAGCAAGCTCTCGGCGCATGCCGCCATATGGCCCATCGAGATACGCCCGGTATGTGTGGAATGGCCCCTTCTCAATAGCAGTCTCCAGGACTCGACGAGTAAACCCACCGTACGGTTTGAACACAAGAGTGCAGTCTCTGTACTGCTCGCCGTATTCCGACGGGAAATCCTCGCTGCAGAGCGACGAGATTGTGAACGGATGGTTGTCGAAAAATGAGATACCGGGCATGCGCAGATACACGTACTGCCCAGGCTTCCATTTCATCTGCGTGGGAATCGTGATCTTGATAGCGTTCTCGGTCATGAGGGTAATAGCTGCCTCGTCTCCAACCAAGAAGGACATCCGCCACGGTTTGACCCAGTTGAGTTTAAATATGCGTAGGAAATAGCACAACACCCAAATAGCTATCGTGGCATATAAGTAATCCCAAGACCCCAGGTAGTTCTTCGTATGCCAGAATAAACAACCCAGGTACACGAAGCCGACTGGCACGTGTAGCGTTACGAAAAGTTCGTAAGCTATCCTACGGATGAAGGGAAGCGAAGCAACGCAGAGCCATAGCAGCGGTACTAGGCACGCGATACCAGTGCCGTAGATAACACCGCTCCCCTGGGGGAACAGCGTTTGAAAAATAGCCATGCCGCCGTCGTCCCATACAGGTTGAACGTAGAACGGAATGGTATGTACGAGAACCAAGAACAGGCAAAGATAACCGGCCCATCGGTGAAACACATTGAGCCGCTCTGGACCGATACCTGTGACTAGTGTGAGAATGTTAGCCTTCATGCTGGTCGCAATGATCCAAGGGGTCATCGCGACAGCAATCATGCCTGCTCGGATCGCCACCGGTGGGGAGCCGTATTGGATGCTGTCCCAATACAGGGGTTGCTTGAGAAATACGTATAACGATACGAAGGCCAATGCGATGAACCCGACAAATAAAACCGCGAGTGAAGAGAAAGTGAACCGATGTTTTCGCCATACGATATCGGGTATCGGGCGGTAGAAGACCCATCTGAAGAGAGCGAACGTGTCTAGAACAGGACCGACGGCGGAAAAGTCGGATTTCGGCTTGAAGTCCCTCTTCTCTCCTCCTCCTTCTTCGGGGAAGAATTGTCGTCCAGTCTGGCCTGTGTGCATGCCTGTCGCCAGCGCATACTCGGGATCGAGGTTATATAAATCCCGGTAATGCTGCTCCACCTCTTGCTTGTATATCGCCTGTCGAATTTTATCTTGCCACCAATGCCATATTCGTACCAGTACCACCAGTCCCATCAGGGCTACACTGAAATACGTCCATCCTAAGCCATATTTCCCAGACGCGCTCCATGGGTCGACAGTGTTCGCTTCCACCAAGCCTGGCGGGCTCGTTGCCGTCAAAGGGATGTATATCCTTTTCGCGAGCTCCGAAAGTGTCCTCGATGCACCCGCCATAGCCGATATTGGTTCCTCAGCCATGATTAGGAGGTTAGTTGAAGGGTACTATCGACGAGTTTACTGATGTTGAGCGCTTGACGTCTGCCGCGCCAGCTAGGTTGAGATCCTAGGCGCGTGAACGCGAGAGCGTCTGAAATTCCAACAATCCTTGTCGCTCTTGGGCCCGTCTCAGATACCTTCACTTGCTACATGAATCGGATCTTGGTAGTGGGTGTCTTTACGTGTCGTTTATTTATTTAACTTAAGGTTGGGTATATATCATTGGAAATAATTAAGAACGAATGAATGTTCGTCGCGCGAAGAGGAATACCAGACTCCCCAATTCACGGGACAAGATGATACTGAAAGGCAGTAATGGCGGCCATTGAAATGGATCACGACGATCTGACGACGACAAACGAAAAGGGAGTAGAAGGATCCGGGCCGACGATGAGATGGGCACGGAAGGATAGGTATATATCGGTTACTTGCCAGGATCGCGGTGGCAGAGTGGGGAAGCACTATATGCATGTAGATAGTTCCCTTTTCGCCAGGTACAACATGCAGCGAGGTTGTCAAGTCTCGTCACACAACTACTACATTCGGCTTGCGATCTCCTTGGGGAATACCCAATAGGAGTTTTGCGAGATTGGCCTCGTGGGAAAGGCAGGAGGGGCAAACTTGGCCTCCTACCGGGGCCATCATCATCGTTCAATCAGGAACGAGCAACGGGTTGGTTGTGGGTTGGTGTGGATTGCAATCGGTTGAGAAGACACAGCACGATACAAGACCCAGCGGTTGGCCGTACCTCGATATTGGCTGACCTGGAAAAGAAGAGAGATTTGTTCCCCCGCAGGCTGCAGACTGCTGCAGGTTGCGCCATGTTGCACGGAATAAGCGTGGGCGCTAGAGTTTGCGAGCAATGTCGAAGCTGTCGCCGGGGTCTTAGCTACGGGAAGATTGCCGTGCCGGTAAGCTGGCAAGGGTCCATTATTCTGTGCTAAGTTGTGCATATGTACCTCCTAGTGTACGCATGCAGCCATTCGCAGGATGCAGCTCCATGAGAGCTTTACCTGCTTTACCTAGGCACATTAGAATGGTAATGGTGACGGTGACGGTGATAGAGAATGACCGAAAGGGTATTTAGAGCGGTCAGAATAGTTAGATGATTCGATGAATGGGCTCAAGCCGAGAGCGCTTCGAGTTGAATTATCGATCTTGAATCTTGCACTTTGGCGCCTCCAACATCGTACTTCGTACGCGTGTCCCGATTGAGATCTTACCCCCATCTCATCCCGCCCAATGAGTGGACGAGCAAAGAGACGTTACACCTAAGGGATGGTCCCAGATAAACTTGTGTCCAGAGCTTCAAGGTTCAAGCGATGCTTGAAATGCGGCAGTGCCGTAGTCACGAATAACGTAAATAATTCGGCGATCCGAATACTCTCCGACGTCCATCTGATGGCCATCTGATAATTGTTGGTTCCACGAAGCTGGAAGGTCATCTCCTTGTCATCTCCTTGCAATGTGGCGTCCGACAAATCGGGTTTAGCCATTGTCGCTGTTTAATGAGGCCGTCTGCAAAGACCATTATGCAGACCGTTATGTACAACGGACGATTAATGCCGAAACGGTCGATGGGACCGTTTTTTCCTTTTCTTCTTTTTTATATAAATGAAGTCAGGTGTAGAAATATATTTTGGTGGAGAATGAACCAAGCAAAACTACATAGTAGAAAGCGTTGACCGGAATATTACCTAAACATTCAACTGCAAGAGTCGCAACTACTCTTTTACTTGCCTTATACCAGTATGTGGGTAGGTACTCGTAAGTTTCGGTACGCGATTAATGGATAATAGACGATATGGTGATAAATATGCAGTTTGATGGAATAGCAAAATTCATTGGGACATTGAATTCTGATTGGACCTGATGGAAAGCCCACGGGTATCGACAGGAGACAACACGTCAACACTTCAAACAAACGAGAAGTATATAAGTTTAAAAACGATTGAATCAGGCCTTCTGCCTAATTCTATCGCTCCAAGACTTCACAACACTTCCCACCATGGATCTTGCCCCGACTTCAATCTCCAAACAACGAGCTAGAACACAGCGCGATTCCTTTAGGATGGATAAACTACCCATGGAGATAGTTCAGAACATCTTCTTTCGCATCGATAATTTCGATACGTTGAGATCGGCTATTCTGACGTGTCGACATCTACACGCCGCATTCACCAGCCGGGAGAGGTCCATCGTAACTCAGGTGCTGGTAAATCAGATAGGTTGGGATGTTCTACCGGAAGCCATCGTTGTCGACGAGTCGTTCCGCTTGGAAGCTTATAATTCCAGCTTGGGAACTTATGATTCCCAGAAGGCCGAGGAGTTTTCCAAGAAACACCTCAGCCACCGCATGACGTCCCTCAGCGAACCAGCTCGCTGGAATCTAGCCGAAGCTTTACCCTTAGTACGTCTTCACAAGGTTGTTAAGTTTCTAGCAAAGCAGATCGCCGATTACATCTGTGGACCTAGATATGTTCGTCAAGGCCAACTCATGTATCGATTGCCCTTCGAGCCATGTGAGCCGATGCCATCCTCTGAGGGCCTTTACAGAATTCAACGTGCCCTATATCGCTTCCAATTATATTGGAACATGTTTGGTCTTTCTGAGGCCGGGGCCGGGCTCGCCACGCGGCGGTATGCATATTTCCGAATCTTCAGTGTTTGGGAGAATGAGCAACTGGCATGCGCTCAACACCACCTCCTCCGGATTATAAGAAAACGTAAGTCTCAGTTCAGCAACATAACCTAGGATTTCTGTAAGATGGATATTGATGCGTTGGTAGCTGTTGATATGGATCCCTTTGCACATCATGACGCTTTCGAGTGTTATTTATCTTCTTCTCTTAGTGAGAGCGGGTCAGAGTTCTCTCAACACGCCCTCTCTCAGGGCTTGGAATACATATACGAAATAGCGACCAGTGAAACGTTCGCGGACGCCCGCAAGCTCTTAAAAAACATATTCTCTTCTCTAGCCGAGCCTAGCCTTGCTCCAATTCCAAACAATCTCTTCGAAAGCCTCAGAAGGTGTAGCCCCCCTGTGGACTTTGGAAGGCCGTTTCGGGAGCTCGATGAAGAAGACAGAAACCATCTTGTTGAAAATCCATATTGCAATGATAACCACTGCAGCTATATGTCAGAACTATTAGAAGCAACGTACGATCTGGCGTATACTCTCGATGATAACGGCGGAGAACTCGACGAGAGAGGTACTTGTTCGGAGGAAGGCTACGCGTTTTGGGACTGGTACTACCCGCACTAATTGTAAGGGGCGGATCGAAGGAAAGCTGTAGAACTATGAGAGCAAGGACGATAAGTTTGATATGCCGACGGGAGTAGAATAGCATATCGGAGACCAGAGTAAGATTGTTTGCCCAGACTGCCCAGAATATCACTTCTCAATGAGTTCATACTTTGAACTTACTGTTCTTTGCCTTTGTGAAAGACGACAACTTGCCCCAATCAATTCAGAAGGCAGACTACTAGTCAGCGGTAAAGGATACGTCGCTTTAAAATAATATGAAATCATTTTCATACAAGACAATACGGTGCCTACCTACAAACGGTAATTATCGCGTTCAAGCCCCAAATTATGCAAACCTAAGCTCCCACTTAAAGCGGCGCAGCATTGAACGTCTTCTCAATAACACATACATAGGTACGAATACCTATTGTATGTACCAAAACCCCATCTTCCGGATCGCATTAATTGCTGATTTCAGCGAGCAGGCGAGTCCGTCAAATAGGGAGCGAGAGTCGGCCGTCTTTTTTTCTCCTAGGGCTCTCTTTCCCGTACGGGTCTACGAGCAGGGAATTTTTCCATTCGATCACCGTTCGGGGGCTTGCCTTCGCCAATCCGGATTGGAGCAGCGAAGGAAATCGAAAAAAATGGGTGCCAGGCGCTTAACGGCGCGTCGCCATTCGTCGGCGGGGCGGGTCCGCCGGGGGCGTGCCATTTGGCAATAGCATAAAGCATTATGGTACATTCGCATCCCACTGATAATACCTATCTCTACCACACTACCTACCTAGCTACAGAATACGTACATATGTACTGTAGTAAGTACACACACATGGACACGCAACACAGACTGGGGAATGGGAGATTTAGGGGAGAACCGAACGAACGACGAATTCGGCGCCGACGGAACGATGAGGGGAGGGGGAGGTGACGAAATTTTTCTTTTTCTCCCCAAGGGTTTGTGATAGTGTGACGGGACCCAGCGGTTGCAGAGGCCACGCAGCGCCCGTCCCAGACTCCCGGAAACCGTGAAGGCGGCAAAGTTGTCGGGCGATTGCCCGTCCGTACATACATACATGCGATGGCCCCCAGACTGTCCAAAGCATACATACGCACACATACATACATACATAGCGTGTTGGGGGCCGACGATTCCTCGACTTTGTTAGGTACTCCCGACGATCGTCGCGGCAGATGGATGACCTCAGATTTAATATCGAGTTTGCGAAGAAGGGGCCAACGGGGTGGCGAGGATTGATTAAGCTGAAAGGAAGGCTTTTCGCCCCGTCGTGAGAGTACCGGGTACGTACTTTGTATGGAAATACTTGATAAGTGATGTTAGCGAGAGTAGTACCCGCATCAGCCGATTTGCACGATGCAACTCTACACTACTTTAGGCGTCTATGCTGGGTGTAGTAAGGCATTTGGACCCTTCAATCCATCATGACAAGGAAAGTAATGCATTTCATTTTCAAATTTGCGCTCATTAACTTTGGGTATCGCAGGAAGGCTACCATCTATTAAAAAGGCCAAAGTCTGGGTAGAAGTTATTCTCATTCAAAATAATTAGCGCAGCACAACGCGCACAGGATCTGCCTATCTACTACCTAACCACAGCAAACCCGTATCCTCCAGTATTCTCCTATCATATGTTCGTTCCTGGAAAAAGAATAAAAAGCCTTCATCTTATCTACGTCGTATCTTTATTACTAACCCTAGATCGATCAATCGTCTTTTTATAGGTGTGATTCTCTTGTTGGACTCCTTATATCTCGTAAGTGTTGCCAATTAGCTCTGCTCGGCTGCCCACTCGATAGGGGTATCTAGTCGTTCCGTGATTTTATCGAGACGTGCGAGGAGGTAGTTTATCTCGAAGCTGCCGTTCTAGTCATAGTCTGGTTGTCTAGGTACCTGTTATAAGATGCATACTCGATCATTTATCTACCTAAGTAAAGACAAACTCCTCGCCATCGAATAAGTCCTTAGTTCCTCCTGGAACCCGCCAACAATTGTATATCTTATAGTTGCATCATCTTGTTGACTTCCGTCTCACTTTGCTTTAGTTGACGATGTCATAGAGTTGTGAGTGTGGATGCATTAAGGTTGCACGATAGTATCCTTCGAAGGTAGATTGAAGACGAATCGTCTCTCCCATCAACATTGACCTCACTATCACCTCGCCACCTTGTGTCCTTTTTCTACATGTTTAGATACCAAGCTATTTTTACCGTCTTCTTTGAGGAGACAGGTTTCTTAGCTTTCTTTTTATGGGTGTTTGCGGTTCCTCGGAAGTGTGTCTTGGACCATGATACGCCGCCATACTGAAGTTCGATGTTAAATAGTACGAAGAGGACTGCTCTCTGGAATTCATCGATGTTCACGACAAATTCCGTTGGTGCTTGTCGAGACGTTCTTGACCATGTTGGACGTCGCGTAAAATGCTGTCTTTTTCATGGGTCGATCGAATGTGGTATATTTCCCGACGTTCGTACGATTGCCCTAGTGACACGATATCGATCATGAATCGATTTTTTTCTGCTGTGCCAAGCTTCACAAGACATTGATAGAGAGAATGAATCTGTGCATGCGACGATTCAGTGCCCGCTACAATACCTTAACCCAGGCCGCCCTACACTCCGGTTCTGGGCGTCTGTAAGAGTCTCGCATATTTAAATATGCAAAATGAAGACTGCCGTCTTCCGATTCAATTTTGCCTGCTACCTTGCGATAATCAGACAGCGCGGCGTTCCTTGTGCCGAAGTTCATTCTAGGTTTTGGTGTTGACCAGTATCCTTTTCCTGTACCCGTTTGCTAGTGGTTCGGTCCATATTCCTTTCCCACTGCAACATTCCCTGACCCCTTGATTGCCTTCGGGCTGTCTACGTTCAGAGGATTTCCTCATACCCGATGCTCCGCCAACGTCGTTGGGAAATGTTATCGGGTAGTCTTCGCCGCAAGGTCTGCGGCTTCCTTGGTCAAAAGCTGAGCTCGCTAGACCTTTTTTTGGTCGTGAAGGTGGTTAATGTATTCATCCAGTGTACATAACTCTGGGTGATGGTAGAGCCGTAATCATAAGCAGGCCCCTCAGCAGGGCACTGTAAATCAAGGTCACTCGATGCTGGTGACCGTTGAAGTGCGCCACGCAATATGCGCGAGGTGGACTTTGGAGGTAAGCAATGTGGTCAGCCTGGTAGCAAGAGGCTCTAACTCATAGACGCATCCCTTCCACATGACAGTTCCTGTCACTAGGGCAGCCATGGCAAGAGGAGTGAAATTATGAATAGCTCATGAAAGACTTAATGGAGACATCTTGTCTATATATAGGAGATAATGTCCATCGATGCTGACGATTCGAGGCAGCTGAATACATATTGTAATGAAATTGGCGTTCTTGGCCTTGAGGTAGTGTTATATCCTAGGCCTTAGGTAAAATCTGTAATGATGAAAGTTGGGGCGAGGTTGAACCCGATTCCATCGAACGGCTTCCAGTTCCTCTATATGTGCTTAATTTGGCAGGAAATGAACGCTATATATGCTGGTATAATCCAATTAGTTGGATGCCTTTCGTAGTCGTTGATGATAATAAATTAGCCTTACGGAACTTATTGTACCTTATGGTAGGACGTTTGAGAGAATTGAGGTTATTCGGATCTCTGGCAGAAAATCTTCCTCTACTTGTATTGCCGGTACAAGCGGGCGATGAAACAAAAGAAAAGATCGTCACTCAGATATCCGAGGTACTCTTCCAGTGACATGTTCCCTGATGGTCGAGTCACCAGTACGCGGAAATTGTCGTCGAGGGCATTGTATATGGTTGACAAATGTTGGGTTGGTAGGTTCATCTGCAACGCTCGGCAATTTCGCACCACCTCCAAGAGGTAATGAAGACACCCGAACCTAGATGGTATGTAGAGTTTTCCGGGTACGAACTCCTCCAAGTTGCACTGGGTACCGTTCATCATTTATGGCTGTATCGTGTGTTATCAGCGATACCGCTAGACACACTTCTTGTAGAGGTGATATAAGTACGTAGTGACTTTGAGCTTAGAGTCGTCCATAGGTACTTGCGTATGATATGCACAGCGCCTCTGCCTTGTCTGCTCCTCGAGGAGTGTGCTTAGAAAAAACAGATTGCGCCTCTAGCTTCTTCTTCTTGTTCCTCTCAAAATCGTAATTGCTGCTTCCCATGACATCCCGAAGGACACTAACAATGTCCACGTCGTCTATGGGGTCAGGTTCAGCATGATACCGTCTTCGCCTTTTTTCGGGTCGCTGTGGTGCTCGTGGCCTTCGCACTCTGCTCCTCTTAGTGCTCCTATTAGTTTCCGTATAGGTTTATCATTATTCTGAGCACTCTCGAGAGTATGTAACTCCGGAAGCGGTTGATGCTCATGTTACTATTGTGCTTGTAGTGCCGGTTGGCTCTCGTCAAGTTGTCTACTAGCACAAAACCGTACACTCGTTCGAGCCCCATGAGCCCCTCCACATGAGGACCGTTTAATAAGTTGTTTGCCCCTTACGAGTCGCCAAGACAAGCGTTTCCTGTCTGTAGCCTGATGATCAACGATCAGTCGGTGAAATATATTGACGGCCAATGCGTTCCTCTCAAACAACGCTTCATTCCATAGCCAACTCTTGCTTATCATCCTCTAGCTGTTTAGCACTGGATCGTCCATTGAGGGCCAAAGCACTAAGGCGCCTACCAAGGGCTTCCGGAGCTTCTTGCGGTGTATCGCCTTCTTACTGGTGGTTAGTCCAAGGCGCAGTGTAATCATCTTTAATTCCAGTATAAGATGCGATGACCGTATCTGAATAGGTACTAGGTGCTCGATTCTCGTTAGGTTATGGGGACGAGATATGCATGTATTTAGGTAGCTGGGAAATAGTTCCAAAAAGCCTCGTGGCAAGGAATTGTCGATGCTGAACGCTTATAATAGCATCGTTGTTGGACCGGCGGGGACCATTGATAAAGTTGTTCGTGAAGTGTAGGTAAGCATATCATCATCTTCAGATAGCTCGATTGCGTCGCCAACATTAGTCGTCGACCAAATATTCGTCCATGAGCGATAGAACATCCCCTCACAAGTTGCTTTTACCGCCCAAGATGACCAAGGACGGCTCTGTCTTCTCTAGACCTCTCTTCGTTTGTGTAGGAGCTGCTTTCGCATTTATCCTAAGCTCGCCCAGGAGGTGAGTTGGAAAGTGGTGAGTAGCAGCGTAAGGGACCGTCAACTAGCATCGTGTCGTAGTGCTGTGTTGAAAAAG